CATGGTGAAATAGGTGGCAGCCTTTCGATGCTACTAGGAATTGGCCGGACCTCGGACCTCGCTTCATCAATGGCGAGAGGATAGCGCGTGCCCAGGCGGGTGCAAACCAGGCTCAGACACAGACTGAGCGGGCTGAGTTTCCTGAGGACCTCGTGGCGGATGACAAGCGGGATCTTGACTGGTCGACGGTCCTGAAGCGGACGTTCGAGGCGTACGTTCGCGGGGAGACCCCGAATATGTACGGCGAGTGGATCAAGTGGTGAATAACACCTCTGTCTCCCTTTTGCTTGGTGTAATACTTGTTCCCTCTGCCTTACCTCACTTTGTTTACTTTTCCGCGCGGTGTAGTATATACCTCCTCCACTACAGCGACTAGACCCCGACCTACAACAACAGCCCGACTTGAGGTGCCTGTGTTGGCTGTTCATCCTTGACCGTGCTATCACCCATCCTACCTAGCTCTTACTTCATAGACCGACCCGGTGTAATGCCCATTCCCCTGACTTATTCATACATGCTCGCTCCGCCGTTCATTCCTGTGTAGTTGGGTTATAGCGTGTCACACGACGGCTAGGGTCATGACTCTCTAAAGCATACAACTCTTTCTTATCCACACATGCACACATGTAGTCGGTCACCATTGTTTTCTCGAAAACTATACCCACAAGTGAGAGCTCTTGACCCTGAAGCAATGTGTGCAGTCCTCCTGGGAAAGGTATCTTGCGAACACTACGCATGCTCGATATGGCAATATTCTAACGTCCTGCACTGTGCTCAGCGCCTCATCGAACTTGTGTCTTCATCGCTTAGCTGCCATGACCACGCAGGAAGTTTCGGTTCTCGTCGTGTGTTTAGGAAACATCTGCCGGTCCCCGATGGGCGAGGCGGTCCTCAAGCATGTCGCAAAAGAGCGTGGTCTAGACGTTACCGTCGACTCGGCCGGGACGTCGAATTACCACATCGGCGAGGATCCTGACGATCGGTAAGATGAACGAACCATTTCCTTCTCTCGCCTCACTCCTTGAAACGTTGCAGGACCGTGCAGGTTTGCAAGAAGGTAGCGCGCGAACTGCCCGAATGGCTGCCCGTTGAACCCCCTGGCTGAGACTTGAATGCTTCTGGTCAGAACAAGGTCCCAATCAAGCACTCCGCACGACAAGTGCAGCAGCCAGACTTCAAGCGGTTCACGCACATACTGGCATCGGACGAGGCCAACCTGCGGGCGCTGCAAGGCATGAAACCGCGGGACGCCACGGCGGAAGTCCGCCTCTGGGGATCGTATCTCGACAACAAGCCCATCCCCGACCCGTACTACGGCGGCATGGTCAGTGCCCTTCGTTGCGCTTCGTTTGGGGTCGGCAGCCGTGGTTGATGTGCATTCGCTTGCAGAACGGGTTCGACAACGTCTACGCACAATGCGTGAGGCTCTCGAACGCATTTCTCGACGATGTGTTCGGGGTGAGCACGCAGACCGTCGAGTAGAACAGGCGTCCCCATGTATGACCGCTCATTTTCCATACTTTCTTGCTATCATGTGGTGCTTGCTGTCGTTTGGTTGCTCAACAGTCAGAGATTCGATGACAAAACGGTGTATTGTTATAGTACAGTGCAGTGTACACATCCCAGACCGATCGCTGAATGCTCAATGATGGGTAGGCATGTCCACAGACGCCTTGTTCCCAATCGCGTCCTCGGCCTTCCACAGCGCCGTCGTCGTCTTGTTCTGAGTATAGAAGTCGATACCGCTATATGACGTAGTCAGGAATCCAGCACGCCACTATCATTAACTTACTCACCCGCGTCCATAGAACGGAATGTCCCCAAGGAAGCTGGCCTTGTTGCCGCTCCAGGAGAACATCGGGAGCGGAACGGGGATGGGCACGTTGATGCCGACCTGACCAACCTCGACCTCGCGCTCGAACTTGCGTGCGGTCGCCCCAGACTGTGTGAAGATGGCTGTCCCATTGCCGTACTTGTTTTCGTTGACGATCGCGAGCGCGTCATCGAGCGTGTCGGCTTTGATCACGACGAGGACAGGGCCGAAGATTTCCTCACTAACGCTGATCAGTACATGCAACACTTGAGCATGGAGCATATGTGCGTTACCGGTAGCACCGCATCGTGGTGGTGGCCTCAATGATCGTAGGTCCGACCCAGTTGCCGTCAGGGTACTCGGGAACTTGGTAACCACGTCCGTCGAGCGCGATTATGCCGCCCTCCTCCTGGGCCGAGGCAATCAGGCTGGTGATGCGCTGCTTCGAGGCCTGAGAGATGACGGGGCCACTAAGAGGTGATCAGCGCGCGCACCAGCTGTCAAGCTAACCATAGAAAGCGTACAGATCGGCGCCCTGCTCGAAGCCTTGGTTGACGTTGAGCTTCTTGACGCGCTCGATGAGCTCAGGCAGCCAAGACTGCGCATTGCCGACCAAAACGGCGACGGAGATGGCCATGCATCGCTGGCCAGCGGCTGAGGGTGAATGTCAGCGTATGTAGATGGTGAGGATGTTCGCCGTGTATCCTACCTCCGAAAGCTGCGCCGATGATCGAGTTCAACGCGTGGTTCTTGTTGGCTGTCAAGAGGACTCAGTTCCCATCTCCTCGCCATCACTCAGTGCAACGCACCGTCTGGCATTAGAACCGCATGGTTCTTCGCACCCAAGTTCGCCTGCACTCTTTTGCCAGAAGCACGGCCGCTTTGTAAGAACATGTGAGCCATACGTTTGAACAACGCCACGAACACACCTACCGCTCGTAGATGTGCTTGCCCGCACGATCACCTCCCACAAAGCTGATCGCCTTGATCTTGGGGTGGTCACAGATGGCGTTGACAGTCGGGACAGTGCCGTGCACGACGTTCAGCACACCTGCTGGGAGTCCTGCTCTCTGGCAGAGCTCTGCGATGATCATCGCGGCGCCGGGGTCTCGTTCGGAGGGCTTGAGCACGAGCGTGTTGCCGGTGGCGAGGGCGACGGGGATTGTCCAAAGGGGAATCATACTGCACGGAAGGTGAGTATGCCGTCTTCAGCATCGCAAACTGACACTCACGCGGGGAAGTTGAAGGGCGCGATGCTATGGATAGTTGTAATCATCAGCGTGTTAGTTTGATTTACAGCTAACGACAACAAACCTAGCGCAGACACCCAAGGGCAGTCGACGGGTCGAGGTATCCATGTCTTTTGAGACTGTAGAGCAGTGTGAATTTATGATCGTCAAACGTCAGACTCTGATAGTCACCTTCAACAGTGTCGCCCAGGAGCGCGGTGGGAATACCCGCCATAGTTTCTACCACCTGCAACCCTCGGAGAAGATCACCCTGCGCATCTAATTTGGAGCATGAGCCTGTGAAGCTAGGCAGACAGTGACTCTAGTCATGTACCAGCGTAAGTCTTTCCTTGCTCGAGCACAATGCTGGACGCGATAGCGTCCGCGTTTTGCCTTAGCTGGTGCTGAAGGCTGTCGTATCGTGAGCATACACTTTGTGGAAGTACATACGGGCATAAGAACATACTCCAGGACGAATCGTTGACGAGTGAGAACACTAGAGCGGCTCCATGTCTTGTAAGCCTGTTGGGCAGCGTCCACAGCCTGTGCGAACTCCGAGGAAGTGGTCTCGGGCACTCTCGTCAAGAGGGTTTGTGATGCCTAGTATATTGCAGTTGTCAAGCTCAGATTCTGATGAATGACACTTGAGTGCCTCACGTACCGGATCAACAACGTCAATCCACTGCTCCGCCTTGCTCTCGACGAACTCGCCGCCGACAAAGTTCTTGGTGTTGGCTCCCGTTGCGTTCGTACCCTTCCACTCCTGGGAGATCTTCTCGGCCTTGGTTTTGGCGGTCGCGCTCAGACCGCTGAGCGGGGGCCGGGACGCAGAGGCGGTCGCCAGAGAGCGAACGCGCAGCTGGGCAGGACGAGGAAGCTTGGCGAGAGGCATGGTATGATGTCAGATGCAGAGCCTGTCTTTACAAGAGCGTATGCGGACGAAGGAACATATATGGGAGGAGGCGTGGAAGCAAGGTCGTAGGAGGTGTATATAAGATGTTCCGGCAGGCTTCCGGAACGCACACGGGTTGGGCCTCCCCCGCCGTTCCCGTCGCGTGAACGAGCTCCGGACGCGCTAGTCATGTGGGGTAAACACCAAGCGCCCATTACCTCAACGCGTCGGTCGCCGCCCTGATCCGCCAGGCTGCGGGCGTCCCGCCCCGCCGTCCAGGTCCGCAGCCGCTGATCCAGCTGTACGCGCTGCTTTCCCAACTGTAACTCGCATCGTCTTCGCTATCAACTGTCATGCCTCACCCGCCGATACAGGTCTTCCTCACTACCATCGCTTCCCAACCCGCGCTCAGGCAGCGCCAAGGTCTGTGCGCCATGCATTGACCGATGTCGCTACAGCAGCTCATACATCGCAATCATCCTACGCAGAATACATCCTCCGGGTCTTGCAGGTCAAGAAGGTCCAGTTCACGTCCTACGATCTCGCCTCGGATGAGGAGGCCAAGAAGCTCTGGCGGCGAAAAGCACCACTAGGCTAGTACTAGTCTGCTTCCCGCTCGCCCGACACCTTTCCCACCCGGGAGCTGACTCGAGCTTGTGCAGACAAGCAACAGCTGCCTGGCCTTCTCATCGGCGGAGAGTTTCCCGGGGTGAGTTCTCCCTGCACACACGGGTTATAGGGATAACTGTATGCTAATATCGTAAATCGGTTCACAGACCTTCCAGGACTTGTACGTAGCATCCCACCCAATGGCTTCCCGCCTCCATGTCTGACAGAGCGCGCAATTGCTCAGCGAGGACGCCGTAGAGTTCAACGAGCTCGACCAATTCCTGCGCCTCAAGGAAGAATGGGACCCCCTTGAGGAAGACCGGCCCATCCTCCGCGCCGTCCCCGTCGGCATCCCCGGCGCGTACTCCCCCGCACAGATGAACCCCGAGCACATCTCTCCCGCGCCATCCCCGATCAAGACGAAGGCCTCCCGCCGCGAAGGCGAAAGCGACGCTGGGGAGCTGCTCGGGGATGCCAACCTGCACGGGGTGGACGTCACGGAGGACGACCTGGAGGCGCTCGTGAAGGAGCTCGGGCTGACTGGTGCGGACGCGGAGGACCTCGTCAAGGGCCTGTCTGGGGAGGACGCGAAGAAGGATGCTACTCCTCCCCCTCCCCCTCCTGCTAAGCTGGAAATCACTGCTCCCGTGGAGGAGGAAGCTCCTGCGCCACCTGCGAAGGAAGAGGAGCCTGCGGTTGAGAAGCCTCAGGGACCAGCGGGAGAGACTCCTGCCGCAGCGGACGTCGAGAAGGTCGAAGGATCGAAACCAGAGGAGCCTGCGGCAAAGGAAGAAGCTCAGGCGACGGCCGATCAATCGACGGAGATTGAAGAACCCGCGAAAGCTGGAGAAGTCAAGGCTGATGAGCCCGCAAAGGCAGAGCCACCTGCTGAGACGAGCACTCCCCTTGCGGTTGATGAGAAGGCGTAAGGATCTCGCCGTAAATTCATCGTGTACTTTCATTTGGTTTCTTGGAGAAGGAGACACTTCAGGGCTGTATTCATCAGTTACCCCGGAATACCTTGCAAATGATCTTTCCAACTCGCGGACATGCAATTATGTGACCAGGGCAGGGGTGAAAGGGCGGCGGTCGCCCTTAACTCGATACAGCTCGAAACAGCCCGGTAATGTGCACATATACCCGCCGTTGAACGAAACTACAGACTCTCGTTCAGGCTACCTTTGAGTTTGAGCTAACAAGTTCGTTGCAAAGTTGCCAACGCCATCCGTCCCAGAGAATGTATGCTATACAACGCACACGGAAGCGGTGATGCGTGCGCAGTGATTACACTGTATGTCCCGATCGATTATGCACAAAACCATGATCTATGTCTCAAAGAAGTCGCCCTCAGGAGGTCGTGATAGTCGCCGTCGGACAGAGGGCACTGTGTCGCTGAAAGCGGTTGCAGTCGTCCCCGGGGCTGCTGTGGACGTCTGGTACGTTGCGGCGCCCCCGTCGTCTTCGCCCTCGGTCTTAATGTCACCGCTCTGCAAAACATGAAGGTCAACAGAAGTAACTGGAGAAAGATAGCTGCACTGACCGCTTGTCTCCGAGAGCCGCTGCCTTCTGTCCTCCTAGCCGAGGTGGGCGTCTTTGGACGACTCTTGCTCTCGCTACGTTCGATGTATTCGGGACGGCGGGATCGCCTCCGTCTGCGAGGTTTATCTTCGGGTTCCAGCTGACGCGGCTCATCAGGCTCAGAAGGGTAGTGCCACTCGACCGCCGGCATGAGGCACGCGACCAGACCAATGAAAAGGATGAAGAAGAATACGCCCGAGGCGGCGAGGGCGGAGAGGAGCGGGAATCGCGATATGAGGCCACTGGGTGGATCACGTATCAGTACAGTTTCTCGTGCAACCGTCGTGCTGGTCCTCACCGGATGCCATGCTTTCTAACGAATCCGCGAACGGACCCTGAGAGGACCGCGAGCTCGCGCCCGTGCCCCTCACCGAGCGTCCTCCACTGGTCGCGACGACCAAGTTCAACCCTCGCAGTCGCGCGGGAAGTCCCCACCACGAAGTCATTGAGCATAGGTAGCTCGAGATTGACGGTACCCGGCCTGTTATATAGGAACGACCACGGAGCAAGGTATTGCGGTAAAACAATTGCCTGAGGAGAGTACTGCTTCAAGCTTCGTTGCGACGCATGAGCAGTCATAGACAACCTACCGGCTTGCGTGCTTCTGCAATGGTGCTGTTTGATGGACCGACGAGTGTCAGGCTCGCCATGAAATTGCCGAGAGCGATGTTAGCTTCATTCGCAGGTACGACAAGGTGCAGAGATATGTCGTAGGGCTGATTGGGGGCCACGTTCCACAACGCGACCTCCGCGTGCGGTATAGCACCGTCGCTGTTGGTAATGGTCAAGATACTACATACATGCACGGCGCGAGGCATAGACGCACCCATATTGGAGGTAGATGTCTGTCTCCCAACTGACCGCAATGTTCTTCCAGACAAAGAAGCCCGACGCGATAGACAGGAGTATGATGAGAGGTAGTATGACAGAGAAAACCGCTAAAGGTACAAGATGTGGCGCGAGCGGAGAGAACAGACGCAGTACAGCCCAAAGGAGGTCGATGAAGAGCCGGACAGGTTGCAAGGGCCAGAGGTTGCTGAGGATGCCGCGAGTGTCATCTGCGACTTGCTTGCGTAGCTGCTCGCGTTCTCGAGAGTCACGCTCCTGCTTCTGGCTGTCCATTTCACCAGCTGAACTGTCCACAGTGCGGTGAGAAGAGGAGGTTGAGGTTGGGAGGACAGTGAAAGCAGTTGAACGCGCGCAGTGGACGCGCCGTGCGGACCTCGCGTATTGATGTCAATGCAGTCCCACGTGATTCTGCATATCCTTGTCCTACTACGCTCACCATCACCACAGACGGGCATATTTGGATGGCGAGCGACATCCAACAACTCCTTGGCTGTAAGCCATATACATCAAAGGTCACCGCGCACATCGCTGCCCTTGCTGAGAAGGTCTCCAAACCGGACGCTACCACTCCCGAAGTCAAAGCTTACCCCGACGCCGTCTACTTCAACTACTACGCGCTCGGGATCAGTCTACTGTTCAAGCCCGTCGGCGGCTATGTCCCGAGGACTGGGCTGAAGCTGGAAGAGCTTCAGGATAGGATGTTGGTCTTGGACGGAGTCGATGTTTACAATAACCCGCCGCCCAAAGCGGGGGCGAACGCGTCTCGCGCGACCAAGTCACCATACACTTCCTATCCCATCTCTCCTATCACACTCAATCTCGTCGCGATCGAGGCAAAGGAGCGTCCTAGTTACTTCAATGTCACATCGGAGACGACTGGCAAGGAATTCGTGTCGGCTTTGGGCGAGCCGGATCGGAAGGGCGGTGGAGCGGGCCCTTCATCAGGGTCAATCAACATATGGTGCGAATGGACGAAGGATGGTATCATGGTCGAGTTCGGTGGGGAAGAGAGCAGAGGCCCCCAAGCTTGGGAGCGGGGGAAGGACGCAGTATGGAAGGTGATCAGCATCTTTTCTCCAAAGGAGGACTGAATGTACAAGGTAGGTATAATCTTCTGTGGCTCGCGATTCCTTCAGCAGGTTATGTACAAAGTATCTTACACAGCCGGTTGTTGCCTTTGGCAAATCACAAGGGGCCGGCTGTCCGCGATGGTTAGTTCCTAGGACGAGGTTAGGGAGCTATTTCATGACGTACTGTATTGGTACACCAAACGGATCTCGATAATCTCTCCCCCAGGACCAACGAAATGGACATGTCGAGTGTAGCGTTTCTCACCGTTGACTTGCTCGAAGCCCCATACCTTAAATCACCAGTCAAGATTCCCGTACGGCAGAACAGATTCTGAAGCCCCACCTGCTCGGCAGTCCAAGTCTTGCCGCTCTTTGAGGTGTCACTCTTTGCCTGAGTGTAGATGATCTTGCCGTCGGCGAAAGAGTCGTCGGACCAATCCTTCTTCAGGTGGTCGTACTCGATCTCATCGAGGGTGACCCGCCTACTCGTAGAGAGCACCGCACCGAAAACATGATCCTCGTGCGGCCGCTCTTCTCCGTCCAGTATCCGGTTCTCGGTAGTGCCCTTGACGCCGCTCAAGGTCTGTACGATTTCGATGTGCTCGACGCCGTCCTCAGTGAAGTGCTTCACGTCGAGATAGAGTGTGGCCACAGAAATGGCTTTGCGGGTCCACCAGCTGACACCCTGGAGACGGAGGATCTCGTCATTGTCATCGGAAAGGGACTTGTCCTAGGTCGAGATTATGAGTCGACTGCGCTCTGCATCCCTCATTGACAGCGAGCCTAACCATAATGTACTTTCCGCTGATGTCGCGAGTAGTCTTGTCGGCGGGAGCGGCCATGGTAATCAACTGATCTGGAAGTTGGGGTGAGGAGGAAGGCAGGGGTGGACGCGCCCCGTATCCATACGGGCCCTGTATTTATGAACTGTACACGATGCCCTCTTCCTAACTATCACATGAATATACCCCGTGGGTCTCCGCATGCCCTGGCAGCATCATCGACGATGTTACTGCACCCGACCACACTAGCCTGCGGTGAATATGATGTCTTTGGCTCTGTCAAACCAGGGTCTAATTTGCCATCTGACCGTTAAATGACCTTTCCGAGACTGCAATGCATGTGAATTGACAGGGAAGCTGGGGCCGGGGTAGGCGGGCAGAAGATCATGGGGGGTATCATTACGGACGAAGGAGGTGTTCGAGAGACAGGTCGTGGGAGGTGCGTCGGCATGCGACGCATATGCGCATACTGTACTAGTACATACGCGCAGCTCGTTCCTTTCAACCTGAGCTCCAGATAGACATTAGTACCGCTCAGAATTGGCTGGATCTCGGAGCCGCCCGTATCTCGTACCTCCGTATTTTGAGTCACGTTCCCCAAGACGCCGTGCATCCGTTACTACTTCGTCACGTCTCAGATCTCATGACCGACAGGACGCGCGCAATCGCACTCGCGGTCGTCGCGCGCACCTCCTTGTCCAATAGAAGGAGCCTTGCTCCATAACAGCAGCTTCGCGAGAGCACCCAAGATTTGCGTTCACTAGCCGGACAACTCTGTGGGCCTTGCGCGATGTCTCAGCCAGCACATTTCGCGAAGCGGGTTGTCATTTTCAACACCGTCGTCATACACCTGAGGGTGCTCTCAATTGCATTCTGAGAGTCCGATATCCGCGACGATGTTTATGAGTAAGCCTCTCTGAAATTGTGGAGTACGCGCGACTTGTGCCACGTCTCCGTTGTGCGCTAGAGTCGCCGAGATGGGATGCATCAATGATTCATATCATGAAACTCCAGCGGTAGTCCACCTTAGGCTACTTGATATAGGGCCTTGCAGCATTTTTTATATATAGCTAGGCTTGAGGAGACCGACGGCTTGTGAAAGAGATATACTCCCAATGCAAGCACACGCGTTGCAGCGGTTGGCGATGGTCAGCGTGCACTCGCGAGGCCTGCCTGTTATGAGACGTGACGCACCAGTAACGGATGCACGGCGTCTTGGGGGACGTGACTAAAAATCCGGAGGTACGAGATACGGGCGGCTCCGAGATCCAGCCAATTCTGAGCGGTACTATTGAGTAGTTAGACGACATCGAGACGTCGGATCCGGATGTACTGCGCTTGATGGCGCGGCCGTGGAAATGCTCGGAGTGCGCGGGCAGTGCGCAAGCAGCTTCCGATCCTCTTCTCACCGCTCATGACCGCCGACCTCCTATGCCCGTGTTTGCAATCTCTTTGACACCTTCCGTCATCTTCAATCTCCTCACTCGGTTGGATCGTCAGCTGTAATCACATGGGATGGCAGAGCCATCCACGTCGAGCTCAAGATCTGGGGCCTCTTCTCGCTTAAGCTCAACCCATGTCGGGCGGTCCGAGGCAACTACACTGGACGAGCCCTCCGAAAGGCCTGTCAAGTTCACTCCTGCCAATAGTTTCGACCTAGAAGATCACCAGCTTGCTTCTCAGGCGAGCACAAGAACGGTGCCTTGGGGAAGTCGTTTCAGGGCGTTCGTTGCGAAACATCAAAGGCTACAGCGTATATGGCTCTACATCCGAGGGCCGCGTCCTAAATCGGACTTGCCAGGTGCGTGACCTTAAGCTCATGTCTTGACAGAACCTCTTCCGAGCGACGATTTTTGCAGATCCCACCCCCTGGTTGAACTTCAACCTATACACTGGACGCAAGCAGTACGGCGTCGCACTAGAACCCGCACTCATCCGCTGCACGCGTCCGCTCACGCACCCATGGCTCTTCGTCATCTTGGCGGCGGGTTATATCATCGGCTTCGCGTTCTTCGCGCGGGCACAGTCTTTCCTGACGCCGGCGGACTCCTTCATCGGATGCACCGCGACGTACTGGGCGGCGTTAGACGGGTGCGGACTGGACGGGGTAAACTGTATGCCATTCAGTAACTCTACTTTCGACTTCCGATGTCCCGCACAATGCAGCTCCGTCGTGCTGCAGAATCCCAGGACAGTGGGCGACGAACAAGTGGACTTCGTACCTCTCATCGTTGGTGGAGGAGATGCGGATCACACCTATCGAGGAGACACGTTCATCTGTGCTGCTGCTGAGCAAGCGTAAGTCGTGGAGTCTTCTGTGCCCTTCCAGAGTAATCCTGATGGTCTTACTCGCGACGGTCAACAGTGGTCTCATCAGCGATCGCAAAGGTGGTTGTGCAACCCTGGAGCTCGTTGGAAACTTTACGGATTATCTTCCTTTCACCGCCCATGGCCTGACATCCATCGGCTTCCCCTCCGTGTTCCCACTCTCGTTCCGATTCCTGCCCACGACCTCCCTGCATAGTTGCTCCGACCTCCGCAACGAAGCCTTGGCATTCAATGTCCTCATCACTGCCCTCATCTTCATTGTTCTCCGACCTAAAGCCATAGTCGCATTCTGGTGTCTCGTGTGCATCGGCTTCTGGCACGTCGCTCTCTTCTCCCAGCCAATGGCTAGCCCCCCTCCTCTCGACGACGCCTTCCAGCAATTCCTGCCTGCGCTATTCGTAGCATACGCTTTCTGGCGCCTTGCATTCCGGTTCACGATGCCGGCCTTCAGGAAGGCTCCCATCGAAGCAGCAGTGTGGTATCTTGGGCCCTTCTGGGTCGGGGTCTTGACGAATATAACCATGGACAAGATTCCCATCGACAGACTCACCGCCTCCGATATCACGCAGCGCCCTGGCGGTCTTACTGCCCTGATAATAATCGTTCTCATCCTCCTTGCAATTGTGATCAACCAGGTGAGAGTGATCAGGAAGACAGGTTGGTTGCCGCACTATCTGGGATGGTACATCGCGGGGGGCCTGGTTGTTGTCGTCCTCTCACAGCTGCCAGGCTTGGAACTTCGGATTCACCATTACATTATCGCCATGGTTCTCATGCCTGGAACCGGCTTCCCCACCCGTTTATCCGTGATCTATCAAGGCTTCTTGCTCGGAATGTTCTTGAACGGAGTTGCTGCTTTCGGCTTTGACTCCGTCCTACAGACCCCCGCCGACGTGAGTTCCCGAGTCCTGATGGCTTCTTGCTGCGGTACACGTGGACTGCTGATGCTGTGGCCATTTGACCTTGCAGCTGCAGCGTGACGCCCCTCTCGGTTCAGATTTGCCCGCGTTCGTGACGAATTCGACGACATACAACGCTTCCATCCCGCTACAGAACCAGACCATCTTCTGGAATTCAATCCCGGACGGCGAGAACTGGGACGGCTTTGCGCTTCTGGTCGACGACGTCGAGCGATACGTTGGCTCTGCGCTGAACTACTCCTTGGCGGCGCTGCAACCCGGAATCATACACTTCTTTAGGCTCGCAGTAAGTTGGTTTTTCTCAAAACTTTTGGTCGTAGTCTGCACCGCATGTGGTGATACTGATGTGTGCTCCTAAAAACAGTTCACTAGCGGCGGAACAGCCGGAGATTTCACCAAGGCGGCTACGCTGTATCCGAACGGCTCATGGGTAGACCCTCTTCCTGGACCCTCATAAGCTAATAGACGTCGCCTTCCTCCGCCCTTCCGTACATTCCCATGATCTCACACTTCTTCTCCCGTCGCACTTGTCTCTTTGGGTTTCACATTCAAGGACATCGGACTATATATGTAATCATATTCACATACTCCGGCGCACTGCGCCGTTAGTTGCGTTCCGGAGCTCCAGTTGAACGTTGGAAACTGAACCTGACCAGACCGCGGTGGGCGGCAGCTATCTTCGTGAGTCACAGTCGCTGCGGGTGCCGTTCCGCTGACCGCTCGTCAGCTTTCCAGACGCAGCCATGAATGGGACAATTGAGTTGATAGAGCGCCTAGATGACGACGCTCGGAGCCAATGGGAGCATCCCGATCAAGAGAGATCTGCGGTGAGATCCCTTGATGTCCGTGATTCAGGCGGTGGCTGCAGCGAGACAAAGCACTGGCAAGCACCTATATCAAGTGGGCGTCCTTGGTTCCCCTCCTTCGATCTGTTTCACCACCTTCGCTGGCATCGTCCCAGCACTACGACACCTCATTCACAACCGCTCTTCCCTTGTCGCCACTATGCGTGCTGTTCCTTCGCAGTTCAACAACCCCGACGGTAAGCATCAGGTTGCCTCCGTCATAACCACGAGTGGTTCACAACGATCTCCGTTTGTTTCCAGACTTTGCACCCGTAAAGCGTCGGCCCGGCCGATTCTACTGCAAAATATGTACGCCTCCCGGCTACGCCGAAGGTCAGGCGATGAACCTTTCCGCGGCACTTCACCACGAACAACACAACGAGAAGCATCAGGCTAAGGTTCAGGAAAGGCTGCATGACGAATGGTTTTGGAATCCTCCTGTGGACTGGGGCCCGACGCCCATCCCCTTGGACTCCTCCCCCTGGGAGCAGGCCTACCCGTCCGAACGTGCCGAGGAGTTCATCAACCACTGGCTCGACAACATCGCCGCCGCTCAGCGTGACGAAGCGCCGGAGTCCATGGATACGTTTATCGACAGGTACAATCAGAAGTACCAGGACTGGAACGACAATGGCAAGCCTAGCGAGGAGGAATGCGGCGAGGAGAAGAATTGCACGGAAGATGTCGACCCGGATCGGGAGGTAGACGACTACGCTTGTAAGGGTATCCCTGGGAAGTGGTACGACGTCGATTCGTTCCACCCCGATGAAGAAGGATTCGACGCAGTCGGCTGTTACTCAGCGGCGGTCAAGGCGGGCATATACAAGGAGAAGCAGTGGCGGGCCCCTGCTGTCGATACCGAGCCAAATATGTGGCTTGTCGAGGTCGATCTCCGCCAGGAGTACCTTGCCTGGGGTTTCTCACCTGAGCAGTACGCCGCAAGGCACAACTCCGCCGACACCCCACCCTCTCAGCCCGAGCGGCCTCGGACGGAGGCACAGGATGCGCAACCTAGCGAGTGGAGGACTGTGAACCGCAGGAAGAGCCGTGGGCGCCGCCTCGACAATGGCGGGGTACAGGGGCAGAAGTCCGGGATCGTCGACGGGGGAAAGCGCCGCCCGCGCGGGCGACGAGCCCGCAGGGCGAAGATCGTCTAATCGGATTTGGGTGAGTTCTCACTCCTGTCGATAGATGTTATAATAGTGCTGAAGCCGTACTATAGTTCAGTTCTCGTGCCTCCGTCGCGCATCTGTAAGGCAGGTACCTCAAAGCTGCCGGGCCGATCGTCGTAATGACGACGTTGCTCCCTTCTCAGGTCATGTTCCCCGTCTCGGTCTCCGCGTCTCATTCGCAAGGTCGTTCCCGCACATCATCATGTCATATACCCATCGCTTTTCCGTGTTATCTTTTCCCTAGCATAGCTTCGCCCTATCTATCCTCCGTATCCCAAGTATCCCAATTTTGTTCTACACACTACTCGCACGCGCTATCTCATGTATTTCCTACGATACATTCCCATCTTCTGCTATCTGTCCACAACGAATTGGACTTCGTTCGCTGTCGTGTATTGAGTACCTATATGTAAGGCATTACGAGAATGCACTGCTTCGACGCGCTGCAAACATATCCCCGAGCTGCCAGATCTCGATCAGGGGCTCAGGGTGACGTCAGCGAAGTGTGGCTGTGGAGCAGAGCAGCTCGGGCTTCCTGTCAACAGAGCTCGTCTCGAAGCTCCCGCATCTACTTCACCTTCTACCACGACCAGCATGAGTTCCAACTACGACGATACACCACTTCCGGATGGTTGGATCCGCGAATTTGATCCCAAGTCCAAACATCCGTTCTGGGTCCGTCGTTGTCTGCTCCCAACAGTTTGGTCGCTGATCCTCAGCTTTGTGAGCAGGTAGACACGCAGGCCAAGCCGCCTCGGTCAATATGGGTTCACCCATTCGAAGACGAGCAGTTCCTTGCAGAGCACCCTGACATTCGTGATCGACTAGCCGCAGAGCGTCCGAGCGAGCAACCGCCTCCGTACACGCCCCGGCGCCATTCATTCTCGGGTTCGTCAGCGTCTGGCTCGCGTCTGGCTCCTCCTGCCAGGAGCGACGCAATTGGGACGTCACATTCGCATCCTGGGACGCCCGTCGCGGGCCAGTCCCAGCATTCCAGAGGCTTCTTCGGCAAACTGAAGGACAAGGCGATTGGCACGAAGGAGGAAAGGGAGGCGAGGCGCCGCGCAGAGGACGAAGAGGTACGCAACTATGAAAAGGCTTCAATCCAAGCGTCATGGTGCTGATGATGGTACCAGAACAAGCGCTATCTTGCAGAACTGCAGAAGAGGAGGCAACAGCGGGCTCAGATGTCGCCGTCCCTCGGCAGTTACAGCCGCTATCCTCAGTACGGCGGGTCTTCATCGTATGGTCAATCGTACGGAGGAGGATACAGTCAACCGATGTACGCTGCTCCAGCCGGAAGTCCCTTCGGATTAGGCGGACGTCGGACTGGATTCGGCGGCGGAGGATTCGGTGGAGGAGGAATTGGCCTTCCCCTGTTCGCTGGGGCTGCTGGGGGTCTTCTTTTGGGAGATATGCTTGGTGGCGGATTTGGGGGAGGAGGGTTCGATGGTGGCTTTGGCGGTGGAGGATTTGACAATGGATTTGGCGGAGGAGGATTTGACAATAACTTTGGTGGAGGCGGGTTCTTCTAGGGAGTCACGCCAGATGTCCCATGACGTGCAACTTGCATGCACATGTACTATTGCGCGCTTAGCCTTACTGTATCTTCATACTTCTGTAACTGTAGGGATTGTGACGTGTCCCCATGGCACATGTAGCATACACGCTCGACTTCTCTTGTACCATTAGGTTCGGAATAGTATCGATTGATATCCTCAGTTGTTGCCCCACTTCTGCCTTCATATCGCACACTCGAATCAAAGGCCCTGACCACATTCCCATGTCTTTCAAATAAATGAGCCGTGTAGACGATGGCCATGGTGGAGTGTCGGAAGCAATCAATACAGAACATGACATCGCCGGCTTGACCGTCTACCACGACAATCCCGGCGTGTAAGCGCGCCTCCGCGACGCGTATTACCCGCGTTCCTTCCTCAAAGTCAGATTGCCCGGGCTCACTACCTTTGTAAACGTTCCGTGCTGTTACTTTTCTGGAAACTCGATAATACGGTCCTTCGCTAATCCACTGTCCGTCTCTTCGAAGACTTCTAGTTCAAGACCCTAGCAGGACATCCTACCCGAGCTGAGGTAGACAATGCCTCAGCCAACGCTTCCCAGCTCGCTCAGTCCCCATGTTTGTATATTGGCCTCCCCGGATGTTCAGCAGGTTCTTGATGGGGCTGGCCTGCCGCCTTTGCCGGAGGTTCTGCAGTGTTTCTCGCCATTACCACAGAGTGCGTTACAAGTCCTTGATTCCGGCGGCCCATCGTGTAACTCATTGAACTCATATACACAGTTACAACACGGACAACGTCTCTGACTTCGGTACCTCATCCTTCATTTGCGCTCCGGTTCTCAGACGTCGTGGAGATAGAGAATGCCGTTCACGAGGATGAGGAGCAGCGCGCCGGCAGGACTATGGACTGGATCGGCTCGCGCATCGCACAGCGCTGTGAGCGATGGCTGGACATGCTGGAGACGGAATCTAGAGAGGGCGGGAAGATGTGGCGGACCAGGACGCCATGGTGGGACGAGGTGAAGAGGTGTGTGGATGGCGACCATGTCCCGAGTAGTGCGGAGGGTTGGAATCATCCCGTGTCTCGTGCGTATCCAATGTGGTCCATCGCCTAACATAGCATGCGCTGACTGCCTGCTTCAATCGCATATCGAAGTGGTCCTCGCCGTTTCTACTACGGCGGCCAACCCGCTGCAGGCGCTGCAAGATCTGGCCTCTCGCGCATTCGACTTCCCGCCATGGGTAGACATCACGTCTTTGCGCTACTTCCTCATCATCCACCCGTCAAATTCACCCTTGGCTGACCCCATGTACGTGCTCACGTGTGCTTACACATTCCGAGAAGCTAACGTGGAGCCCGATGCGGTACTCCCACAGAGCTGAAGCGTTGTTCAATGCTGTCAAGAAACAGTATGGCCTACATAGTTTTCTCTTACCCCTACAGCTCCCTACATCTCCGTGCCCCGACCCTGTTCCCGTTCCGACTCTGCCACCACGACTGCCGACGCAGTCCACACTTGATTCTCCCCCTCTACAGCCGAAGAACATCACTCTTGCTCCTGAAGAGGACGTATCGCGAACGCCCGGCCTAGTGCCTCCGCGTCCTCCAGCATCTCCCATGCCTAGAGGTCCTGCACCACCTCCTCTAACCAATAAGCCGACTGATCAGCCGCCGCCTCCAGCAATGGCCGACGATTATACAGGGAGCACGCTCCGTCTAGCTCCAGATGACATTCAGCAAATTGGTCGTTTTGTACGCGAGTTTGTGACCATGAGCCTGGTGCCTTGGATGGAGAAATGTGTGGTAGAATGGAATGAGAACGTGCGTTTTCAGACATTGTTGCACCTGGCTTCCAGATTGAATGTGCTATAGTACTCCTCATCCCGACGTCTCCCCTCGCGTCTGTTTTCGTCGACCCGTCGATTATTCGGTGCCTCAGCTGCAGCATCCTCAGCAACTCCGACGCATGGCTCCAACCCATCTATCACCTCCATCAACACCAGATTCAGCCACGGCGCAAACAGCTCCGTTAGTTCGATCACATCGGTTACCTCAGTCTCTAATATGGGCCCTGGGAGCGTCAACCAGCAACGACGGCTCGCCGAGTTCGCGACCATCCTGGGTGACTACAAACTAGCTATCTCAGTATGGGAAGCGCTAAGAAAGGAAGGGAGAGGCGGTTCTGTGGGTGTCTTCCGATGATGCGCCTCGTATCGTTGCTGACCGATTTCCTTGGACGATAGGATATCTTACCTCTCCTTTCTGCTCCCTCTCCAGCTTTGGCCCTCCACGCGGACCATGCGCTCGCCATACTCACTGGTCCACAGCCCCGGCAGCCTACTACATTCGAGGTGCCAGCTCTTGCTCAGTACCGGGCATTGGTCTATGCAGCACGTTGGGAGACCGGTATCGAGCGCCAGGAGTTCCTGGGCCCCGTCCTTGAAGGGGAAAGATGGCTGGTCAAGGCTGCCTCGAGTGTACGTTGTCAGATTGAATGGCTCGGGCGCGCTGGAAAGACGTGCTGAATGGCTTTATCAAGGCAGAAGAGCCGCCCACGGCTATTCTGTATGCGCATGCTGCCTTTCTCAGCGAGCTCAGGGGTGCAAGGCGTAGAGCTGCGTTGTGGTACTTAGTTGCTGCTGACAAGCTGGAGAAGACCGGTATAGTGCGTCTGAATATTCAGTCATTGATCGAGTGGAGATTGTGCTCATCTCTTGTCCTTCTCTAGAAACCGCTCGCGTTGTTTTTCTTCCGAAAGGCCCATGATTTATATCAGGACCATATCCCCAAAGAGCTCTCGCCATCATTTTGGGAGAGCGAGGACCGGAGTTCCTTGCATTGGGAGGGCTTCTCAGCTGTTGTGCCCGGTATTGAGCACGCGTTAGGTACCAGACTACCACATTATCCAAGAAAGCATACGACTGATACTCCAAAGGTCGTTTGCTCTACACGACGGGTGATACCGCCGGCGCTGTCCAGTATTTCTTGACTCTCATCAAGCCGTCTGCTGCCACGAGACCCAATCCTTCGTATGGAGCAGTCAATGGCGCTGCTTCTCCATTACTCCCTACCCCAAGCACGGACAAAGTGTATTTGGAAGACTTCCTTGTCGCCTTCAAGGTAGGCTCAGTTCACACCGATTTGCTGCGCCGTGGGAGGGTATGGCTCACATGTTGTGCAGCACTTCAAGGCCACCGAAGGTGATGCTTGGAAGAACCTGAACCTGAAGCTCCCCATTACATTCTGTCAAGCCAAGCAAACTCGCATCCGGTCGCCTGGGGATGCTGTTGAAGGTGACTCCGCGACCTGGGAAAAGCTTGAACAGAACTGGTCCGCCTTCTGGACACCTAGAAGCAAAGAGAAGCTGGGCAAGAGCGGAAAGGCAGCCGTCAATGGTGGGCGTCCGATATGTCTTGTTGACGATGACTACAGCGACTCATCAATCTGCACGTGTAGAAACATTCTGGGTGGACCTCGTTCTCCGGAATCCTCTGGACGTAGAAGTTTCTCTATCGGCTCTGACGGTTACCGTACGAGAAGCCTCGTCATTAGATGAGGATACAACGCGCGACTTCGTGCAGGTCGAGGTCATCGAAGATGTCTCCTTGGGCCCCAAAGATACCCGCACAGTAGGTTGCAATCGGAGTGCATTTTCTCCTTCTCCTCATCCTGAACCCTCTCCGCAGATACCAATTGGTATCAAGTGTTCACGGCCCGCCTCGCTGGTCGTAACCAGCGCGACTTTCCAGTTCTTTTCCCTGCTCTCCGCTACCGACTCGCTTGCTGTGCGTGGTCGCCGCCTCAATGATACCCCTATACAACGGCAAGGCAAGGTCTATGCACCAGATGTATTGATCAAGGTCGAAGTGGAGGAAGCCGGTCAGCGGTTGCATGCCCACTTCGTCGACGGCCGGCACCTAGTTCTCGCTCAGGGCGAGTACAAGCACCAGCGGATATGGCTCACTAACTCTGGGACGCGCCCAGTCAGCGAGCTGTGGCTACTCGCTGGGGAAGAGGATGAGCTTTGGATTGATCTGGAGGACGACAATGCAGGTGAGCGGACAGCGCCTTTCCATGTGCCATGGTTTACATAAGTTTCTACAAGACCCATCTTCATCAACTCCGCCCAAGGTTGAGACACTACAATCCCCTAACTCACTCGCCCCAAGGAGGCCATATCGGATTCCGATAGAGAGGCTACATTCCAGCCCTCAGCTCGCGCCAGGAGATGAGATGCAATTGCCCTTCATCCTGCATGCGGCCCATCACGGCGAGCAGGATCTGTGCATCCTGTTTGTATTCCGAGAGGTTTGTGACGGTTATTGCGCTAACGACACGATGGCTCACGACGGTTGTAGTCCAACAGCGCCCCGTTCCATTGCACCAGGGTGACCCGAAGATACGAGGTCAGGCCAATACTCAAAGTGACGACGTCGATGCGACCCAGCGGCTCGTCAGACCACATGTACACCATCGGGGTCGAGATTGAGAACACCACAGGGGCGAGCAACCTTCAGATTACGCAGCTCTCGACCATGAGCGCAACGTGGAGATGTTCCCCATTACACTCCTCAACATCGTACGTGGTCAAGTCTGTGTAATGTATGTATGGAGAACTTATACGGTATTACGCAGTGCTTCCATTCCTCCTCGCCAAGTTGCCGATTTTCTCCTGGGGGCCAACCCGTGGCAAGAGGGCAGGGGTGCTTCGGAGACGAAGGAGTTTGTGGCGAACAAGCTCCAAGCACTTCTGAAGGGCGAGCCAGCAGATGATTCAGAGCCTCCACCAATTGACTTGACGTGCACTCATATCGCAGAGGCACGTTTCCCTTCCTTTGTATCCAGAATCACTTAGCTCATTATGTGACCGATCCAGGGCTCGGACATGGTCCCGCTGCGCACGCCCGCGACGAGGCACTTCCTACACTGCGGCCGGCGCACCATAACCGCACAAGCGACCGCGTCCTCCCACCCCGACATCCCAGCACGCCTACATCGTTCCATCTTCCCGCTCTACAACCCCTCCAATGTCGACGTCGTCGTCTTCTGGGAGCTTCCATCTCAGAAACGTGCAGGCCACATCCTTCTGCAGGGCCCGACATTGGGCGCGCAACATGCAGTCCTGCGGGAGATCGTCGACGCCGCGGAGAACATGAAGGTGAAGCGGTCGATGTATTCAGAGACGCAGCGCGAGCGGGAGGCGATCGTCCAGGCCGTGAAAAACTCCGATTGGAATCGGGAGACCGATCCTATGTTGGTGTTTGTCAAGGACGGCACGGTCGTGGAGCACGACTTCAGGCAAGGGTGCGTCGCGAGCTTCAGGTCTCACGATTATTGCCGACTCATGCTGAGCTTCTCCAGCCCTTGCCACGTCCCGATCGCCTTCACCCTTCGGAACCTTTCACTTACGCACCCGGCGAGGACGACGTTGAAGCTCGTTGAACCGCCCCCCGCGGACTCGTCTTCGTACGTAGACGTCTCCCTACCTTCACCCGAACAACGCTAATGACGACCACTTGCTCGCACAGCGACCTCCTCCCACCGCCGTACGCCGGCCGCCTGATTCATAGACATGTCCTCGGGCCCTCACAATCTGCCACAGTCTACGCGAAGCTCTGGGCGACACGACCAGGGTCGTTCGTGCTCAACTCGTGGACCGTGGAGACCGAGGTCGGCGAGCCGTCATCCTCATCATCTTCATCAGAGGCGGCACCCTCTGCGTCGCAGTCAACAGGAGGCTGGAAGTCGAGACACTTACGTTACGTCCAGAGCCCGCGGGCGGGTGACCGGCCTTTCGTAACAGTGGTGGACGTCGGGCGGCTCAAGTAGTTGGGTGTGTATATATGCACTACTATATAGGACCAGAATACGGACGTGGGTAATGTGCAGTAGAGGACGGGCTTGTAAACCAAGAAATGCAGCAGCCGTGCTATGTGTGGTACCTGTTTTGTGGTAGTGCGGTCAGTCCTTCTTGTCCTCGCGCTCCTTCTTGGCCTTGGCGTCCGCCTCGAGGCGCAGCTTCTTGAGCTTGGTGTTGAAGTAGGTCTGCTCGCGAAGCGATCAGCGACCCGCACTGGCAAGATAGCAAGTAGACGTACCCCGGTGAGGAACTGCATGAAGTTGAAGAAGGGGACCCACATCTCCGGGGGCAGGAACTGCTGCGCGAAGACGGTGTACACGGGCGACGTCATCCACGTAATCTGCCATTACGAAGGGGTGTTCACTTGAAGCTGTACAGGAAGCAGGCTGATGACGGTACGCACGCGCAAGACCCTGCCGAACCCTGCCCGAAGCGTCTTGGCGACTTCGTCGACCGACTTGGCGCCGTTGATGACGGCCATGCACGACAAGTACGCTGTTTGTTTGTATGTTCTCCATGAGCGACTCGCGCCCGTATTGCACACCAGTTGCAACGACTCACAGAAGATCTGGATGGGCGCGACGATGAGCTGGCTCGCGAGCAGCATCCCGAGGCGCGCCTGGAGGCCCGTCTTGCCGGCGAAGAACTTCTGGAGCGCGTTGACGAGCGAGTGCGAGAGGGGCGCGGAGATGAGCGCGCCGTAGGCGGCCATCTTGAACGCCTTGCCCGACACCTGGGCGCGCGCGAGGAGGTGGACGAGGAGGGGCGCGTCCTTGGCGACGCGCGGCGGGGGCGCGCCTGCGAGGTGCGAGGCGAGGATCTCCTGGAAGAACTGCAGGAGGGCTTCGCGTGCACGAGGCGCATGGGGTCAGTCAGTTCTCACTCGCTCTGTACGTAAACCCCGCAGGCAGAGATGGCTGATTTGCTGGGGTTGGGAAGCATGGAAACCGTTTCGCGTGGGGTTGGGTTGACAGGTCATAGAGAGCAGTACTCACCGGTGGTGATCGCCTTCGTCCTGAGGGGATTTGCGGAGAGGCTACGAAGGTAGGCGGCGAGGAGGGGGTTGACCTGCTTTGCCTGTACGGCGCTCATGGTTGTCTGTCGGACGAGGGGGAAGAGAGGGACTGAGACCACCGCGTGCAGAGCAGGTGAGCTATATTATTCGTCGCCTCAACGCCCCCATCGTCTCAGGCGTCTGACCAGATCCGCATCTCGATCAGGGCATCCGGCTTCTTGCTCTACCCCGCTTCCCCGGACACTGCTAAAACGTTCAAGAGCCCCTGTCACCTGCGTCCTTGCCAGCTTCTCCACAGCCATAAGAGCATTGGTATAGAACGTAAGGTAGCAATAATCACAGGGTAAATCGCGAATAAGCTTCGTGGCCTCTAAGAGTCTATTCGACAAACACCAGTCCAGCAAGCATCATCATCATCATCATCATTGGCCCTTGACCCTGTACAACCATGCTGCGTCAGTACTACTCACACAGCTGAAGCGGACGGGCAGACGTACCAGAGCTTGACGTAGTCAGCGAAGGAGACCATGCACACAGTCTGCCAGATACCAAGGCCTATCCGGGGAGTGACACCACGGTACAGACCCTTGATCCCGTTCTCCTTGTAGATGTACGAGAGCGTGTTGAGGATCGTCTTCTTCTCCCCCCGCTCCGCACCCTTAGCCATTGACTGCATCTCCACCCGAACAACCTCGATCGGCTGATTCCAGGTAGCGAGCGCACCGCCAATCGACGAAGAAAGGATCTTTTCGAGAGCCGAAAGCTTCTCCTCCTCGCCCTTGCCCTTGAATTTCCGGATGCTGTCCTCCGCGAGACGCGCGAAGCCCATGCTGGATGCCACAAAGCGTTAGATATCCCCGGTGCTGAAACAAGCGGCCGTGCTGCTCACCGAGAGCCCCAGTTCGTACATTGCCGGACAGCGACGGCGTTCACACCCTTGTTGATGCCAGCAATACCCTCCCGACGGTAAATGTCGGCAAAGACTGCCCAAGTGGACGGAGGCTTGATGCCAGCCGCCGCCTGCTTGTGCCGGGTGATCTCAGCAGTCTTCATGCACGTGCAGAAACCCATCGTCGCATATGCTTGGAAGATACCACCACCCATACCGCCCAGGAGGCCGGCTACAGCAGGGCTGATGCCCGCCGAGGTCGCGGTGGTCTCGATCTCGGAGGCGGTAAAGAGCAGAACGGCACCCTTCGTTGACGCCTCGATCCATGCCTGTACGCCTCTGGTGAGTCCAAGGGCGCGTTGCTATTCCATTGCGGCAAGAAGCGTACCCATGGAATAAGACCCTGGTAGAAACCGGCAACTCCACCCCGACTCCATACGGTCTTGATAGCCTGGAACATGGTTTGTGACCGGTTGGCAGCCATCTGGGTCTTGAGGACCTCGAGCGGTTGACCGAGAGTCGTGACCTAAGTCTCTGTGTAAGTGATTTCGGTTCCACAAGTCTTGTCCATATGGCCGACTTGCCTCCTGAGGACGTACGGTCAGTAAATCCACCAATATCGCAAGATGTCGCAGTACTCACGAACTACACGCAGTTAGGAGGATCCACGACGCGTATTTCAGCCTCCTGTAGTTTGTCATCCTCAAAGCTCAATAACATACCATGTTCATGATAGCACCTGGAAGTGAGACATGAATATTCACGTGCGCCAGCACATTATGCCACGGACGCGTCTGCACTCACCGACAGCGATGTTTGACCAGCTGACGCCCTTCTGACCGGGTTCCTTCGTGATGGCCATGGCGAACGAAAGGGCAAAGGAGGCGAGACGGAACGAAGGTGAGGCAGGGGAAAGAGAAGAGAGGGAAGGGACAAGAGGCCCAGGTGAAATGCCCCAAATTATCGGGGGGCGGCTAAGTTACGCTGTTTGGCCGGTGCAAACACGCGCACCCTTCCGCTCGGACGATGGCTCGCATGGTACGACTCCCGCAGGGCCAGCGTGCCATCCATCCCGCCTGTCGTGGGGCCGTCCTCGGACCAGGTATACAGAGCTGTAGGAACACGGGCAGCCTCTGATGTGTCTCCTTCCGCCCGCGGGCTCCCGATCGCTGAATTACCACGTTCATCCGCGGAAACGCTCCGAGGCCGTGTATCTCGGGCGCAATGCACGAGCAATGCTCGCAGACTGGGTTTAGCCGTTTAGCCAGGCCGATGTTCGCATCTTTTGTCACTGACGCTGTGGAATGCGCCCGACATGATGCACTGGAGGTACGCAGCGGTCTAAACATGACTACTAGTACATGTCACTGACGTCTCTGGTCCACTTACAGGCCGCCGCCACCTACGGAAACGTCGGGCGGTCCCAAGTACGGGCGCGAACGCATCTCCTCGGCGTGTCACTGTTCGCATCCTCGCAGACAATGCATGGCTCATAGCATGAACAGGTCTCAGCCGGGGCCTCCAGGCTCGTCCAGAGTGATATTGCACTTGCCTGAAATGGTGTGTGGCGGGCTCCAGGTAGGATTGCAGTGGTTAGCCGATCGGCTGACCGCTCAATGGTGCCCGCCTCGATCACCCTGCACGTCCTATGTCGTAAATTCACAACGCGGAGCGCTCTCTTGGCGCGATAGTCTGCACTTTCTTCGCTGTGCGTCTTCAACGGACCGAGCGGTTCTATAAAGTGCTCGAACTCCCTGCTGTCTGATCGCCACTTGCTCTATCTACTATCCTCTCATTGGCGTACTTTACCAGCTTTCTACGAACGCCGTGCTAGTACGAGGTACGTCGATTTGCTCCTTTGCTACGGACTTCAAGCACAGCTGAGTCTAACCCTCCCAGTCGCCCACCATGGCCCGAATCCCGTTCGAGCTCTCCGACTACATCATCGACTTCCTCCACAACGATGCTAAAGCCTTGAAGGCTTGCGCATTGACCTGCCAGGCATGGGTGCCCACTGCCCGCTTCCACCTCTTCCGCACCATCGCCCTCAAGACGGCCAATAGCACTACAGCGTTCCGGCGCTTGCTTGACAAGTCGCCAAGCCTTGGCCTTTACGTTCGCGAGCTCACAGCCGAGAAGCTGGCCGACACGGTCGCGATCCCTGCCGCAGAGCAGCCCACCCAAGAGCCGGTTCAACATACGCTCCCCCTCGCATTCGCACACATCCCGAGCCTTCAGACACTCTCGTTGTCCCACCTCGACCTGAAATGCCTCCTCGACATCCGCGGGCTCGCCCACCCCTCCGTGTCCACCCTCACCCTCTCCTACTGCCAGTTCACCGAGCTCGCGGACGTCGTCGACCTCGTCTCCAGCTTCCCCCGGCTGGTCTCGCTGTCCATGTCCGGCCTGACCTGGAAGGACGAGGAGCGCGTGCCCGCGCCAATCGCGACCCCGACACTCCGGAGCCTTCAGCTCGGGCGTGAGATGGAGTCCGAGAAGCTGTTCGAGTGGCTCCAAGCGGCGTCTTTCCACGAGTCGCTCGCCAGCCTCTCCGCCCGCTGCGCGTCCGAGCGCGAGGCCGACCTGCTCGGAGCGTACCTGAAGCTCGCCGGGCCTTCCCTCCGGAGCTTCTCTCTCGACTGGAGCGTCACGGGCGATAAGAGTGCGTGCTCGGTCTTCTGGCCTTCCAGAAGGTGATGATGATGCAGACGTGCAGATGTGCTGACGACCGCGGCTGTTTCACAGCTATCATTCTGCCGGACAACATGTCCCTGGGAGGCTGCGCCGCGCTCGAGGACCTCACTTTGATCTTCCCCGTGCACTTCAGCACGAGCCTGCCTTGGGTGACGTCCATCCTCGCCACGCTCGACGCCACCGCGCTGCGCACAGTCTCGTGCGAGATCCGGTTGCTCGGCAGCATCGACGCCCTCGACTGGGATGGCCTAATTGCGATTTTCTCCTCGGAGGCGTACCGTAGCCTCAGGACGCTCAAGTTCAAGGTGAACGTTTGGCCGGGCGTGCACAAGGACTTCGCCGAAGTTGAGGCTATCCTCCGCGCACGTCTGGGAGCATTTGACAGAAAGGGCATGGTTCACGTTTGCAAGGCCTGATGCGGGAGTCAGATTACATGCTATGATATGATAAACTAGTCCAGTACATATATTGTCGTATAATTCGGTCATATTGCATTTGAGGTCGGGATCTCTTGCCATTTACACTTGTGCTGTCGTGCATTTGTGGCGTTGTGAACATGACTAGGGGCGCTCGACACATGTCCACCGAGGAGCACTCGTCGGGGTCACACGACACCTGTTATACGCCTGTCTTATTCTCGTCAACCTCAAATCCTCTCATTAGCAACAACGACAGTACAGTTTAGACTAGCAAGATATCCGTAGCAGGCATGGGTGTGTGATAGCGGGTAGGAGGGGTATAGTGCAACGGGGTAACATATGGGATGAGAGAGACGGCAGCAGTGAGGGAAGAGCCGACCGATGTGAGACGGAGGAAACCAGTAGACGGTCTCGTGTTGGTGTTCGAGAGTTGGGAGAATTGGATAAAGCGAAGTGGAGCTTGAAGTCCAAATACCACCCGATGTTGTACTTGAGTTATGGGCGTGGTGTACATTGAGCGCTCATGCACAGAGCGACGAGATTCCAGACGGTCGGCAACGGCGAGGATTTGGGGAGGATTCCAGTTGGAGAAGGTTGGAACAGAAGATTGCGGCTTTGGTCCCGGATGCGTGCGTCGTCCATGCGGGATCCATGAGGTGAGCGATATGTGGCCATTAGGCGTCCTCCTTGGCTTTCAGCTGCTCCCGGAGCTGCTCGAGATCCTCGTTCAATCTAGAATGAAGCCGCATTGCGGAGGGAAGGAGCGATAAATGAGTATTTAATAGTCGTCCGAGCGGTGATAAGGTAGAAGAGAAGACGCGACAAATGATTGCGATGCAGATTCGGTGAATGCGAGTGAGGATGGCGATACATATGTGCAGGGTATAAATGAGAGTATGATGTAGCGCATGAAAGAGAGTGTAGGGGATATGCAACGACAGCAAATATGAATAGCAGATAGGCAAAAATATCATAAGTCAAAAAAGTCCATAGATCACGGCCAGCGTGAACATCGCACCAACGAAACTCTTCCAGCCAAAAACTTTGACGTACCGTGTGATCTGGTCCTGGTTCTCTTCCTGGTCTTGCTCAAGGTACTGGATCTCCATCATCTTACGCGCCACCTCCTGCTGCAATTCATCCGCCTTCACACGCGCAATCTCGAGCTCCTCCCGCACGGCACGCAAGGCGCGATCGTATTCCGCCTGGACGTCGTGAAGCTTCGCGTTGTGTGCCTCGTGCAGTCGCTGGAGATCCTCGCGAGAGATACTAGCGGACCGGTGGTGTGCGCTACCGTTTGTCTTCTGAGGCGTGGCAGGTTCTCCTGCGGAAAGAGCAGCCTTGACGGTAGCAAGCTCCCCCTCGAGGTCCTGCAGCCTCGTGAGAAGCTGTGCCTTTTCGCTCGCAAGTGCGGAAACTTCCTCATGGTGGGCAGTGCGAAGTCTGGTGACCTCTTCTGCGCGGCCCTTGGCCGCCTCCTCCAGCTCCTTCACGTGGTTATCGGCCATCTCGCCTAGAGAGCCCTTAGTCGCCTGGAACATCTCATTCAGGGCGGCGTGGTCCTCGCGAAGGTTTGAGAGGTCGCGGTTGAGCTGCGCGATGACCTCGTCCTTATCGCTCTTATCCAAGGCTGCGACCAGTGAACGGGCCTCCTTTAGCTGAGCTTTGACGTTCTCAAGCTCCTGTGTAACCGCGGCAGCGTTGGCCTTCGCCTTGGTAAGGTCTTCCTGCGTGGCCTTAAGCTCGAGAGCCTGAGACGAAAGCTGCTTCTCAAGAGCTTTGACCTGGCTCTCGAGAGCCGCCTGGTGCTCTGTCTTCAACTCGTCAATTGTGACCTGGTGCGAGGAGCGAAGTTGCTCAATCGCGGCCTGAGATTCGGCACGCAGCTTCTGGAGGTCCTGACTGTGGATATCGCCAGCCTCGTTCTATACAATCCGGTGATGAGGCCGTGCTACTGGTTGCATATGGAGGTCGACATCAGCGCACCTTAGCTCTCTCAAAGGCTTCCTGTAGAAGCTGATCGTGCTCAGACTTGACAGCATCGACCTTCGCGTTGTATTTAGACTCTTGGCTCTGCGACACAGCGTGAGAACAAACGACGCGGTAGGAACAAAACAGACGTACCTCAAGATCGGCAGTGATTCTAGCGATCTCCTCATGAAGCTTCGTCTCAGCCTCCTGGCGCAGCTTCTCAGCTTCGGCAAGCTCGTCTTGGTGCTTCTCAATGAGGGCTTGAGTATCTGCTTTTGCCTTCTCATTCGCCTCGATCGCCTGCGCCAACTCAGCCTGGAGCGCAGCAAGCTGGCTCTGAAGCTCAGCGTGCTCCGCAGCAGCCTTCTCGATGCGCTCCTGGTGAGCCTTGGCCGTCTCCTCGGTCTGCCTCGCGTGTTCGGCCTCCTTGGCCTGTACGTCCTCGAGAGCGTTCTGAACAGCCGCGGCAGAGGCTGCGAGCTCCTCCTCGAGTGACTTGAGACGAGCGAGAGTCTTCGAGTGGTCCTCGCCAGAAGTCTCCTGCTCCTCCTTGAGCTCCAAGACCTCGACCTCGAGCTCTGAGACCTTGTTCGCCTTCTCCTCGTTTTCCGTCTTCAGCTCGGCGATCTGAGCTGTGAGCGAGTCGGCTGTGGCGGCCTTCTCCTCGAGCTCCTTGATCTTGGCCTCCGCGGCAGCAAGGGTTTCGCTCTGAGCACCCTTCAAAGCCTCGGTCTCGGCCTTGATAGCTTCTAAGTCGGCCTGGGCCTTCAGAAGCGCAGCGTGCTCAGCCTCGGCGGCTGCGGAAGCGGTCGCGGAGGCTTCGACGGAGGAAGCACGCAGAGCCTCAAGGTTGGCCTTGGCCGCATTGACTTCTTCCTGCAGAGCCTCCAGCTGAGCGTTCAGCTTGGCTACGAGTTCGGATTGAGCGATGGCAGCAGCCTTGGACTCCTCGAGCTGATCCGTCAGGTCAGAAAGACCGTACCTTGCAAGCAAGTACCTTCAAACGCACCTCGAGAAGAACGGCAGCGAGCTTCGACGAGTCATCGGACGAATTGGACTGCAAGTCCTCCAAAGTTGCTCGGAGAGCAGCAAGCTCTACTTCAGCCTTCGCCTTCGCCTCCTCCAAGGCAGTCAGTGCGGCGGTCTTCTCCTCAATATCCGACTGAGCAACTTGGAGCGAAGACTTCAGGCTCTCGATCTCGCTTTGAAGCTCCGAGACGGCCTCCGTCTTCGAGCCGATGGTACTGTTGGCATCATCCAGCTGCACGACTGTCAGGGAGGCCTCCCAACGGCAGAGAGAGCACGACGCATACCTTCGCCTGGAGCTCAGCAACAGCTTTGCTGTCATCGCGAACTTCTTTGATAGAGGAGATAGATGCGGCTCCCGGAGTCCTTCCCTTCACCGAAGCGGTGCTCGGCGGTCGAGGCGTGGAGGCACCAGAGGTGGCGGGCTTGGCTCCAGACATGGTCCGCTTAACGCCCTCCGACACCGATGCGCGGGGTCTGGCAGTCGTCGACGACTTCAGCGCAGAAGCAGCGGCGCCAGCCTCGGGGGACGCGATGGAAGCCCTAGGAGCGGGCCTAACAGACATCGTATTGGAACGGCCAGGAGCGGGAGGCGCTGCTTTGGTAGCAGTCGCAGCAGGGGTCGGCGCCTTCGCGGCGGGCACGGATGCCTTGGGCGCGAGGGACTGACGGCGGTTCGGGACGGGCGGCGGCGGCATGGCTTTCGAGGCGGTGGTAGTGTGTTTGGCAGCGGCAGAGGCAGCAGGAGTGGGCTTGGTCGCGGAGGTACCACTGGTGCTGGCGGTTTTCTTGAGAGTGGTCGCAGCACTGCTAGTGGGCTTCGCTGCAGCGGGGGCAGCCGTGGCCTTGGTCGCCGTGGGTGCGGGCTTGACTGTGCCAGACCCAAACGTGCCCGAGTTGATGATCTACAGGTGTTTGCGTGAGGGGCCGCAAGGAAGGCAGCAGTCGCGTTGAGCATGCATGCATGGTGAACGAAGATAGCCTGGTGCACCAAGGTATATTAACGACAACACACCTTCTTCACCAAGGGAGTGGGGGGGCCGCCCGCTTTCCCAGCCGGAGGAGGTTTGACGGAGATTGAGGATTTCGCGGTAATCTTCTTGGACGGAGTCGCCGGCGGCGAGGCCTCCTTGGCGTTTTCCTTAGGCATGTCGTCGACAGGAGCGTCGTTCTCCTCGTGGGTGCCATTCTCGGCAGTCTCGCCGTTATCACCATTCTCTACGGGGGTTTCCTCAGCCACGCTTTCGGCATGCTCAGGCTCGGAGGCAGCTTCCACGTCAGTCGCCTCATGTTCTCCATCCGTCTCCAGGTGCGCGTCCACGGGGCCAGATCCCTCAGATAGAATCTCCTCCTCCTGCGGCGGAGGCGGAGATGCCGCAGCTTCAACTTCAGCCATTAGAGCAGAGCCAGTAAGAGTAAACAAAGACTGTGCGCGATGCACAGGAGCGGGTGGGATCACCGCAGGTGGGAGTTTGTGATAGAACCGGGAGCGTCAAGGGAACAATAGCGCGCGCGCATACCGACGCGTCGCGCTGGCGCGTTCCCTCCGAGCCTTTCCCATCCCGAGCCATGATTACTAGTACTCAAAATGACCTTCGCCGCTATGGACTTTGCGAACAATCCACGACATCTATACATTGATGGCACTGAGACTGCCCTCTACAGAATTCAAGTAATGGTTATATCAAACGGGCTTGGCGTATAGATTCAGCCCGTTCAACGCTGGCTCCGCCAGGTTGTTATGATTGTACCCAAGGATCGCAACCTAGAACACCACAGGTGAGGAGGCGTGTAACAATGTTTTCGGAGTTACTCACCCCAGCGGGCTCCACATTGAAGTGCGTTCCTACCAGGCAGATTCGGATAAGCGCAACGTAAACTGTACACAAAAGTGACGCACCCAAGGACAGCTCGAAGCCGATCCAGCGCGCGATCATGCACCTGTTGAAGTGACCATGCGCGACGATGACTACATCGCGAGAACCCTTGCCCTCCTCTTTCCAGAGACGATGGTGTTCCCGAACCTGCGTGCGATACTTTTGGCGATCTTCACAGAGGAGACAGCTTGATTCACACCTTGCCTATCATGGTGTCCACCCGAAGGCACATATCCTCTACACTTTCACCACCTGGGCAACTAGAAGGAGGGTTGGGCCTTAGATTGGATTGGAGTGTCGTTTGGAAGGATCACTGACCCGTCCTTCCAGATGACCCAGCCTGGCTGTCTTTCCTTTATCTCCGACGACAAAAGCCCTTCGTATTCACCGTAGTCCCACTCCCTGACTTCCTCGGTGATGACATGGTGCGGTATCTCAGGCAGGTGCTCGAACAGAAGATGGAATGTCCTGTGTGCGCGAATCCTGGGTGAAACGAATACCGTGCATATATTCTTGGGATCAATGATTCCTACGTCATCAGATTGAGTGCAATTCTAGCGTGCACAAACAATCACGACACTGACTGCCTTCACCGACGAGGATCTTGGCCTGCTCGGCGGCTTCTATCTCACCCTGAGGCGTCAAAGGAATATCCGAGCGACCGGTCTGAATTTCGGGCATGTCAGGCAGGGTTCATCCTGCAAAAAGTTGAGACTCGACGAACATGGCGACTGTTGGCATCAGTCAGAAGAATGCTCGACACCGTATCCTTGCGCTACTGACCCGTTGATGGACCACTCTGTCTGACCTGAAGGCTACGGTCAGCAAGCAACTCCGAACAACGTCGCAATGCGGCAGCGAACCATGGCGAATGAGGAACAGGCGTGGCATAGGACGCGACATGGTGTCGATTCGTTGCTTGCAGTCGACGGGGTGTTGAGGAGTCTGGGAGTAAGAGCCCAACGTAGAATGGCAAGGACGTCGTTACGTCGATCTGTCTAAGTATGTACGCTTGGGATTGATGTCATCGCTGAACGCGTCTGCTGTGGACCCGGCGTCCGTGCGAAGAACGCAACGGGAAAGACATCGGGCAGCGAACGGGCATATCCCGGCAACAGTTCTCCTGGGAGAACATAGTTGAGCGCGGCATAACGGTAGTGCTGCTTAATGGATCTGATAACGGCTCGGCGACCACTCGCAAAACATATCGCACAACGCACGAGCAGCTGAGGTGGCTCTGCAAAGACCTTATCCGGAGATGGGACATGGACTGAGAGTCAGATGTCGTTTAAATCTAACCTCATACGAATGCTCCATCAACAGGAACATCCGATCGAACCATCGTCTTGTCGGCGCTCATGGGGGCCTCAGCCGCAATCATGACCGACGCTTCAGAGTCCTCCTGCTGCGCTGCGCAACGTGGCCCCCTGAAAGAGGGCCCATTGAGGCAAAATTCAGACTTTATGAATGGCGAAGGATGAGAAGGATGAGCAAAGACGGACGGAGAGACGTGAGAAAGCTGGGATGATGATTTCGGATACGGTCTCTTTGGCGTAGAACCAACATCGTCGAGGCCATCAGTACAGCCTACACACCAATCTTTCCTCCTGACCTCTTCCCTCCTGTCACCTCTCTCCTACAGCACACTTTCGCCTTGTCTTCTAACGCTCCTGTATCCAGTCCAGGTAATTCCCTGTTCCGCAATCTCATCCTTCTACACACCCTATCTCACGCCGCGCGTTGTCACACCGCGTTGTTACTTGCCGCCTATCCGCATCTCCTCTTCGGCGTTCCTACCACCCACGACAACCTGCAAGACATTACCTCCTCCTTGACACGAGCGACTCCTTAGACGACCCCTGATCACACAGAATGCAGGCCATTAAATGTGAGCCCGTCATTGGGTCTGCAGTCCCTAGTGCTGACACGCAGTCAGGTGTTGTTGTAGGAGATGGTGCGGTGGGAAAGGCAAGTGCTTTTCTGAGAGGGCGCGGCAAGGCTTTGTAGCTTATTGACTGGCGGGCGCAGACGTGTCTTCTCATCTCGTACACTACCAATGCCTTCCCGGTGCGTAATTGCCCTAGCTGCTCAGTCGGACGCCTGCTGACCTGGACCAACAGGGAGAGTACATCCCCACTGGTGAGTCGCCTTCGTGCCTCGCAAGGCCCCACTTTGACAAGGACCATGGGAAGTATTCGATAACTACTCGGCGAATGTTATGGTCGACGGCAAGACCATATCCCTCGGCCTCTGGGATACCGCCGGTCAGGAGGATTACGATCGTCTCCGCCCGTTGTCCTACCCCCAGACGGATGTGTTCCTCATCTGCTTCTCCCTGGTTAGCCCCCCTAGTTTCGAGAACGTGCGAACTAAGGTGCGTGCGGCGCAGTCTTGAAACCCGTTGCCTGATGCTGACCTGCCTCGCTTGATCGTTTCAAGTGGTACCCGGAGATTTCACACCACGCCCCGTCAACGTCCATAGTCTTGGTTGGCACGAAGCTCGATTTGCGCGAAGATCCCGCCACTATCGAAAAGTTGAGGGACCGGTACGTACCGCATGTGTGGCGAGTCCGAGGATCGGTATTCACGTTGCCACAGTCGGATGGCGCCTATTCAGTACTCGCAGGGTGTCCAGATGGCGAGGGACATTGGTGCCGTGAAGTACTTGGAATGCTCTGCTCTCACCCAGAAAGGTCTCAAGACCGTGTTCGACGAGGCTATCCGCGCTGTTTGTGAGTTGCTGCCTTCCTTGGTATCCGTGTACTCGGATCTCTGACAGCCCGCGCCCTCCAGTGAACCCTCCCCCCCAGCCTACCAAGAAGGGCAACAAGGGCTCCAAGTGCATCATCGCTTGAGGTCGCTATCCGGATCTGTCTAAATCATGACTTGCCAGTACGACTATCATCATACCATTTACGATCTTGCAACCATTTACGACATGTATGTCCCCCCGGCACGCCCTCGTATGCGGGCCACATGCGGCCTCTGTGAGCTCGTGGTCCGTGGCTGCCGCCGCTGGAGCTGCCTTAGGGGACTTTGGCTTCAGTCACGCTTTGGTCATTCACGTAAAGCCGCATTTTCTGGTGTTTCTCTTCTTCTCCTAGCTAGTGTCCGAGGATATAACGTTTTTGCACTTGCACAGGCGTGCTCCGCGCCCTGGGCTCACAAGCTTGGTTGCCTATGCCCAGAGTCATGTAATATGCTTGCCTGTAGAACATGGTTTCCCCGGAAACCTGCAATTCGCGGGAAACGTACTGCCGTCTGCGATCATGTGACCTGTGCGGGAGACCGCGGAGATGATGATGATCTGCCCTTGCATCCATTCAGCCACAGTCGGCGAAGTCTGCTAGCTTCTTTGCGGCTGGGATAGTGAGTATTGGGAACAAGGCGACAAACTCCTGAAGGGTTAGGAGTATTCTTGTGTCGCAACACGCCTTCTCTCGTTACAGTCAGGTGTTGGAGGCCTGTCCATTCCTTGACCGTGTTCCAAAGAGTCTTCACAAGGCATCTGCATACCATGTCAAAGCCGTACCAACCCACTCCGGAAGGCCTTGCAAAGGCCGAGCAGCGTCGGCTCAAGAAGCAACAAGCCAAACTGCACCCCCCTCCGAAGACCGAAAATGAACAGGGTCACATCTTACCCCGCCAATGGCTAGACATCTCGTCTCAAACTACAGGTACCTCGGGACGGACGGTTAGATTGATGACATGGAACGTGAGTTTGGTCTCGCCTTGTCGCTAGCCTTCTCACTGATGGCCGTATTCGATATAGCTCTTAGCCCAGAGCCTCGTTCGTGAGTGCTACGCCCGTCGGTGCCTAGGGAACGGTCTAATGAGATCATTGCGCAGGGCGCGAACTTTTTCCCACTAGCGACTGCCTGAAAGCCGGTCAACGAGAGCACATGCTCTATAATGAGATCAACTCCCACAACGCGACGATTTGTTGCCTTCAGGTTTGTTCCGTCCTGAAGCAGCCTTCCGATGGCTAATATGCCGACAGGAGGTAGACAGGACAGAGAAACTGTTCCCCCAGCTAGAGAAGTCTGGATACTCCTGGGTATACGCCGTAGGCCCTCGCAAGAAGCATGGCTGCCTCATCGCCTACAGAAAAGACGCCTATGAATGTGTCCGCCAGAAAGTGGTAGTTTACGATGAAGAGGAAGTCCGAGCAGAAGGCGACGGAAACGCACGTCGCGGGCTTAGCTTCCGTACCAAGAACATCGGCTCTCTTGTCGCCCTCCGCCAGCTGGGAGGGGGGGACGATGGTATAATAGTAGCTACAACGCACTTGTTCTGGCATCCAGCGTGAGTGCACATGCACATGTATTGTACTCACGTCTAATGGCCGGGTGCAGATACGCCTACGAGCGAGCAAGGTAGGCCTCCCACGTCGCGGGATGGACAGCTAACAGATTCTGTCAGACAAGCTGGGGTTCTGGTCCGAGAAGTGACCAAGTTCCGGTCAGAAGGGACAGAAGTCGAACAACGCTGGCCATGCATTCTTGCCGGTGGTGATTCTCATTCTATTGACAATCTTCGCTCCCAACGTCAGATGATGGTCCTGAATTTCGCTCCTGTCAGACTTCAACTTCGGCCCCGACGACCCCGCCTACTCCTTGCTCGTCGGCGACGAGCTATTGCCCGCGCAGAAGGCCCGGCTGGAGAGCTCCCGCGTCGTGCATGCAACAGTAGACCCCGCCATCAGCGTAGACGGTGCCTCGGCAGCGGAGGAAGAAGAAGAGGGCGCCGAGTCCGGCGAGAACAATTCGGACAGGATCATCGTCCATGCGCGCGCCGCACAGCCCACCGATGGGCTCTTGACGGACACCGAGCTCGAGGATCTTTTCAGACAGTCGGGGACGCCTACCAGTGCCTACGACACTGGCCTGCGGACGCTCCCGGACCTCGCGGTGGGCGGGCTAACGTTCGGAAGCAGAGTGTCGATACCTGAGGGGCGCCGCGGTGCGTTCGAGCCTGTATACACAAGCTATACACATGTAAGACACCTCGTTCTTTGCATGCATGTCGAGCTAGGCATACCCAACACTGACACGTGTCACAGTATTGGCAGGCAGTGCTAGGTGAAGGCGTTAACCTCAGTCTGGATCTGCCTCGGTTTCGGTGTCTAACACCTGCATGACCCAGATTACATCTTCGTGCTGGATGCACCTGGGCGCGACGTTTCAGTTGTGAGACTCGCGAAGCCTCACAGCAAGGACTCGTTTGGAGAAGGACTGCCCCGGAAGGGCGTGTGCGGCAGCGACCACATCTCGCTCGCTGCCGACCTGCGCTGGCCGTCCACTTGAAGAACAGACGATCAGATGATCAGGGGGGAGCAGCACACAAACGAACATTGCACGGAAACGGTAGTCATTAGAGGCCGGAACGAGCAGTATAGGCTACAGCCATGTGGAGGTAGAGAGGAAGGTAGGGCGATATGCTAATAGAAGCTTTATTGTAGTGACGACTGCGGCGGCGAACCATGATGGGGGTTGTGACTGGGTATAATCAATGACTTGGAGGGGATGGAAAGAGATGTGTAGTGATGAGCGCAGCGGGTACGTGAGTTGGCAGACGATGAAAGAGTGTCAAATGAGGATGGCATGGCTGGTGAAAGAGTGTGATGATAACTCGAATAGATGGAGGTTCAACCAAACAACTAAGAAAGGAGCTACGAGTCCGCGTCGCCTCGTCAAGTCCGCCTGCACGAGCCCAACCCGTCCCGTACCCGCACACCCTCACCGCCCGTTCGCCCGGTCCGAGCCCGCGAGCAGCTCGTCGAACAGCCCGGCCGCGCTCTTCTCGTTCCGCAGCTGGATCATATAAACCACGCCCGTCCGCATCCCCTTGTCGCTCAGCTCGATCGCGACGCCCGTCTTGCCCACGCGCTCGACGCCGTCCGTGAGCACGATCGTCGAGATCAGCACCGTCTTGTGCTTGTCGTCCGCCTCGACGACGAGCTGCTTGATGTTCGTCGGGTCCTCGCGGTACAGCCGCAGCTTCGCGCTCCCGAGAGACTTCCACTGCGCGTGCTGCTGCTTCAGGAACACCTTGCACTTCATCTGCGCCGTCACCGTCGACGTCACCGGGCCCGTGTGCCGCGGCACCTCCTCCACGGGCGACCCGGGCGGGCTCGGGTCCTCGATCGAGAACGAGCCCGCGGTCGACACGGAGCGCATGCTCAGCTGCGCCGACGGCAGCAACGGGCGCGGCTGCGGCGCCTGCAAGCCCCCGACCATGTTCGGCAGCGAGCTCGACGAGCCGGTTCGCTGCAGGAAGCCCGGCCGCGGCGGCGGGAGGTCCCCGGGATAGCCTGGCATCGGGGGCGGGGGGCCGCGCTGGTGGGGCCCACCGGGGCTCCCGCCAAGGGATGGGGTCGAAGGCATCTTCCGCAGGCCGTCCATGGAAGGCTCGGAGGGCGGTCGTGGGGGTGGGTAAGCCCCACCTTGCCCTGGCGCGCCGGGACCCATGCCCGGCCGAGGAGGTGGCCCGCCCATCCCCATGGGAGGCTGACCTGGTCGAGGTTGGGGAGCACCCATGCCCTGGTACGACTGGCCGACTTGTGGGGGCCCGACCTGTTGGGGACCGTTCAAACTAGGCTGACGAGACGGCGGCATGCCGTTAGGTCCCTGAGGGCCGGGTGGGGGAGGCCCATGCCCGAAGCTCGGATGGCGCTGCGGACCAGGGCCGCCGCCCGGAGGAACGTACGCCCCCGGAGGCGGTCGGCCCATGGGACCCGAACCCGGGTGCACATTCTGCGGGGGCAGATGTTGTCCGGGACTGAACCCTTGCGGCGGCATATGCTGCCCAGGGCCGAAGGATTGCGGAGGCATCACTTGTCCAGGACCGAACGCCTGGGGCATGACCTGCCCCGGTCCAAAACCTCCTAAGGGGATGACCTGCCCAGGACTGAAACCCCCAGGGCTGCCAGGACCCGACGACGCGGACGACCCACGGGGCGGGACGCCCTGTTGCTGTGCTCCGGTAGGAGACGCTGCGGTGCCTATGTTCATCCTTCCCATGTCGCCTGCCAATGCAGCATCGGCAAGCGCTGCCCCTGCAGAGTTCACGCGAGAAGGGGGGTCCGAGGGGCCGCCCGATCGCCGAGAATTCATGCTGGCGGGCGACAGCGCCCGAGGAGGACTCCTGCCGCCGCTGTAGCGCTCCGGGGGTGGTGGGGTGTCCGCAATCGAAGGTGGATGGCTGCGGTCCTGCGGCGCGGAGGGCGGTCGGGACGTGCTATTGCCCATATTTCCGGGAAGGGATGGCAGGGCAGGCACAGGGGGCGGAGGGTTCTTGGAGGAGGAGGGGAATACTGAAAATAGGTCAGCCTGATTCGAATGCGGTACGCGCATGATGTCTCCACTCACGCGTAGCCGCAGTCTCTATACAATCCTTGAAATCGGCGATGAGTCGGTCCCGCGAGGCCGTGGAGTCTGTCCGTAGGTTGAGGGTCTCTTTCCGCAAAATGGTCACAGACAGAGTAACGTCTATATAACGAACGGTATGAGCGGTCGTCACTCGGGTGCACCTGCGGACAGCTCACCATCTACGGGCGCCACGCGCAGATGTTTGCCTGCTAGAGGCGGGTACAACAGCCACATGTCGGCTCCGTTGGGCCCGGCTACCTCCAGCTCCTTCGGGGACATCTTCTCACACACCAACATCAGGTCTGTAAGCAGGAAGATGTGTCCACGCTCTTGCACGACCTGGGCGCCCGTCGAGCGCGATATGAAGTTGATTACCACAGAGGTAGAGCAGCGCAGCTCTCGAGTGTAGTGTAGGTTCGGAGGCGCGATTTGCAAACGCACTTGCTGTAGGATAGTAGTGGCATATGAGCAGTATGCAGGGCAGGCAATGCGGCCAACACGGTACCTTCGGCTTCATCGTGAAGATGTCTAGCGTGCGTTCGGTGGAAAGCCTCCGCTCGAGGTCAGTAATCGGCATAGACAGCGTTGACGTCGACGTGCGGCTGTCCGTCGTAGGCGCCGTATCCTCAGATCGCCGACCGCTACCGCGCGCGGCACGTCAGCGCATGCATTCCTTACAGGGGCATCGCATCGAAGCTCGGCGTACCTGCTTGATAGACTCCCGCTCGCGCGCGTCGAGTCACTTGTGCGCTGGGAAGGCGACGTGGACCCAGACTCTGGGGCGCGCAATTGCGGCTCGAGCGTGCTCTGTCTTGTGCGCATGTCGATCACGACCTCGTCCTCAGTTTCGATGGGCGGCGGCGCTTCCTCGTTCGGGGTAGGGGTATTGCCGCCACCCACGCGCACGCTGGCGCGACTGTCGATCGTCGCCAGCAGCTTGTCCAGTTTCTCGAGTGCCCCGGAGAGCATTCGGTGGTCGCTGCGACCTGGGGTCGTGCTCTTAAGCAACCGGTTATAGAGCTTCTTGTAGTACTTGATGCGACCTTTGGGGAGGATAAAAAGCTCGTCCAACGTCCATATAGGCGGTTCAGCGGGATGTATGGGGGCCGACGTCGGCAGAGGTGGGGGGCAGGACGAAGAAAACATGGCGAGAATAGTGCGGACGCGGGCATTCGCTTGAACAGGTTCCCATGTGTCGAATCCGGAACAGTACTTGTTGGAGTAGTTGGTGTAGGGACCCTCCAAATCGTCGATCTGCACGCCGCGGGAGATGAAGAATGGAAGTCGTACAGGGAGAATGCACTTACCCATCGCATCAGTAGATCTCCTAGGCCTTTGGGGTTGGTACCGATCTCTTTGAGTTTCTGCGGGCCATGGATGAGAAGTGATAGGCAGTGCCGTTCGATGACGACTTACCGCTAGCAGTGAACGATTAGCTTTGTAGATACTCTCTATGCTCCGGAACATGGTATCCAATTCTGGGGGCGGGAGGTTGGAGCGGGACCATGCCGCTGCAACTTTCTGCGTATTCATAGAACGACGATCGGTATCTCGTTACGGAACGCTTGTGAAGTACAGGAGATAGAAGACGGACGCACTCGGATAATACCTGTGAGCTGCTCGACGTATAACTTTTCGGTTTCGATGAGATCGGTAAGCGGGTTAGAAGACTTCTTGGCCTTGTCACCGCTCTGGGCGGAGGGCGAAGGTGGCATCTGCCCAGGCAGCGGCGTGACGGGCGTGAGGGGGGCAGAGCCGAGAGCTGTGGGACATGACACTGAGGAAGGAAGGAGAGAGGCGTTGTGGGGGAAAGACATACAGAGCTCGGATACCGCCAGAGAAGCTTTCACATCGATGGGAGCCAAGGGTTTGGGGGGCGTCTGGGTGTGCGGTTCTGCTGCGAGATCATGGACAATCTTAGGCGGCGGGGGTGGAGCAGAAGAGTGGTCGCCGAAGTCGAGCGGGGGTAGAGACGGGAGTTTCTCGTCTTTCGCGGGAGGAGGAAGAGGCTTGGTGGGGATGTCGGACAGAGGCATGAGGAGGGGCGTCGGAAGGCCGGGCGGGGGAATGAGCGTGATGCGCAGAGGCAAGGAGGGCCCAGAGAGGTCGTGAAGGGGGGAACTCGTGAGCTCGGGGGCAGGCCGTCGCGCGGGGCGTGGTCTGGGATGAGTGGGACGTCGGTCGCAGTCTGCAGGCGTTCCTTGCCAATGCACGACTCGGCTCTGCGGCGACTCTCGCTCAGCCTGAGCCAGCCGCCTCGCCCATGCCCATCCACGTGCCCCACACAGCTCACGTGCCCTGACGCGATCCCAATCCGCGCCCGTCCCAGACGCGTCCTGCACTCGCCTCCCATCCCCCCGCCGTCCCTCCATCTCCTGCCCCCTCAGCATGTCCCTCGCCAAGAGCTGGTTCGACCACGCCTTCAGAGACCGCGCGGCCACGGAGCAGCTCCTCCGCCCAGATCTCGAGTCTGGCCTTCTCTCCCAGCACGACTACCAGCTCGCCGTCGACTTCCTTCCCGGTTATCACCGCTACCTTCCGGTACGTTCCCCCACACAGCATCCTCCGCTTTGCAACCACGATGATATCGTCTGGCAACGCGCGTGCAGTACATTCACACCACCCTCTGGGGCGCCCTCGCCGGCCTTGCTACCTTCCGATACAGGTCAAGGGTCCGCTTCCCCACAACAGTAGTCACCGTCTCTGCTGTCTCGGGCTACGGTATCGGCCTCTGGCATTACTTTCGCTTCCATAGGCAGTTTGCCCGAGAACTCGAAGACCGCCAAGCGTTCCTCCTTGTCCTGGAGAACGTGAACAAGCGACTGGGCAACCAGAGCACCCTGTTCCCCCAACTCGATGAGAGGAAGATGTTCGAAACCATTATGAAACGCAAACAGGAGAACGGGGAGGTCCTCTCCGATGGCGCAGAACTTCTTGCCGACGCCGACCCACCGACAGACGGCGTGGCGCCTTCAGACGCAATCCGTGCCTCGCCCGCGAAAGGTGCGCTCGTCCACCTGCCGGCTTACGTCTCTCTGAACGCGTAATCGTGCGCCCCAGCTGCCGAAGATGCTCCTGCCAGACCAAAGAGTACCTGGGAGGCCATCAGAGAAGCGAATGCGCAGAACGCCGGGAAGCATTCATCTTGGGACGAGCTACGGCAGCGGCACGAGCGTCGGCGCGTTTCGGATTCCGGGCGGGAATCTGTCCGACGGGACCAGGACCAGGACTTCGACTCGACATCGCCTGCGTCTTCCGAGATCGAAGACCCTCGCGCACAGGCGCAGAAGGAGTTCGACGCCATCCTCGAGGCTGAACGGAAAGCGGCTCGGGGCTGAGTCCGAGTCTGGCTTGCTCGTGACCGCCCATGAGTACCGTCAGTCATTTGCTGTAGGTCATCTGCGGTCGGTGTCTCGTGTGCCTGCCGCGAGGTGACACGTACGCTGACACTGCCGTGTTACTCGGGTCCGGTCAATCGTAACAGAGGAACACACTTGGAGATCGCACTATTTTCGCTTCATGCTTTGAGCCTGGCCAAATGTTTTGCGTGGCAACGCGTTCAACGCGTGCACAATGACAATCATGCATCCGCCCCGAGGTCGGACTCCGTCTATAGACCGAGCCTTGGCCGCCCTCGTCCTTCGTGCGGCCGGAACCTTCGACCCGAGTAACGATGGACTCGGGAGTCTCGACCACACTGTCTACGGCATCCCGAGTCCCGAACACCACATAATCACTCTCTCGTCCGTTACCAAAGCTCCCGGTGAGAAAAACCACGCATGATCGCCCTCGTAAGTCTTCTGGCGACTAGCATGCCCAAACGGATCATGCACGAGGCCTCTTCTCAACATTACGAGAACATCTTGTCGAGGAGCCATGATTCGACATGCAATCTCTGCATCTACGATTGTGCAATACAATGCCAGTACTACATATTCTCTTGAAGGCGACGAGTGGTAAGATCAGCGCAAGAAGTCAGCTCGCCAACCCCACGCGCATTTTGCGTGCTACTAGTACGGGTCGGAACAATGGAATGGGAGCTACGAACAAGAACCTGATCCTGGGATTGCTGCGTGCCTGTAAACGGATTCGCGAAGGGTAATCGCCATCGCAACGGCAGTCAGGCTCCTACCCACCGTCGTCTCGAGTTGAGGGGGCGATATCCTAGAGCGGGAGACAGGCTGGATTTCGATAGAGTACGAAATGCTATGTAACAAGCACCCAAATCACGTGCATACTTGTATCCCCCAACTCTCTGGGACGGCTGGCATCAAACATGTACAGGAATGTACGGAGCCCGGAATGCCAGCTGCCGTAGAGAGTTGAGGGGGTACAAGTATGCACGTGATTTGGGTGCTTGTTACATAGCATTTCGTGCTCTATCGAAATCCAGCCTGTCTCCCGCTCTAGGATATCGCCCCCTCAACTCGAGACGACGGTGGGTAGGAGCCTGAACGACAGTAGGCATGGTGAAGCTGCCCGACCGTGCCTCAGCCATTGCGATACATACAATTGTTACATACATACCAATTGATCAATGTGCTAGCTCACTCAATCACAATTAAAAGTACTGTTATGTGGCGTTGCATGGTAGTGATGTCATAACCCTACTTTGGGAGCACGACGATCATGAGCTAATCTAGCCTGAGATAGTCGATCACCCAGACGGCTGCAGTTCCTTTGACCCTTGACCTGAGATCATCCTTCATCCTCTTCAGCTTGACGCACACGACACACTCGCACATGGGTTGGCAGAAGACATTCACGCTCGCGAAGAGGAGCAAAGGCTGCCACCTCGTGACGGACGAGGTGCTCGCCCAGATCGAGCCAGGGTTGCGAGGAGTCCAGGTCGAGATCATCTTCTATTCATCTCTTTGGTAACTGCATACACTGTTGGAACATTCGACCACAAATCCCGCCCAATAGCGGTCCCTCCGACCTCCGACGTTCCTGCATATGCCGATCGTAGACGTCGCGGGCCGATGGAGACCTTGCTACATTGTTGTAAAGAGGGCAGGGCTGTCCGAGGTTGTGCGGTCGATTGAGTCCCGTTCATGCGCTGCCCAAGCCTCGTCAGTGTGACTGACATCCATTCCGCTTCCCCTTCTAGGTTGGAGTTCTGTACCTCTTCATGTACGTCTCTGATTTAAACATTGGCGTCCGAGTGATTCCGGACATGCACCAAACATATTGTGCAAGCTCTCGGGCGCCGAGCTAATGCCTAATCTGCTTGACTCACCAGCCAGCACACCTCGGCAGCACTCACTATCAACGAGAACTTTGACAAAGGTGAGTACTCGGTGTTGGTGAAACTCCCGCGACTGATCCGCTCCATGGACGCACGCCCCTGAATGAAACGCAGACGTTCGGCGAGGTGAGGGACTTCTCCTTACAACCGTATCTTGGTCCGCAGCGTACTGAGCGTTGTGGGGGGCCCTTCTGGACGTTGTGGCAGACATGGACATGGCTCTAGATAACATCGTCCCCGAAAGTCTCAACTGGCGGCACACCGACGAGGGCCCAGAGTGAGTAGCCTCGATTCCAGACGCGCAGCCGCAGAGCGACTCTCCCGACCACGGCCAGAGTGGCATTCGCGACGTGTGCGCGATCGCCGCGCCGCTGTGGCTCGTGCCCTATGCTATCAATAGACCCAAACTAACAGTCGATCGTCTCCCACTCTGTCGACTTCGGAATCGGCGCAGCGACTCGTAAGTGGTTAGCCGTAATCCCGCCGGAGGCCTGTCGCTAAATGGGCGGTCTGCACGTGGACGTGGACGTGGACTCCTTCGTGCTGGAACTGCTCCAGCGTATCGCACACGAAGACGTCGCTGGTCGGCACCTCGATCTGTTTGCCGATCACGGACGGCCGTCTGAATCTGGGCACATGGCAGGGTGGGTCCGACGTCGGCAGTTGTGATCATATGGTAGGCTAGAAGCTGACCGTGTCACCGACCTGACTATGTGCGCGCCCGCGCGACATACCTCAACAACTATGCGTCCTCGTCCGTCGAATACGGATCGTCTTGGATCCATCATTGTCCGGCGACACATTGTAATGGCGGGGTCCATACTTGCAGGGATCTACCTCACGGAGTTCAGACACGCGCCCCACTCGCGCCGTATCGTCGCAACGATCCTGTACGTTGTTTACTTCTTGTACCGCTCTGCGGGAAAGGGGGCTATCTGCTGATGTCCTTGTTATGTTTTCGATAGATCATGAAGAAATGCTGTATTGCCTACGTCGGTTGTACACCGCAAATTCAACTGTATGAACATATACCGAACGTTCCAAGGTATACCAGAGTTGGTTTGGCATTCCGCCCGAAGCCCCACTGGCTTTCCCAGTGGGACTTAGGAACCCTCTCCATGGACGTAGCGGTGAACCTGCTACAATTCCTTGGAATCTCTCGATACTGAAGTGGGGGGACATTTACTCTCCTGTCTGATGAGCGGACCCGGTCTGGATGCGTGGGGGTGACTGTTACAGCATCCGCGCAGCATAGCCGCAGCACCGGATGGATCATCGAGACCGCACGGCGAGCGGCTGTGACGGCGAGGTGTGCTTCAAGGACCCGCGTAGAAAAAACTGCCTGCAGCCTCGTTGACTTTGAGGACTTCGGTCCTAGGGGTGAGGAGCTCCTTCCGCGGAGTTCGCGGCGCGGAGGCGATGCGCTCCGTTCCGCCGACTGGCGAGCTGTGGTTCTGGTATCAGAAGCGGCAACTTTGCTGTAAATGGAAACGAAAGCCGCAACGGTGAGATCAAGTGATGCGAAGCCCTCTGCGATGCCATGGTTTCCGGTCGTGAATCCTTCGCTGGCATCTGTAGACTGTAGCTTGGCAACACGTCCTTTGGGTACCGGAGTCATTATGCAAGATGCCGGGAAATAACCTCGAGTGATAGGGAATTGCATGTCTCAAACTGACAGGCATGACTCCGTTTGCGGGTCGAAAACTGAAACGGCAAACAAGCGGGGAAGGGGAAACGTCGCTCGCTTCTTGCTGGATAAGTACGTAGCAAGCCGTGAAATGCAGAGGTGCCTTGCAAGCAGTGAGTCAACACCGCACTGCGCAGTCGGTCTGCCCGATCGGGCTGGAGAGATCAGCTTGCATATGGATTGTTGATGGGAAACGGCGGAGATGTCAACGGGTCACGGAATCTGACATCGCGCCTATGGGTGGTATATGGCGGTGCGCAGTCTCGTGTCTCTTGAACACAACCTTCTTGTCTAGTCCTCACGGCTTGTAACTGCGTCTTGAGGCTACGCGCACACCTACAGGGGCTGCTGTGCCACGCTCGTCATTCCGACCATCGCCCTCTTAGCTCGGCACACATCCCGCGTCCTTAACGCACGGCACGGCAGCCAAGGCGACGGGGTGGTGACATCGTGCGGACCTTGGAACTGGACTGCTGCCAGTAGCTTTGCAATAAGCGTGTACCTTCCCAGGCAAGCGGGAGAGTGTGACAAGGAGAGGGCATCAAAGACGCTTCATCCCTTCATACATATTTCCGCGCGTGGCGAGAAGCCCCTCTCCCTCGTTCCTCGACGAGCGCCGTCTTAGGCTCTGCGTACGTACGCCGGCGGGATCCCCTCTTCTCGCCAGTTCCCGACCGGACTTCTTCTTCCCACCAGCCACTCATATATACTACTAGCGCGGAAAATCACTCGAGGCCCATCCCTTCATTCCAGGACTCGGCACCAGCCTTAGCGTCCGACTACACCCTTCTTCACTTGCACCACCGGCGCGCAAGACATTTGATCACGCCGGAATGCCCAAGGCACCCCCAACCTCCGCGCGCCCGGCGTTGCGCAGGAACCAGGTACGTTCGCCCTGTACCTCCGTGCATCGCGCAACCACATAGTAAATACCTTGCCGACGCGCTCCCGACGACAGGCGTGTCTCTCATGCAGGAAGAGGAAGCTCGTGAGTGTACCATGCATCGCGCGCCGCACATGCCTCCTGACACACCTGAACGCGTAGAAATGCGACGCCTCTCGCCCCCATTGTGGAACATGCGTTAAGTGGGTCCGCAGGGATTAGGTTCGCTGTGCTTGTGCTTATCCAAGCGCTAGGCAGTGGCAATCGCTCATCAGTGTCCCGCCTCCTGTGGGCTACGCGTACGTCCTCTACTCCCTCGTGACGTACAGATCTTGACGACGGCGCTGGTAGCCACCCAACCGAGCCGCAATGCTCATATGATCCTGTCGAGGGCCTGCCTATGGCGGCTAATGTCGACCCTACTGAGCGCATACGGCTGCTCGAAGAGCAAATATGTACGCTCTTGTCTTACCGCTATCTATCTGTCGCGCAGTATCTGATCTACATGGTGTGTAGCACAACTCAAATCTCAGTTGAATGACCAGAGGAACTTCGACTCCCGTTCCGCATCCCCCTCACGACATGCACATGCCCGCAACCACTTTACGACCAGCTCGTCGTACGGTGGACAGTCTGACAGCAGTAGCCCAGCTGCGGGCGGAATCGTACTTCCTCATGTCTCTCTAGATGTACTTCAGGATCTCTCTCCGCGGAGCAGTGGTTCGCATCCCCGCGGCTCGACAGGTAGCCCTGAATTGAGGCAAGGCACCCATCACAACCAGGCCGTGCCAGATCCTCTCATGGACGTTCTATTCTCGGGGTGGGATCCTGATCTCCCTGACCCAGACACACTCGACCACTAGTATGTTGACACACCTAAAATCTGTCAGCGGCTCATTCTAATTGGCTTTACTTAGCATTGATGTCTTCTTCAACTGTGACCCGTGCGGTTCACGCGTGCTTCACCGGCCTTCATTTCTGGCATCTATGCATTTGCACCCGAAGGATGACAACTACCCTCACCCCGCTATTCTGCATGCAATAGTGCGTCTGACACAGCTTCTGTACGAGTCGGTGATTTAGGGCTAACGACGATTTGTTCCCAGTGCGCTTCGGCTTCCCGATGGACATCGCAAGATATAGTGACGTTGCCTGACGGCACCCGACGCGACAAATTTGCAGAGCTCCACGTCAGCAAAACGAGGGCGTACATTGATCGGACGATGGCGACTGGCGTGGACATCTTTGCTGTCATGCAAGCGTGCATCATTCTCTCATGGTACTTCTACCAGGAGGGACGGTGGGTCGAGGTGTGGATTTTCGCGGGCTTCCAGACGCGCGCAGCCGTGCCTTTACGGCTGAACTATCCCGGTACCTTCTCCGCTATCGGAGCGGCGTCACCAGGCGCGTATCTCGCACCTCCTCGAGACTTCAAGGACCTGGAGTCGAGGCGGCGGACATGGTGGATGACCATCATGTTCGACCGCATTGCGTCCGTCGGCGGCTGGGTGCATGGGGTGGACGAACGCGACATAGGGACGGAGTTGCCTCTCCGTCGTGTGGACTTTGAGACGGACGTCAGTGCTCTATGGTCTGACATATGAATGCTGCGCACGTCTAACCTTCTGTCCGTAGGCGAATGTCCCTCACAACCCCCAGGATCTGTTCTCAGAAGACATGTTCACACAGCATCCGCCGCAGTACACTGATTCATTCATCCTATTCCTCAAAGGTGTCATGATGTTCGGCAGGGTAACGGACTACAACACGCGCAGCAACCTCCGGGCCAACATACCTCCATCTAAAAACCAGAATCCCTTCGCGCTACCTGGGTTTGAAGAGCTCGACCGACTAGTAGCGCAGGACTTCCTGCAAAGTTTCCCACAAGAGTTCAAGCACCTCGGCGTGACCGACGACGGCAGCTCCCTTGACACCGATCTGTATATGGCCCACGTCGTCCCTCACGCGTAAGTTATTGCCTCTCGCTTGTCCGATGAACAGTTCTCGAACGTCGTGGCTTGCAGTGCGATCATCACCCTACATAACCCATATCTCAACTTCTCCGACCCGAGGAGTGTTTCGACAAGCCGATGTCTCAACGCCACCCGTGCCATCCTGGCAGCTTACTATCGCCTGTCAGAAACCTCGCTCGACATCACTCGATTGCATCCGTTCGTGACGGTAAGTTCCGTCTCTCTGCCGTAAACGACGATCTGACTTGCGTTCTATATACAGATATGCTGGTATCTGGCTGCTGTTGTCCAAACACAGCTATGCAAGTACTTCATCGAAATTGGAGATACCGCAAGGGAGCAGACGGTGTGGGGAGAGATCAACGCGCTTCGGTAAGCGATCCACTGTTCGCTTCAGCGTGTCCCCTGAACTCACGAGGCGCCACAACCAGTTTCGCGATGCTCACCTATGGGAGCCGGTCGCCCATCGGCAGTGAGTTTCTCTGACAGTCCTTCACAATTCTCGCAATAACGCCTGCTTCAGCCCGACAAGAGAAGCTCCTACAAGGTCTCATGACGGAGATCGTGCGGATGACAAGTCAAATGCAGCCGCTCGAGGTCGGCGTCCCGCTCTACCCCTTCTCCCATGCTGGCGTTTTCGCCAAGGGGACCCTGGCGCCAGACCCCACCGCCGCTCCGTTGCCTGATGTTATGCAGTACCCGGAGGCCTCCGAGTCACCAACGGGCTTGGCCGGCATGACGGGGAACATAACCTCGGCGTCCTCACCCTCCTCGCTTGCCAGCTGGACGTCCCCTACCATCCGGTCTCGCCCGTACTCGCACTCGGTCTCGACGGGATTTTCCCAATGACGTCGTCGTGATCCGTCTCCTCATGTTTTACGCTCAACCTTCACGTTCCCCTTCGTTGCGCTTTCGGGGCTGGCTATGGAACAATCGGACTGTTGATCGCGCGAGTCGGCCGGCGTCCGGGGCGTGTCTCACGGACGCGCGGTGGACGGACGCTTTGTGATTGCTGTGGACTGGTTCGTTGCTGTGGAACAATTGTACAACCGACGGTGTTCATCTCTATTTTACTCGTGTATCCCTTCTTCTGTTATACTCTCAGGTTTCCTCCCTAGCTATTCGCGGTGCTGCGGTTGGTGGAACGGTTCTGCATCAGCGTGTATCGTGTGTATGGAATTTTGTAGCTAGTTAGGTAGAGATTACGGGCAGCAATTGCTTTGCTAATAGACAACCTCATCCTATCATGACGTAGATGGTTTGTTCTGTGGTCTGGAAGGAGACGAGACTGCTCTAAGAGTCATGTCTGTTGACACATTGGCAGGCAGTGAGCTAGCTCTTTCCGTCGACAACCCTTGCAATGCTTAGCAGACGTGTGACAGACGTTCCTCAAACAAACGGAGGCAATTACTTGAACCACCCCGGTACATTGATGTACAAAAATCGGACACAGTGAGAGTATACGACCAAGTCCTTGGAGGGGTTCAGCCCTCCCGAGCCCGTCACTTGGCTCACCGTTTGTACGGCTTGTGCGAGTGGTGGCGGCAGTGGTTCGCATAGTGGCCCTTCTCGCCACACTGCCGATCAAACACAGCGCAAGAAGCGAGGAACGTGTCAGCGGCACCGTACGTAACACGACAAACATGACAAGCCTCATACCTTGTAGCACACGACGTCTTCGAGGTTCCTCCGCGGACCCGGGGGCCCTCCGGAGCCGCCAAGACCAGGCGGGTGGGCCCCGGGGAAATTGCCCCCTCCTCCACCCCCCCTGTCAAAGTCCGCATACCTACCGTAACCCGGTGGGGGCGGACCGAGGTCCCTGACTGATGGCGGTTCAGGGGGTTCATATGCTTTCGGGGGTGGGATCCCTGGTTTCGGGCTGTCAATGTGAAGAAAAGTGTCAGATACACGGCGCAGGTTCACACTCGAGGAGGGAAGGACGTTACGTACTGGCCGCGGGGACAGTCGGGTCCCAAAGGGCAGAAACCGGTGAGGTATAGCTGGCATGCCACCCTGCGTACGTGTTTGCGGGGACAGTTCGGGCCTGCACAAAAAATTATCACACCAGAATCACGGAAATGAGTATTCGTCACGAAATGCAGATAACAGCAGTACGGCACGGGTGGAGCAAGGAGTCCGCAAAGGTGGAAAAGAGGACGACATACCGAGCCTGCAGAAGCCTCTGTTGTAATCTGGACACTCCACCTTCCGCTCCTTGGGGTGCGCATAGAGACACTCGTCGCCGGCAGAACAGTAGCCGTACTTGGCGTACCACCAACACTCGGGCATGCGGCGGAGGTTGTACTCATGCAAGAACTCACATGCGTCGCCCTTCTTACATAGCCCGCGAAGCCAGTGCTTACAGACGGTCGCCAAACGTTCGCGTTCACGAGGGTGTGTGGGCAGCTGCTTGGGCGGCTGGAAGTTCTGCACAGAGGGCGTGGTGTGTCTGAGAGGACAGTGCAGTGGGCCGAGAGGGCAGCCGGTCGCTGTAAGAGACAGTCTGCATATCTGGTCGTCTGGGCCTTTGTTCAGCGTACCCGCGCGCAGAACTTGGTTATAGTGGTGCGAACCTTTGTCTAGCTTGAGACCGAGGTCGTTCTTAACGTAGAGTTCCTCAGCAAAGTTGTTTTGGTGAAATTTCGGGCTGACGATGTCCTGAAGATTGGTAGAAAGAGTGGTAGTGGTCATTGGTTCTGCACAGTTCGCGTGCAAGGTGCGCGCAAAACAAGCGCCCTCTACCACACAATGAAGAAGGCGGGAATTGCCTTTCGTGGAACTTAGTCATCCCGACCTTTGACATAACCCTCGTCGATCATTCCTACTTGCTGTGATAGTCTATGGGAAATTCGTAGCGATTCGAGACAAGTTCAAGAGAGCACTATGAATTACAAGAAAGGCCAAGATACACTATGCAATACGTGCAAGACCCCAGTCCTACCACAGACCTAGGATCACCGCCTCCCCTCCAGTAGCATTGATCCTCTCTATTCCATCTTGCACCCTCTGGAGCCACTCCTCTTCGCAGCTCTTACTTGCTACTTCGGAATGAACTGGCGGTGTCAGATCTCCCACCTCTACGAAATAGACATCATCGAAAGGAACTCCGTTCAACGAGGGCCTACGGTCGATGCGGAGAGCGGGGCACCCGAAGGTTGTTAACAGGGTGCTTGTGACAATGCGCGACAACTGTGTCGAGGACGGCGGCTCTCCCTCTCTGTGATGGCGTAATTGATTTCCAATACGGACAAGAGCTCGCTGACGGCGAGTCTCTTTCTTGCCGCCGGGAAGGGGCGCATCCAAAGAATTCGAGAGAATGTAGAACCGAGTTGTGTTGGCTGTAGAGACAGGGACCATCAGAGTTAGAGCCAAACTGAAGGCGTATGCACATGAACGCACATAGTTCATTCTGAATGCCGCTTTCGAGAACTTCGAGGCCGTCGAAGAGGTCGGCGCATTGAGCGGAGCATATGGCCGCGCTCTCAGGCTCGTCAGACCCTTCACCGCAGCACAAGATGGCGTTTGCAGCTGCAGATGTGGACGGTACCTTCATACGAGTGGCATTTGGCAGGCGTGCCGAGAGGAAGCGAGAGCACTGCCCAAGAGCCTGCCAAAAGGAGATTGAGCATCTGACTGGGACAAGGATGCAATAGCTGTACCTGCTCGTGGCTCATCACCCTTTGTACGTCTTCCAACTTGACGCCCTGTCGCACGACCAAGCAGTGCTGGACGGCCAAGGCTAGCTCGCCGCGGACGAAGACACACTGTCCTGCCTCCGGGCTGCGGAGAACGTCATATGTCTCGATGACGGTTCCATGGATGCTATTTTCTTGTGGAATCACAGCAAAGGGGATTTCGGGGGAGACCGCGCGAAAGACATCTGCAATCTTGTCAATTGAGGAGGGGGTAAGTAGGAGTTGTAGATGACGTGCCTGCGATAGTAGATTGCTCTGCGTACTGCACCGAATCCTCGAATCTTTCCACGGCGCACTGCAAGATGTTCAGGACAATTCATGCGGTGTCCGGTGACAACCTACGGAGTGCGAATATGATCCTAGCGGTCCGAGAAACGCTAGTCTGGGCAGCGCGGACTCATCCATGGATCTCCCACGAAGATCTGGACGTACTCAGGTTCGGAGGTAGGGATCGTCAAGGGCGGGCTTGACGTTCGCCGTGCTCAGCTGGTCTATATGACTGCGTGGCTGCTCAGCGCGTGTCACTTGACTGGAACGCTGAGTGGCCAGCGAGGCCAGGCGGCTTGAATAATGCTGAGGAATGGTGTCGGACGACCATCTGTGCCAGTGGAATCATGAGCCGCTGGTCCGAGAAGAGAGTAAAGAGGCGCGCGTGTACTCGGGCACGTGAGGTGAGAAATGGGCGTGTATGGGTGGGCGGTGGCAGGAACCGCTCTCCACTACACTCTCTTGGCTGAGGCGTCCCGGCGTTGCGGCTTCTGCTCTCCTCTATAGGCTTTTGGTATCGATCTGCTCGGTTGCAGGGTCAGGTGGTTGCTGGATGCGCTTGCTTTCTCGTCTTTGTGCCGCTTCCAGCCAGACAAGCAGGCTCCTACGCACTTGCCATTCAACTCTACCTCGTCCCCGTCTTCAGACTAGATTTGCGCCACCATCTGCCTCTCGTCCCTTCCATTCTAGCATGTCTGCGGCTGCCAGTGTTCTCCAGAATGGCAATCCAGCAGAGACTCACGGGAACTTCGACCTGGTCACACGTTTCAAGCTCCACTTCGCGGACATCCATGTGTCCAAGTGGAAGAGCCGTGAGTCCGGCCTGTCTGTCGTACATCTAGATTATGATGGTGCGTTTCTCCTAGCTCATAACACCTTGCAGAGAAAATGCTAACGTTTGTCCGACAGCTCCCCTGGTCAACGGATATTTCGTAGTTGGCACAGAAAGTATGTATCCTTTGTCGAAATCTTCGGCTGTTTGCTTACCAAACCGTAAGTCTTCGATGACAGTGGTTGCCCGCATACATTGGAACAGTAAGTTGTAGGGTTATTGTTGCTGTTCAGTTTCTGACACACCGCCACAGTCTTGTGTTCATGGGTTCTAAGAAGTATCCGTACAAGGGTATCATAGACCATTTTGCCAACCGTGGTTTCTCCAATGGCACAAATGCATGGACGGATACCGACCATACCGCATACACTGTGTCCACCGCTGGCGAACAGGGCTTCTTGCAGTTACTTCCGATCTATGTAGATCATATCCTGTACCCGACACTCACCAAAGCCGGTTTCATCACCGAAGTCCATCACATCAACGGAAAAGGTGAAGATTCTGGTGTCGTGTATAGCGAGATGCAGGGTCGTGAGAACACTTCGGGGGACCTGATGGTTTTGCGGTATGTTCAAATGCTTATGTGCACACTGCACGGAGTACTCAAGGTTTGCACAGCATGCAGAGATTGCTTAACCCTCCAGGGAGCGCATACCGTAGCGAAACCGGCGGTCTCATGGAAGCTCTCCGTGTGCTTACTGTAGAGCAAAGTGGGCTGCTTTTTGTCGTCGTTCCCGGGTATCTCTGGTACTGATATAGCTTTCTTAGTCCGGAAGTACCATGGCACATACTACGTTCCTCACAATCTCACGCTCATCGTGACGGGCAAGCTTGCGTCTGGCACTACATCCCTTCTTGATGTCGTACAGAAGGAAGTGGAGCCAAGTATCGTCGAACACAAGCAGAACCGGGGACCCAAGCCCGAAGGCTGGAAGCGGCCGTTCGTCGAGACTGCCAGCGCACAGCGCAATCTCATTCCGGAGACCGTCAAGGAGACTGTAGAGTTCCCTGAGAAGGACGAGAGCGTAGGCGAGCTACAAATCGGCTTCCTTGGCCCGCCACCAACTGCGTTCCTCGAGAGGAAGGCACTGGATATCCTCGGGCTTTACTTGACCTCATCGCCTGTAGCGCCGCTGAACAAGGAGTACGTTGAAATTGAGAATCCTCTCTGGTATGTAATTTGCTCCCTCGCAACGTATGGAGCTTGAATTCTGACAGATTTACGCCATATTCTACAGCACGTACATCTACTTCAGTGAGGACACGCGTGCGAAGCGCGTTGATCTACCGGTCTACATTGGCTCCGTCCCTACAGAGCACCTTGATACCTTTGACGAGAAGTTCAAGGCGAGCCTGAAGAGAATTGCAGATGAGGGTGTCGACATGGACAGGATGGCTATGGTCATAAACCGCGATGAGCGTCAGGTACCTCTTTCTTCGCTAAGTACGAGCAGATCGACAAGGCTGAGCAGCTGCGTAGCTTCGCAGCAAGATTGAGTCTTCGCAAGGCGACACGTTCTCCGGCAACGTGATCACAGACTTTCTGTACGGGTCAGAGGATGGCTCGGATCTTGCACCGTCGATGGACGAGATCAACTACTACGCACAGCTCAAGAAGTGGTCCAGCACACAATGGGCAGACCTCCTGCGCAAGTGCGTCTGCACAAGTGCCTGATTACACGCATATATGCGTGAAAATCTGACGTGCCTGTCTGCGATAGGTACTATGTCGATCCTCCGTCCGTTGTCGTCCTTGGACGTCCTTCCGGCGAGATGGCCGACAGGCTCGATCGGGAAGAGAAGGCTCGCGTCGCTGCCCAGAAGGAGCGTCTGGGACCCAAGGGCCTAGCTGCATGCGAGAAAGCGCTAGAGGACGCGAAGAAAGAACACGAGAAGGAGATCCCGCCAGAGATCCTGAAGTCATTCCCGGTCCCGGACGTGAAGAGCATCGCTTGGATACCAGTGCACAGCGTGCAGGAGAAGCACGGCCGCGACGGCCGTGCGCCAACGGTCCAGGGAGACAACTCGCAGTTGGCGAAGCATATTGAGCAGGATGGCACGCCTCTACCATTCTTCGTCCAGTACGACCACGTCAAGGTAGGTCCTGTCACATAGAGGTCTGGTGTGGCATTACGAGCTTACTAGTAATCGCAGTCCGACTTTGTCACCGTCCACGCATATTTCTCCCTGGCGAAGCTCCCTGATCGCCTCCGCCCGTAAGCTCGGTTTCTTCACATGGTTGATATGTATCATACTCAGTCTCTCATTCCCAGCCTCATGTCTACTTATCTCTCCTCATTCTTCTCTCTCCCTGTCAAGCGAAGTAATGGCGAACGCTTGAACCATGAAGAGGTCGTTCACAAGCTCGATAGCGACACCGTCTCGTATGAGGTCGCCCTTGGTGTCAACAGCACCTTCACGGAGACCGTGCGTGTCAGCATCAAGGTCGAGACTAGCTTGTACGACTCGGCCATCGGCTGGCTCAAGGACCTCGTGTATGGCAGCGAGTTCGACAAAGAGCGACTACAAGTTACGGTTGCGAAGATCGCGCAATCTCTTCCCGAGATGAAGCGCGACGGCGATACCGTCCTCGGCTCGGTTTCTGCAGAACTGCTTTACGCCGAGAGCTCAACGAGCCGCATGGGTGGCGTCGTCCCGCAAATGGAGTTCATTCCGAAGCTTGCTCAACAGCTGCAGGAGTCGCCCCCTGAGGTTGTCAAGGACCTCGAAGAGATTCGCAGCTACCGTGAGTCTTCATCGCATCTTAGCATCGCTAGGTTAGAGCTGACCTTCGTCGTCGCGTCTATAGTGACTGACCCAACTGGTGTCCGGATATCCGTCAACGGCGACATCCTTTCCCTCAAGGAACCGCGAAGCGCGTGGGCGCGCCACTTTGGCAAGGCGCTGCCGGTGCGTCATCTTGTCTCTTTAGCTCTTTTTGCCTCTCGGCAGAAGTGTAGCAAGTACTCACCAATTTTTCTGGCTCCGTAGGAAAGCGAGCTTGCATCCCTCCGCCTTGCGGTGGACACCCTGAGCCTTGTAGGGAAGAACCCTGTTAAACGCGCCGTTGTCGTCAGCTTGCCAACTATTGAGAGCGCGTTCGCCACGCATACCGCGAAAGCCGTCCAGGGCTGGTCGCACCCCGAATATCCCGCAATGCGCGTCGCCATTGAGGTTCTGAATGCGACCGAGAGCTACCTATGGGTACGTGGTAGTCGCCTCACTGACGAGGGTGGCTTTCTGACAACGTCGCAGAGGTACATCCGTGGTTCTGGGCTGGCTTACGGTGCTCACTGCGGATTGGATCTTGAGGCTGGCTTCGTCAGCTTCACACTCTATCGCGTACGATATTCTCATGTGTGTACACGACCAATGTCTGATCGCCTTTTGCAGAGTTCCAACAGCATAGAAGCCTTCAAGCAGGCGGCGAGCGTTATCAAAGGCCTCACTGATGGATCGGTACGCAGACCTACCGGAAGTTTACGACCGACACCTGCTCATTGTCACAACAGATCGCCTTAGATGAGACCGTGCTTGATGCTGCGAAGAGTAGCATTGTGTTCGGTGTTGCGAAGAGTGTCTCCACACCAGGCCGCGCGGTAAACTACCCGTTTTCCTCGCGCGTAGATGTGGAACTGACGACATCGCGCTAGGCTCTGATGTCCTTCATCAACCAAGGTCTGAAGGGCGTCCCACAGAACCACAACATTGACTTGCTCGAGAAGTTCCAGAAGATCACCAAGGACGATGTCCTTGCTGTCCTCAAGAAGTACTTCCTTCCCCTCTTCGACTCCTCGTCCTCCGTCGCGGTCGTTGTCACGGCACCCGGGAAGGCTGATGAGGTGTCCGAAGAGCTGAGCAAGGTCGGCTTCGAGGTTGAGCAGAAGACCCTCCAGGTTGAGGTTGATGAGGATGGCGAGTATTCGGACTCGGACTCGAGCGGGAGCGAGAGCGATGGCGGCCGCTAGCACCATCACTGCCACCCTCTTTACTATCACTGCTAATATGTAGCCATATACAAGGGTTTCCGCGGGGTGCGGATGGGATATGTAGCATCCAACTCACTTCTCTATGATGTCTTGTGCGACTGAATATGCTGCGGGCTCGTTCAACATAGCGTTGCCGACAATAGGATCATCGGTCACGGTAGATTGGTCTCCAATAACCTCAATCATGCGCTCATTTGCCTGGCCGGGCTTGAGCTCGACGTTGTCCAAGAAATCGTTGTCGACGAGGAAACGGATGGCCTGCGAGAGGTTGGAGACAGTCATGCGAATTTCGGGTAGCAAGAGCTGCAGACCTTCATAAGTACTGACCAGCGAAGGTGCTTCGACGAGTAGGGTGACTTACATTCCGGAGTAGGGATTGTCGCTGTGCGAAAGGGTTGCGCGGCGTTCTTCGAGGTTGCTTGGGTCGAGGTTTCTTGACTGGTTCAGGGACGCTAAGAGCCCTTTCTTGCGTCTCAACATCTTCTCTCGCCTCTTCCTCGCCGGAGTCGTCGACATCCATAATCATATCGTGTGCTTCATGTGCTTCAACCCCTGGAGGTGCTTTAGACGAGACGACCTCTGGAGCACTGTCCGAATCTGAATCCGAGCTCGACGACACGTCTTCCTCTGGACGCTGTGTTGCAGCTGCCGCAACTCCCGTACGTGAACCCGTGGATGCCTCCGTAGCAATGGGTGCGCCAGCTCCGTCCTGCTGCTCGTGGGGTCTCCTTCCATCCCAACCGCTATCTCCCCCTCCCCCTTTACCCCTGCCCCTGCCTCTGCCTCGTCCCCGCCCTCGCTGCCCCCCTCGTCCCCTGGTATTCCCTGATTGTCCGTCTCTGTCGGCATCCATCCTCCGCCGCTTCCTCCTCTGCCCATCGTCGAACGGGAGCTGACCGCGCTGTACCGCTTCGCGTTTCTTCTGCTCCTTCTCCGCTACGTTCTGCGCGGTCGGGAACCGCTTCTTGCGCTCCGCGATCCACGCAGCAATCGCCTCAGGCGTGTCGAGGCGAAGACTCGTGCCCTGGATAGGAACCGGCTTCCTACAATTGCAGGTGCGACGGGTAAGTACGCATACACCCAGCAACAGACACGGGCAGACGCACCCTTTGAGGCTGGGGTCCGCGTCCCAGTCGTTTTTCTTCTTCCTGTGATCCCAGCCGGGAGGATAGATGAGGTGCCGGTCCATCATGTGCAGCTCGACGCTCTTTTTCGACCCGGTGAACGAACAACCCTGCTGAGAGCATCTCGAGGTACCAGGCTGGTACCAGCCCCCTGGACCTTGCCCTCCTCCGTGTCCATGCATCGGCGGGCGTTGTGGGGCGTTCGGACGCGCATTGTGGGGAGGGTTGCGTTGATTGTAGTTGGTCCCAGGGACATATGTAGAGGATATCGTGTAACCTTCAGCCGTCACGGAGGGGCCTGCCTGGTTGTAGTACTGAGCGTACGCCTGCGCATAGTGGGCGGCCTGGCCGTATGCGCCAAACTGGGTCTGCCCGTATGGGTTGGAAAGCGCAGCAGTGACCGCTTGCGCGGCAATGTTGGCAGAAGAGGGACCAGCGTGAGCAGAGTAGTATGGCACGCCCTGGTGTGCCTGGGGGCGATTTGGCTGCATCCGAGTCCAAACAGAGCAGAGAGCACGAAGGAGCGCCCGTCTCTTGCGCGAAACTTTTTGATGTCGGCAAATGCGTGTTGGGCTGCACCCAAACTCAGTGCGATCACTGCCGGCGGCGATGACGAAAGCTTCAGTTTCAGTTTTAACCTTACAGACACCGAGGAGGTACTGCACGCGAAAGCAATGTCCTTGTTGACCATGGATAGCAATTAACATACGCATACTTTTACTGTCTATGAGGCGCGCGAGATGCACGAAAGCACTATGGTAGAGCCCAGTTACGTCAGTTTGAGGCCCGTGAGTTAAAAGCATCATGTTGGCCCGCGAATCAGAGGTGTGTGCTACATAAGGGAAGGACAGGGAGACAATAACGCGACGGACTAGAGGTCAAGATAGGAGCTCGAGGCGGGGAGGTACACTATCAGGAGTTTTCGGCGATTTTTGGTGGGGACAAGAGAACGAGGGAAGAGGGAAGGAGAGGAGAGAGGATGACGGGAAACAAGGAACGAGATGGGAGAACCGCAGCCAAGCGCTGAGGTACTGGCTGACAGATGTCGGAGGGACGGTGGGACGGAAGGAGATTGTCCGATATTGGGGGGCTATCTGATATTGGGGGACTGGGTCGGCACGGAGAGGCACGCGTCGGGAGCGTGAACGCGAGCCTCACCTATCGCCGCCCAGAGCGTATCAAGCTTCTGGACCTGCTAGCACCTGACAACTGTTCGCGGCTAGTCCTGCAACTCCTCCTGTTGCTGCTGGTCACGACCGACCCTCCTCTCCTTCTCGCTCTCGAGCTGGTTGTAGAGGAGGAAGAGGGCCTTCTCGTTGGCCTCGGGAGTCCCAACGATGGTGAACATGCGCTCGCCGGTCTCGTCGTGCGGTTCCTTCGCAATGGAGATCTTCGAGCCAGACAGTCGTCGAATCTCGGTGATTTTGGTTCCGTTGCGGCCGATAATGCACCCAACCATGTCGGACGGGATGGAGATGTTCTGAGTGCGGAGGTTGGTCCCTTGTGGTGATGACGGCGAGTTTGGTGAAGGTGATGTGCGCCCGCGCCCGTCGCCGTTAGCCCTTCGGCCGGTGGGGTGCGTGCGACGACCCGAACGCTCGTCGCCCGTGCCAGGGTGGAAAAGGACAGTACCGACCCCACGTTCCCAGTCCTCGAGAAGACAGCGACCAATCTCTTCGATTGCCCGGCCTATCGACTCGGATGACCCTTGCACCTCCACGATGCGCTCTGTGGACTGGGGGAGCATATCCTTGGAGGCAACCATCCGCGCTCCCGAGGAGTCCTGGATGGCTTTGATCTTCAGACCGTTCCTGCCAATCACACTGCCCATGAGGTTGTGTGAGATGAGGAGGCGGATGGCAGTGGTAGGCGAAGAGGAGTTGGACGTAACGGGGGAGGAGGGATTGGCGGAGACGAGTTGGGATACAATGAGGGAGTACGCCTATGATATGCTTGAGATTCTGCTAGATAGCGGCCGAAGAAGCCATACACACCTTTGCCACACCCTCCACGGAGCCAGTTACAGTCAGAACCCGCTCATGGACGCCGGGAATGACTTTGCTGACGCCAGCCTTGACGCCGGTCTGTTCCCGGAGTTCTGCGACGTTTTTGCCCGCCTTTCCAATGATGACACCAGCATCTTTGGTGCTCACGAGCGCACGAAGAGTGAGACTGTCGTCGGCGCCGGTCGGGGAGGGAGAGCGGGACTGAGGAGGAGAGCCTACAGACGAGATTGATTAGCCCGAAGGAAGTAGATCGAGAAATGGGAGAGCGCACCAGCGTCACGAGTAGCGGGGGCGTCGGAGGGCATGGTGAGGGCGAGAAGAGAGGGGCGGGGGGCGTAGGAGAGGGGCGAGGAGGAGGAGAGGGCAGGGCGATGTGGAGGTGAGCGAGCAAAAGCTTGCAGACGGTGCGGCGCTGGTGCGAAGGACTTGCCCAGACCGGCGCAGTCTCGGCATCTCCCCGCCCGCGCGGACCATCCACTTCGCACTCCGCCGGCGGCGACTCGACTCAGCTGGCGCTTAGCTCTAATGACTCGGCGTGCACTCTAGGCTATCACAATCCAGTGTATCCACGCAGGGTAGAAATCGTGTTGTACAAGTAACCGGAGGCCGTAGACCGTCCTACTCGGCAACGGTAGTATCATATTCGAACCTCGTCCCCGTGTAACAGGCATATGGAAGCTATAGGCGTAGTACATGGAATATGTCATGGCACTAATCATAGAAGAGCGCGGAAAGCAGGTGCGATGAGCCATGCAATCATTCCATCTAGTAGCCAAGCTGCACCAGCTTCTCGAAGGATGGTGTCGCATCTGCCAGGGCCTTTTGACGCAGCTTGAGGGCCGCGGTCTGCGTACCCGTTAGGACGCCGCGTGTCATATGAGGCAAAACATTGTCGCTCACCTTGCGCTCGTGGAAGGCCTGAGCCTTGACCTTCCTCTTCTCCTCCAAGCGGTCCACAACGTCCTTGTAGCCCCAACCAACCTCGTGGGACAGACGCTAGGGATCCCGTCGTGTTCATTATCGACCTCATGCCAGAAATATATGTTACACGACGTACCTTGACCGTGCAGTACTTGCGGCCAGGCTTCAACCGCAACACCCTGAGGGCCTCAGGGACGACCATGCGCTTCTTCCTGTCGTAGGGAGGAGGAACGCCCTCAAACAACTTGAGGCGCTCAAGAGCTGCCGCGCCGCGGGCAGTCTTGTGGGGGACCATACCGCGGATGGCCCGGTAGAGAATCTTGGACGGGGCGCGGTGGTGGAAGGGGCCGGACTTTTTCGGGTTGACGATATGGCGTTTATGGAGGAAGTTGTGGTACCGCAGCTGAACAAAGACACTAAGTCTCATTTACCCCGCATAGATCGCAAACGCGTGAATGCACCTTGTTGCGGAAGAAGCTGCCGGAAATGTTGATCTCCTCGCACCGTACGACAGTAATCTTCTGGCCGTTGAGGATTTGCTTCGAGATAATCGAAGCAAGACGACCCAGAAGATGGCCCTTGCCGTCAATGACGATGGGGGTGGAGGAGAAGGTGGCCATGGCGTGTCTGGAAGGGCAGTTGCAGAACGGAGGTGAAAACGCGGAGTTTGGTGAGTCGAGGAGATAGACGAACCTAGTAGTAGGAAGTGAAATAGATAGAGTACAGTGTCAGCGAGAAGCCAACTGCGATACTTGAGGCTCTCACCTTGACGATCTTGCTGCAGTCGGTAATGGTTGGCCGGAGACTCGTACGGGGTGACAGCCACCGTGACTGCTGCTGCATAGTTGATCGGCCACTGCCGGAACCCACTTTCAGCCACCTCTAATGGGCGTTTATTTCGTTGCCTCTCCAGTACTTATAGTCTTCTTCGAGCTGTCTTTCCTTGTGCTCGGCCTCCTGTCTACATTGTGTAGACTATCATAGCGGGAGTGCTCTGCTTTCTCCATGTTGCGTCTCTGGCCTGGCTAGTTGCGTATATTTGTGTTTCCGCTACACATTCTTCCTTCGTCGCCACCCAGTCTTTCACTCACCGCTGCCACTGCCGACTGTCCTGAGTATCATCTTGTGTCCATCAGACATCTATGTTCCGCCACGCATCGTTGAGCTGACATCACTCGAGAATCGCTTTTGAACGCTATATCGACACATTTGAGGCCAGTGTACGCCTTGCTTGATACACCTCAGTGCTTCTATGTACCCCGATACTGTCGAGCAAATTGGCCACCTTGTAGAGCATACTCATCCTGCCGCGTCTCGTAATATTATCCTTCAATCGACGAGAATCCTGTCTCGTTGACATCGGGTGATATATTGGCAGTTCGAGCTATAATGAATAGCCTCAATGAGGACCCTCGTAAGGCGGTGACTTCGTCAGTCCGAGTGCAAGCCCCAGGTAAGGAACACCCATCAACGAAGCCAACACGGGCACGGGGACTCAGCGCGTCTGGACGCGGCGAGACTGTGGGCGCCTGTTGGCGGTATCGGCGACTCCCGGCGGCGGAGTTGACGTGTGTGAGGTGTTGCAGCTCTGGTGACCGCGTCTTCCACCTCTTCTCCAAAACCACAGACATGTTCCGTCTCGCTGCTCGCAACTTCGCCGCCCGCAACGTCAACGTCGCCACCCGCTCGGTTGTGGCCCCCCGTCTTGCGTTCGCGGCGCGCAGCCAGTTCGTTCCTCGTGCAGCATATTCTGCTGCCGCAGGTCTCTCAAAAGAGGATATCACGACGCGTGTGCTTGACGTGTTGAAGAGCTTTGAAAAGGTCGACCGGTCAAAGGTGCGCGCGAGACTGTTGAAAGTGCTCCGATGTGCCTGAGGTGTGCTGACGTGACGTGTTCAATCAGCTCTCGACAACAGCCGCATTCTCGGAGGACCTCGGGCTTGACAGTCTGGATGCTGTGGAGGTTGTGATGGCTGTAGAAGAGGTTCGCATGGTTTGTCTATTGTGGTCGATTGACTGGCTCAAATGACTACAGGAGTTCGCCATCGAAATTCCCGACAAGGAAGCGGATGAGATCAAGACCGTGCAGCAGGGTGCGTTCTCGTGGTTTCGCTTCTCGTCTCTTATACCCTCCTGACCCGGAGCCTCCCCTTAACAGCTATCGACTATATTGCCAAGACACCGGAGGGTAAGTGCCGTTCCGTTTCAGGCAATCTTTACGATTTGCTAAGTCTTGTTCCAGCGCACTAGTCTGTAGCATATCTCTATCTGTACCGCACTCGTCCAGTAATCGCAATCGTTGCTTCCGTTTCGTCACTCCATTATCTCAAAGGCAAAGGGCGTGGACGAGCTTCTTTGGTCTCGAACGTTCGGCACCTGCTTGATGCAGTTAAATTCGTTTCCACTGGAGAAGTGAAGCTTACATCCCGGACGCGGGGAATCGGCGTCGTACTAGTCGACGAACAGCGGCACCGCTTCCGAATGGATGATTTACGTCTCCCCGCCGCTCCTGTGATGACCCGGCCGTCATAGACACTTTGGTATTTATTCTCTCCTGCCCCGGACCGCGCCCCACTACTTCGTCGACTTCCAGCGCCGTGCTAACCTTGCAATACCCCCTCGTGAAGCCATGCCCCTTCGCAGCATCGTTGTGCAGAAGCCGCTTCTTCAGACGAAGTGCAGCTTGGGCGAAGGTATTCTTTGATCGTTTCGTCACCCAGCGCCACGTCTCGATCACCTCACGGCACAACAGGTCCGCTATATGATCCAAGCACCTTGACGTTACACTTCATTGACATCGAACAGAACAAAGTGTGGTGTCCTTTTTTGGAGATTCCGACATTGCACTGACGGCTGAGCATGACAAGCTCTACCACTACCACGTCTTGTCGGAGGAGCTTTCAGTCGAACATTTTGAAGAACCGATAACCTGTCTAGCTCTCAGACGAGGTGGCAAAGGGGTGAGAGGCTCACCTCTGGTAATCGCCTTTCGCCGTCGCTCACCCAGGGGTCGTCTTGACAGCTGGCATGTGCAGCGCGTAATGGGTTCGCCCTTATCGAGGACGGCTCGAAACTCAGATACTTGAGCCAGCCAATCCCTGAGAGCTTCCAGCCATACACCCGGTTCAACGACGGCGCCTGTGACCAGCAGGGACGTTTCGTTGCGGGAACGTTGTATAATCCGGAGCGTGGCGTACCGGGTCAGCTCTACATCTACGACCCCGCACGCGGTGTGTGTGATGTGCTCGAGCCCGGGCCGTTCACGGCAAGCACTAACTTCACATCCCGTGTTTTCCGGCTGACCTATCCTTCAGGACAGCAACGGTCTGGGCTGGACCAACGAGGGCAAAACCATGTGGGCACTGTGTCATCTTCTGCCGCGATGTCCCCAGATCTCAGATAAGTGTCACTAACTTTAGGCTGTTCACCGATTCGTTCAAGAACAAGATATACGCGTATGATTATGAAGACGGGAAGGTCGCGGGCAAGCGCGATTTTGTCGACGCCCTATCACAAGGCCTTCCCGAGGGAACATACCCTGATGGTCTCTGCATCGATAAGGACGGAGGGGTGTGGTCGGCTCGGTTTGTCCTTCTTCAGTCTCTCCCCTGACGATCCACACACTGATAATCGTCGCCTTGGCACACCTATGTCCCGCAGCTGGGGCGGGTCCAGAGTTATCAGGTACACCAAGGAAGGGCAGATGGATCTCGAAGTCTTCTTCCCTACGGCATTGAACGTAACGGCGTGCGCATTCGGCGGTAAGTGGGAGCTGGCTGTAGATCTGCAGCGGGGCAGCTGTAACGACTGACGTGCAATGCTCACGGTGTCGTCCCTGCGCACGCGTCTGCAGGTCCGAAGAACGACCAGCTTTACGTGACCACGGCGCATTGTGGGGCGTGCGGTGGCGACGCGAGCCGACAGTCGTCCTTCCCAGACTCTGGCAACGTGTTCGTCGTCGACCTATCGGGTCAATTCGCCGGTGGTGAATGGAGGTTCGAATTTGCGGGCTAGACTGGGCCATGCACGGTCCCATCGGTGCGGGAAAGGGGGCTTCTGGTATGGGGTATGGGTACGAATCGTCCAAATGGATATTCCGTTGAGCGCACATTGCAACCGAAGGGGCCTTCGCCATATCGACTAGGTACGGGGCGTTGATCAAGAGTGCACTACTGGCACTACTGGTGAGCGCATCATTACGAAGACGGCATTCCAGAAAGTCGAGGTAGAGTTGCTCAGGCGCCCAGAACAACACCGGCTGTTGACCAGCGTCGTCGTCATCCTTGCGTTCTCTGTTCCCCTTAACTCCTCGGGGGAGCATGACGTTGATGAACGCGGAATGCTTGATACCTGCTCGACTGCGCCCGACGTCGTTCCCAGGCGACAGGTGTGCATAACTTTGCGATGATTGTAGTCGCACCAGCTAACCAAACCCTCTTGGGGCATCAGGAATTCCCTACCCTACACGGTCCCCCGGCCTATTGCACCCGCTATCGTTCTATGAGCATGCCGTACAACTCCCGTAAAGGCCCACATGCTGGTGCTTGTTTGAGATGGATTCGAGCGACAGAGACGTGTCCTCTCGCTGACCGCCCATGGCTTACTGAGTCAGTGAAATATAGATTCCTATCGTTATCCATACGACACCACGTATGGAAGCATGTCATCGCGAACTGTGTGCATCCAAAGTACCACCTGATCCATGAACACTGGCAGCCCATCTAGAAAGCTGACGGGTATGTGAGATTGAAGGTCATCGGACAAGGTACAGCAGGCAGTCCGAGTCAAGTCGGAGCGGCAGGGGCCGCAGACTCGATATGAATGAGATGTTACACAGAGGGTTCTGCACCCAGTGCCTCCGTGCAGCGTGGTTTGTGGAAGAAGCAGTTGAGATCGTCGTCATAAGTACATGACCAACACCTAGAGCGTCATATGCGAAGTCCCTCTTGATCTCCGCGGCGTCCTCATCGTTCGAACTCCGCCTGCCCAGATTGATGGCCGCATCCGTAGGCGCTTCAGGACAGAGGCGGAAGGAGCGTGTAGTCGCCCACTCACGATCGCTGTGAGCGACCACGATGAAGCATGGGGTCGCGTTCCGCAAGTTCTCGAGGACGTCCTCGCATAGGATGCTCATGCTGAGGTCTGTCTCTTATGCCTCATTTGGTTGCTGTGGCGGGCTCACCTCCGTGTCTGACAGGAACCTCGTCACGTCCCTCATCCAGCATGAGCAGATCAAGACCACGCTTCCCAAGGCGAGGGATGCTGCTAGGTTGGCAGAGAAGGTCAGCACTAGGCCCTTTTGATAGCCAGTGAAGTCTAAAAGCGACCTGATAGATCATCACACTGGGCAAGAAGGGCGATATCCCCGCATTCCGCAAAGCCACCGGCTTCCTCCTCGACCAGTCTCTAGTGCCCAAGGTTTTCACCGATCTCGCAACACGCTACTCTGATCGACCTGGCGGTTACACGAGGATACACAAATTCGGCAACCGTCCAGGCGACAACGCACCTCATGCCATCCTCGAGCTTGTAGACAACCCGAGGGACCTACGCTTCGCGATGACTGCTCGCGCTGTTGGGTGGGAGTTGCTGGGGAGGAAGGTGGAGCAGCAGGGCGTCAAAGGTGTTGTGGCTTCTGGCATACCGGAGGTGGACGAAGTGATCGAGCGTGAACGGGAGAGGGGAGTCGACGAGCGAGGGCAGCTGAGGACGGTCACGCGCAAGAACCTCCGGAAAGTCCTGAGGTACCGAGGCGGCGAAGGAGTGGCAGAGCTCACGAAGCAGGCAGAGGATCACGTTGTACGTCCCGTTCTTCTTGCGCATCTGTGCGTCCATCACAAACCCGTTCGGTCCAGGACACCTTGCTGGCGCGACCCCTCGCCCTCAAAGAGATGATCGCGGCCAAACAGGAGCAGAAGGACAAAAGGGTCAAGGGTGCCACAACGTTCGAGAACCTCCGCTTGACAGCTGGTCAAACTGTCCCTGGTGGTTTGCGAAGTACGCTCCATCTCGCCCAAGGCGAGCTAGGCAAGGACAGACCTGGCCGATGGTACTTCTTCGGCCGCAAGAAACTTGGTGTAGACAACTCTCCTCTATGGAACCAGCTATGAGCGTATAACATCAGTATTAATGGGGTGCGCCTCTTATTATACCTTACTCTCATATTGCTTTGCTACCCCGAAGCCAATGCACGACCATCGTGTCCGGAACTTGAGTCTCGCCTGAAAAGGCTATGGTGAAATGCAGAACCGACCGTGGCTACTCGTCATTTCCATGTTATACAGCAATATTGTTTTTGCCACTTTGCCTTCTCGAGGAACAAGCTGAGTCCCAGTGGCGATTTAACGCTTGATTACTGCGCTTTGGCTATCATCAGGCATTCTAGCAAATAGGGAAATCTGGTACATTCCTACATAGTTCTCCTCTCGATCAAAATTACATCGAGGAAAGGCATCACCAAGACATGGCGCGAATCAAGCACATCCTACAATCAGGTACAACCGGTGTCAGGCCAGATTTTCCTCAGAACGAGCTCGCCGCTTCCAAATCATCCGCATTCAACCAGTCCGCCCCGTTGTCCGCCAGCACCTGCCAGATCGCGTTTCGCGCGAAGATGGGCCACTCGGGCGTGTCCCAGAAGCGGGCCTTGATGCCCAGCGCGTGCGCGTCCGCGATGAATCGCGTGAGGTTCCCCAGCTGCGAGTCGCTGATGTTCCCAATCCCACTCCAGCCGATGGCGCTCTCCCAGTCCGTGGACGCAAGGGGCGATATCGTCGAGTCGAAGGTCGTGTTAAGCGACGGGTCGTTCAGCTGCGTAAGGGGCGCGTCGAAGAACACGTCGCGCGGCTCGAGGGCCTTCACGCCGTCCAGAGGCGTGTTCCCGGTGCCGACGGCCGTCACCTGCTTCACGGTCAGGGTGCCGTTCGCGAACGTGGTCAAGTAACCCTTCTCGCGGAGGGGTTGCAGGGCTTTCACGACAAACGGCAGGGTGCTGCGCCCCGGGCGGGCCTGCTCAGTGGAGTGATGGTAACAGGAACGACTGTGCCACATACCTCGGGCCGTCTGTCTTCATGTCGATCAAGAGCTGCAGAGGAAGGCCGCCATCCATGTCGAACACCCCGCTGCCGGCGCCTTCAGCGTCTCCCATGTTTTGTTCATAGACCATCACTTACTTCGCGCCGGTCTGATTCACGGTGAAGGGCGAACGATGGTTCGTCACTTGCAACACTTGGAGGATGGGCTGGACGTATAGCGAGTCGAACGTACGGTCCTTCGTCAGCGCCTGGACCTCATGTCCAACCTATACGGGCCATTCATTTCAGCGCTGAACTCTCTCGAAGCAGTTTTGGCCACAACGTCTGCCAAAGTAGCTAGTCACTCACAAATAGCGTCCCATTGACCAACCAAACGTCTGCCTCGACGCTCGCCACGCCCAAGCTAAGCGCAGTCAGAAGCGGCACGTCTCTCCAGTCTTCCCGTCGACATCGACATCCGCATTAGCATTTGCATCCGCGTTCCGTCGCGCATCCGACGAACATCAACCAAAGTCACATGGCCGCGTGAGCTAATTGTATCCGTTCACGATGGCGCCGCCAGTCTGCTGTGACGCCGCGTAAGCTAGGGGACTCACAGTCGTTGTGGGAGTGAATCGCCTTCGGCACGATGTTTTGCGTGATTTGGGTTGGGTACTGGATGAGCGTCGAGTTCGCCTCCTTCAGAGACAAGATCTGCTGGTTGATCGTCGCTCTTGCGTGCGTCAGGACCACGAGCTGCGCGAGAAGGGCCAGAACAGTTTGCAGAGCATTGAACTTCATGCTGTGCGTAGGATGGTAGGGGATGGAGCAAGCAAGTGGCGCCCTGCCTAGAGCCTCAACGTCTGGCGTGCTTTATACGCAGAAACCTCCGCCCGGTCAGGGACCATCTCCGGGAAGCGTCGGTGGATACGGCATTCGACGCACGTTTCTGAGGCCCAACATAGGCCACGTTTGCCCCGCATCTCTTCTGTGATGTGCGAGTCTCGAAGGTGTCCACATAAAGTCTTTGATGCTACATATTATATAGTGAGGTCATGTGCGTACTCGTCACGGTACAAATACATCTCGTGACTGCCTTGCCAAAGCCCCTTCCCTTTCGTTAGCCCGTAATTCGCTACGCCCTCTCACTTAGACATCTGCCCACTCAGAGACCCTGGTGGTCGTCGGGCAGCCGGGCATAGGGGGATTTGAGATCTGAGTCTCAACAAATACCTTCTCCACCCCTCCCTCGCGCTTATCAAAGGCTTCATATAGCTTAGGGAAGTCCTCGAGAGGAACACGGTGGGAAATCATGCTGCAATTATACCCACGGTGTCAGTATCTCCATAGACCTCCATTGAACGATGACAGCTCACAAGGTCGGGTCGAATTTTCCGGGAACGATGAGGTCGTACAAGATCTCGTTCCACCACTTGTGGACGGGAGCCTGACCGTTTCCAATGAGGCGGATACCCTTCTCCATGAGCGCCCCAATGTTAAAGTGGTTCGTGTAGCCGACGTAAGCAGCAATGATGCCGCAGCGACCACCCTTCTTGACGGACATGATCATCTCGTTCACGATCTCCGAGACGTCGGTCTCGAGCATCAATGCCTTCTCGATCTTGTGAAGCATCGATTTCGGCTGGTGGAAGGTACCTGCAGAAGCCGTCAAGCACGATCGAGTTGCGTAGCCGTCACGAGCAAATACATACCACAGTCCAAGGCAACGTCCAAGCCGCCCGGGCAGATCTCCTGGAGACGCTTGACAACATCGGTGTGCTTCGAAAAGTCGATGGTATCAAAACCCAGCTCTTCAGCCTTCTTCAGGCGCTCCGGGACGCGGTCGATGCAAATGACGCTCTTGGCACCCTTGAGCTGGGAGAACTTCGAAGCGCAAAGGCCAATGGGACCAAGACCCTGCAAAATAGGTTCATGTAAGTTACGTGCGCTCCACATACCAAAGGGGTTCCACGTACCCAAACGCCCACTGTGTCACCCTCCTGTACACCCGTGTCCATGACGCAGTGGTAGGCAGTGCACAGGACGTCAGAGAGGTAAAGCGCACGTTCGTCGGAGACCTCGTCGGGGATGGGGAGCAAGTTGACGTTGCCTTTGGGCACACGCACGTACTCGGCCTGGCCGCCGGGAAAACCGCCAGTGAAGTGCGAGTAGCCGAAGAAGCCTGCGTCGCGGTGTCCGTACATGGCATTTTGAAGCCTGTTGGAATTGGTGAGATGATATGTAACGTAGAGATACGACAGTCTTACTAACGTTGAGTGGTTGGTCCGGTCGCAGAACGAGGATAGCTTCTTCTTGCAGTAGTCGCACTCGCCGCACGCAATCTGAAACGATGAGACAACGCGCTGGCCGACCTTGAGGTTGGTGACATTGGGACCAATCTTGTCTACGACCCCCATGAACTACGGGCAGGCGCTCAGCTATAGGCTTGTACGGGGAGTTTGTTGGATCAGTGAGCATACCTCATGGCCAAGGATATCACCCTTTTGCAACGCGGCAATCTCCCCGTTGAAGAGATGGAGGTCCGAGCCACAAATCGTCGTGCCAGTGACCTTGAGGATCACGTCGTCTGGCTCTGTGATGTCGGGAATGGGTGCGTCGATGAGGCGGACGTCGCGGGTGCCGAACCAAGCGAGTGCCTTCATAGTCGCGCCGTCCGGGCGAGACTTGTACTCGGGGTGGACGACAGTGGGGAACTGCCCCATAGCCTACACGTCTCGATGTCAGCATGGATGGAAGATACGAGCTCAGAACGGATGAGGACTCACGTTTTGTGCGGCATTAGCAGCGGTTTGCATGATTACTATGGTGGTGATTGGAGTGTATGTGTAGGTATGAAGAGATGAACGAACAGTGGGGTGAGCCAGGAGCGCATGTGCCGTTCTTATACTCGCTCGTTCGTCGCTCCTTCCTGAATTTCGGGTTCCCAGTGAGGAGGGTATGACGGCAGTCCCACCACAGCTCTCCGACAATGACATCACGCGAGCAGAGACTATTGACGCGACGGGACGCGTCTGTCATCACGTGGCCCGTGTCACAGGCGACGGAAGGAGCACTCTCAGGAGCATCTATAAACCGAGAGGAGTGCTAATTGGGGCCCCGCTCGAGACCCATGGCCATGGAGCAAGCCTTGACTATGCAGTCTCATGCATATGAACGAACGGCGGACCCGAGACTACTGCTGGCGACTCCCGACGCATCCAGACGCACGTCCTAGTCAAGTCAGAGAGCACACCAAGACGTCGCCTCATGATCAAGATCGCTGCAAGACGACTGGTTTTGCATCATCTGCCGGACTCGTGGGATGTCACCCGGAGCAGAGCGCGCTCTCACGGTGAGGGCGCTTGAACCGCGTCCCGGTCAGTCGCGACTCTGCGCCGCCAGCCCACTTGCTCTTGCCGCAGCTGACTAGGAGCACAGTTCGTCTGGTGGGATCGTTGTCGGGCCATTTGCGGTACCGTATAGCATCTAAGCCCTCACATTTCGCTCATCGGTCTCGGGATGTTCTTCCAGGTGCAGGGCGGCGAGAGCCATGCATATGGCGACGAGCCATTCACCGAGCTTCCTCAAGCTCACCCGCAAACTGCAGAAGAGGCAGGTCGTCCATACACACGCGACAGCGGAGCATCGTCCCATGTCCTCCGTATGTATAAGAGATCTGGAGAGCCATTGTACGCGCGATTCGAAGGAAGACCTTGCTTGACACAACCGTAGGTCATCCGGCCTCTTTCGAACAACTATAGCTCGCATCCCTGATGAAGGGCTGATACCCTGCGTATGGGGTTTCGGATGCTCACAACTTCCCTAACTGATACGGCACTCCGATCGAAACTGCTAATGCTCTCCCATAGCCAAGGAGCCGGGCCATGGCGGCTGGTCCTTCTCTGACCCAATGTCAGTAACCCTCCAGAATCCCGCCGCTTCCAGACATGGTGGATCATCGGCTCATTACAAGGTACAACATCTTATGGCATTCTTGTTTAGCATGTTTGCTTATGATGTGTTCTCCCCAAGGTGCATCCGCTAGATGTTAGGCTTTCCGCGAAGCACGCAGGCCACACGCCATTCTGAGCCGGCATTCTTCTCATGAACAATGTTCACGTCTGGGCCGTCTGCACATGATACCCATATTCGCCGTAGAAAGTGCGTCTTATCCCTTGTGCTCTCATGAGCTCACGTCAGACCATTCTTGTCTCACTTCAGGTACTCCGGACCGGCCTCGCAGACAAGCCAGAGGTACACAGACGTTCGTGGGGGATTCCACAGCTCGTCTTCTAGGAATAGGCCGAGAGAAGCTCACGCCATACAGGTCTCATCGCAAGTCATCCGGGAACCTTGCCTGCGCTATCGCCCTCGCACGTACCGCTCTCCCCAGGCAGGGTTAACCCGCATCTAAGAACCCCGCTGCGCAGTCAAGGGTGCGGTGTGTACGCGCGGTGATCCCATCCCACCGCACGGTGCCCTCGAGTGCCGGGAGAGGGAAGCGTCTCATTCCGAGCTCGGTCCCGGACGCGCCTCTGGACGCCGTGCTGTCCAGGCGTTCTCCGTTCTATCTCAGTCCTGCCCCCTCCCGCGCTGTGAGAACCACGGAGGCCTTGTGACGAGCCCGTACTTCGAGAACTGCCGGCATTCCCAGCATCTGAGCCGGGCACACCAATATGAAGCAAATGTGGCCCGCGTAGCGGCGTGGGGCGTTGAATCGGGCTCGTGCCTCGCTGCAAACACGAGCAGCAGGCGTTGTAACGCTGTGTGCGAGTGTGTCATCAGCCCCTGCGTATCGCCGCAGGTCCCAGCCCCATCCCCATCCCCATCCCCATCCCCGATGGGCTTCACAGCTCTCTCGCACGCGCAACGCACGAAACGTGCGGAACAAACGTTGCAATAACGACGATTCCTCGCCGACAATCAATTACGCAGCGCGATCTCGCGCTGTGCGGTATCTAATCTCGCGTGTACAATAACCTGCGCGCGGCAGCGGCGTGGTGGGACGGCCAGTGCGGCGACAATTACAACTTGTAACCTATGAAGACAGTAGGTAGTGATAATCTAATACATCGTTCGAGGAGTCTCGGTCCGTTGTGCGATCGCTCGCGATCGCGGCGCCTGCTTCACCGTCGCCTCACAGGATAGTCCGACGCGCACGCGTTGGCATATCGCTGGGCATGGACTGGCGCTGGGCACTGGGCATACTAGGTCGTGCGAGGGGGGGGGGAGAGCCACAGGGGATGGCACTCGACAGGCACCCGTCGTCTCGTGACAAAATCCGAATCGCGGCTGTTAGCAGAGACAATGAGCGTCCGCGTCAAAAGTCAGAGCACGACGTCTCCATTCCATTCCACTCCTGCTACGCACAAACACACACTCACCTCGACAACCGCTGCTATGCATCGTTCCATATGCAGAACCGCATGTCCCGCCAGAGCTGGTCGACCGTGATGCCCTGCACTGGCCGCAACGGTTCGGGCGACGTCTGGGAGACGGGCGCGGGGTGCGCGGGAGCGGCCGGGAAGAGGTGGGAGACCGGACAGCTGACGTCCCGCCATGCCCGTGCGCTAGAGGAGGTCGGAGGGGACACAGCAGGCGGAGGTGAAGTCGCGATTAGCGCGTGTGTCTCCGCAACAGGCGTGCGGGCACTCACGTTACGTTGGCGACTCTTGTCCGCGTCTTGAGCGCGTACTTGTACACCGTGCCTGTGCGAGTGCAGCGGTCGGTGTCAGCTCTCCCGTCGTCGTCGTCGATCGCGCTGGCTTGCGTCATGCGCTTTCTGGGGCGAGTGGGCTCACACTCACCGGCATCGAGTACAAGTGTGACGCTCTCGCCTGGATGCAGCAGGACGATGGCGCCGGTATTCCGGCCGTAGTCCCGCTGGAGCTGGACCGTCGCGCAGTCGTGCGTGTCATTGGTGAAGTCGAGGAGGACCTCGTACTGCGTTGTCCCCGGCATGGTCGATGGGTGTGCGTATGAGAGCAGGCGGGTTCGCGGAGGGCCAGGGGACGGCTAGCAGGCGATAGGAAGGAGTTGTGGGGAGGAGAAGCGGAGGCAATAAGATGTAAAGAGAGTGCGCGAGAAGGAAGGGGAGGGTAACGCCAGAGAGGCACAGGGTAATATCGCTCGGGTTGGCAACTCGTTCAAGCTTCCGGGGGCCGTTGCGCGGTGTCGCAACTTACGGCAGTCGAGAGACCGAACGGGCCTGTGTCGAGAGAGCAGTGTTCGCGGTCGTGGCGGTTCGCTGGGTGGCACGGCCAAGAGAGCGAGGCCTGGGTGCGGGTGCTGTGACAGCCTTCCGAGCCCGGTGGGGAAGCAGGCTGCGAAGGTTGGGCTGGGCGTGCTGAAGCGCACTGAGGAGCTGGACGCCCGGGGACGTTGCCACGTTGTGCAGCTCTTATTGTGTTTGGTGACAGGCGGCAGGCGGGATGCGCGAGACGCCCCGCGGGCCTCGGGCACCGGGGAGGGAGGGCAGGCCGGGAAGGGGATCTGGAGGGCTTGGAGCGGCAGCAGCAGCAGCAGCAGCAGCAGCCTGAGCCCATGCATGAACGGCCTGGCAGACGGAGAGCAGCCGCCACGCCCGGCGTCACACAGGCGCCTCTTCTCGTCCCCGCTCTCAGCCGCCACCCTGCTATATATGGTTTCTTACTTGCACCACATGATCGATGGCCCGATCTTATCCCCCTTCCGCCGGCTCCCCTCCCCTGCTATTCGCATCCGTTCATAGGTGGTTTGTGAGCCCACGCTCTCGTCCCTTCCCTCTCTATGGCCTCCTTCCTCCAGCTACCCACAGAGCTCAGACTCCACATTTACGACCATGTCCTGGCTGACCATCAGCACGTTCGCAAGAAACTGCAGCCGTCCAACGCCCACTTTCGGCTCCTTCACACCTGCCGCCAAATCGCAGAAGAGGCGGGCACCACCTTCCGCCGTTACGTCTCCCTTCTGCACGAGCACCAGATACACGCCTTCGTGCTCTACGCCGCGCCTTCCCTCCTATCGCGCATAGAGTGGGCAGACGTCGCCAATGACGGGCGTGTCTTCCACTCTCCGAAGCAGGATCAGGTGAGATTAGAGTGTACGATTGTGTAAGGCCACGTTCCTGATCGGCCACTCCCCGCAGGCAGACGCAGCGCCCGATACGCCTCTCTCGAGCCTCCACATCGCGCTCGGCCGCATGACATCCCTGCGCCGATTGCGCGTGTTTCCCTGCCGCCAGGGCCTCCCCCTCAACCTCCAGAACACGATGAGCCTGCACAGTGAGTGCGCGCGTCCGCTCCACGCACGACCGGTAAGCAAACAAAAACACACCCCGCCCCTCTCCCCGCAGGATCCCGCCGGCTCGGACTGAGCTTCGAGCGCGCCATGTTCCCGACGCGCCCCGCCCGGCTCGCGGCGTACGAGCTCTACCTGAACCCCGACACGCGCGTCGACATCTTCGACGCGGTCCTCCCGGACAGCGCCGTCGCCCTTCGCTTCTCCGGGGAGATCGTGGCCCGGCCGGAGGCCCACGACGCGGTGCGGATGCCCTGCCTGCGGCACGTCACCCTGCACGGCGTCACGGGCAGCTACTTCGACAGGCACACCGTGGACCGGTGCTTCCCGGACGCGCACCTCGAGTCGTTCACGTACGCGCTCGGGCACCGGCTCGGCTTCGAGATCCGTAACCACCATCTCGAGTCCCTGGCGGCCTCGTACGGGCCCAGACTCCGGAAGCTGGTCCTCCTGGGATGCAGCCGTCTCTCGAGCACGGTGATCACCCAGTGCCTGGAGAATCTACCCGCGTTGGAATATTTTGCGTTGCATCTGGTCACCGTGGACGAGTTGCGCAGCAACTTCGTCAATGCTCTGCCGCCGTGCCTGGCTACGTTCAAGCTTCAGGTGATCAATGCCTGGTACGCGGTAGCCTTGAAAGACGAAGAGCGGGCCCTTTGCGACTCCATAGAGAGCGTAGTGCTACTCCGGGACATGCCGCTCCAACATGTCTGCATATGCTTCAGGGCCCAGATCATGGCGGAAGGAGCCCGAGAACAGCGGTGGGCTCGCATTGCAAAGGACAGAATGATCAACTTGCAGCTTGGTCCGTGGGAGGACCGTATGATTGAGAACATGTAGCAGTGCAGTGGACAGATGTACTGTATAGCAATCAAGCGTCAACGCTCTTTCACAATGCTGCAGGCTAGTCCATTTTGAAAATATCGGATGCAAATTGCTCGAAAGCAAATGTCAATTACACAACGGTGAATAGTCCAAGATGTCCATGTCCGACCGCGCCACACTGACTATGTATCGTAACGAGTACGCTAGTATCGACTGCCATATGCGTTGTTATAAACATTGAAGTCTTCCGATGCTTTCTGCGCTCTGGGAGTCTTGCGCCTGAACGACCCTTCCGCTACATCGACAACAACAGTGGTTAGCGCCGGCTCAAATACGAGGTGGTAGGGACAGACCATCTACGTCTGCCCGGGGGACAGTCGCGAGAAGGGTGGGAATGGCGCGAGCTCCTATCTACAACTCACCAGGATGGGCCTGGCTACGCTCGGGGTAGCCTACGCCGCCGGTGGCATTATAGTTATCGTAGTAGCTGTCGTATACGCGGGGGGTGGGGCCGGGCTCCTGGGTATAGGCGTTCCCCGGGACGTGGGGCGGGTAGTCGGAGTAGCCCTGAGGCTTGTCGGCCATCACGGTCGCTACGCTGGCGTCGCTGTCGTGGCGTGCGTGGCCGCTGGGCTGAACAAGGTTTTCCATGGAAGTGCGCGGGTCCCACGCACCACGATCTGTCAAGGGGATAGTCATCGACTTGCTGGACTCGTTCAGAAGCGACGAGTATCTCGTGTGATCACGCCGTTGCCCCTTGCCGAACGAGGATACGACGACGTAAAGGTATGTCTAATCGGGGAATTTGAATCGACGGAAATGACGGGAGCAATGAATGGAATCACCTGAACGATCGCGAACAGGACCCACAGCCCGCCCATGATGCCGACGTCAACCCACGGGAAGATGTCGCACAATGTCTGGCCCTCGGAGTTGTTGGCAGAGATAGTATTCCCGAAGAAATCGGCGATACACTTCGACTGAGCCTGCTTGTGACGGGTGGCCGAGAGGATGACCCAAGCCGCACCGACGCCGAATGCGGCGACTGTAAGCAGGCAGTGGAGGGTGACATATCGGCGGTAGAAGATAGGGCGCTCCTACGCAAGAATCATGAACTAGGTTCCATGGTCGAAGCCCAGAGAAGCCCAGGTACGTACCTGGCGTACGGCTACGAAACCAAAAATCTGAACGCCAGCGGCGATCCAGCAGATTATGGCAAATAACCACTTCGCGAATGAGGGGGTGGACGCTCCAACGACTGGGTAGATGCATGAGCGATCGGTGCGCGATGGATGCTATTCGACTGCAACTCACTATCAGTCGTAGCGATAGACAGCACCCCAGCCGTTACACCAAGGACGAACTGCTCAAGCAGCGCGATGTAGATTCCAGCATAGACGACAGGTATTGCGCAGCAACAGTAGTCTCTCGGTTTCATGGCGTCAGATTTCGGTCGAGAGCAACTGAGAGTGAGTCGTCAAGGTCGTGGCAAGAACAGCTAATGAACTACGTGAAAGCAGGAAGGAAAGAGAGACAGCAGGGCCCACGGAGTGAGGACAAATAGTGGAGGGAGGGTGACTGCGCAGTTGGTGGTGCAGTGCAGCCTGAGACTCAGTGCCGGTGCGCCACTTCCAGGCGCTCGCCGGCCCAACCCCGACGGTCTCCTCCGGAACATCCCCCGACCAGGCGTGGGGCGGCCCATTGCATCCGTCCTTTGGACCACTAAAGAAGGTCGCTCCCACGACATCCCCGTGCGCCGTCATTACTCTCTTTAGACACCTGGGGCCTCGCGTATCGCTTGTTGCTTCTCTGCTGCTGACGACGACGACGATATTATCCCTCTTCTTACCATCATGACTCGCTTTGGTATACTGTTCTTGCTTGCTGCTGCAGTTGCTGGCGCTTTATCCTCCCCTGTCAAGGATGAACAGGAGGTGTTGTTTCCAGGCGCTCCCGGGAACAAGAAGTGGGATTGGAACGACTGCGGTACGTAGCTTAACATCATCGTGTTTCACATAGTCTTATGGTCTCTATGTCACCGTCAAGGCACCGACTCGCACCTCATTCACATCAAGAGCATCCAGATTACTCCTGACCCGCCCGCGCGGGGTGAGGACCTGACGATTACAGTCGAGGGTGTGGCCGACGGTCCTGTTGAGGTAGGTATTGTTGCACCCCACTACATGTCCCACTTTCTCTAACCTTGTTCATTTCAGGACGGTGCCTACGCGGACGTGACCGTTAAGGCTGGACCCATCCGGATTCTCCACAAAGAGTTCGATCTCTGCGAGGAAGCGTACGTTTCCATGACGCTTATCAAAGACCGAGTTATTCAAATCTACTCTACTACAGCCGTAACGCGAACACGACTATCCAGTGCCCAGTCGAGGAGGGTACTCATAAGGTCACTCAGACCGTCTCTTTGCCGAAGGAAATCCCTCCCGGTGAGTCTGTATCACACTCGCGGCAAGGTCGCAAGCTCATCTATATGCTTGCTTAGCACAATTTACCGTGAACATCCGCGGCTACACTGACGATGACGAGGATCTTGTCTGCATGGATCTCCTCATGGACTTCAGGGTCCGGCCTGGCTCGTTCATTCCTTGGTAAACATCGTCATCTTGTCGGCTTGCATGGTCTGCGTCCTGCCGTCTCATATTGTCTCCGTTCTATATCCGTCGGACTCATCGGTGTATAATATACTTTGTCCATTTTGAATACCATGAATGTGGTGCTCCCTAACTATTCTGCATCTCACAGCTGTCGAGAGACCTCTAGGGCTAGTATGATGCCATGGCCAAGGAATCAGATCTTAGACGTGGAAAGGCGCCTATTGGTGACGTCTAGTAGGACCGACCGACCGGATCCCCAGAAACAAGTCTACTTGTGGACGAGCCACATCCGCCACATACCCAATGTCCTTGTTCCGCTCGCTGTCCACCAAGGTCGCGACCAGTCTTTCTAACTCTATGCGGCTACGATACCTCCTTGTCCTGGACTTCGAGGCTACCTGCGATGATAGCGGTCATATCGTGCCTAGGAACGAAACCGAGATCATAGAATTTCCTACCCTCCTTTATGATGTTGACGAGGATAAGGTACATGCTACCTTCCACGAATATGTCCGGCCTACGCGACATCCCACTTTGACTCCGTTCTGCACGGAGCTTACCGGCATTGGCCAGGTTTGTCTCTTCCAAGTAGATGCTGAGACTGAAATGCTGATCAATGCTTTAGAGTACAGTGAACGCAGCGGATCCATTCCCTTCTGTATGGGAGCGATACCAAGAGTTTTTACGGACACGCGAGGTTTTGGCACAACCCGAGGCCGTTGCATATCTCACATGCGGCGACTGGGACTTGAAGACGATGCTTCCTCAGCAGCTGCGTCTAAGCGGGACACAGACCGGAATGGATCCTAGCACAAATGCGCTCACCGCACCCTATAACCGCTGGATCAACCTGAAGAAGTCTTTCCAGCACCACTACGGTCTGAAGTATCCGAAGGGCATGGATGGCATGCTGAGACACGCCAAGATGGAGCTGGAAGGACGTCATCATTCTGGTATCGACGACTGCAAGAATATTCTACGGATTGTGCAGCGTATGAGACGGGATGGGTGAAGCCTTGGGACGATCTGCCACGGTGATTCCTCCCTGGACGAGTCTATTGTGGCAAAAACGCCACGATATTGCTATGCTTTCACGGAACGTTCTCCGAGTCATCTTGATGTGTCGAACCTACCACTCCCTATCTCAAACAACCCCCATTCATACTCTCGCATAAACGCCTCTTGAATGCGAATGTACGCTGATACAGCGATAGCACGGGTTCCTTGTGACCCGCCCAGAAGTTAGCCGAAGACAATAAGGTAGCCGCCCGGCGTCGCACGCTCATCATCCTTGTTTCGCCTGACATCCTGCCTCCTTCCTTCCCTACCCCATTATGCGCGCTGAGGTGGACTCACCTGCTTCGTTGTCCCATTGCGGGAGGCTGAAACGACTGTCCGCGGTGCGACCCGTGAGCCCGTCGCCCAATCTGGTGTCTCGAACGCCCGTTGGGAGTGCCCGATGCAGAACACAATAGGACCTTCACCGTTTGCGATGCCTGCATTGTGAGCTTTTCTTGTAAGAACACGCCCGCGGTTCTTTCTCGTCGCGCATTCTTGACACTCACGGAATGCTGCAAGTTCTCCCGGGGCCGGTATAATTACCGGCTGGTGCCTCAAGAGCTTGATGCCCCTGCGTCTTCACTTCGTCGACGTCTCTCTCCTACCAACTCGCAACTCGCGTTCCACGGGGCGAGCAAAATTGACATCTCGACATCTCCCTCATGCCTGCCAGCACCGAGACACACGATCTCACGCTCACACTTCATAATGATACGACCTCGTTCGTCACGGTACAGGTCCTCCGAGACAATGGGGGACAGCCGGGGATCACCATCTACATGCGGGCCGGAGAGGACCTCACACTAGTGGTCATGTCGGGCACGCTGTACCGTTATGTTGTCGAACGGCATGTCTCGGCGCACATACGAAAGGTGGAGATGTCGTGAGGATGCTCTTCAGACCTTCGCTTTCCAGCGGGCATCTCACAGTGATCTCCTAGGGTGAAAATCTGGTACGACACAAAGTGCCGGATATCCGACATTTTCAGTGCACCATATTCACCATATAGATGTGGTTGCAACCAAAATATCAAACTCGCCGAGGGAATCAATGTCGCCTACAAGGGCTGGGCACAAGACGGCGCCTCAGCACAGGGGATAGCTGTACGCGCTACATTACATCTTTTCAGACGAAACGTGGGACTGAATGTTCACAAAACCAGCAGGATCCATGTCGCGAGCATGGGAGGCAAGCGGGGAGGGGAACCGGATAGCTTGTCATCAGCGGAGGTCTTTGACGTCCCTTGTTTTCTGTTGCATATGTTCCTTAGCATTCACTGCATCCCTGTACCATAGTCATCTTTTGTACTTGTACCATCCACTTATCTCGTCTACCCAGATCTGGCGTTCTGGATCTTAGCGGCCCTCCTAAAACGTCGATCAATAAGCATTGTGACTTCGCGAATCGATCTCGGAGACGCGGGGGTCTGGCATATCGAGATACGGGTCGTGGCGGTGGTAATGGCGGACTTACGTGAAGATATCCCAGACTTGAGTCTGATTGGGATAGAAAGTGTTGCCTGAGAGGACGGACAAAGCGATCAATGGATCTACCGATATGCTGGACGATGCGAATCGAGATACAAATCGAGACCGTACCATCGTTTGGGGAAGCCTGCGAGACCCAGGAATATTATGAGTAACCTCGTGAGATTGATGTCTACAAAAGGACAAGCCCGCAAGCCACGTACTCCGTCAACGATTGCGTCAGAATACTTGATGGGGCGGTTTCCGCCGTCTTCGGTGAGGCCAAGCTGACCCCATTGCCATGGCATGATGCTGCGATGGACAATCGTCCTGTGATGAGTAGGCGATCACTATAGAGAGAACAGCGTATCTACCCTCTACAAGGGATTCAATTAGCTCCGCAATACGACGCCGGGATATGGACTGAGATGCTTACGCGTGCTTCGTGTCCAAAGCGCGCTGCACCCAACTGGGGTAGATAGTGGTCTTGTTTTCTAAACAGATGTGAGGAACGCCGCGCGAATGGAGAGTAAATTCAGCTCACGAAGTCCGCTTACGCCAAACTCCTCCAAAATAAGGGGCTTGTTCGCCTTGTTGGCGGCTGGAACGAGGATGGTCAGATGGAAATCGAGGTCCGACGCAATGCTGGATCATACCATGAATGTGTTGATCGATCCAGTCTAAGCCCCAGCTCTCGATCGTGAAGTTAGAACCGGGATGGTCCTGCAGCAGATTACTTCAGTAGAGGGCCGCGTTAACCTACTGATCAGGCTTACCAGTTCGGGATACCTATTGCAATGAGATGGAACTGTTCAGTGCAATCTCGTTGACTCATCATTAATGCTAACCAGGATTGGGGATACATATGCTGTAGAGACGGTGTCATCTTAAAGATTCACCAACGTTGGGTGGCCACGTACGTAGCTTCCAAAATCGATATTCGATAGGAGCGTGTCATGGTCGAAGTCTTCGCCCGCTGTAGCTCTAATGAGTACTGGAAGTACCGCCCGAAACACCACATCCGGCAGTGCTCACCTTGTCCGTTATAGTTATAGTCGCTGACCAATGTGTGATTGAACCAACTGAGAGACAGTTGAGTTCCATCTTTTCAGACATCGACTGAACACGCGTACTATTGGAGAGGATGCTCCCAGAAGAACTGTCCTTCTCCGCCAGTCGTAATCAGGTGGTTGGCATCCCTATCGCAAATCAGCCTCTGAGTTTCATAGTTGATGAACGGGAGAACTGTTCTTACAAGCTCCGGACAAAGTTCGATTGCTCTTCATACCAGGTCTTGAGGGTGTTGGAACCTGGTACACAAGCCGGACCCGCCGGGAGGGTATCACTCACGCATCGGGCCTCATTCATGAGCTCCCACGCGAATATGGCCGAAGAATTCTTGTAGCGTTCCACGATTGTCTTCACGTAGGCTTCTGCAGAACAATCAGCCACTTTGCAATCAATGGACACCACGAGACACTGACGATAGGAGGCGATGATTCGAGAGTCCGTGAAGAAAACATCATGTGGTTGACCAGCTCCGGCGATCCAGTTGACGTAGAGGTCAGAGCCCTAAATGAGAGATTTCAACGATAGTGCGGCGATTCCATCAGTATAGGCGTACGCCATATCCAACCCTGCACCCCGGGACAATCAGATGAATTTCAAGTGAAACTAGCACAGGATTACACATACCAGTTGTTGGTGAATGCGACGATAACCTTGATGTCATGCTTGGATGCCGAAGCAATGACGTTATCAAGGCGCTGTAATCCCTGGGGTCCGTCATTGAGGAGCCACTGGCTGCTGTTCCAAACCTGCAATTAGGATGAGAAGCATGAAAGACAGAGATGAAATCGGAGTGCATGCCTGATAGTATGTCAGGTTCGTTTCGAGTGCACCCTGCAGTTCTGTTTCATTGATAGCGTTGAAACCCTTGAAATGAGTCAGTACGCCTCGCAAAATGGAACTCCACGGAGACCTTACCCAGGTACGGAGTACCTTGACGCCAGCCTGTTTCATCGACTCGAGCGTAGCATCCACGTCCGACTGGCTAGTCAAAAGAGGAAGCCACTGTGTCATAAATGTGAGTATCATGCTTGGGTGCCATTCACCACAGGAGACGCACGTAAGAGTTTGCACCCACGAAAGCCTAACAGGACTTCAGTCAATATGCCATGGGTCATCGAACAGAACACTTACGAAAGGCTTCCCATCCAGTTCGAACTCTTTCCCCTTGGTTGTCACAAACCCAGGGGGAACCTTGCTGTTCTTTTGTGGTACGGTGGTAGCCTCGCAAAGCAGGGGCAAAGCGTATAGCGACAGCAAACAAGCTAGGGCGGACAGTTGCATGATGAAGACGTCAGCAGCTACCGCGCCCAGCCCTCTCACCATCAAAGGCTTTATAGCGCGCCTGCTGGATTACTCGGAGCCCGTCGCGTATTGACATGTGGTCGCGTATGATGTGCCTCCATCGGAGAAACATCGGGCAACGGTCAGGTGTTAGGTCAGATTCCTTGAACATGCATACGCGTGACACCAGGCGGACGACGGAATGCCTAATTACATTAGGAATGCCGTCGGCCGAGTCGAAGCATTGCGCTTCCGCAACTGTCGCGAGATGTCGACGCGGTCGTCGTTCCGTCGGAGCAGCTGGAGCCTTAATGGTACGAAGTTGCGGTCGGGCCCTTCGGAACCGTGTACGTGCTCCATGTTCACAAATACTGGTCTCGTACCCAGACGTATGGGTTTTACACCCGCACCCCACCACCGCGGTCACCCAGACGTCTGGGGCAGTTTGATAGAGAGGTCCTACCTCCCCCCTATTTCAAATTCCCGAGCCCGCGTAGATGAGATAGCTTGCGCGCTTACATGTCCAGGCTCCGATTAGCGCCCGGGAGGATTGACCGCGACCGTGTTGTCCAGAAGAAATCACATTGAATGGCAGGGGCAACAACTAATGGAAGGGATGAGCTCTCAATATTGAATTATGTATGAGCAGAAAAGGAGCTCTCTGGACGAACACAGTATTTTCTCGCCTGCAGCTATCAGCTTATAGTCACAAATTCCTGTGGTGCCAAGCAGATTGCCCTGTCACAGGCGCAAAACCCAATGCAAAGCTATCCCTTGGGGGCAACTCACTCACGAGTTCTATCCTCAACACATCTACTGCAATTCATGTCAAAGTGAGGGGTTCTACTACCAGTTCTACAGCTTGCAAGGCGACCGGACTGCTCATCACAGCGCTTAATCATGGAGCCTGGACATGTAAGCGCGCAAGCTATCTCATCTACGCGGGCTCGGGAATTTGAAATAGGGGGGAGGTAGGACCTCTCTATCAAACTGCCCCTATCATTTAGACGAAGCGAGATAGCAAGACGCGTGCGCAAGCGATGATACGATATGTGACGGGCGACATTGAGTTGTGGTTGGGTTCAAACAGCCGACTTGCCTAAAACGGACACTGGTATTTTCTCTACGTTCGGCGCCCGTCCGCTTGTCACTTTCGTCGTCGGCCCCTTCAAGTTCCGCAGAGGTTCTGGGTTCTACCACCATGCCAAAAAGTAACAAAAAGAAGAAGGACAAAGCCGCAGACTTTGCCGTACATATTGAGCTTCAGCGAGTGTCATCGAATAGTGTATGCTAACGTTGACTCTAGAAAGCCAAACTGAAGCTAGGGAAGGGCAAGCAAGCCCCCAGCAACGTCGTAGACACCGCCTTCAAGGCGAGATGTGAGTGCCACACAGCTTCTACTTTATGTCAACTCATGATGCCTACAGCCATCGCCTTACCCACTCAGAGCATCGCCATCGAGAAAGATGCTGATGCCCCTAGCACCAAGAGGAGACTCACGTTCGACGCCCTCATCAATCACATGAAACATTATAATGCTACCACACGCAGAGGTTTGTTCAAAGACCTTCATCAGTTTCAGTCAGTATTTACAGCTGTTAGATGCAATCCTTGGGTTGCGAGAGCTATTGGAGGCTCATCGGGAGCTGATCCTTGCACAGCTCACGCCGTTGATCAACGGTTGTGTTCGTCTAGTTAGCGACGAGGTAGGTGGCCCGTGCCAAATGGAAGACTTGACAACTTACTTGATTCTACAGGACGCGAGCGTTCGTAGAACACTGTGGTCATTCTTCTCGTGGCTTTTCCGCCAAGTCCCCCGAGTGAGTGACATGCAATTTGCCTCGCACACAGTCCCCTTACTCCCTCGTGACATAGGACGACCTCGTACCACATACCCCAGTTCTGCTACTTTTCACGACGTCAGCACAAACCCATATCTTCCCTGAAATTCGCATAGACGCTGTCCGATTCCTGGACATTTACCTCGAGTATATTCCAGAGATTGTCACCGAGGGTTGGATGCAACCTGGGAGTGGCAGTCACGGGCGGAGGGTTATGGAGGGCTACCTCGGCATCTTGAATGCAGGAACAACATTTGGGGAAGGTGGTGGTTCGTACGATCGCGGTCGTGGCCTCTGTCATTCTGCTAACGGCGGGGTTTCCCAGATGTGGGTCCAGTTCTGGCGACATCTACAGCCAGTGTCGTCCTATCACCGGCAGTAAGCTCCCGTCTACCCTTACAGAGCTTTCAAAGACCACTCATCTCTTGCGTGGCCTGCAGTCGAAGCTTATCGTGCTCAAGTCCCTTGAATCCTTCCTAAGCCGCGCTGTGGCTTCGTCATGGAGCTCGAAGGACGGGTCAGAGTTGTCTAGCTCCGTACTCGTTACGCCGACGTGGTACCTTTCTTCTTCCTTCGCATCCACGTCAGCCTTCGGCGCTTTTGATGCTCTTCTCCAGCCAAGCTCTTTCCGGAGCGGAGCTGACCCCTTACGGTTGGGGGACACTAGGGTCTGGTTGCCAGAGGTCTCAGAAAATGGCGGAGAATCATTCGTTGGCCAGTTTTCACTTCTCTCCGAGTCTTGTAGCTCCGCCTGGTCTTTTCATGACCTGACGGATGTTGATGCGGCGGTCGCACTCCTCCGGGAAGGACAAGCCGGGTCAGGGACTGACGTGGAGATCACTTGTGTCGCGGCAAGTCATTTGCATCGGCTTTCGAGCGCCATCTCCTCACAGTTCCTCAGCATCTAGCACGCACGCTACATCCGACTCTGGTGTCGACATTTTTAGATTGCGCACCAACCGTGTTTTCCCCAAGTGCGAATCCCCCAGAGACCGAGCTCCAGATGGTCATTGTGTTCTGCCGAATATGCCGTAGCCTTTACGGCCGCCTGCTGCAAGACTCTGCGGAGGTACGTCACGGAATGCATCGCAATGTTATCGCTAGTCCCATCATCTTAGTCATACAGTCAGGGACTTCGCATGAAGCCGCGGAAGCCGAGTTGCATACCATCCTCTCATACCTCTCTCCGTATTTCCCATTTGCTGTAAACGCTCCGAACGCTCGACGCGACATCAAGATCGAGCAGGCGTTTCAAGACCTCAACCTCATCTATTGCGAGCTTTCGTCCTTCCTGGTCCTGGCTTCTCAACGAGACACCCCACCTCAGGGATCATCCCGTAAGAACTCCCGATTTGGACGTAACGGCCGCGTAGCTCCCAGCGTACCTACGTCGACCACGCAGGCGCGCCAAATAGAGCGCGTCAGCGTGTATATCACCCAGCTCCTTCGAGGACAGGCATCCACTTCCAGCTCGCAAATCACGCTACCAAGGCCCATCACGCCGCAGGCATATATCGCCTTGCTGCCCACGATTTGGTCTCTGGTGAACAGCAGGCACTCCGATATAGCGGAACCTACCGATTCGGTTTTTTCCGTCGTTGCAGAGCATGCTATCAAAGCTTCATCCACTTCGGCAGTGAAGAGGCACACAATCGACTTCATCGGAAGATTGTTACTGGTCAGCAGTGTTCTACCTTTGCCGAATATGCATACCCACTCAAGTCGCATTGTCAGCTGGACGGAGAAAGGGAGTACATAGGCACCTTCAAAGTGGGTAACAGCCCCGAGCAGGACTTGAAGCTAGAACAGTGGATCTTGCATCTCCCGAAGACGCTGTGGGAGCTAGGGGGCAATAACCCAGCAACGACGGAGGTCAGTCCGATCTCCTAACCCCTGTCAATTATTCTAGATCCTCGCTGATCCTGCGAGCAGACAATTGTCCGGCTACTCCTTCGCCTCACGCAACGCCGGTCCAGACTGCTGCAACCTAGCGTAAGTACCTATTTTCCCATCCGGCCATGGTAATTCCATCCCTTCAAGTTCACGCTAACCCCTCGAATTTTTACCTCAGACATACTCCGCCTTACGATCACGTCTAATCCCATACTTCTCAATCGCGCACCCGACGCGCGGGAAAATCCCGGGACCATACGCGAAGTTGCCCAGTAAATCGCCCGTGCGGCGCCTGGTGCTCGACCTCGTCGCGACGCTTGTTGGTCAAGGCAACCGAGCTTCTAGCACGGACGATGGCCTCGCCGCCGCCGTCAGCGAGGCGGTTCAAGACTCTCCAGAGTCGTCGTACTGGGAAGGGTGCTAGTGACCGTTCTCTGACGACGTATGTTCCTCGCAGTAGACTTGATGCATAGACATGAATTTCCTCTATGGATTGATATGTGTTGGTAGTGTTGTACAGGTTAATTTGATAGTAGGCTCCTCCGAAAGGTGTGCAATGGTACAGCAGTAAATCCTAGCTATCTTCGGCAGTGGACGCTGTCCGTGGCTCCGCTTCTCCTTCTTCCGCGTCTCCGGCAGTCTCACCATCCAAAGGCTCGTCGATGTCTCCCAGAGACGCGCCGTCGTGCTTCTGGCTTGCCCGGAACATGCCCAGCACCGTCTCCCGATCGAACACCTCCTTCAGCCGCGCCTCCTTCAGCGCAGGCACGTCCAACTCCCACTCAGAGATCTGCGCCTCAGACTCGTCCGTCTCGCTCGACCCCTCGGACGACACGATCTCGTTGTCCGACGGGTCGTACCCCTCGTCCGACGCCCCCTCCGCCCCCCCACCCTCGTCGTCCTCGCCGATCTCGCCGTCCTCCTTCTCGTCCTCGCCCTCCGCCGACCCGGACTCGGACTCGTACACGAACGTCCCCGACTCGTCCTCCTCCGGCGGGAGGTGCACGAACCACGGCAGGTCGCGCTGGAGGCCGATGTCGGGCGCGACGCACCACGCGGTCTGCACGACGAACATGCCCGGGAAGCGGCGCAGGCGCGCGTCGTCGTCGTCGTCGCCCTCTACGAACGCCGGGTGGCACACGACGGGCAGTTCGACGCGGGGCACCTTGCGCAGGCGGCGGATACGCACGAGCGCGGGCAGGCGGTCCGCCGTGCGCGCGCGCGCGGTCTCGGCCTCGACGCTCTCGCGCGACGCGGAGCACGTGTGGCACCAGATGTCGAGGAAGCGCAGGGTGGGCGAGCGCAGGGCGGCGATGATGTGCGAGGCGGAGGCAAGCTGCCCCGACGCGGGGAAGACGAGGTGCTCGAGCACGGGGCACCATGAGGAGAGGAAGGAGAGCCCCTCGAGCAGGCACCGCTTCCAGCTGTAGTCGAAGATCCGGTCTTTCTTCTCCGGGGATATGTGGAGGTAGGTGAGGCGGCGGCCGTGCGCCTCGAGCAGCGTGTCGGGGACGTACCCGCAGTGGATCGCGGTGAGGTCCGTGAGGCTCGGGAGCACCCACTTGCAGGCCACGTAGTCGGTGAAGGGCGCGTGGTCCACGTACATCTGCAGCTCCTCCAGCCGCGGCAGCTCGAGTGGGGGAAGAGACGACCTATCCTCTACGAATCCATAGGGGGTGTTGACCGGTCCTAGCTTGAGAGTCCGGAGTGAGCTCGCGGCCGACAGCAGCCCGTGCAGCTCGACGACCTGCACCTCGGACAGCGTCATCGAGATATCCAGCTCGCGGAGGCCCGCAGCGAGCTTGTCCTGCAGCAGCCGGCCCATCTCGTCTGTGTGGTCGTGCAGGACCCAGTCCGGGTTGAACCCGTCCCAGGCGTCCGCCGCGTCGTCCTCGCGCGGCGAGTGGGCGGTGGGGAAGTTCGGGTGCGGATGGAATGCGAAGGAGCACAGCGCGGGGCACTGCCGGAGGACATACATGACGTCCTCCCGCACGACGTCCGCGCAGGGCGCCCAGATGACGCACGAGTCGATACGTATGTGCCGGATGAGGGGCCCGAGGGCGCGCCCGGTGCCGGAGGAGAGCGTGCTGGCGAGGGCCGGGATCTGGCCCATGCGGCGGAGGACGATGTCCTCGTACAGGACCGCCGTCGCGGGGCCCGCGAAGGCTTTGCAGACGAGGACGAGGTTCTTGCGGAACCGGAGCTCGTCCAGCCAGGGGTTCCAGGGGCGCATCACCGAGGGGTCGCATTCGTGCCAGGGGGGGACGGTGGCTCTGAATATGCGAAGAAGCACCTCCGGTGGAAAGGACGTGATATGCAGTGGGACCTTCGGAACGGGCTGCAGAAACTGTGTGGCATCGTGTCATTATTATTAGAGTTGGGGAAAACGACAAGAGCCGCATACCCCGCCCTCTTGCATGAGGTATTTGACCGCTGCGCGCAATATCCTATTCTCGTTCTTGTTACGAGCGTTTTCCTAGTCGCAAGACGGAAAGAACGTCTAAGCCGACGTCAAGGGCACAGCCATGATGCTCACGGGTGAGAGTACGGCCAGCGTGTCCGAGATATGTTGGAAGCTTTCTGTGAGTCGGATGTTCTCCAGACGCAGCGCATGGAGTTCTTGGGCGATGTCAGACAGGGGCCTGGCGACCAATTCGGCTATCACTGCGGAGTGACTGAATTCTTGTTCTTGCACGCCCATTGGCCCAGGGAAGCCTCGGTCTGGGACGAGAGTACATGTTGAGCGAAGACGTTGGTGCCATGTCCGGCGACATCGATTGCTCAAGATGCGATCTCTATCTAATGACTTATTATCTAATCCCTCCCGCAGCCAACGGTACGCCACGTGACCGCGACGCGTCGGGAGTCGGGCTCAGAGGGCGCACAGCTCGGCCTCACGGCAGGCATTCCGGGGGTTTCGACCGGGAATATATCTATGAAAAGGAGAGGCACGAGGTAAGTCGTTCGTAAATATGTGGCTGTTCAAAACGAAAGCCTTTGAAAACCCGGGTACACGTCGGGGGGTTGCCTCTTGCCTCACGCTTTCGTCGACTTTTCTATGCACGAAAACATGGGAATGCGTGCCGTACCTCCCACCGCTCTACAAATATAGCACGTCTTATGGCGCACTCGGGGAGCTTCCTGCGTTTCACCGCCAACTTCCGGCCCAGTCTGGCTACGGGCTGTGTCCATGACAATTCCTCCCGCCCGAGGCTGCCACGTTAGGGCACTTGCCCCGACGGCCAGCTGTCAAACAAGAACTCGCGACAGGCTTCACTTCCCTGTCGCCGCCCCGGTCTCACTTCCCCGTCACAGACGTCCAGCTATGCTTGCACAACGCCGACACTCCCCGGAAGACTGCAACTACGCCTTGACTTCCCGGAGCACATGGGGAAGGCAGAGATCAAATGATCCCAAACGTGCCCAGTTACATACGCGATTCGCACAGCCAACCGCAACACCCGAGTCCCCACACAATTCTGTAACATTCTTTGATTGCTTCCGAATGGCTACATGAAATCACATACGATCCCGGCCGACAGACTCCTCCCGAGCAGCCGCCGCCAACCGCGCTCCGCACGGCCCATCGTGCATCCATGTCACAGTCAAACATATATGTAATGGTATGCTACGCTGCGGATCGATACACCGCCGTGTGCCAGTTATTGCATGCAATACAACACGGTATATATCCTAACCCTCCCTATGACCGTCGCCCGCCCTCTGCACGCAGGGGCCGGAACACGACGAGTGACGCCCCTGGCGCCGAGGGTCGGACGAGAGAAAGCGAGACGAGACCGAATAGAAAAGCTAATAAAGAGAGCCGAACACGATGACTTGCGGTAGGGGATTATGGACAGCAAGGTTGAGGTTGTATCGTATCTTGCGTGATTGCAATGATGGGATAGGAATGTGTGGAGGTCAGGATCGCAGCGCGTTTACGAGATCCACTGCCACTGGACGCCGTGAAGGCGGCCGATGGACGGGTCGGCAAGCTGGTCGAATGCTGAGGGGGAGAAGTCGAGATCAAACTCCGCACAACCCACGCAGCGGTCGACGGCCGTAACCTCGACGGATTTGCCCTGGTCTAAGGGTCGACTGAATGTGAGTATGATGGATGAAAGAATCCCAGGATACCATGATACGCACAGGTAGCCCGGATCTTCCTGCCGCAGGCCGGGTTGTTGTTAGGGTTGCCACTGGTATAGCCACTGCAGGGGAGGTGAGTGTCCGTGTGCTGGGAAGTGTCAGATGGACTTACGGGAAGGCGTCGTAGATGATGTGCGAGATGGCCACGATGAAGTCGGTGTCCGAGTTGGTGATACCGCACGAACCAAGACCGGTCCCGTAGAAAGTACCTGAGACAACGCTAGTAAGGAAGGAGCGAAAAAGGTGAATTGTACACGGAGGACGCACCATCACCGGAGTGGGTACCCGTCAAGATGCCGAGCGGGTCGCTGGCAGAGGAGCCAGAAGACGCCGAGGTGGTGGGAGCGGCAGCCTTGGTGGTAGTCGGCGCAGCCTTGGAAGTAGTCGGCTGCGGCTGCGGCTGTGCGGACGTGGTGGGCTCAGCGGCCTTGGTGGACTCGGGGGTCGAGGACGAAGGGGGCGCGCTCTCGACGTTCTGGGGCGGGATGATGGAGCTAGAGACGGCGTGGGTGGCAGTTGTAGAGTGGATCACGCTTGACGAGGAGGAAGAAGGGGCTACGGACGTGGTTGTGGGCGCCGCAGCGCTGCTCGAGCGGACTTTGCAGCGGCTGGAGCTGGCGCGCTTCTTCTTCTGGGGGACCACGACGGGCTCGGGGGCGGCGTTGGGGATGGCCGCGCGGTGGGCGAGCTCGCGGTGGTGGGCGCTGCGGAGGAGGTGGGGGCTCGCGATCGCGGAGAGGGCGAGGGAGCAGACAACGATGGCCTTGGAAAAGTACATTGTCGGTAGGATGGATGGGGGGTGAGGGAGCGACGTCTGTAGGGAGGGTAGGGGAAGGACTGGATGGGCCTGCTCTTTGAAAAGAGTGAGAGCGGGTTTATGTAGGCCGGGACGCGAGCAACTAGACGAGAGTCGTCGTCGGTTGGGCGCGAGGCTTGGGGAGGTGAAGAGGGACGCGGGGAGACGTAAGGAAACAGGCAAGCCAGCAACCGACGCGCGAAAATAAATAAAAGGGTCCTCGGCCAGTCCCACGCCTGACCTTATTCTCCGCTACTTACCGTGCACGGCGCTCTCTTCGGGCCTCGATCGACTCTATTCACATGGCACTTTCATGCATCAGAGATGAGCTCGTGTCTGGCGCGTGTCTGGCGCGTGTCTGGCGCGTGAAGAGACACGACGAGGACGTGCGCTGCGCCCGCACCGCGTGAAACGTCAGATTTCGGAGGGAGGAGAACACGGCGGCAATGAGCAGATTCCCACCACGTTCTCCCCACATTCCCGCCACATTCTCCGAGAAAGGAGAATGCGTGTTCATCCTCTCACAGAGCCACGCATTCTCCACACATTCCCTTCCATATTCGCCACACATTCTCTAACGTAGACAATTTAGGACAGATCCGGATACCACGAAGCTTGGCTTACCTGGTGCCATATCAAGAATTCATCAATTTGTCAGCGCACATGTTGCCACATCCCGCGTGCTCCATTTGCGAGGTTATACTGGACCGCATATTCACCGCGCGATGATAATTTAGGCACACAGATTCAAGACGGACATGAATGCCTACGTAACTACAAAAGATAGCTGGGACGCCGGATGAAAGCTAGCGCGCGGCTTGTAGAGTGCCCGCTAGCAGCGAGGATGCTGCAGCTGGTGAGGCAGCTGATCGACATACACCACAAGCAGCGCATCTCCTTGAGTTTCAAGTGACGTCCGTATATGTAGGAGTTAACCCTGCCAGAAACCGGCATGAGTTTGCACATTGTGAGAAGGGAATGTGCCAGCTTCCGGGAAGTATTGGGATATGTTTCAAGACACAACTTGATGATGGCGCGCTTTGCGTCCAGGCGTCTCTCAGCACCCAGGATAGGAAAATACTCAAAGATGTTGGCCGGCTCGGAATGGAGGATCGCGAGACAGATAGGGGGGAATTTCTCGAACAAGGGCACCGGCGTAGACAAGTCACTATCCCCAGTAAGGACCGAAAACACCAGAGGATCCGGCACAGTCATTTTCATGGTTGTCTAAAGGGCCAGCTGACTAGTAGTGAGGAAGACGGCGAAGGAGGCGTGTCGGTTGCAGAGTCCAGAGATGTCCCCCAAATGGCAAGTGTAGGCGGTGATGAGACTCGGGACATACTAGTACGGCCAGGAGACGTTGCCAAGAACCATGATGATGCGAGATCGAGTCTTCCGACACCATCGACAACGTACTGAGTGCTCCGCCCTCCCGGTCTGCAACATCGGCACTGGACAGATCCTCGCGTACAGTCCGCGCACATCCATTGCTCAACAGTGGTTCTCCAGGTTCTCTTTGCACTCGGATCCGCTCTTGAGTCTCGCCTTGAGGTACGGCTTTCTGGCTGCTGACCTGCACCACTGCAAGTGCGCGTTCCTTGTGTAGACAGCTCACAGACCAAAGACGTCGTATCCGAGAGCCTTCTTCGAGACTTGCTTTTGCACTTGCATCATTTCGGTTGTTGCCAGGATGGTTTGTCGAGCATGGTGACAGCCCGAGGTCGACTGTCGACAGTAGATGGATGAGCAGTGGTTGAGATCGATGCAGACCTAGAGTAGTAGTGTACTGGTACAACTTGGGATCGTGATCTCGACGCAATCCACGCTTACAAATCAATGCGCATCCAAGGCCGTGGCATCGATAACCTATCAGACAGAAAGTCATCTCAATATCACTTATCTTGAGCTATTCGAGGCTACCAAATTGAGAACTAGAGAACATGATGAGATTGTCCAGGCAACATGCATATAGTCTACAGATTCGCCGTCCTGGAGAACATGGGGGAGAATGTGGAGCGAATGTGGTGGGAATCCGCACATTCTCTGCATGTTCTCTCCCGCCAGAATCTGGTGCTTCACGCTGTGCCGGTGTCTGCTGCGAGGCGTGGCCGTCATAGCGAGCGGTAGGCCGGCCGTGTGCATCGCCAGGGACGCCAGGGAGCGGTCCCGGGCGGACGGGCGGCCGGACCTCATCCTCGTACAACGGCAGCACCAGCCAGCGCTACATAATATTCTACATCGCCTCAGTTCCCTGCGTTCGCCTTGGCCGCGTACATCTTCACCAACCCGGTACTTGCCGTCTCCTCCAGGCTCTTCCCATAAGCATCGATCCGCCCCAACAGCAGCATGCTCTCCAGTCGGCTCGGCTCCGGCGGGATCTTGAACAGCCTGCTCACGTCCTCCTCCGGAAGCGGTGCCAGCCCCGCCGCTATCCGTGTCGCGTTCTCCTCCTTGCGCTTCGCCACGTACGCCTCCGCCTTTGCCCTCTCCCGCGCAATCTGCCGCTGCAGATATGCCAGGTTGCCCTCCTCCGTCTTGTAGTTGTCCAGCGCCTCGACCACCATCTCCAGGTTCCGCGCCGTGTTGCCCGTGCCCAGGTTCAGTCGCGAGTACGATGGTGGGATGGCTGCGGACGACGTTGCCAGCGCAGGGCTCGACTGCGTCGTTGTCGATGGCGTCGCCTCCGACAGCGCACCGAGGAACGAGCTCACGAGCGCGTTCGTCCGGATTTTGAGCGGCACCTCCTCCAGGATGGTGGAGAACGTCAGCCGATGGTCGATTAGGCTGCAGCACCAGATCTCCGTCAGCATCGCGTCATTCTCTTCGCCCGTGCGACGTCAATCACCTCGAGGTCGAGAAGTTGTGCCTTTTGTAGGCGTCTAGGAACGCCTTCGTGAGACGGAACGCCCGGAAAGACGCGTTGCCGCGTGCGGTTTGCGAGATGTCTGGGTGGGGGAGGAAAACATTCGAATGAGCCCACCACGCACGGGAACACGTGCCAGAGAGCAGGAATTTCTTACCGTGCACAATTACGACGCCTCCATGTCGTAGCCTTTCTTGGTGGATTGCTTGGGTGTCGACCAAGGTCTGGTTGAAGAAGGACCCCAGGGTCATGCCCTGATAGAAACCGATCACGCTGTCGTCCGCCTGAACCTCCTTCAGGGAACGCAACATCGACGATTGGTAACGCGCTATAGAACCTCTATTTCAATATGGCCCTCATAGTATAACTATGAAGCTATGAACGAGCACTAACCCACACCCTTGGCAGACTTATCGTCGTCGTCATTGGAATGGTGAGGGAGAGCGAATGAGTTCCACACTTCCAAAGTGCCGTCGAGGTCCAGACCCAGCAGCAGACCATGGGCTGACGACCCCGGAGCCTCTTTTGCGTGCTTGGTGATCTTCGAGACGACCTGCAGCAGTCATAGCACAGATGCGCCCATGCCGCAGACGCAAATTGCGCGCGCGTCGCCCAAATACATGAATGAGGAAATAAGACACCCGTCAGTAAAGGGTGATAATGCAGCCGCGACCCCAGAAATTTTGCCCCAGCGTAACGCGCGGAACAGGCACACAGGCGAAAGATGCCACTCGGGGGAAGCGACCCATGGGCACGCGCATGTGCCCGCAAGCCTGGGACGCTCGTCGGAGCCAATGTGCCTCGATCCGCAGAGACCGAAGTGCATAGGCGCACCGGCGAGGGGGAGGACGAAGCAAGTCACTCACTATCGCATCCAGCTGCACGCTCGTTATAGGGATCTCAGCCTCGATATCGATCACTTTGGCCATCGACGCAGGGATGGCTTCGTAAGTGGGTGCGCTTGGTGCAGGCGCGGCCTGGGGTGCGGGGAGGGACGCAGCCAGTGCTGCTGCCATGGAGGTTGCGGCGGCCATATTGGAGAAAAGGTGCGTTGGCTAGTGTTTCTGAGGGGCCTTTGGGGTTAGATGAAACCGTAGAAAGCGAGGCTCAAGTGCAGAGAGCGTAGCCGATGCCGATAGAGCAGACGGCAATTTTGGACGAGTAGTTAGAGGCTCTTGCCAAACAAGTCACAACTCCTCCAGTCACGTGGCTCGGTACCCCACATCAAGACACGGGGGGGGGCGAAGCGCGAAGGGCCAAGTGAGGAAACGTTGGTGACACTTCTGTGCCACGCAACGTGCCAACAGCAATTCCTAGAAAGAAATTGAACTTACAAAAAATTGTAGGAATTGCCATTGATACGTTGCATGACCCGACAATTCCGAATGAATCTCCCTGCTTAAATCATAGTCCTTTGCCCGTCGTAAGAGTCGAAACCCAATTGCCTAACCTGAGGTGAATGCATGCAGTTGCGTAAACGGGTCAGAAGTCTGTAATGGAACATGTGCAGTGCAAGCTATGGAAGTGAATATTTTGGAATGCCCTTGGAATGGTTCACTTCATCCGCGTGATTAGAATGCTACATTACATTCCTTCCACCCACCCTCTTTCCTGACATATGGAGGCTGTGTGGGAGTCAAAATGCAAAACGGCAGCTCACTATTCTTCCGAGCGAAATGTTGCTGATAGGAGTGCATGACACTCGGACGATTCTCTTCATACGACTACCGAATCGGACCAGGGACCGTCCGGACGACACTTCCGAAATGTGGTTTGTAGCTGGGGTGCTCGTGAACATATGAATGGTGCCACTTTAGTCGCGCAAACGGAGTCTAGAGCGCAAAGGCTTGCGAAGGTCGGGTTGGAAGACGACCCACAGGAAGGCTAATGGTCGTCGGGGTTATCTTATCTTATCAGATAGTCCAGGCCGTTCCACGCAGCATGACACAACGGGGCGGCGCACGTGGAGCGGAGGCAGCGGGCATAGCTTAACCCAGACTATAACCTTCCTCGCCGACCGGTTCCCCTCGCCACCAACTCTCCCTCTGCTCCACCAGGAGTCCTGCGTGCTACCATGCTGTCTCGGGAAGCACGCATCGTACTCCTGCTCGTGATTGACGTCTTCTTCTTCTTCACTGAACTCATCGTTGGTGTGTTGCGGTCTCATCTTATTCACGCTTCTCGCACACTGACTACGGTCTACTCCAGGCTATGCTGTGGGCTCGCTTGCCCTTGTGGCAGACAGTTTTCATATGCTGAAGTGAGTCAATAATCTCCGTGGCTGCACACAGCGCGTATGACTGTCTGACGTCTGTTCCCAGTGATGTCCTGAGCCTGGTGGTTGCGCTCTATGCAATTAAGGTACGTCCTAGCACGCTTCTACCACCTGTTCCAAGCGTGCAGATCTATCTTTTGGCAGCTCACGAAACAAACGCACATTGACTCCCGTTACTCTTACGGCTGGCATCGTGCAGAAATTCTTGCTGCGTTGGTCAATGGTGTCTTTCTACTCGCTCTCTGCTTCTCCATCTTCCTGGAAGCTATAGAAAGATTCTTTAGCACTCCAGGTATGTAAGAAAGAGACTGTTCGGTATATGAAACTGATGGAGCGCCGATTGCCAGAAATCTCGAATCCGCGCCTGGTCGTTGTGGTGGGCTCGCTTGGACTAGCTTCCAATATCGTGGGACTATTCCTATTCCACGGTACGTCTACAGCATGTTGTAGTTGTGTCTTTTCCACATTCATCTTGTGGTTCGCATAGATCATGGTCATGAACACGGTCACGAGCATGGAAAGGAGACCCCTTCCGTCTCCAAACCACCCAGTGTTCATTCCGCGTTGGAAGATGGGCAAGTTACCCCTCGCGCGAGCCACTCGTCTCCCGCACCTCGCCCACATTCTCGCAGTCGGTCTGCCTCGTATTCGTCGTTGTACGGCCATCCTGCCGCGACGCGTGCTTCCATAGTGCAAGCTGCGCAGGACGTCGCACGTGCGCGCTCGCGCTCTCCGTCCCGTTCGCGCGTGCGCCGATCTCGGTCTCGGGCGGAACATGGGCGTCCGAGCGATGTGCGCGAGGAGAACGGAGTGGACGATTCGTCCGCTGAGAGGCGGATTACGAACGAGACTACGCCTCTCTTGTCAGGCGACGCCGAGTCCGAGAGCTCCGTTCCGCACTCCCTTCACGAGGATGCCGGCCACAGTCACGGCCACGGTGGTCATGGGCACTCTCATGGGTCGATGAACATGCGCGCGTTGATCCTGCACGTTATGGGCGACGCGTTGGGGAACGTTGGGGTCATATCGACGGGTCTTATCATCTGGCTCACGAGTTGGAGCTGGAAGTATTACTTCGATCCAATTATCAGTCTCGTTATCACCGTCATCATCTTTTCTTCTGCACTTCCTCTCGGTAAGAAGATTAAGTTTTAGAGATGATACTGAACGAAGAAGCTGACTTGCCTTCGTAGTGAAAAGCACGGCTTTCATTTTGTTGCAGGGCGTGCCAGCGACAGTTTCGTTGGATGAGACACGGGATGCGATCTTGGCTGTGGACGGAGTGCTTTCGGTGCATGAGCTCCATATCTGGCAGCTTTCAGAGAACAAGATCGTCGCGTCTGTGCATGTCATGGCGTCTCGGAAGCACGATTTTATGCCCGTCGCAGCGAAGATTCGGAAGGCGCTACATGACCGGGGCATCCATTCCAGCACGATCCAGCCCGAGTACCACCACCCGCGGAACTCTCCTCCCGAGGAACATCTGAGGGTATGTCCGTTTCTTTTCCCAATTCGTCTCTTGTCGTTGGAACTAAGAAGGTTGTCTCTCAGACATCCGCCGAGTCGTCTTGCCTTATTCTCTGTCCTCCAGATCAGATCTGCGATCCGTCAGAAAACGCTTGTTGTCGTAAGCTGTGCCGTCGGCCTGAATCTTCACATGGTGCTGATATGTTTGGTAGCTCCACCACCTACGGACGCTTGATCGCTTCCCGCGGTTGCTTCTGTCTGCCCCGTCGCTTTTTGCGTTGTCGCCAACTGTATTGTTTATAATATCCCTATGATTGACTCGTACAGCAAAATACAATCTCTTTGAGCTCAATCCCTGTCCATCTCTTACACCTCTGCGGCGAACGAGGGGAAGTTGGCCACAAACGGCTGCATCGCCGTCAAGCGCTGCAAGATCATCCCGGCGGTCGTACCGGCTCCCCGTCTTTTCAGATCCGCCGACAGCCGACGGGCCATGGATGTGACCGATTGTCCCAAGACAAAGCGTTCTTCCCCGCACGTCGTGAGCAGGGCCCATTCCAGATGCAACGCCGCCGTCAGCGACGAGGATATCACGGCCACGAGGAGCTCCACCGTGATCGTTTGCTCCGTGCCGGACATGCCATCCGCTGACGCCACGAGCGAAGGGAGAACCATGTGCAAGAAGATGGGCAGGAGCGGCGGCAAGCGGGGCGAGCGAGGGACCGTGAGCACGAACGTCGCCAGCCGCCGCGGGGCTTCCATGTCGGCCATCGTCGCGGCGAGGAGGAGCTGTGTCCACAGGGCGCCAAGGAATTTCGTGGGGGGACAGAGCAGCAGACAGCGATCGATGTCGAGCGCAGGAGCCCTCCCTGACCGCGCGGCAGAGAGGGCGTTGGCGATCAGCTGGCGTGACTGGCTTGACCATTGGGTCGTCGATGGGTCCATAGGCATCGGGTTTGGTACCTCTGTATGTGTACTATGTCTGAGCAGGAAATGATATATAACACTAGATGACGAACCTTCAGCGGGGAGGCCGAGTGCTTGTCGGGCGGCTTGCCGGACAGGTTTGGGGTCGAAATCTTGGAGATATCTCTTGCTATGCTGCGGGAAGGGATCGGGGAAAAGGCGCAGGACGCTAGGCGCAGATAGCGTCAACACGGTAGGGGGACAGGACGATGAGGTCAGGAGGGTTTTGAGCACTTCGAGATGTACGGGTGCGTTGTAACTTGAGATTCAATGAGAAATGCGCCTACATGCATGTGGAGAAGACGTACCTGCGACGCTGGATGTCCATCAGCAATGAACGAATGACGCCAGCAAGCGTCCAATTTAGCAGAGGTCCTAGGAAATAGGAGATCCCATTGTTGAGCACTTCCTTGTCCATCTTGCGATCCATCGCCTGAGCAATCGCGAAAGAGAATAAAGAAGGAGTGATTTTGAGTAATGTCTTGGGACGTGTTGTTCTAGCACAGCTCAGCTGCAAATGACAAGCGGCGCACAGGAGGCAGCTTACCTCAAGATGGTATCTTCTATACCCTCGCTCCCCGGGTCAAATAGTGCTTTGGTCCATGAGCTGAAGGCGGGCATCTCATCACCCTTGAGATCGCCGGGTCGCAGTTGAAGACCTGCGGTCCGCATATAGTCGGGGTTGATGACCCTCTCTCCTACCTTGAATGACAAAGAAGCAAGCTGCGCAATGCACGCGTCTTGAGGTATGAACACACACGCAACAGCGGGTGTACCTACATTGAACCGCACAATAGTGGTCTCGACGAACAAAACGACATCCCCTAGGTGACTGACGGCTGTCTGAGGGTCGCCTGCCTTTGGGCTTCAGCTTTTCGAGGAAGGTCAAGTAAGACCCATGCCCACGTACCAACAGTCTCGCAATCGTAATCTTCAATGAATGCCAGAGCATGCGCGACCAGATCCGAGATCTTCGCATGCAGAGATAACATGTCAAGTGCCATCTCATGCTTCGAGAGCATCTTGCAGACCAACCCGAGTGACTCTGCATCCAGGTTCTTGGTGGACGTCGTGAAGCGCTATGCGATCATTGAGCCCCGTAACACGAATGCGTGGCGTGATTGGCTTCATACCTTGACAACAACCTCTGCGAACGCAGCATGGCAACATGGATCTTTCCATGCTCTGTAGAGCAGCACCTCGATATCTTCTGGGGTTGCCTCAGGACATAGCTTCGCCTCGAAGTATCCCTGAACAGTGTCAGCCGCCACGTCAGCTGAACGTGTTGGGATACTGCTTACTGGCAAATCAACACCCATTTCTTGTGCTTCCGTAGCGACACGAGGATGGAAGTCGTTCGAGAGGTTAGGGTTTATCGTCGCCACTACCGCTTGCTCGACGACTCCGACTGAGAGCAACTGGTAGAGAAACTCAGATATGAACGAGTGCTGACTGATATGCTCAGCTACAGCATGCAGCAAACTTGTAGAAGGTGAGTGCTCACACTACGGACTTGTCACTTCCGGCGTCCGAACCGCCAGGCTGACCATTGTTGTCTACTTTCTCCAACAAATCGACGCGTTGCAGAACGTGCGGAAGTGCGATTTGCAGCGCTGAATGCTAGATATCGGTTAATCATTCTGTCACGCCTTTATTAAAACAGAATACCTCACCCACTCTGATTCTGAGATCGCCTCTGGGCGGCCAGCTTTGCGGAAGGCAGCGAGCAAATGGGGTAGCTGTAACAGGAGATCAGAATCGGAGTTGACGGCGCCAGTGCATCCGAAACGTACGCGGCCAATTGTGAATGCTCTCCAGATAGCCGATGCTCTTGTTGGCCCAGTTGGGCTGATGCTTTGCGCTAAGCATGTCAATGAGGAGATGATAAGCTGTGCATAGAACATCCAGGGCGCCCATGACGAGCCTCGAAGCAACCCAACGAAGATCGCCACAGCATGTGGTCCATCGCCGGAGCCAAAGTCGCTCGCTCTGCAGAATATCTGCATGGCGAAGGGCTGAGCGATGAGTGCAAGGGATGCACATTTGAAAACACGTACCAGGTGGTTCAAAATTAAGCTGCACGCTACGATATCGGTCTCAGAGCTTGCGCTCAGGACCGTCTCGCCTCTACCGAGTGCGAATTGGAGCGTATGCATCATCTGTGCTTCCCTGGCTTGATTTGGATCATCGGGAACGAGCATACTCAAAGAGAAAGCGAATGTCTCCAGCACTGGGCGCAACTCCGCATGCAAGCGGACGTTTTGCAGTAGATCGTTTGCCTCGGCGAGGTATAACATCGCCTGTGCTGCGGATATCTGAGAGGTGTCGGTCACACAGGACAGAAGTAAGACCAGGAGCTCAGATGCAGATGTCGTTAATTGATGGAAATGGGAGACAGGTAGCATGAATGCTGTGCGCAGGAGCCCCATGGCGTACTGGACTGTGCTCAGCAGGCGTGTAGTTGGTTCGCCGAACGGCACGAGGGACCCCATGGTAGGCATACCAGACGCGTAATGATGGTCGAGGACGACTCTGCATAACATATCCAGCGTTGCAGGGTTATGCAGATTGGCGGACTGGGCTGCCTGGAGGAAGGCCGTGAGGAAGATTGGAAGCGATAATACTCCATCCTGTATAGCTTCTTTCAGGTATCCCTGCAAAGTCGGATCCCCAGGATAGTCACGGAAAAGTACTAGAACTGAGTCTATAAAGAATGAGTCAGCCGCTTAGAACTACGAGACTATAGAGTGTGTTTCTTTACTGCTGATTTCTGTCTCGATGCTATGAGCTGCGTTATGAGAGAGGTTCTTGGAGATGAACAGCTTGCACAGGGCGAGCCACTGGCCACGGAATGCTAAGTATTACCCAGATGTTGACAATCTCGCAGGATTAGCTCACTTTTCGTGCCGTTATACCACTCTGGAAAGCGTTCCTTGTCAGTTCAGCCAGCGACATTCCCTAGACTGCTCGAGACCTTGGTGGTTCCGGCCAAGTAGACGAGCAAATGGGCGTCCAAGATGCGGCACAGCTCTGGGCTTCGGAATCGTATCTCAGCGCTCAGCGCTAGCGCTGGATGTCTATTGGAAGACAAGCTATCCATGTCTGTAGATATATGCATTGGGAACGAATGTGTACAAATAAGCACATGACAATAGTGATGAAGAGGGCCAGCTCCTGGTATCCATCGCAAGGTATGCAAAGTCCGATGCTGTTATGTTACTAGGTTCGCGACACGTAAGGTATTCACTGTCTACTACGATCATACTTTTGCGATAAGCCTCCGGGTTTCTTGAGGCGTGAACCGGAGGATGGTAGAGAGGATTCGCACAAGATGAGGCTAGTAAGGCATGAGCACGAGGGTTCGTGATCACTACAGTGAGCACACTCACCCGCATCTCCTTGTGTTCCAGGAATTGTAGGATGACGTTCCGGAGGTACTCGAAGTTGACTTCCTCATCCGACGATTGGGCGGACGGCGTGCCGGCTCTCTCCGGCGTCTCTCGCGAAGGCAACTCAGATACTGATGATGTTGGCGAGCGCAGCTCGGACGTGCTCTCATTACGAGAGGCCCAGTATCCCACACCTGGCCCTCGCTGCTTCTCGAGCAATGCCACAGACGATTGCACTTTGCGAAGTTCCTCGCGTAGAGTCTGTACGGCGGGAATGAGCGTGCAATCACAACTTAGGGAAGAAAGAACACTCGCCTTGTTCTGGCTGCGGAGCTGTGCTTCTCGGTTCTTGCTCTCGTCGGCGAATTGCTGCAAATTGGCAGTCTTCGCACTGAGCTCTGCGAGTTGGTCCTTAGCCGTAGCCTTCAGATATTGTCAGCTTTAGATAGCGCAGAGGGTAGGTGTAGATGAACGAACCTCAACCTCCGCAGCCTTCTGCAGCTGCGAATGCAAATCGGTGATCTGCATCTGGTACGACCTGATCTCGCTCTTCAACGACTCGATCTCTTTCTCCAAGGCCTGCACGCCCTGGTTCTCCTCGTCCTTGCTCTGCTGTGACGAACTGATCTGAGCTTTGAGCAGTTCCACCTCACGGGCGCGCTCAGTCAAGGTCTTGCTCCAGCGTGCCTCGCCCTCGTCTCGCTCGCGCTCAGCCTCGGCCAATCTCTTGCGTAGGTCGCTCAGCTTTGTCTCATACTTAGACTCAGCAGCAGCGAGTAGGCGAGTGATTTCTTCGGCAGAAGGGCCAGATGATGCCACCTTCATGTCTTGTTCGTGGCGGATGTCAGAAAACTCCTCCTGGAGCAACGCGACTCGATCGTTTGCCTCGCGAAGCTGGAATTGCAACTCGGTGTTCTGGCCTTGTAGGGACTCGAGAAGAGATTGCGACGACTCCAGCTCCGCTTGACGCAGTTGCACCTGGTCGAAAAGTTCATCCTTCTCCCTGGACAATGCTCTGACTGTGCTCTCAAGGTCGGCGATACGCGATTTCTTGTTTTCGATCTCCCTGACATGGGTTGTCTATGAGGAAACACACATATTAGTACAGCCCTGGAACCGAACAACCAATGCTCGCTTTTCTCTTACCTTTGCGGTGATAGCCTCCAGTTCGTACTGCCCTCGTAGGGTGGCAAGCTCCTTCTCGTGTTTCTCCTTCAACGCAGTCACCTCCCTGTCGAACTGCGCTCTCAATCCTTGTACCGCCATCTCCCGCTCCTCGTTCACTTTCTGGATCTCTGCCTGCAGCTTCGCCCTCTCCGCCTTCTCCTTCTCCCGCTCACCCTTTTCCGTCTCCTTCAACGTGTTGACTTCCTTCACAGCATCGTCTCGCTCCTTTTCCGCCTTCACCAGTTTCTGCCTGACCGTCTTCAGCAAAGCAATAGCTTTCGTCCTCTTCTCCTCTTCCTCCTTCGCGTCGTTCTTCGCCTTATTCAGCTCGCTCTGCAGCTTGTCGATCTCCGCTTTCCGCTTCGCAGACTCCTGCTCAGCCTGGGCGGTGGAGCTTTGAGAGGCCTTGAGCAGCTTCTCAGCTTCTTCGACCTGGGCTTTGAGCTGATCGATCTGGTCGATTTGAGACTCGGATTCTAGACGGTGGATATCACGAAGCTCCTCAATGCGTTCGTCCTGGCCTATTATGACACGTGAGCAAACAGTGTACCACGAAAGTCGGTGCACTTACGCGTAAGCTTGCCTGTCAGGCGTCGGATCTCGTCCTGCGCCATCTGGTCCTTGGATTGGCACTTGCGCATGATGGATAAGTAACAAACTTCACTCACCTCTGTCTTGAAGCTCATGTTCTGGAGGAAGTCCCGTAGTGCGTCGACCTCTGTCACACTCTCGACAGAAGTCAACTCGCGCAAGACTCGGTCAGCAGCGAGCTTCTCAGCTTGGAGACGCTTGAATGACGTCGAGACATCTAGGCGGACTGTTAGCCCATCCAGAATGACCACAAAACATCAGGGATGTACCTGTGAATCGTTGTTCTACGAGCTTCAACCTCTTCTGGAGTGCCTCGACATCGACACCGTCCGAAATCTTGCCGTTGGGAGTAGCAGGCCGGGGCGTCTCCGAACGAATCTCCAAGACTTCTTCGACAGAGATAGCAGGCTCCAGAGGCTTGCCGCCGTTGACTACATTCGCAGGAGCTTCGGCAGCTGCATTGCCGTTGGCCGTGCTGAGAGGGTCTTCCGCAAGTGGTTCGTCCGCAAGAAGATCAACAGCAGGGCCTGCCTCGGCGGAGACCTCCACAGGAGCATCTTGAGCATCAGAAGGGACACCAAGCGGACTACCGATATCGGAAGCCTCGGACTCCTCCGCGGGTGGAAATGGCGAGTTCTCCGACACAGGTTGGGCGGGAGTCGAGCTCTCCTGCGTAACAGCACTTGCAGAAATAGCTTCATCAACCTCTACACCGTTCTCTTGCGCTTGCGGCGCCGAGACAACCTCAGCTACGATAGTATCATCCTGTGAACCCGGCGCGGACTCCGCGACGGACGATGGTGGCTCTACTGACGGAGCCAGTGCGCTCGCTTCGACAGGCGGCGGACTATCTTCCTTCGCAGGGGTTGCCTCTTCTCCATCCTTCGAGACAGCAGGCGCGTTTGACGATATTGGAGGAGGTGACGACGAAGTGGTACGGGCCGTAACCGACCCGGCAAGCGGATTCTCGGTGGTCGGCGACTGCAGTGGCGAGTCTGGAAGGGGAGCAGAAGTGGGGGAGAGGGGATTGGGCGGACCTTTCACCACGGGTATGTCTTGGTCCTGAGACGCACTTGGGGTGATGGCAAGGGGATGGTCCGTAGCGGACACCGGGGAAGGCGATGCCCTGGAGGAGGCTGCAGGGGTAGAGCCGCTCGACGTATCTCCACTGGCAAGCTTCGCCCGCAATCGATCCTCTAGTGTCGACCGTCCGGCAGGGCGCGGCCTTTGCGCGGGCGACGCAGCAGGCGACGCAGCAGGTGGGGAGGTAGCAGGCGATTGCGTCTGGCCGACACTGGGACTCGCAGGTCGTTGGGCCGCCAAGGACTTCCTCAAATTGCTCAACGCGGACTCAGCAAGGAGCGAGGAAGACGAAAGGGATGTGCGAATGCCGTCTATCGAGGAGCGTATTGGTGTCTCCTCGCCATTAGCACTCGACGCGTCCTGGGAGTTCCTGGGAGACTGGGCTAAGCTTTCTACGGTTTGCCTCCAGCTGCTGAACATCGCACTAGACAGAGAATATGGATGAAAGGCAAGTCAGAAGCGTCGACGACGTCCCAGGAAGGAGCGAGGTTTAGGACATAGAGTAAGATACATGTCATGGAGAGCCCTGGTCCGGAAGCTTGCAGCCGCTCGTGCCGTCATAAGCGCTTACAGTCGATTGGCAACTTCGCGCAATACCTGGACATATGTAGTGGAATCCAAGTGTATACGAAGCATATGCGCGTCGATACAATACAAGTAGTATACACATCAAGGGGACTCAGAGTCTGCGACAGCGACATCCTTACCCTTTCCATTGATGGCAGGAGGCGCAGGACTACTGGGTGATATCACAGATGGCGGTGGGGTAGACGGTGTTGAGACCTGGCTCGCCAGGCCACCAGCTAGTTGCCATGCAGGTATAGAGGGTTTTCCGGGAAGGATGGGTGTTGATGGACCTGTGGATATCCCTGGTCCCCGACTGAGGAGAAGTGCCTTCAGAGACTTGAGCTCTTGCTGCAGCTCCGCGAGGGATTGATTGTGGCTCTCCTTGTTCTTTTCAATCATCTGCAAGAATGTGTGTCATTGAACGCGCACAAGGGAGTGTAAATCCGGAAACTCACCTTAGGCAGCATTTCGCGCACATTGTTCACTTCTTCACGGATTTCGCGCATCTCGTCTCTTGTCCTAGCCTCGCCGTCTCGCATGTCTTTAACCACGCTGTCCACTTCTTTTGTGACCTTGGCAACTTTCTCGTTCTGCTCCTCCACAGCAGCACGGACGGCGGTCGTTTCGGCCTGAATCTCCTTCAGCAGGGCCTCTGCGGCGTCGAACTGCGCAGTCATTGCGTCCTTGTCCTGTTCATATGCGGTTGCTGAAGGAGGTTTGAGATGTGGGGAGACGTATTTCTGCGATGTGGATGTCACTACAAGAAAGCATTATGTAACGGATGAGGCTCACTCGGAATAGCGCCGCTGCACCGTATGCAATTGTACCAGATACAACAGCCGTGATCTGACGGCATTATATTAGGGCGGATACTACCAAAATATGGAGCAGACTCACAAAGTAATCTCTCCAGTCCCATTGAGGTGGTAGCGGTTGAATGGCATTATAGGGCATAGGTCCGTAGGTGGGACTATACGCACTTGGGCCATACGCTTGTGGTGCTGTATGGTTTGCTGCAGCCTGCCTCATAGCTTCCTCTATCTCGGGTCCAGTCAACCCTTTGGCTTCTAGAAACTGGACGCGTTGAGCGAGGGGAGCGGCCTGAGCCTAGTGACTATGTTCAGCCAGGACCGCGAGACTGAGCATGCAGATTAGTCACCTTTGGATCGACGAGGAACGAGACCGCGTTGCGTATGAGCTCTTGTCTATCTGGTGTCGCCATGGCTGAGGAGACCAAGGAACCAGACGGAGTAGGTTACAGTATACAGACCAAGGTGAGGCTGGGTGTTCATGCGCGCCGGCAACCGTACAGTCCGAGACCGAGACCAGCGGGATTGTGGCACTTTGGGCGCCTGTTGCGGAGGGAGCCGTGCCGGTGCTCCGAGGAAGCGACCGGCCAAGAATTTTGGGAGGTGTGCGCTAGCACCGCGGCGTCAGTCACGTCTGTGCTACTTGCATCCCTCCACTCGTCCTCGTCATGTTCAAGGCGCAGCTCCCCGCTACCAGGGTCATCGCCCGCCGTCTCTACAGCTCGCGTGGTGTGTATCTGGCTATCGATATACTCGTACGGCTCTTATTGACATGTGACAGCGACGCAATCCCTGTACAGCTGTGCGAGGGGTTCGGTCAGGTCCCCTGCCCCCGCAGCCTCGTCACTCTGCAGGCCAGTTGGGCGAAGCCTGGGTGATTTTATCATTCGAATCTTGTAGAGACTTGGTGTGATCTGACTGTTATAACCCTATTCAGTCTTTGCTCGCGGGTACGCTGAGCCTGCCTCGTCCAAGTTCTCGCGTGCGAAGCCCCATTTGAACATTGGTACTATCGGTACGTAGCTAAGGAGCATCTATATGAGTTCAAGTCAACTACATCTCATCTTCATACAGGCCACGTTGACCATGGCAAGACCACACTGACCGCCGCTATCACTAAGGTCCTTTCGGAGAAGGGTGCCGCGAGCTTCACCGACTATTCCCAAATCGACAAGGCACCTGAGGAGAAGGCCCGCGGTATCACCATCAACTCTGCGCATGTTGAGTATGAGAGTGATACCCGTCACTACGGCCACATTGACTGTCCCGGTCACGCTGATTGTGAGTCTCCCGTTTTGACGTGTAACCTTCTTGCCTCGTCTAACTCCCCGCAGACATCAAGAACATGATTACTGGTGCCGCGCAGATGGATGGCGCTATCATTGTCGTGTCAGCGACCGACGGTCAGATGCCTCAAACTCGTGAGCACCTGCTGCTCGCTCGCCAGGTTGGCATCAAGAAACTCGTCGTCTTCATTAACAAGGTCGACATGATCGCCGACAAGGAGATGCTTGAGCTCGTCGACATGGAGATGCGAGACCTTCTCTCGACGTACAACTTCGACGGCGAGAACACCCCCATCATCCTGGGTTCTGCCCTTGCCGCTCTTGAGGGTCGCGACCCTGCCATTGGTGCTGACAAGATCAACGAGCTTATCAAGGCTTGTGACGAGTGGCTTGAGATTCCTCCTCGTACGTAAGCTCGTTTGTTTTGACGAAGATTTACTGAGTATGTTTTAGGTGACCTCGAAAAGCCCTTCCTGCTCCCTGTTGAGGACGTCTTCTCCATCTCTGGTCGTGGTACCGTTGCTACTGGCCGTGTAAGTGTCCTTTCGCAATGGGGTCTCAGCGTCATTGCTCACCGTGAGAATAGGTGGAGCGTGGTGTCATCAACAAGGGTGATGAAGTCGAGATCCTGGGCTTCGGCACAAAGATCAAGTCGGTCCTCACCGGGATTGGTGCGTCAGACGCCCGCTTCCCCTGCTGTACCATGTCTAACTGAATTGCATTAGAGGCATTCCACAAGGAGCTTGATCGTGGTGAGGCTGGCGACAACATGGGTGCTTTGCTCCGCGGTATCAAGCGTGAGCAGATCAAGCGCGGTCACGTCATCGTTGCGCCCGGCTCGATAAAGGCGGTGAAGAAGTTTCAGGCTCAAATTTACGTCCTCACGAAGGACGAGGGTGGCCGTTACACGCCCTTCATGGCCAACTACACGCCTCAGCTCTTCATCCGCACTGCGGATATCAGCACGCGGTTGTCGTGGCCAGAGGACACCGCTGATGCTGAGGAGAAGATGGTTATGCCCGGTGACAACGTGGAGATGGTTTGCACACTGCACCATGACGTAGCGGGTGAGGTTGGTTCTCGGTAAGTCACTTCCCCTATTCCGGGATATAATGATGGAGCTAATACGACTCAGTTTCACGCTTCGTGAGGGTGGCAAGACCATTGGCACGGGTATCATCACCAAAATTCTTGAGTATGCATGAGCGGATCAGAGGATCCTTTGCGTCATCACCGTCATATATACTTCCGTCGTTAATGCATGTGCTTGTAATATCTTGCTCCCCACTCATCGCAAAAGGAGACCTCGAGCTCGCACACTCGCCCCTCACCGTAGCCACTGTACCTTAGCCACCCATGTCCCTCACAATGCTCACATAGATGCTAGCGCAATCTCATATACTCATATGGATGAAACTACGTATGCAGTCTGAACGGTACGGCGACGGCGAGACGAAATGCCTTGACGTAACGGCGCAACCATATGAGGGAAGCGCGAGTCGTGGACCGAGACTTTTTGAACGGAGTTCCGTCTCCCCCCTCGCTTCGCCACCTCTCTTCCTTCTCTCCGTGCTCGCGTCTTGGCTAGAAAGTTGTCCTAACAAGACATCGCATAATGTTCTCTGCTGTTCGTCAAGCTTCGCGTTCCGGTTCGTACGCTCTGCGCGCGGTGCGCACGGCGACCTCTGCTGCGCGCCTCGGTCGCCCGACGACGTTCGTCCGCACGCTCATCAGTGAGTTCAGTTCACACCGCTCCTTGTAGGCTCGGGCGAGCTTGCTGACGTGCGCATAGCGAAGAAGTACACTGAAGACCATGAGGCGGTTGTCTATGATGACCAGACCCAAATCGGTACCGTGTCCATCACGGATTATGCCCAGTCAAGTCTCGGAGACGTCGTGTATGTTGAGCTCCCACAAGAGGGTTCTGAGATCTCCCAAGGTGGTACGTGTCATACATGAATTGTGCTCGTCTTGTCGCCGAACTGCGAACTCGCGCAGATCAAATTGGTGCGGTGGAGAGCGTGAAGGCGGCCTCGGATATTGTGAGCCCAATTCATCATCATCGCTTGGGGCACTACGTGCTTATACGAATGACGCAGTTCGCGCCAGTATCCGGAACGGTCCAGGAAGTCAATGCCACCCTCAATGACCAGCCTGGGCTGCTGAACAAGTCCCCTGAGGAGAAGGGTACGTGCCGTGTCTTCTCCATGGCCTGTGCCTGGTTGTAATAAACATGCTCTTAGGCTGGCTGTGCAAAGTCAAGCTATCGAATCCCTCTGAGGTGCGTGCTGATTCAGACTCTGTGATTGAGGTATTTGGTATTGACGCTTAAAACAGCTGGAGAAGCTGATGACGGAAGAGGAGTACAAGAAACATTGCGAGTCGGATCACTGAAGAGACGGCCATCCATTGACTTTCATAAATAATGAGGCGGGCAGTAGTGGCTTGGGTCTCGCAGCCTCAACGCTGCCAGGCAGTGGGCTAGGTCGAGGGAAGATTTGCGTAGTGATACTAGACCACCTTAGGACGCGTGCTTCAACGCAGATAATGAACGAATGATCATGCATGCTATCCCTCCTTGAACGTGTTTCATATTCGTACAATTCTCAAGAGCAAGTTGGATGGATTGCAATCGGCGCCGATGCAACGAACGACAGCAACAGGATAGGTCTAGTGTTCGGGCTTCTCGCCACGTGCCTCCATGCGAGCCTTGGCTTCCTGCAATGCCCAGGCCTGGATGCTGCATAGGGAAGCGAATGTTAATATACGACGTGGGTGGATGTCCTATAGCGCAACGCACCTGGTATCGGGTTTGTAGTAGAGCAACACCGCCGCCAAACCCATTGTGCCATACATGCCTAGATACCAAACGTTCTCCCAAGCCTCCTTCTTGCGCTTCTGTCCAGCTGGTAGTGGCTATGTGTCGTGTTTCATGGAGGACAAATGAAACAAGAGGTGAGAGGGGAGGCGAAACGAGCACGGTCAACTAAATGTACCTTCTCAGCAAAGAGGTAGCCAGTAGGCTCGTTGTATTGGGGGCCATGCCCGTGTGACGCGTACCGTCGGCAGCCAGGCAGGTTGCGGGATGAGCAGATCCGCCGTTGCAGCGTTCGTAGTGACGACGGTGAAGGCATGAATGAAAGGTGTGGTAGCAAGTAGTCGGTCTCCCCCAACGCAAGCGTTCACTTTGGGCGCCCATCTCCCTCTTGGTATGGGTTAGGGTTCCCAAATATGGCTGTACTCATCCACGTCTGCACGTACTTACATAGGCATCGAAGTTGAGACGACTCAGAAAACTTGATGGCTACCATAAGATATGCATAGGGTATAGATGCTCCATTAAAAATATGCTACAAATCCTTTGATAATATCTCATAATCTATATGAGGCCTGTCTTCCTCTGTGGTGTTCTCCTGACCTTCGAGCTCGCATTCGTCGTCCGGAGAACAAGGATCTAGGATGAACCTACTATGATGTCAGAGAGTGGAAAAGCACAAAAATAAGCTCACTGACCCTAGCTTGGCATACATATGACGGGCTGATTCGTTCTCTGCGGCAAAGTTCAATACGCCATACTGGAGGTGTCACGGAGATTGTACCTTTTAGGACAGTCAACATGATCTTCTGCATGCGCCAATGCTTCCCAATCATGGCCAGTTTCTCCACTATGAAGCGACCAATACCACGACGTCTGAAGGCATCCGCGACTTGTAGCTCATAGCTAACCCACAGCTGTGATGAACTCTTCCCTTTCCAGGACATGATGACCCCTTACCAGTAGAGCAGATCTTCATCATCTTCATGTTCAAAACGGAAGTGCGCAAATGCAATTATCTCTGGATCCTTCTCTCCCGCCTGCGGGTTGGCATCTTCACGTAACAAAAGGATATGTCTAGAATGGCGGTGGAAAAGCTCCTTCTTCTTTTCAGTGGGGTTCCAGCCAAACGAGGACGGTACCGTCCTGTAGAAGTGGCCATAGCATCAGCTAAGCATTGATACACAGGCACAGTAACGCACATTTCTCTCATATTTGCCTCCCACAGAGCCCAGATAGCGTCCCGGATGGTATCGTCGGAAGCTAAGGTGGAACCATGGTCGACGCGTACTGTGAACCTGCACGGTACTGAGTAGTTTCAGTGCGGGGACGGATTGTACCACTTACTCGTTGGTCCCGAGGGTCACCTTTCCTGTTAAACCAGCCACAGAGGCGATCTTTTCGGGAGACGCCTGTCATATGGTGAGCTGGCGCAACATGGGCGTACTTGTGGACATACTTTGTTGGCAGCCTTTACACGTCTGGAACTCGAAATCGCCATGCGTCAGGTCGCTCAATCGGAAGTTCAACTGTCAAAGGAAGGCTTGAGTGCGACGAGAGTGTCCGCCGGCCGCGTCCGAACTGCGGGAGACTCGGGCCAACGCTACGATGCTGTCTTATAACCGGGTCTCTGTATTCCGAGCTCTCTCGCTCCTTGGAGAGCGATTGTCAACTAAGGACAGCTAAGGCGACTACTAAGCGTCGTCGCAAGTTGCAGCGCTATTAGTGGAGCATGGGGTTGGAAGCAGGTAAGCGCTTAGTCATGAACGAAAGGTTTTCAGTCACATGATCCTTCACAGCTTCTCTATAACCTCCACAGGTCAGTTCTACTTTACCTCGGGATACCACTGAATGGCTAGATGTACTAATATCAGTGATTTAAACTGTTGTTATAGGCACGTTAGAGGAGGGCAGACCGTGCCATAGCATCTTGTCACTTTTTGCACTAGTCCCCAATCGGAGCCCTCTTTCGTAGTGCCTCCACCATGAAACTCGATGCCACAGACCTCCGATATGTCACTTCTGACGAGTTCAGAGTGCTTACGGCCGTACGTTGACCTGGAACCAGTACCAAATCCGGTGACATGAACTGAGCAGGCGTTATGAGAACAGGTTGAAATGGGGTCGAAGAACCACGAGACCGTCCCGACAGTGCTGATCGTGAAGATATCTGGTTTGCGGAACGGGGGCGTTAACAAAATCCTTGGCTCTCTCGCCAAGAGAAATCTTGTTTCGAGGATACAGAACGCTAAATGTAGGTCATACAGGCATATATCGCTTGACCCTACTTGCCTGCCGGTCCTTGCTCTTACTGATCCTCGATCTACTCACAGACGATGGGTATCGCCTCACCTACGGCGGATATGATTATCTAGCTATGCGTGCAATGTCTAAGCGCGACACCGTGTACTCCATTGGGAACCAGATCGGTGTCGGCAAGGAATCTGGTATAGTATCATCCGCCCGACAAGCCTTTCCACCAGTCCGTTGAGAAAATTTTATCTCCAGATATATACATTGTCGCCGACAAGGACGGCAACGAGCTAGTCCTCAAACTTCATAGGTCGGTGTCATCCGCATGGCCGTGCACTCGCATCTTGCTCAACATTTTGTAGACTGGGCCGTATTTCCTTCCGAGCGATTAAGGCAAAAAGAGATTACATGGGTAAACGGAAATCGGCGTCTTGGATGTACATGTCCCGTCTCGCCGCGGAGAAGGAGTACGCCTTCATGAAGGTGCGTAAGCCAGCCTCAGGCCAGCTGAGAACATCTGTGACCTCATGGCGTCGATAGGTCCTGTACGAGCACAATTTCCCAGTCCCAAGACCTGTCGACCAAGCAAGACACTGCATCCTCATGGAGTTCATCGACGCATATCCCTTGTAGGCGACGCCTCAAACTTACCATATCAATCGGCGTGCTGACCCATTCCAGACGTCAAATAGCGGACGTCCCGTCCCCGGGTGCGCTCTACTCAAAGCTGATGGACATGATCGTCCGCTTCGCCCGCGCCGGGCTCATCCACGGCGACTTCAACGAGTTCAACATCCTCATCCGGCGCGCCTCGGGCGAGCCCGTCGTCATCGACTTCCCGCAGATGGTCAGCACGTCGCACCAGAACGCGGAATGGTGCGTGCATCCCGCTGACGCTGACGTGCCGCCTCGCCCCGCCGGTCTCCAGCGGCGATGCGGGCAGGGGTCGCTTGCGGCGAGCATCCGCGTTTCCTTTCGTGCTAAATTGCGGCGCGTTGCAGGTACTTCAACCGTGACGTGGAGTGCATCCGGCGGTTCTTCAGGCGGCGGTTCCGCTACGAGAGCAGTATCTATCCCCGTTTCCGCGCGGTCAAGTCCGAGAAGGGCGACGATGGCTCGGAGGAATGGCACCTCGACCTCGTGGTGTGCGCGAGCGGGTACGACAAGGGGGAACATAAGGTGTTGGAAGAAGTACGTCTGGTCGCGCAATTCGCCCCAGCGCATCCTGGGTGTTGACGAGTCGCGGCATGATCCGAAATGCTGACATGTTCTCGACGGTATGTAGTACATGGACAACATGCTGCGTGAGAAGGCAGACGCAGGATCGGACGAGGAAGAGGCCGAAGGGAGCGGCGAAGGGGACGAGGACGAGGACGATGAAGAAGGGGAAGATGAAGAGGAGTTCAGCGAAGACGAAGATGGACACGTTCTAGATCGCGTCGAACGCCGAGGCAGAGGCAGTCGCGACGAGGAAGCGGGGAACTCAGGCCCCGAAGGCGGAGATGCGCTACGCGTTCATGAATCTGGAGAACCACAACCACGGGATACTTCGGTGCATGTGCGCACACATCCCGAAGGAGACGTGCATGGTGTACCGAACGCTTCTGATGGGGACGAGGAAGCCGACGGGGATGGCCCATCTTCCCGCGCAGATTCACCGCGATCTTCGGCACCCCGCTCGCCTTCGCCCTCTCTCGCGGACCGTACGGCTGCGATGTCTCTGCAGTCTTCGCACAAGGCTTCGGCATCTGGCGCGAAGGACATCTCAGAGAAGGTTCAGACTGAGGTCGCGAAACGGCGTGCTCGGAACCAGCGCAAGTACCATTCTAAGAAGGGCGCGCAGAGCCAGGGCGGCCGGCCCCGGGGAAGCAAGAGGAAGCAAGACACAAAAATCAAGTTGGACGGCGGTGGGTTCTGGGACTAGCTACGGAGATACGGCGGAGTTAGGGCCTAGAACGTCCAAGAGCATGTCATGTAACCTTACCATACACAATGTTGTATCTTAGCGTTTCTGTCGTGTAGGTACTGGATTGATTGTTACTGTTCGGTGCAATGCGGTGCCAAAGCGAGGAAAGCCTCTCTATCTTCTGGCATTCTGCTCGGAATTTGGTGGCGACGATCGACATGCGGACCACACCTCGATAACGAAGAAAAGTCTCATAGCCCCGCGGAGTGCTCGCGGACCGACGAGTGGAGGTATATTGCCCGAGCACTGTCGAATGCGCATATATGAACCCTGGAGCCTGCAACGAACACTGTAGTGTCAATGACCGCTATGGGTAGTCCTAGTGTCACTATTATGAGCCTGTCAGGCAACTGCCGGGTGCATTGCGCCTGCGAGCGGGGAGTGACGTTGCAGGTAGAGAGGTCCCAGTGCCTGGTGGACCGCAACAGGGGAGACTATGAACGGCCACACGGCAGCGACAAGTGAAGTCGGGAATGTACCTGCCTGAGAATGCATCAATTTACTCGATTTCGTCGCATGGACTGTCGCGCTCTCGCCAGCGAGCGGCATCTTGCACGTTTTAGTCCCAATCAAGCCCAAGGGACTTGTACATTGGGACCGGGGTTGGCGATGTAACAAAAGAGCTCCGCTCGGTATCCCCGTCGTCTGTGAGATTGAACTGACGTATGGTTCGGACATCCCGGAGCGGGCGATTGGGGGATAGGTCGAGCGGACTTTGAAAACAGAGGCGCAATGAACCCAATGGAAGGAGTTGAATGACCAGGCCACTGGAAGGACGCCGTACGGATATGGTGACGCTGGCGCGTAGCCACGGGTAGGGAGTCGTTGTCGTGAAGAGATGAGAACTGAAGGTGACCAGGACGGGGGGCACATTAATGTGCTTGACAAGGATCGTCAGGCCGGGAGCCTATCCCGAGCCCCAGAGCTCAGCAGATCGTGAAGATTCCAGAATCTGGCGCCGCTTTTCTCAAGAGCGGGAACGAGAACACACCGGATCTCACCCCCCTGCCGGGTTCATAGTCCGCAGATCGAGAGCCATGCTTGAGAAGTCCTCCCAGATTTGTGACATGGATCAGATCCTGCCACCCGCCACGGCATTTCTGCAACCGAACAGCATCTCTAGATCGGCCCGCACCCCAGCGGGGGCCGAGATCGATGAAGGGCTGTTGGTCCATGATAGACCGGCCCGAGACATGTAACCACAACATATCGTTTGCTCTCACCACCTGCTGGTTGTGCGTCATACTACGGTATTGAGGCAATTGATCCGTACCCACGCTAGAATTCAGACAAGTATCCCAGGCCGTTTTGGGACCCATGCAGTGTTGGTGACGAGGCATCGCGGGATTCGTATCACGGCGGAGACACCTGATAGGCTCCCTATACTACAAAGCAGGGAAGCAGGGCGGAGTTCATGCAATTGGTCTGACGCAATGGTGCACAAACTATCAGACACCAACGGGGGCATCTACGAAATGATCCTCGCAGAGGCCACAACCAGGAAGCAGGTGCGCCCAGCCAAAGCGGTGTGCTTGTGTGTCGATCCATAATGCCCCTTGATTTCAACCATGGTGCCCAATTCGCAACGGCAAGGCCAACGTACCTTATGCCGGAGTATTTCTCGAGATGTGTAGCGTCCACGCAAGAGACAGTAGCAGCCACTCGAATTATCATCAAGCGCAATCCTCCCGGGAGCAGATCGCGCGTACTTGGAGTGCCCTCGCAACCGGACCAATAGTATTGAACATGTGTGTAGAGGCCACACAGAACGCGCAGGAGCATGTCCGTACGGGAGCGCGGACAATTTCAGTTTCGGACGCTCCGCGTGCTTCAACCCATATTCTAGCAGAAGCGCGTGTGTTATACTCGACAAAGGCACGCGAGCACTTGGCGTCAGAACGGGCCTAGAGGAGATGGGAATGCTTCATACGCACGAACGCGTCACACAATGACGCAGGGTCCCATAACATCGAGTGTCCATGTAGATGGAGGCTATATCTGCGCTTAGGGAACCAAACCGAAGTTCCATGAGACACGTTGCACGCAGAGCGAATATGAAGGTGTTTTCCGTAGCTTAATGTTGGTGCGCTCCACCTCATCTTGCCATCGTCGAAATCTTCCGTGTCGACCGGTCGCCCATCTTGGCCAATCTGGACGCTAGGCATGAGGGGTTAAATGAGGGAGCTAGTGCGCACAACAAAGCAGCATATACAGTACAATCTGCGGCTTACATTAGCAGATGAGCATGATCAGAATGCGTGTTACGCACCGATGGTCTAAGTGTTCATGCATTTGGGTCGTCAACCACCTCGAACTTGTGTTTGATTCGAGGTGCGACCCCCGTCATTCCCTTCCCACTGCCTGTAACTCCAACTGAATGCACCGACGCAAGTAATAAGTAGCAGCCTATTATGCGAACCACGAAGGCGGCATGCACATACCTCTCCCGAGGGGGTTATCTGGTGTCTTGAAGATGCTGCTCCCCGCAACGCCCGCTATGTGGATGCCCTTCTTCTCCGACTTCTTCGCAAACTTTTGCCAGGACATCTGCTTCTCCTGCTGCTCCTTCGCTTTCGCCGCGCGCACCTCCAGCTTCTTCTCGTTCTTCTTCTTCTTCTTCTCCTTCTCCTCGTCCTCGACCTTCGCCAGCTTCCGCTTGCTCCCCGCGCTCGCGGCGCCCATCGACGCGCTCGCGGTGTAGTTCCCGGGCAGGGGCTTGATCTGGCTCGCGCTCACGAGCTCCGTGTTGTTGTACACCTTGAACACGACCGAGTACTGCCTATTGTCCGCGGACCCGCCCACCGACGCGATGCGCGCGGGGTACCACTGGCCGTCCCCTGAGTACTTCGCGAGGCACTCGTCCCCCGCTGCCCACGCTTTCGACGAGGACGCGCCCGAAGCGGCGGCAGCGGCAGCGGCATGGGCCTTCTTCGACGCTTCGGAGGGTTTAGACGAGGAGGCGGTGGCTTCGTGCTGGGCGAGCGCGGCCTGCGTGAGCTCGATGAGCTCCTTGAGCTCTGAGCGGAGGGAGATGAGTTCGCTGTTGTCGGGATCTGCGGAGAGGGCGAGCTCGACTTGCGAGAGCTGCACTTGGTATGTCTCAAGATCGGCTTTGTCCATTGCGGCGAGATATGGTATGTAAGAAGTCTAGGGATACGGGCAGCGGGGGCAGACGCGGGCAGGCGACGGGTGAGGACGAAGGGGTCACCCGGCGCTTGGTGCCGACCCACCTGCGGGCGTGGGAACGCGCGATTTAACTCGCTGCAGTACTTACAGTACAATCGACGCAGATACGTTCGACGGGAGTCTTGCTTGTCTGGAATTATCTTCTTTCAAGGCACCCCATTTATCTGCTCAACATACCTCAAGGTAACAACAGGGTTGGGCCCACTAATATCGACGAATGCGTCTTGAAAGATAGTGCACAACCGCGACAACATGATGCTATTACTACTACTCGAATGCACATTCTGCAACCAAAGAAATCAACAGCCAAGTCTCACTATCCCGACGAATCTAGCGGGTGCCAATCAGCAATAGGATGACCGGCACTGAGTGAGTTTGTCCTCCAGATCTTTATTCTATGAGATGCTGCTTAGCGTCCTGCAATTGAACAAGCTACCCCGACTTACAGCACGTTCGATCTCGAGAATCTTCAGCTTCTGCTCAACGCCGTCGTGATGCAATCCAGAGACCATGCTCTGGCATATTGTCAGCACTGATGTCCACGGAAGCGGAAGGGAGCAGCTGCTGCTCACCTTTGCTGTCTTGGCGTTAAGTCCGCGATATGGGTCGAGCTTCTCCGGAGGGACCGGCGCCAGCGAGTAGCTAGCTAACTGATCATGAAGACGGTCGATGTGCGCTTCGAGACTGGCGGTATAGATGGTTCGCCTATGAGGTGCCCCCATCGTCGAGCTGAAGTAGGAGTAAGCATCTACTCGTCTGCCTCTCCTGTGTATGGACATACATCTCCTGAGGAGTGAACAGAATCTTTTCGAGGGCGTGATTCCACATCTTTCGCCGCTTGCCGGCGGTGTTCTTTTTGTTGTACAGGCGCGCATATGGGTGCGCGATCTGTCCCCGGGCGGTGAAGCTGGTCGCGTCCAAGCACGCGGGTTCCGACAACCTACGCGTCTGGCGTCTCGAGAGCGCGCTTGAGGACGGTCCAGCGTCCGATGGTAGTGCAGGAAAGCTGTAGGGAGGCATGGCCGACGCATCCGGCGTGTACATGGATTGAGGGCTTGATCCCTCGTAGGGAGACGCGCTCGACGACGTAGGGGAAGGGGTGAACATGTCTCGACCACGATATTCAGAGTCGCTATGAGCCATCGTAGGAGTGACGTGGTAGGGTACACCCGAGTTGCCGCCGGTATATAGTTCGAGGTGCGTAGGTGGCAACATCGCCGGAAGGCCGGCGGCGTCGAGAGATGTGATCGAATATGCGGTATTCGAATCGCCGGGATGGTAGCGTGCAGCAGACTCCATGGTTGTTGGCAAGTGGCAGATGGACGCGGGCTGCTTGGATTGTACACGCGTGGCTGCTTATAACCGCAGCATATGGAGGGCACGGGGGGTAGGGTCGGCTGCCGAGACGGAGGAGGGAGATGCGTGAAGATTGGAGATCTCACACTGCGGGTAACTTCTCTTCGCAGCAGGTGTTTCTCGGGAAAAGAAGGTCGATCTCTGCGACTGCACTCCTCGTACTCTCCAGTCAGGCGATTGGACCCCGGGGGACATTTGGGGTGTAATCAAACCAAGGCCTGCTTCGGGGAATTGCATGCACATAGCAGCCGCACGCTAGCCTTCCCGCCGTACGTCGCCGCTGTGCCGACATTCTGACGTTTGTGTTTGATCCTAGGCAAAGCTAATCTCGTAGAACGACTTCCCGTTTTGTAGTGTCCCAGTGGTTCGGTCACGAAGTCTCATTGGGCGACCTGACTAGTGGGAGTTCCCTGTCAACATGAACCCCGCCAATTATGCATGACATGAGATACCTGACCGGCCTCCATGAGCCTCATTGCGAATCTGAAAGGGGAGGGTCTGAGGCGGTGAGCTTGTCTTGTTTCTTATCCGCGGGGGTACAGTGGGCAGTGGGACATGTTGGGGAGGGACTAACGGTGATGTAAACGAGATCTCGCGCGTCGATCTCCGCGGCATCGAGAAAGGGCGGAGGACAGGCGCCCATCGCTCTGTCAACATCCATAGACTCGCAAATTCAATTGACTCCCCAGTTGTTTTTGCGAGCCCCGAATCGAGCAGTTACGCCGCTCGCATCGGGATGGGGCCCGCCGTGGCGCGTCCCGAGAAGCTTCAGTACCATTCCTGGTGAGCTTCTTGCGTCTGCTCTCCCTCTCTCCCGCACGGTCTGATAAATGAACCAGAGTCGGTACTTTGCGACAACCCGGTGCACCATGCGGCCGAAAAATTGCGCAGCCCAGTCATACGTGGTACTGAGAGGACCCTGTCGCATGACGGCACTAGGGCGACCCTGGCGTCCGCTCCAGGGATTCGTCTCTGTATGACAAACTGGGTGACATAGCGGTACGATTTGCTCGCCACGCCGTCTAAGCCAACTATCACCGTCCAGAAGAACTGCTAGAAGCACGCGCGGCCTACTCGGCGGTACGTTGCGGACCCGGTCGAAGACTAGGTCGCTGAGTGCCGCCGGACGAGTTCTACGAAATAAGGATGTCGCTGGCCGTCTACAAACAGGGCACGGCATGGAAGATGCGGCGTATCCCAACTCAGAATGTCGGACAGATATGGTGAAGAGTGGATTCCGGGGCGTGCAGCACCCCGAAACTGAAGGTGCGGTAGCCGTGCACGCAGCCCAAACGCCGCATCTCAGATGCACTTCATGCGGCCACATCGAATCCCAGATCTCTCCAATCTATCCACCTATCGCCATCGAACTCTCCCCCTTTTCCGCCGATCTTATATACCCTCCCCGTGTGCGTGTACCGGTCTAGCGAGCAACCTACAACGTTGTATACTCGGTCATAGTCGCTACCTCCAAGCCCACTCTCAACACACCATGCAGCAATACGCCTCTTCACAAGCACACTTCCTCTCGTCGCAGGTGCGTCTCCGTGCTTGGTCTTATTCCATCACAGCATCTGAACATCGCGATAGGGCCAGTACTCCTCTCCCGAGTATGCGTCATCTGCAGAGCCCCTCGCGTCTAGTAGCAACGCGTCTCCGTATGGCAACAACGCGTCCCCATATAGCAACGAGTCCCCTCCTTGGGCGCATTGCTATTCCTACATGCCGCAGGACTATACGATGTGGCCAGTAAATACGGCTCAGTACGAGTCTGGGTGCTCAGAGCTTCCCCTCTACGCGCCCATGCCCCTCAACGGTCCTGCATATCCTCGTCTGCTCTCTAACATCGAGGACGATGCTTCTAACACCTCTGGCACTACGTCCTTCGCCTCTCACGAGTCGGATGCAGCAATTCCCGAAGCAAAGCCTTATGCCGCGACGGATGAAGAGAACCCGCTGGATGTCTACCTCGACGCCCCTCAGATTCTCTTCCCGACGCCCTCGGAGCTCCTTTCCGATCTGAATACGCGGTCTGAGAGCGGCGGGGGTGCTGCACAAGTCGACGCCCAGGAAAAATCTCGGTCTACGTCGATGTCATCATCCTCTGGTCCATCGCTTGCGAAGAGGAAGAGGGAATCTCGCGAAAAGCCTGAGAATCTCAACCAACGCAAGGCTTATTTCCGCGCCGTGTCCGAGAACGTGGGCTTCACGATCACTGACCCGTAGGTGGCGCATGTTGTACTATACCCATATTTGTGGCTGACATCGCGAAAACAGGGACACCATCACTTCTCACGACAAGAAGCGCAGTTACCTAGAGTGTCTGGAAGAGTACGTTCAGTGGCTCCATGAGCAGATCCGGCTCGTAGGTCACGAGCCGGTGCCCCTCGAACGCATCTCTACCTATCGCGGCCTTCGCAATAATTCCCTAAGGGTAAGCCTGTATTTTGGCTGCGCCTCGCCGACAACAGCTCAATTGTCTCTTAGACAATGTTGGTGCACATGCAAACCACCATCCGGGATCGGAATGTACAAAAGCAGCGGGCTGAGGAACGGGTACGTTTACGTTGAGCTCCAAACTTCTGTTCTCTTCCGCTAATCAGCTCTTCTGGACTTCTCGCAGTTCCTGGAGCTAGAGAGCGCGCTGATGATGCGCACGGCCGCGGAGGAGTCACTGCAGTTCCGGCGGCATTCAATTGCCATCGGCGCGGCCATCCCTTCTAGCATTGCCCCCGGATTCATGGGATAGCTCTGCTACACCGCGCTTGGTATATGATAGGTGCCGTCGCGTCTTGCTGTATTCCGTTTAGCATATAGCTATATCGATTGTGACCCCGCCCTAATGCAATTCTTCGGTACCCAGTATTACGTTTATTATATTCTATGTATTGCATTGCAACATGTTCAGCCATACGTAGCTGTACTACTTAGCTCACTAAAGTGGATGCAAATATGTGACGTGCTCCCCGGGCAGGTCTCACGGGTACGCATTGGGATAATGGCATGCTATAGACATTCAATTGAGCACCACGATATAGCGTTATCGACCGTTCATCTGGACTGGCGAGACGATCTTTGTTTTTGGTTATCGTACCGTTAGAAGGTCAGTCGTTCTGGACGCTCCTTGGCTTGGCAATATGCCGCCATAAGTCGGAACTCAATATCACAGTACAACTGCGTCAGCTAGCAGAAGACCGACGTCTGGAACGCAATATGTTTCGCGGTGTCGGCCCCGCATGTCTGACCAACGGCCATGTCTAGTTAGATCGCAGCAAACCGTATGCACCACACACAACCCATGCCAGCGTAGTTCTGGAATGTGTGTTGCATGAGGCGACTCGGTGCACTGGCACGGTCCAAGACCAGCGTGGCATCCCCGAAGCCACAAGAGGCCAGAGTTTGTGGTTCTCGGGTGGCCCCGTTACGTCTTTAGAGATAGGGTTGAACCCGCGACGACCGAACAGCGCTTCTCGGACGTCGTCGCAGTAACTCCGCAGGGCCATTGAATCGCCCGCGCAGACGACGTGGATCGTCGGGCCAAGGGCCGCATAGAACAGTGGTACAGGACCCGTAGCTGGTTCCCTGCCGGGGTGCGCTCCTGTCGGCGATAAGCCCACGGAGCTCGGATGCTTGCTTAGCTCGGGCGACGGTGTGCACAGACGATTCAGCCAAGGCAGGTAGTAGGAAACCATGGTATTTGTGGACACAGGAGTCAGCCTTCGAGTACCGCAGAGGAAGCTTCATGTATGCAGTCCGTACGCGCCTGTTTACCGAACTATTAGCAGACAAAAAGAGGACCGCGTACCGCGGGAGGTTTGCGCACCCGAATTGGCCCCGGAACGCTCAGCTGCCAGAGCTCTTGCTTATCGTCGAGGTACCCGAAGTAGTCAGGGCAGGATCGCGCCGTACCGGATGAAGAGTAGGCTGCTGTAACACCCATTGCGAAACCTCTGGGAACTCAAAACCACCTGTGCGCGATTGTATGGACACCTCGTAAGCCAGATAGAGATGCCGCAGGTCAGGAGGCGGTGATGATCATGAGCCGCAACAACCCTACGCAACAGAAATGCGCAGTGGCTGCAGCGACGGCAGTCATTCTTGAGAGACGCGAGGCTCGCAAGATGAGTGATCGAGGGCCAACACCTATGAGGTCTGGCAGTGAGCTAGGATGGTTGAGCCATGTTGTGAGATGGATGGCCGTACCGAGATGTTATAGACATTGGTCGTGGACACCATCATGCCCAATAGACTCTTTCTGCAAGCGATTCAGAATCAGTGGGGCCTTCACGCTTAGTGCTCCGCAACGTCTCGCGTGTGCTATGATGGTTGTCCCTAGACTTATACACTGGGTGGGCTCTTCTTAGCACTTTTGAAGCATGGGTCAGATTTCTTTCATGCGGTAAACTGGTATGGGAGGTTGACTCTTTGAATTCTTGCCTACCGTAGTGTACGACAAAGGTTTTCTGAGACGCCTATTGGGGCGGTAAAGGCCATGTCCCACAGCCCCACAGCCCCACTGGTTCAAAGATCACCAAGATTTGGTCTGGTTCTGAACCGCTTGCAGAAAGAGTCTAATAGGCAAACGCATGTGTCCACGCGTTCTGTTGCATGCATTCTGTTGAGCAGCAACAAACCTTTCGCAGATGAGTGCTTCGTCATAAGCACTTAAGAACTGAGCAGTCGAGAAGCGAAGACTTGCGATTGCAAAGCGTTGCTCGGCGCCGACGGGGGAAGGTCGGGCGACAGTAACGCGGAGCGTCGGCGCGGAGGATGCCGTGGCAGTGGATGAGGCCAATTTTGTACAACTGATCAAGCAAGAAACTCCCACAAAGCACCCGTTATACGACGATCTCGCCCTCTTGCCGCCTTACCTACCGCAACCTTCAGCCCAGACTTCTGCTTGACGGACAGACTTTACATCGGCCTGTGTACTCGCTCATTTAGCCGACGACTCGTTCTTCGCCCCCACCGACGAATCCCTACGACGAACCCTGAGCTTCGTATCTCGTTCGAGCTGGTATCATCGATAGTAGAGGTCTTTCATCGAAGCCTAAGTCCCAAACAATCCCACCATCCACGCAAATCTACTCCGCAAACCTTTCCAGTCACCCCCTCGCACCATGGCTTCTGTTTCGAGCTTGCCCGGTCCCGCTCTCCAGGCTTCCAAAGCTGCGCTTTCGGCCGCGCTTGCAGAGAATGTGAAGGACTCCGAGAAGAAGGCGAACGGAGACGAGTCCCTCGAACCTGGAGAAATCCAGGAAGTTGACATGCAAGCGCAGGCGGAAAATATCCGTACCGTGTTCAACGACCCCACCAATTTCAACGTCAAGGTGAGTCCGCTTTCGTTGGTCATGCATGCGATCGTTTTCATTCCGGCTTATGCACCATCGTGTCCTTTTCTCACCAATCTTTGCTACTAGCATCCCCTTTATTCTCCTTGGACTCTTTGGTTCGACTCGCCTGCGACGAAGGGTCGCAATCTTCCTCAGACCCCAATGACTTCATTCCCGCAAACACCTGTCGCACAGACCCCGGGTGGCGTCGCGGCACAGGGCTGGATGGAAGATATCAAGCGGGTGATCACGTTCGATAGTGTGGAAGAGTTTTGGGGGTAAGTCGCAACTGCACGAATTGCTGGGTGTATCGAGCTAATCCGTATGACAGTCTCTATAATAACATCGTCCCGCCATCACAGTTGCCGCAAAAGGCGAATTACTATTTATTCAAGGTCAGGAATCTCGCCAAATTGTAGTTTCTGATACTCACTGACCGGTTGACGTAGGAGGGTATCATTCCTGCTTGGGAGGATGATGCCAACAAAAATGGCGGGAAGTGGAGCATCCAGCTTCCACGAGACAAGAACCGGAGTGTGGTCGACAAGATGTGGCTTTACACAGTGAGCGCTGCTCCAGCACACTTGTTGACCTCATGCAAGAGGCTAACGGACTTGCTATGATAAGATGCTCGCTGCGATCGGCGAGACCTTCGACCCGCTTTTGACGAGCTGTGAGGGCAGCGATTCACCTCAGTCACTGATTACCGGTGTAATCGTCTCGACGCGGCCCCAATTTTATCGTATCTCGATCTGGACGCGGACCGCGCCGACGCTGGCCGGCGGTGACGACGACAAGTTGCGTGAGAGGATCGAGGGAATCGGGCGACACTTCAAGACGCAGGTCTTGGGATATCCTGAGTCCCAGAGGCTCGCGGGTGCGCTGGCGACGGAGGTGGAGTTCTTGTCGCACAAGGACTCGGAGAAGAAGGGAAAGCAGGCGAAAAAGATCGTTGTTTGAACATCGTATGTATGGTATCGACTGGATCCGTCGTCGTGCTCGGAACGCTGCCGGGACGTGTAGCTGCTGTGCGCTTTCTCTGCTGGCTGTAATTTCCTACTTATCACATCCTATATGATACTCGCCTTTGAACCCTTTATCGGAGACTTCATCTACGTATACAGCACTTGCAATGCCGCCGCAGGGGAACGCAGTATCGTGCGCAGCGATCGGGGGTTGCCTTTGTGCGAGCCGTGCACAGAGCTGCGCACTGCGAGCGCTGCTGTGGCTGTAGCGCTAGAGGATGACGTATGGTCGTTGCGACAGTGCCACAGGCAGAAGCCATCGCATAGTACAAAAACCAAGACACCGCGCGACCATCCATCACCATCGCTCCCGTTCCTTACCACCATGCAAGGCCTTTTCTCATCGCTCGCAGACAAGGCCCAATCGGCACTCAACCAGACACCCCTTGGCCGCACGACCTCCAACCAGAGCACACAGGGCGGTCAATCCCCTGGCTCCAGTATCCTCAAATCACATGCGTTCGAAAGCATCCACCACCAACTTCGCAGCTTTCAGCAGCAATACTCGTAAGCATACAGTGCGATCGGGGTATGGTGTGTCTCATTACGGTTCTGCAGGAGCTCTGTGACCCCAGTACAAAAGATCATTACTACTCAGAAGGGTCTCGCGCTCGATTTCGATAGCGTGAGCCGCGATGCCCAGGCCCACAGCAAGGAGCTATACATGTGGGGCCAGACTGAGACCGAGGATCTCAAGGACGGTGAGTAAATGATTCGATCAACTACGTCTACGTTGTACCGACAGACTCTCTCGCTATCTAGTGAGCGACCGTTTGGCCTGGTTGGCTTACATTGAAGGCTCCCTGGCCGCTGCCCTCGCAAAGGAGATCGATGCCTCACGTGCCCCGATCAAGGCGTTACGCGATGCTGAGAATAGCATCAGTGGTAGGCGCAACATCCGTGCGAGCTTCGAGAACCAGATCGCTCGGATCGAGCACGATCAGCGCCATGGCATGGACCAGAAGCTTGCAGAGCTCAAGAGCCAGCTTCGCAAGGCGGAGGCTGACGATGAGCCGCTCGAGAAGGAGATTGAGTTGTTGAAGAGAAAGGCATTGAGAGAAAGTGAAACAGCCAAGTGGAACGCTGTTCGGGAGGTTGGTTGCAGTCATCGTTCTCATATGAAGATGCTAACGGTCTTCTCAGTATGCAGAGAAGCTCTCGCTGGTGGCCCAGGCTGCCACGGCGGCCATTCCAGCGCTCCCTGACATTCCTTCTTCAAAGGAGCGGCCCTACACCGGAGCGCAGCTCACCGCTTCAGTACGAGCCACCCTGCAGCAAGCGCTCGACCACTGGACAGTTGGTGACACTAAACTCAAGCTTCGGGATCCATCTGCGGCCGACCTCAACAGGTCAGATACCCGCAGCTTCGGCGTGACCCACGCCCAAGAGCTTGCTCGCATTAACTCTGCTGATCCTCATGCGAAGAGCAACATTCCAGTTACGCCGCCTGCTACCAGCGAACACCCCCCTCAAGCACCATCGCATAACGCAAACGCCCCCAACCCATCTTCCGTCCCCACTGCATCTCCTCAACCAACAGTGCCTCCGGTCGCCGCGGGTTCCGAGTCAAAGGCCACGCCACCTCCCACGACCTCGCCTCCCCTGAACCCTGCCAATCTCAACCAAACACCTGCGCCCATTCCCGCGAGAATTTCTCCTCCCTCTGTTGTGTCGCCAGACCCTGCCGAACCCGCTGTGAAGGTCCCGATTGTCACACCGACCGTTGCGGAAACGGGTGTTCCACAGTCAGCCGGCCCCGAGGGTCCCGGCCCCGCTAGTGGCTCTTTAAAGGACATAAAGCATTCTTCCCCCATTCTCAGCCCCATAAGCGGCACCGCCGTTGCGACGGGTGATCTCTCGGGATATGGCGGTGCAGCCGCAGGAGTCTTGCAGCCCGAGAGCGCGGAGGAAGAGAAACGGAGGCTCGAGCGCAGCAGCATAGGCGCCCCATGACTGATGGTGGCTGGGCAACCCGCCAATCGAGCAAAAAGCACAACTGCGATCGGCGGTCGCCTCAACATGAAGCCCCCATTGTCCCCTTCGGGGTGACATACGAAAAAATTGGAACGATACAGAGAAGATTAGCATGGCCCCTGCACAAGGATGACACGCTTTCCCGGAGTGGTAGACCTACGGGTCTCAATATTTTTTATGCGTTTCCGTTTTTCTTTGTCTTCACGTTGGGAGTCTCCATACGGGAATACTCCCGACGCCTCCGACGTTTGCAGCTCCCTATGCGGTCACTTCTTTACTGAAACAATCGTCATATACCACACTGGGATAGATACGTGTTACAGCACTATAGTACAAGGTCAAACAGGATACATTAGGGAGGCGTCCGTTCGGAAGACAGTCCGCGATCAAGGGAGCATGAGCAGCCACCTCGTCGACTTGACGACGGCATTCAAAACTCCTGGTAAGGAGGAAGCTCGGGATCAGCGTCGGGGTCGTTTCCAGGGCCAGGAGGACCACGCTTTGAGTCTGGGTTGGGGTTGGAGGGACCTCCAGCAAGGAGTCGTTCTCTTTCCTCCCTCTCGAGACGTCTCTTCTCCTCTTCTGCGCTTTCGTACGTAGGTTGCTCTGGGGAGGTCGCAGGAGCACTACCCCCTGCGCGAAGAAGGCGTTCGCGCTCCTCTGCGTTATACGCCGCCTTCAAGCTGCGCTCGGCCCTGCCACATCCAGCGATAGTCTCGGACTATGTGGTATCTCATTTGAACGATGGCACAATGCGGCAGGCCTGATTTTGCTATGTAATTTGACCACGCCTGCACGCCAGCTTTAGCTCATACTCTCCTCATGGACTGAGGCCTTGAAGTCTTTGTTATTACTACATCTGCCAGAGGTAGTACCGGTCAGGACCAGCGACGTGAAGCTTGATGTCCACAAACACTGCCCGCCCCAGGTTTTCTCCTTCGCCGTGTGTCATAGCAGACACTCGCGACAGGCTCGCGCTAGAATCGAGAAACAATGACTGGATGCCAATCATCCAATGTCCCGCCGACTTTCCCCCACAAGTGGTATATTTTTGCTAGATATTGATGAGCGTACAATGGCTGACGGAGACGGGAAGTTTGATGTCGCAGTATCACAGCTCATCCATCATCCAGAGTATAATTCTACTCTCATCCTGCGTTCCGAAACGCTTGTGGATACATCTTCGGACTTCCCGGCCTCTATACCCCATTTCGACGGCTTCCGTCCTGTGCGCAACATTCACAGGAGGTTGCTTCCCCGTAGGCCCGGACGAGACGCCGGTCTTGAGCAACATTGCACGCTTTATGCACCCACCAATGGAGATGACGACTCTCCCATCGTCCTCGCCTTGACACCTATCCCGGAGGCAGGCGCTGCCCTACCCTACTATCACCCTACCGTCCATCACCTCGCATTCCGTTACATCATTGCAGAGACTCCTCTCTTGCGAATAGAGATCGTTCCACTCGCTGGCACGCCGACGGATTTCAACTCACGAATCTACCGCACGTGTCTGGCGTTATTGGATACACTGCATAGGTATGGCTGGGGTGCGGTCACCAATTACAAGAAACGAGTCCTTCACGATTGTGTCATTCCTCGAGAAGAGTATCAAGACCTCTATCTGGTCATGCGAGAACGGCATAGGCATCTTGTCAATACGTGGCAAGAAGTCACTGACCCTTTGAAGCACGTCTTCGAGGTGCGTCTGACCAAACTCTATCGGTCTGATGTGATACCAATCTACGGCACAGGACATCGGTATTGCCACATTCCTCGTATTGCTCTGGAAGCATACATTCGGCAGTCAGAGTTATGCCTGTACCAGTAGTAATGCTTCCGAGGATCCCGAAAGTGAACCTTGGAGAAGTTGGCCTCGTCCACCGGCCGGGTTCCTTGACCTTGGGTACGAACATAATGGTTCACACGGCTCCTATCAATATCCACTGATCCTGTTGACGTCGTTCAAGTTGTGGCAATGGGCTGCTTACCCACATCCTCACCACAGAAGGCTACGACGGGCACGGCATTGACGTTCGAGCTCGCACGTCCTGGTCCCATTACCCGGAAAGTACTCAGGCGCGACTGCACGTTGAATCCCTGGATCCTTCTGGACCTATTGTGGAGCACCCTTTCCTACGGCATGGAGTGTTCATCATCGCGAACCATGCCGACGAACTCACGCCGTGGACGCCAGTTCTATCGACGTTGGTCTCCGCTTCCGGATACCTGTCCATTCCGTGTTGCACCTGGGCATTCGATGCGAAATATGAGCGGACGAACACTCCCGACTATCCAACGCCCAACGACAACTTCATAGACGGCCTGAATCTAGGAGGCGATGGGAGCAATGCAAGCTCGTACTCAAGGTATAGGATATGGCTTGCGTCGCTCAGCTTGCATTGCGGATGGCAAGTCGAGTGCGAAGCGCTTCGAATTCCAAGCACAAGAAACTGGGCTATCATCGGTGCGTCCATCGTGTACTTCCTCTCGTTGCGTGAGTCACCTCGTCAGTGGACTGACCTCCGTGTTTCCAGGGAGGAGGCGGACGACGCAGGATACAGAGGAGCTTGAGGAAATTCGGAGAAGAGTCGAAGACATCGTCGTCCACGTGCGTGAGAGGGGTCTCTTCAAAACGAGGACGCCGGAAGGAAAAGCAAAGGACCATTAGTGTGTTTTGTGTATCTAGATGTCCTGTACATCGGGGTGTTCTTGTGCCCGTGTGGTGACTGCGTAAATAACATTGGATTGAGCGCTATGTGCCGGTGTAATGCAGTAATTCGGGCGCTTTGGCCGACGGCCACTTGAACTGAACCAGTCCCAGACCTAGGCCTGCTGCCTGCCTCCTGCCCGAGCCTCGCTGCATGCCTCGCGCACTTATGTGACCCTCCTCGAGGCCTCATCTTTTCCTGTCTTTTGCTTTCTTTCAGCCTCCTTATCTGTCTGCATATGTCCGATTATGTTGCATAATCTTCCCGATGAACTGTGGTTGGAGATCTTCGACATGGCTGTCGACGACTCCAGCCTCTTTGAACCCACTCTTCCCACCGCATTCTCCGAGGCCTCTTGGTTCAAGTCGTTGTACGGAGACTGGTCACTGCGGACTGCTCAGGAGGAGGTGAACAGCGCTCAAAGGAAGAGCTATGCTACCAAGAAAGTACGTCGCTTCCCGTGTGGTCAAAGTTGGGCTTCCGACCAAGGTCTGTGTGCAATAGGCAATCATGAACACCTGCAGAAATTGGCGGCGACTGGGCTACGAATTCTACCACCGGTTCCTATTCTTCAGCAACCCTCGTAACATACAGCGTCTGTGTGCGCTTATGGATACCACTAAGGACCTGGGGAAGTGGACGAGGCGTCTGCACGTTACTCGTTACTTTGCCACCGGTGGTGCTTCCTCGGAGACAATACAGAATTCCCTCGTGGCCGTCATCCGGCACTGTCCCAAACTCGAGACATTCATCACGAATTGGCCTCTGTCCATCTCCTTTTCCGCCATTGCCAATGCGCTGTGCACCTATTCGGTCGAGACCCTGCGCGTGCTCCAGATCAATATCCCCACTCTGTCCCTGCCGAAGCTTATATACATGCTGCAATGCCTTCCTAAGCTCGAGGTCCTGCACGTAGAATTCGAAGGCGCGCCGCCAGAGTACCTTCCTCTTGGCGCTGCGGGGGATCTCGAGCTCAACCTTCCCTGTCTGCAACATCTGGCCATCCGAGGACCATTTCAAGACTTCGTCGAGCAAGCCATCGCATGGCGATTGCCCTCGCTAAGGCTTCTCAGCCTCGACTTCATCAACTATCGCGAAGACTTTCCGGACATCATCGAGTTCCTGACAGAGCACGGTCAGGAGCTCACCTTCCTCGATCTCAACTGCATCCCCCCGCTCGAGGTCTCATCTATCCTCGACCTTTGTCCCATGCTCGAGACTTTCACGTTCAATCCCGACTGGCGTCTTGGCGGTTGGGAGCATCACCCTTTCCTCGAGTCCCACCTTGTCAATCAGCCTCACGCGAACATCAAGACGATCGGCTTGCACCACCTCATGTACGCATTTGGCGTCGGCTACGCCGCCACGTATAACAAGGTCGACCCGTTCGTCACCCAGTCGATCCGGCGGCAGAACGACGTCAACTTCGCCGCGCTGAACAAGCGCAACTTCCCGCGTCTCGAGCGCATACGGGTACTCAACCCCACTCTCCTCACGGACTTGGAGAAGAACAACGGCCCGAGCCAGGCGTGTTTCGAGAGGTGGGAGCGGTGGTCGAGGCAGTGCCAGAAGAATAATGTCAGGCTCGAAGATTGCACAGGGGCCCCCTTAGGCACTCTCCCTGAGGTCGACGAGGAAGAGGAGGACGACGAGAGTGCCGTGGGAGAGGGAGAGTTGCACCTGTCTACGTTGCGGGAGCTGCTGTTGGAATGCAGGAAGATGAATGCCGAGCGAGAGCAGGAAACCTTCTCTCCTGCGTTGCATATGATTTACGCAGGAGCTACGCAGGGATAACGGCACATGCATGTAAGGACACCATACTTGTAGAACTATCTCTCCATTGACGGGTTAATTACAGCGTGTTCTCCATGTTTGTGCCGGCCGTACTCATCCTCGCGGTTTATCTCATCTCCGCACGTCCTCCACGACATAACACGATCTGTCACGACCCTGACATCGCTTCCACTCAAGTTTTCGAACCATGTTGTCCTACTGCTCTCGCGTTTTCCCACCTCCTATCACCCAGCGATACCTACGCATTTGGTTCCGATACGCTCTCCTACTACCCGCAACTCCTCGGCCTCGCTAGGCTGCTACAGGCCTTGTCAGCCTCCTCCAGGTGGGAATTAGAATTGCTCTACGAACACACTATTGGGCTCACGTTCGCGTGCGTTCACCGTTTTGCATCAGTCATCAATCTATTGCTACACATACGGACATGTACATAGGGCTACATTGATAGAGTCTATGACAATATATGCGCTAGAAATCGTACAAATCTGGTCGCTCTGATGTGAATGCTACCTTTTTCTTGACCTTCGCTTTTTTGAAGGCGCTCTCCGGTTTGGCCGGTGGAAGATCTGGCTGTGATTCCGGGACGCTGGGTGCCATATGCACCTGTTCCAACTGTACCTGTACAGCGGCTACGGAAGCACCTCCAGGAAGCGGGATGGTCGATGGCTGATGCAAATGATCATGGTCGTGTCCCGTCCCTGCCTCCATCGCGAAAGCACTCGAAGACGGCGTGGTGCGCCGCTCGCTCACGCCTCCTTCGACATCGAGATGAAGCGTTTCGAAGATCAGTCGTTTACGCATGCACTTGAATGCCAGATTGTTCTCCCCCGACGACGTCAGCCCGCGCAGGGTCGAGAACTTGTCGCTCGGCGGAAGTAAGGTATGCGGCGCGGGGAGAGAGTGTATGTGCACAAGACCATGATGTGATGAGAACATGGCCGAAAGAGAGGGATTCGCTACCGAATGTATACATTAGTACAGGTAGCTATAGGGGGGTCGAGGCAAGATGCCGTGTGTGAAAGACGAACCGGTGAACGCTGCGAGCGTGATTGACGCGTCCGTGAGCCATCCTAGCTTCTGGACCCAGCCAGGGCCACCATACGTCTCTTGACACAAATGGGGTGACACGCTCATCGCGGCGCATGCGCGAGGATGGCGGCGCAGGAGCGCACGAAGGGAGTGCAAGAAATAGCAGACGTCCTAACGCATACGCTTAATTTGCACGTCTACAGGGGAAGCGGAGAACAGGGGTGCGCACCTGAGGGGACAGGTCGCCCCATTCATAAGAGCCTAATGCGGGGATGCATATTCTTGTCACGATCGCATGCGTGGCTAATGCGGAAGCGGAGGGGGAGTCAGACTCTGCTTTGGCCAAGATCTCCGCGACGCATCGTAGGACCCTGCGGCAGGAAGACTCGTCTTCTGAAAATGAACTCTCGTCGGGCCTTACGTCCAGGTAGCGGCCCTCGCTGAGCGCGGAATTAATTGTGGACTCCGGGACCCGAGACGTCAAGTCAAATCTGCGGCAATAGTCATCCGCAGACCTGTTGGAGGGGAAGCATGCTCACTTCTCGCGCACAGTAGATCAGAAACCAGTCGTAGTGTGACGTACTGGTCAGGCGACTGCACTGTCGTTTGGAACTGTTTCATTTGCTCGTACCTCCAAGCGATCTTGATTTTCGTGTCGTGTTCTGATGCTTTCTCGTCTTCCTCATCCTCTGCTGCGGTTGGTGGCGCGGGCGTGGGGGAATTGGATTGTGCGGACGCGGCCCCGCTGCTCCCTGGCATCCACATACACTCGGAAAGAAACGCGTCCGGCCGCGCATCCACAACGCAGATGCGCTGCCCGCATGCGAGCCCTTGAGACGCAAAGTACTTGAGGACAAGTTCGCCGTATGCTGAGTGCGCATCGGGTGCGAGGACAAGCAGGGAGCAAGAAAGGGGAAGCCCGCCGCCAAGGATGTCGTCGAGGGAAGGGATTCCGGTCGAGGTTATGGTCGTCGCAGGCGATCCAGGAGATGGTCGGGTTCCAATCGGTGGCGGTGGCTGTTTGGAGGTCGTTCGCCGCTTGAAGGCGGACATCGCGCTGGTTGCGGGTGAGACTTCGTAGTGAAAGTGGGCCAAGGTAGCGCTATGTAGCGCCATACACAGATTGTCGGGGCAAGCGCGAACACACGCGTTGGGCCTTTCTCAGCGCCATGACCTCTGCTGCGAACTCTCGACTGTTCTAATATACGACCGTGATATTGAATATGGCTGCTCGATCATGGATAGCAGAGGCTTGGAGGTCTCTTCGTCGGGTGGTTAAGAGTCGTCAATTCTGGTGCTCCGACCTGCCCTATAGGAGTCTCCAGGTCTGTCTTTTTGTGGCCTTGTTCTCTGAAGAATGCTCAAAGTCTTCCTCAGGTGGCCAATATTGGTTGTATATTGCATCTGTTCGGCGACCATATCGCGACAATTTCTCATGTGAGTGGCCAATTCTCCGTTATCCCATGCCCTCTCGGGAACGCTGAGCGAATCTCGGTATTCGTGACCTGTGTCAGGTGGCAGGACCATCTATGCTTCCCACTATGGCTATTGAGGGAGAGCTCGCATTGGATTGGAAGTGGATTGATGTCAACCGCCTCAGTAGAGGGGATCTCGTCACATTCATTTCCCCACTCGACCCTGGACGTACAGTCTGCAAGCGTATCACGGGTCTACCTGGAGATGTCGTATGTGTGGATCCTACAGGGCTAGCTGCGCCTTCGACAGAGCACGTAGTGGTACCTAAGAATCACATATGGGTTACTGGGGACAACCTGGCGTACTCAAGAGACTCCCGCGTATACGGACCGGTACCCCTAGGGCTGGTGAAAGGGAGGCTGATTGCAAAGGTGCGCTCTCTATGGCGAAACCAGCTACTCATGCTAAGTTGGAATCAGGTTTGGCCGTTGAGCAAATCTGGAGTGTTCCCCAACACATTCGACTTCATCAGCTGACATCGACACTATAATGGCGGGACACTTCGTACCATACTAAGCATTATAATATCAAGTGAATTTCGGCTTGTTACAGTCCATGACCCATACTACGACAGCAGAGATGAGCGAGTAGCCTAGTCCTCGTACGTATCGCCTATCTCCTCTTCAGCTGTTTCTTCGTCACCCAGATCATCATCCTCTACAGCTTCACCATCTATTGATAGTAGTGGTGACGGTCCCATCCTCCAGAACTTGAACTTCCTCTCGGCTGCGCCCACGGAGACCGGTTAGGTCAACCCCGACGCGTTCCAACGACGGGACAGCCAGAAGAAATGACCTTGCAAAATCAACGAGGTCGAGCTGCTGTAGATATTCTTCTGCGAGACACGTGGCCAGCGTCGAAGGGGTGTACACGTCGAGTCTTATCTCTGGGATAGCTGAGCACTGGAAGGTTAATTCAAGTGACCGTAAGCCGTGCAGCGTCCCGAGCGCACCTCGGAGCGCACCCTGCATTGTCGGCTATCAGCACGCGTTCGACGACGGCTTGAGCCCGCCATGAATCGACAAACCATAGCCGCCCCCAGGTCCATATCCTTCTCCTCCTGCGCGAACTCTATGTGTAAGGACAGATTTCGCAGTCGCGACCCAGCCTGCGAGCGAAACAGATCCGGAAGCGCCGATGCCTCCACTCCAATCCCATGCCGAGGAATTCGCAAGTAGAGCTTCGAAGGACGGACGTCGTTCAGAAAGTCGTGCAGCATGGCGAACGTCTGCTGCGGGTCCATGAACACTTGTACGTCGTTGATTTGGCAAGCCAGCCCGCTGACGTATAAGTCGAAGAAACGTCCCGACGCTGCCTCGAGCTCCCTCCATGTGCTGTAGGCGGAAAATTCCTGGCGGTGCTGCTGATGGAGCGCTATGACCTCATCCGTGTCAAGATCGTCGTGATCGACCATAACTTCGTAGGTGAGGCGACGAAGGTGGGGAAATGCGTAGGCAAAGGGGGCGATGGCAAGCTGAGAGCACCATCCAAGCTTGAGAGAGCGCATTTGCGAGAACTGTTGGGGATAGCGGGAACGGGGGAGGGGCTCGTCAAAGAAGGATACGTCAAGCCGCTCCAGGGTGTTTCTGGAGTCCTCCAGGACAAAGAGAGGATGTAGCTGGGAGGCCAGAGCTTTCCAGCGGGAGGGACTGTAGGCTAGTCTTACGTCGGTGAGCTTGCGCATTCCTTTGATGATCTTGCAGGTCATGGGACCAGCGGATCTGAAATTTACGACCTTGACGGATGGAAGAGTGCTCAGGGCGGAAGATAGACCTGGTATGGCCGTTAACAGCATTTCTGCGGGATCGAGAGCAAGCGTATGGAGTAGAGGGAAATCATGATGGCAGAATAGAGCAACGAGGGAGCGCGCGATGCCAGTGTCCATTTCAACTGTTTGGTGAACAGGGCCTTCTTCATTGTCATCCTCTTCCTCGATGAGGAGGTGAAATTGGCCCAGGTAGCGGCAGCGGGTGCCGTCTTCTGCGAGGATGAACCGGAGAAAAGCCGGGATTTGCTCCAAACCGCCGAACGCAGCGCCACTAGCGAGAAGTACCTTCGGGCCTTCATGATAAAATACACGACACGTTTGCATCATCGATGGGATCGTTTTCAACGATGTAAAAGAGAGGATGTTCACCAGGATATCGTCATTGAGAGTGTGAGAGCGCATCTAGAGAATTTCGACAAACGGCATGAGCTAGCCAGCCTATTTGATTGGATTTAGTACAGATAACACACCAGGCTTCGTCGGTACGCTTATATTGACATGAGTGTACAAAGCAACGCGCGTTGTTGAATTAGACGCTGATGGAGAGATGATCTCTTGCGCTATGTCGCCAATTAACTCAGCCCGAGGACCGTGATACACTGGGAGTCACTGAGAGTTCGTTGGCTTACAGGGAACTACGGTCGGACCTGCCACCACCGTCCAACCTGCCACCTGCCTCATTAGGCCTCGAGACGCTCTTGCACACCACCGTCTCTGGGACATGGCAAGCGTCATGACAGGCGCCTGAAGGCCTAATCAGGCAGGTGGCAGGTTGGACGGTGGTGGCAGGTCCGACCGTAAGTAGTTCCCTGTATTCCTTCTCGATATCTTATTAAAATCTACAGCTCTCGGCTAAGGATCACAAAACAGGATGACGATGATGGGGCGTATGCGACAGTTCTCGCCTAGTCTTCTTCGGAACCATCTTCAGAGTCCATGTCAACATCGTGCATACTGACCATATTTGGCACCTCTTTATTGACAACAACGATTTCCCCGCCCTTCAACGCATTGAAGGGCTTGTTCTCGCGCGTACGATGGCCGCCTATTTCGAGTCGGATCATCTCTAACGGTGAGATGGTGTCGAGGAACGTTTTGGCTAGACCTCCAACGTCGGCACCCTCCAGGAACTGTTCAACGAAGCATAAGGGTGCCGCACAGGGCTCATCCGTATATTCGGGATCCCTCACTGGTATGTCGAAACACCAAAGATAGAGCTTGAGAAGCCGAATGGGGGTCGTAGAGAGCGCCGCACGAAGGCATGCCTAGTGTGTCCCGTCGTCAGTGAACACATGATCGAGAACGAGACGTGTCGGCAGAGACTAACCAGCCCTGCTTCCAGGTCTATATCCCTGTCCTCCGGAGAGAACTCAATGTGCAAGTCCAGCGCGGTCAGCTGCGCTCCGTCTTCGCAACGCAGCAAGGCCGGGAGTGCAGTGTCCTCCTTTAGAACTCCAGGCTGTGGCGTCCTCAGGTAGAGCGTCGAGGGACGCGCGTTGCTAAGGAGCTGTCCGAGCATCGTATACGACGTGAACGATTCCATGAACACGGTGAGATCCTGGACTTCGCACGAGAGCCCGCTCAGGTAAAGTTCGTTGAGACCACCCATGGCGGATTCGAGCTTCCATGCACCGAGGCACTGCTGCTCCTTGCGATTCTCGTCGTGAACAGTCACTGAATTCTGTTCGATAAAGGGAGAGACGCCCAAAAATTCCGGTAAGTCGAGGGGACGCAGCTTGGGGAACGCGTAGATGTAAGGAGCAAGTAAAGGGTATGACTAGTTGGAGACCCTGAGGGAATGCACCTGCGAAAACGGTCCGGGGTACAAGTGTGGTAGAATTACTCCTTCATACGCGGACACTTCAAGAGTCGCGAGCGTGTGTCGGGAACTGGCTAAGACGAAGAGGGGGTGCATGTCTGTCATGGAAAGCGATGTGCGGTCGTCGTATATGTCGTAGCCCAAGTACGCACGGACAAGCCTGGCCATCCCTTGGATCATGTTGCACGCCAGGCAAGCGCATGAACCGAGGTCGACGATCTCAACAGCGGGTAAGGTGCTGAGAGCTACCCCCAAATTGGGTACTATCGGGTAATACCGAAAGCAGGTCTTCAGATCGATTCAAGATGAGGGTCCGCAAGGATGGATAGGCGAAGGAGAAGCGGGCGGAACCAAGGTAACGACAGCGGGTTCCATCTTCAGCAAGGATGGACCTCAAGAAGACAGGGATCTGGTGTTCGCTGTTAAGGGTGACGCCATCTGCCAGAAGAACTTTGGGGCCTTCATGGTAGAAGAGACGAGAGGACAGCATCAATGTTACGATCGTGTCCGGCGACGCAACGGACGTGACGGTTGCCAAGATGTCGACATTCAAGCGGGGGAGATGTATTATGAGCTTCTTCACGGTGCTATGATGGAAGGTGAAAAACTTTGAGACTCCACGACACCATGGCCTGCACTTACTGAGATGGCAGTCGTAATAGCACCAACAAGCCGTAGCCAAGTATAGTGGATTGATATAGATGTAGATGGTACCGAGAAATACGTTGCCGCTTTCAGGCTCTGTTGGCGTGGGGCAGTAGTTAGATATGTTGTCATTTCGTGCAAGGCGAGAGGTCGTTGTTTTCATAAAGCAAAGTGCTGAACTTCACGGCCATCGTGGCGGAAAATACGCGCCCGACACGCGGTTAGGCGCATTAGGCGCCGATCGAGAAGCACTGAAGTCTGACAGCCTCCTACATATGTACTGTGTGCACTCTAAGTTGCATGAGTAACTCTGAGAATATAGGATATGTGGAATATGCGTAGTAAGACAAGTTGGATGTGACCTGCTGCTTCGTCTCGTCATCTAGGATCCTGCACAAAATTCATCGAGTATCCCCCTTGACCATTGGGAACAAACTGGAAGTTGTCAGTCGATAGACCGAAGTTCCCTACGTGCCGCTTGATGAGAACAACAACCAACGGAAATCATTGAGATCTCCCACCTAAGAGGCTGTTGCCAAGACCTTTCAACTTGTCGAGCATCTCAGCGGTCTCGCGTTTCTGAGCAGCCTCCACCCGCGGTGCCAGGGCTGCCAATGTTCGGCGGATGCCTGCGACTTCGGGAGATGTGCGGGGAAGTAAATCAAGGAGGGTCTTGTAATCTGGGGTTGCAATTTCCCTCATTCTAAAGCAAATCGCGAGATACTAGACGACACACGGACCTTCCTGCGCACTTGCGAGGGAAGACCAGGAGTTAATCTGCTCGTTCGCTGCGGCTCGCCTCTGTAGTGCTTTGATGTATTTCGGATCATCTTGCAGAGCTGCACCGATGTCCACGATAAGCAGGCGACTACGTATAGGAGTATGATAACCTGCTCACCTTCTGTGCACGCATTCACGACTTCTTTAGGTTCGCCCTGCACCGTCGCATAAAGTTGAGATGACACAGAACTTAGGACTACGTGATCATCTTACGAGCTTGGTATAGCATGCGCCAATGTTAGCATTCAGGACTGCTCGGGCCTTCGCACATTCACCATCGAGCTCGGATGGAGGTTGCTGCTGCTGGGCCTCGAGCTCTGCCTCTTGTGTCACTTTATCGTCGGTATCGCTTTGTGGACGTAGCGTCTCGGCATCAGCATCTTCCAGGTCATCCTCTGTTGTCGCTGTCCTCTGCGGTTGAGGTCGCCTAGGAAGGTGACCCAGTGCAGAGCGGTAAGCTGCGAGGGCTTCATCCCAACGCTTGGCACGAAAGTGATCGTTGCCTTCTTGCTTAAGCCCTTCCGCAGACATCAACGCTTTCTACACAGTGGTTCTAAGCCTCCACGTTGAGGTCCAGGTGAGAGACTGCTTACTCACGCGGAGATCGCGTGGGTCATGTTCGTCGAGGACATCGGGCTGATATCCCCTGGTGTGCATATGTTCTGGCCACGCGTCGTCGGATGTTTGTGTTTCTGACGTGGCTGCCATTAATTGTAGAGCAACTCGACGGAGTAAAGAGTGGATGAGCTGACTGAAGCGGCCTCCGGATGAGAACTGAAGGCAAAACGCGCGCGCGCATATGGAACTGCTGGCGCTTGACGTCATCATACGCGACTTCTTCATTGTGCATACATATACAAGTCGGTACGCATCCAGTCCCTTGCACAACTCTCAACGATATTCCCTCGTGTTCTCACTTCGACCCTTATTGCCATGCCAGGTGTCAAAGACGCGAAAAGTGTCCTCGTCATCGGTGCCACCGCCGGCATCGGTCGTGCTCTTGCTCTTGCCATTCATAACCTCGAGACCAAGCCTACCGTCATCGTCTCCGGTCGTCGCCAGGAGCGCCTTGATGAGATTGCCACGCAGGGTGAAAGGATACGGACCGCTCGCGTTGACCTCAACACGCACCATGATAACCTAAAGGCGTTTGTCGAGGACATCCTGTCCAACTATCCTGATGTAAGGCCTTCCTAATTCCCTCGAACTTGGGTCCATGCTCACTCTTTGACCACATGACAGCTAGACACAATCCTGCTGTCGTCGGGCATCCAGCATATCTTCGATTTCAACAAGCCCGAAACGATAGACTTCAAGGGTCAGTTGAGCTAGTCTTGTTTGAACATTGCATTTTGTTCTAACGGTATCCTTTACATTGACCCAGTCCTCGAGGCTGAGTTGAACACGAACTACCTCTCGATTATCAAGACGATTATCCTTTTCCTGCCCCACTTCCTTAAGCGCAGCGTGCGTCTGCCTCTAAGTCGTCTCATGCAACCATCTCTGACCTCATGACAGTCCGAGGGCAAGCCGTCTTTCATAATCCCTATCACTTCTGCACTTGCTTCGGCTCCGAAGCCCGACGTACCTAACTACTGTGCGACGAAGGCTGCGCTGCACAGTTTTGACATCTCGCTGCGTGCCCAGCTGAAGGGAACTAACGTCCATGTGCTGGAAATCTTTCCACCGTACGTCCGCTGTCTTTGATTGACGTTATCTGTGATTCACTCGGTCAATTCTAGGCTGGTCGAATCCGAGCTGCATGATCGTGCGTATAACACTGGTTGACTGGTTGCTGCTGAAGATCTGACCTAGCTTTCATAGACCAAGGCACGACACCGGCCCTGTCAAAGCACTGGATGCCCCTCGACGAGTACACCAAGCACACGTTGGAAGGCCTCATCCGTGGCGACCCAGACGTTACGGCGGGCTTCTCCGTTGGTGTTTTCGAGAAGTGGGAGAAAGGCAAGCGCGAGCAGGTTGAGCAGGCTACATTCCCGTCCAAGTGAGATCGGTATGATATGGATTGTCGCAGTACATGCCTGGGGATTGTGTACAATAGCAAATCACGAGGAGATGTATAATAGTAGCTCTGTACTGTAACAGCGACACGGAATGCAAGATAGCAAGGGCAAAGCGGGTGACGAGCGCGGGCAGCATAGCAAGATAGCAAAACTATATGGAACCAGATTACAGCAAACCCACACTTACTCATCCAGATACAAGTCATCGTCATCGGACTCCGACTCCGACAATTCCATCTCTACTTCCGCCTCTTCGACTTGTGCATCTAGCGACTTGGCAGGCGACTGTGTCGCTCGACGACTGGGAATACGGAGAGTGAGACGTCCTGACTTGCTACTCCTGTTGCTGTGAAATAGCTCTCGTGTTTCTCGCTGGCAACATTATGTCGGTCTGCGGGACCGCTATAGACACGCTCCGACTTGGCGTCTCGCCGATAGTTGTCAATGGGGATTCAGATAGCCATCGTGAAGGGCCAGCATCAGAGGACCCAGGGGCGGCGATTTGCTTGGTCTTGTCTTCGTCCTCGTCCTTTGGCTGGTCTCCGCCGATCTTGCGTCGCTTGGCACTATTTCCGGGAAGACCCGGCCGAGGTTTGTTGCTGTAGAATCGGTCGTTCGCCCGGACGAGCTCCTGGTAAAGTGCGGTGTCGAAGCCCACACACTGCAGGCGAACGCATGGCGCGCGGAGTTCGCCGCTGTTGTACATAGCTAGGACCTGTCCTGCGGACTTAAGCCTATCGGATTTTTCCTTGTTGACAGTAGTTTCGGAGTACGTCGACTTCACCTATCGCCCACATATATATTAGTAAGTTGGGACGGGAGTCTAGTAGCGGATTCTCACATACTTTAGCTGGGAGCGTCCCCCACTCGTCCTTAGTGAGTGCGTCGACGCGCAAGACGTGGTACCACCCGCAGTAGAGGAAGAGCTTGCCCGCGCCTACGAAGACGTGACGGTATTCGCCTTGATCGTTGAACAACTTGCGGTCCCGGCCGAGTCCGACCTGCATATAGCCGTGCTTGCCTGGTCCAGCCGGCGACCACGCGTTGTGATCCATGTTTGGGCACAGGTAGTCCTGCATGTTGTGTCTCCGTGCGAGATCGGTTGCGCTCTCCGTGCACCTGCCCAATGACTAGTGATTAGAGCAATAGTAGAGAAGGGGGTAGGAGAGCAGCTTACCGGACGACAAGCCCTTGTATAGAGCCTCCTAGAATGTTGCTGAGCGACTGGCGAGTGAAGATAGCGGGGACAGCGTCTGGGGATTCCAGGTCGGCGGCTACTTCAGGCAATCTCGCCAGCTCCTGCAAGCGTGTAAGCGGCATAGGGGAGCCGTGCGCTGCGAGATTGACAGCAAACTTAGTATCGTCCTGGAACCAGGATACATTGGTGTCCCTTCCCGCAGCCTTACGCTTCCCGACAGGAGGCACGGAGCTGTGGCTGAACAATACGTTCTCCTATGTCAACAATCGCGCAAACGATACAAATATGCACGTACGCCGAAGGAGGTGGTGATATAGGTGAACGTATTTTGTTCTCCTTCTCGTTACGCGCTACGGCTTCACGAAGTCGAGTTAACTGACAGGAAGCATTAGCCGAGGATGTAATCTTGCGAGGACTCCGTACCTCCTCATCCTTTGAATGCAGCTTATTCTCGAGGTCCTCAATTTTGCGTGAAGCATTTTGCAGCTGATGACAAAGGATATCAGGCAAAATTCCTATTGAGAGAGTGAACTTGTGCAAATACTCACTAACTCATTCGTAGTAGCTCATTCTCTTCTCTCTCCGCCGTAGTCGCTCGCCTGATGTCGTCGAACTCTGCCGTCTGACGAGATAGCACATCGTCTAATGCCGCTCTAAACGTGTCGCAATGAATCTCGCTTGTGTTCAGCTTGCCATGAGCTATGTCAGCACCTGTTGCAAGCAATGCAATGAATCGGATGCGAGAAGACATCATACCTGCGTTTGAACCGTACGCAGCTCCTCTCGCAACTTCTCCACAAGCTGATTCAACACAGCATTCTTGACCTCGAGTTCCTCTATCAAACTAACACGCTCTCGGAGACTATCTTGTAGCTGTGTGTTCTGGGGCGTAGACCTCAAGATACGCAACCATGAGGCATGTAATCACTGACCTCGGCCATGATGTGATCATGTTCTTGCGCGTGCGAATGTTGGAATGTTTCGAAGGACGCCTTCAACTGAGTGAGCTCTGCGAACAACTGGTCACGCTCAGACTGGAGTGGCTTGAGCTCGTCGTTTCGCACAACAGCTTTCTGAGCGGCGCTCAGGGCAACATCAGCGGCCTCACGATGCATCTGGATGAGCTTCTTGCACTCCTCCTTCAACTGAAGGATCTCTCCGTCCCGCTCTTCCAGCTACACAATATAGGAAGTTCGTCAACCTGGAGTGTCAAAGCCATCTCAACCACGGACATTGCGCTCACATCCAAAATGGACGGATTGAAGGGACTCAAGCTGGCTTGCGACTTTGTTCATACGGACCTTCGCAGTGCCCTCCGCTTCCTTCGCCAGCACGTTGTCCTCGTGGAACTTCTCGAGGGACGCTTCCAACTCGGCAATACGTGCAGCCGCGGTCTTCTCGATGCTGGCAAGGCGTTCGACCTCTTGCTTGGACTCGACCAGCGCGTCATTACCAAGAGCATGCTGTGACATGAAGTCAGATGGTGTTAGTGACAGCTCACTACAGCGCGGTACCGTGTCGTGAAGCGTTGCAAACTGGGCCAGAAGGGAGACGTGGGCATACATCAGGCGGTGAAACCACCCGACCATCTTCGTCACAAACACGGGTTGAGACATACACAACTGGCAGAAAAGGCATTTGACTTTGTGTAGGCATACGACAACACGCGGAGTATCAAAATACCTTCCTGAGGTCAGTGTTGGCCTGCATTTCGGCCGAGTTGTTCCGGATGACTTCTTCAAGAGTTTTGACGACTCCTAGCACGAAGCTGGGGCCCATAGTCGTCAACTGCAAAGCTTGGTTGAACTTATGTTTCGCAAACAGTGAGTTGTTGCACCAACCTTTATATTTGAGTCATGAGGGGCGTTCTGAAGCTTGGCAGAATCCTCCAGAGCCGTTCTAACTTTTGCGAGCTGGTCCAAGGAAAACTCTGTATTGGTTATGAGAAACTGTAATGGCAAGTCACGCTTGAGCAGGCTGTTCGTGGATAGTCAGCTATATATGCTCGCCTTGTCCCTGTTGCCGCCGCTCTCATAAAGCAGGATGCTGTCCCGCATGACCTCCTCAAGAGCATCCACCTGGTGCATGACAAGCTCTGGGTGGAGACACACATTCTACAGCATGGACGTGGTCAATACGACGCGTACATACACAGCCTGACGCGTCCTGGTACGAACCTCCATGGTGACACGCTTGTTGTGTACTTGCTTCAAATTGGTGGCGACAACGCTCTTCAAGGACTTGACCTGGCTCAAGATGAACTCGGACTCCATTTTGACGGTGTCGCGGACAACGTTGAGATAATGTCGCGAATATCGCGGTCGAGAAGACTGCGTCCAGCGAGGGGAGGACGCGTCGTAGTGGGAGAAGGAAGAACAGCAGCCGACACAGGGTCAATGACGGGGCGCGCAGCCGGTATGTAAACGACTCCACTGAAAAGGGCAGAACGCGTACTTATCGGACGCGTCGGGTCGCGTCGTCTGCGAGCGCCCAATTAGTGCAATCACCACCTGACCGTTGCACCCGCGGACATGCACAGCACTAACCTGGCATTCATGCACTTTCCCGACACGCGGCGGACTAATGTGGAGATTACAAGTTGCTAGTCATTCCAGCATCCAGTGAGTAACTATATGCGAAAGCGTACGAAGTAAGTCTATGGACGTCGACGACAAACACAAGATTTTGAGACCCCAGCCCAGCATCACCGAACACCCTGCCCTCGACGACCACTCCCCGAAGAGTGGTGAGCGGTGTAGGCAATCAAAGCAAGAACGTCAGCGGGTTCTCAAGGTAACCCTTGAAAGCCGCCAACCACCGCGCGCCGACGGCGCCGTCGACCGTTCGGTGGTCCGCGCTGAGCGTGACTTTCATGTTCTGCACGACCTTGAAGCCGCGCTCCTCCTCTGGTGCGGGGACGAGCGTGGGTTGCGTCCCCCCAACGGCAAGGATACATGATTGCGGAGGGTTGATGATTGCGGTAAAGTGCGAGATGCCGAACATGCCAAGGTTGGAAACAGTGAAGGTGCCGCCCTGAAATCACTCACATTAATCACTGCGCGATGTCGAGGCCAGACAGCAATACTCACCTGGTACTCCTGAGGCTGGAGCTTGCCGTCGCGGGCCTTCTTCGCGAGCGCCTTACCCTCCGCAGAGATAGAAGCCAGGCCCTTGGAGCCAACATCCTTGATAATGGGAGTAATGAGACCAGTTGGTGTCGCGACGGCTACAGAGATGTCCGCCTTCTTGTATCTGTCCGCAAGTCAGTTCACTACTCAGCAGAGGTGCCCGAGATGAGGACGTACTGCCTAATGACGTCGCCCAGCCACGCCGAGTTCGCCTCAGGAACATCAGCAAGCGCGAGCGCAACGGCCTTCAACACGAAGTCATTGACAGAGAGCTTCGCGGACTTGTCCTTCTCTCCCAGCGACTTGTTGAATACCTCCCGGAGCTTCAGTACCTTGTCCATGTTGATATCGACGGTGAGGTAGTAGTGGGGCAGCTCTTGCTTGGACTGCGTGAGTCGCGTGCCAATGGTCTTGCGCATGTTGGAGACAGGAATGTCCGTGTACTCAGGGAGTGAGGCGGAGGGTTGGGGAATAGCAGTGGAGGGCGTGCTAGACGCGGAGGCGGCGGGAGCCTGGTACTTCTCGACGTCTTCCCTGAGGATCCTGCCCTCGGGACCGGAACCCTTCACCTTCGCGAGAGGAATGCCACGCTCGAGCGCAATCTTCTTCGCAAGAGGGGTAGCGAAGATGCGGTCGCCCTTAGGGATCTCAGGCTTGCTCTCCGACTTGGGCGGCTCGGAGGACTTCTTGGGCTCGGGGGCGGGCTCGGACTTGGGAGCCTCGGGAGCCTTCTCCTCTTTCGCAGGCTTGGACTTCTCAGACGCAGCCTCCGACGCGAGTTGCTCTGCACCCGAGATATCATCGCCCTCCTCGCCAAGGATGGCGATGGTAGAGCCCACGGCGATGTTCTTCTCGCCGTCGTTGGCCTGGTTGCGTGCATGCGTGAAGACGTGACCTAGAAGTGAATGGAAGTGAGACGTACGATGATTTTTGCGAGGATGCCGTCATCCTGGGCCTCCACGTCGATGGTAGCCTTGTCTGTTTCCTGCGGCGCATGATGTCTTACTACACATACGGAGGAAAGCCTTGCGTGTAACGTACAATCTCAAGCAGGACATCGCCGGCCGCAAAGGTCTCACCCTCCTTCTTCTTCCACGATGCGATACCACCCTCCGTCATGGTGGGAGACATCGCCGGCATGGCGAACTTGGAGAGAGCATGACGGGAGGCCGAGACGTGGAAGCCTGTCGCGCGCGCAGACGAATTAGCACGCTGCGCACCAGTCTCGAGCCTGTTTACACGTACGCCTGGCAAAGACACTGCGGGCGAGGGTGGAGGCCATGGGTAGAGGAAGTCGTCGACAGCGAGTGCTGGGCTCAGCTGGCAGAAAAGTGGTACGCGAGAGTCCCGTTGGGGCGCGTAAACAGGCACAAATCTCGGCGCGTCACCGTGCTCGGGCGACCTCGGGTTCGACACCATACCATTCGTCTATCCGGGCCCACGCGCTTCGTTCCTCCCCATTCTATCGTTTTTGTCGTCGTTCGAGCATGTCGTCCGACGTCGTGCTACCCGGCCAGCCTGTCCCCCTACCGCGTGGGCCCATGCCACAGATTGGCAGCGGCATTTACTCGCGGGATGGCATCGTGAGGGCCAGCTTGATTGGTGTCCCCTCGTATTCCGGATCTGTTGGTCTTTTGCTCACTTCCATCCTTGACGCCTCTGAATCTGTCTTGAAACTTTACTTGCGGACGGCTCTTGCAAACCTGGAATGTCTAGACGTTAGAAATCAAGCGAACCCGCCCACGACCTCCTGCCCCGAATTCGGTCGTTCTGGGGACCGTGACCCGTATGTCTCCTCTACAAGCGGTTCTTTCGATCACCGTGGTGGACGGCGTACCACTCCCCGCTGGCGAAGAGTTCACTGGGGTGGTGCGCGTACAAGATGTGCGCGCTACTGAGAAAGACAAGGTGAAAATAGCGGATTGCTTCCGAGGAGGGGACGTTGTCCGAGGTCTAGTGGTAAGCCCTCGCGGTTGAGTTGTGGTGGGGATTTTGACGCGAGTCTTATTGTTAGCTCTCTTTGGGTGATGCAAGAAGCTATTATGTAACTACTGCTCGAAATGACTTGGGAGTCATATTCGCGACTAGTGAGGCTGGTGAGTGGGCCGATGTCCGTTTGTTGTTGCCCACCGTTCAATGTGAAATCTTGCAGGTGCGACTATGGAACCAGTATCGTGGCAAGAGATGCGCTGTCCGAAGACAGGGAAGATCGAGAAACGCAAATGCGCGAAGCCGGAGGGCATGTAGATTCAGGGACACCCTGCTGTACAGTATTCATGTTTTCGACTTCTTGTAACGTAGTCGTATCATTCAGTCCAATATCCATACCACCTTCCGCTAGCTCTCGTCGCGTGCCGCAGCACGCTACGTAACAATTCGGTGTGGTCTTGGCGGCTGGGTAGTGGCTGACCATGCATGGTAGTAACCACTGCCACAAGCGGTGACGTGCCCCGTCACGATTACTCGACGTGATTCATAGGCATTATTATCCTGCAGACGTCGCCACCACTCCTGCTACTTCTCTTACCTTCGCAACTTCGCTGTCGACAATAGAGCTTCGCAGGGTCGCGTTGATTGAGACGCGTTTGGTAACACGTGGGTGGCGGGCGGAACACGTGTATGTCCTAAAACGGCAGGTAGCGTGGCTGGGCAGCGACAAGTTCACTATTCGGGGCTGACGGGGCTTGTCCAGTCGCAACTGCTCTGGTCTCCTGGCTCCCCCTCCAACTCTGCGCTGGGGCTCTCGTTCTTGGTTCTCTGGTCTGTACATAGTCTGCCTACGTTATGACTGCTGTTCTCCAGGCGACAGACATCCTCCGAAAGGACAGAGGGATGGCTTCTATGGACGACAATGCTATCAAGTACCCACTCCACCTCCCCCCGCGAGGTACTTTCCCTGCTAACCACTCTCTTCCAGCGGCTTCTCCTCGGGCACGGACTGGAAAGCGAAGTACTTAGAGGTCGCCGATATGCTAGCAGAAACTCGCGCCGAACTCGATGACTTCCACCATTCCAGCAAGGAACTAGAGGAGGAACTCGAACGAGAGCTCGAACGGACGGAGAGGGCACAGCAGGATCTGAAGGTCAAGGTGGCCAGAGCGGAAACGGAGAGGGATGACTGGAAGGTGTGTATCCCCCCATTTCTCAATGGTCAATCCGCCTTGACCGCGTTTGCAGGCCAAGTTTATGTCTCTTCAAACCACACACAACACGACAACGACCTCACTTCAACGCGAGCTGGATACTCTGAGGCAGGAACATCAAAGGATCAAGATTCAATTACGTGAATTGGAGATGGGTAATGACGATTTAGAGCGGAACGAGCGCGCAATATCGTCGAGCTTGGCGGATGTAGAGCAGAAGTACGCGCGGGCATTGGAGGAGAAGATTCTACTGGAGCATGAGCTTCTTGACAAGGCGAATGTGGAAGAGGAATGCCAACGGATGAAGGACGAATTGAGAGGTGCGTGGCTAATGCATTCAGATCATTCCTAACACCTCCGTGGTCTCATCGCCTGGATTCGTTTAGACGCGAACGAGGAAATCACTATCCTGAAGGACCAGCTGTCCGCTGCTCTGGAGCGAACTAACAAGCCATCCCCTCCAGCTGTGGAACTCCCTGCACCTACCTCGTCTACTCACTACGCCACACTGTCGCTATCGGACGAGGATCTCCTCTCTGTGCCTACGCCTTCAGAGCTATCTCTGGCAGACCTCACTCCACCCCCTGAGAATTCCGCGAAGGAATACCCTCCAACCTCTGCTCCCATTGCTTCGCCCAGACCTACAAGAGATGCCAACCCGATCACTCCCTCTATGCTGCAGCGTAGCGGCTTCCCCCCACCTCGGAACGGCGTTTCCACACCTTCGAGCAGCAGCTCTTCTCTTATACGATCCGCTACACATCCAGGTCTCACGGCCAGCCCCTCCACCCGTTTACGCACCCCAGTGCCTCGACCCATTGGCAACCGTCTTCCTTCCCTCGCCGCAAGCACTGCAAGCGCTGCGGGCGGTATCCCCTCGACCGCGCCGAAGAGCAAGGGTGTACAGATGGTGTCAGAAATGCGGGCTCGTGTCAGGATCCTTGAGCAGAAGATACACACTCGCGTTCCTAGACTACGCATGGGTTCCGTTACCAGCCGCTCCGCAGCTAATGCCATGCCACCGCCTCCCGTTCCCGCGAAAGCATCACCTTCACCAGCCCCCTCTACAGCGTCTTCGTCACGCTCGGGTGTTTCTACGTCGTATGACGATCGTGCGGCGACGAGGCCGAAGCCGCGGAGACAGAGCGTAGACTTCGAAGCTGATGCGCGCCGGACACCTGGAGGCGATACGTCGGGATGGGTACTCATTATGGAGGACTCCCCGTCCCCTATCAAGGATAAGGACAAGGAACGACGGCGTACCACAAGTCCTCCATCTGCTCCGACCGCGTTCCGCCCTGCGTCGTCTGTTTCTGCTGGCTCGCCTCCGTCTCATGATGGTAGCCGAGCGCCGAGCGCTTTATCACAAAGTGTCATGCCGACTGGCCTTCGCCGGCCGCAGTCACGACTCTCGGTGTCGACAGAGGGGCGGAGCAGCGTCAGTACGAACGCGACCACGAGCACCACGAGTTCCATTCCAACACCGTCCTCGCGGCCATCCACTCCGACGTTCCTCCCCGTACCGACCGCTGGCCTATATGGCGGGAACGCAGGGTTCAAGCGGTCGACCGGACCTGGCTCTGGCGCATATAGCCAGTCAGGAAGCGGCACCAAACGGTCGTCGCTCGGCGCGAGTACCGCTAGGTCTCCGACACTGGAGTCGCCCACTTGCACCACTGGTCTTTCTAACGTCACGCTCCGTCAACCGAAAGCCGCAGTGATTCCCGCGCCGAACCTGGGACAGAGCCGGATTGGGAAGCCGAGCGGGCGGCGGAGTGGCGGTGGGAGCGACCCCGAACCCTTCTCAGATTCTGGTGTAACGCAGCGACGGGCCCGGTCGGGTAGCACGAATGTGCTGTACGGCAGGAACGGGAGCTGAATAGAGCTTGGTTATATTTTGGCTGGCGTTTCGATGTCTCCTCTATATCTGCTACCGTTTTGGGATCGCATTTGTGCCATTGCTTTCCCGCCCTTGTACCAATGTCTAATATTGTCCTCCTCGCATTTCATATGTTACATCACATCGCTGCTTCCCTATTCGCACTGTTTCTTGGTAGATTATCTTCACCATGCGCGTGCGTACCATTGACATATATCCCCACGTATACATATTAGTAACATTCCTTTCACCCCCACCGATTCCCCCAGACTTCACGAACTGACGATTCACTGTCTTGCAGGCCTGGCTCTGGTTGGCCCGGGTCTCTTACGTCTGTACGCTTATATCCCCCCACAGTCCATGACATTCATGAAGTATATCACTTATTTCTACTAGAGCGGCCGCACCTTTTGATTGGTGTACACTTGTGACATAGAGTCCTGGTGGTCAAGAACGTTTACAACTGAGCGCAACAGGCTACGTAGCCGCGTATTTACGTAGTCGATCGATAGTGAAGCTTGCCGACTCCGCGCGTAGGCAGCTACGTAGACGTGTAACTGCGCGACGACTGTGAGTCGTGAATGAAGGCCTCCGGCAGCAGTCAGCGGAGGGCAAGGCTCGAGTTGATGCACCCTACAGAGCCCTTAAGTAGACACATTTTGTGTGCGTAGAGAGATGGCTGACTCATATGAGAGGAGGTTTGATTCACGATCCATCCATATTGCACAAGGAAAGCACTTTGCCGTAGGGCCACTGACACGGAGAACCAAGACAAGAATACTGAACGTTGCTTACCCGACTCTGCGATGAGATGACGGCATGTTTGTGTTTTACCTGCAAAATCGTAGCTGCGTTCATCCGTGGCTATACAGCCCTGGAGTAGTGCCCAGTCGTACTCTTTGCCAGTGTGGTGGTCAGAATATGCTATAACTTACTTCGATGGCATATGTGGATGTGCCGAGCGCGTTCGTACGCCTCCGAATATCTGTATGAGGCGTATCAGGTGGAATGAGCTCAGCTACAACTATATGAGTGTAGCTATGGCTGCTAGAAGATGACGCACCCGGGTAGGTGGTTAAGGAGTATCCATCGAGTTTTGCTTCTTGGGCGCTAGCGAGACGCACTGAAATCCCAAAACGGGCGCTCCATCATCTACCACCCTTACCGCCACCCCCCTCCACACGCTCATCATCCGGAGCACTAGTCTCTTGCGACTTGATTCATCGCTTATTGTCCATATCCTTCTACTTCCTCAGACTTCAACGCGATTGCATCATGTCATCTACTCCGGGTCCATCCAAAAGCTCCCAACCACCCGCACGGTCTCTCGACCGCCAAGTCGTGCTCGATGAAGACGAGTACACCGAGGCACTCTCCCACATCATCGCTCGGGACTTCTTCCCTTCACTCGTCCACCTCGACGCTACAAACAGCTACTTAGATGCGCTGCAAACACAAGACCCGGGGCTCATTCAGGCATCCGTGCGTCGCCTCGAAGACCTCCAGACCCCCGTCGCACGTACCCGACCATGGCAGACTCCCTCACAAACCCCATATGCTGTCGGTCCGATGGACACCCCCATGCGTACCCCGCGCACAGAGAGGGGCGAGGCTCCCATGAAGAGGCCACGCTACGAAACTGATATGAGCTTGGACGCCTTCCAGGCGCGCTACACATCGGAGGACAACTCGAGCTTCACGCAGATCCTCGAGGACGAGAACAGGCGGCGGAAGGAGAAGTACAGCTGGGCGTGGGACGCACAGCGTCGGGTGGAGGCGCAGAGGGAGCGCATGCTGGAGGGGCGGGAGAGGCTGCTTATCGAGGCGCCGTCGGGGGCGGGTGTGAAGGAGAAGTTCCGGATAGAGGCACCGAAGCCTGCGGGGCTCATCGAAGCTGCGCCCGCGGAGGCCCTTGCGGTGTATGAGGATGACGAGGAAGAGGTGGAGGACCTGATCGATGGGACGCACGCCTCACCGCCGGCGCCGAAGCAGAACAAGGACAAGTCTGGTGCGCTTGTTAGAGTCGAGAAGCGGGATGACGCGGAGCGGGAGGTTGTGGACGTTATGGCACCGAAGAAAGACACGCGGCCAGCAGGCGTAGATGGATGGAAGTTCAGGGTATGTTTTAAGTCTCGTACAATGGGAACACTTGCATGGAAGTATATTCAATGTTGCGTTTGGAAACAGGCACGGAACGCGTTGATGTTCCCTCCAGACGCAGATGTCGCGCCATACAACACATCCAGCGTTCAATCTGCGGAAGAAGCGAAGGGCCCCCCGAAAACGATCAAACATGGGAACACACGGCTTCCAGAGCAGGACGATAAGCTGGACCATTCGTTATCTGCACCGCCCAGTCCAACACGTAGTAGGGTTGATGCTGCCATTGCTGGTACTCCATGTATGCACCCGCTTGTTGTCTTGGTATGTTGTGCTGCGTGCTGACAGTTGCCGTCATAGATCGACCGAGGTCGCCGACAAACGACCTGCATTCGCTCATACCTTCAGTGCCATCGCCTACGCCGTCGGAGTTGGGCCCAGCCGCCGTCAAGCAGCTCATGACATGGGGCACGCTGAACGCGACTCCTCGGGTGCTCTCTCAGTCGGACGACCCAGTGGACATTCCCACCCCCTCGACTCCGTTCCGCATCGCGGCACCCAGTTCTCGGGAGCGATTATCGCACAAACTCTCGAGCGACGCCGCGAAGAGCCTGCGGGCGAAGGCGACGTTACTCGGCGGTGTTCCCTTGCTATCGCGATCCTCGGGTGGCACCGGTGGCAGCCGCCGCACATCAATGCCACCACCTTCGTTCACACCACGGAGAGCAGACGCTCCCGGGTCGCTGACACCAGCGGCGAAGCGGCTGCTGGACAGGACAACCATGGGAACGGCAGCGTCGAGACGTGCGGATGCGATGGGACGATTAGCTGGCTGGGAAGGTGACAGGAAGGAAAGAGATCTACAGAAGGTCCGGTGGACGCCAACGCCCAGCCCAGTGACGAGGAGGGGTTGAAGTGTTGTGCCTTGTTACCTCAGGCATCTACGTGTAACATGGTCCCACTCGATATCGTTGCACAATGGTATCTGGGAAGTGAGCAAATAATGATACATGGGTGTGAACATGGGCGTAAGCACGGGGACGAAATCCAGGAGTAGTGTGTCAGTACATCAGCTTGCTGACAGTTTCCGTCGTTTTGTCTCCCGGTCGTCCGCCTCCGGTTTGTTCTTCCCGTCTCCTTTGGACGATACCGCTAGTACCTGTGCATTGGGCGGGCTCGCAGCGGCTGGTTTCGACGACTTTTTCTTCACGAGAACGCCCTTGAGCGACTTCTTGGTCTCCTTTTTTAATGGGGCAGGAATTGGTTTCGCCTTTGGCGGAGCGCTGTTGCCCGCCACGCTCGTGGCACCAATCGGTGGTGGCTTGTTCACCGCAGTTTCTCGCGCGGCGACCGCCCTATATGTGAGACGGATACAGTGATTGTAAGTCTCGGACCGCCTGCGCGGAGCGCCGCAGCCAGGAACGCGAAAGTACTTACTCCCGGAAGTGTTTGAGCTCCTCGCCCTCCATTTCCTTCCGGAGACGTTCCTCCTCGCGCTGTTTCTCCAGCACGGAGTCCAGGAAAAGCACCTCATCCTCCTCGAGCGCACGGAATTGGTTTCCTGTCCACGCGCAGTTGTATTAGGTGGTGGGTGACGGCGAAGCACGGCCTGCGAAGTACTAGGAGACACCGCCTTACCCACCTAGCTTGTTGCGCTCCTCCCATTCCTCTTGTTTGGCTGCCTAGAGTGCGTAAGTCCTGTGTCGCGCGCAGCACGCGCTGCTGCTTACTTTGTTCGCAGCCAGTTTCTGCGAAGCGGGGCGCGTAGGGAATGGGGTGTCATGTTCCGTTCCGGAGGTTGGATGCAGGAGCAGAGACGCACCTCCGCAAGACTCCGTCCGTCAAACACATCCTCTGCGGGCTGCGGAGGCGGTTCCTGACCGAGCCTAGGCGATGTTGCATGGAATAGCTCGTAAGACTCGAGTAGACACAGAGATAGGCCGGTATAGGTACCTAGCGTATGCTGCCTTCCACTGTTCGTCGCGCCGCGCCTTGGCAGCCTCTAGTTCGTCCTGGGTGACGAACCTGGAGCCCACGCCTCCTGTCTGTATGGATGGGATTGCATCTTCCATGCTTGGGTGGCAGCGGAGTGTGTGCTAGTACCGAGTGCAGCAGGCCAGTCCGAGTTGCAAGTCACGGATGAATATGGCCAGAGGCAAACCGGACGCCGGGCGCGTGCGATGTGCCGAGGGTGAGCGATTGGCGGCGGAGTGCCAAGAGAGGAAAGGAGCCCCGTGACCGAGGCATATGGTTCTGTCTCTCTCCCGCCAGTTCGAAAGCGACAGCGGCGCTGCACTGCGCGGTGCCCCATCTCTCCGCCCCCAAAGCCTGCTGTCGACCTTTGCTCTCCTTTGCCGTATGCCCCTACGACCCCGATGAACCCAGACCCCTCCCAGCACCAGCAGCAGCCTCCTCCGCCCTCCGCCTCGTCAGCCTCCACCTTCTCCAAGCATCTCTCTGTCCACAGCTCCAAGGCAGCGCCTTCGTCCGGAAAGAAGTTTATCAACACAGCACCCCGTGCGTACATTCCTCTTCCTCGCGCCCCTTATCCGCCCATCGCGTCTTCATTTTGCGTCCATACCGAATGTATGCCTATCGGCTGACCCCATCTTTATCCGTGCAGCCTGGGCAAGAGACGAGCCACCCTCGCCGAACGAAAACGAACCCTCCGCTGGCTCTAGGTTTGCACACCTCAACGCAACCCGTCCGTCCGATGCTTCGTCCTTCCAGTCCTCGTCTGCCGCGGCGCCCGAAGACCCCGGCCCTTCGCGATGGTGGGCATTCACGCGGCATCGGCCCACCGACTCCGGTTCCATTCCACTGTCGCCGAGTCTTCAGCGCGCAAGGCGCCCGCGCGACGGTTCCCGCTCCATGTCAATTCCATGGCTCACCGCATCCGTATTGCGGCGTTCCCAGGAGGACCAGGAAGAGGGAGGGAGCCCGTCAACGCTGCGCGGTGAGCCCGAGCAGGACGCGTCGTCCAATTCCGGTGCAACCCCCCGGCTGAGCAACCGGAGCCGGTTGCGGATTGACATGCCCCCAAACAACGCGCCGTTCACGTTCACGCTCGCGCAGAACCGCACGCCGGGCTGGGAGACACCATGGACGTCAGCGCACCCAAACAATGCTAGCTCGATGGACGGACAGATGCACCACGAGGGAGGCTCGGGCCACGACGACGAGAAGCTCACGTCGTGGCAAAGACGGCGGAAACGGCTACGGGCATACATGCTGTACAACGTCTATGTTCCATTGGTGTGCTCCATATTCCTCGGTCTCTTGCTTCCCTACCTCATCCTCAACTCGGCACAGCTCTTCCGCATATGCAACATCGCCCTCACGACGGCTGCGCTCGCAATTGCAATCCGAATCCGAATTATCGAGCAGCATGCTAGAGTCACTGGCGCCCTAGGCCCGTCTCCGTAAGTGCTATATCAGTCCTTCCAGTCGGGCAGTGAATTGATGTCAAGCTACAGAACAGTGGTTATCATTTTCGCAAGCCTGACGCTCGTGCATGTCATGATAGCCATATACGTATGTTGAATCCAGCGCATGCGATTACAGTCGAAGTTACTCACCTGAGCTGCTAGCTCGAATATTTTGGCCGCCCGCTGGGTCTTTGGCACACGTCCTGGAAACTCGCCTACACTCTGCTGGAGGTAGTCTTCATTTGCGCGTGGTCCTCCGCGCTCGCACTCTCTTTTGATGGTTTCTTCACTTCCTTGATACCCTGCACATCCCCCTCCAGCATCTCCTGGTACAGCCAGCTCCCGCGTCCGACCCTACCTAATGGGGTAAATGGCTTCGAAGGCGGCGTCGGCGATACATTATGTGATGACCAAGTCGCCCTCATCTGTTTGGTGGGCGTTGGTCTTCTGATGTATTGCTTCAACCTCTTCATTTCGCTCTTTCGAATCTTTGAGAAGGTCAAGTATCACCCTGCCGCCACAGTATCTGCATAGTGCAGCGCTCCATGGCCCTCGTGCTATCTATATCTGTCCTCTCTTGCGATGCGGTTCTAGTTTGCTCAGCATGATACTACATGCTTTCCCCTCTCTACGCGACATCCCTTCCTGTCCACATCCAGTGTTTAGCCCAGCACCCTGTATCAAAGCTGCCCATACCACCCGCATCCATCGGCTTACAGTACTACGTACGATTATAGCTCAACGCAGAACACAAACCAAGGACATTAGAGTTCAATTCACCTCCGCTGCTGCCTGACGTCAACACAACATCTCTCCTTTACACTTTTGTGCATGTTCGCGTTACTATCACCGCTACCATCTGCGCTATTGGCGCAGGCTCTGGCTTACCCACATCCCCTGTATTACTCTCGTCTACCGCCGAATCTCAGTGCTGGGACCGTGGCGTGTATTATCAGGATTGGTCGTGGTGTCGTCTTGACCACACATACATCCGCATTTCATTTACATCGCGGTGAGTAGGAAACGCCATCAGATGTGGAAAGATGGTGGACCTGGTTGTTATTGCCTCGCACTCGCAAACAATGCCGCGGTCTGCTCGTATAGTGCGTTCTATCCGAATCCACAACCAGACTTGTTTGTATATGAGGGTTGCCTGAGTCGAGAACGTGCATAAGAAGGTGGACGTTGGTGGTACGTAAGACGAAATACAGATACACGACATCGCAGCAAGGCGGTACAGAGCGACACAGGCAAACAGCCATATATATAGATGTACCAACACCGCCGGGCTCGGGCTCGGAGACTTGATGAGAGCGCGATATTGATTTTGCTGCGTATCATCCCGATGAGAGCGTGGCACGCCTAGCGATGGACACTATGCGTGTTCCAGGTATAACGGAAAGGCAAGGAGGGCATGTGGGACGGACCCTGGGGAACGTGCAGCTGGGCGTCCTGAGGAGGATGTGCACGTTGTGGCCGAGTGGATCGTTACAGAGGATCCTTGCGCTTGCTACACCGCGACGTGTCTCTCCGAGGCGTCGAATGGACAGTGGCGCTGTCTGCTGGGATCGCCAGGACAGGCGATTGTCGCCGCCGAAAGCGGATCAGCCCCCGACGCGGGATGCACAGCTCGCCCCGAGTTCATCTCCTCCGAACGCGGTGAGGGAGATTGAGAGATGTGCAGATGACGGACAGTGATATCTGCTGCTTCGCGAGGCTCGTCATGGTGATGGGAGAGAGCAGCGCTCTGCGAGATGATGCGCCGTCGCTGGCTATGTATATCATACATCCGACAGCCCCGGACTCGGATCTTCATCTGTGGCAAAGACGCGGCAGGACGCGCTCCCTGGGGCCCCAGGTTCCAGCCCGTTGGGCGATCGGTGGTTCGTGGGTTTCGTGGCCAGATAGCGATCCAACGACGACCGTCGCCGGTGGGCGGGCGGACCGCGTCTGTAGGGCTGGAAGAGTTGATCGTCGGCGTCGGCGCACGCCGCTTGCGCAGATGAACGCCACTCACATATAAGGTTGGCTGCGATCGCACCAGTGGATCTGTCGATCCGATATCGGGGTATTTGGGTGGTGGCGCTACAAGTACAGTGGCCCCGGGCACAGAGAATCATACGTAGAACATAGGGTGCACGCAGAGACGGCGAGGCTGAGTCGCGCTGCCGCCTTTGGCCTGCGGTAATGGAGACACTTGCATCCACCGCCGATGCAAAGCGGATACGTACGGCTCCTAGGCTTTGTCCATTCAACGGATGAAGTAAAGGACAACGTCTAGGTGAGGACACAGCCGAAACTTTGATCGTACAAAGGGTAAGGACAAGTGTATGCGCGGAGGGGAGGGTTTCTGGAGATGAGCCCAGATCGCCGAAATTGGCACGTCCTGTCTCTCAGGGCGTGCTCCATGTGTCCCAACCTTCTCGAATTCCGATGAGGATCGGAGAGCTGGCGTCGAGACATTGACGCGCCTCCACTCCGCCACCCAAACATTACCATAAGCAGCTCCTGCGCCCGAGGGCCAACGGATCCTCACAGGTACGCCTGCAGCAGTCGCTCCCGATGACGCAGACCGGCGAGTAGCCATGGCGCCCCGCTGCAGCGAAGTATTCAGCGCGGCCAACGGTGGACGAAAGGGCCCGACGAGCGGCGTTTGAGCCGAAACCGGACAGCACGCACGTTTTGTGCCAACGCCGTATAACTTCCGCCGTACGGCCGACGCTTGTCCCATTCACGTCGGCCTGTCAGCATGTCCTTGCCGTTTTGCTGTCGCTGGAAAGACCGAGCCAAGGCATCCGATGTGTCAGGAGCCGTGTACCACAAATTTGTTTCAATGTCGGCTCCTATGTCGGCCATGCACCTCGCAAATTGGAAAACGTAGCTGAGAGTCTGCGACCGTATGGACACCATTAGCTGGATTGGGCGTACGGGAGGGCTGTGGTACTATACGGTCCACTATGAAACCAACGGGCGACGAGTCCGGATAATGAAGCCCTGTCATCGGGGCTCAAAGTGAATCAGACCAGTCATGCTGCGGAAGAAGCAGCGTAGCATGGCCGCACATGAGGACGCTGCGACGCAATGTGCTCTTCTCGGTCTCCTATGATATTTCCTCCGAGAACACCGTAAGAAGCCTGCCAATGTCAAAAGGCCACATGCGTCATCGCGGACTAGAGACCGTTACCGGCGGGTCCACGAGCCACAGGCATGGCGAACGCATGCACCGAGCCTACTACGCCGGGAAGCTGACAATGTAGGAAGGATTTACCAGCCGTCTTCCAGGAGACAGCCGTGATACATGGGAGCGGGAAGATACCATTCCGGTGACTGAGGGAGGACGCCCTGGTCGATAGGCTACCCGACAGCCGCGGATGGCCCACATCGCGATATGCATCTGTCAATGTGTGCAGGAAACTTGATGGACTGCACGCGATGGGATACACAAGCCGGAGGATGTGTAGAGGCCGTGGTGATGGAACGCGTAGGACGCCCGCGAGCGGTCATCGGAACACGCAGGCAAGGAGGCGTTGGCGACGAACCAGTACACTCCGATGAGGCCTCGCGAGCAGCCGCCTTGGGATCTATGGGCTTCCGTAGCAGGGAGTTGGGGATGGGATGGCCGGAGCATAGGCTTTGATTGGGCTGAGCCCTGTTCCGTCGACCAAGGAGACGTACAGTTGAGGATGATCATGGCCGCATATGGATTAGCGCACAGGGCTCGCCACGATACGCACCGTCCCAGATAGTGGCACGCACGCGGGATTGTCGTCCCGGTGGCGGATCTGTTTCTGTCGGATATCCGGCGGGACATGCGGCGTCCAAAGGGACACTGACGATGATGGCAGGGCCAGGAGGGGAGGAACGGGAGTAGGAGGCAGGAGGCTGGCGCTGGCGCAGAGCAGGAGCTTGATGGCGAGATGTCAGAGAAGCGTCTGCGAGGGCACATCGGAGAGAAAATAAGCAGGCGGAGTATTGTCAAGATGGGCTCGAGGGGGTGGACGCGCGGGAAGGGGCGTGCAGCAGCGCTTAGGTCCGTGATGCCGGATTTCTGCAAACAACGTGCACTCCGACCTCTTCGGTGGTTCGCTTAGTTCTCCAAACACTATAAGGCTGCAGCCTCCTCATCCGTTCCTCTCATCATCACCAAAGCCCTCCTCCAGCCCTGAAGCCCTCTACTCCAGCCTTGCTCTGTCTCTCACGAGCCCATCATGTCCTCCACCGCCATCCCCAGTGCTTGCTGGACTGTCCTTCCAGCAGAGATGAAGCTCTCCATCGTCGATCAACTCGATCTTCACGATGTTCATGCGTTTTCGAAAGTCAGTCATGAGTGTTACCAGCTTTCTGTGCCCGCTCTCTTCCGTGTAAGTCCTATCGTATTCTCCTCGCTGCGTACAGTATAGCTCACATCTCACAGTGCGTCAACATCAGAAGCGCTGAAGCGCTCCACCAATATGCGATCTCTGTCCCAAAATCTTACAACCGACACATCCGCCAACTGACCATCTGCACCAAACGGGCCAAGGCGCAGCAGAAAGCCAGCCCATCGTCGCCGCCCATCCGTGTTACGGACGCGCTCACCGAGGTGCTGCCATACTGCACGCAGGTGGAGCAGCTGACGCTGAGCCTGGCCGCGTCTTTGGCAAAGGCTGTGATACCCTGCTTCGAAGAGCTGTCCGCGCTGGATTCGTTGTGCATCGATCACTGCGGCGATGAGGCACGCTTCCCTCTGTACGTTCTCCCTGTCACTCTTTGTTTGACGGCGTCCACTGACCAGCGGCATATCGGCGCACAGGAGCGAGCGGCTCATTGTCTCCATCGCTGCCTCCGTCCCCAACCTCCGCCACCTCTCGCTCGACCGTGTCACCCGCTCGGCACTCCATGCCCCCGACCTCGTCGGTGCTCGCCCCTTCGTTCCGGTCGTCAGAGGAGACGACGACATCCCCGACCACCCCGTGCTCGGACACGAGCTGCGCCTCCCCTCTCTCCTCCGCCTCCCCGTCCTTAAGAGCCTTCGTATCCGCGATACCCACCTCGGCGACCCCCACTGGGCCACCACACCCGTTGCGTGTTCGCTTGAGATCTTGGACTTGGGGAGCTGCTACCACGAATCGCATGACTACAACCGCATCTGCACCGAGCGCATCATGGGCACCATCGGCCACACCGTGGACGAGTGCGCGCTCAACACCGCGCTCACGCCGCAGACGTTCGCCCACGCCAAGCCCGACACCCCGCGCCCGCTCAAGAAGCTCCGCAAGGTCCACCTCACGCCCCTCTTCCCCGTCGAGAACGTCGTCGACACGCTCGCGACCCTCTCGGACTCCCCCGTGGAGAGTCTCTCGGTCGAGTGCCACAAGGACGACGTGGTGGACATGTGCTCCGCGCTCGAGGACTTCCTCAACCTCCGCGTGCAGCGCGGCCAGACAGGCTTCTACCAGCACCTGAGCGAGATCACGGTCAGCACCGTGAACGACCTCGCGGACGCGCTCGACATCGGCGTCCAATCGACCAAGTCGCGCGTCGCGGAGGAGCTTTCTGGCGAGAGCGCGGACGCCGTGCGGCGCCTGCGCGAGTACTGCCGCGACCTGCGCCTGGGCGCCACGTCCAAGGAGGCCGAGTCGGAGAGCCTGTCGGCGGAGAAGGCGGCGGCTAACGCCACTCGCGAGAGCGCGAGCGCCCCGGCGGCTGTTCCAGCTGGACAGACTGAGACGACGCATGGCCAGACCCAGGCGTGAACTGTATGCGGGCGAGCGACGGACGAGCGGGTGCATTGCGTTCTCCGGGTCCTTGACCCTCTTATTCTTATGGGCGTTGGGCCTGGCACACCGTGTGTGCTCGAGGCACCGATGTTGTGATATACCCCTCCTCGGGCTGGTCGAGGCTTCGAGGCCTGTTTTACTTCTATCATTATCTGTTTGTTGATACCGACTGGCCCTGTAACTCTATGTACCATATTCAGTGCGCGATAGGCTCCGCAGATATAGACATCCCTCACCCGTACCTTCGCTCACCAGACCAGATCGTGTGCGAAGTCCGCTGGTCATGAGATTGCCTCACGAGCTGCGTTTGGGGGTGACTTCTCTGTTGGATGATCACCGCCCAGGAACTCGCATTGTGTGGAACAGGAACAAAGCCACCGAGTGTGGGATAGGGCAAGGGGCGGGTTTGCGGACAAGAAGCCCTGGGGGCTCTCTATATGCACCACCGGTTGTGCACTAAAACAAGGGAAATGACCACTCGGCGTTCTTCGAGAGAATTCTGTTCATGGGCGCGCGCAGTGGGCTGTGGTATGTTTCCTAATACGGATCAAGTGGTTCACGACACGGGCTGTGGTCGGTCTGTGGTCGGGATGATACACTGTCAGCGAGAACGGATGACTCACGATAGGAAGGCAGGGTGCGCAATCAGACGGAAATGAATGAAGGGCGTTGGTAGACCCCCCGGGCCGCTCGACGTCAGTGTCGATTACCCCGCCGCGCTTTCGTGTTGTCGCCAACGAAGAGACGTTTATTGCACGCGCCTGGCTCCAGCGGGGCGCGCCCGCTTCTACTGTGCAAGTGGGAGCAAGAACCACGTCGGTTCAGAGCCGGCATGTCAGGGCAGGCCGTGGTTTTGTGATATAGTGCGTGCGGAGCTCGATGTACGATGATAAATCATACCACGAGACTGGCGAGGCATGGGGAGCGATGGTTGTTGCAGGACAGCTTCGCGATGGGGAATAGGAGGACCCGAAGGATCGACAGCTTCGTGTTCGTGTTCGTGTTCGTGAAGAGGCTAGAGACACGGACGACAGGGAACTGTTCCTCGGAGACGTCGAGGAACGCAAATCAGGGACTCTGACGCGTCGCAGGGAGGAAGAAAGATGGCATCCGTCCTTCATGGAGTAGATGGGCCCCAAAAGGTGCGACGTGAGTAATAATCGGGGAGTTGAGCTCTGACCGTTCATCAGAGACGTTGAGACTATCGACACGGGGAGGGTGGTTTTCCCGCCGTGCCTGCATAGCGTCCAGGGATGACAGAAGAGACTTGTCGAACAGAGTAGGTCCAGCGTGAATCATTAGGGGTAGTCAAAGATGGCGATTCGGTGGACGATTCGAGGGAACGATTCGGGAGACGATTCGAGAAGGGGGGAATCCGCGATTCTGGCAGAATCGCGTCGAATCGCCGGTGCGAGTCTGGAGGAGCACCGCCCACCCGAATCGCGATTCTCTGCACTCGATTCCCTCAGCCCAACCTCGGATAAGCCCTCTTAAAATAGGTTATATGTCCAAATTTTTTTGGGGTTTGTCTTAGCACGTCTTACGAGCGACCATGGCCCTACTGCAAGCTTGCCGCTTCTCTACTTTTATCAGAATTGCCGGTCTACAGATTCCCTCCACCTTGAAATGTCCGATCAGACCGAAAACCCTACTTTCAAAAAGTCTGGCCGTCTCACTTGGCAACCTTCTGCTGGCTCTGGCACGAAGACCGGGAATCAAGTGCGCCGTGTGTCTTGTTGATGAAATGGATATATTTTCTCTGAGGTCCCAAGAGCTGTAACGAAGCATAGTAGGGGGAAGAGCAACGCGGCACGCGGAGAGGAACCATCACGCGAGGATTACCTGATTTTGATATCACAGACGCCCGAAGGCCTGACCGACTCAAGAATCTGCCCTGGAATCGACCCGTAGAAACGTGGGGTGGTCAAAGTGCCCACACGAATCCAGGACGATTCCCTTTGACAGAATCGCTGCAGAATCGCTCGACGAACCGTCCTCCGAACCGCCATCTTTGACTACCCCTATTGTTTCATTGGAGAATGGGTCGCATAGATGATGAAGCAATAGTAAAGGGCTCGAAAGCCGTCATAGACACAGCAACCACCCGCTGAATCCTGGAAAGTAAGGTCAGCCAGAGGCCAGTGCGCCACATTTGTTGGGACATACCGAGATAAGAGATACATTAGCAGTCGTCGGTCATGCAGATGCATGTCGTACGTACATACATGTATATAGAAACATACCTGCTCTGTGCGCCCTACCTGTGCGCGTCACATTCTTTTGCGTGGAACGATCCTCCGGCAGTGGGTGTTGTGCCGGGTCCCGAATACCGGGCCTGCACAAGTTGGCTGGCGTCCCGACCGTAGCGTACGAACATCGCCCGGCGCGCTGACATGGGCAGCCTCCCGACGCTGTCGGGTCGGGATGGACGCAGAGTCGGGGGCTGCGCGAAGGATGGGCAGCGTATGTCCAAACTGGTGCCGTGGCGAGCATCGTGGAGAGGCCGCAACACAGGCTGGAACGGATTCACCGAGCTTCCGCTCGTCAAATTGCGCGCGCTCTCGCCGAAGAATGTTCAGAGAAGCATGCAACGTGCGAGCGCTGGCAGAAACCGCCGGAGTCTGGACAGAGAGCACTGAAGAGAAGCGTTCAGTCCGAGGCGACTCCCAAGCGCGATCGCCCTCCCCATCTCCTGATCGGCATCAGCCACGATCCGTGTTCAGATCAGGGCAGTCGACCGATCGGGTTCCCAACACTCCGCCATCCAGCCATCCTCCAGCTCCTGACTTTCGACCAGCCCCCTCCTTGTCTTTGCGTGAGACAGCACGGTCCCAGATGGCAGTAGTCAACGAGTCATAACTGGGATGACATCCCTAGTCATGCCACCGGCAGCCTCAACGTCGAAGAGACCTGTACCCAACCCGTCAACATCAAGAGTCACGGTTTATTGAGCAATGACTGTCAGGCTGTGTGGCATTCTCGTTCGCCAAGCGCTGTCAATCCACTAGCGGGGGCGGCTTTCAGATGAGATCTCAGGTGCTTGCTTCTCCCATTACCTGTACCTGATTCCTGCGGGGCAAGTGTCTTCTATTCCTCCCTCGTCCTCCGATCCGGAATGCTAATGGCATTCTCTAGTACGCGGAGCCGGCCCATGAGACGCTCTTCTACCTCTCCACTGATAGCCGCAATAATTTCTCTGCCCTAAATTGTACTGAATGAGCTTCCGCCGGATGTGAGGGCGTGCACAGCACAAATCCGACACCGTCATCACCTCCGCCCGACGTCCCTGTCTGGCCGTCTGTCCAATTTACCAGCGGAACTCCCATATCGAACGGACTGACGTTTCGACTGTTTCGTCTGACACGTATACCGCCTCGCATAGCTCTTGCACTCTGGTGGTGTGCCCGTATCCCATCCTTCCCTATAAAGGTGCGTACAACTATGAGTCGTTTGGATAGAACACCAGCCCCTCAGACAACAACCCGACTCACAATGAGCTACAGGACCCACCTCACGGTTCTCGAGCAGTCAGCTGCACTCTACTCCTCCTCTCCTGCTTTCAAGCTTCCCCGATCGTCTGCTATCGACAAGACTGTCGTCGAGGAATGGGTCTCTGTCTCTTACGAGCAGTTCCTTCTCGACGTCGAACGGTCTGCACGACACTGGGCTCGCACGCTCTCTGCGCACGGGCTTCCAAGCCGTTCCATAGTTGGTCTCTGGTCAGTCTATGACGATTCCGCTGCGGGCGCAACCCAACTAACCATCTCCGCAGGCTTGGCGGCACAACGTACCTGGACGTCCTCCACGTCTACGGCATTGCAAGGGCAGGGTATATCCCGCAGCTCTTCTCCCTTCGGCTGCCAAGCCCTGACGTGGTCTACGAGCTCCTCCACCGAGCCGGCGCACAGGCGTTGGTATTCGATCCTGCCTTTGCATCCATTGTCGTCAACTGCCCCATACCCGCCGAGCTTGCTGTCGACATCCGCTCGATAGACGTCAGTGACGCAGTTCTGCCACCTCTCTGGGTGCCGTCAAACGGCGATGAGATTGTCATGATCTACCACACCTCGGGGTCTACCTCTGGCAGCCCCAAGCTCGTCCCTTGCACTGCGGACTGGGTGAATGCCACCGTCCAGAAAGCGGCGCACGTCACTCGCCCTCGCAGCTCAGAAAGGCAAGATGTCACCGTCTGGATGTGAGTTGCCTTCAGAGAACTGTTTCAAGTCTCATCCCGTACTGGCATTGACGCTTGTTGGGATCACAGAGGGTCGATGTCCCACATCGGGCAGACGTTCATGCTCATGGGCTTCCTCCAGCACGGCTCGTGCACTGTCCAGCCCACGCAGCTCCCCTTCTCTTCGGTTGAGCTCCTGGACATGATCCGCCGCTGCGGTCTGAACCGCCTGAACCAGTTCGCGTCCTTCCTCGGCACCCATCTCCGCAACGCACGCTCAAATCCCGCCCTTCTTGCTGCCCTCAAGTCCCTCGACGAGCTTCTGTACACTGGGCTACCTCTCGCTGCCGAGGAGGAAGCGTGGGCATACGCCAATGGCATCCTCATCAAGAACTGCTTCGGCAGCACAGAGGTCGGGGCGATGATGCTCTCCGTCGGTGGGAGGGGGAAGGACGCCGCCCACCTGCATGTCATCGAGGGCACCGCATACGAGTTCCGCCCCGTTACTCCCTCCACCGAGCGCGACGCCGAGACAAGCAAGTCGGAGACGGGATACGCAGACGCCAACCAGAGGCTGCTTGAGCTCGTCATCCTCTCCCACTCTGGTGACTGCCCTCACCCCTCGCTGCGCCACCCTGACGGACACTACCACACCGGCGACCTGTTCCTGGAGGTCGCGCCAGGGCGGTACGTCTCCCGCGGACGCGACGACGACTGGATCAAGTCTGCGACCGCCCTGCGCTGCGACACCAAGGCGATCGAGGAGAACGTGCTCGCGACATGCGCCGACATCGTCGCCGCCTGCATCGTAGTCGGCAACGGCCGCCCATCCCCCGCGCTCTTCGTCGAGCCCAAGGGCGACTTGGACGCGGAGAAGCTCAAGCGCGACATCATCCGCCGCACGCGGCACTTCCACGCCCGTCGCTACGTGCACGAGCGGATCGTGTCCGCCGCGTTCGTGGTGGTCGTCCCCGCCGGTACCCTCCCCCGCACCGCGACCAAGGGCAACATCCGTCGCAAGGCGGTCGAGGAGAAGTTCAGGGATGAGCTCGATAGGATATATGCGACCTGTTAGGGATTACCGACTCGGCTCTGACTGACTGACTTCGCTTGAGTTCCGGCTCTACTGTATCACTCTAACCTATCGTAACCTATTGCTCTGGCTGTACGAATGTTTACGATCTTGCACTCATCGTAGTATCTCATGTTTCTGTAGTGGCCTACAAACTTGTACTCCTCATCACTTTTCGTCTTATTTATTCTCCGTCATTCTGCAGCTGTTCATGCCACACTTCTTGTACTAGTAGTCAAAAGTCTCTCAATCTAATCAAGGTCTCTTGTCAGACTATTCATTGCCCAATGTGTGACCAGTTTCACCGAGATCGAGCGTTGGAAACGTCGACTTCGGCGTACAAGCTTGGCATTGGTATCCTTGGAGAAACAATAACAATATTTTTCAGATCAGTGAAGACGTATCTGCGCCCGACTGCAGTTCATACTTAGCATACGCAGCGAGAAGGAAAGGTAGCTATCCACCAGCTGATCGCCTGAACCGTGCCAATGTGCAAACGCTGCGGACCTGTCGTGGTTTGTCTCGTTGCCAGCTACATATCCTTTGGGAGTTCGTGGGGGGTTGCGTGAGATCCATATCATGACTCAATATGACTGCCAACCCATGCTAGTTCAAGGCGTGGTCAGCTTGTTCAGCATGGTTAGTGTTGACTTTGAAGACATGGCCCCTGCTGAAGATGTGTATGCACAACAAAGTGAATGAGAGACAGTGTTGCGAGCAGGACAACTCCTTTGTACCTACATAGCAATCTGCTGAAGCGTAGCTCGGAGCGTGCGCAACCGATGGGTTCCAAGAACGATGTACAAGGGCATAGGGCGCAGGCAGAAGGACACGAAGCACCAGGCTACCAAAGAGTGGGCCTCTCAGTTCTGTACAACGAAGATATGTCTACCCTTCCCCGACAACCACACCGACTCGGCAGCTTGCGTGCCCGCATACAATACCACGACGATTCAGCCAAACATCCTGCCACAAGGTGACGTCGGATCGCCCATCGAAATCCAATGACGAAGCACTTCGCTGTCACTCGCGGCCGCGATTACGGTGTTCGTTCCGGCTCATGTACGAAGATCTCCCTATCCCCAATTCGGAACGCGAACTCTCTGACGTCGCTACTTCCGGGCGTTCGGAGCAGTCCCCGAATCTCGCCTTTGTTCACGAGCGCGGCGCGCATGTGTTCCTGGGCGATCGCCTCAGCGAGAGCGTATGACGCGGGGAAGGGGTCGATGGGAGCTGGATGCAGGGTGATGTGGTAGTGGAGGGGCAGACGGGTCACGTCTGCTTGACGACGCGCGGGGCCTGCAGGGCTGTCGCGAGAGGGGTCGACGCTGGCAGAGCGTTCCCGCTGTGAGTTCTGGATGTTCGAGATCGCCTCAGCGGCTCCGTGGGCTTCGAAGGGGGCTGGGAATGGGTGGAGATGCTGCCTATAGAAAGGCGACTCCGGCTCCCCGGGAGCCGACGGCTTGGAGAACGCATTCAGGCCCCAGTTAGACAAGAGGATGACCGGCCGGTGAGAAGCACGAAATTCTTGCAGCGCTTTTACGACGTAGTACAGGGGATTGGGAGGGAGTGTGGCGTGAGAGGAGCCGTCCGTTGCGTCGCGAAGCTGCTCGAGGGAATAGCGATCTCTCCAGTAGAATGCACTCAGCGAGTCGATAGCCAAAATGCCAATTTCGGTGGTCTGCAAGCGAGAGTTGGTTGCATGGTAGTTTGGAAGGTGTATGAGGGTGATGGCGAGCTGGGCAGACGAAGTGGGGCGAAATATGTGCAGATTCTCCAGACATCGGGTAGCGAGGTCCTCCAGATCAATAGTGACATTTGTGTAATGGGGACTGTCCCGGCCCAAAAGACGGCTCAATCGAGAGACGAGGAGTTCGTGGAGTCTGGACGTGCTGAACTTCCCATCGGTGTCAAAAAGTATTGCAGCTTTGCTCCAGCCGCCCAGATGTATGCCTTGGTGTTGAGAAGGCATCAAACAGGTCAACAACATATGGCAAAGAAATTGCGTCTTGCCGCTTGCCGCGGGCCCTTGGACCTCAATGACATCGCCTCGATTGAGAGGCCAACCGTGGGAGGTGCGACTAACATTGGCCGTAGATAAATGTCTGTCAAGTGCAGGGATGTAGGTGGACCCCGCGGAGGATGCTGAGGATGTAAGAACCTTCGGTCACGCCTACGGTGACTGACCGAATGCATTGCACTTACTCTCGTGCCTTACGGACGTCAGGAACTGCGAAGCCGACTGTTAGCCGGGGGACTGCGGGGATGGATCTCGGCGTACTGTTTGTAGAGATTCTGTCTGTATTTCCGCTAGTATATCGGATGCACTGAGCTCGCAGTGCATTATCGTGCGCGGCTGCAGCTACTCGCAGCAGCCAGAGAGACGCAGTAGAGACAAGGTCCAGTCGAGGAACAAGTCAAAAGTCAAAGACGGAAACGCGTCGCGGTTGTGGCGTGTTACATGATCTGATGCCACGTGGAATAGGCGCTGATCTTCTGTCCAAATCAAGAGTGGCAGTTATAGACTTAACGACCGCCCTCACCGACCGTCCTTCATCGACATCGCCAGCACACTCACCGCCTCCCTCCTCTCCGCCATCGACCTCAAGAGCACGGCGGAAGGGCTGTTTGACTCCAATCTTTGAGTATAAAATACCCGTCTCTGTAACGATATTCCATATGGCCACTACCGCGCCTGCACGAGCCACGCCTGCTTCGCGACGATCACCACCCACCATTAACAGCTCGGCCTCTCCTCCCTCCGCCTCTATCGCCAAGGGTGCAACTGCTCGGTCGGTGGTCTCTGCACGTGCATCCGCATCTCTCAATTCCCCCGTGGCCAGGCGGCAATCCGCGAAGGTTAATGGGACTCCGTCTGCTGCGAGCGGCGAAACACGAGAGTCTCTGTCAGCCTCTCTTAAGGAGGAAACGGATAGGAAGGAGAAGGTACGTGAGATCCTTCAACTTATATACATGTCTACTTGTCTAATTATACGCGTCTCGGTATAGCTGCTTGTCCAAATCCAAGACAAGGATGCCACCATCACCCAACTCACGACCGAGAACGACAACCTCACCTCGGCCCTCAATGCCGCAGAGTCCCGTCTCCAAGAGCTCTATGCAGACCAGAGTCGCATGGAGGAGGAGATGGCCGCTCGAATGGAAGTTGTCGAGAAACTCCGGACACAGGTCCGCGACCTAGAGAAAGAGAAGCGCGACATACAGCGTCGATATAACGAACAGGTCTGTGCCATGTAGGCCTCATATATCAAACTCGTGACATTGACTATGCATGCATAGACTGCAACTTTTGAGGCCGAGCGTCAAGCGTTTTATGACAATGAACAACATCTGAAGTCGCGCATTCAATCACTCACACAAGCACGCAAGCAGCCTCCTCCCGTCCTGACGTCTCCATCCGTGGTATCCATTGCCGAATCGGAGACGGATGTGGAGGAGCAGCCTGCCGAGGCAGAAGAGCCGAAGCAGGACGTCAGCGATCCGGAGCAGGAGCCTGCGGAGATGACCGCCCTTCGCTTAGAACTGTCGACCCTGTCCACGTCATACAACTCCCTCCAGTCCACGCTCGCCCTTCTCCAGACCCAACTGCACGACCTCAAACGGGTGAACAATGAACTACAGGAGGAGAACGAGTCGTACAACATCCTCCTTCGTGAGAAGACTTTAAACGGACAGTTCGACGTGTTGCGCATGGGCGGTGCTACCGCTACGGAACCCAGCGATAGCTCTGAGGCTGGTGACGACGACGACAATCGTGATGCTGAGAGTCTGCTCAGCAGGAATACCAGCAGCCGTAGCGTCCTCGATCCGGTCGATGAGCGCGACGAGCGTACGGAGCCCGAGCCTGACCTCGATCCCGAGTTCCAGCAAGACGAATTGGAGCGCGAACGCAAGGATACAGAGTCTCCTGCCAGGGGCAACCCTCGCCGCGGCGGACGGAGGCGTACCACGTCTACCAACTCACGTTCCTCTCCTGTACCTCGCGGCGAGTCGCTTGCCAACCTCCCCATTACTGGACCTGGCTTGGATCTGGCTGCGGAACTTGGACGTGCGGAGAACAAGGACCTCGTGGAGGGTCGTGCCTCTCTGGACACCGATCGTTCTGTCATCAATCCGAAGGGCAAGCGTGGCCGGAAGAACTCAGAACGCAAGGTCTCCTCCAAGTCCGAAGGTGCGGAGATCACTGGATCACCGGACGACATCGAGGTGCTTCGGTCGGAAGTCAAGAACCTCAAGGACGCAAACAAGGCCCTGTCGCTCTACGCGTCAAAGATCATCGACCGCATTATCTCCCAGGAAGGGTTCGAGCACGTTTTGGCTGTGGACTACGACAAGTCTCCCCCTCCTCCGTCTGCCAAGTTTACGACCTTCGCCGATGTCATTCCCAAATCCCCCAACCCCACGGTAGGTCAACATCCGAAGAAGAGCCGCCCTCAATCCGCCATTTTCTCGTTCTCATCTTCGTCATCCACCGCCGCCTCCCCTCCACAGGAACGCCTCACCACGTTCGACGACATTCGTGCCGCACAGGCTGTCGCCAAGTCCGCCGGGAACAGTCCCCCAGCGCCCGCAATGTCCACGCGTGCTTCACGTCGGTCGTTATCCTTTGACTGGAGTAGATTTTCCCTATTCGGTGGGGAGGCAGAGAAGAAGCCGGACCCTCACTTACGCCCTCTTACTCTCAAGGCGGGCACGAACTCGGTGGTGACCAACGCCAGAAAGCTTGAGACTACAGAGGACGAAGAGGACCGCCGGGAGCGCGAGCGACTGCACGCGACTATGAAGCTTATGGGCATCGAGAAGCCCGAGTCGCCTGCGGTGCCCTCGCTGGGCAAGAGCTACTCTTCCCCCGCTGGCGAGCCCTCCTTGCGGACACCCATCACGGCGAGTACGGTCACGCCCGGGTCGGCAGTACCCATGACCCCCACCGCGTCCTCCAGGTTTTCATTCTTCCGGCGAACGAACTCGGACGTGTCGATGCACTCGTCCCCTGCCGGTGGGGCGACCCCCAATCTCACGCAGGAGGCCCTTGAGCAGGCGGAGGCGGAGAGCACGATTGCGGCTTTGGAGGCGCATGAGCGTCAGCTCAGCGAGCAAATCGCGAAGGGGTCTTCAGGCGGCTTCACGGAGATCGTCCGCAGGAGCGGGGACCGTAGGAGCAGCCGGAGGAGTGGAAGTGGGAGCACGGTGTGGAGCGCCGGTATGAGCAAGGGCGAGGGCGAGGATGACTAGACGGGGGGAGAGAAGGGAAGCTGTATTTCGGATGCGACATTAGTGTCTAAACGGGGAATTCTGCTGTTGTCACGATCGGGTGGAGGTGAGTTTGTTTAGATTGCCGTGAACCCGGTTCGCAGCATAGGCTTTGGAAGCTGCAAGCATACCTGGTGCGCGTACTTTGACCTTGAACGCTCGGGTCCTGCTATGCCGCACGATCGTTACGATATTTTACGATCACGACTTTACTTTTCTCGGATTGTCTTCACTGGTGACGCCACTTGCATATTATACCATCATTCGATATCGACCCATGCGACACTAAGTTATATGCATCTGACGCTTTCACGGCCTCAGTTATGCATTACTATGCCATTAGCTCATATTTTCCACATCATCCATACCCTCGTATGATACAATGCGACAACGTCATTGCCTAGTGTAGAAAAAATACATACATGCCTATACCGCTTCCCGACCCACAAGCGTGTGTGATGATGGAAAGTCGCCGCAAATATGAGCACGAAGACGTCAGTACACGAGAGCCAACTTTTGACTAGCCGTCGGGACCGGCAAGTACGGCGCCACAGGGGTAATTGCCTGCGAGGTCCGCGGACGCCATCCCGACCGAGGGAGACATCAACATGTACCATATGGAATGAGCGAATGGAAAGGGGGATGAAACAGGTCGCCGATGACAAGCGGAATTGAGCAGGACGACAACATCCACGGATCGAGTTGCGGCGCAGGCCGCCCAAAGTCGTCGGAAGCGGGATGTGGCCCTCGATGTGCCGGCACGTCGTCCAAGCTCCAGTACTGCGAGCGTGCGCACATGGTACGCTGGCGTTTTCGGGCCGAAGGTTTAGCTTCAAGCTGGAGACGCTGCTGGGGGCTCGTGTTTGAGAAGCGTGTTCTGTGCATGTGTGCGGATGGTCTGGAACGGATTTGCTGCGAATTCAGGCGTTGCCAGAATCATGGGAATGCGCATCCGTTCGACCTGTCTGCAAAAGAACCCGTGGCGTGAGCTTCTCCTCCTCCGCATGCAAGGCTAAAGTGCCATCATGAAGCTGCCTGCCAGGCGACGTAGACGAAGTACGTACAGGGCGCGTTTTCGTTGACTCTTGGTCAAGGGGGTGCCCTTCCCCTCACCTATTTGGCCAGGCTTGGGTCTGACCTTCCTCGGCTTGGATTGTCCTTCGGACGCCTCAGTGGCGTCGCCGATAGTACTGGCATTCTGTACCGCTTCAGGGATATCGTCTTCCACGGCGGAGATTGCGGCCTTGATCTCGCTCATGCCGCCTGCGACCTGCTCACGCGCCTTGCGCTTCAATCGGCGTTCATGCGACTTTGAGTACGGTGACCGAGACTGTTCCAATCCTGTGCGCAGGCGTCATGTCAGCTACTTGCAAGAGCAGATGCCTCACGAGATCCCGCAAGTTGAGGAGTAAAGTAAGTTGCGCAGGCGTAATAGCGTACGAAGGGTGGGGGTGGACGGGATGAAAGGGCGGGGTCTTACGTTCGATGAAGAGCTGGTGTTTCAAAGCCTGCTTTTCCTTTTTCTTCAGCGTTGGGCGAGGCTCTTCGTCCGCAGCCATGTCTGCGAGGATCTCTGGAGCCTGATTGTCTCCAGCTCAGATATTTGCGCTAGTCCAAGATTCGTACTGATTACTCACCGAGCGTTCGCTCTGTTCTCCAATTGTGACATGCTCCACAGCGTTGTCCTGCACGGCGAACTCGCGTTGGGTGGGAAGCCTGACGGACCGTTCATGTGCGCCGCTGCGTCTGCGTTTTTCCTTGGGCTGTCTTCCGAGATTGAGCTGCTTATCTGCGCATCCATGCCAAGGCTCACCATTGCGTTCAATTGTGCTAAAGGTGAACAGCGCGAGACCGAGATGCCGAATGAAGGGCAGAAGATAGGTGCTATGTGCAGACGGTCGGGTAGATTTGTGGCAAGTTGACGCTGATCGAGCGGCCACGAAAGGAAATGACGTGCTCCGCGACATGAGCGTTGCAAGCTCGGCTACCGCACAGATAGCGACTCGCAGGTAGCTGGGCTTCCCACCGCTTGCTCTTGACTATCTTCTTTGTTCCCTCCAGACTCGCTGGCAATGCTCGAAGGCCTAGCCTGTTAATGGACACCTCATTTACTCCCCCAGCTCGCTCTCGTTCCCGGGGGAAGTCGAGGTCACGCGCCCGTGCACAGATCGCCAACCGAAGGGACTATGTGATAGGCATATTCTTGCTGCTATGTGTTGTCGTTCTTTGGACCACCTCAAACTTTGTGACACAGGTGCGTATCGTTGTTGTTGTGACTGAGATCGGGTTGTCTGATTATACCCTACTTCTCTCAGGACCTATTCCAGGGAGGTTATGAGAAGCCCTTCCTGTATGTCATGACTCGCCTCTCAGCTGTACTTGGAACAGTCCCTTAGTTGTTTGCTTAGGGTCACATACCTCAATACCAGTGCGTTTGCACTCTACTTGCTTCCCTTTGTCATTCGTCGGGCTTTCGACAAGAACCGGCAGAGTAGGTGGGTAGCTCTGCGCAGTTTGTCCATCAATATGTTACTCAAGCCATTGCGCTCAGGACGGCAGCGTATGCACCGCTTCCAACGCACGTCGATGCTGCGGAGACATTGGAGGTCTCGGTGAGTCCTATTCCCAGTGCTCAATCGCCGCCTACGCGTTCGCCCGCCGACCGGAGCGTAGGATACTCAATACCTAGACCCGGGAGTCGGCGCTGGGGAGGACAAATTCTCGCAACCGTTGACCATCCAAGAGACCGCCCAACTTGCGGCTGTGTTCTGTCTACTATGGTTCATCGCAAATTGGACCGTGAATGCGTCGCTCGATTACACTAGTGTCGCGAGCGCAACGATCCTTTCCAGTATGAGCGGTGAGTAGGAGCGCTTCCGGCTCAATCCTAGTATGCAGACCGATGCTTATGCGGAAATTATAATTCCGGCTCACTTGGCTCCGGTTAGGCTTCTTCACTCTAGCTATTGGGCGGGTTTTCAAAGTAGAGAGTCTGACACTAGTCAAGATTGGCGCCGTGTTCACCAGGTATGTGGCGATGACCCGGCCATATGTTCGTGGCCAGCTTGCATGTGCTCAAGGGAACTTTGCGTCTAGCTTCATTGGTGTTGTCTTGGTCTCGCTCTCGGATTCCTCGCAGCCGCAGCCGTCAGGACCATCTACGGGATTGTTAGACCTGCCAACAATGCCCATCATAGGCGATGCACTTGCGCTCCTGTCGGCCCTCTTCTACGCGCTTTACGTGACGTTGCTGAAAGTGCGCATTCGGTCCGAATCACGTATTGATATGCAGCTGTTCTTCGGCTTCGTCGGCCTATTCAACATCCTGACCTGTTGGCCAATTGGTGTCGTCCTGCATCTCACGGGCGTGGAGCCATTTCAACTGCCGTCTACCAGCAAAGCGGTAGTGGCATTGTTGGTCAACGTACGTACCCTGAACTGCGGCCGCAGCTGCGTCAATGCTTACTTCCATCTGGCAATCACAGATGGTTATCACATTGTCGTCTGACTACATCTACGTGATTGCGATGCTCAAGACTACGCCACTAGTTGTCACCGTGGGGCTCAGCCTGACGATGCCCCTGGCCGTCTTGGGAGACTGGCTCCTAAGTCGGCCCGCGAAGGCCAAGGTTATCTTCGGCGCTGTCATCGTCATTTCTAGTTTCGTGGCTTTGGGTTTCGAGGACTCTCGCAATGCAGAAGGGCACGATCTCATCTCCGGCGATCGAATAGATCAGGAGGCCGGAAGCGGCGGTGTTCGCTTAGAGGAAGAAGTGTCCTTGTCGGAGTAGTGTTGCACACCAGTCGCCGCTTGTTTCATCATTGTATCATTGTATTAGGATCTATCTACTGGACTGAGGGCCGTCTGCCGGTTTGCGCACTAAGAACATATTTTGGAAAGATTGAAGGTGGCATACTGACTACAAAGTCGATAATGTCAATAGTGTGTACGAGAACAAGCTTCCTCCGGAACCAGTTCCGACGGATTCACGGAATTAGGCTACAGATAGGTACAGTAGGGAGTGTTAGTACTACAGTGCGGTGCGAGATTAGTGCCTCGAGGTAATGATACAGATCACGGAGGGAGTGCAAGAATGGAGATGGGAATGTGCCGAATGCTGTGAGATGCCCATAGATAATAATACTCGTTAGGAAGTAGTGTCGACCCGAGATGTGACCTCAGCGCGCAACACCATAGACGCAATCGAGCTCAGCCTTGAACGCTTCCTCGACGGCCCGTCGACGGATGTTGCCCTTGGTCGCCGTACGAGGGAGCGTACCCCGGGGCACGGCGAGCACGAACTGCGGTGACACGATGCGCTCGTGCATGTACCGTCGCGAATGGAAAGGCCTGATCCGGCGGATGATGTCCCGCTTGAGCTTCTCGGGATCCGCACCGGCGTCCGCGGACTCTACAAACAACGCGGGAGAAGGCCTGCCATTGCCCGTCACGATGCACGCCGCAACGAGGTCGCCGCACGTGGCGAGGACGTTGTCTTCGATCGCCTTCGTGTCGCAGCGGAGCGAGTTCTCGCTCTTGATCCAGTCGTCGTTCCGGCCCCGGTAGACGTATCGTCCCGGGGAGACCTCGACGAAGAGGTCGCCGGTGTGGTAGTGGCCATCCTCGTGCCGCAGCGAGCGGTCGGGGCAGTCCGGCGAGTCCGCGTGCACGATGAGCTCCAGTAGCTGTGCGTTGGCGTTGGCGTACACGGTCTCGGCCTCCGCGTGGGCGGTGGAGTCGGCCTCCGTGTCGATGGGGACGAAGAGGTAATTGGAGCCGGGAACGGGGGTCAAGGCGCGTGTCCTGTTCGAAGAAGCCGGGGTGTCCAGGTCTGAGGCGGGGGTAACGAGCATGGAGCCGACCTCAGTGTTCCCGTAGCAATTCGTCAGCTTGATCCCGTTGCTGTACACCCACTCCTCGTCCTCAGACGACATCATCAGACCAGAGATCAAGATGTTGTCGAGGCTCTGCAGGAGCGCGAGGAGCTTGGGACTTTGCCGCGAGTTCCGCAGGTGCTGGCTCAGGAAAGTAGGGAAGATGTTGATGCGGGAGAGTCCGCATCGTTGAAACATGTCGACAAGTTCATCGGACGAGAACGCCTGCTGGGTGAATTGGACCGTGCACGACCCGTGCTGGATCATGCCGGCGAGCATAAATGATTGTCCGAAATGACACATGCTTCCCCTGGATCGCAACGGACGGTCAACGCATTGTCAAGAGTACAGTTACGAAACGACTTACATCCAGACAGTGACATCTTGCCTACCGTTGCGAGCAGGGCTGGGTTTCATGTGCTCATGGATCTTAGCCAGTATGAAGTCCCACCAAGAATAGCTGACCGGCACGAGTTTCGGGCGACCAGATGTTGAACCCGACGTGTGGAAGATCATGAGGGTGTCCTCGCCATTGGTGCTCGCTCGATTGGGTGGTAGTGATACCTCGGGATCCGGTAATGTTCGTGCGTCAATGGCGACGAAGGTAGGTACGGGCGCATGGCTCAAAGTCGAAGCATACGAGGAATCGTAGATGAGGGCGCGGCCATTGGACTTCTCCAGTAACTCGAAGATGATGTCAGGGTTCGGCAGGCGCAGTGAGAAGTACTGCGGGATATAGCCTGCACGAGCAATGCCGTATATGTGCACGGCATCGACGTAGGTGACACCACCGAGCCTATTCGAATGTAGCCAGGTGAGCAGATGTTGACTACAGTCGCCATGGCAGGAAACGGAGTCATACCATAAACCAACAACAGACCGAGTGCCGACTCCACAACTTGTGAGCTTCTGTGTCCAATGTCTTGCGAACCGTTCGACATCTTGCCAAAACTGGCTGTAGGTGACAATGTCCCACTCAAGGATTTCGTTGGAACGCGAGTCGATGCGCGGAATGCGGAAAACTGGCGAGTCAGGGTACCGTGCAGCAGTCTGCTCAAGCACAGTGAGATGAGTCCGATATGAAGCCATGGGGAATTGGTGTGGGTGCTAGGATGAGAGTGACTGGCATATTTATATGGCGCACATACGTGTATAGGTAGATGACTGAGCCATGATGATGTTTGACCGAATGGCGGAGGTAGCCGGGTGTCAATCTCAAACGCTCTGCATAGAACAGCCAATGCCAGCGCAATCTCTCCACCAGGAAGAGTTTCCGACAAACTAGCGCGGCGTACAGGGACCACTGTGTCGGACCCCAGTGATGGAAGTGGAGGGATCAGGGCAAGATCTCAACTCCCGGGAATCTGTCACCGTCCTGAAACTGGACAGAAACGGTACAATGTACGATGGGAATGCAGTGTCATGGCGATTTGCCGAGTCAGCGCGGGTGCCACAGCCTCTGTCTCCGCCAGCGCCGCTGAACGAGTCATGATCCAAGTACGAGGTCCGTGGAAGGCAAATGTCGCAATCCACTCGGTATGAGCGGAGGACACGATTGATCATAATCTGTGACGGATGACAAAGTCAGCGGTCCAGCGACTTGCCCAGAATATTGTGATGAGTAGTTACCCTTGAGGTGGAGACGAAGATTGCGCTACACGCAGGTCCCTCCGGAGTTACCGGGCAGACAAAATGTATGTAGCAGCGGCAGCCGCCAGCGGATCCCTTCCAGTGCGACCTTCGGATGTGTATGGTTGGTATCATGTCCCCGAGGCTTTCTACACATAGTGTAGTCGTCAGCTGTTCGCCGTGAACTTTGCGGCCGCCTGCACCGCCTGGGACACAGCTCTTCCTCGTGGCACCCATGGATGCGGTCAACGTTCCTGTTCCTGGGCCATTCAGGCTCTAAGGAACAAGATTATACTGCGTTGTAGGTATCATCAGAGGTGCTTTGCAGCATATCCCACGCTGTGGCCTAACTTACGGACAGTAGCTGTGATTCTCAGGGACATGTCAACCCGCTACGTCGTTCCGTAAACGCGGGCAGTATCCTCGGACCACCGCTGCGTTCAACGTCTCGCTGGACGATTTTCGCTCAGATGTTCGTGCCGAATCCATCCTTGCAGTGACACAATGCACACGCACACCCGTCATACACGATGGCACGGCAAATGACGCACGTAGTCCATCAATGTTATATGTCTTTGTAAAGGAAGGCTGTCGCAGCCAATCTGCGTTGGATGAAGGACCTGCTATGTGGGAGCGAGACGCGTCCTGGAATATCGTTCTATACGACATTGCGGGGGAATGGATGCCTGACCTAGGACTCCATCTCGGATGATGGTGTGGCACGAAATGGAAAACGGGCGGCGTCGGGAGAAGCAAAGCGAAGAGCATGTTCGGCATTCAAGACACTCGGGTGCGTTGTCAAGAGCCCGGTAATTAAAGTGTATTCCGATCGTAGGGACGTAGGTAGCGAGGAATGCACGTACACATCGGGGATGCAGGAGCACATCGGTTGCTTGTGTGCGGCAGACAGAAAAGGCAGCGTCCATGACGGTAGATGCGTTGCGCAATCATTTCTGTGAACCATGCGGCATGACCAAGTCAAAGTTAAGCAGATGGCTGAGCTGTAGACAGGCAGTCATGGTATTAGGAGGTGGAGGCTTGATTGCGATGGGGGGACCGTGGACGGGTGCCGGGAGAGGCCGGCAAGCGCCGAGGTCGAGGCGAGACGCGAAATTCGAGGTCGAGGTCGCCGTTCTGCGCGTTGGCCTCAGTCTCGTCGGACGTCTCCCCCATCGCTTTGCATGTCCCTCAACTTCCCTCCTCTCGCGCCATAGCACTTCTCCCGTGCATAGGTATGCCTGTCAGATCTCTGCCCGGACAATCACTCCCTGACACGCGTCCAGCTCACGGCGGCGACTCGGGGATCTCGCCGTCCCGTCGTCCTGCCTGTCCATGCCCTGGAGAGTTGGCCGGGATTTCAGGCATCTGTCTCAAGCCGCACACATCTTCCTCGAGAGAAGTCGTGCCCTCGTACTTCCCCTATGCGTGATCGCGAAACCCATCCACTCCGCTCGTGGCGTTCTATGGCCGCCAGCTGTAGCTCCCAAACTGAAACACTCCCATGCGTCCATCATCGAACCCACGAATGTCCTTCCAGAGGACTTGGCACAACGGCATGTACAACAGAAGACTTTGGAGTCGGTCCTTCGTCTAGACAAGCCGAAGGAGGGAGGTACCGACGGAAACGAGTTGATATCCCTCGCGCCGCCTTCAGATGTTCTATCAACTATCGGCCAGCTCTTCGTCCAATATCCTTCCCGTTGTACCGTAACCGACCTTCGAAAGTCTCAAGGTACATTCGACCTTGTGATGTACCTCCGACACCCCCGTGCGTTCGCCATATCTCTGTACCTCCTCGAGCAGGGGCTTGCCGATCGAGCCCTTTGGGTCTTGGAACTCGCCACACAGATCGGTGCCAGTTGTCCACCGAGGAGCTGGCAGTATCTAACGGCGAAGTTCGCGGAGCAAGAGGAATGGAGAGGTGTCCGCAGGATTGTGAAACTGGCAAGGCAGCGGCTCGGTTATACGACCGTCAAGCTCCTCAATTGGAGATTGCGAGCGTGGATGGAGAACCAGCGGTACGTCCCGGTGGAGGACGTTCTGGCGATGTTCGAGACGGAGCGCGTCAATCCATCTCGGTTGACGTATCACCTTCTCGTAGCAATGCACCTCCGCAATTGCGACTTAGCGGCCGCCCTCACCGGTCTACGGGCCATGGAGTCCGCTGGGTTTCCTGTGACAGCGAAGACCTGTGCCATACTCGTGCTCGGGTACCGTTCGTTTGGACTCACCGCTTCCATCAAAGCGCGAGCACTCGCTGCCATAGGCACAGGAGACGAGGTGGTCTCGGCTGTGATTCTCAACGGTCTCGTCCAGCTTTTGCTAGATGCCGAAGACTCCTCCGGTGTTGCCGAAGTTCTCTCCTCAGTATCGCAGCCTTCTGGAGACCGTCCATACGACCTTGGGGCAAGTTCCATCCAGGACGACGACGAGAGAGTTGGGTCATCCACACCTTCGGCAGCTTCCCGGCCATCCTCCCTCCGGTCGACTCAGGCGGCTTCGCAAAGGAACCTCATCAGTGTCTCCACCTACAACATCTTACTCGACCACCTCTCCCGCCAAGGTGACCTCACAAGGGCTATGCATGTTGTCCAACAAATGCGTGTTGCCCAAGTGTCGCCTGATAGCAAGACAGCCGCTGCACTGGTACGCTTATACTCCACCGCAGGCTTCCACAACGACGCTCTTCACGTGGTTGCTAGTGCCCTTGGAGGTGCCTCCGATGCCCTCGATCTCCTCACGTCCTTGGGGTTTGTGGCGTCCACTGTGCCGGAATTTCCTATACCTCCTCCTATCCCACCAACTATCCACCTATTGAACGCCTTGCTACGCAGTCTCAAGAAGACACTGCAAGTACGCGAACTTAGTGTGGTGCTTGACATCATGCGTATCATGAAGGTCAATCCCAATGCTGCCACGATCACCATCGTTCTCTCCGGCTTGCAGGGACGCGCACGGCCTGGGGAGTTGATCAAGATTGTACGGCTTTTGAAATCCAGAGGTGTGGTGCCAGCACGGGGTCATCTACACGTCCTCCTTCAGACGCTGCTGTCGCGAGAACAGGCCGTGGCTCGTCCGCGGGGTTGGTCGCAGCTTCGATCATTGACGTCGTCCAGCTCCCAGGATACTCCCGCCTCGTCACCCAGACAGACAGAAGCGGACGTCGCCGGCGTCGGCTGCGAGCCTACCGCTGGCATCACCTTCTCCCATTTTCGCAGGGGCAACAACCTCCTTCGCCCAATCGTGCAATCACTATCCGCACGCAATGTGCGAAACGACCGTGTCACGTTTGCTTTGCGCATCAAGCACTTCGCGCTCGTCAAACGCGACCTCGTAGCAGCCCACGAGCAGTTCCGCCTGATGGTCAGGTCCGGCTTTCGCCCAAACCGATACCATTACGGCGCGCTAATGCAAGGCTACGCCGCGGCGGGGAACTTGAAGGGTGCGACAAAGGTTATGCGCGCTGCGGCTGATGCCGGCCTACTCCCAGACGTGAAGATGTATACCATCATCATCGCCGGGTATGCGGGTCTGGCTCGGCCGAAGGAGGCGATGAGGGCGTTCCGTAGCATGGTTGCCGAGGGCATTACCCCCGACGTGCCGGCAATCGACGCGCTCGTCAGTGCGTTCTTCCGCAAGAGAGAGTACGGTACGGCAAGACGCGTCCTCCTCCGGCTGTGGACGCAGGTGGCCCCCTTCCCGGACGCGCTCGCTGAAGCTCCGCTCAAAGAGCTTGCGCGCGCTTTCCGTGCGCTTCACGCAGGGAATGCGAACAGACCGGAGAGATTGACGAGGAGGCAGCGGCACGAGGTTCGTCGGATGTTCCGAGACTTGTCGCAGTGGGGCAAGACAGGGCCAAGGAGTGAGGCGGTGGAGGAGAGTGCACGGCATGTCCATAATGTGTCCACGAGTTAGCACCAGTATGATGATCCCAAGGGGGTATAATCTCCATGTACATCGCCGCGGATGACTGGTGTGGCTAGCTGACGCCGGTAGAACCCGGTCGAAACGGCTCCGGAGTCTCTTCTCCAATGAGGGACCTAAACTCGGTCAAAAACCAGAGCGCTGAGCGGCTTCCGAAGGGGTTCCGAGATGTGCTTCTGACCACGTACTTAAGTTTGGGGTCTGCTTGAGCCGTATTCAGGAGAACAACGCAACCAGTGCCAGATATCAACCATGTGGTGTATCAGATTCTATGAGGAAATGCATGGGGGCAGAGTAGAATACATGAAGGGATGCAAAGCAAAAAGATATAAGCTTAGTACGTAAACTTTCTCCGAAAAAGCTCTAGGTAGAGCTTGTACACATCACACTGCTACCGAGCTGACACACCTTGCTACAACCAGGCTACGGCTGAGCAAACCTCGCATCAAGGAGACGTAGCGCGTCACGGACTCCATCAGCCATCACCTCTCGAACCCTCTGGCGGCCGCACTGCACCAATACCTCTTGTGGAACAAGCATTGGAGGTGGCGACGTCCCATTGCCACGCGTCCGGTGCCGTTCATTGTATTGCGCGTGCGGGTCCGTCAGGATGATCGACTGGGTGTCGAACTGCTGAGTGAAGGCTGTCGTGAGCCCGACGCCCGGTGATAGGTTGCGCTCTGGAGTGACAGAGCCTGGCGCGGGACAGATTTCGACGCGAGGGCCCGTACACTTGGAGCGGCGCGCGACGACTTCGGCGAGAAGTGAGAGGTCAGTGAAGGCGGCGTTCGGGTGGTTCTTGATCTGCCGCCATGCTGCATCGCAGGGCATCGTCTCCGTAGTGCTGAATGCCTCGGACATAAGGAGGGAGGAGGTGAGCTGGGCTGAAGAGGCAGAGGCCGGTGCTGAAGAAGCTGCTGCTGTTGACGTTCCAGGCTCAGAGTTGGACCGCCCGCACAAGGCAGGGTTCCCACAACAACCTCCAGTGCTACCCGTTGCTGTCGAGCAACTCCCTCCTCCATTCTCCGATCGACAAGGACAATCCTTGCAAGGAGATGCGGAAGAGACGGACTGGCTGATGGCCGCACAGAACGCTTTGCCAAACGCGTCGTCTGCACAGGCAGCGCAGTTCGAGGGGTCTCCAGTACAGGACGGGACCTCAGGCTTCGGCGTCTCGGGAGTAGGAATGGCGATTGGGAATATGGGCTGCAGAGAGGGATTGCGTGCCCGGCGCCGCAGGGGGACGGGGGGCTGATACGCTGGAAGGTTGTCGAGGATGGAAGGTGGGCTGGCGGTGACCGGTGCGGATATAGGCGCAGTGTTGTGGTCTGTGTTCTCCAGCTTCATAGAGGAGATCGACATGCGCTCCGCGATCTGTTGGAGAGCCAGCTCCCGACACACGCAGGGGGTGTTCTCGTTGCAGAACCCACAGTCGAAGGTATCGAGACTACCTCCCGGCTCAAAGAGGCTCGTCTTACCCGACGTAGCCATTTCAAAGATACCGTTGAAGCCAAAGTTCTGAGAAAAGAGCTGCGTGTCACGAGCCGATGATGGCAAGGGGGAGAAGCTGGAGTGGGCATCCGAGTCGGCTGAAGATATAGCGGAAGGAGAGGAGGCATATGCCACGGGTGTGAATGGTGTCTGGACGATGCTGGTGAGGACATCGAAAGACGATCTGGACCTCTTCTTCACAGGGGACTGAGAGCGATCGTGGGTCGGACGCGGGGAGAACTCGTCTCGGGGCCTCTTGGCGGAAGAGCGCTCTGCCTCGTACTGAGCGATCTTCTCCTTGAGAAAGGTGTTCTCGTTGCGAAGCTTCTCGTTCTCCTCTTTCAAACGCTTCGCGATGTTTTGTAGCGCGACGTTCCGCTCGATTTCTCCCTGCTCGTATTGCTGCACGCGAGCTTGTAGCTCGGCAAGCTGCGACTGCTTGCGCTCGCGGAACGCACGCTGCGCAGCCCTGAAAGATGTTTCAACGACTTGAATGTAGTGCGTGGGGTCTGAGATGCATACCTGTTCTGTACGCGTCGGCCTTTGGCATCGACCTGCAGACACGACCATCGGGTAAGTATCGGAACATTAGCGCCGGCTCTGTTTCGGCTTTACGAACCTCGGCACCGTCGTGGACAGCGGGAGCGACGTCCTTCTTGGGCTTCCGTCCGGGCTTTGGCTTCGCTGGGATGACCCATTCCTTAGAGGCTGTGTCCGAAGAATGTGAGAAAGTAGTTGGAACACATGTGAAGATGTGCACGCACGGGTAGCCCAGAGTGTAGTTGATGAAGAGGCAGTCTCGGGAGAGACGGCTGCGGCACTCATCGCGACGTTGGTCAAACACGACGCGCGACTAGCACTGGTGAGAGGGGAGTTGCGGGTGCTGGGAATCAGGGCGAGAGGATGGGCAAGTTTTATGGCGGGAGGTCTCAGGGAATCCGGCCGCGGGGGAGATCCCTGGTCGTGGGTTAACTGATTAGATAGCCCAGGACCATCTCCCCTTTTATCAACCCCCAGATAATCCATAAGCGCCTTGCTAATCTAGATCTCGCGCCTACGACTGCAGCGAGTGCCTCAGGTTTTGAGCTCAAGCTCTCCTCCTTGGCATCCACCCCTCTCTTATCTGTCAATGTTTGATCTACAGCAGATCTTTTCAGCTGCTCAGCATGACCCTTTCCGCTCAGTAGGACCTGGTAGCCTTGTATCCCTTCGTCGCTCGGAGCACATCGTGCCACCAAACAACGCTTACTCGACTGCATCTCGGCCTCTGTCTCTGCGGAGTGCTTAGATGCGGCGTGTCTCGAGACGTCACTTGAATTCGGAATTCGTTATTCGGAATTCGTTTGCCAGGCATGACATGCAGAGTGTGAACGCTGCGTTGCTCCGATTCTCCGTGGAAGCTGGGGGCTGCGTCTCCATACACGAATTCCGAATTGCAGCAGTACCGCCGCGTGAACCCCTCTCCATCTGTGATGTCTCCCCGACACTTCTTTGATGCATGAAGACCGATTACCACCTCTCGACAGGCCCCACCCTAATGGTGTTCCAGCACGTTCTCCAGTCATTACCCCGTTATCTGGCACTCATTTGTTGTCCGCAGATCTGACCACTTGACGTCGTCTACCACACCGGCAAGTTAGTACGATACCATGCGCGTCCATGCACCATGTTGTTGAAGTCTTGTCATGTTTTGCAGCGTCCCTCGGCACGTATAGATATCCACACTCAGCTTTGTTCATTGCAAGGTGCGCTCATTATAGGTCTAGGTACGACAAGATAGCGTACTTTGACCCTCCACACATGTCATGCGGCGGAGAAAGGATCGTCCGTCAAGGGCGGACTGTCCAACTGAACAAGATTCAGGCAGTTTCTCACCATCAATCAACCCACAGGCATCTCTGCTGGCGGTCTTGCGAGAGTATCCAGACCATACTACCTGGTATTTCCGTTCCGACCACCATCGGGGTCATCTCGAGAGGTATGATGCTGCGCTGCCGCAACATGCTCAAGCAGACCAGATAAGGTTCAAAAGAACAGCTACGAAAGCAACTTCGTTCCCGGTCGCCTAGCTCCGCCTGGCCCTGGACCCTTTGACATACTCTCGGAGTTGGGTTCAAAGGCGACGTGACGTCAGAAGGTTTTGCCTGTACAGACTCTCCGCTTTGCGCTGTCGTCGTCACTCAACGAGATTCGCAGGATGATCGTCGAGCACTCCGCCCCCTCGGCGGATAACCCTGCGGTATGCCGACGTTGCAAGGTGGCGTCACTATGACACTTCGTTACCCTGTGTTTGCTTCGCTGTGTCTCCATCTGCTTGCCACTCTCGGGCGCGGAGCCTTGAGCATCTCATCTCACGGACCTCGGAAAGTGGATCGATCCTGGCGAGGAGGCGTCGTGGTCCAACATTGGTCTATCTTACAAAGCGTTCGGGAACAACATAACGCTCAGTTTTGAAACATATCCGAACACATCGAAGACCAGCGCCGTCGGTCATGGTTAGGATTCGTGGTAGGAAGCCGTATTGGACACATTTATCTCCTCCGGGGTATCACGAGGTCGGAATACGAAGTCGGCTATGTATGCTTACAGATTTTTGAACGCTATGTGTGGCCTACACTCTTCTAGCGCGGCGCATGGATATCAGGCATGATGCGACGTCGCCCAAATGTCTTGCCGTGATGTCTGTGCCTCCCAGATCGTCGTCGGTTGACAGTATCTCTGCAAGCATTGTGCTTTGTCCTGACCATACTCGGTTTGCATATAGTGCGTGTCGCTTCCTTAGACTTACTGATGGGGATGGGGCGACGAGAGATGGTGAGGGATGTCTGAGATGATTCGACCTGTACGCGTCATGCGTGATCAGAACCTGCCAACTGTTCTCTCGCGGGGCGTCCCGTGCATTCTTCCTATTCCGAATGGTGGCTGACGTTGGGAAAGGCGAAGCACATCAAATTGTGCCAAGGCCGTGACTTACCGAGTGCAGCCCCTGATTCGTACGGAGGAAGCCGTGGCCAACGAATCGGTATGCTCTTTCGTGGAAAGTGATCCGGACCTATCTTAATTACCTGGAGCTCCCTCGCGAGGGCGGGCATGCGGTCCCTCTTGGCTGAGGTCAAGCGAAACGTCGGTACCTCTGTAAATTAACAAGAAGCACCTTCGTGACGATAAGAAGCAGTGCCCGGTCACATATTCGTGGTTTTTGTTCCCATGCTGCTGCATACACAATCTCATCATAACTTGTAGCAGCCCCTCATCAGCTACACTATGCACACAGCTTGGGCTGACTTATCCGCGACACACGGGTGAAATCAATTCTCGTCTGTAGACTGAGCATCTCGTGCGTGGGTGAAGGTTGTTGACTTACATAAAAGGATACAGCCAGTCCTAATATGCACCCACGAACACTCGACAGACGCGATGACCCTTCTAACACAATTCCGTATACTGCACAGACCGACACTTCGGGATCACTCTGATGAGTATGACATACTGAATTGCGGTTCCTGTACCCGGGCGTTCAATACGTCGTGACTGTCCACTCGAGATCGTCCTTTACAACGCCGGACAGCTCTGGTCAGCAAGAGCGGATATCGGAAACCCAAAATGAAGCGTGTCATGCTGAGTTGTGATGTCCGCCAGCTGGAGATGTAGAGTAGTGGGGCCGACACTACGACGACGACGACGATGTTGTGGGCTTCGACCTAGCCTGGCGGAGATAGACAGCCTCGGCAAACCGACGCACATCCAATGGTTGGGATAGCATTCGAACTCTCTCGGCCGTCGATCCCCACGCCGCTTCCTCCCGTACCTGCTTTGTTGCTACTGCATGATGAAGGCTTTTCTAGAGGCATGTAGCGAGACATGAACGTCTTGCGGAGCGTGCTAGAGACATGTAGCGAGACATGAACGTCTTGCGGAGCGTGTCCTACTTCACGAGACGATACTCAAGCCGCTTGCGTCGTTGCGAACACGTCAAGGTGTACCACAAGCAGGGTCGCAAATCCTGCCATCGATTCTCAGTGCTGCTGCCCAAAGGCGCGGTCGCACACGGCTGGCAGGGGCATTCTTATCGAAGACGGAACAAAGGTTCTCCGCCGCCATAGTGTTTCCGACGATTCAAGGTCTGTGAATTCGAGTTCAAACTCTCGGCGCGCCCGTCATCGAGGTCACTGTTATATCTATAACAGCCTCCACGGTTGTAGGACAGGGGATCCGGCGCCTCTATCTGCTAATGGATGAGACCACGTGCAGGCAGCTGTGTGCTTATGTCATGGCAGGGAATCCGGCGTGTTTGATCGGCAACAAGTCGATGAAGAGGGGACGCACAAGATCAACTCTTTGTAAGTAGAACCGTTGCCTCTCCAGACAAAAGTCCTTGAATATGGCAGATGGCTGCCTTCTGCGACCCCTTTGCATCGAAATCGGCCCAGTAGAAAGCGTCCGGATCTCTGTCGTGTGGGAGAACGTGCTCACGGCGACACTCCCACAGCCATCAAGCCGTGAAGCCGGGCGCATCGAGCTCGCGAATATGCGACCGCCATCACACACGTGCGCACCCCCACTTGTTCCAACTGTTCGTCCCTGCGGGGACGTCTGTCTTCAAGAGGGACTCGTTGTGCCTGTAGCTCTGGTTATCGCGTCGATAGTGTTTGATGTCGGAGCCTGGTATCATATAGAGGTCGGGTTCCCTGTCGACGCCGCCGCCGCTGCGTCCCTTGACTCCCTACGCCCATCATCATGGCCGACTCTCCGCAGAAGACCGCTGATGCCATCGTTGCGGCCAACTCGTACGAAGGCGAGGGCAAGCAGCAGCAAAAGCGGGCCTCGGCCAAGCCAGAGCAGTCTAGCGCGATGTCCAAGAGGGCGGCGTTGAGTGCGTACATGACCATCGCCGCCGCAGCGTTTGGCTTGATCTCCGACGGATGTACGTGCCAAAATCCTGTTCATTGTCAAGTGATTTTGCGAACCGGCGGCCTCATGTTGTGCAGACCAGAACAACCTGATGACCATGGCCAATGTCAGTTAGCTTCTCTCTGACGCATGTTTCATGGCAAACGCTGACGATCGATACGTCTGGGCGCATCTAGGTGGTCTTCAAGAAGCTGTATCCCAAGGACTATACGCCGGATGTGTCAACTCGTGTGTCGAACGCTCTCCTCGTCGGTACGTGCGTGCATGCCGGAATATCTAAGGTTTGAACTGGCATCGTGTGGGACTAACACTCTCGGCTGTTTCTCAGGCGCGGTTTTGGGCCAGGTCTCGGTCGGCTTGCTTTGCGACCGCATTGGGCGGAAGGCAGCGCTCGTTGCGACTACGCTGCTCATTGTCATCGGTGCAACGCTTGGCACCGCCGCACACGGCGCACACGGCAGCGTTCAGGGTCTGTTCTGGTTCTTAACCATCGCCAGAGGCATAACCGGTGTGGTGCGTATGACGTCGCGTGAGATTGCCTAGTGCTGCGCTCAAATTCGGAAATCACTCAGGGCGTGGGTGGAGAGTATCCAGCTTCTTCGACTAGCGCCAGCGAGGCCGCCAATGAGAAAATGCTTAAGCAGAGAGGGCCTGGTGCGCTTTTGTAAATCCTTGTCGTTGAGCCAACATACACGGCTGATTCTCCTTGATGTAGTTTTCATCATGGTCACGAACTTTGTCTTGAGCGTACGTACACCAGCATCGACCGTGGCTCTATCATGGTTCGGTTGACTTACCGTTCGACCAGTTCGGCGGTCCGCTTGCGGTGGCTGTATTCCTCATCGTGCTCTCCGCCGCCGGTGAAAACCACTTGCCTACTGTCTGGCGCGTGTGCTTCGGAATCGGCATCCTCCTGCCCTTGACGGTCTTCTACTTCCGGATGCGGATGCTCACGACACTGCTGTAAGTGTCTCTATGACTGCGACCATATGTTGTAGAGACTGACTGCGCGTGGATGACACTGGCAGGTTCCGGAAGGGTGCCATCAAGAGCGAGTTAACTTTAATCTTTTGTTGTTGAGATGTTCACCGTCTGCACAGGGCAGGTGCCTTATTGGCTTGTCGTGAAGCGCTACTGGAAACCGCTGATCGGGACTTGTGGTGCTTGGTACGTTACCTTCGAATGTGAGAGGTTGCTGTGTCAGTTCACTGAGGGTATGATCAGGTTCCTATATGACTTTGTAAGAATTCGAAGACGCATTGGGTTGCAGCCTTTCACCGATACATCTCATACAGGTCACTTTCCCCAACGGCGTTTTCTCCGGTACTATCATCTCCAGCGTCATTCACGACGGAAGCATCAAGAAAACGGCAGAGTGGCAATTGTTGCTGGGTGCCATCGCGTTGCCTGGTATGCGATTTCATGACATACGAACCGTTGTCATCAGCTGACAGCGCACAGGTGTGTTCGTTGGTGCATTGCTTTGCAACCCCCTTGGCCGACGTAACACAGTACGTGGAACATCTGCCATGTCACTCTGTATTTCCGACGACAATTCCGAATGCTCAAATCTCGACTCCTAGATGATCCTCGGGTTCAGCGGTTACCTAGTTTTCGGTTAGTTTCCGAGTTTTGTATCGCTGCGCAGATGCCGACCTTCTTTAGGGCTGATCATCGGCTGCGCGTACGATAGGATCACCAAGATCATCCCGCTTTTCGTCATCTTGTGCGCATTCCTGCTATGCCTTGGGTCTCGGACTGGCTGACCGGCTATTGTAGCTATGGTTTGATGCAGTCTTTCGGTAACCTGGTAACTGACTCTCCGACCTCGGAGGAAGCTGCACATGCTCATACTCGGAATTCTACAGGGCCCTGGAGACATGCTTGGCCTTGTGAGCGCAGAGTGAGCAGAAGGCACCGTATGACATCATGCCGCTCATGCTAATATTGCGTGCTTCCAGATCTTTCGCGACTCCCGTACGGTGAGCCTGGGTGTCCCGCCAAATTAAACATGGTTCAGTCACTGACCGAGGCACAGAGGCACCTGCTATGGGCTCTCGGCAGCCCTCGGCAAGACTGGAGCAGCTGTAGGCACACAGGCCTTTACGCCCATCCAGGTCCACTTGGGCAAGAAGTGAGTTAACCTCTAGTTCGCTCCTCAGTCCGAGCTAGTTCACCTAACCACATACGCTCCGACAGGTGGACGTTCATCATTGCAGCCATCTGCGGTGTTACGGGTATTCTCGTCACGTACTTCTTCGTTCCAGACATGACCGGAGTAGACCTCGCGGAGGAAGACGAGAAATTCCTCAAGTACCTAGCCGAGAACGGCTGGGAGGGCGAGGTCGGGGAGGACGAGGATGGGCTCGTGGATGACGACTCCTCGAGCGTCAGCGTCGAGAAGAAGGCTTGAGGGGATTGAACGCAATCATGCTCGTTTTACGACCTTTACGACGAGACCCGTCCGCTGTACTTCGCTGTGCTTTCTCTGCTTGCAATGTAATTTTCGGTGCTTGCTAGATGCATGTGAGGACCGGTAGCGGCCCGGGGAGGGATGCGATTTCAGACGCTCACAGCGCTGTATTGGGCGCCAAGCAAATGTCGCGGTTTAGCTGAGTTGAGTGGCTGCTCTCGCGTCAGGGCTCGTCGACATTCTGCGTACTGCACTCTGCTCATGTCAATGCCACTCCTTCGCCAGGCCAGAGCATCGCACTCGCTCTCTGCTGCTTGTCGTTCCCTTCCCAAATGCCGCTGTAACTCGTCACTGGCCACCCAACCACGTCATGAGCCGGAACACTCGGATTCTGCGCCGGTCGCGGGCCCAAGCAACGCGAACGCGTCCAGCAGCTCATCCAGCGCGCAGCGGAAGCTCGCTCCTTCCGTCTCTCAGGAAACAAGCGTAGTAGAGCCATTCTCGCGCGTCCAAACCTACTTGGCCACCATCAATGCTTCAGGCATCGAGCCAACGCGTTTTGACCTTGATCGGTATCAGCCGGAACGTCCTCATGTTTATTCGCCCAAGTATGCCGAGGTCTACAACGCCACCCTCAACACTTTGATGAGGTCCTTCACGAAGGAGCAGTTGCGGAAGTTTCTCGTGCAAGAGCTGGGCACGAGCAGGCATTGCTCGACTAGTCGCAAGAAGGCAGACTATGCGGAGTCTATCATGGAGCAGCTCTGGAAGTGGCCCAAGCTGGCCGACGTGGAGCAAGCGAAGCGGGATAAAACGGAGGTCGTCACTAACGGTGAGTCCAGTCGTTGCGCGAGAGGTGTTCGTGTTTCTGATGCTACAACTTGAAGAGCTGCCCGTCACGGTTAGCCAGCTTTTCCTGATCCTGGGCAAGGGTATGTCGATTTGCTTCGTGTGCATAATTCGTTACCTCATGGATCTCAGATGGGATGGACCTGAAGCGCATGTCACAAGACTTCGATGTGCACATTTCGCTGAAACGCCGAGGCAAGCTGTTAGCTTTGCGAGCAGAGGGCACGCGGAGCGGCGTGCGAGAGCTCTTCGAGCATATTGCTGTCATTGGCCGAGTACGCTCTATCATTATGTTTTCTGCTCGTAGCTGATATACATGTTTTCATAAGTCATTCACGTCACAAGAGTTTGATTTGCCATTCCCCATTCCCATTCCGCCGGACATGATCGAGCGAATATCTCGGTTATGCCAAGCTTTCGTCGAAAACGTTCCATCATCCCCGGGGAAGGTATGTGGTGTCAAAGATCTTGCAAGCATTTTGAAATTGTCTCTCAACAACTACACCAGGTCAGAATAACTGCGAAGGGTCAGCAAGCGTTAGAGGCGGCGACGCGACTAACTAGTAGAGCAATCCACCAGGTTTGCTGGCTCTGCTGACAGAGCACAATAAAAACTGATGTATCAACGGTAGATTGTCGAACACCCGCGTATACCTGTACTAGCGTATCTGCCCATAAGTGCCACGCATTCAACCTACCTGACCGATCCCTTAGCCATGTTTCCCCGGGAATATGCGCTCTATCCTTACTTCTCTCCACGAGATCTCCCTCTCTCGATGAACACGAGTGGCGCGTTCCGATTACGTCGCGTTGGGGAGTGGCTCAGTGGTAGCTTCCGAGAAGACCTAGACATGGCGGAAGGGCTGGCGTCCGGAAAGGGCCACTTTGTGGCAGACTTCGAGTAAGTCTGCTCCGTCTTGCTATTACCGCGTCGACTGACTGCCTCTCAGTCGGACTGTTCAGGTTAAGAACTTGCTTCTCGGAAGTATACCGGACCAGCTGGCTCCAGCTGACGTGGTCCTGAAGGCTTCGTAGGTTATTCTCGCATGAGCGCTTGATTGATACTAACCGTCTAACCACAGTCTTGGCCATATGTTACTCACACGAACCTCCAAGGAACAACGTACTACACTTGTACCGCCACTTACAGGGCAACATCCGTTCGGCAAAGTTCGGAAGTGGATGGTCAACAACCCCGCTGTCAACGTGACATTTGTTCCAGAGTGCGTACCTCCCCACCATCAATTGCGTGCTCGGTTCGATCAATGACGTGCGCCGAATAGCCTCCCCCTGCCACTGCTCAACACCTCTCCTGCCCATCAGAAAGTGATTCACCGCCTAGTATATCATTCGTTCTCGCCTTCGCCCGATTCGTCTGCCGCGAAAGGACCTTCGACGCCGATAGATGACCCGTCGTACATCTCGGCTTCTGCCCCTATTGTCCATCATAGGAAGACTCTTTCGCTCGAAGTCACACTCGAGGAGCCGAAGCCGACGAAATACGAGGACATGCCCGATGTTCTAGACGATATTCTTCACGAGATATCGCGATCCGACAGGCAAGCGGTCTCGGAGACGCCACCATCGACATCCTCGATCAATGCAGCCGAGACGCAAGATGAAGAGCTGCAGCCCTCGATGCCGATCTTGTCTGCGTCCCGATGCTGGACCGGTGTTCAAGCAGACGTCAACGTGATGATGCCCGACCGGTGAGTATTGTGATCGCCGTCTCATGGAGGAGACACGACGCATGTGGCCTTGTCGCAGCCGTTCCCCGCGGAGGTATACTGACCTATCTGCGCTTTCGTTTTCCCGCGATCAGACCGATGGATTTGCAATTCAGCGTGGACAGCTCGACTAATCTGCCGGTGTCGCAGCAACCTGCGGAATTGCAGCAGTATCTCAAGGAGTTGGAAGCTTTGTACGTTGCTATACGTCGAATTCTCCTGGAACTTGATTTTTCTGATTGCCGTCACGAAGCCTGAATGGGTCGGATAGCCAGCCTAACCAGCCCAGCCCGCCACTGCAGATACGGCATCGAGGAGTGGACTATCTCTTGCGCGCAAATGCCAGCGTAAGGCAGAGCGAGGAGGAAGTCGCTGATTCTCGCACGTCATTCCAGAGCATCGAGAACGACGAGGTCCCTGCGACGCGCGCGGTGTGCGAGAGCATACTTGACTTGGAGAGCAATCAGAAGACCATGCGCTGCGAGGTACGCCTTCGCCTTTAGCTGCCTCGACTACTTCGTGTTCACGCGGCCTGCATTAGGTGGCTTGCTACAATCCGACCTCCGAAGACGCATGGAAACGGTTCCTCGAGGACTGCGACAAGCTCTCGACTATGACCTACCGCCAAGTGAATGCTATCCCGTTTGCCAGCGGAACCGAGCAATTCATATAGGACATGCACATATCTAGGAGTACGCGCACATCTAAGAGTAGTAATGCAATATAGTCGTAATGGGATATAGGATGCATGGATACATAATGTGCGTGCATGACCGAGCCCGAAAATGACGGTAAGGAATACAGCGGGAAGAGTGATAGAGGAAGGAGAGCCAGTAGGATCACGTCCGCTTTCGCTTTTTGTTCGCTTTCTCTTTCCGTTTCTGTGCGCGCATCTATGACAGCGTGGAATAAGCCCGTCGCTCTGGTATGGACAGATGGAGACGCATACCTCTTTCTTCATTCTTGGGTCGACCATCACGTAGCGACCCTTCACGCCCTTTGGCCGTCCCTTCAAGCCCTTGTGGACACCCTTCGCGACAACGACCTTGACCTCCTTTCGCTTCTTGCCCTTCATGCCTTTCTCCATGAGCTTCTCGATCTGCTTCGCCTTCTCGCGCTCCGTTATATCGGATGTCTCGCTCACGCCCTCGGCCTTCTTCTTGGCCTTCTCCAGCTGCTGGGCCGCTTTGAACTTCTTGCGCGCCTTGGCCTCGGCGACCTTCTTGATCGGACGTGCGTCGAGGGCACGCATCTTGGCACGGAGTGCGGCGACGGCCTCCTTGGTTATGGGCAAGTTCGACTTATAGTGCTTCTGCTCGTCGTCTAGGAACCAAGAGGGAAGGCCTTCTTTGGAGTTGAGTGAATGGCGGTTGAAGCCATCGTTAATGAGGTCTGTGCGGGTCTTCTGGCGATTGACGAGGGCTTGGGCCAGAGTGACGGCTTCTGCTGTGATGAGCCCATGTTCTGCAAAATTGTTACGTTGGCTGCGAATCGGTCAGCGACAGCGAAATGAGACATACTTTGGATCTTCGCCTGTTTGATCTCATCCTCATTCTCGCCTTCAACGTCCCACATCTCGACGTCGTCATCCTGATCTTGTGGTACGATTTCGAAGTCGTCGAAATCGTCCTCTCCCGACGGAGCCTGTAGAACGAGTTATAGATGTTGTAAAAGGTAGCGAGAAGAACCTTGGACATGCCTCCTCATCTTCCTCGCTCACATCTTCGTCTTCTTCCTCATCTTCGTCTTCTTCCTCATCTTCGTCTTCTTCCTCATCTTCGTCTTCTTCCTCATCTTCGTCTTCTTCCTCATCTTCCTCTTCATCATCCACCATGACCTCGCCAGCCCCCGCGAAGATGTCCTGCTCGAACCAGAGCTGAGCAGATCGGCTCAAGGATGGAGCAGGCTTGGGCTCCTCAAGCTTGGCGGCTGTCCGTGCTTTCTTGCTCTTCGACGGACCCTCCGCAGGCCCGTCCGTCCGCCTCCGCTTCTTCCCAGCTACCCGTATATCCTCGGCCTCGCTCGCCTCATCACTGGAGTCGTCGCTCGAGTCCGAGTCATGCTCGCCGATGCGTGCCTTCGCCCGCTGAACCCTCTCATAGCCTCCCTCCTCAGCGGCGCTGTCGTCCGACTCATCGCCTTTGCCGACACCGAGCCACGTCTCCTCGCGAAGCTTGTTATTCTTCCGCGCCTCCTTCACCTTGTACTTCGCGTCCCGCTCCCTGAGGTGCTCCCGGTACGCATCATACAGACCGTCCAGCTCTTCCTCCAACCCTGCGACCTTCCGCTCCCGCTCTTCCTCCGAATCCAATGCTTCTTCATCTTCTTCCTCTCCCTCAACGTCGCCATCCTCCTCGTCTGATGACTCGTCGTAGCCGGCCTCAGGGCGCTGACCCTTCAGGGCATTAGACGCGTCATCGAGCTCGAAGATGTCGTCCTGGCCTCGTAGTGCGGCATCCGACTGCTCCATACCGATATCCATGGGCGCGGTCATGCGCAGCTGCATACGCTGGATAGTGCGCGCCTTGATCTCGTTCGCTCGTCTGCGTTCGCGCTTGGCACGGGCGGCAGCTTCTGCGTTAAATCGCTCGAGCTACAGAAGTTGTATTGATGTATGTGTGAACACAGTAAGACGCGAAACGCACCTCATTCTGGATCTGCGCTTCTTCGTCGACCTCTTCGACAACCTCCACGGTCTCGGTCAGCTCCTCGGTGGGCTTCGTCTTGACCTCAAGGCCGATCTGCAGCGCACATGAGGATTTACAGCCGCCCATTTGTGCGAAGTACACACCTCCTCTCGTAAGGCTATCCGCCACTTGAGCAAGGTCTTGAAGTCACCCTTGCCAAGGACCTTCAGGTCCTCACAATTGGCGAGCACGTCCAAAGTGGTGATGTCTAGCTTCTGCCATTCCTTTTCCTCGTCAGTCTTGAACGTGATCTTGTTGTATGTCCCAAGGAATGCGATAGGATCTTGACACCTGACGAAGTCCGCGGCGCCGGAGTCCTTGTACAAAGTGTAGTCGCCGTCAGCGTAGCCATCACGGTGCCGGCGCTTCTTTTCCGGCTGGAAGACATTCGCCTGCGCATTCTTCGCAACGGCCTGCTCCTCCGCGGGGGCAGACGCAGTGAGATCCTTGAAGACGTGCTTCGGGTCAAAGAACTTGGGGTCGATGTGCTTGGGGGCGAGGAAGTCGCGGCATACGACGAAGATCTCAGCGGAGACGTTACGAGACGAGGGGGGCTTCGTCGCCTCGACCTTGCCGAAGAGCTGGTTGAAGACCCAGATGAGGTTGTTGTAGTCGACGGAGCGGAAGACCTTCGTCACGAACGTCCCGCCCTTGATGAGGAACTCGGCGGCAAGTTTGAGAGACATGAGCACAAGCTCGGACTGACTGTAGGCGTCTTGCACCCAGGCGGTACCAACGTTGGGCGCACCATCGTGCAGGACGACGTCGGCCTTCCAATCCTTGAGCTCGTTACGAATCAGGTTACGACAGTTGGTGGTGGTGATGTCGGCAGCGAAGGTGACGACGCGGGGGATTGGCTTAATGGGTACCAGATCGACACCTGCAGAAAGGTGTGTTCAAGCGATGCGAGCAGAAAAGGAGGTATACGCACCGACAATAACACTATTCAAAGGCATATACTTGCTTGCGACCTGAAGCCAACCTCCTGGAGCAGCACACAAATCTATGCAACATCTTGCTGACTCAAGGAACGAGTATTTTTTGTTCAGCTGGATGAGCTTGAAGGCCGAACGAGCGCGGTACCCTTGCTCCCTGTACAAACATGCTAAGGAGAAGAACAGTAAGTGTCGGAGAGACAGTGACTTACTTGGCAAGCTTGTAATACTTGTCAAGACGGCCCTTCCCTGTCTTCTTCTGAGCCTTTCCCATAGCTGAGCGAGCGGAGGAGGAGGAAGACTAAGGAGGACGAGCTATGGGCGAATCTCTCGCGCTCACCGACCACAGTGCACCTGCACTCGGGCGCTTAACAAAAATCGTTGATCGCTGCTCAATCACGTGGCTCAACGGGCCAATTGCCATTTCGATTGTGTTAATTAGACAGCAGCTATGTAGGGTATGTCTTGATTTCTTCCAATCGACCTGGGTTGATGTTGAAGGGCTCTTCCGCCTCCTGTCTTTTCAAGTTGTAGTACATGGCAAGCAAAAGCTCTGGACGCGCCCTACGTCACTGTCGGCCAACCGAGCTGGTCGCAAGAGACGCAGCACCAACAATAAATCCGACCGTAAGCAACTGGTGCATACAATTGTGATTGCAAAACAGCATTCGGTCGTTTGGTTCTCAGCATTGCTTAGACTGGCCAGCAATATGATCACCGTCCGCTCAAATAACCGCCGGCATCGACGTGCCGGCCAGCCTAGTCGATCGATCTTGTATTCGCTACTACATAATACTGTGAGTTCAGGCGATTTAGTTTATGACCGTGGTGACAAATCAATCAATGTGACTGTTGCATTGCGAAGGACTTCATACATTCTCCCCAGATTCGCTCCCAGATACAGTTGTGCCAAACGACCAATCTGTGGTATGACCCTCAAATCTGGGGTTGTATCTTTAGGTTACCGTCACGTAGATATCGGTCCACAAGTGTCCGCCTTGATACACAAAAGCTGAGGCGGGCCCTTATAGGGAAACGATGCTGTGTTTTCTTGGTCTGTTGGAACACCAATTACCAGGAACAGAGCTTCTCTTGCTTCTCTTGCTTTTGTACACCTGCCGTATCAGGTGCGTGCGCCCACCGTGTACCTCGGTGCCACACAACGTGTATATTCGAGATAGGTGGTAGACAGCTTGCATGAGATAGTGGCTACATTGTTGATAGGGCGATCGGGGGTCGTGGCGACAGGCATTGTGAAAATTCGAGGTGAGAAAGCAAGGACAGACTTCGAGCCAATTTTTGCGTATACGCAATCACACATCCCGACCCATAGCACAGCTAGATATCGGGACTCTAAATCGTTCGCTTCGAAAGAAAAGGCGTACCAAGCCCGTCAGCCAGCCGCCGACCGGCAGCGGACGAGGACGACGTACCTTCACCGCCGACCACTCGTACACGACCTCCTGAACGCGGCGATGTAGCGCCGCCAAGCAATATGGGCAGTCGATCGCCGCCCCAACGGGCTCTAATAACGCCTGTAACGCACTCGTCGACACACCTGTACCCCGGCGGGGAGGCGGGCACGCTCGAGCCGGAACTTCCACAACGCAAAGCAGACGGCGAGGACTCACTCGGCAGGACGTCCCACACGAGCTGCGCGACGGCGAACGCCCACGCCCTCAGCATCCGCTGCTGGGACACCTCGTTGCACATGACCGTGGGCGGGTGCGTCGCGGGCGGCTTATACAGGATGTTGCGGAGCGCGATGAGGCGCGACTGGTGCAGGAGGAAGAGCCGCTTGAGGTAGAGGGCCCCCATCTTCTGCGAGACGCTGTCGGGCAGGCGCGCGAGGTCGTACGCGAGCAGGTGCGAGGAGATGGCGACGGCCGCCTCCTCGAGGCCGTGCTTGCCCGCCACGGCGTAGGCGTCGAGCGGGCGGTATGGGGCGAAGGAGAGGAGAAGCGTGTAGATGGGCTGGTTGGGCAGGGCCGATGGCTGGAAGGGGACGCCATACGAGAGGGCGAGGGCGTCCAGCGCGACCTCAACCATCTCTAGCGTGGGGAGGTAGTGGACGCATGACTGCCCGTACATGGTGTGTAGGATGATGTTCACGACGGGCGATGGGTGGGGCATGGCCACCGTGATCGGCGTGGCGGAGGCCTCCGCATCGTCAGAGGGTATGAGGTTGCCCATGCGGTTGGCGGAGGCGGCGAGGAGACGGTGTCGATGGGTGTAGAAGTGGACATTGTCAGATGAGACGATAATGATGTCGGGAGGGCAGTCGTCGACAGCCAGGGAGGGATGGAATGCTGTCGAGATCGAGATAGCGTTGGGATGATCGAGGGGGGTGCCCACCTAACCGGCCCCACAGTGGCAATGTGAGCTGTGCTGTGGCCGAGGTTGTTTAGAATGCAGGCAGGAATACGTACCGGCGTCGGGACGTTCTCCTCCCCTTCTTCTAATGTTATAGTCGCATGCTGAGTGCCCCTCCATCCGGTCGCCTGAGATGCAGTGCTGCTGCTAGAGGATGAGGTGCTGGTGGGCAGATCGAAATATTCCATCCGTTATAGGGGCTGTCTCTGGAAAGGAGATACGACGGATAGCGGACGAACCAGAGAGAACGGGGTTGAAGATGGGGTGAGAGTGAGCACGATGTAGCGGGGAATAACGCTTGCGCTTTTGTTAGTGAATATGAAAGGGATGCCGCTGTCTCGTGGCACAGAAGGGGACTTCGGCAGCCGACGCTGAAGTTCACGGTTCGTGGTTGGTCAATATGAAATCTACCGCCATGTGTGCACGTCCTCGACACGCAGTCACTCAGGCACTAATCAAAACCTGTAGCTTAAACCTTTACCTCAAGGACTCGGGAAGGCAGTCATCGTGCACGATGCCGAAATAGGAAGAAACATCGGGGTTTAATCTATGATTTTTTCTTCAACATATAGGAGGGCCTCGTGCAGAGAGCCGCTACTCCGCCTGCACAACGTACAGAAGCACCGATGCTGCTGCTGCTGACTTCGACGCAGCTCAAAGAATACCATATCTTGTTAAGACCACTGGGATGGCATTGTATCCGCAGCCGCGGCCGGAACTCCCAAAATTTGTGGAACAGGCCTCCGAACAGCCTGCGGTGCAGAGATACTCCGCCTTGTGCTAGCGGCGTAGAATTGGGACGGCGGGCTGTCAAAAGCACCGGAACACATCGGTGAACGACCATTACGTCCTCCTGATTGGCTCTCACGGTCGAGGGGGATCCAGGAACGTCTGTTAAGGTACTGTGCAAGGGCGCAGTTGGGGTTTGTGTAGCGCGTCACTTACCGCAAAATAACACGACCGGCGGGACAACGTGCTGTGAACTCAAATTATGATCCGCAGGAGACAGGCCATATGCAAGTCTGCGAATCCGCTCACCTCTTTCGTTGTTGCCCCACTCGGGTCTGCGAATGCTTCCTCGTCGTCGGTCGCTTACCTACCCATTGAACAACAATGTTTCAGCAATGCAATGCAATAAATGGCAAGGACACGAGCCCACCGTAATGGTGTACAACATTCCTCTTTTTCACCTTGCGGAACGCGAGAGACAACGCGCATACGACGGCCAACCGAGGATGGACGTCATGTCCGAAAGGCGTGTCTCGGCTGCAGTGGAAGAGTTGCCTAATCCGGCACTCAACGCCCGGCAATTGGACGGAGCCGCCGCCGAACAGCGCGTGAGCAGTACAACACATCACAACCTAACCTTCTACATTGATCACTCCACCTCATCTAAGAGCTGAATACTCATGTCAGGGCCTTTGCCGTCTACCCCATTGCTTCCTCGCGCCACGGGGGCATTTCCTGGACCCGCCTTGCTGTGGAGGACGGGAGCTTTATTAGGTGAAGGATACTACGCCGGGGTTAGATCTTGTCGGTGCTGACTGCAGTCGGCCGCTGTCGGACAAAGCTGCTGCTGGCATCGTCGCTGGTGCTTTCGGCTCGCATGGCCTGCGTAAAAGGCCGGGGATCACCCCTGACAAAGTCCATGCCTGGGAGACTGCATCTCATTATGCGGTAAGTGTCGAGATCCAAGCGAGTGCGAGCTTGAGGCTGTTCTGCCCGCTCGGACGATTATTGTGGCTGTTTGATAGTCGCTGACCCACGCTGGTGAAGGTGTTTAATGGGCTAGCTTTGCTGCTCGTGTCCCTTCACCCGAGGTTCGCTGTGCACAGATTCGCGGGACCTGCCATCGCTGTCGGGGCGTCTGTGTTCTCTGGCAGCATTCTGGCGTTGGTGCTTGCTCGGGATCGGTGAGTAGTTGTCAGTGTGACGTGGGTGGCGAGGTTCTGAGCACTCTCCGCCGGAGCAGGTTCAGGTGGTTGGGCCCCATTACGCCCATTGGCGGCTCCATTTTGATCGCCGGGTACGTCTACGAAGAGGCTGTATACTATATTCGCGGGCACTGATGCTTCAGGGTAACAGCTACATTGCTTTGGCGTTTTGAGGCAGGAAGGGGGCGGGAGAGGTGTGCGTCGTGACATTATCAGGATCCGACGACGGTCGCGATGGGTAGAACATGCAATGTTGAGCGGTTTCGCCCCTCCGCCTGCTCAGCTGGCATGATGTTCTGTACGGAGTATAACACCTAGTATCATGTTGATGGGAATACATGCATGCCGCAGCGAGGTTGTTGATAGCACAGATACGGGCGTGTGTGAATTAACGCGGAGGACTCGATCACGTGCAGGACGCGCGAGACGCGTCCTTCCTGATTTGGGAGGATGATGGGGGTGTTCGCTTAGGGAGTCCGTCTCTGCTCTCTTCTCTCTTGCACTCTGCCATCGTGGCTCCCGTCCCCGTCATCGTCCCCGCCGTCCCCGCCCCTCTCAGCCCCTTTCCACCCACCGTCGGCCATCCTACCACCCTCCACCACCTCTACTCGCGCTCTCAGGCCTACAGCAGACTCTACCATCTCCTAACCATCAGCCCCTGCGAATCCTTCATAACCACGCCCATTTTCCCTTCCCCTCTTTCCGATGCCTGAGCGATTGTTCTCTACCACGCTCAACAACCCCTCCAACAAGCCTTCCTACATGGAGGGTGCCTTCCCCTCCCTCGGCTCCGAACCCCCCACTTCTGGGTCGTCCACATCATCCCTTCATCCCACCACTACTCGGCAAACTTCAGACGTAGCACAGTTAGCCCAATCCCGCATGCAGCCTATCCCGCGACAGCATTCCGCGAACAACAGCGCTGCAGTCAATCCAGACCCTGTCCCGGGCGAACCTGGCTGCGTCTTCATCAAACCGCCGTTCACCGACTTCCCTGGGTCAGCCGAACAGAAGCCAAAGACCGGTCTCACGTACAACATCCTTGCTGCCCATCCTGACTGGTTCCTTGATGTTAAAGACTTCGTTGGCCCCAACGCCGTCGTTTACCCATCGCAGCTCGAGCCCCCTCGTGGCTGGTGCCCAACTAAGAAGAAGGATGCGAAAGATGGTTGGAAGGAAGGCGAGGAGCCCCGCCTCCGGTGCACTCTCTGTCGCAGGCAGTACGCAGGAGTGAACGCAAAATCCATGTGGAGACGACATGTGTACGAGAAACATGGGATCCCGATGGCCAACCGTCGCGAGACCAACGAACGTCCTAGTGGCCGAGGTGGACGAGGTTCCAATAGCGAGTATCTGTTATCGCTGCTTAGTAAATTCCCATCAACTGACATTTTTTGCTCATAGAGGAGAACAAGGCAGCCCCTAAAGGTGTCGAGAAGGATGTCAAAGCGTCGCCGCCATCCAAGTCTATCCGTCGCAGCAGATCTTTCGAGGCCATGCATGCTCTCGAGAAGACTTTGAACCGCGAATTTGTCGATAACAACGCTTGCGACGCGCAATTAGGCCTAAGCTCCGGCGAGGACGAGCCGCCGTTTACGGACGGCCCGTCGTTCTCGAGCACGCCTCCACAAACCCCGGTTATATCTCCTACTAGGGCGGCGCCGTGGTTCCCCAGTTCGCCATCTGTGATTAGGATACCCCCGGAGTCTCCGTATTACCCTGACATGACCCCTGCGTTCCGGCATTCACCGGCGAAGATGCCTGTCAGGCAGCCTTGGAGATTCAACAGTCCGGTTAAAGGGCAAGAGATTCACGACTACACTCTGACGATGCTCGCTCGATGCGAGGCAAGCCCCACTGTGCGTGGTTTGGACGTTAGTCCCAACGAACTTGTCCCAAGGATCAGGCGCAAGCACCTCGGTGCCTTCAGCCCCCCGCGCGAGAAAAGCCTCCTCTCAATGTCCCCGCGTCAACTCTTCGCCCACGACACTTGTGGATGGGACGACTCTATCCAGTCTCGCTTCGACCAGCCGGGCTGGGAAGTCCCAACTACGCCCAGATTCCGGCTCTCTAGCGAATCGTCTACCGTCGTAGACCACTTTGAATATGCGGAGCTCATTCGCGCTCTTGATGAGGGTCGGAATCCCGATGGCGTTGGACCCGAGTTACCACTTCCATATGCTCCAGATGCCGTCACTGGGATAGTGAGAACTCCAACGGTGCACAAGCTTTGGAAGACGCCAACCGGGGACTACACCCCGCATACGGAGATGTTCATCAACGGGATCAACATCGGCTCTAGTCCGTGCCCAATGCCCGGGAGTCCTAGCCCGAGCAGCCGTAGCCAAGGGGACAGCGAGTCGAACAACAAGGTTGCCAGCTTGCCGGCAGCTACCCTGCTCTCTCCGTTCGCTGGTGTGGGCAAGGGTGATTCTCGCATGTCGACGGACCACCCCGCGGATTCGAAGATGGAGATCGACGAGCGCGGTGGCGAAGTGAAGATGGACGACGCCGACCAAACGCTCTTCTGGTGCGACATCTTCCACGACCATGACGATCCCCCGGCTGGTGGCGCCGCCGTCCTCCGTACCCCTGATGCGGATGACCGCCGGGCTCTGAACGCCAGCACCAGCAGCGCTGACAGTGGATATTTCTCTGTCCCGAAGGGTCGAGCGTTGGCATTGGATGCTCCTCCGAGTACAAGCAGCGGCGCGTCCCAGCCTCGGCGCGCGACCAGCCCTGGCCGCTCTCGTGGGCGGAGCGTGTCCAACGCCGGTGCCAGCGGTAGCTCGAGTGGCCACAAAGCGACTGCGGCTACGGCCGGCCTCATGGACGCAATTCTGGACAAGCGGACTCGTCGCCGGAAGCACAGCCATTCGGAGCACCGCACGGCCGCGATTACCACTGGAGACGGCGAGGTCGGCGTCACGGCGTTCGGGAGCCCGTTCAAGATGGGCAAGAAGACGTCGCGGAGGGACTTCTTGTACAGCCTTGACGGGGACTGCGAGATGCAGGACGATCAGCCCAGGAAACGCAGGAAGACTATCAGTGGGCTCGACTAGGTTGTCGACCTATCTGCGCTTCCTCATCAATCCCACAATTCTCAAGACTTGTTGGGTCTCCCTCCGACGGTAACTGTGCCAACTCGCCTTCCTCGCCTCTCGACCCTACTTCGCTAGCGCGTGCTCTCTACTGCCCCTCACATGGCTTTCGTATTGTCATCGCTCTGTTGCTCTCGTGATCGTCGCATCGTCGCCCTCGCTATGCCATCCCTATCCTACTTTCTATCTGGTTTTTCCTCTTGTTTCCCTCTCGACTACGACGGGGGCTTCGGAGCGAACAGACGCTGCCGCCTCTACAGACCTAAGACGCTAGGATCAGCACAGGCTTGAGTCCCACGTCTCCGCAGAGCCCCGTCGCCATATGCATTCCTCTCTTCTTTGTTTCCCTATTTCTATGTATAACCAGGACTATCGTACCCTCCTCCCGTATTCCACCCCTACTCTCCCCCAACCTTTCGACTCTCGGCGCCATTGGGCGAGACCGAGTACTTCGTTCCACGTATTTATCGCCTTGACTACCTTAACTTGATTCATAACCTCCCCCGTCCGCGTACCCCTCGCTCAACCGCTCGTGCTCGTCTTCGCGTGCCGCCTCAGGGGCGACGTCCGTGAAACGCGTCTGGAGCCTCCGTCATCATCACCGCACGCTCCACCCGGTGCCCGTCTATCTCCCGATCTATTCGTACTGTGAAGTATTACTTGACCCCCTGTCTGTTTCTTAAGAATCGTGTACTTGTTTCCGTACGTCGTCGTGGTTCTTAGTCGTTTTGTTTCCGTGTCCCCCTCTATAGCTCTCCCATCCCTTCCCGTCACCTACCTACTTACTGTTTCAATGGCTAGTACAGTATGTGTTTACTGTCTCGAGAACAGATCCCCGTTTACGTAGGTCCACAAGCGTACCAGACAGCACTATTTCTTGATAGCTAGCTGCCGGCAATCAGCGACTCCATAGTGAGTTGACAAATGATATCTCAACGTGAACTCCAATAGGGTATATTTGAGAGAGCCCAGGGCGAATTTCTTGGGCTATCTGACGTTCGCTCGAGATACAGACGCAAGTATTCTGAGTAAAGTGGAGCGTGCGGATATATGCTTCGAGCGAGTGTGTGTCAAATTTTCTGGTACGGTGGTGCCCCGGATACCCTGGGGGCTGAACGTACCACGCATCGCGCAGGCATCACGCGGTGCGTGGCACTGAAGAGGGAGGACCCCATACACTACCTTCCATCATGGGAACTCACCACACAAACAAGTCTCTTCTCGGAAACAAATCATTCTGCAGCAGCGTTCTCTCGAGGTCAAGTGGAGCATGATCTCGAGCGATCTCAGCGCCACTTCGAGCCTCAGTTTCGTGGCCCAGGTTCTGTCAAATATACCCTAATGTGCTGCGATATGCGTGCCTATCAGTGTGTTTGGAGCGATCAACGAAATCTTCGCATGCTATTGAGTTATAGCAGGTTAGAGTGTCAATGAGATAGACCATAATTGTATATTCATGATTGATTTGGCTTCATACAGGAGGGGACTATAACGAGAGTAAAATCCAAGACAACAAAGAGCGAAGTAGACACAGAGCGAACATGAAGAGGGGCGACGGAGGGGTAACGGGGAAGGGGGAGCGGATGGGACCGGTCTCAATATGAACAAAGCGAAAAAGGCGCATAACCGGGACGATCGGAGAAAGGAACTCAAGCTAGTCAGTAGCAGTGCGGCTAGGAGGTAGCAGGACGAGAGAGACACAGCTATGGACAAAGACAAAAAAAGAAAACAATAAGGAAAGTCGTTAGTGGTCGTCATGTAGTGTCATGAGATGCGGGGTGCTGCAAAGCAGAAGAACAAAACAAGGTGTGCATATCGAGAGGAGACGGAGAATAAGTCCTATACACCTCTAGCCGGGTCGATGTGTGTGTGAATTGTGTCCGTGAGCGTCCAAGGCTAGCTGCTAGTATGTAGTATGTACCAGTATTGACCCAGGATGATACATACGCATACTCAATACTGCCGCGTGGCGAGCGCACGGATCTCGTACAAGTACGAGCGGTCGGGGTCGGCGAAGACATCGTAGCCCACGGAAAGCCAGTTCTTGAGCTCCGAGCGGTGGCGCTCTTCCGCGAGCCGGCACTTCTCGACGAACGAGTCGTCGACGTCGCAGACCATCGACGCCCGCGAGCACCGGTCGCTCTCGGACTCGGACATGCTCCGTGTGTGGCTTCGGGCCGGGCTGGGCGCCTCCACACGGGAGACCGAGGAGTTGGACGACTGGTCGGACGGGGCGATGGATCCTTGAGATCCGACAAGCTGCTGGCCAGGGCGTATCGTGCCGCCCTTCGTTTCCCAGTCATCATCATCTTCGTCGTCTGCGAGCTCGGCGAAGACGTCCGGCTCATCCTCATCTGGCGGGAGCGTCGATATCCAGCACATGCGACTGGGGTCGAAGATCATGTTGCCGACAACACGGGCACCAGAAGCAAACGACCCTACTGGCGAGCCGATGGACGACCCTGTAAGGTGGGTGATGAGGGCAGGTCGAGTCGATACTGTCGCGGCGTCGAACTCCTTAAGAGCGGAGTCGTTCCCTTCCCAGCGTAATGTGGTTGGGTTCCATTTCATCTCCCCGACGACTACAGCGTGGTGTAGGTGTGAGTATCGTGCAGATCTTCGCAATCTGACAATCCTCGTACCTTTGGCCGCGCCAGCGCCACCCAAGTTGCGAATAAGAGTCGGTTTTCTCCTGGTATGTGGCGGAGACGTAACCTTTCTCTTCTTCGCTTCCGCATCCTTGGTGTACTCCGGCTTTGTCGGTTCTGTTGACTTCGACGGGAACTCAATCCGGGCGGTGCGTTTGAGCGTCTTCGGAGCTGGCGCTTTTGACGACTCTGTAAAGAGACGCGCAGACGATGTCAACCATCGGAGCCTAGAAACAACAAAGCAATGTGCCACTCACCGCTACCACTTCCGGAGAAATTGCGGGTCGCTTTTCGCCGAATCGTGCCCGTCGCTGAGGGCTCTGAAGTTTTTGGATACGACGCGCCGGGTACGCGATTCCCATAGCCTTTCGGCTGTACACGATACTTGCCCTCCTTCTCACGGTCTGTTGGGAGATCCTCGAACAAGTCAAGTTCCGTCCCGTCGCCGTACGTGCGTGTTCGTTTCGGCTTCTTCAGCACCTTCGGCGCGGAAGGGAGACTTGCGCTGGGGGAATGTTTCACCCGCAGTGACGCCGCTGATGTGGCTAATGAGGCAGCTGACGGGGGACGGGAAGGAGGACGGGCAGGAGGCAGAGGTGATGTAGCGCGGGCTGGAGGAGCAGACGTAGGGCCTGCTTGTTGAGGAAATACATTGGAAATTGGCGTGCGGGACTTCATTCTTGACGACGACGTAGGCATTGTCAGTCGGAGCGCCGCAGGATTGGAAGACGGGGTGGAGGGACGTGTAGGCGGAACATAGTAGTCCAAGCCGTGCAAGCGACTTGTCGTAGCAGTATGCACCTTCGCCCTGGACGACGCCGTAGGTGTCTCGTAGCGAGCAACAGCAGCATTGCCCAAAGCCGCAGAACCCGACCCAGAGCCTGACGCTTGGGGTTGATTGGATTCTGACATGGACGGTAGGGAAGCCTTGCGGCTAAGTTTCCGCGATACCGGCGGCGATGGAGGCTTAAGTCCTGACGTCGATTTCTGGACACGGAGGCTTCCCGGCTTAGCAGCGAGGAAGGTCATTGAGGAGGGAGACGCAACAGCCTGGCTGTACGTCTGCGCGCGATAGGGCTGTGCTGTCCTGCTCGGGGGAGGGGAGGCGGGAGCGGTTATCCGACGCAGTTGCGACATAGAGGAAATGGGGGGATTATTGGGAGACTTCGCGCGGTCACTCTTCAACCGTGACGGCGGACGGAGTGCCACGGGCGGCCGTGGTGGCGCGCTCTTGCTGCGAGACGATGTGGTGGGTCGCACGACTGCCTGGGCGGTCTGCAGCAGGCGACTAGGACTAAGCTCGGTATCATTGCCTATTTCGAGGCCAATCTCGAAGTCATCCTCGGGATCGGGGGAGACGACCTTCAATCGGTCGTCGGCGAAGGCGGTCTTCTTCTTGAGCTCGAGGATCTTGCCTAGCTTCCTCGCACCAGATCCAGACTCGAAGAGCCCTGTTGGGACGTCAAGACCATCCAGGATATCATCCTCTTCCTCATCCTCGTCCGTCTCAGTCTCCGGAAGAGAGGCCGAGGTGTAGTTGGATGAAGGCGAGTTATCTGCAAAGCCGAAGTTGGAGTAGGTGTCAGAAGATTGAGATGACGAAGTCTGGTCCTTGTCGCCCCATTCGAGAGATGACTTAGAGGTGCGGTGAGCGAGAGATAGAGGCCGGAGGGAGAGTGTGGTAAGGTCCGACGGCAGGGCGAAGCCATCCTCGAAATCCTCGTCGATGGGACTCTGCGGTGGTTTGGCAGAGGCAGCCTTGGGTAGTGCGGCTACCTTGATGGTAGACACGCCCTCATCGTCGTCTTCTTCGTCGGTAGATTGGGTTTGTGGGGGCGGAGGACGGATGGTGAACACCTGGGAAGCATTTTTGGACGAACCTGACCTCGCAGCCATGCCCTTGAGGACAAGCTGCGCCTTGGCTCCGCCCGTCTTTCCCAGATCCATCTCCATATCCCAGTCCTCCTCCTCCTCCTTGTCCGACTCAGCGTCGGATGCATGGATGGGATCGTCGTCGGGAAGGTCGAAATCGGCGTCGGCCCACTCCTCCTTAGGGAGTACGATGGTGGGAGCAGGGATTGTAGTCATGGTGGAACAATAGAGTAGTAGAGAGCACAGTATTACGCCCGTGGACGGAAGAGATTAGGATGAGGCTGTCGATGAGATTCGATAGGGTGAGGGAGCGAAAGTGACTTATTGGCCGAACATTGGAGATTGTCACTATATGAAAATGGGCCAATGACAAGAGAGAAAGACAAGAGAGTAGCAGGATGCTGGTCGAGAGGCGATGGTCGAGAGCAGCGTGGCTGGCAGAGAAAATCGGGGGGGAGCCGTGTGTGTAGGCGGGGAGTGTGTAAACAGCGTTGGCGGTGGGAAACCCAGCAGGCGACTCTTGTTTCCCACTCCGGTTCTGTACAAACACCGTGCACAAACACTCCACAACACCACTTCCTAGTACGGCATCAGGCGCCGCAGTTCCTTAGCCCGCTGCTCAATCTCGTCCTCTCCGTCCCCAACGTCGCTCATCGCGTCCTCAGCCTTATTGTCCATCAAATCCCCGACCACCTCGTCCAGCCCAGCCCGCATCCGAATGCCCCGCTCCGCCATTGTGTCCGCCCACTGATTCAGCTCCCGCGTGCTGAACACAGCCCGCAAGGGCCCGAATGCCAATAGATACAATTCTGTAACCCGAATCCAGTTAATGACATCCCCTTGAGAATTAATCAAAAGACGTTCGCATAACACTCACCCTTCACGAGCGGACATTCGCCAACGGCACGGACCAGAAGCCTCTTGGCCCGCTCCGGCTGCCCCGCGCGCATCTCAAACGCCACGAAGAGCTTCCACAAGACCGCGCTTCCGCGAGTTCTGTAAGAGATAGCAATCGGTTCAATCGATGCAACCTTACCCAAAGAAAGACTGCCCACCTGTCGTCCTCGACTGCTGCGGCGAGCCCGCTGCGAGTACGCTCAACCTCCGCTTCCCAGCGTCCCTTCTCCCATCCTGCAACCCAGACCTCCGCGACTCGCCTCGCAACACTCTTCTCCTTCCCGGTGCCATCTGCGGCGGTCTCTCCGAGTAAAGCACGAACGCGTCCCCAAATACCCTGTCCTTTTTGCGCTTCCAGGAAAATGCCTAGGATAGCGGTGTTGTTCGGGTACACCTCAACCGCTTTCTCGACGCGCTCCCTTAGAAGCGCAGAAGGCGTCGCACTCTTCAGCACCGTGGCATGATTGTACAGCAACGCCAATGACGCAACGGTCAGGCTCTCGTGCGCTGGTGATCTCGGCTGCAGCGCACTGAGATAAGAGTCAAATAGAGCGAGCGCGGATTGCGGAGAAGACGTCAGCAACTCGAGAAGAGCGGCGAGCTTGATCCATGCTTCACGCTCTTTCCAGCTCGCCGTGGCTAATTGTGTAAGCAAGGTTTGGAGGTGCCGCTTCGCGCGCAGGACCGCGATACCACCCGAGCCGGTGCCTCCGGACGATCGTACGATGACCTCCAGAGCGGCATCGTCGTTCCGGGCTAGCCATTCTAGCCGGGCCCAGTCCCACCACAAAGTGCTTTCGCCAGCGCGGTTTTGATACGACGTGAGCACCGTTTGGTACACTTTCCTCGCATCGTTGAGCTTCCCACGGAGGGATTCCAAACGAGCATGAGCCGCCCAGTGAGCGAGTGACTCCGGCACGCCAGCGAGCAGCGACTTCGAGATCTTTATCGCGCTATGATTCTTCATCAGCTGCTTGGAAGTAGATATCAAAGGTCGACACGTACCCTTTGGCATTCACCGCAGCTTCAAAGGCGACATTGAGAATATCCCAGTCCGCACCGTCCACCTCAAGTCTGCATTGTCTGAAGATCTCCCGTATGAGGGGAGCATCCACGCCCTGCACATCTTCGCTCGACCACATCGTCCACTTGCCAAACCCTAGGGTATCGAGAGGCCCAATCGTGTCGTAGCCCCAATTCTTCACAGGGCCAAACCCACTACCGAACTCCCTCTCGCGGCCAATCAGGACGCCCGCATGAGCATCTGCGGTGATCCGCTGAGTGGAGGTTTCCGCAGGGAACACGGAGGACAGATATGATGCGCCCGCAAGATGCGAATATGCCCAACGATCGTCCGTGTTGTCGTCTGGATCCTCGGACAGCGATGCAAGGAAGCCTGGGACGTGCAGACCCAAGAAGGCGAGCCATATACGGCGGAAGACGTCCTTGACACGTGGAGTGCGCAAGGGCAAGAGCAACGGTCGGATGTCGGAGAAGAGCACGATGGCGTAGGGATCTGCGGCATCGTCTTCGTCGGCAGAACGTAAAGACATAGCACGTGTACGATCTGCAAGAACTTCGGACGCTGCCCACTTCGAGTAGGGATCAGATATGCCGGAAGGACCGTCGACTGGCTTCGGTGGTCGTGCAAGCTGCTCGTGGCGGTAGGCGTCCCATGCAGCCCAACCACCCGCTTCTGGCTCTCCTAAGCGTGGTACCTCCGAATCCCAGTACTCTTCCATGGCGTCTAGTTGTTCTTCGAATGGTTTGCCAGCAAGACGCTCGGGCATGGTATACAATCTGTCGGGATTTGAGAACGCGAAAAGCAATTGTACACGGTTTTGCTCACAGTTCAGCTTGCGCCTGGAACAGTGCGTTAGCACGTTCCACATATCCTGCGAGTATTGTTTAGATTCGGTCTTGCGTAATAGCTACCGTACATACCTGCATCTCGTACTGCAACCGCGGCTCTCCAGGACACTCGCAGCTGCCCGATCTCGTCTCCTCGAGTAGCTAGAGCACGTGAGATCCGTCGCACATCGTCGACGATGCACTCCAAGATGTTCGAGGTCTTGCGCACCCTCCAATCTAACCACGCCATCCAGATCTCAATATTGTCCACTTTGACGGCGTCCTCCCACTCTGTCTTCAGCTTCTCTGGCTCCCAGATCTCTTCGCCTGCCTTCATATATTTGAGCCGCAAGATTTTCGAGCGCAGGTTACCGGGATGCGTCGACATCGCTCGTCGGAGGACCGAGAGGGATATCTCAGCCCTGGCTCGCGAAGCGTTCTTGGAAGTGACTGGTACCGTGGACAGAGTATGAAATAACAAGGACAGCCAAGCAGAGACGTCCGTGGGGTTAGTCGCAAGCCTCTCTTCCAGAGCCTTCAGCGTGGACTGCAGCGACGTAAGAGATGTGGTATCAGACTCATCGCCTGAGCTTGCGCTCTCCTCGGAGACATCAGATTCGTCGGAGTCGAGGTCTTGCTTCTCCCGCTCAATCTCACGGTAGGCCTGGTCGTCTCTGCGTGGCTTGTTCGACACCACGCGAATGAAACCGTCGACCTCCCGAAATTTGTACCGGTCCTCGAGGGATGCGAGTAACCTTCGTTTGGGTGGGGCGGCAAGCAGGTGGCGAGAACCGTTATCGGTCAAAGCAGGAATCTACTGTGATATGAGCAGTTGTAGCACATGTGAGCACAAAAAGCGTACCTTGCGGCGACCGAAGGGCCCGATTTCGATACCTCCACGCCCACGGTGGACCACGGACAATGCGGGGCTTAGGCCAAGAACCCTCTTACCGCCTTACGATCTGTTAGTTGTCGCTGAGACACACGACGAGCGACATACCTCCAACTAGACGATGTTTCGGTATATCGCCAGCATGCAAACCACCGTAGCGCACGTTCAGCGGGTCACCCTTCCGATCAGTGAAGTAGACCAGTCCTCCCTTCGCACTGGGCTTCTCTGCCTCCTCTCTCCTGTAGCTGCGGTCTTCTTCCAGCTTCGTCCGCTCATCGTCTCTCAACCCATAATCTTCATCGTTGTGTTCCTTACGGGAAAGAGAGCGAGAACAGTTCCTATGTCGCGCACGCTCACCGTCCTCACGTTCCCTTCGCTTGTCCTGCTTGTGCTTCCTCTTCTTCCGCTCAGCATCATCATCCCTCTCTTCTTCTCTCCTGGACTTCTTGTACTTTTTACCCTCCTCTTTGTCGTCTCGAGGTACCGACGCGCGACTGCTGGGCCCAGGGTCAAGGTCCGAGAACGAAGCAAAGGAAGGGAAGGAGGGGAATGACATTGCAGAAGCAGAGGATAGCACAAGCCACTGTTTCGTCTCTGGATGACTCTAAAGATATTCAGAATGGATCGCGGCAAATTCGGGACTTTGAGTGCGCGGGTTGAACGAGGCGCGGGCCTCGGCAAGCTCCTCGTACTGTGTCACAGACGCTCGTCTTGTGCTTCGCCTGATCTGGAAGGTGTAATGTTCACGGACATGGTTAAAGCGGTTTCTTTCATTCGGCCTAACCGTGCTATACAAATATATTTGGTTTAGATGGTAGGAATCGCCACTAACGTTGATGATATGATTACGGTACCAATGGTCATTTCGTCTGGACATATGTTGCTCAAGCGGAGCAATACGCACATACAAAGGCGATTTTACCGGCGTCCACATAGCCGTTCACCATGGGACTCGCCATAGAGAGAGTCATCTCGACGTTGCACTCTGCAGACATCGCTGACTTTTTAGGCTGTTAGGCCATTGCAAGGTTGCACAATGTACTAGCCAAAACTACATATCATCATGCATCGTGAAGGAGACCACGACGGAATGTGTCCCTATGTCAGAGATGCTTGAGATGAGATACCTTGAGAGAATATCTCGGCCCTTCAACCGGCCAGTCGCAATCGTCCAAATTTGAAGCAATGATTCTGCGAAACTAGACGTTGGGTAGATCAGTAGCTTACTGGCCGCGCCGCTACGTAAAAATCCGATGATGTGGTAAAATACACTCGATGCTGTGAATAAATGCACAAGCCAGCCCCATATGAAGAGACCTTCTGATAGTCATCAAAGTATGTCGTTCTAAGAAGTCGTGTGACTTGCAATCGCCATTAGCTATAGCTTCGGATGCCATGCGACGGGGTGCTGGCCGGGAGCGGGTCCCCGTCTTGACCGCCACATGACGCTTTTGTGGTCAGCCATCGGACGTGTGACCCAGGAGGCACCGTTACGGTACAGTACAGACCTCATCGTCTGGGGTGCATGTTGAGGGCGTACGCATACTTCCCAAGCGCCATACAAGCCCATCAGATTTGAAATTGACAGCTGCTGCAGAAATCACCGTCCCATTCTCCCCGGGGCCCCCTGTGCTCGGTGGCAGACCCCTGTGACAAGTCCGCCTTCCGGCCACCTCCCAGCTCGGGGACAAGCTCGTCGTGACTGCACGAAATGTGTCCGCCTAGCGCTACGCCGCGTTTCGAGCCACAGTACACTCAATCTCCTGCAGGGGATGCTCCCGGCACAGATATACGCTATGTCGAAGTGCTTCCAGCGGTGGAACAAAGTCACCGGGCAAATGTCCTCGGTGCGGCAGGGTTAGGGCTCGACATGGGGGTTCCAGTGATCCGAGCATTCCCCTCCGGCGCTGGTCATTACAGTGCTTTGCAAAAAAGATTGCAGTGCGAAGCGCGCAAAATTCTGTTTGCCTCTGTTTGCTCACCCGGAGAAACGCCCGCAATGCCGGGAGCCTCTTTGCAACATGGTCGATTTTTCAGCTACAAACCTACCAAATATATTTAGAAAGTTATATTGCGGAGGCAGAGAACATCGTCGTTTATTTTGGCAGTAGGAAAGCGGGCACAGACTCAAGCACGGCTTTGACGGACGGAGTCCTTGTGAGCGCCCGGTTCCCGAAACAGAAATCCTCGCCGTAGCCGACGGGGGACCAAACAGGGGCAAACCGGATTTGCGCGCTTCGCACTGCAATCTTTTTTGCAAAGCACTGTACATCTGCTAGAAATGGCAATAACGAAGTGATGGGACTGATGGACCAGCGCCTCTGATACCTTCTATCTCTTCTCTTGTCCGTCCCTCTCGGCATAAATTCTTGCCGGGCAACTAGACTGACCAACTCACTAGACGTATTCATGTCGTTGGTTCGATCCTCTTTCTCCTCAGACAGGCTCCGTTGCAAGCTGAGGTGAGTAGGTTGCTGGGTCTGGCAGTCAATTTCATTCGCATCAACTTTCAGAGACGCATAAACGCCGTAGTGCATATGGATGATCACAGCTTTGACTGTAAACCCTGAACCCCGCGGCCGGCAAACAATCTACGAGCCCTCAACCCATGGGGAAGCCCTCCACTTACTGCCGTTTCTCATACTATGCTGCCGGCTCAGCGCCCCAGGCGTGACGACGGGATTTTGGCCTTCTGAGCGTCTGTACGCCCGCCATAAGTACGAGTCGTAGCTCGTGGTACGATAGCCAGTGGAAGCCTCCGTCCGGCCATACAGCAACACTCCTACATCATGGTCGCCTCCTCTCTTCTTCTTTTCCTCAGCACCGCTTCTGTGGTAGCCGCCTATCCCAGCGCATCATCCTGGGCCGGCTCCACAGAATCTGCCGTGTTCCCTCCTCCCGGCGCAACCAATACGGCTATTGACACCTACTTTCCCGACGCAGAACAGGTCGGTCACCCGGGACCGACGCCTAGTATGTTCACTTGGGACTTAGTACAAACCCGTATGCCTGACGTCCTGCTCCAGCTGGCGATGAGGCGTGGGTCCTAGAGACTGCACCAGTCGCACCTGTGAAGGAGGACGTCTACCCTCTCATCAACCCTGCGGAAGGACAAGCGCCTGTCAGCACTCCTGGGTTCAATCCTATGCGCTACTGGGGCAATTTGTCTCCATGGTGGTCTCTTGGGGAGAGCGCCTTTGGCCTGAAATCCACGGCCAAGGTACCGACGGGCTGCGAGCTCACTCAAGTCCACCTGCTACACCGTCACGGTGCGAGGTATCCCACGGACGGTTCATCTCCTTCAAAGTTTGCGTCCAGACTCCATGCCGCTGCCAATTCGACTGGATTTACGGCGACTGGTCCTCTTGAATTCCTGAACACCTGGACGTATAAGCTGGGAGCCGAGATCCTCACGCCCTTCGGCCGCGAGCAACTGTATGAAGTTCATGATATTGCTTTCGATGCCTGCGAACTGACCACTCCGAACTTCAGCTTCGATCTTGGAATTGCTTTTAGGGTCAAATACGGACACCTCTTGGAAGGCTTTAAGAACCTCCCCGTGTTCCGGACTAACTCAAATGCACGTATGGTCGATTCCGCGTGAGCGCCGCGTCTTGAAATCCTTTGAAGTACATACTAAATTCTCATGGGAAGGCTTCATTTTGCAGCTGGGTTCTTCGGTGTTCAGCAGTACCAATCATCATATCACCAAGTCATCGTTATTGAGGACGACCCCTTCTACGATGCTTTGACCCCGTGGGATGCCTGTCCTAATTCAGGGAATGACAACGCCAACCTAGGCATCATTGCGGCAGGAAACTGGTCGCAAATCTACCTTAACAAGACTGTGGCTCGTCTGCAGAAACACATCGATGGCATAGAGTTAGACGTCTCAACCGTCCAGAGCATGCAACAACTGTGTGCATACGAAACGGTGGCTCTTGGCTACTCTGAGTTCTGCGATCTGTTTACGGAGGAGGAATGGAAGGGCTACGAGTACGCCCTCGGTGAGTCACCATCTCGGAAACCTTCTATATCTCATAGAACTGAGTGCATGGCTAGATCTGGAGATATGGTACAGCTATGGCCCTGGATCGCCTTCTGCTGCTGCTCAGGGCATTGGCTACGTTCAGGAATTGCTGGCGCGTTTGACGCAGACACCCATCACCAACTTCTCAACGACCCTGAACCAAACTATCGACGGCAACAACGTGACATCCCCGCTTGACCAGCCCATATACGTAGACGCGACTCACGACACGGTCATCACTACCGGTACGTTCTGCCCAGAGCACAGCAGCCCCACTATTTACTGACTTGTGTGTCTGTGGTGTAGTACTCACCGCTTTGAACTTGAGCATTCCGTTGACAAGGACTGGTCCGCTACCCGTCAATCACATCGCTAAGGACCATGTAAGTAATACTTCGTACCGTATCAGGCGTGGCAGCTCACTCGCCTCCCACAACAGTCGTACATTGCTTCCCATCTGGTACCCTTTGCAGCCAACCTTGTTGGGCAGGTTGTGTCTTGCCCTGCTGCGAATCGTACCCACAAGGAGTCGTACATCCGCTTCCTCCTCAACGATGGTGTCGTTCCATTGACTGGTGTCTCCCACTGCACGGAAAATAAGGACGGTCTGTGCCTTGTAGAAAGCTTCGTTCAGGGTCTTCAAGAGCGCATTGCCGAAGTGGACTTCCAGTACGATTGCTTCGCTGACTACACCGCAGGGTTCCCGGACAACATCATTGACGGACGCATGAAGCATTGAGATGCTGTCGTCACAGCTAATAGCGACTGTGTGGTTCAGAACATTCTCTGTCCCCTGAATAGTGTATTCGTTGTACATGCCCCTTTCTGCGAATGACTATGAGTACGTGCTCGCAAATGATCAAATCAGTGACGCGGCCGCGGCTGGCAGGCGCGAGTGGGCTTACGATCACGTTCGGCGGGTCGGGAACCCTAGAATAGGGTCTACGTTAGTCATGCGCGCCCCGAGGGCAGCGAAATTCCGGGATCGCGCAAGGACCCGCCCCTCCAGCTCGGTTCACACTCATACCTCTCTCTCCTGCCCTCATGCTTTCTAGGTCTCTTCGAGCTCGCGCGGCCGTGCTCACACGCAGACGGGCTGCGCCCGCACTCGTACCCGCACGATTTTCCCGCTTCTACGCTACGCCATCCGATAGCCAGCCCACACCAGACCAGAAGCCTCCGGCAGACTCCAAGTCCCCGGAGGAGAGCGCGAAGGACAAGGAGGGCCAGGTTGAGAATAAGCAGGCAGAGGGGAAGGATGTTCAACCAAAGGAGGAACCGCTGAAGGGTCTTGAAGGATTCTTTCAGCGGTACCACCAGCAACAGCAGGCCGCAAAGAGAGAGTCCACTCACCAGAAGGACGGAGGAAACGAGCACAGTCAGGGGCGTCAGGAGGGCAGGCGTAACAAGCAGGAGAATCCGAACGCGAACAACCCCTTCAACCCCAACCAGCTTGCGCTCCTTGCCACCACCGCGGCCATCTTCTTCGCTCTCTCCTCGAGTTCTTACCCCTCGGCTCGCGAGATAACCTGGCAGGAGTTCCGCACAGCGTTCCTCGACAAGGGCCTCGTCGACTCCCTCACCGTTGTGAATCGCTCCAAGGTTCGAGTCAAGCTTCACTCCAATGCTACAGGGACCATGTACCCGACTGCGCCATCTGGTGGAGGCGAGTACTACTTCTCCATCGGTTCGGTGGAGGCCTTCGAGCGGAAGCTGGACGAGGCGCAGAACGAGCTGGGCATCCCTTCGCACGAACGCATACCCGTGTCTTACCACGAGGAGGTTTCCACATTCAACTACCTCGTCAGCTTCGGCCCTACCCTCCTCTTTGCCGGTATCATGATCTGGCTATCGCGACGTGCAGGCGGCGGGGCAGGAGGTGGTGGTGGCATCTTCAGCGTTGGCAAGAGCAAAGCTCGCATGTTCAACAACGAGACGGACGTCAGGGTTCGCTTTGCCGACATCGCCGGCATGGACGAGGCTAAGGTCGAGATCATGGAGTTCGTCTCTTTCCTCAAGGAGCCCGCCCGCTACGAGCGACTCGGTGCCAAGATCCCTCGTGGTGCCATTCTTTCCGGTCCTCCTGGTACCGGTAAGACCTTGCTCGCAAAGGCTACTGCAGGCGAGGCTGGGGTTCCCTTCTATTCCGTGTCCGGCTCCGAGTTTGTCGAGCTCTTTGTCGGCGTCGGTTCTTCCCGTGTACGCGACCTCTTCGCTACTGCGAAGAAGAATGCCCCCTCGATCATCTTCATTGACGAGATCGACGCCATTGGCAAGTCTCGTGGAAAGGGCAAGGGCATCGGCGGCAACGACGAGCGCGAGCAAACGTTGAACCAGCTGCTTGTGGAGATGGATGGATTTGGCACCCAGGAACACGTTGTCGTCCTCGCGGGTACTAATCGGCCCGACGTTCTCGACTCTGCCTTGATGCGTCCCGGTCGTTTCGACAGGCACATCACCATCGACCGTCCCGACGTCGTAGGAAGGAAGGGCATCTTCATGGTCCACCTGAAGCCTCTTCGCCTCGCAAGCACGCTTCCCGAGGTGGGGAAGTTTGCCGAGAAGCTTGCTGTGCTTACACCCGGTTTCTCGGGTGCCGACGTCGCGAACGTGTGTAACGAGGCGGCCTTGCACGCGGCGCGCGTCGGCCACGACTCTGTTACGGAAGACGATTTCGAGGCGGCCATTGAGCGTGTCATCGTCGGCCTGGAGCGGAAGAGCAGGCTGCTTAGCCCCGAAGAGAAGAAGACGGTTGCCTACCATGAAGCCGGCCACGCTATCTGTGGTTGGTTCCTGGAGCACGCGGACCCTCTTCTCAAAGTTAGCATCATCCCTCGCGGTGTTGGCGCTCTTGGTTATGCCAAGGTACGTCGTTCTCCGAGCTGAACCACCTGAGAGCCTTTCGTTGACATCGAGCTTGCAGTACCTGCCTCCTGATCGGTACCTGCTCTCAACACCGCAGATGCTCGACAGGATATGCATGACCCTAGGCGGTCGTGTATCCGAAGAGATTTTTTTCGGCCACGAGAATGTCACAACCGGTGCCCAGGACGATCTCCAGAAGATCACTAGGATCGCTTTCGAAGCCGTGGCCAACTACGGTATGAACGATGTTGTCGGCCCCGTCAGCTACGGCGGCGCAAATGCAACGCAAGAGTCATTGGTCAAGCCTTTCAGCGAGAAGACCGCTGAGATGCTTGATGAGCAAGTGCGGAAGATGATTGTGTACGTATCTCGCACTACCTGTTCCGACTCTATGCTCATCTATTCTGTTCTCTTTCAGCCATGCACATCGGCGCACGACAGAACTTCTCACAGAGCACAAAGATGATGTTGAGAAGGTCGCGAAGTTGCTCCTGGAGAAGGAGGTTATCACTCGGTACGTTCGACATCACTATCGTGTGCATTGCAAGAGGCTGACATTTTCAATACAGCGAGGACATGATTGCCCTCCTTGGCCCTAGGCCATTTGCCAACCGTAAGGATGCAATGGACAAATGGTTAGAGGAGAATAGCCAAGAGCGTAGTGCACCACCACCGCTAGAGACCGTCGAGCCCACCGTTGCCCCGGAGGACCCTTCGCCTACTCCTGCACCCGCGGCGAAGCGGATAGACGATGCGCCTCTGTAGTACACCGTTCTCAATCGCTTTGTGCACGTGTTGATGTCTTCCGGGATTTAATGGAGTTGCTTCATGCTGGACCTATCATACCGCACGCAACGCATCTTGTATCGCCATTGTATCTATCATACACCCCGAACACTACTCACAATAATAAAGCATCATTGAACAATCCGGGGCCTGCCATCACAAGCATTTAGCGCACGTAATCTATGCACGCGTGACGGAAAACCCAAAATCGCGGCCCATCATCATAGAGAATAGCGAAAGCCACTCCATTTATCTCCCTTCTCAATCCTTGCTGCCTCGATGTTCTCAAAGTGGCCATTGCTCTCGACGGCATGCTTGTTGTCGGTACCTTCGATGACCTCGTCGCGATCGCCTCGTTCCCGACGTGCGTTCTCATATTTGAGGTGGAAGTAATATGTTAGCGAACACAACCAGCCAATGGCGATGTACGCGAGGACAATCCCGTGCCCGAGTCTATACCACGGCTTGTCGACTGCTCGATACTGGTTTGATACATGAGCGGCTGCAAAGGAAGTCGAGTAGCATGGTGAGACATACGACATTGGAGGTCACCGCGCCGTTCAAATTGCCCCACCCTATGGCCATGCCAAGCACGGCGCTGCGCTTGTAGGAACCTTCGACGTTACTTGCTACCCATGCGCTGCAAAGGATGTAAGCTCGTCAACTCGAACCAGGTAATGCACTCCGTACGCACACCGAGTTGGCTATTTGGAGGTTGCAGTGGGAGGTTAGCGGGATGTAAATATCAGCAGGCGATTATGGAAGACTGCGTACGTATGGTAGGGTATATCGAGCTGGGATTGTATCAGCATACGGTGGAGTGGGAAGAAGTCATCTCGTACTCACGATGCTGCGAGATACACTGCAAAGTACGATAATGACGGGTTCTTCGAGCAGATGAGGATGATGTAGCCGATGAGTCCTATGAGAAGCAATAGAGTGAGGGAGAAGATCGGTGTCTGTGCGTGGCATGCTCACCACTGCCGAACAAGCCTCTGAGGTAGGCATTAGCATCGAGCTCGACAGTCCGAGTGAAAGGACCGGTACGCACAGATTGATCCATGCCCTACTCTTCACTCTATCTCCCCAGAACCCGACGACGACAGTCATGATACATGCCCACGCATAGACCGGGACAGAGAGCAGATTGGCCGCAGTAGCTTGGAATCCAAGCTGGTTGATGATAGTTGGTGTGAAGAGGGAGAAGGCGAACAATGGACCGTCGCTGCGATCCGGGTAAATACCAACTGTGGCAAGGAAGGATGAGACTTACAAGCCCATGTAGATACCCACTGTACGAGCATCATCACTTCGGACACCAAGTTACACAACATGCAGAAAAACGTACTTGCTAGCCAAGTAGTCCAGTCGGACAGAGCCTGCCATACGTATTTCATCTTGAAGGACTCTCCGCCAGCGCTGAACTTCATGTCAGCTTGCAACCGCCGGATGACCCAGACGCCTGTCGTCAGAAAAAAGATCGTTCACTTATGGCCTTTGGATGCTATTTGCTCCAGTAGACTCACGCTCGGTCTCTGTAAGGAACTTCGCGGTGTCGGGAAAATCCGAGAGAATGAAGAAGGACGCGATAGCACAGAGCACGGTGAAGAGGCCTTCAAGAATGAATATCCATGCCCAACCCGGCTTGCCACCAACGCCATCCATCTTCGCGATGGCAGCAGCGAGAAGTCCACTAAATGCTCCTGCAATAGTCGCAGAGGAGAAGAATACCCCTACACGCGTGCCTAGCTCGTTACGACGATACCAGCTGCAAGGAAGGGACGATGTAAATGATGTAATCCAGGCTAGCCGCTCCCCTTGCTATTGTGCTCACCAGGACATGTAAAAGACAACTCCTGGGTAAAGTCCCGCTTCGGCGAGCCCGAGCAGGAATCGCAGTCCTACGCCCATGTATATTACCTATTTTGCGAGTAGACAATCGTGTACATACCGACAAGGCCGGCATAGTTCGTAATGAGCCCATGCATAGTCTGCAAATGATGTGATCAGCGTATTTTCGGGATGTTTGAGAGCATACATATACCATAGTAATGCCCCACACAAACATGATGAAGGAGAGCCATATCGACGGTCTCAATTTCTTGAGGGCAACATTGCTTGGAGGCTGGGTATGTGGCAGTCTTGTGAGAGGTTTCTCGGGTGCTCCGCGTGATCCGGACATACCTCGAATAACGAGTACGGGAAGAAGAAGACTGTCAATGCAATCAAGTACTGCTTGTCGGTAATGTGGAGGTCGGCCGTCATATGATACAACTGTCGACGCGCAATTTCAGCATTCTTGAGCAGAGCGATGCCGTACGAGATCCCTTCACCTTGGCGTTGCCGATACTCCCCCGATCAAGGAAGTTCAATAGATAGAGGACAGAGAGCCATGGCACCACGTGCCAGTCGATCCTCCTCATGAGCTTCTTCTCATCGATGGCAGAAGTATCCACCTCCGGACGATACACGTTCGCATTGATCTCCTGGACTTCGACAGCTTCTGGGTCCTTGGAGTCTTTGCGTGACATCGTCTCAGAAGACATGGTCGAAGTGGGGACGAGCTTGTCTCAAGAGCATTTAGTGGCACACCGATGATAAAGGATTCCGGAGACAGGGCGCCATACGTACACAGTGGCTCGCTAGGGCGCAAGAAGGATAAACCCAACTTCACATCCTGGGACGTCGGAAAGAATATCACCAGACCACGAGTGGAGTTCTATCATTCACAGGGACATACGTACACGCGCTACTCGGTGCGTTTATTCCCAAGCGGACATATCTAAGCGCCCGATATCCTTTCACTTCGAATCACGGCCAGTCTAGAGCTTTGCAGCGGCATTCAACGCGAGGTGTCCGGTGCGGACAGGTGGCGAAGGAGTACACCATGAGCGTATAGCTAGCGTGAAGCTGCGCTACAGACCAGTGAATGCTGAATGCTGAGCGCTAGATAGATTCACGCCACAGGTCACCGGTCATCCGTCTGCCAGGACGCGGCCGCAACTGCGTTTTCTATGGCAGTTTGATTCGATAACGACAGGAATCGCATGTCCGCGCACGTCCGATTGACGCCTCAAGGATAGCGTAGCTATCGGCGGCGACACATTCATCAGTGGAGATAAGTAAACCCTTCGACAATTCTGCTTACCGCAAAGAACGGCCGTTCTTGACAGGAGCGATTTCCCAATTACCACTGCCTAGGAGAACGCCCTCCTGTAAACATCCACGCCGAGGACGTTCTCCAGGTCCCGAAGAGCCTTGGCAAGCCAGTTCTTTACGTCCTCTGTCTCTTTCGCCGCGACCCGTACGATGCATCCTTCGCCATTGCATATCGCGCTGAAGGACCAAAGAAGAGGCGGAGGCGCATGCTGCTTGAAAACGGTGATAGCACCATACGCTTCTGACAGACTTTGTGTGGTTTCCCGGATGAGCGAGCCGTATATGATAACATTCGCATAACAGGAGTAAGGGGCGAGGGACTCGCTTAACGATCGAGGGTTCAAGGGACCAGCGTTCCGACTAGCTTCTTCGAGCAACATTGCGTCCTTGGCTATACGGCGACCGTCCACGTAAACCTCGTTCAGGCTGTGATATCTGGAGAAGACCCATTCCTCTCCGAGAGACTTGCGACCAGAGGTGACCCAATCGAGCAGCACAACCGATGAGTCTTTCGAGAGATGGAAGCTCTGTGCTTGGTGGTACTTCGCGTCACGGAAGCAAGTGACAGGGTCCGGAAGTAGGAACAAGGCGCTCCCAGCAGCAACTTGGACATTGAGCCTTTGAGCAGTGATAGGATGTGCCTGAGAGTTCGACGAGAGTCGTTGGCCCGGTCGTGTCTTGAACACCTTGGTAGATCCCTGACAGACCATATAAGACGGATGTCTGCAGTTAGGTTTCATAACGCACCTGCGTCAGGATGACAAGTCGTGCTCTTTCGTGCACCTCAACGTCTAGCCTAACGCGATCCCCTCCGACTAGCCCACCACCGTAGCTGAGCATGTAGACGATGGAGACATCCGGGGAAGGTAGTCGTGGAGAAAGAAGCTTGAGCGGATATGTCGCGGCAAGTTCTGAGAAGACATTTCCGGAGCCATCGTTGCGCAGTACGACACGCCCATGGCCTTGTTCAATCTTGGAAAGGGTCATGTATCGTCGTCGTTGATAAAGTTATCAGGGCCATCTGGGCAGACGTCCGAGTCCGGGACCAAGTCCCGTCAGGCGCCCATTGAATCTCGCGGGGATCGTGCACGTGGCCGGGCATCATCCTCCCCGATCCAATCTGCAACTTTTTGGCTTCGGCTCTGGCTTGTCGGACGGTGGACAGGACACCATTACTTACTCGCACCACTCTACCAAGCCATGCGTCCGCTAACCGAGGAAGAAAGCAAAACGGTGTTCACCAAGCTAGCCAACTACATAGTATGTCTCCTTGCGCTGTGCTTTATGAGGATACCGCTAATCCTTCCCCACAGGGCAAAAACTTGGTCCATCTCATCGACCGGCAAGATGAACCCCACTGTTTCCGTCTTCAGAAGGATCGTGTCTTCTATGTGTCTGAGTCGTCTATGCGCCTCGCAATTTCGGTCGCACGACCAAACCTCATAAGCCTCGGAACTTGCTTTGGGAAATTCACAAAGAGCGGCAAGTTCAAGCTCCATATCACGGCGTTGGACTACCTCGCACAATATGCGAAGTACAAGGTATGTAGCCTGAAGGTTCGAATGCGGGGATATCTCAAGCTCTTTGGGCGATGTAGGTATGGATCAAGCCGAACGGAGAGATGCCCTTCCTGTACGGCAACCACGTACTCAAAGCACACCTTGGTCGCATCACGGAGGACACGCCTGAGCACCAAGGTGTGGTCGTATACAGTATGAATGACACGCCACTAGTAAGTCGCGTTCCTTCTATGTAATACATTCGCTGATGCCGTACCAGGGGTTTGGTGTGACTGCCCGGTCCACGGTCGACACAAGAAAACTTGACCCCACCGCAATCATTGTTTTCCACCAAGCGTACGTCCCTCTGATCCTCCTGGTCTTCTCAACTTAAGCTCTACACCATAGTGATGTTGGCGAATATCTTCGTGACGAGGTCAGTGTACATGCACCGAACCGAACTTTCCTCGCGCTTACATATGAAATGTGCAGGAAACGCTCTTCTGACCGGTTTAGCCGACATGGCGGGGCTCGGAGGTGGAGGTGCCTAATGGAAGTCTGTTGGTGCGGATATGAAGTGCTCGGCCGCGCCCAACGCTCGCCTAGGGTGCCTGTACTGCAGTCGAAAACCAGCGTAGTTCTCATCGGGTTCCGGGGTTGGATGCTATTTGTACACGTCTGTATGTATTACGTGCATTGCTCATGCTTTCGTCGCTGTTCGCGAGCGTCGTGTCCATACATGTTGCACGTTGCATGCGCGTGCAGCCATCGCGCGCATCCGAGCCGGTAGACTTGCCGCCCACGTCATAGCAGCGGTACACGTCTCTCCGCACGTGTCTTCCACCTCTCGAGTATGTCGACCGCCACAACCTCCTCCGCGCCGGACTTGCCCTCACAGTGGAGCACCCTTGTCGACGATGAAGTGTCTATCGCCAACGTAGAGCAGCTGCTAAAACCTATCAACGATGATCTCTGGGTCTCTGCCGCATGTGTCGACCGCATACTCGAGGACGCGACCGTCCAGAGGACGCTGCTAGACCTTGGAATTGAACGAACATCACAAGCGGCGCAACGTGCTCGGGATGCTGCCGGGCGCGTAGGAAGCGACGACGATGAAGCGGAGACGATTCAGGAGACGGTGGATGAGCGGACGCGGCACGCCTCCCTCACTTCGTACTTCTCGCAGGAACCAGTGGACGCGCAGCTGTGTCGAATCCGCGCGGTCTTGCTCGAACGACTGGACAGGCTGAACACTTGGGTGGAGATATGCAAGGAGGCTCCGGTGCAGAATGAAGACGAGGAGGATGCGATTGACGAGGAATGGGAGGACGACCCATGGGCGGAAGATAATGCTGCCCCCGCACCACCGACCTCGAAGTCTGGTAAGACTCCCGTACCCCTCTCGGCATTCTTCACGGTCGATTTGGCGGAGACCGCCTGTCTGTTCGCGTCGCAAGAGCGTTTCACGGCACTCCGCATATTATTCGACCGACATGGAACGACCCTCTGGCCATACCGCTTCTATATCCTCGAGTGCATTCCCGAGTACGCCCTGGCGACTGAGTACCGGGACGTACTACCATCTTTTGACGCTTCTCTCAACGCGGAGCAGAGACCCCACGCAAGGTCATGGAGGGAGGAGGCGGACTATTCTGAGTCCCCAGAATGCATTCGCGCTCTCGCCGAGTGTGGGGTACCTTTATCTGTTCCCTATCCCGCCGCGCCTTCAAGATTTACCGCCAATCCCTCGCCACTCTCTTCCTCTGACTTATCGTCTTGGTATCTCCGGAGGATTGACCATGTTCTTTCGTCTACCGGGTTGGTCGACGCCGCTCTTGTCCTCGTGCAGCATGTCGCTTCGCAGGGTGTCCCCGGGCTGGATGAGGTTGGCGAGGACCTCAGCCTGATCGCGCGTTTAGTCTATGATGCATCTCAAGGAGTAGACAGCGCGGCGGAGGACTGGTCGTTGGAGAGGTGGAGGTCGATGTCACCCGAAGAAGTCGTCCGCGCGTACCTAGCGCACTCGACCGAGGTGAGCATCGCGCGCGACATCCAGAAGCTTGTCATGCCATACCTCTTCGTCCTCGAATCGCGCGCCGAGCGTGCAGGGACACCCGACCTGGATCTCATCACGCGCATGCTCTACGGCTACATTTTGGACGCCCCCCTTGACATTGTTGCTGCGATATTCGAGGCATCGAAGCCGACCCTCGCGCAGGGGCAGCGCATCATCAAGGATGATGAAGATATGGCGCGCCTCGCTCTGGCGTGCCTGTATGGGAGCGACAAGATGGATGAGTGGCCAACGATGAGCCGGATATTCGAGTGTCTTCCCGCATGGGATACACCTGAAATTGAGGACGCCGACGCCGACGAAACCGATACTACCATCGCGTCCCTAGGTAACTTTGTCACACCATCCACCACGCGACCCCGCGTAACGCCCTCGGACTTGCTCCTTTTTTTCAAGCCGTTGCCAACCACGTCTCTATCGCGCGCCTTGGACGTCTTGGATGTGCATCTCGAGTCTGGAGAGATTCTCGCAAGATGGGGTGTTCCTGCACCCCTGCGCTGGTTCTTGCAAAGCAACAGCAACATCGGCGAACAACGCTCTCGGGCCAACCGCATGGCGCGTCGTGCGAATGCGTCGGATGACCAGCTCGACACTCAAGAGGACTGGGAGTGGCTCCTGGAGGATATGCTCAAACTTGCGGGCTCCGACGAAGGCGATTCGCGGAGCGCTTTTTGTCTCCTATCCCGGGATGATATAATTCGCATATTCTTCAGTGGCCTCCTGAGCACTGGCAGTAAGTTGACACTCCGGGGCTCAAAGCTACACATTCTTACCTGTGCTTAGACTTCGACATCGCGAAGAAGTTACTTCAGTCATCGAATTTGAAAGGCTCTCTCGATCATCAAATAATCGAGGACATCTGCCTCACATGCTCGCAAGAGTTCTACGACAACGCTACGTCGGGAAACTATCACTTCGGCGACATGAAGCTGGCGTACGACTGGTACGTACCCTTCCTCCTCTCGGACTGGGCCCACCGATCATGACGTACGTCCGCAGTTTGGATGTCCCCGAACCTTCGGACCGCGTGGTCCAAGAGAAAGAATTCATCGAAGCCACCTCTCGCCTTTGTTCATTCAATCTGATGTCACGTCCGGGTATCCCCATATCGCCGATCGAGATCCGCCTAACCAAGGACCGCCTCTCCCTCGTCTCTCGTGTATTGTCAAGCAACAACGACGCATACAAGCATACCGAAGTTATCCTCGACCTTGTCCACAAGCTCGGCTTCCGCGGCGACATCGTCGCCGAGGTCAAGACCCTCGCCATGCTCGCCGAGACTGCCCTCCAAGTCGAGGACTTCGGTCGCGCGTATGAAACAAGCGAGAAGATGGTCAACACCGTCTTGCTCCTCCGCTCGTCGAATCCGGTCGCCCCAGAAGACCCCAGCATCCAAGAGGCGAGCGAGGTCTGCTGGCTGACCTGCTTCCAGCTCGGACGCCACCCCGAGTTCCCGGACGTAGACAAGAAGCTCGCCCTCCTGGGCCGTGCGCTCGAGTTCTGCCCCCCAGAAAAGCTGCCGGACATCCTCGCCGCTTGGTGTGCTCTGGAGGAAGAGGACATCGACCAGCGTCGAGAGGCGCTCGCTGCCCGGAAACGCGGCGGGCGTCGGAGGAGCGCACCTCGCCAGCGGGTCACCGGGGTGGATGTCGCTGCGTCCCTCGCGAGCCGCCTGCAGAACATGCAGATGCACATTCCTGCCTCGCCCGACGCCGCGGCGCTCGCCAACAAGGCTTTCAGCCGTGTCGCAGCGAACATCCCATTCTCCTTCGGGGGCAGAGGGCGGTCGTATCTGTCGCAGGACTCGGACAGGTCGAGGAGCGGGAGCAGAACGGGGGCGGACGGAGCGCACGTCGTCTCGGAACAAGCCTCGCGTGCCCTTCAGAAGGGCATTGGATGGTTGCTGGGGGCGGACGACGAGTAAGGCCATCGGACGTCATGACTATTTCCGCTCTTATCTATGTAGTTAGCACTCGACTTGGGACTATGTTAATGCCACTGGGGACTTCGATCGAGTTCATGCATCTCGAGTACTCAGACATGCCTCGAGTCACTCCAAATTATTTGGATAGAGAGACATGGTGCTCGCAGTACGGCCCACGGTCCAGCCCAGGATGCACATCACACACCGGCTCGGTACAACATGGCGTACACGGGCTACGGGTCGAACAAGGACACAGGACAATACAGGAGGGAAAGACAGACAGAGAACGTAATGTTGTAGGACAGTTAAGGTCCCCCTCTCTGACTTTACAGGTGGCAGACCGACCAATAAACAAACGAGAGTGGTATGCGTGCAAGATCTAGAGAACAGACTAGGAGTGAGGGTCGCGAGCGCGGTGCGGATCCGGGGGGGGGGACACAGAAGGGGGAGACGATGGGTCGGTCGTACTCGTACTGGGACACATTACTACAGCGATACTCTACAGAAACAAACAACACGTGTGGTATCAAAGTGGACTCGTGGGGGGTAGTGCGAGAGAATGGAGCGAGCGTGGTGGTTCTGGGCTACCAAATTTACACGGGGTCATAGAAATAGAAATAAACAAAGACGAGGAAACCGGGAGCGGCCATGGCCGCCTCCTGGTGCTGATGAAAAGACAAACGGAGAGCCCCTTGCAGCCCACGGCCGCTGACCCGGCCGGCCAATCTACAGATGCGTACGCGTACGCGTACACGCGCATACAAAACACAACAGAACGGCGCACCGTACCCCGGACATGAAAGGTCGTTCGTTCGTTCAATCCCTCGCCGCGAACCGCGAGCCGACGCCCGTGCGCGCGCGAGGCCTGTTCACGACCCCGCCGACCTTCACGCCAGCCTTCTTCAGCTCCTCGACCGTCCGCCCGTCCGCGCCCGCGCTCGCGCCGTCCCCCGCCGGGCGCCCGAGCGCCCCGCGGCCACACGCCGCGCAGAACTCGCTGCCGGCGTCCGCCGCGCGGAGCTCCTCCACCTCCGCCTTGAGGTCGCGCACCTGGCCCTCGAGCTCCCAGATCTGGCGCTGCCACGCACGGCGCGTGGACAATATCTGCTCCTGCAGCGCCTGGATGACGCTCGACTGGTCGCGGTCGTCGTGCGCGATGGAGATGTGCCCAGACTTCTCGTCGCTCGAGCGTCCGCCGTAGCCGAGGGCCTTCGCGTTTGGGGAGTCGGGGCTGAGGGGGGAGATGGCCGTCGTTGCGGTGGTGGGGGTGCCAGTGTCGAGCTCGAGAGACGGCCGCTGGCGCAGAGAGGGGTCGTGCTTGGACGCAAGCTCCTTGAGGTCGTTCGTGAAGAGCGTGGACATTGGGCGGATGCTGAGCCCCACGAACTCGGTTTTGCTCGGGGGAGCGCTGTTGGGTGAGCTGTTATGCGAGCGCATCTCTGCATGGTTCACGGCCGTCGTTGGGGTCAAGTGCTGGTGGGCGTGTTCAGTTGAACCCGCGGACAGCGGGGCGGTGTGGGGAATCTTCACAGTCAAATTGTTGGATAAGGACGGGGAGGTGACGATCGAAAGGTCGGGCGCTCTCCGCCGTACGTTCAACTGTGCCTGTTGCTCGCGCAAGCCGCCGGACGTGGACCCAGACGAGCCGCCAGAAGAATAAGAAGGGGACTCAATAGGCGAGCTGGCACCATCGCTGAGGTTAGGCGGCGACAACGGCGGCACAGGAACTCGATGTGTCGATCCCTGGCGCGGACGGGCATACTGAGGTGGCGGTGGTGGGGGAACGGCCGCAAAAGCGTCCTGGCTGAATACCGGGACTGGTGGGGGTGGAGAATTTGGCGATATGCGCTCCTTCCCATTGAACAGACGCATGAATCCGCTCTTCTTCCTGCCCACTTGCCTTGTCGGCCCGCTGATGGGGGAGTCGCCGGGGGTGTAACGCGTGGGTGACTCGAACATACCTCGGCCCTTCACACCGCCCGCGCTGCTCGAGCGCGCCCGCCCCTGCGCACGCTGCGCATCCATGTCCGGATCTGAGAACAGCGGTTTCGACGCCACGAAAGGACTCGAGATAGTCGGATGAGCCGTCTGGCTCCGTGACCGCTCGCGCGCCTGCGCCTGTGCCTCCTCCAGCGAGATGAGCTTCAACGCGCCCCCACCTCCGCCTCCAGCGGCTCCAGTGCTAGCAGCCTCCCACGCATGGACACCGCCCATCGGGATCCCAGGCTGAGAGGTGTCGCGATTCCTGACTATGGGGCTTGCGCCGCTCGCAGGGGCGATCGGAGATTGAAAGCCGTTCAGCTTGCTGAGCTGTTCTGGGTGGAGCGAGGCTTTGTCGACCGGCATGGGAGACGAGATGCCCTTGAAACGAGACGAAGAGGAACCAGACTCGTTCAGGGTTGGGTTCACGGAAGTGGTCGACGTGCCAGGGGACAACCCGAGGGTGATGGTAGAACGGAACTGGGACATGCTGCTGCTGGACGTCGTATCGGTGAGTGTCGCACTTGAGTCCACGCGACTCGTGCCGAACGCTACGACACTTGGAGACGGTGGCGGGAGATCAACATCTACGGCTCGTGCGAGGTCCGGATTCGCATATGGATGGGAATACTCCTGGAGAGAGCTTCCTACAGATGGACTAGACGAATGTCCGAACACGGAACGGTTGTCTCCAAACGCGTCCGCGTGAGGCGGTGTAGCATTTCGGTTGATGGGGGAAGCATTTGACGGCGAGAACGCATCGTGATGGCCAACATTAGATGGAGTACGGGATCGCAGTCGAGGCAGAGACAGCTTGTCCCGCAGAGAATGGGGCGACTGATGCATTGCGAGCGAGGTGGAAGACATGGAAGCCTGGGCGAGGGCACTGCAGCACTGTCAATACACGGGCGCGTCTCGCAAAACATGTGAGAGCGGAGAACGTACGCTAAAGCGCCATTAGCGGAGGTGGTCGAGGCATTGTCGAATGACTGCTTGCCCTTGCCGGAACGGGAGGACTCGTTGCTCGGACGGGCCTCACTGCTGCCTCTAGAGAGCGGCCAGCCTTTCTTGCCAGACTCGGACTTCTTCTTGACACGCTTCGGGAGTGAATGTTCTTCGACGACGCTCTTTGCGTCCAGATCATCGTCCTCTTCCCATGGGGCCGGAGAGTGAAAGCGCATTTTTGGACCATACATGCTGATCCGGGGCTCGTCATCTGCAGGCTCGGCAGGGGTGTCAAACTCATCGTCATCTTGTGTGCTATTAAGCTCGGAGGAAGAGCGCGGGTCGTCCTCGAGGTCGAGGCTGGAAGCGTTGGGAAAGTTCAAACGCTCTCTGTCGGTGATGGGGGAGCGCGGTTCGGGGAGAGGGGGAACGTAAGTTCTGGGACTCTGGGGGAAACGGAAGGAATTGGGATGGCCGTCCAAGACGGAACGGTCTGGGGTGCGTGGGGAGAACTGGGGATGGCTATATAGGGAGGGGGAGTCTGAGAACTCTGAGAGGGAGGGGAAACGGCCGTGGAGGTCGGCGCGAGCCGCTCGCTGGTCAAGAAGGTGTTTGAGATGGCCATCGTGGGTGCGATAGTCGGGGGAGTTCATGACATTGACATTCATGAGACCGCCAGAGGGAGGAGGAGGAGAGAAGGAATGTGTCGGGGAGGAAAAGACCGACGGCGAGAGAATGACGGGATGAGCGTGAACCGCAAGGGATGGGCGCACTCGGGTCTGTGGCCGGGTCTGTGGCAGAGGCCAGAAGAGGGCCGTGCAAGGCCGAGCTGAACGCAGTTTAGCTCCCTTGTCTTCCAGACAAACACAAGTCAACAGCTCGAGTCGGTTCCGTACGCCGTGGCCCCTCTTCCTCTTCCTCTTCCTCATCCCGCCCCCCAATCCGGGCTAAATGCTGTTATCAGAACAGGCCCCCTGCGCTGCTCACACGCTGGGGATCCTCTCGCCCCTAATGCACTCGATAGCGGCACACAAATCCGTCCCATCATCCGCAGGCTCCAAGGAGAACACCGAGCTAAGTCGAATGGGGTTCTCCCCGCGCCACGATGCTAGCGATTCCACCGCAACGGGCGCTCGGATGATGCGCAGGACCCTGCAACCTTGGCAAGGCGCGCACCGAGAGCGGGGGACCTGGCCTGACCTTCGCAGCCGATTCCAATTGGCACCGCATCCGCCCCTGGACGGCCGTGATATCATCATCATTCAGAACCGCGGCGAGTGCCTTGGTTCTCATGAAGTGTCGAGCAGCGTCCACACCAGCATGCATCTTGGGCAGTTGTGGAGGCTATCCAGGAGGCCGTACGCTTGCTCGACATCGCAGGCCATCGATGTGGGTGGGACTCTACCCGCCGGCTTACTTCCGGAACCCATTGACCCGACGTCCATCTCTGAGATCCCATCGCCCACGTGTGTGGCTAATCCCCGATGTGATCTTCCCCTGCTCGGCACTGGCATCCGTGAAGCGCGCGCTCCTCTATCCAGCGCTGCCATCTCCACATTGGCCATGGGCGCTCTCTTCACCTCCTCTAACTCTAAAAATTCAAAGTAATCTTGAGCAGTCATGTCCCAACCAGACGAGTCCGTCATCGCGCTCGAGAGCCCTGCTTCACCTGTCGAGACAGCCTCCGCAGAGGGCGAGGTCGCTGGCGCACGACCGCTGGCACATTCAGCAAACGGTCGTCTATCTGGGAAGGGATGGAAGGCGACGAAGACCGCGACTGTGTAAGTTTTTCACCTCTTCGCCGACATTGAACCCGAAGTCTCTCATGCTAGAACCAATCATGACCTCCACAGGCGGTCACACCTCCCTGACGGTGTAAAGACCAAGAAGTGGGAGGATCGGATGGAGAAGGTCAAGAAGGCGCAGGCGATCAAGAAACTCCAGGACGAGCTCAAGGACGAGAAGCTCGCAGAGATTCAAAGGTGCACGCACGGTTCCACTTCCCGTCCCCCGTCCCCGTCTCCGTCTGTCCCAGCGACCCTTCAGAGACACCCAGCTGACATCCGCCATACCCGTGTAGACGGAAAGAGATCACGCTCGAGCGCAAAAAGGCCGCAGAGGAGCGGCGCAGACTGGAAGAGGAGAAGGCGAAGGTGCGCACTGAAGCCCCTCCCGTTGCTACGCGGACGTGTCGTGCTCACAACGCGTCCCCTCTGTCCCTCTCGGCACCCTCAATCCGCTAGATGGGCGCGCGCAGGGCTGCCAGGCTACGCCGCAAAGCCGGCCGCACCAAGAAAATCAATCACTAACCCCCACCGGGAGCGTCCCCGCCATCAGCAGCGCTTCTGCACTCTAAGTGCTGCTTCCATCCGATGCTTGGACGCCCTGCATGTTTGGACTTCTCAGTGCGGAGGCGAGCATCGTCATTTGTGCCTCATTTGCAGCTATCACTCCCGTCACAAGATTGTCCGACGCGCTCGGTGGCGTCCCCTGTCCGTCGCAACTGTCATTTTGGGGGACCGCACGGCGGGCTCCTGTACCGGGACGCCACCATCATTTGCATTCCCGAGGCGACCGCCGTCGCTAGTCCTACTTACTGTGGCTAGGGAAGGGGGTCACTTGACACGTGGTTCTGGTTCTTGGGCGAACATGTCATGCTTCCGCGGCCTCATCTGTACGAATAGAACGCTGTATGTACTGATCACCCGCTTGCCGTGTGCGAAAGAGTGCCCAAGCAATGAGTACCAAAGCCAACCATATAGACAACCGTCGATCGCCCAACGTCAGCGCGCATCGCACTGGCGGCGCAAGTGAATCATGCACATCAAGCAAGATAACACACACAAGACACGACACTACTACATAGCACTCTCACCCACACAGCATCACAAGTCCCAGCTCGCGTCGACCTCCCCAACCTGCACGAACGGCCTGTCCAGGCCGACCACGACGCTCTCGCACAGCGGGCAGTTCGCGGCGAGCAGGTCCTCCAGCTCCCTCCGCGTCCGCTCGGCCTTCTCCGCGTCCTTCTCGCCCACGTCGCGCTTCGCGCCGCCCCCGCCTAGCCCGATGCCCGGGATCCAGCCCGCCGGCGCGGTGACGAGGTTCGCGAGCGCGTCGGGGATGATGAGGTCGCGCAGGCGGTCGCCCGCCGAGAGCAGGTTGCGGCCCAGCGCGTTCGCCCCGCGGGCACCCGGCACGGACCCGACGGCGAAGTTCGCGGAGAGGAGGGTGCGCTGAGCGGGCGCGGGTGCGGGCGTGTGCCGCGTCGCGGGGAGCAGCGAGGGGTTCGTGATCGCCGTGCGGTCGATCGCGGTCGTTTGGGACGACTTCATGAGCTCGGTCTGGAGGGCGAGGATACGACGGAGCGCCGGGGCGGGGAGGAACTCCTTCGTCTGTGGGGGGGTGTGCGTGTCAGTACCAGATGCGGACGTTCTCGATCGTTCAAGGTGTCAGATAAGCGATTCGAAACACTACCGCCGCACCAGAAATACACGACGATGACGGTGAAGGTGGAGCGGCTGTGAACGCGAACCTCGAATGCAAAGAAGGAAGAAGAGCTCGCAGCGCGGGCGCCCCTGGCTGCGCCAGACAACGAAGAGCGGGGTATACAGAGAACGTTACTCACCAGGCCGATCAGGCAGTCCGCGTGGAAGGTGTGGTGACACGGGAAGACGTAGAACTGCCTGGTCATGAGCGTGAGGGCGCAGTGCGAGCACCTCTCCGTGGCGTCCACGGTGATGAAGCGCTTCTGGAGGGCAGCGATGTCCTGCTTGATCGCCTCCGCGTTCTTCGTGGCCTCGTCCATGTCGGCTTTCAGCGCGTCAATGTGCGCAGAGTAGCCTTCGAGTGCGGTGCAGATTTCCTCCTTGAAGTCGTCAATGACCACGAAATCAGGGAAGAACGGCAGGATGTCTTCGATCTTGAGCAGATCAGTGTTCTCGAGGAAGCGCATCGCCCTAGATGATCAGTGTCTGTCAGTTTTGATATCGGGCGGACGGGAGAGACACCAAGATTCTCAGATGGAGCGAGGAAGAAGTGCGGTGGGTTTTGGACGCGATGGATGGGAACACGTACATCTTGATGTCTTGCTTGTCTTGGACGACATACTTCGCAATCTTGAGCCAGAGCTTCTTGCGCAGCTGGTCGTCATCCTCAGGCATATCCGCGTTGATTTTCGCAAGCTCTAAGTCACCCTTCTCGAGCGCAAGGTCGACGCTATTCTCCCACAGGCCCATCTTCGAGTAGATGTGCACGCAGGGTTGTGTTCGGCCAGTCTGCTTGCATAGCCGTAATGCATAGTCGAGGTCGTAGTACGGCTTGCCTGTAAGTGGGTCGGACGGTGCCGTCGACAGGAAGCGCAGGAGCGGTCCGTCGTCCTCGGGGTGATTTATTGACGTGGTCGATGCAGTGGAGGTTGATGTTGGGGTGGATGCGTAGAAGGTGATCATCAAGTTGTGGATCATAGGGGAGATGTTGCCCTGCTCGAATATGACATGGTTGAGATAACGTACAGCATGGTTGGGAGATAGTGGGTCACGAGGCGCATGCTGCAGACGGAGAATGGCAGGGATGAGTCGAAGGGGGTCGAGTGCACGCTGGCGCAACCACGAATCGACGGTCTCTTTGGGAGCATGTCGCATGAGGACCGGGGCGAATCGGTAGTAGAGCTCGAGGTCCGGCTACAAGCGACGTGAGGCAGACGTTTAGTGATTGTAGACTAAGACGAACCTGCCGGTTGATGACATCGATGGCTTTTGTCCACTCCTCTTCCATGACCCAATGCTCGACAACTCGATCGAAGTCACCGACCACTGCTGCATAGTGAAGATACATGTCTATCCGCCCATGACCTTGGATCAGCTCGTAGACAGTCGTCGGTTCAAGGTTCGCCTGCACAAACAGCTGAGCGATCTGTTCATGACATGCGCATATACAGTTTGATTACCTTGTAAGTCTCAAAGAAGTGTCGCAGGTCCTCCTCGAGGATGGCACGCTCAGCGAGAAGGTTGTCAACGTCTTGCGATACTGACTCCGAAGCAATCAAGTCATCAAGTTCGTTACATTTGCTGAGATAGAATTCGACCAGCCATGTCGCGAGCATCATCCGTTGCGAGAGATCCTATTAGATCCGTCAGAGGAAGTCAAGATCGACATCACTGCATGTCACTTACCGTCTTCCGTGTCCGCTCAAGACGCGAGATCAGATACGACCGCAGCGCATCGCGTTCACCGACATCCAAGAACTTTAGTGTCACTTCCTCAAAAGATAGTGAACACTGCGCATAGCACTGCGCAGCCTGGAAGTAGCGCCCTTCATTGAAGAATGCCTGGGCTTGCGCGGACATGACCTTGTCTCTTTGGGGCGCGCTCTACCAATCCCATAAGTCGCTGCGACGTTTGAAGCACCGCGCAAGACTGACCGTGGCATACTGCAGCGCAACATCGAACTTCCCCTTCTCGAGGTAGATTTTCCATACATCTCGGTGTTCGTTGGTGACCCCAATCTCCCATATTGACTGATCGGTGTACACCCAGTATGTCCTCCGAACGGGGTCTGCAGTGAGACCACGAACTTGCTCATTGGGTTTCTGGTGTGGTAGTCAGCAATCATATACCAGACGTTCTCCAGGTTTCGCACCAGTGGTAGCAACTCTTCGTAGGCAAGTTGCTCGTTCAGGTTGGAAATTCCCAAGACACGATCCCGATACAGCAACAGGAAATGAAACTCTGTCAGTGATATGGATATTGGTGTCGCATTTTCGGTAGCATTCTGTCTTGTTGGTGACAACGACGGTGAAGACACTAGTGCAGGGTACGGTAAAAGCTGAGCACCATCAATGAGGTCGTCCGTGTTGGATCCGAAGTCGAGGTTCCCATGATAGATACCGGCAGCTTGCGATTCTGCTCAGTCATCAGGAACAAGGGGTGACGCTGACACTACAGCTCACCATTCATCCACGCCACTGTTCGAGGCAGAGAGTATGCTTGTTCGGCATTCGGACTGTATACGTGCAGCTCTGAAACGTCTGGGCTGCCAGGCAGCTCCACGATCTCTTCGGGACATCAGGTCACTGTTGGCCGCATACTCGGTGGACCAACTTACTTGGCGCAGTGTCCCGATAGCTGCCAAACAACGCGGAAAACACTCGTCCGCCATCCTCAGATTTCCTGTCCGGTATGCCGACAAACTGGTAGATTCGAGTTGCAGTGGTCACCAGCACGAGTACCTTCTTGGGGTCAAGAGGAGGGAACATGTCGAACTTCAAGCCTGTCACCGGATGCCGTTCGGGGAGTGTGAACACAGGCTGAAGATACCTCTCTTGTGACTTGAAGAAGTCTTCCTCGGCATCCAAAACCGCCTCATAGATTGTTCCGTTCCTTGCGCCAATAAGCATTTCACGTGTAGAGGTAGAGTGCGAGGATGACAAGAGAGAGGCTTTGTTCCACGCGACACTCTCGATGATCATCTTGAAGCTCTTCAGTTGTCTTGGCTTCTTCCATCCCCGGTAGAAGTACCAATTCTCCCCCTGGACGGAGGTTACGAGTAGGTGCCTGCCGGAGGGGTCAAGGAAGAGCTTGTGTATGGTGAACTCGTTCGGCTTCCGGGGTATCTGTATGCGGATGAACTGTTCTGCTCGAGAAAGCTCAATCTGAATGATGAGATTGTTGGCCAGTCCCATGTACAGGGAGTCGGAAGACACAACGAGGGAGACAAGGGGGGCAGAGAGCGGGCATTGAACTTCGCCGAGCTGGAAAATGGGGGCGGGTGGAGGTGCCAAATCCGCTTGTTCCTAGCGAAGATGTCTAATACGGCACATGTCGCACAGATTGCTTTAGTCTTACTTGGAAAATATCTGCCCTAGCGTCATCCTGATCGTACGGGGAAGGCTCGAATCCTTCGTATTGCAGTGGTGGAAGCGGGCCGCGGGCGGAGCCTGGAACAGGGGCCGATGCATGCTCTACGTCTGACAAGTTCATGAGCATCTTGTAGGACTTGTGCTATGGACATACTGACAGTCATCAAACATTCTAAGGGTCTACGGAGTAGCCCACGCTGGTACTTGTATAATTCCTGAGGAGGGTCCCGACCAGGCGCCGCGGCGGTAAACGTGATAGGTATCCTGCACACAGAGAGAGGTAGAAGAGCGAAGCCGAAGCAGAGCAGACTATCAACGACGACAGAGGAAGCTGCACTTGGTTGCGGGGAACGCAAGTCTCACTGCAGCTGGCGGCGACCGCAATGCGCGTCGTGCGCGCACTGGCAGGGGCAGGCGCCCTGACTTAGCCACGTGCTCGCGAGACCCATCCGAGGAACTCGGAGGCCGTCGGCGCCCGTGCATCTTATCAGCGTAACCACATTTTGGAGTCGAATCACAAGCGTCATGACCTTTGACTTGACTCTGCATAATACGGCTTGCACAGACGCGACATCGATTGAATTGAGCTATGTATAAGACCGCTTCACATAAGCTTGTGATAGTCATACTTCGTACAACCGGGCCGCCGACCCAGTACATAACTCCTCAACGCACAGCAACATGCCACAGCTCAACTCAACATCGTTGGGACGTAACTAACCTCACTTCTCGCTCTCCTGGTTCTTGCGTTAATGGCGAATCCCGTTCGTTGATGTCGCTACAGGTCGCTCAAGCATATTCGAGCACCCTCCCTGTCTTGGGTGTTCAGTCAGTCAGCATCTGGAATGGTAACGAGTGTAGGTCCTTCATCTAACCTTGTGAGTGTAGGTCGCGACTTTGTCCTCAGGAACAAAAGCTTGCTTTGCTCAAGGTGTATGACTATACCTGGTGTATCAGACAATATGAAGTGAGCATTCTGTTGTTCGTATCCGGCAGTGTCTTACCAATCCTCTACACGGACATGCTCGTGGCCGCCAATTGGAAGGCAAAGTACACGTTCTCCAGTCATTGGCCTGATTCTTATGCAGCTTTCATGGGGCCTCTCAACGCATCATCCAGATGTCTGACCACGACTATCCGAAAGGAGGGACCTGACTCGGTCGTTGGAAGCACTTGCTGGAGGTCCTGCTCAACCCCAACAGCTTCAGCGGAAAATCAGGAACCTTGCATTCCTCGCAGCCCATCTTCGAGGCTTCTTGCCGCCGTTCGAGGAAATCAGCAAGAAAATGTGTCTGTTCCCAATCAAGCTGTTCGTGAGCAAACGGTAAGCGAGAACGACTCCCAATGTCATCGGAGCAGGTGATTTGCCACGATTTTCTTTAAAATACCCTCTCCCGTCCTGTCTAGGTGTGTCTGGCTACGACTATGGATTACTGGATGAGACGATGAGGCGGACAACCGCTTGGCGTGGGAGTATGGCTCGTTGTTGTGGGTACTACTCCATTGATTACTTGCGCTTTGAAGGCCACTATTTGATGTTCCACCAGCACTGAGGCCGCGTTGCATCAACTTCAGTTCGCACTCTTTATCCGAACGACGTGGGATCACCTCCCTGATAGGGCTATCGAGGCCTCTCAAGCAGTTCCTCTCGAAGGCTGAGGGATACACTGGCAAGGACGCAATGAGTATCTTTGGTGAACCAGGTCCATAACTCCTGCTCAATCACCGGCAAGCAAGCTGACCTACCTCCAGCTGGCTAGGGTTAATGCATCAGAAAAGCCTGAGACCCGCCTGCCACGAAAACCCAGGTGCAGACACTCAGGCTCGCTGGACATCGGACGACTGCCCGCACTGTCTCGTGGTCGCTTTGTGAGTGAGGAAGGACGCCGACTACGACGCCGAGCTCCGGGCCAAGGTCCTCAGACAACGCGGGCCCGAGCAGAGATGCGGTTCACCATTGACGACCTCGATGCCTCTGTTGAACAATGTCATCAATGTTCGCCCTCATTGAAATCGTGCGTCGTAATACTCTGATCTGCATATGCGCAGCACAGGACCTGCACAGAAGACTCCGCGATGTCGACCCATCGCTTTCAGTCTTTCCTCTGAAGCCCTCTAAGACGACGTGATCCCACCTTCGGTTCCGCTCATCTCAGCTACTGGCAATACCCTTGACGCGATCCCTGTGAAGGCTGGCCAACGGGCTACGACGTCTTTCTGCGGCTATGATTGGCATGCGGTCCTGCAGTCTTACTCCGGATGACGTGCGGAGTCGTCTGACAGACTCTTGACTTTCCAGTTTGCCCAAAGTCTGGGGCAAAGATGCCGATTTTTAGAACTCCAACGGTTTCTCTTTCATCGCCCCCGCGAAGTGAACGAAGGTCGGCGTGTACACCAACTCGTGGGTCTCCCGTACCGTCATGAGCGTCTGACACTGTTAGTACCCCAGGGGGGGCTTCTGTAAGTACAACATACACTGCTGAGAGGAACCGTGTTGATTGTATCCTTGTTCTTAGCTGCTGGTGTTCGCGCGTGCTTGGGTCAGCGTTGTCCTTCTCTTGACCGGATACATGGATGGCTGATATGAGTATATGCCTAGTTGGTGGCCCTCGTATGGAGCAGGTTGTCGACAAGTTCGAGTTCTCGCTACCAAAGGACGACATCTATGATCATCAGTGCATTTCAGCTGGATCGATGGACCTCCTTGGCCCGTTGTCAATGATACCTCGGCTCGACCATATCGCTGTGCGTTTCCTCGGTCCCTTGATCTTCACCCATGTCTCTACTAGGAGCGATTTAGCACCGTTAGCAGCATCAAAGAGCGCCATTCGCAATTCGGTGCTCACCAAGCGCAGCCTCCACCTTCATATATCGCCATAGCGCCTGCGATACATTGTTGGTGGAGTGTAACTCATCAGGTCCTTGCAACTGCTCCGGTGGTGCCAGTGCGTGCGACGGTTCATGACTGATAGGACGTGCAAGAATTTCAATATCCAAGAATAGACAGTCGACAAGAATTGCCTGTCGAGCACGACGTTGCATGGGGTCGGGGACCGCGGTGCATGACGCGAACGACGATTACCAAACGGGCCGCAAGAGGGCCGATTGTGTCATATCGCCGACCAACCTTCTTCTCACATACCACTGTGAGTACTGACTTTGTTTCCCATCGCCTTGTCCATATGAACATTCGATGCGTATCGTTAACGTCAACCTTGTTCTAGGTCCTTGCTCATCTGACGGGACCGGCGCCTGGTGTGCGAATGGCCCTCAAAGTCGACACAGCGAAACCATGGTGTCGCCGGTCGGAGAACGGAAATCAAGCTTCTTCACCTCCCTGCGTCGCCAAATAAGAGGTCAAAGCACTGCATGCGCCTCTTGGAAGCTCGCAAAGCCTGTCAGACCTTCTGACAATCCGACGCGATATGTTACCCACCATCCGACATGCGGGCCGCAAGAAGCTTGTCATACGCTTCCGCGGTCGCTATATCCCGATCACCATGATTAGTGATGCTTAGGGTCGCTCTACATGTCAAGCTTCAAGGGATAGATCTCACGTTGTCCATTCACCCCCTTCGGATGGTATAGAAATGCCAGCAAGCGTTCCCCGAGTTCGGCGATATTCCCTTGAGAATCCGCCACTGGGTCAGATCTAATATTCATCGGAAGACAATAAATAAATGCGATATAAGAAGCCAAGGGAGTCGGATGGGAGCTGGGCACACTCTCGCTTCCAAGCACAACCGACAAACCCTTACCATGCAGCTCCTCGTGCTCGTCCTCCTTTTCGCGCTCGCGGCCGCTATCAGGATCGTCTTTCGCCGCCGCTATAGGTCGTTGTCACATATCAGAGGACCGCCGTCTCCTTCCTGGTTGTTTGGTGCGTGGTTTAGTGTGTTCTGTCTGCAGGTCACAGAGCTTACGTCGGGCCAAATATAGGTCATGATATCGCCACTGTTCGCCAGCAAGAAGTCGGAGAGCTTGACTTCAAGTGGGTCAAGGAGTACGGTGCTACCTGGCGTATCGCTAGCCATCTTGGGGTAAGATCTGTTCGCTATGTCGTATACGTCCTGATCTCAACGGAGACCTCAAGACTCAGGTCCTGATGACCGCTGACCCCAAGGCACGCGAAGAGCTTTACTATCTCCCGCGCTATCGCAGCTCATGCTCAGGTTGTCCAGGCGATGCAACATATCTTCCACAAGTCGGGCTACAATTACGCCAAGCGTCGGGACCATACAGAGGTGACAAAAATGTTCACCGGCCCTGGGATTATCTCGGCGCAGGGCGAGGTGCATCAGCGTCATAGGAAGATCATGAATCCCGCATTCAGTGCCCCTCAACTTCGCTCCTTCCTCACATTGTTCCAGGACATTGGCACCAAGGTGTGTTATGTCCCATTCGTATACGCAGGCGCTAACCCTTCCATGACTGGCTTTTGTTGGCCAGATGTGCGACAAATGGAAGACGGAAGTCCTGGACAGCTCCTCTGGAACAGTGGCCGTGAATAAGTGGCTAGCTAGAACCACCTTGGATATCATCGGCGAAGGTGCGTGTGTATGAATCGCTCTCATCTCCTTCTTGACAAGTCATTCTGTGTAGCTGCATTTGCTTATGACTATGGCGCTCTGGACGAGAGGAATGATCGGCTATCTAGTGTGTACAACAACATCTTGTGAGCCCTCCCTACATGCTAGTCAGTCCGCGGTATAGTGAGATCTTGTTTTCAAAGCCTCAAAACATCGTTGCATCCGTCGAAGTGGCTGGTCTTCTGGCGGTCGATGTGGAATTATTTCCCGGATTCGCTGCTGCGATACGTACAGTATACACCGACCGCGGAACATCGTCACATGCGCCATATGACTCGCGTCTTCCACGAAGTTTCGAGTGAGGTCCTCGATGAACTTACCGGAGGGATATCCGACGAGGACGGAAAGAAGGACGTGATGAGTATCTTGGGTTAGTCGGCTTTCCCTTGCTTGATGTGAAGTTGGGTCATTCTAACCTTATGGTTCTCATTCTAGTCAAAGCTAATTCGTCTGAGGATCCGAAGACACAGCTCGATTATGTTGAGATGACTGCCCAAATGCAGAGCCTCACGTTCGCAGGTCACGAAACAACCGCTAGCACACTGTCCTGGATGTTGTGGGAATTGGCGAAACATCCCGAGTACCAAGCGAAGATGCGCGAGGAAATCAGGGCAACCCGTGCCGCAGTGCTTGCTCGTGGCGGAACGCGATTCACTATTGACGATCTCGACTCCATGACATCGGTGATGAACGCTATCAAGGTGCGTGCTCAAATCTGCCATACCACCACTTCGAAAGTAGCTGTAATCCTTTTGATAGGAGACGCTCCGGTTCCACCCGATTGTCTTCGGCTTGTGGAGGGAGGCAGTCCACGACGATGTCATTCCCTTGTCGGAGCCCATCGTGTCGGCCACGGGGGACGTCATTGATTCAATCCCTGTACGGGCGGGGCAGTGGATATCCTGCTCGTTCTGTGCATACAATAGGTGGGACATCTGCCGTACTCTTACAATGCACTTTACTCACGCACGAAAAAGGCTTCCGCAGGTTTGGGGAGCCGATGCCGACACTTGGAACCCGGATCGTTTCTTGCACATTGACCTAACGAAGCAAGTCAGAGTGGGCGTATTTGCCAATCTGTGAGTATCATCGACCGCCGTGGTGAATCGATCTTGAGCTAACGGCGGAGTGGCGCTCCGACATAGCATGACTTTCTGTGAGTAGATCTGTTCTCCTGGTATCACATTAGATATGAAAGCTGATCGACATCTCAGCTGCTGGGATAAGAGGTTGCATTGGGTGAGTACTTTTCTGGATTGATGATGGCTTAGCTAAGTCCTGGGTTTGCTGGATGTAGCTGGCGATTCTCGTAAGTCAAGGGTCGATTCGACACGCCTTTCCATACTCACACGTTCTTTCCAGAGTGATCGAGATGCAAGCTCTTGCCGCCGAATTACTGGAACGATTTGAGTTCGGGCTGCCCGAGGAGCACTACGAAATTATGCGAGTGCCGGCTGGGCTCATGATACCGTTGGTGAAGGATAAGCTGGAGCTTGGAGCTGTGATGCCCTTACGTGTTTCCTTGGTCCACTGAAGCGGAATCGGGGAGGCAGAAGTCGAATATCGTGGTACTTGATGGGCATCACATCTGCCTACTAGTACTGTTTCTCTTTACTATCTTGGTCGTGACCATGTACGATATTAGGACTCATAGACACGTGCGCAATTGACGACAGCGACTAGGTGTGTGGGCGACGATGTCACTGGTAGTGTTGCCGCCAAGCCAGCTAAGCTAAGCCAAGCTGACGCGCTGGATCGAGCTGGATCATCAAGCCGGAGCAAGCTAAGCCGAGATCCGGCCAGCTGAGCGCCAACTCCCTGGCCAGGCCCCAGCCACGGCTTGACTTGCAAGCTCACATTCCAGATACGGCAAGATGTTGCATGCGATGAACGCCATAGAGCGAGCATCACAGTCTCCGCAGTATTACACATATACATGCGTGAAATGGAAGCAAATGTCTATTACTTCAGTCTTCCTCCCCCAAAAATGGACAGAGTCGGGTTAATATGTGTGCAAAGCCCCACACACCAAAAGGTATAATGCTCAAGTGTGCCAGTGCCAGTGAATGATGATCTAGACATGTAGAGTGAAGTGGGTAATCCTCCCATGCCAGAGAAACACCTATTGTAATTGTTCAACCCTCAGCACAAATGTTTGACCTGTGGTACATAAGAAAGAATGCAACCTGTTACTGTATAGGTTGGGAGAGAAAAGTTGCAACTGCCAGTGTGCTATTCGAGGCATGGCTGAGAGGTATCCAACAGTTTTCGCAGAACATACTATCGCTCCAAAGGCCTATGAACATTGCATAGCTCCCGATATAATACTGCAACTCGGAGAGGCATGAGATCTAGCGAACACAGCTGAGTCTGTCCCCGAAGGCTCACCAGCCAGGTCTCACGAGCTGTGGCGGTACCAATGATATACCGAGTCCGGCAGGTATGACGTCACTAAATGAGTTAGCCCGACAGCTGGCTCGGAAACGAGCTGACCACCAACTGGATTTTCGGCGCTCCGGCTCAGCTTAGCTTGTTGCAACAAGCTGGGCGTCTAGTTGGCAAGCTGAGTTAGCTGGATAAGCCGGCTCAGCTTAGCGGCAACACTAGTCACTGGCGTGAAAATAGTAAGGGATTAATGTTCCAGTCTCGGCGCCAGAAGGGCGCTCTGAGGAAGTAGGTTAGGGTTACGGCCCGAAGGAAACTGAGGACCGTCAAGTGTTTCCTAAGTACTTACTTAGTACTGTGCTTGCAGCCACCTAATCGACCTCCTCGCTCCCTCTCAATTCTCCTATCTACCGACCTGCCAGGTTGTGTTCAATGTGTGCTTCGGCAGCCGTAGCCCTTTTGCATGGCACTGCTTCTCCCCTCCAGGTCGCCTTCGCTTCTTCGGTCGCTGCCGCGTTTGACGCACCCACCTCGCGCTTCATATCATGACTACATTCGCATCTCCACACCAGGTATTCTCGCTTGGTGAGATATGATTATTATCCGCTACTGATTATCACTCCCAGACGGCGGGACCGCTCGGCTAACACTCAATAATCCGAACTTCATCGGTGTAGCGAACTTCAGAGGCGAGCGCAGGTACATACGTCCCATCCAGTGCCACGAGACGATCTAGTGACAAGCGAGTTCCTGTGGGTATTGCGAAGGTATCAGGAAGACTTCTATGCGTTTGCCGCGCTGTCCCTCGACCCGGAGGAGCTGAGACTCAGCTACAAGAAGGCACACAACCTTGACTGGGTTCCCTCCGAATTGCCCACCACATTGGCTCGACAAATGCTCTTCGTAGGCATCTACGATGGCCATGGCGGATCCACCGTGTCTCAGTTCTGCCGACAAGAGCTCCACGGTCTGTTCGAGAACGTCCACAAGTCCCAAGTACCTGAAGTTTACGCCTGGGCAAAGGAACTTGGCGGATATTTCAGACGGTTCACCGGGGGCGTGTTGTCACCCTGGCTCGACCAGAATGCCGAGTCGTACCAGCAAGAGCTGGATCTTGAGGCGCGAGCAACGCTGGCATTCTTTGAGGCGAGTCCCCATCTCCTGTACGTTCTCACCTTTCATGAAACGAACACGCGTGTAGGTGGACAAGATCCTGTCTGAGGAGAAGGAAGCGAAGGAGTGCGGTGCGACCGCGTCCGTCGTCTTCCTCAAATCCTTAGATAATTTGGGCTACTTTCAATCTGAACATCTTGCGCTGACTGTCGCTCACGTCGGGTGAGCACTTCCACTATCGATAGACGTGGGGTGCTAACGTTTGGAATCAACCTGCAGGGACACTCGCGTGCTCCTCACCTCGACGGAAGCCGGCAGGGTCAAGCCCATGACCGAAAACCACCATGCCGAATCACGTGTGGAATCTGTGAGGTTGCGTAGGATGATGGGTGGGTTGACCACGGACTCGTTCGGAGAGGTTCGGTACGCACCCACACATTTTTCATGTCGGGCACACTCTGAAAGGTATGTTGCAGGTGGATGGGCGTCTTGGCAAATACTCGTTGGTACGTGTTCCACTCAGTGCCTCCGGATGTGACGTCCTGAGCCAGTATACAGCTTGGGTGACCTCAAGTTCAAGCCATATGGGGTGACGCCTGAACCAGAAGTACGCCATATGCTGCTCGAAGGTGAGTCTTATGTTTGTCGTTTCGGAACTTGGACTGACTGTGACACTCTTGCAGGCCAGCAGTGGTCCCATATCACACTGATCTCCGATGGCGTGTCTTCTGTCGTCTCAGACGAAGAGATCTCTGACCTCGCGCGAGGCGCGCTCTCTCCGAAGCACGCAGCAGAACGCATCTGTTCGTTCGCTGAGGAGATGGGAAGTGAAGACAACCAAACAGCTCTCGTAGTGCCTCTCGCTGGATGGGGCAAGATCACAGGTCCCGACCGCACAAAGGAACTCAGAGAGTACCGCCGCAAAGGATTGGAGGGCAACGAGCGACATCGTGGCAGGTGGATGTGAGCATCTCCTTGCTTGCAATGCAGCATAGCATATGTCTGGGTATGTGGGACTGTGTTGTTGTCTTCGTATATAATCCAATGGGACCTCATATATCGTAGTACAATTTGTATATACATCGTCGTACGAGATCTTATACTTATATTAAGTGCTTAATCGCTCATGATGCATCCTGACCCTTGCAGATGGTATTCCTGGTCTGGGTGGTACTGATTCGTGTCGCTACCTCTTAGATTTGAGCCGCAGCGTGACCATCTGCTCTAGGGTCCGAGCCAGCCGCCCATACGGTCTTACCCGACTTGTCGTTCAGCTTCTGAATGATCTGGCCACGGCCAAACAGACTTCTCTTGACACCTGTAGCGAGACGGGCGTCGTGCCCCATTGCTGCACTACACATTAGTTACCTGCTTTGTATGATGTAGCGAGGACAGGACGTACCGCGCAGCTGCTCGACCACCGCATCCGGGATCCCCTCCTCGAAGTATACTTCGCTGTTGATGTCACCGGAACGACCGCTCTTGTTGCTCTCTGTCTCCGGGCTGCCGGCAGAGATGCAGAAGCGGGGCGCGTCGAGTGCCGCCTGAACGGTGAAGCCGCGAAGCAGGTTGAGCAAGACCTGGACATGGCCTTGTGGCTGCGGGAAAGGACATCGATAAGCTCGCGCCATTGGGGGGCACAGACAGCAAGAACGCGTGAGCTTACCTGCATGAAGCCGCCCATTACGCCGTAGCTTAGAAACAGCTCGTCGCCGCGTAGAGCCATAGCGGGGATGATGGTATGGTACGGTCGCTTTCCGCCCTACGGTGAAGTGCAAGATTGAGATACGCGAGTCAGTCGCTTGCTGATGGTTCCGTACCTCGAGAGCATTAGGATGGCCGGGAGTTAGATAGAAGTTTGAGCCACGGTTCTGAAGCGTGAATCCGCATCCTTTTGGTACCGCTGTTGGCAGATGATCAAGACATGTATGTGTACGTGTCCTGAAAGGGCTTACCGCCAGTACCGAAACCTTTCGAATTGATGTGAGTCTTACAAGACAACGATAAACAAAGAGATCGCTTACCAGCGTAGTTGCTCTGGATGTAACTGCATGCGTTTCCCCATTGATCCGCGACTGTGAAGTAGACAGTGTCTGAAGAGTGTACAGGGTTGCCCTGAAATTGAAGAGCGTGGGTCAGGCTGGCGGTAAGAAACCATCATCGACAGACGTACATGGACAACCTTGGGGTTGGACCGGCTGGGGTCGATGAGCTTGGCACGCGACGCGAGATATTCCTAACCAAATCTTCAGTCACATGTGCCACAATGGTTCGATGACGCTAATCACCTTGCTCAGAAGCTGGTCGACAGGAATCTTGCCAAACGCAGGATCGGTCACATAGTACTGGGTATCTGCACCAATTTAGCATCAACTCGAGCAGAAATCCTTTAAGGATTGGCCGGGCCCACCTGCAAAGGCAAGTCTGATGTATACAACGTGAGCGGTCTACCTATGAGAAGACAACCGCCATAACCAACCTCATAGTCTCCACCAGAACGTGCAGATACTCTGCGGAGTTGTGTTCCATTTCAAGGAGCGAGCGAACTTTTCCTTGCTCCATGGCATTGTCCAAGATACCAAGGGCAATCAGGGCGGTGAGGCCCTGACCATTCGGAGGACACTACAATATATTGAGTCAGTGGTCTTGAGTCTCAAGAACCGACGGGCTTCCGCAACGAACCTCGTACACTGTCACCTCGCCGCTGAAGGTGTACTTAATCGGCTCAACGAAGTCTGTGTTGTGCTTCGCGAGATCCTCAAGCTCCATGACACCGCCTTTGCTTTTGATGAGATCTACGATGGCTTGAGCGACGCGACCCTTGTAGAAGCCATCCTTTCCGTGTGTGGCAACCTCGCGGAAGGTCTTAGCCAGGTTAGTGAGCTTCATATATTGTCCGGGAAGCGGTGCCTTCCCATCCAACAGCATCTCGTCTCCGTTCGGCGAGACCGTCTTCAGGAGTTGTTCTGAACGTTGATATGCGAAGCTATTGATCTCTGTGACCGGGAAACTGTCGCAAACTTGGATGAGTAAAACCCTCATCAAGATAACATGACAATAGAGCACCCTTCCTCCGCCAGTCTAATTGCTGGCTCCAGCACTTCAGCCAGAGACAGCTTGCCGCTGCCCAATTGTTCCACAGTATCGACCCAAGCAGCAGCACAGCCTGTGAAGGTTCGTAAGTCAGGAGCAGACGTGAGGCGATAGTAAGTATACTGATCTGACCTGGGACTGTTACGGAGTTGAGGTTGGTTCCAGGGATAGTGCTTCCGGTGATGCCTTGACCGCGAACATAGTCAATGGTTAAGTTAGCTGGTGACCGTCCAGAGCCATTGAATGCCTTGACAGTCTTGGTCTTTTCATCATAGAACAGGCAGAATGCATCGCTGCGGCGTAAGGATGTCAATTCTCATGCCATCAGCTTGATGGACAGTGAGACTTACCCCCCAATCCCACAACAACTCGGCTCAGTGACATTCAAGGCGGCGGATGTGGCGACGGCCGCATCCGCTAAGTATTGACATGATTAGGATGAACTTATCCTAGTCTAGATATCGTGGGGGCATCACCTGCATTTCCTCCCTTGCGGAGGATTTCCAGACCGGCTTCGACCGCTAACGGTTGCGATGCCGCTACAATCCCCTTGGCTCCGTATACGACGGATCTACGACTTGGAAAGGGCTGGAATACGACGTCAGGCCGCTCGACTCTGCTCCAATCGATCTGCATCTTCGTCTGTTGTGATCCTGTTATCTGAGCGTAAGGTTTGGCGGGCTTTGAGATTCTATGCGAATCCTGAAGGGCTCAGGGCACGGGTGAATGACTCGTCGCCTCCCACTGTCTGGATATATGCCGCCTCGTGGGAATGGTGGCCCTCGAGAGCATCCTGCTTAACCAGGCCGGCACGCTGTCTGTGCCGTGAATCGGGGGGGGAAGATAGCGTCAGAGCCACTCTCCCTGTCTCAGGATACCCAGAGAAAGGACGGAGTGCGTGTGTATCGCCGGAATGTGCCCCATCCGTACCGCGGAGACGGAGCTCTGCGGGTCTCCGAGATAGGCGAGAACATCTCACCCGGCGAGGAGGACGCTCAGTCGCAACACAACCACGTGACTTGACATCACCTCCCAGCTGCCGCTTCCGTATATGCTGGAAGAGTACCCGCGTTCTGCTGCGTTCTACCGCTACTTACTGCCAAAGAGAATATGCACAGCATGAGGGCGGAAGAACATGCCCGAAGTCGTACGTTTGATGCTCCTCTACAAATTTGGGACGCTTTCTCTGGCCGAGTGCGCATACGTTTTGGAATACACATAGCCCATGATGACACATGACTGCAGTGAGATTGTGGCAGGGAAGAGGACACTGACTTGCGCTGACGGATGAATATTCAACGCATAGCGAGGTGAATGTCAATATCGAGAATGAACCTACTACAACTTCCCGCATGGAAAGTGCAGGTATAAACGCAACGCACTTATTGCTTACTACTAGAAGCGTGCTTGTGCTTGACTAGTGACAGAAAGGCTCCAACTCGGCATTAGCTCTATCCGCAGGCAAATTATCAGTAAATAACGCGTACGCGGTTGCTATTAGTGGAAGTACTGAGCTTTGTTCACCGATTAGTCTCCGGAACTGGTCAACGTTATATATGACAACAACCCGAAGAGTTCAATAAGTAAGTATCTGCCCTTACAGTCGCAAGGTCCTCTCCCATAGTCAACTCTTCGCATTCCGCCGACAAGCAATGTGCGTACTCCGCCGACAGGCGAATCGCGGTGTGCTTCGGGCTCAGTATCAAATCAATGGAAGGATGAAATTGGAAGCCAGTTCATACATTTCTGGTAGTATGGAAGGGGCCGTGCACTCCTGCGAGTCTCGAAGGCACGTCGTAATCGCGTTGCTTGATACCCGGCTCTGCGCTCTGTATTTACCCGATGATCGCCGGAGGAATTGGTGTGTCCACAATCGTCTCGAAATACTTACTTATCTCCAACCACATACTTACCGGGACGCGTATGAAACCTGACAGTAAGTGGAGGGGCTTGAGATGGAGTTTATCTACATACTTCCTCCTTTACGGCCCAGACTCTCCAGACGCCCCATTGCTCCCGATCAGCGTCCCGAAACCGGTGAATCAATGAAATACACAAATCGACTTCAGCGTCAATTGAAACGTCCCTCTGGATCTGTTTTGTCATCCGACCGTAATTCCTGCTAATATTGCGAGCCTTCATCGGGATCTTGTTCTTGAGCCCCTCTTCCCCGAACGACAACCATGCCCAAGGCAGCCCCCTCAACGTCTACGGCAACGCGCTCGTCTGGAGCGCCCTTCCAAAGCGCGCAAGTATTACGCAGAAACCAGGTACGCCGCCTTCTTTCCCAGTAGATTCGGATCGATCATCTTGACCGACGTCGTGGCCGATCTCTGTTTCTAGGCTTGCCATCAGTGTCGACGGCGCAAGTTGGTGAGTTCAGCGGGTTTCTTATGCACAGGCCAATATGAGTTGATCGCCCACGTCTTTGTCTGCAGAAATGGTTGGTTCCTCGGCCAATGCCCGATGCCCGAGGCTGCTGAATACATGAGCGCTTTTTGTCTGCAGTGACGCCAAGCGCCCGTGCTCGACGTGCGTGCGCTCGCATGCTTACTCCGTCGCGCACGCGCCTCCCGGCACAGAGTTGCCGCCACACCCGGAGTGCACATTTGACGAAGGTGAGTATGTTACGCCAAACCACCTGATTGTCTGAAATGACCGGTTCAGATCCGCCAGTCTCCGAGTCAACAATTCCTGACTCCGAGGATTCTCCTAAGAACCGTTTCGAGCGGCTCGAGAACAAAATCAGTGGGTACGATATCTGTATGCCACACTGCCTGGTGCTCATGCATGCTGCAGATGAGTTGGAAGCTCTTCTCCGAGACAAAGATCAGTCTTCCCCCTCAGATGATAGCAGTCCAAGTCGCACCAGATCCGCGGCCAGCTCTTATGAGTCATCTTCCTTGATCATGAGCTACCCGGACAGCTTGAATATTGATCCCACTCTCAACGGTGCCGTCATCGACATGACTGATTTCTCAACCACTCCAGGGCTCGATGATCTTGCCGGTGTATCCGCCTTCGTAGGCACCCCTTTTCAGATGAGCTTCGACGACAACATCTCCCAGAACAATATGGCGCAGTCGCAGGAAAAGACCTACCCCAGACCGGAAGATTACGGCGAAATGCTCAATCCATCTTGGCCAAAGGGCCTGCCCAATCACTCCACCTTACGGTATCTGTAAGCCGATATTGTCGTTGCAGGCGGGAGCCATGGCTGACACGGAGCAGGGTCGAAGCATTTTTCACAAATACGCCACTTGCTGATCGCATGTTTCATTCCCGCACATTCCTTGCGTCTCTTGAGCTCCCATCGACGCATTCCAAGTTCCCACTGCCGGCAATATTGCATGCTATGTGTGCTCTGGGCAGCATGTATACAGCTTCCGCGGCTCCTTCATCCCATGGTTTGTCAACTGCTTGCTCTCAGACGTCACCTAACTGATTAGGTATAAGCTGATCTACTTAGTGTGAGTTTCGCTGAGTTACAGATTCAAGCCGCCAGGCTGGGACTAGAGTACTCGTTGCGTACCACCTCAAATTTATTTGGAGCACTTCAAGGTGAGCGTAGTGGTGTTGAGATCAATGCTCAATGAACGAAAGCTTAATCGGCCCCTTCACAGCGCAGGTCCTCGTAGCACTATGGTATTGGTATAACGCGAGGTGGTCTGAGGTGAGTACAACGATTGCGCTCGGTGTCTAGCCTCTGACTATCATCCAGGCGTGCGTTGCCTTCTCTATCTCGCTCCGTCTTGCCGTTCCCTGCGGTTTGAACGTATGCCCGCCATTTGAGAGCATCTCGAACTCGAACATGGCCCGCTCGTCAATCATTCCCGCCTCTAGTAACCCTTTGGAAGATGAGACCCGACGAAACACCTTCTGGATAGGTGAGCTGTCCTGTTAACCGTTTGGCGGCGTGGACATACTGACAGAAGCACATCAGCGTACATGATGGAACGTCATTTTGGGGCCATCAACAATTTCGCCATGTTTCTCGACGACGAAGATGTTTGCCAGATGCTTCCTGTGCGCGCCGAACAGTTTGAACAAGGCGTAAGCGGGCCATGGAAGCAATTCGCGACGTGGATCGTACTCATCTCTGCACAGATTCTGGTACCATCAGACAACCGTCAGTGGTCACACGAACCGGGCATCGTGCATGAGCATATGGACGAGCAGATTGACTCGTTTGGCCTCCATGTGAAGGCGTCAATGATTTTGTCAAAGGTGAGGCTCTTCAATAGCCGATACAAGATGCGGCGCCATCGGGGAGATCCTGCGTTGGAACCAGACCCCGCTGGCCTTCCCGGAATGCCCCGACCAGACCTCATTCAATCCACTCCTGCATTCGTCGAGATCGACAACTCGATCAAGTCTTTCCTTGCATCGCTCCCCTCACACCTCAAGGACCCGTTTGCTGACGGCGCTATCGACGTCTCGCTGCTCACTGCGATCTCTAGCGCTCACTTGTGCGTCACCTTGTTCGCCGTCAAGACTGCTCTCACAGATCCCTCATCACAGCGCTACCATCATACTCCACGAAGGACATGCTAACATCGGACGCCCAACTTGCATATCCTCCTGCAGAGTACTTACGGCGTCCCGTGCTATTTTGAACCTCTTGTACCGGGCCTACTCCACGAGCCACAATCTCGCGTTGACAGGAGTGTTCCCGATGGTTCGTCCGTATGATTGTGCTACTATGTGGACGTTTGCGATAACCTTCAAACTCTTCTGTAGGTCTGCTGGTTCGCCGCCGGCAGAGTTCTTGTCCGCTTCCTCCGGTCACCCATCGAAGCCAAGAGCGATGAACACATCACTGCCCTCCAGGCAGAGGTAGACTTTATCAGGTATATACTAAAGATGGTCCGAAGGCACCGGCTCCTCTGACCATACCAGCAGAGGCGTGATTTCCAGCATTGGAGAGAGCGTTCCTCATGCCAGTGCGTACCTTCCAACCTACTGCCGCACGAACCCCGGCCATAATATGAATTGCAGGGCAATATGGGAAGATGTTGAACGATTACCTCATCCAAACCTGTGGCAAGGAATACGCAAAGCCTGCCAGTGTCTGCCCTCCTCCACGTCCCAGTGGCGAGTCTCATCAGTCGGAAGGACATGGTTTCCAGGAAGACGATATGGAGGTGCCTCGACGTGTCTAAAGTTACAGGAGTATCATAATTCTGTTTTGCATTGCGGTCTAGATGCTCGCTCGTCAATGTATTTCATTCATGGTTACGTGAAGGGACCGGGGCCATCGACGACTATATGCCAGTCAATGACAGTGGTATCAACTCGCGTGGCTTTAGTTAGAGCCCCTGCCAATGCGACAGGTGTATATAGTAGGAGAATCATGCATCTCATCAGGCAGCGAGCCATGGGTTTCTCACACCCTGTAGGACGGCGAAGCCCCTAGTAGCAGGGTAATCGTGACCAGGACTGCCCGGAGGGCTCTATCCTATTGTACGGCCGTTGTACTTAATCTTATCACACGTTTTCTTCTGCCGTCCACGCCTGTCTGTCGCGACATAAAGTCCATCTCTGTACTACTGCGCAGCGCTGGTCGAATGCGACGCAACGAACAGACGACCGTGGTGTGGGAGACAATGTACCGGGCCGGTTCCGCACCGCGACTTTGGGCTGTAGCAGCACTCGGTGGCATCTAGCTTCCTTACACTAATCACGAAGTCTTGGCTTCCGCTCGGTCACACACCACTGCACTTGTACTCTGCTAACATCTTGAACACAATCTCCATGGGCGGGAACCAGTCTGTGCCGAAGATCACGAAGCAAGACCGCGCCATCCTTGAGTCAGTACATCGGGTGCCCCGCTTCATTTGCCAGAATGTAACCGTTCACAGCTTGAAATTGCAGCGCGATGAAGTACGAAAGTACCAAAAGAAGGTCGGAATGCATGTGGCATCCATATGACTGGGGAGCTGACCTGGGCATCAAAGATCCAAGTAGTATTGGACCGCGAGCATGAGATTGCCAAGCAACAACTAGCAGCGGGTAACAAGGATCGTGCGCTCAGCGCATTGCGGAGACGGAAGTATCAGGAAGGACTATTGGTCAAGACGGACGCTCAATTAGAGAACCTGGAGAAGCTGGTACGTCCCGGTCCATACCAATCTTGTATCTCTTTGGCTAAACATGGTTTCCTTCACTAGGTCTCGACTATCGAGTTCTCACTGGTCGAGGTTTCAGTATTACATGGCTTGCAGCAAGGCAACGTGGCTCTCAAGGAGATCCACAAGGAGCTGAACATAGAGAACGTCGAGCGGGTGCTGGAAGAGACACAGGAGGCCAGGGAGTACCAACGGGTAAGTCCCTTGGAACCATCATACACGCCTGTGATGCTCAGGTTGCGCTGCAGGAAATCGATGAGATGCTTGCCAACTCTCTAAGTCTAGAAGACGAGGAAGCAGTACAAGCAGAACTGCGGGAGCTACAGCTCGAGACGGTACGTTCCACACGCGACCTACGATCTCACTAGAGCTCTAAACTGCCTATGATAGCTCGGCGTGGAGGACGCAGCGCGACCAGTCCAGCTCCCTTCTGTACCAACCGAACGGCCGGTCAGTCCTGTCAAGGGTGAGTCATACTCGGCTTCCGCCTCGTCCCACATACTGATAGAGCGGCAGAACCAGAACCGCAGCCACAAGAACGGGGACGCGTGCCAGTCGCAGCATGATCTATATGTCACATACAACACACCACATGCCTTGTACGATACTAATACACCTGGATATAGAAGTACTCTACCAACCCTCGAAGTCGCCGAAGCCAATCCTTCGCTTTTTCTTACTCTCTTCCAGTGGTGCGGGCGAGGAGTTTGGAACAGCTTCAATGGGTCGCTTCGCATTCGTATTGAGATTCAGGTACTTCCCTACTCCACCGCCCACCGCACCCGCCGCCTTCTCGGTTCCCACCTTGACACCGAACCAATTGATGTCATCCTTGGCCGTTTCTTCGGCCTCTTTCGCCCGCGTAACCTGGGTTTCGGCCTTCCGCGCTCGTTTCTTCTCTTCCCGCCGTTTGTATTCCTCGAACGGGTCCTGATAGCTGAAACGCAGCGAAGCCTGAACAATGTGTGGTGGTAAACTTAGATACTACGACTTACATTACGACCTCGGTGATGCGGACCTGCTTCGCTGGTCGCTCCGTGCCGGGCTTCACAGGCAACCCTTCAAGCGCGTCGAGCACATCCTCACCACCGACAAGCTTGCCGAATACCGTATGCTTCTTGTCTAGATTTGGCGTTGCACGGAACGTGATGTAGAACTGCGAGCCATTTGTGGCCGGACCTTTGTTCGCCATCGCAACGATACCTCGACTATCGTGCTTGGCCGCGTTGCGGAGGTCGTACTCGTCACGGAATGGCGTGCCCCAACATGACTCGCCGCCAGAGCCTGTTCCTGTCGGGTCACCAGTCTGGACCTGCGTGGGAATCTACGTTTAGATCGTCGCCCGACGGAAGAATCATATACGCACCATGAAGCCAGGGACCAGTCGATGGAAGAGACAGTCGTTGTACTTCCCGGCTTTCGCCAGCTGCAGGAAGTTGTAACACGTTTTTGGAGCCTAGCGCGGGTTTGTTATCAATATGCGTCGGTCGTACGAAAAATGAGACGCACCTTCTCGCAGTAGAGCTCGATATTGAGACCCCCGCCGCCCAGGCTAGTGATGACACGAACATATGCACGTCGCTTGCCCACGTCCTTCTCCTTGCCCTTGCCTTTCGGTGGGTTCGCAAACTCGTCGAACATCAGTTCCTCCTCGTCCCAGAGTAATTGCGAGCTTTGTGTTTGCGGGTCGACGGAGGTGGAAGTGAGCGAGGCTCCGGGAAGGCCCGTGGAGTAAGGAGAGGCGTTCCCTATGAATGCGTTAGGAACTACTATAAGACGAAGTCTTACGACTGGAAGACTCACAGGGAGTGACCGCCTTAGCCTTCGCGAGAGGACCTCCAGGTGCAGGCTTCACCGCCATAGTTTTGCTTTTATCCGCCTTCTCAGCGCTCGGAGGCTGCATTGGTCTACTGGGTACAGATGCGGGAGGTAGTCCATGAGGATTTTGAAGGGTGATGACATCCTCCCTGAATGTACGTCAGTAGCATACCCGAGGTTGAGCAAAATCCTGGAGCTCACTTTTTGAACTTGACATCTGCTACGAGGTCACGCCCACCTTTGGTACTCTCCGCTAAGAACACGTTGCCTGTGGTGGCGATAGCAACAATGTGCGAGTGCTCGCTGAATGGCTTAAATGAGATGGGGTCATGAATCTCTCCCGAGGGTTTCCGAGCGTAGTGGAGGGTGATGAGGTCGGACGGCTGAAGAGGCTCCTGCGTTACAGGGTTGATGTTGTTGTGCTGCCTACAGCCATCCTGTTAGCCACTGTTACGATCGCTCATCAGCGTGATGGATACGCACTTAAGCCATGGTATGATACTGACTAGCTCGAACACGTTCCCAGTACCATCGGGATTCCGTGCACAGACAGGGTTGGTGAATGGCTGAAAGGTTAGCGCACAGCAGTCAAAAGGAGTGCGTGAGCCGGGGTGTGGAGCTTCCTGTTTACTGCGCAGGTTGATCAACGCCTGGCAAGGGTCGTGGACGTTGATAGTAGACTCACGCCTTGTGTCCAGCAGAGGAAGCGGTATGTTGCCCAAACATCCCGGAGTGCTCGGCATGCGTGACATAGAGCTTGTTTGAATTGCCGTGCCCCATGTTGGACCAGTGTGGACGCGAAAGTCTGGGGTAGGAATGTGTCGCAAAGAAGTGGTAGTGGACCAAAACAAGGCCTCGGAGTCGTTCTCGCGAGTTGCTGCTCGCGTTTCCAGTCACGTGTCCATACGTATGACGGGAATTTGTAGACGCGCGTGACCTCTAGCTTCTCCGACTCGTTCGGCTTACCCCTTGCCCTCGTACGGACCTGCGGCCAGCAATAGAACATATCTAGTGTGTGTCTATATCGTATAGTAGTGCGACGCTTCGCTAACACTGACTTGACAGCTCTGTCAAGCATCTTCGCATGCTCATCCGGACAGCGCGCCATGCTATCCCACCACCTATTGCCCTCGACTTTCTGATCCCGAACTCCATCCTACGTCGAACTCTATGCTACACTTCGTCTAAGTACTCTCAACGCCCATCTACGGAGGGCGTAATACAACGGGAATCCACACCTACCGTGTCTACTCTCCCCGCACGCAATATCACCCCCGGCACTGTTTTGACGCAGCTCGAGGAGGAACTCCACCCATTCGAGGCCCACCCTCTCGCGAAGGGCACGAATGCCCAGGTCAAAGCGTTCAACAAGATCATTCCGGAGCTTCGTGGCGCCTTCTTGAATAACAAAGTCGCCGACGTATCAAATCTGTGGTCCGCCCTCAAAGCACGGAACCTACTCGCTTTCTTCGGACCTGCCCACTACGACTCATGTTCAAATCACATCGCCGGGTACGTCAAGCGCAGGGCCCTCCAGCTCAGCGAGGAGGAGATATCGGTGCTACAGGAAATGGCGCTGGTGTCGGCTGCGGGTGGAGCCACATCCGGTCTGAAGGCACTCATGGTCTTCCGTATCAAGAGCGGACAACCACAGTCCGTCCTGGACCTGTATGGGGGTTACCTTGAACACCTACATAAACATAGTGTCACACAAGGCAACATTGAGGAGGAGCAAGCGGAAGAACTGGACCCCGACGAAGATTCCGCTTCTGACGAAGAAGCTACGTCCTTGCATTCTCCCCCTCCTTCGTCACTCAGTCGTATTCGCGAAGACATCCTTCTCTGCGCGGTCATCGCGCATGCTCAACTCGACACATTTAACGGAGCTGTGCGCATGTATCTAGAGGCTGCGACCCGCATCCACACTTCCACAATGGAGGAGATCCTCCATCGCATCCGTACCCTCCCTGATCTCCGAGCTAAGGTTGACGAGTGGGTTCAACGCCTGGAGACTGCTTCGCTTCTCTCTCGACCCGAAGCGTTGACGAAACATCTTCACAACGTGACAAATTCCTCCGCCTCCCGTACGCTCCAAAGGTTGTACGCACGTACAGTGTCAGGAGTCGGAGGGCCTGACCCTTGGCTGGCCTCGCGACCGGAAGACCTCTCTAATACACGCGTGGTGCTCCTCCCGTCCTTCTTCTGGTCATCGTTCCTGACGAGTTTCCTTGCCTGCAACCACGTCGAGCTCGCGGAACGGCTTTGGGATGACATGCTGCGCTTCGGCGTGGTGCCGGACGTTGTTGCCTGGAATGCGCTGCTGGATGGGTACGCGAAGCTGCGGATGGTCGACTCAGTCCTGAAGACTTGGGACGTGATGGCCTCGCAGAAGGTGCGGCCGGACGCATTGAGCTACCGTGCTGTCATCGAGGTACTCTTCTTGGCGGGTCGATACAAGGACGCTCTCACGCGTTTCGACGCGTTTCAGAAGGACCTTCCCAACTTTCGCGTTCCCCATGACCATTCCACCGTTCTAGCCGTCTACAACACCGTCTTGTATCAGCTGCTTTTCGTATCTCGGGAGCCTCAGGCCAAGGCTATCCTGGACCAGATGGAGAGCAAGGGCCCCAAACCAGACGTCGTCACTCTGAACACCTTCATACGGCATTACGGGCGAAAGGGGGACCTCAAGGCCGTTGCGCAGATCTTGCGGAAATTTCAGCCTGCCGAGCTGAAGCCCGACATCTACACGTTCTCCACCCTGCTTTCAGCCATGCTCAAAATCCGGCCAGACGCGGACCGGATTGTGATCAACCTCATGAAGAAGTACGGTGTCTCGCCCGACACGACGTCATTGACGGCCATCATGGACCGGCAGCTCCGTGAAGCGACCCCCGAGAATTTCAAGATCGCCATGGACCTGCTTGGGAAGATGGAACGTAACGAGTACGAAAACGCCGAGCCGAACGCGATCACATACACTTCCGTGCTCACTGCTATCAACCGGGGCGATTGGCTCGACCGAAAAGTCGTCGAGGAGCATAACAGGCGGATATGGGAGACGATGATGAGCAGAGGTGTCCGCCCGAGTCGGACTACGTACAACGTGCTACTCAAAGCATCGCTCAACGGACAGAAGCCGGAGGGAGTGAAGAACGCTATGGCGTACTACAGGGATATGGTGACGCGGCGGGTGCAGATGGGGAACGAGACGTGGTATATCCTTCTCCATGGGCTGATGGCAAGGAAGCAGTTTGCGCTGGCGCAGGAGATGGTGAAGGACATGCATCGCTTCAACCCCAAAATGCCGGGAGCGCTACGCACACTGGCGATGAAAATAATGCGACAGTCTGATAGTTGAAGCGAGCGGACGTACCTCTGATGTCACCGTACTAGTGCACGTTTCAACTAGCATTGTCTCGGAACATGCGTTCGCGACTCAAAGGCCTCGCTCGCCGAGAAAGAAGGACTTTCCGAGCCCGAGTCTGACGTATCGGGCGTAGGCTTGTGATTCGGTCAGATGAGATATGAGCGATGGGGTAAAGATGTGGGAGCGATAGCAGGGTTGTACGTACCCCAATAACTCCATCTCCTACCGAGCCATTTGCCCAGGTACGGGAGGAGGACTATTGAGAGGAGCTGCTGAAGCTGCTGGAGGCTCTCCTGCCACTCGAGTTCTGCAAGGCGGTCCTCCTCGTCCGAATCGTAAGAGTCGCCCGACGAGTTTGATATGGTGTCTAGAGACTGGACGGACTCGGGCATGGTCGTGGCGGGAGAGGAGGGTCGGAAAGCGGGAACGGGGATACGGCTCGTCGGCAAGGGCGCACCTGACCTCATGTGTCGTGCCGCTCGAGTTGTCGAGTGGAGAGCCACAGACACGCGACAACCGCCAGAGTCGCACCGGCCGCAAACCGTCCTCCGTCACCACCGCCAGCATCAGCCTGCGCTCGCCCTCTGGCTGATTCGCCCCTTCTTTAATTCAGACTGTCACTACCTGCCCCCAGACGACACACCTCTCTCTCCTTCTCTTCTCTGCAGATGCACCATGCCGCCAAGATCCCGCAGTCGCCTCGTGGGCCAGCCCTTACTGTATGCGATATCCGTCTTTGCTAGCTTGGGTGTCTTCCTGGTGAGTCTTCACACCAGAACATGCGTTCGCCACTGTTATCTCTCAGCCAATGCTGAACTTGCCTCCTCAAGTTTGGTTATGATCAAGGGTAAGCCTACCGTACTCCCGTGCCTCAATGCCTGTCTGAACCTGGGTCTCCCTGCCAGCGTCATGTCTGGCGTGATCACCGGCCCTTACTTCCGGAAGTTCTTCAACGAGCCTGATGCCATTCAGGTCGGGACCATGGTCGCCGTGCTGGAGATAGGAGCGTTCAGTAAGTCCGCACGACAGTTTGGTTTAGGCTGAGTTCTGATGTCGGCCGTGCAGTCACGTCTGTCGCTGCGGGACAGATTGGCGATAACATAGGCAGACGAGGCACGCTCTTCAGCGGAGCCGTCGTCTTTGCCATCGGCGGCGCTATCCAGACCTTCACTCCAGGCTTCTGGGTCATGGTCTTGGGTCGTATCATCTCGGGTTTCGGAGTCGGATTGCTCTCGTGAGTATGGCGAAGTGCTCGCGCTTTGCCTCCACGGCTAATGATATTTGGCCAGGACTATTGTCCCTATTTACCAGAGCGAGGTTTCCCCTCCAAACCACGTAGGTGCCTGAGCTGTATGGGAATGCCGAGATAGTCGCTGATGCGGTTCTTCCGCAGCGCGGCGCTCTCGCGTGTATGGAGTTCACCGGCAACATATTCGGTTACGCGTCTTCTGTGGTATGTCCTTCCAAACCCAATCTTGCGAAGCTCTCTCACCTGAGCGGCACATGTAGTGGATTGACTACTTCTGCTCTTACATTGACTCCGACCTCTCGTGGCGTATACCACTGTTCATTCAATGCGTCATTGGTGCGATCCTCGCGGCGGGCTCGCTTGTGATGCCGGAAAGTCCGCGGTATGTTTTCGTACTGGATCTGCTAGTTGCGCTTCTGACATGCTCTCAGGTGGCTAATTGATGTAGATCGGGACGAAGAGGGGATGAAAGTAATTGCCGACCTCCATGGCGGTGATCCCGAGGACCTCGTAGCCAAGGCCGAATTCCAGGAAATCAAAGATAGAGTCATCTTCGAGGTGAGTGACTAGGAAGGGACGTTACAGAGGTTAGGCACTGACAAGCCGAAAGCGTGAGAGTGGTGAAGGCCGGACGTACGCGAACATGTGGAAGCGGTACAAGAAGCGCGTACTACTTGCTATGTCATCTCAAGCCTTTGCTCAGCTAGTAAGTGGACTGGTTCATGTTCGCCATCGTGTGACTGAAAGCTGCTGTTTCAGAATGGCATCAATGGTAAGACCGAGTTCTTGCATCCCTTCGTGACATGCTAATGCATAAGTTTCTTACAGTCATCTCATACTATGCCCGTAAGTGATGCATATATGTTTATAAGAATGGCTGTAGAATAACAATCGCTCTTTCGATAGCACGAGTGTTCGAAGGTCGGATATTTTCACTATTAAACCCCGAATAAGTCTAATGCAGGACACTACAGAGGCCGGATGGATTGGACGAGATGCTATTCTCATGACTGGAATCAACGCGATCATATATATTCTGAGCACGCTTCCTCCGTGTGTGCCTCCTTCGATATTCAATTGTGTCATAATGAACTTAGGTCATCCCTTAGGTGGATCCTAGTTGACCGTTGGGGACGCCGTGTTATCCTCCTGAGCGGTGCTGTCGTCGTATGTCGCAACAGCTGATGAATATTCCGCTGGTCTGACTATTTGATGTTAGATGGCCATATCGCTTGGCTTTACCGGATGGTGGATGTACATTGACGTGCCTGAGACGCCTCAAGCCGTCGTTGTATGCGTTATCATCTTCAATGCTGCCTTCGGATACAGCTGGGGACCTATCCCTTGGCTCTACCCTCCTGAGGTTTGTCCCAGAGACCGTTCCGGAATTCGTTTACTGATTCCCGGACGTACAGATCATGCCTTTGACGGTCCGCGCAAAGGGTGTTTCTTTATCAACGGCCACGAACTGGGCATTCAACTTCCTTGTAGGGGAGATGACTCCGTACCTGCAAGAAGCGATCGAATGGAGATTGTATCCTATGCATGGCTTCTTCTGTGTCTGCAGCTTCGTTCTCGGTGAGTTCGCCTATTGTTCATCTGGAATGCGGTCTAACGATGCGTTTGATAGTGTACTTCTGTGCGTTTTGGCCCGCATTGTTTGCTGTTCGCGTACTAACATCCCGATAGTGTACCCTGAGACGAAGGGTGTCCCGCTGGAGGAGATGGACGCAGTCTTCGGTGAAGGTAAGTACATGCTACGTTGACCGAACCTGCCTTGTCTCACGATCCCTCAGAGGAGCTCGAGGAACGCCTAGAAGACGAGGCATCGGAACGTGGATCTCTGCTGTCTCAACGGTCCAGCCGGTCTCGCCGAAGCCACACGCGGACTCCAAGCCACGGGCTGGTGAGCCGCCTATTGGGCCGCAAAGGAAGGGCAAATTATCAGCCCATAGAAGACAGCGACGAATAGGAACTCGCGAGGATGAACAGCAGTGTAGTCGAGGGCGATCATCCCGACGTGTTGCCTCGGCGTCCGACGCCCATCGTCCACTCGGACGAGAGCGACGACGATTGACCGAGGTGATCGTGTGCAGGGCGAGACAGGATGACCGCCAAGTGGTAATGTATTTGGTAGTTAGACTGTCTTCTTCACTACCACTGTCCATCCTCACCCATACAGTCTAGACAGCTGCTACCGTAGCTACTACCACACTAATCCGTCCTGTACCAGACCCCTGCCCCACACCATCTGCTATCCCTTCCACACTGCACTGTATTGTATGCTTGTCAAGTAGTCGCTCTCGATGCTAACTACCCAACTTCGAATGTTCATTTTCCTGCCTCGATCCAATCATGCTGGGACGCGTGCAAGACCGTAACCCGGGAGAATATATTGTTTTAAGGTTTAGCGAGACGGGCGCTCCCGGACAGCGAGTGCTTGCCAGACATGAAGCGCAGAAACCATGCCACTTCTGTTTCCTTCCATCCCAACGACCTGGGCACGGCTCTCGGCTCGAGCATCTCTCCCTAGGGCTCGACCGCCACGACCTCTACACACGCGAACCGCTCCTAAAGGATCTCGAGAGGATGTCTCAAGTCCTCTCGCCTCGGAGGCGCTCGATTTCGAGCAGCTAAGCCTCCAAAGAGACATTGTAAAGGCAATGCAAATCGCCTTCCCGTCCGTGAAGCAGCCTACGCCCGTCCAACGCAGGCTCATCCATGCGGTACTCAGCGGGAAGGACGTGTTGCTCAAAGACAAGACTGGAAGCGGGAAGTGCGTGGCCGTGTTTCAACTCGCTACGTGCACATGCTGACTGCTGCGACTTGCCAGGTCTTTCGCTCTGCTTATTGCCCTACTCAGCCAAATGAGTGGTTCAGCCCACAACGAGCGTTCCGGGAGTGGAGCGAAAGCGTCTTCAATTAACTCCCTTCTCCTCGTACCGCACAGGGACCTTGCATACCAGTTCTTCTACTGGATCGAATGCATACACCGGTTCATGACGCTAAAGCAGCCGCTGGCCTCCATTGCGCAAATTCTGGTCCGGGACTCCTCCGCGCCGCTCAGGGAGCATCTTGCTCCCATACAGCAAACCCCTCCGCAAATCCTCATCGGCACGCCCCAAGCCGTCCTCGAAGCCGTCGAGGCCGACCCGCACGCGCTCCCTCTCGACGGGCTGTCCACTGTCGTCGTCGACGAGGCGGACTACCTCATCGAAAGTGTGCCCATGCTCCGCGACAAATACGCCATGAAGAAAATGGCGAAGAAGATCGAGCGTCACCCGGGGCCCACGCGTCTCCTTTTGAACCACATATACGGCGCTCTGAGCGAGGATTGGGAAGGCCGGCCACGGACAAGGGAAAAGCAACTTGATCGCAGGCGAAGTCAGACGACACGGAAGGCGCCGCAACTCGTCATGATGAGCGCGACGTTGAGGAATCACCTGAGGCGATTCCTGCTCGCGGACAGCGGCTGGTTCACGAAGGGGCATGGGACGCTGGTGAAGATCACCGGCGACCCTTCGGCCTACTATCCCAAGGAAGTGGAGGACTCTGCTATAGAAGACAAGGCTGAGTCTACGGTCGGCGGAACGGACGTTAAGCATCATGTTCTGGTCATTGACTCATCGGGCCACGCTCACAACATCGAGGGAGCTGTCAGTGCTTCCCCGGAGCAGGCTTCAACGGCGCTATTCAAGGAGCCCCTCGAGCAATCTCAAACGCCTGAGACACCTGAGGACATTGCCCTTCGCGAAGCACTCGATGAGGGCGGAATACTTGGTGAGCATAGTGCTCCGGACAAATTCTTGCGAGAATCTAACTTGAGTCGCCATCTTGGCAGATGCTTCCAATTACTATGCGCTTGAGGCCGTCGCGGTGGCCTTCGGGGTGGACGTTCCGAAATTGGCACTACTTGTTTTGCCTTCGAATGCCCCTGTCCAGCAGAGGGTGGACGTGTTGCGGGCTTTTGGGATCAACGCTCACCCATTGGACGTCATCAAGGACGGGAACGGGAGATCGCACTTGATGCAACAGAATTTCGACGCCACCGATGAGACTCCGACGTTGCTCGTGTCCACGCTCGCATCGACGCGGGGTCTGGATCTCCCGCAACTCTCGCACGTCTTCATTCTCGGCATCCTCGACGGCGGCGTGGACTCGTATCTCCACGTCGCGGGGCGTGTCGGGCGGTTCGGACGGGGCGGGAGGGTGATCAGCGTGTTGTCAGAACGGCACGAGGTCGTTGCGAAGGACGGCAAAGTGAGCGCGAGAGACGAGCCCCGGATGATGGCTGCCATGCTGGAGAGGATGGGCATCACTCCGGTCAAGTATGAGGACGTCGACTAGGCATAGGAGGCAGTACGAATATATGGTAGTTACAGCATGGGGCGCCACAAAGCATCTGCGCGCGCTTGCATTTGTGTTTCCGCTCACCGCTGCGTCGCGCAATTTGTCCGCCGGGCTTCTGAGAGTGAGTGCTCGCGCGTGGGATATGGTGGCTGCTCGGCTCGATAAGACGTGTGACCGTGTCGTCTACAAAGGGGATGCGTTTCTTTAATGACGTAGTGGAAGCCTGTATCAGTAGAGATGTAAGCCCGATACTTATCAGGCATGTTTAGGTTAGACGGGGGCGGGCGTCGGGCGGGGTATGGCGGGGCGCTCCTCACAAACCTTCATGCGGCATTCTGGAAGCGGATGCCCTGGAGACTGAGTGTGTCCATCTGCTGGGTAAGTACATAGTCGTATCGTGCTTGGCTCTGTAAGTCATCTGCAGCGCTCTGTTGGGCCGCACACGAAGTGGAGCATCTGCACAAGCTAGGCTGACACGTGGGTCTGGATACATCGCAGCCGCTATCTCGAACCCTCGGGAGCGGGCTGCATCCACGACCGCCGTGACCGGGGCACAGAGCCCGCGTCGGATTCGGACGCAGCGCCCCCAGCGGCTGGCTCTAGTGCACTCTTCCATCGTACTCGGTCCGATTTATCTATCCTTCTCCTCCCGTCCCTTTCCTTCCCTCCCTCTCCTCTCCTCTCCTCTCCTCTACCCCCACCTCCTCCTACGGGGCCCGCCATGCCTGTCTCTCGTCCCCGTCCATGGTCGGCCATCCTCTGGCCTTGTCTCGTCTGCCTCCTCTTCCTGGTCGCATCGGTTTCTGCTCAGTCGTCTGCAAACAACACGGCTTCTAGCAATTCCCAGTCCTCCACGCAATCTCCTTCGCTTTCTCTCACGACCGGCTCTACGACTATCACGACCACCGTACACTCGGGCAACACGAATGTGCCTGTGGCCACGGTTGTCCCCACCACGTTCAACGTAACGGTGACCCCAAGCCCGACCTCGTCGCAGTCCACCACCACTGCTCCCGCGCAGACCACTTCCGCCGCTCCTGACTTTACCAAGCTCGATACCCATCTTGATCCCGGGTTCGGTGTTCTTGGTGCGATCCTCATCCTCACTGGTCTCCCTAGCGCATTCCTCGGCTATAAAAACCGATGGTCGTCCTTCTTCCTCATCGGTTTCTACACCCTGTCGGTCGTATGCTTCGTCCTCATCCTCCGTTTTGGAGTTCTCCAAGCCGTCAACCCCCCTAACGCGACATTGCGCGGCCTCTTCGTACTCTCCTCCGTTGTCGCTGGCATAGCGGGCGGAGGAATTGCCATTTTCTTTTGGAAGGCCGCCAAGTACTTCACTGGCGCGTGGGGTGGCTTCGCGCTTGCCTTGTGGATTCAATGCTTCCGCAATGGCGGCGTCATTCACCCGCTTGGTTTCAGGTGGATCATGTATATCGGTAAGCGATTCTCGTGCCCTCGGCGCCCAGACGATCCAGACTGAATGGTATGGTTACTGTCTGCAGTCGTGTCCGTGATCGGCTTCGTGCTCTGCACCATCCCGAAGCTGCATTACTACATTATGCTCACGTCGACGGCGTTTGTTGGAGCGACGGCCTTCATGCTAGGCGTGGATTGCTTCACGACTGCCGGCCTTAAGGAGGTATGCGGCCTATTTATACCATGAGTGTGCCAATATGTCATCCGCTAACCTTGTGTCCGCATGGCCAGTTCTATGTGTGGAATATCGGCTTCGATTCGCTCTTCACCAAGTACACCCAGCATGGAATCCAGTTCCCTGTCACACAGATCATGGAAATCGAGCTGGGTATGATGGGTGCCGTCGCCATCATGGGCATCGCGGTGCAATTCCAGATCCTCAAGATCCTCATGCGCAAGATGAAGGAAATAGAGATGGAGCGCAAGCGACAGGACCTGCAGGCGGAAGCTCGGGCGGCGGAGCGCTTCAAGGACCTCGAGGCGGAGATGAGCGAGTGGGAGCGCACGCACCCGTCGTCGCTTGCCAAGCATGGCCGCGCAGACAGCAACTTCTCCGGCTTGCCCCTCCTCGGTAAAGACGGGGCTCTCCTCGATTCTCCCTCAGGAACGCCTCGGCCACGCTACCAGTCCGGGCTGTCCGAGTTCATGGCAGCCCCCACCCCGGCTGAGGAGCTCAACCGTGCGGCGAGGCAGCAACCGCAGAGCACCGGTATCCTCCCTACCCTAGACCTGGGCGATGACATCGAGGCGAACGTACCCGAGACGTTTATTGTGAAAAAGGCCGACTCGAATGATTCGAGGCAGTCCAGGGCGCTCACTCCGGGAGAACTAGATGACCTCAGGCGGCGAGAAGAACTCTTGTCCGAGATCCAGGGCATTCGTCGGTCCATTGAGATCTTGAGAGCAGACACTCCGGTTCCTATCCCCTCCAGCTCGTCGGAGTCGCGTCACCCTTCGCAGTCGTCTCGGCATCTCAGCCAGGATCTCTCCGCCTTCGGTATCCCTGCTCCCGCCCATCTTCGCCCACCCCGCCAACGCGATCCTCGCGCCCGTGTGCAGTCGATGGAGCTCACGACCCTGTCCAATGCTGACGCTGGTACCTCTATCGGTCGGCCGACTAGCGCTCCTCTTCGCGACGACAACTGGGAGATGTACCTGCACGAGCGGAAGCTCTTCCAGCCGCCCTCCGGTACTACCGCGCCTATCGCTACGACGCCCATGGCCTCTCCTCCGCCCAAGGTCCCCGTGTCGCCTGCTGTCGTAGAGGCCCTGAAGGAGCGTCAGCGACGCGAGAGTGCGCTCTCTGGTCAAGGTGATCCCGCCTCAGCCAAAGCCTCCAGCGAAGACCTCCCGCTCGCTCTTCGTCCCCAGCACAGGAGGGCTACGTCTCAAGGCGGGAGCATCCCGGTCACTATCCTCCCCCCTAAACGCCCGGTTGCACAGCCCGCCCCGAAGAGCCCGGAGTCACCGGCCGCCCGGGTGAAGACGTTTGAGGAACTCGTGGAACGCCACCAAAAGAAGCTGCGGGAGCTACAGGACCCCATCACGCAGGCGGAAAAGGAGCAGGCGGACATCTCCAACGCCCGCGACCGATGGCAGCGAGCGAAGAACGCGGAGAAGCAGTCGATGGCCAAGCGTCAGGCGGAGAAGGAGCAGGCGGCGAAGAAGGAGCGCAAGTCGGGCGAGGGACGGCGCGGCGGCGCGGCTCTCGCTTCGCCGGATAAGGACAAGGGGCACAGGCGGTCGCTCAGCGCGGACGTCCTCGCCAACGTCCCTGGATCGGGCACGCCGTCGAAGCGCATGTCGACGATGAAGGTGGAGGACTGGCAGCGGCACCAGCTCGACGAGGACGCTGTTCCTGCGAGGCCGCTCGCGGGCGCGCACAACCGCCCGGGCTCGTCGTCGATGGCGAGGCGGCAGTCTGGCGTCCCGTTCCCCGAGGCCGAGCGGGACAGGCGGCGGATGTCGCAGCACCCCCGCGACCCGCTCAGCTGAACGGCGACGAGAATGTTAAATACGACGTCCGTGCACGGACACGAGTGATATCTGGATAACCCTACTGGAGTAATGTGTACCATTCAACGACGACGATGACCCTACGCTTGGACTGTACCCCTGCGCTCCTTACTTATATCCCGAGTAGTTACTGGCATGCCCCTTGCATTTTGTCTCATGTTTCCCATCAGCATATTCCGCTCGCAGTAGTCAGTAGCTTCGCGTGCACCATTGGACACTCATTTTGGACCGGACTTGGACTAGCGTACACCTCTCATGTTGCAATGATAATACCCTGTCGTCGTTTGTGGGCCCCACCCCCCCAGTACCCGCTCGCATGGACGCGTATCTGAGACAGGAGTGACAGATGAGCTGCGCCGCAAGTACGACTGGCCCCCGCCCTAGTATTATTGTGTGCGTGCGAGATAAGCTTTTACATTTGGAGCTAGTGGCGTGACCGCGGCGATGATGTCGAGCAGTGCCCAATAACGTGCGTTCGATCAATGCAGCACTAGTACGCGTCTGGGGGTAGATGGTGGGAGCTTTGGGGAAGCGAATCCGGGGTAGACTGGGCACTGCAGCCACCCAACTGGCTCGTTAGCCTGCGGCACTTGCGCAACGCTCCCAGCGAGTCTAGCCTCGTCCCTGTCGAAAGCCGACGGCGAGCGTATATCAGGTCCAGAACCACTGGGCACGTCCAGCTCTCTCCCCACTTCCTACTCAATTCCTACTTCACCCGGTCCTCGTCGGGTACTTAACCAACCCGCACCTCTCGTTCTGTAACTACCCACGACACCATAGCGACACCATGTCTGTTCCACGCTCACACTCTGTGCCTCACTTCACTTCTGCCAGCCTCCGGCGCACCAAAATATCCAGCGGCGTGCCCGCTACCGACGACGCCGACATCCATGCCCGTGCAAAATTGCCTCGGCACCGTAGTACCGCGGCCATTGCGTCGACCAAGCACTGGGCGTCGGTCTACACTCCTCGCGTTGAGAAGGAGGACCCGTTCAGCCTTTCCGGCTTCTTCCCTGCAAACTTCACTGCCCTAGAACACTCCGGCGCAGAGCAAGAGTGGGACTGGCTGCGCGCCTCCTCAGGCGACGTGGATGAGTCCGGACTTGTCTCGCCTGTCACCGAGAGCGAGGACGAGTGGAACCTTCCGACACCTTGTTCGGAGGACGCGGTGGACGCGTTCGCGAACGAAGCCATCGAACGCGAGGACAAGCTAGGGATTCTGGCGTTGAGCAGTGGTATGTCATTTCGCCTGACTGTTTTACAATTATGCTCACATCCGGCGTCCCTTGCGGTGTGCTTCCCGCTCTAGACTCGTTCCTGCCGTCGCGCGGTGACGAACTCTATGTCGAGTCGGAGGAACATATCCTGTTATCGCCCTTCACGCGGACAGGTGACCCATTGGATGCTGATGCTGTCGTCGATGCTCTTCGAGCGCTGCGTACGGCATACAGTCTTCCGTCTGGATCAGCTGTCAAGCACGAATCCGCGGCCCTGCATGAGCTGTTTTCTCCAGAGAAGGAGTCAGACGATAAGGTGAAGGTCGAGGCGGGGGGCTGGGGAGCGCTTGTCTCGTGGGGCGTGAGTAGAGTGGAGGACTATTTTTCGCCGGCGGTCAGCGATTAGCTTTCTTTTCTTTGTCTCTGGGGTTGTACTTTCTCGGCGTGCACAATGTATGTTCATGTCGAGTAGAGCGCGGCGTTTGTGTGTTTCGTGAGATAGAATGGCATGTGGCTGCGACTGCAAACCAGGGTGGACGAGGGGCATGCCGAGCATGCCGAGGGACCCCGGGACCGCGAATTCTTTTTGGGAAGTTCACGGGGTCGTAAACGGGAGCTTTATAACCGACGCGCGTGGGTAAAAATCGGGTTTCTTCCCACTCCCACAGTGAGCCGTTTCCCACAGCTCAGCTGAGAGTGCTCAAGTTACAGCCCACCATGCGCACTATAATGCCGTTCGCCTCTAACCCCCTCCACCTCCAGATGTCGCCTACGCAGACTACGGAGGCTCGCGAGCACATGCCAACAAGTCTCAACCCCCAGGAGCTGTCGCGCTCTGCGTCTCCCCAACAATCCAATCTCAGCCTCCTAGTGAGTATCCGTATATGTACATGCACATCCTTCGCGCCTGACAGCGTTTTAGGTGTCTAACGGCCATGCTGCTCTCCGCTCACCCCCCGCGGGTGTAGCACACTCTTCTATACCCCCCAGTCACCAACCGCCACCGTCGTCGGAGCCATCTGTTTCCATCCAGTCTATCCTCTCGAATCCCGCACCTCCTGTACTGCCTCCCAATGGCCAGCCCCCTCCTTGGAGCGTCTCGAACGCGTCTTCGCGCGATACTAGCCATGCCATCGCCGGTCCTTCGTCGAGCTCGGGCGCTCCGCAGGTCAGTCTCTCCGCAAATGCCCGCGTTGCCATACTTAGCCGTGTCGCAACCAGCGTACCTCTACCAAGCGGAAGCTTGAGCCTCCAGATGCCGCCGACCCGCACAACAAAATCAGACGCGTCGTACGCGACCATATCACGCAGGACCCCGCACGCGTAATGCCTATGACTACCGTGATCTGTCTGCACGCAGCTGTCGCGCAGAAGTCCTACGGGAGCGAAAAGCGATTCTTGTGTCCCCCGCCCGTCGTGCATATCGAAGGGCCGGTTTGGCAGATGAAGCATCAACACCTTTCTATGGCTGTCGTAAACGAAGGAGGCGAGCGCACGTGCGAGCTCAAAGCACCCATGGACCACGCGCTCACTGCTAGCTTCAAGTTCCTGCACGTTACTGGCTCTGCGAAGAGCAAGAGCTTTCAGCTATCTCTCGACATCGCCGAGCCGTCCCCTAGCGCACCAGATGGCGGTGAGGCCACTGGCAACGAAAGGGTATGGGCGTCGTTCGATTCGGCGCCCGTCACCATCATCTCAAAGCCCTCAAAGAAGACCGCGAAGACGCGCAACATCTCATCATGTATACTGGCTGGTGGACCTGTGTCGCTCTTCAACCGGATCAATTCGCAGACTGTACGCACCAAATATATGACCATTGAGCACAACCAGCTGTGTGCAAGTAACATTGCCTGGTCCGCGTTCGCTGTAAACGTCGTGCGTTCTCAGGGTAGCGAGAATCCACTTGGTGCGTCGCACACTACAATTGTCCCTCGAGATGCTGGCTCAACGGCTGTTTAGGGGGTCCGCAACCGGTCACATACGGCAGTGAGATCGTCCTTGCGGATACTGTCACGGGAGTGCAGACTGCGCCTTTGATCATCCGGAAGGTAGACAAAGGCCGTATAGTCCCCGATGACGGCGGGCCCGTCAGTCAAATGCAGAAGATCGCGCTTCAGCGCGTTAACGGAGACGGGACGCGACATTACCTCTCCGCAGCGGGTCCAATACCCGGCACGCCCGGTGTGACCGTGCCGCCCGCGCCTGGTCTGTCAAATCAGGCGGGGACTCACCCACTGCTGTTCCAGAGTCCTAGGATACGTGAGGAGATGAAGGATGGCGCCCGAGTCATCACCGATGAGGTTGACGACTATCTCTGCTGGACTATTGTTGGCATTTGTAAGTAGCGTCGAACAAATCTCACGGCAACTGACGCTTAGCGACCAACAGCCAAGTTCCAGTATACCTTCTTCGACGCGTTTGGTTTGAACAACAGCGTCCCCGAAATGCCCATCACTCCCTTTCCCACCCTATTCAACACTCCTGTATACCGCTCGCAGAGCAACACTCTAGAAATGATGGCAGCCAACTTCTTCTACATGGACCCCAAGACCAAGACTCAGATGCCTCTTGACGTCTACATTGGCAACATTGGCCCTCTACGGTTACGAGTCTACAATCACTCTCCTCTCACCATGGATGGACGCTTCGACCCTGCTATGCCATTCATCCCAGTTCCACCTCTGCCCAACCAACCCCCCGGAGTTCCTGTCGTGGCTTCTGATATCCAGTCACGCGACAACAAGCCTGCAGACGTCGTGCTCAGCCTTCCTGCGCGCCATCTACACATGATGATTGTCGCCGAGATGCCACCTATGCCTGATATCCTGAAAGCACTGCGCGAAGATGCTCTCCCACCCGCGGCCGATGTGGCGGACAAGTCTCAGGACGCGTCTGGCAGCCGTGGGAGCAACCTCATGCGGGACATCGCGGGTCGCAGTTTGCCCTTGCTGTTCATACGGTCATATGACGGCGTGGGATATCACTCCGGTCGCGTTGTCGCCGCAGACAATGTCCTCCACGCTATGGACCTCTCCAACCCAGCAAGACCAGGCGCGGAAGGTGGAGATTGGCTGGCAGCTGCTCAGGCGGCTGCGAGGCTGTCCGACGACACCAGCATGCACGGGTGGAACCTGAAGGTGTTGTAGGTTGGTCGCTGCGACCTATCCGAGTGGGCGCGCGTCTGAGGAATGCGGCTATGCAAAGGATAATGTACAATATAACTCGGCGCTGGGTTGTTGTCGTCGTCTCGCTTCGTCTTGCTTTGCCCGTTGCTTGCTTGTTTCACTCGCTCTCTAGTTATTTTGATCCAATGTACCTGTATAATCGCGAGGCTATCTATAGTGCCGTCATTATGCCTTTAGCTGCAGCGCGCGCGTCGGCGACAGTCAGCATGAACATAGCCAAGCGAAGTGGTTTGACCACAGTCATCGAAGTGTGAAAAGTCACAACATGATCGTACTTACTGGGGGAGCAGGTGTCCACGATGTGCAAATGCGTCTGGCGGATGAAGCTGTGGTATGATATTGACCTAGATGCGCCACGACTGTTCCGCGACTGCGACGCGTCTAAGTACCGCCATGGTCTCGAGAAGCATGCTCACTGAGACCAATCAGCGCGCGTCTGACGCCAAAAGCTACCGTTGTATAATACGGGTATGGCTTTGCCCTCCGCTGTCAGATTCCCTCCTCCCGAGGCCGACGGCAGCCTCTCGCATTACCAGTCTGGCAGCCTACCACGCCTGAGGCCCTCGACCTCGCGCACCGGCATGGCCTCGACAACGGCGCGCGCCCGGGACGACGCCCGCGGACGCTACTCACACATCAGCACAGACTCCTTCAGCGATGAGTTCTACTACACATCAAGGCGCGGCGGCCGGTGGGCGGCGCTCAGTACCATCCCTTCGGGTGTGTACAAGATGAGCGTGGTGAAGTTTGGGAGGAGAAGGGGGCCTGCGCTGCTGTGCTTCTGCTGCTTGGCTCTGCTGCTGTCGACGTTCGCGCTGCACCAGCGGCTCGTGTCGGACGACAAGGCGTGGCCGGTCCCATGGGGAAAGTCGAAGTCGGTGGTGTTTGATAGAGAGCAGCTGAGGAGGATATGGGACTGGGAGATTCGGTCGGGGCACTACCCCAGCACGCGTCCGAGTGGGTCTTCCGTTCGCTCACTGTCTATTGTCTGTCCGTGTGACGGCGAGCATGTACTGACAACGAGTGCGCTCCGGTAGTTCCGGTCGAGATGGCTTTCACAGCACCGCCCAAGAACCCCGCGCTGCCTGCGAGCGTGAGTCTCAAGCCGCCTGCCTTCCGAGAGGGGAGCGTCGTGCAGTATACTATTGGCACAGGCGCAGAGCGTATATACCCCGAGGTGCGGAATAGACCACCAGACCCTTGGCATCCTCCGCGACCTATACCCGGCAGTATCGCAGACTTGGACAAGATTCTAGAGCAGTGTGATTTCAGTGCGGGCAAGGTATGTACCCCTAACCATCATTCGGGCGAATCTTCCTTACCCGCGATCCAGTATGTACGTGATTGCCACGAGTTCCTACGACTGGGCGCCGGTTTGGATGGCGCCGCCCGATTACGACGAGAAGAGGTTGGGTCTCTGCGATATGTATATGTTATTGACGGCGAAGGGGACCACATATCGGGGCGTAGCCTGGAGGCTGCCAACGACGCGAACTCGACCACACACAAAATCCGTGACTCGGCTGATTGGGAGCACGACCTCCCGCTCCCTCCCCTCTCACAACACAACCCCGGCCGCCAGGCGTCGTCATGCAAAGAAGACGACCCGCGGATATTCCACATGTTCTGGGCCGGACCTTTCACCGACAAGCCCTACATGGCGATGCTGGCCTTCCTCTTCACCCAGAACACAGGTCTCCACCTCGAGAGCATCGCATCCGACTCCTCCTTCTGCCGCCCGCAGCTCTGGCTGTGGGTGAGCCGTGGGCCTGCAGACGCCCTCCCGGACCCGCACGCGCGGGAGGACATGATGGAGGAGCTCCGGCAGAACGCGTGGTCAGCGCCGTTCCTCCACCCGCGGTTCAGGGACGTCATCCAGTTCAGGCTGTGGAACACGACGGAGCAGCTGGACAGCATACCCGAGCTCAAGGACGAATGGCGCCAGCTGGGCAGCCGGTTCCTGTTCAGCGAGGGCAAGGCTCCGAAGGAAGATGCAGCGAAGAAGGTCGGGTCGGAGGTGTCGCTGGACGGGACGTCGAAGGAGGACTTCAGGACGTACAACAAGATGCCCGTCATCTTGTCGGACCTCGTGCGCTTCGTGCTGTGCCATCGCTTCGGCGGCGTGTACCTCGACGTCGACATGCTCTTCCTCCGCGACTGGGAGGAGCTCTGGGGCTGGAGCGGCTCGTTCTCGTACCGGTGGTCGCACGAGGACCGGTACAATACGGCCGTCCTCCGATTGCGCAAGGGCTCCGCGCTGGGGACGTTCTTGCTGAGGACTGCTCTGCACAACGGGATGGACTTCCACCCGACGACGGTGTCGCGGTATCTCAAGGAGGCGCACATGGAGAAGCTGCTCTACCGCGTGCCAGATGCACTCTTTGACCCCGCATGGCTCAACACGGATAACCAAACGCCATACCCCTGGAAGAAGATCTACCTTCAACGCGATCGCCCAGCGCAACCGTTCTTCACCGAGTATGCGATCTAGCTTGTCGCCGTCGCGATACGGGACTGACCGGGATATTGCAGCTTTGACCAATTCTTCAACACGCCGCCTGAAATGGGTGCTACCCCGGCAGTGATTGGCTTTGATGGCTTCTTCCGTGGTGCATTCTTGTATCACTACCACAACGAATGGTGAGGTTCCCGTGCCCAGTCCGATACTGCGAACGCAGCGCTGACCATATGCGCGCTTGCAGGTGGAAGCCGTTCGATCGAGCTCGATTCTGGCCCGATCTCGGCCCGAGGTTTGCAGACGCGGAGCGCATGGGCAAGGAGGCGATCGCGAACAAGAGCGCGTCTTACGTCGAGGGCCTGGTCAAGAACGACAAGCGCGATCTGGACTGGGCGACTGTGCTGAAGCGCACATTCGAGGCGTACATCCGGGGAGAGAGGCCGAACATGTACGGAGAGTATATTCGGTGGTGAGCGACTGGTCACCCAAAATGCGCTTGCTGTACGCGCCGTCGTCGGTCGCGATGTTTATCAACGTAGAGCATAATTAATGAGCATGTACTTATTTTGCCTGCGGCCTGCATAGGATATGGACTTTTTGACTGTTGCTGCACCACAGCTTGTTGGCATGAGAAATGCTATGATCTTGCTTGGATACACGTTGGCATACTTCTACACTGTTTCTAAGTTCTGCTGCTACAGTGGTTGTTGACGGCAACGTCCGAAACGGCTCATGCTCGCTTTGCGGCAATCTTGGCCTGGGCTACATCTACCGTCGACTTCAGAAGAGCGATTACCTTCTCGGGCTCCTCCGCGTTGAAGATCGCAGTGCCGGCGACGATAACGTTGCTCCCTAGAGAGATAGAACCGCACATTCATTGATCGTGCAACAACCTTCTTGATCCAACCCGTATCGACGACTTACCTGCATCCGCGCAGACGTCGATGGTCTTGGGGCCCACACCGCCATCGACTTCGATGTCCTTGTCAGGGAAACGGGCGCGCAGCTCCGCGACCTTGGGCACGCAGCGCTCGAGGAACTTCTGGCCTCCCCGGCCGGGGTAGACGGTCATGACGAGGAGCATGTCGGCCGCCTCCGCGATCTCGTCCGTCACGGCGGTCGAGGGCGTGTCGGGGGAAATGGCGACGCCCGCCTTCATCTTGCGCTCGTGGATGTGGTCGATGATGGGGAGGGGGTCGGCTGCGTGAATCAGAAGCGAAACGGGGTGGGATGTAGCTGGCTGGTTGCCTTACATGTCGCCTCGAGGTGGAAGCAGTAGAGCGATCCGCCGGCATCCGCGATGTCGTCGACCCACTGGCGTGCGAGTTGTTGCGGCTGAGCATTTCACAGGGCTCGAATCCGAGGCAACGCGCACCTTCTCTGGCTGCGAGACCATCATGTGACAGTCCATGAAGATCCCGGGCACGCCCTTGGAGACGCAGGCAAGGACGGGTGCACCTGCAGACGCAAAGTACACGCACGACCGCAATCAGCTGAACGCATCGCTAACGCGAGGAAGCACAGATGCCCCACTACGCTAGGACGTACCCATGGTGATGTTGGGGACGAAGTGGCTGGGACATCGGTGATCAGCACAACTGTAGGGCTTTCGATCGCACTCATTGCAGATTTACCCATCCATAACATCTGTGGGCACACACAGCAAGGGGTGAGCATGCAATTCGAATATCAAGCAACGCTATGGGCGGCCACGATAGCCATGGTCTGAGTCGCGAGTGCTTACTTACCCATATGCAGCCATTCAGCACCGCCGCGGATCATGCGTTTGCATTCCGCAGTGAGCTGCCCGAAGTCGGACGCGAGCACCGAAGGCGAAATGATAGCGCGAGGCATGACGGTCGTCGAGGCTGTGTTCCAAGCTCGGTCCAAAAGCCACAGCGAGAAGGCTATGTAGCGCTGCGCTCGGTGTTTGCCCAGGCTGCGCGCGCGGGTGCAGACCGATGACGGCGACCGGGATGCTCATCTGCCGATCGCGATCATCACCGAATTTCTGGTTTTGGGATGCCACGCTGCCACCCCTGCCGTCTGCACACTTGAGGCACGGTGTGGAGCGTCGTGGCGATGCCCGACGACATCCTTTTGCGAGGGTCAGCAGGGGACAGCCAGGTTCGCAATGATATATAAGCACGTTTGTCGAGGTCTATAGATCACCTCGCCTTGTCAGCCCATATTCTATCCATCTTCGCTCGACCCATTCCACACCTCTTCACACCATATTCGCCATGTTCGGAAAGTTTGCATACTCTGTCTGCCTCGTCGCTGCCTTCGCCATTGTCGCGAACGCTGCCGCTGCCGAGGAGAAGCGTCAAGGTATGTGAACTCAGCAACTCGCTCGAGTACCACTCATCTACAACGGACGCCCACAGTGAACAGTGTATTTAACTCCTTGACTTCTGATGCCGGTTCCATCTTCTCCGAAGGAACCTCGGGGGGTAAGTCCAGCAATTTCGTCGTATGATGGAACTATGAGCTGACTCCGTCTCTTTCTTCAGCCGCTTCCGTGTTCACCGATGTGACATCGTTTGCTGGAGGTGTTGCCAGTGTTGTGACCAGTCAGTACTTCTTTCTATCAAGATGATCCGCTCCTGAGCTCATGAGCATCATGTAGCTATTGGTGGTGAGGTTGCGACTGTTATTACCTCCGCAGGTGGCAAGGCGATCACACTGGCCACCAGCGGCGCGGGTGTCGTCACCAGTTTTGCTGGCTCCGAGTACACTGTAGCCACCGCTGCAGTTGGCACCGCTGCAACAGGCACGGGCAACGCGGCTCTTGGCATGCACGCGCTCTCCATATCGACACCGCTCCTCGTGGGCTTACTGGCGGTCTTCGCGAGTATCTTCACCGGGGCATGGGTCGCTCTGTAACGATATCACCGAAGACCTTGCGCGTCCAGATCGAACGCTGTTTTGTTCTCTGAATGCCTTCAGATACCTTCGCTTTCGTTAGACTTCGGGCTTGCTTTCCTTTCGTACATCTTCGGTTTCTATCCTACAGCCCCCACAAACACTCATGTAACCCAGAACACCATAGTATTAGCCGCACCCTGTGTTACGACGCGATACCTCCCCGTGAAATGAAAGAAGTTCAGAACACGTACTGCTTTCCCGATCAAGTCAACGGAATGATCGAACGTCGACAGCTTCATTGCGATGCAGCGACCACGGGCATCAGATGATTGCTTGTCAGCCGGGAAGACGGTCCAGGAAGAAAGTCACACTGGTTCTTGGTTGCGCCTGAACGTTTGTCAAAAATTACGGCAAGCGGTATCAGGAGGTACACAACTAGCTAGTCTACTCCTCGGAGGCTGCTTCCATATCCTTGTTCACCTGCGCAGGGGGTCGACCTGGTAACATCAAGGACAGTCAAGCAAATACGCACCTTAGGGTTGAAGAAGAGGGTGTTGTTTCCCCAAGGGAAAGCACCAGAGGCTGAAGGTATATGAATATCAATGGCAGGCTAAACGCTGTAGAGTGGAGACATTTGAAACATACTGCGCCTGTTGAGGTACTCGTACGGAGGCTCAGGAAGCTTGCCGCCGTTCTCCTCGATGCGGTGGTGCAGATGCTCCTCGTGCTCAGCCTCAACCTGACGGACCCAGAACGCGCCGGCAGCGACTGTGTCCAAGTCAACAACGCTGGCTCGCGATGCGATCACAGCAGGCGCTACTCACTAGCAGGCAAGCAGACGTAGTAGCTGCAGAGGTCGTCAGCAGCCGCCTCAACCAGCAAAAGCCTGCCATCCCATCTCACCTGATCTTGCGCCAGAGCTCGGTGGTCTCTGCATGCAGCGAAGGGGGCGTCAAGGTCACCTCGTGAAGTTCCGGAACGAAACGAACGCACCAGCGGCGTGAGCGACGAGGGCCTGTTGCTGCTCATGGTAGCTGCCTTTGCCGGCAGCGGCGGCAAAGCCACGGGCGCGAGGAACTGCACGCAGTGCAGCGCGACGGATGACGAAGGACATGGCGAGGGTGGTAGTGGGTTGGGGGAAAGCGGGAGAGCAAACGACTAGGCGCGACTTTTGGCAAGGCGCCGGGCGAGGCAGGCTCGGGAATGGACGAGGCGCGAGTGATGACATAAGCAGCTCTGGCTTACCGCTTTCGGGCTGCGAAGCGTCTGATGAGCGCTTTGAGAGATAAGCGCTCGTGTGCGTCCGCTGACGCGTCCCGAGGCTGAGATGAGACGCGTACGACCGCTCAAGCATACGCACGCTGCTTTTCTGTCCTCTACGCCATGGGTGTCCCACTCCAGTCCTCCGCCGCCGGCGTGCTCGCCCTGTTGTCCGACCCCGAGCCCCAGCTCAAGCACTACGCGCTCAAGGCTCTCAACCAGCTTGTCCCTCAGTTCTGGGCTGAGATTTCGGAGCACATTGCGCTGATGTATGTCGTCATGTCCGGGCTCGTCTACTGCTACTGACGCGTCGTTTCTCGCCACAGCGAATCTTTGTATGAGAGCGATGACCTTCCTCAGGAAGCCCATGACTCTGCCGCGCTTCTAGCGAGCAAGGTATACTACTACCTTGGCGAATACGACGAGTCGCTCTCCTTCGCACTTGGCGCAGGGAGCGCGTTTGAGAACGACCCTCGCGGGCCTGGGTCCGAGGAGTATGTGGAAACCATTGTCTGTGAGTAGGACGTACACATCGAATATGTGGTTGTGTGCTGACACTCCAACTCAATAGCCAAAGCAATTGACCGCTACATCTCGAGCCGCAATGCCGAACAGACGGAAGGGAAGATTGACTCTAACTTGCAAGAGATTATTGAGGGTATCTTCCGACGATGCATAGCGGACGGCGAGTACCGCCAGGCACGTTGAGCACTCCAGATTCGCGGTTGTTCTGTCAGTTGACCGGTTTCCTAGGCAATCGGTATTGCTTTGGAGTCAAGACGTCTGGATATCATCAAGTCGGTATATGAGCAAACCCGCGATACTACCCTATTGTCGTACGCCATGGAGGCTGTCCTTGACACTGCTTTCCCTCTTGCCTACCGCGACCAGGTCCTCAAGTTCCTCTTCCCGCTCTTCCCTGCCCCCACAGCCGACGCGAAGTCTACTCACGTTTACGCTCTGACGCGTATCCTTGTGACGCTCAACTCTCCCGAACTAACGATCAACTTCCTGAACTCGCTTGTGCCGAAGCAGAAATTGTTGGCGTACCAGTTCGCCTTTGACCTCGTCGAGGGTGGCGGCCAGGACTTCCTGGTAGCGGTTAGGAAAGATCTCCCTGAGGGCAACGAAGTGAGTGGTTGTCAGCAAACGATACCTAGCATATTCTGACCGGACGCTAGGAAACGAAGCCTATCTACGACCAGCTCAAGAAGATACTTCTTGGCCAGGAGTCCATCAAGCTCTACCTTGAGCTCCTGAAGCGCAACAACAAAGTCGACATGCTCATTCTCAAGAACACCAAGGAGGCGCTGGAGCCCCGTTCATCCATCTACCACACCGCCCTTACTCTTCAGAACGCGTTCATGCATGCCGGGACGACCTCCGACGTGTTCCTTCGCGATAATCTGGAGTGGCTCGCGCTCGCAAACAACTGGTCCAAGTTCTCCGCCGCTGCTGCGATTGGTGTCATCCACAAGGGCCATTTCCAAGAGAGCATGAACATCCTCGGCCCTTACCTACCCGCCCAGGGCGCTGAGAGCAGCATAGGCAGCGCGGCGTACTCCGAAGGCGGTGCGCTGTATGCGCTCGGGCTCGTCAACGCGGGCTGTGGAAGCGGCCAGGAAGTCGAGAACTATCTCCGTAACTTGCTCAAGAACTCCGTCAGCGAAGTTGTGCAGCACGGTGCAGCGCTGGGTCTCGGAGTCGCGGGTATGGGCGGCAAGAGCATGGAAGCGTACGACGACTTGAAGACGACGCTGTTTACCGACTCCGCCGTGGCGGGTGAGGCCGCTGGTTATGCCATGGGTCTCATCATGCTCGGTACCGCCGATAAGACAAGCGCGGATGAGATGTTGACGTACGCGAGGGAGACTCAGCACGAGAAGATCATTCGCGGTCTTGCGATCGGTCTTGCTCTCATTTTCTACGGACGGCAGGAAGAGGCGGACGATATGGTCAAACTGCTTATGGCGGAGAAGGTACGCATTTCAGGTTCATTGTTTAGCGTAGTCTCGCTAATGTGCCCGCAGGATCCCATATTGCGCTACGGTGGTGTCTATACCCTTGCACTCGCGTATGCAGGTACCTCCAACAACAGCGCTATCCGCCAATTGTTGCACGTTGCCGTTTCGGATACGTCGGACGACGTTCGTCGCGCCGCCGTGACAAGTTTGGCATTCCTCCTCTTCAAGACCCCTGCTCAAGTCCCTCGGATCGTTCAGCTTCTCTCAGAGAGCTACAATCCTCACGTACGCTGCGGTGCGACACTCGCCCTCGGTATTGCCTGTGCAGGAACTGGCCTTCAGGACGCTGTGGACATCCTCGAGCCGATGACTCGCGACAGCGTCGATTTCGTCCGTCAAGGCGCCCTGATCGCTCTCGGTATGATCCTCGTCGAGCAGTCCGAGGCCTCTACACCATCACTTGCGCCGACGCGTGCCCTGTACGCCAAAATCGTCTCTGACAAGCATGACGACCCGATGGCCCGCTTCGGTGCTGCACTTGGCCAGGGCCTCATTGATGCTGGTGGCCGCAATGTCACCATTAGCTTGCAAAGCCGCGCTGGTAGTCGCAACACCGCCGCCATAGTCGGCATGGTGTTGTTCTGCCAGTTCTGGTACTGGTACCCCCTGGCCCACTGTGCTTGTCTCGCCTTCGAGCCGACTGGCATTATCGGTCTTGACGAGAGCCTCAAGGTTTGTCAGATTGTTTTGAGTGAAAGTGGCACAGCTGACCGTTGTTCCAGGCGCCCAAGCTCGAGTTCAGTTCCAATGCTAAACCTAGCCTGTTCGCGTACCCCGCTGCGACGAAGCCACCAAAGAAGGAGACGGTGGCCAAAGTCGCCACTGCGGTGCTCTCGACCACTGCCAAGGCTAAGGCGCGCGAGAAGAGGAAGGCTGCTGAGGCTGGCGAGCCCGTTTCTGTGAGTGTTCGGCCATCACTCGCGCTTGAACGTAACTGAGCTCGATGTGTAGGAGGATAAGAAGGACGGCGATGTGGAGATGAAGAGTGCCGAGGCGTCAACATCGCGACATGGCGACGTTTCTCCCATCTCCTTGGCGGAGGGTGCGTCGAGGGGCCGCAAAGGCGAGCCCTCATCCGAGAAGCTCTCCAACTTCTCCCGGGTTGTTCCCGCTCAGCTCGCCTACATCACCTTCCCCACAGAAAGCAGGTACCAGCCTGTCCGCGTCATCTCCACCCGCCCACCACCGGGGCCGAAGGCTCCGAAGACGGCTTCCTCCGTCGCCCTCGCATCAGAGCGGTACGCCGGTGGCGGCGGTATCCTCATTCTCGCCGACACCCGTCCGGACGAGGAGCCTGACTACATTGAGTTCGAGACGGCACCTGCCGCTCCGGCGGCAGCAGCAGCAGCGGCACCCGCTGGAAACCCAGCTTCCGCGACGGCAGGTCGCCATATCGCTCTGGATGAGAGCGCGCCCGAGGTGGACCCGCCAGAATCGTTCGAGGCACGTCCTTGTTCTCTTCTATGTCGTCTCTCAGAGCTGATGCAGATGCTATGCAGTACCCTTTCGATAATGATACGTAGAAGTATGTCGTGTATTCTTACTCCGGACTTTATGCAATTTCTTTTGCAACCCTCCAAAGTGCCGTGTGACATTCCGCGGAGGAAGGCAGTCAGATGAGAGCATCTGTGTGCAAGGTAGCTATGTCGTCATATGCCCCTCTACTCACACCTTCCAGTTCCGTCATAGTATAGATTCATCGGGCTTGGATCGAGAATAGAGCATTTGCTCATCAATCATTCTCATGACCATGGGACATAGGTGCTGTCGTCTCCTTGAGTCCTTGTGCATAGCCTCTCATCCATACATACTCCAGCCCACCATGTCCTCAGAGCGCATCCGTGTCGCTATCCTCGACGACTACCAGAATGTCGCATTCAAATTTGGAGATTGGTCTGGCATCAAAGACCGCCTCCTCATAGACACTTACCCTGACACTACCAACGACGAAGACATCCTCGCGAAACGACTTGAGCCTTACACGATCATCTGCACGATGAGGGAGCGGACGAAGATCAGAGCGTCCCTGCTCGACCGTCTGCCCAACCTGCGGCTCATAACTACTACGGGGCCGTATAACGCCGGCATCGACGTCGCGTACGCGAAAACCAAGGGGGTCATAACCTGCGGAACGGGTGGCAAGGGCAATTCGACTCTGGAGCATATCTGGGCGCTCATCCTGGCGACGGCGCGGCACATTGTCATCGAGGATGCGCGCGTGAAGGCCAGCGCGGTGCCTTGGCAAGTGACAATTCCCATGGGTTTGGCCGGGAGGACATTGGGTTTGGTGGGCGTGGGGAGGTTGGGTTCCGCGACTGGCAAGGTGGTCCCTAACGAGACGCACGTCCTGATCTGTTGTGCTGATAACGCTCCGTTCAGATCGCAAAAGCCTTCGGCATGGAGGTGATAGGGTGGTCACCCAACCTCACTCCCGATCGAGCAGAAAAGGAGGGCGTGACGTACGTTGCGACGAAAGAGGAGCTCTTGAAGCGCAGCGACATCGTCTCAATTCACATGGTGTTGTCGGAGCGTACTCAGCGCATGATCACTGCCGCCGACCTCGCACTCTTGAAGCCTACGGCGTTCTTTATCAACACGTCTCGCGGGCCTCTTGTAGACGAGTCGGCATTGATTGAGGTCCTGCAGCAGAAGAAGATCGCGGGGGCGGGACTGGACGTCTTCGACGAGGAGCCATTGCCGCTCGACCATCCCATCAGGAAGCTGACGAATGTCACGCTGAGCCCGCACACAGGTTATGTGAGCGATTCAAACTACGAGGTACGATTCTCGCTTGTTCCAGGCAATCGGGCAGACGGTTATACTGAGTTGGGCATGTGACCACAGGCGTTTTGGGGACACACAGTCGAGAACATCGCTGCCTTCCTGGACGGGCGCCCGACGCGCGTCATTGGGTAGAGGGTTGATGGGATGTCTGAAAGGCGATCCCAGCTAGTGTACCTCTGCGCGAGTTGCTTCGTTGGCGTAGTGTAAGACTAGACTACGGTTGTCTACACCGTAGGATCGTAGCAACCACGAATGACAATAGTACGAGGGACCAACAAAGGACCGAGGATGAGATAAAAACGCGTGACCGTGACTGGGCCACGGGCAGTCACGATCTTTGTCTTGTCGCTTGATTTGGACGGCATTTGCGCGTCGAGCAGGCTTCTCTCCGCCATTCCACACCTTTACCTCCTACAATCACCATCATGGAGTCTCGTGTCGCACAGCGCAAAAATGGTGTGTGAGCTCATCTGTTTGACGCGTTTCAGTCGACCATCTGCATGCGATCGCTACTAATGCCTGCGAATCTACAGAATATAAGAGCAAGGGCGGCTTGAAGCAGGACGAGCTCAGGCGCCGTCGCGAGGAGCAGCAAGTTGAGATCCGGCGACAAAAGAGGGAGGAAAACATCTCCAAGAGGCGCAACTTCCTCCCTAGTACGGGTGCCGACTCCGACGATGAGGGCGGTGTGGGTAGCTGGGAGTCCCCTGTGCGTGTTATCGAGTTGCTGCTCATCGTCCCATCCAACTAACGGTATGCAAAAGCTCGCAGACGACATGATCGCGGGTGTGTTCTCCGATGACCCCGATCGTCAGCTCGACGCGACCACCAAGTTTCGCAAGCTGCTCTCGAAAGAAAAGAACCCTCCGATTGAACGCGTTATTGAGTGTGGCGTCGTGCCTCGCTTTGTCGAGTTCCTCCGCGGCGACAACGCCATGCTGCAGGTGTGTGGCTTCCGAGGAACCTCGTTTTTAGACATGCTCCCTAACCTGCCTTCTAGTTTGAGGCTGCTTGGGCCTTGACAAACATCGCGTCCGGTACCGCCGAGCACACTCAGGTTGTGATCAGCGCTCAGGCTGTTCCTGAGTTCATCAAGCTCCTATCCTCTCCCGTTCCCGACGTTCGTGAACAAGCTGTCTGGGCATTGGGCAATATTGCTGGAGATAGCCCGGCGTGCCGTGACTACGTTCTCCAGCAAGGTGCCCTCCGGCCACTCTTGAATCTCTTGAGCGAGAACAACAAGCTCAGCATGCTCCGGAATGCCACTTGGACCCTCAGCAACTTTTGCCGAGGCAAGTCACCGCAGCCCGATTGGGATCTGGTACGCATCAGTCAAATATTGGTCAATTCGTTCCCACTTTGCTTACACAGACGTCCTCATAGATCTCGCCTGCTCTCCCCGTTCTTACCAAGCTGATCTACTCCCTTGACGATGAAATCCTCATCGACGCTTGCTGGGCCATCTCATACCTTTCGGACGGCTCGAACGATAAGATCCAGGCTGTCATTGAGTCTGGCGTCTGCAGGCGTCTCGTCGACCTTCTCATGCATCCCTCGACGTCTGTCCAGACGCCGGCCCTCCGTTCTGTTGGTAACATTGTCACCGGCGACGACCTTCAAACTCAGGTTGTGATCACGTCCGGGGCGCTCCCCGCTCTGCTTTCCCTGCTCTCCTCCCCCAAGGACGGCATCCGCAAGGAGGCCTGCTGGACCATTTCGAACATCACCGCGGGCTCGCCACAGCAGATACAGGCCGTTATCGACGCAAACATCATTCCTCCCCTCATCAATATCCTGCAGAATGCCGACTTCAAGACGAAGAAGGAGGCCTGCTGGGCGATCTCGAACGCCACCTCTGGTGGTCTCCAGGAGCCCTCTCAGATCCGCTACCTCGTCTCCCAAGGCTGCATCAAGCCCCTTTGCGACCTTCTCCAGATGATGGACAACAAGATCATCCAGGTCGCACTTGACGGTCTCGACAACATCCTGAAGGTCGGTGAGATGGACAAGCAGGCGCAGGGTCCCGGTGGTGTCAACCAATATGCGCTTTATGTCGAGGAGGCGGGCGGTATGGTCACCATCCACAACCTCCAGCAGCATGACAACCTCGAGATCTACAAGAAGGCGTTCAACATCATGGACAAATACTTCCCCGATGACGAGGAGGCAGAGCCTGCTGTCGACGCGACATCGTTCCAGGCAAGTTGTTTCCCGGTTGACACTGCAACGAAAAGTTACTCAATTGTTCATGTAGTTCAACGCAGAAGGTGCTGCGCCGCCCCCGGGTGGTTTCAGCTTCGGGCAGTAAAGGGTGTATAGCGTATTGTGTAGTTGTTTTAGTGATGATCCTCGGCCGTAGTCTCTATCTCACCATCCCATTCACTCCCACATTGTGTAGTCTTGCATCACCAGAAGAATATCACCCGCGACTCAGCCGCTTTCTGTGTGTCTCCGTTTTGCGTCGACTCGAACGGTTTCCCTTCCAGCCCTATGCGCCGTGGTGGATATTGTCCATTCCCACTCCCGTCATGAACCCCTACGTGTATACGCCCCGAGACTTTATGTATCATGAGCTAGAAATGACCGAGCCAGGCAGCGATTGTATGTAGATATTCCAGTAAAGCAGCATTTAGAAATAACATGAAGTCTTCATTGGTAAATTCGAAGCGGTGCGAGACATTACTGTTTGGAGTTGAGGGATCACTCCGGACCGCTGTCCCGAAGCAGCCTCGACGCGCGTTTGCGCACCGATTAGGAAGGCGACCAGTGGTTCAATCCGAACGTACACGACATGGCTTCCCAGATTCTCCCCCTTGGTATGTAGCGGCGCGAAATCACCCTGTAGCAATAGTGTATTGAGCCGGCTCCCAGAATTGATTGACAGGTGCATCGGTTCCCGCATATGGGTGATCATGAAGAACGATAGAGAATTTACCGGCACCCTGCTCGGGTTCGATGATTTCGTCAGTGAGTATCACCACACATATCAGATGCTCGAGGGAGTTCCTGACGGTTTCCTGTTGGCAGACATGGTCTTGGAGGATGTGACCGAGTAGTGAGTGCATGTTACCCAGCCGCGGCATCTGCTAAGCGCTTCGCAGCGAGACGACTCCTCAGGGAAAGAAGAAAACAACGTTGAATCAGACTCTGCTCAATGGGAACAATATCTGCATGGTATGTCGGTGTACATACAGTGACGTCTTCGCTGACTTGTCGCAACTCTTTCTATAGCTGATCCCTGGCAGCTCGGGACCAGAGGACGTATGACATCGAGTCCTGGCACCGTCATGGATTGCGCCGGACAACCTATCGATTTGATCGCACCCTGTATTTCTATCTTCCGCTATGCAAAGACTCTTGCAATTATCCCAACAGAGCATGGGGAGACCGGCCACGTCGGGTGACATAGAGGTGAGGCAAACGCTCATTCAAACTGATCGATACATATGGAAGGTTCAAGATATTACAAGAGCGGTCATTGGCTATTATGTCCGACCATCATAAAAGGAAGATGATGGGGCCGTTGCTCATGGCGCTATCGTAGAAATTGTCAGCGGACCCCTTCCAATGGATATGGACATCGACTTGCCTGCACGCTTAGGAGTGGGAGAATTGAAGCTTGTAGGGCTGGTCGCCGAAAGCGACGTTGCAGCTGGCGGGCTCGAGGTACCCGCCGACCTTGCCGTTGGACGAGCAGTCGTTGAGGATGGTCTGCAGGTACCCGCCACAGTTGACGCCGCTGACGAGCTCCGCACCCGGGAAGCCGCACACGTCGATCTTGCACGTTCCGACGGTGACCATACTCGTGCATGTGGACCCGACGTTGTTGTACTGGTGGCACTGGCCGCTCAGCTTCCCGAGCGCCGCTGTGCAATCATCGACCGACGGGCTGCCGTCAGTCGTCTGGCACACGGGCTTGGTCTCATCCGGGCCCGAGCACGCTGTTGGACGAGGAGTCAGCGGGACATAATGATGAACCGTCAAGAAAAGGCGTACCGCGTCGCTCGAGGGTGGCACCCTGTACAGCGAAGCCGGAGACGATGACGGCGGTGATGGTGAGAACAGTGGCGAATTTGAACATGGTGAATGGAATAGCTGGGATACAGCTGACTATGGTGTGGTCTGGTGGGTAGGAATAGGACTGACACATTCGCCAGTGCATTGCATAGGCGGGGGAGCCGTGGAGGGATCGCAGTCGTCTCCTTAGTATCCTTTGCTGCGAAGCTCGGAATGCACTTGACCGTAGAGACTACAACGAGGTATGTAAACCTCTGGGATATCGGGCCAGGGAGGTATCAAACCTCCCAACCCACGCGGTCTTAGTGATACGCGTCGGTTAGAGTCTCGGTTAGGGTTCGGTTAGGGTTCGGGTGAGGGTTTGGGTTCGGTGAGGGTTTGGGTTTGGGTTTGCACACCTCCTCCTCCCCCAAGAGGGGACGCCGTCTGTATTTATCGCGCGAACGAGGCTTTAGAGTGCCCGCCTGAGTGCTCCCGGCTCGGGGGACCCCCCGAGCGCAGCGAGGGAGGGGAGGGAGCACGAATGGCGGGTCCTCTTCGCGCAAACCCAAAATCTAGCATCAAACGCCACAATGCTGATTGAGAACTTTGATCATCAAAACCAGCGCGCTGATGCGCCCGTGGTGACAGCGTCGGTGGTCTTTTGCGTCGCGCGTCGCCCACCCTCCTCACCCGCCATGCCTGCACAACACTCTGCATCTGTTAGACAAATGCTGCCTCGTCAATTACTGCGACCTCCTCAGAGTATGGTTTTCATTTGAGCTCCTTGAAGTTGCTTCGAGTACGTACACCGTTCCAGCTATCAAAAACTGATGCGCCCGTATTGATGTCCTAGGCTGACAGCCAATCATATGCGTGGCTGGGAGGTCTCATACCTCCCTGGCCCGATATCCCAGAGGTTTACATACCTCGTTGTAGGCTACTCCTTGACCTGTGCAATGATGTGAAGGTCGCCTTGGGTGAGCGAATGTCACCGCAGGGCATTTGACGCATAAATACACCCACCTCTGACTGTGACCGGACAGGAAAGGTTGACAGCCCCCGGATCCGCTGGACTCGCTTATGAAGAACGGGGTCCACTGTTCTGCGCCTTCCTGGATGACATGCCGATCTATGTGATTGTATTGTGCAACGTATCAGTCAGCATCTCTCTTGTCTAGACTCCCCAGCAGGTTACTCAGTGACTGAAGGCTTTCATGTAGGCACATAACCCAGTGTATTCAAACGTCATGCCTATCCGTTCCTTCTGAATCCACTATAATGAGAGATCTTGTCGCGGTACGTCAACATGAGAAGCATGTCGGATCGTAGTACTTGGCATCTCCGAGACCGCAGGAGGGTTCGGGACTCACAAAGGAACATCCCCTATACGCGAGAAGTGAGGCCTGGACAGCTGTGATGCGAGCGATGCGACCTATAGCGGTCAAGGTTTGGTTTCAATACACGTGGAGTATCATAGGGCTGGTTGTACGTACTACTCGGCGCCCGCCCGATATGTCGCATGCACTGTGAACTCCATTCCCACCACTCTCAAGTTGAGTCGTTGTGGGGAAGCATCACATCAATGAGGATATTGAGACTTTCTGCAGGCTACCTCCCCCTAATGGGCTAACTACTTAGGAGTGTCACTGCCGGAACGTCATACTATGTGAGAGCTGGTAGTAGGAATTGAGCAAGCTCTGCCACCCGAGTAGGGGATTTACGTTTAACACTGATCACGACCGAAGCACAGCCATATTGGAGCATCGTACTTCGCATTGATGCAGTGTGGACAGTCAGCGGCTCCCTCGCTGCGTACCATGTCATCCGCGGGGACTCGAGGTCGGTGAGCCGAAGGATTTGGAGCTCACGGCGATACCCGGTGCCCCAGGCAGCTAATGTATTGGGGTAAGGATGTGTGGATATTAATGTCGACCTGGGTAAGTTTAATAGGTCCAGCGCAGTGCGCAGGACAGCAACAGGGCAACTATTGTATGCTCCAACGAAGAGGAATACTGGCTGACCCCAGTAGATGTCCCCTGCTTTGCCGGACTCGATTACACTTTCAAGTATCGATGCGTATTGTCTAACCTTTCGTGCGAGTTGTGTATGTTGCACCAACAGACAACCATTGAAAGCGGGAAGCGCAAGAGAAGACTGCGTCTGTCCGAGTCCAGAGGCGGATCAAAGCGCGCGGACTGTAACCGCACGCCGAAACAATTCACAGGCGCCCACCCGTGTCTCCTCTCCGTGTCAGTGGCTCTACTCGACTTCGTGGGGGCCCTCCCTTTGCCTCCCTCCCTCTCTCTACGCTCCACCATGGCTGTCCGGATACGCATGGCTATGCACGGCCTCCGCAACAACCGCATTCTCCACATCGTAGCCGTAAATCAACGCCAGCGGCGGAACGCAAAGCCCATTGAGCTGCTTGGCATCTACAACCCGCACCTGAATCCCGGAGAGAGTACGAAGACAATCCAATGGAGCGTGCAGAGGCTCAAGTACTGGCTGAACGTCGGTGCCACTCCAAGCAAAACTGTGACGAAGCTGCTTCAAATGGTGTGTGCATTCGCCCTCGCTTCCGCGTCACGCGTGCTTATAACGGGGGGGCAGGGCGGTATTCTTCCACCATCTCCGCCTGCATCGGCGGTCGCTCCAAAAGCACCAGCTCCATCCAAGGCCGTCTCTAAGGCACCCGCTACGCCACGACCAAAGGCTGCGTCACGGCCTTCCGCATGATACACGGTCTCATGACGGACGGAACGCGCCCCGTATCCAAGCTGGTGTACTCCACGCACAGACACACTCTCGACCCCGGACGCACAGGGCTCTGCTTTCCAACCAATCTAGATACACTGGCATGTCACGATGACACGAGGGAAGCAACGATGCGGGGAGGGACGGTTGCGGTGGGGTGAAGGGTCATATTGGTACATTTTGCGCATTCGACAGCAGGTCTACAATTTCAGTATGTCCTGCGATTTCCGCCAGTTCTTTCGCTGTGAGGTCGTCCTCGTCCTTCCAGGGGAGTTGCATGATTCTGAACGTCTGATGGAAGAGGGTCTTAGCGTACCTTGATATCCTTATGCGCCCCTCGCTCAAGCAGCGCCTTCACCACTGCGAGATGTCCACGGTCCGCCGCTAAATGCAAGGGAGTATAACCCTGTGGTCCGTCTGATCAGCAAAGACATATCAGTTTATCTCGAGTGCGACTCACATTTTCGTCTGGCGTGTCGACGACCGCTTCCGGATGTGCCTCCAGATACGCAACGAGGCTCTGCACGTCGCCCGCGATGGCAAGGTTGCTGAGGACACTCGAGTTTTCCTCGTCGCCCGCAGACATCGTACTCATCACGGGGCCCATCGCACCTCCGTCTCCCCTCCTTTTCCGCGCCTCAATGTCTTCGTCCTTGTCCCAGATGTCGTCCTCCTCGTCTGCAGGCTCGTTCGCATCATCATGCGCTTCTGCTGCCTTTGATTGGATAGGCGCAATGTCTTTCCCTTCGACCCAGCCTAGACTTCGCGCAATCTCTAGGTAGCGAGCCTCAGCATCCGCAGGCCTGCCTTTGTACGCCTCCCCGGCGGACTTCCACGCGTCCCATTTCGCCTTCCCGGTGAAGTCCAATAGCGATGGCCTAGGCGTGTTCGGACTGGGGCTCACCGTCAAGTACTTGAAGGTGGCATAGAGCTATCCTGAGCCCAAGCGAAAGCGTGAAACAAGTCAAGCCGTCAGAACTTCTCGATCAGGAGTGCGAGATGGCCCAAAGGGACTCAGAACCTCGAGTTTGATGGTATTAGACGTGGAGCTCAAGGCCGACGCGCTGGAGAGATACTTTGCGGCCTCTTGAAACGCAGAAGATGGATTATAGATGGTGGACATGGTGGTATAAGTACGCGGGACCGGCAGCGGAGTATAACGAATAAGCAGGCCCCAGTGCAAGTTACAATGACCATATCCTAAGTCTATTTACGTAAGCAGACCTGGAAGTGGGTTGCTAGCAGTATGATCTCCCTCTAAACCAATCTATGCGAGACCAGCCGATTGCATGGCCTGCGGGTATTGTTCGGTGGTTGAATGGATGGATGTAGCAGGAGACGTACCTTCAGCATTGTGGAACCAATCTTTGCGGGACTGTCGGTAACGAGGACGCCTGCCTTCTCGAGGGCCGCAACCTTGTCGGACGCCGCACCTGGAAGCAAGTGCATGTTAGCGATGGTCGTGAGCTAGGTGACACGATAGACCTACCCTTGCCGCCAGAGATGATGGCGCCAGCGTGGCCCATACGCCTGCCAGGGGGAGCGGTACGGCCAGCGATGAAGCCGACGACGGGCTTGGGGTTCGCCCGCGTCTTGTTGTACTTCTCGAGATACTCGGCAGCCTCCTCTTCCATACCACCACCAATCTCGCCAATAAGGACGATACCTTCACGAGGGAGAAGTAGAAGTTTGAGTGCCTTGATTAGCGATATGGGGACTGGCGGACGCACCCTCAGTCCTGGGGTCCTCAAGGAACAGCTTTACAACATCGATGTGCTTGGTGCCAGGGAAGGGGTCACCACCAATACCAACGACAAGCGACTGACCAAGGCCAACGCCCGTCGTTTGCGCGACGGCCTCGTAGGTGAGGGTGCCCGAGCGTGACACAATGCCTGCGCGACACGTCAATCAAGGTTGCTGGAACTATTTGCTGTGCGAGACTGACCAATGCGGCCGGGCTTATGGATGATGCCGGGCTGGATACCCATCTTGCATCCTTCAGGGTTGATGATACCAGGGCAGTTAGGGCCAACTAGACGCGATTTGGATTGGCTCCTGAGAGCTTGGTGGATCTATTTCGCAGGAGAGAAGGCGCTCGCAACGAACTCGCAGTAACTCGGGGGAGGCGTCACGTACCTTGACCTCATCCTGCTGGGGAATGCCCTCCGTAATCGCGACAATGAGACCGATCTCGTTCTCGATGGCCTCAAGGATGGCGTCCGCTGCGGTGGGCGGAGGAACGTAGAGGACAGTAGCATCAGGCTGGGTCTCCCGCACGGCCTGCATTGCACAAATCAGCGCGCGAAGCTCGTGCTTCATGGTTGGCAGACGCACCTCCTTCACGGAACCGAAGATAGGAAGGCCGAGGTGGGTCTGGCCGGCCTTCTTGGGCGAAACACCGCCGACCATGCGAGTGCCGAACTCGAGTGCCTCTTTTACATGGAAAGTACCCTGACGACGCAGAGATTAGCACATGCATACCGTACTCCTCGCATGTAAGCTCACAGTCTTTCCGGTGAGACCTTGGCACAAAACCTTAGTGTCTTTGTGGATAAGGAGATTCCGGATAGTGTCATCATAAGAGCGGCGGGCCGCAGACTGGGAGAACGCCCGGCGCCCAGCTATTTTCAAAGCGGAGAGGTCAGGACGATGGAGCTAGGGATCGGAGCAGGGACCCTAGGGTTACCTGCGGACGAAAGGGATTGTCCAGCACGACGAAGCATCGGAGGGGGAGGAAGAAGAGAGTTGTGCTGGCTCGCGAGACACGACCGCGTCAAGAGCCAGTGCATCACTCCTCTTTTGGCACATCATGCACGTGCGCCGTCCGTCCGTATCGACCACGGCACAGGTTGCCGGTGCGCCGCGCTCGTGATATTGAATGCGAATCCCCCTCAGGCTCCCAACTGGTAGTGAGACGTACATGCTGTTGTATTTATACTCGAGTCGTATGCATACACTGCTTTTCTAACTGCTGTCCCTAAACTCAACCTTCCAACGGTCCAGCACGCCGCCGTTCCCGCGCTTTCCGTGAGGCTCGATGAAGGGTCCGGATCGCATACTTCACCTCTTCATATTTGCCCAACTGAACCCCACTGCGTTAAGGCGTCAGCGTCTCTCCTGACAGACGTACGTGCCAGTGATATACTCACCTGTTGATGTCCGTTACAAAAGTCGTTTTCACTGCATCTGAGACCGAAGCGGACGGCAGCGCCTGCACAATTGGAGGCAGCCAAGCGAGGAGCTGGTGCGGCCAAATCGAGCCCAAAGCGCGGAAGATAGTCACGACCATAGGGATGGACTCTTCCGGGAAGTCGCCCACAATACCGGACAGGAGGTAGCCAGTCAACTCGGCACCTTCTCGCTCGACAACAGGCTTGATAGCAGCGGCATAAATAAGGAACTTCGGAGGAGGCGGCGTTGTCGTCGGTGCGAGACTGTCATGCGTGAGGATCGTGCGAAGGAGGTCTAGTGCTGCGAAAACAATGTCAGAGTGTACAAGGACGAGTGACGCCATTGCAACACGGAATGCAATTGGGAAAGCGGGCGACGGGAAGAAAACATCCGGCGTAAACTCGATCATCTGCAGAAGCATCTGCAGATAATCTTCCAAGACTAAAGAGCTAGATTAGCGGATGGCTGGTGAAGCAGCTCACGTGTGCCTACCGTCGGGTATCACTTGTGGCGACTTTTCATTGAGAATGGCGACCAGCTTGTTCGACGACCGCTCATAGACCTCTTTGAAGGCCGAACGCACCCTCGGGTCCTCTTCGTCACCGAAGCGGCCGATCAGCTTCCCGGCCATCCACAAGTAACTCGAGAAGCCGTAGGACTCGAATAAAGCAGCCATCCTCGTCAGGACTGACGGCACGATTGGCAAGACAGCCGAACCGAAGAAGTTCAGTCCCTGACGGAGCACACGAGTCGTGCGCTCACAGACGGGATACTCCGAACCATACTTGACGAGGAATGGTTCGAACACAGCCCAGGCCTCCTGATGCGTATTTTGGCAAGCAGCAGGAAGCTGTTCGCCAAAAGACTGTATGACCGTCATCATCACCTCCAAATTCTCGAGATCGTCTGCACATATGGTCAGCCACAAGTTGGTGAGCGTTTTGAACGCTGCAGTACACTCACTGGCAATGTTGACGATCTCGTCCTTCGTGACAGGCGTCGTTTTTGTTGTCATGTTGTGCACTCGCGCAAGGATATCCAACGAGAAGGTGCGCAGTGACACGGCAGCTTGCTCCATCGGCATAGCCGAGATGACGTACGCGATCGCCTCATACACCTGCACCTTGTCGTCTTGCACGAGCTTTGAGCCCATCGTAGCCAAGAATGAGTGCAGCGTCGGCAAGAACTCGACGAGATGCTGGAAACCAGAACGACTCAGCTGAGTCGCACCAGGAGGAGGAGGTCTGCGCACCCGTTTGCAATCTTGGCAAAGATACTTGAGGGCCTGCCCGGCAGCAGCGTTCACCTCTTGATCGCTGTCCTCGAAACCTGCGGAGATATACTGTAGCTGGTAGGGTATGTAGTCGGGGTGCTTGTTGATCCATTCCGTGTAACGGGAGATGATGAGCAACGCGGCGTATCGAACTCGAGGGTGAGCTGGGAGAGATGGAATGAGGTCCATGATCTTCGGGACTGCCTGATCGTCGTTCGGGTCGACTTCCGCACCCATGGACCGCATTGCGAACAGTGGCGCCTCTACTTCCTGCCAGGAGATGTTGGGTCCACGCGAGAGGCCGTTCGTGATCAATTCGTAGGCCGCTATGAGACACTTATCCGTCCCAAGGACGTAGCAACAATCTTTGAGAGTATCACCCATGACATGGCGGAAAGAACGGAAGTTCTCCGCTTCCTGACCAGTCAGAGACGTGATGTCGGCGGGGAAGTGCAAGTGACGAATGATGACACCCATGAGCGCCCTGTACGCGTCAAGGAAGAGTGGCGAGACCGAAGACTTCTTGCCGATGCTTTGCGCAAGGCGCATCCAGAAGCTAAAAGTGATCGGGACAATGTCGAGGTCGGGGTACGCGGAACACTCTCCGATGGCCTCCACGATAGGGAAGAACGTCTCTGGGTGATGCAGTAAGAGGCTGCGGTAAGCCTCTCCAGCCTCCGCGAAAATACGTGCGAGTCCCCTGATCTTCTCTGGGTCGTCCTTATATTCCGCCAACTTCGGCTTGAGCGCAATGACCTCTGGGACGATCACCTCGATTACCGGCATGTTGTCTTCGACTTCCTGTGTCTCGTGAATGAGGTCACAGACAGCAGAAACGGCAGAATCAAAAAGATCGTCCGATGCGAGGGCCTGGAAGGTGTATGCGAGAAGTGGCGAATTGAGCAGAGACATCGCGATGATCTCGCCGGAAGCAAGCCAGGAGCTCAGCGCATTGAAGACTTGCGCCTGGACGGCGAAGGTTACGCCTGCAACAGACGCGCAGATTTTCGGATCTCAAGAACATTGAGCAACAACAAATAGCACTCACCTGGAGCCTGCAGATACGCCGACAACAGCTCTATCACCTTCAGTGCATTCGCCGTCAGCAACTTCGCTGCTCTCTCCTTGTACTCGTCGTCCTGTTCCGATGCATCGCCACAATTGAACACGCGCGTACCCACAAGATATTGGACGCCACTCACTGTGATCGGGATCTTGGTATTCGAGGTGACTTCCTCAGGGAGGATGATGAGGAATTGCAGCATCGCAGGAATGTATGTTGGGTTCTTCCCGAATGATTGGATCATAGTCTCCAAGGGATCCTCCCAAGCAGGGAATTGCAATGCGAGTGCAGAGATGGCCAGGCAGAGCTGAACCAGAATGGTGCGCGGTCCGGCATGATATGTCTGCAGTGCAGTCAAGAGGGTGTCTCGGAGGCGAAAGAGGTCATCGTTGCTCATTTCTCCAAGATCATAGGTGACCTATGTAAAGGACTCGGCGATCGGCCGTAGCACACGCGTGCAGTGTGATGGACGAACACACCTTTGCCCTGAACGTTTGTGCCGCGAATAGCTTCGCCGCCGGCGGGGCATCAGGAGACAGGAGAAGGAAGTTACATGTTGACCAGGCCTCGGACTGGCAGGGGTTGGAAGCGGTGTGTTAGACGTCGCGGTCCTCCGAAGTACCAGGCGAAACGGATATTTACAGAATGCTGGAAATCCTGCAGCCAGGTGTTGGCCTGCTCTAACGCAGCCTTCTCTGGTGCTCGGCTGAACACATCGAGTGCGGAGAGGACAGCCTGCACATTGGCATTGTTGGCCATGGTAGTACAGAGCAAGGAGTATTAGCGGAAGCCTTGGAGAGTGCCGCGAATAGCTGACGCCACAGCACATGTTTGGCGATGTTGACAATGATCAAGTCGCTTTTCATTCGAAATAGTATATCGGAAGCCATCCGCATAGGGCGTCGCAGAATAGGGTATGTCATAAGAAAATTCATGCGGCTCGCTACAGTCCGAGTTTTGAGTAGGGAGCGAACAGACCGTACTACGGACGAAATGATGAGACAAGGTGGTATCCAGGAGTAAGGAGCGTGGGCGAGTGTCGTGAAAGACACTACGTACGGGATTATCAACGACAAACGCATCATAGGAACCAGAGATGTACGGTAGTGCAGCGCAGCAAAACGGCAGAATATAGGAGACTAAGTAAGGCAACACCACTGAGACAGAGCAAGCGAAATCAAAATGCAAGATACATTCCCAAAGACCCCTTATCCACGCAAGAAGTTCTTCTTCCTGCCGGTCTATGAAAGTCGAATCAAAGTGAGAGATCGGTTGCTTCGAATTGCGAAGGGTTGCACGTACGCTCTGCTTCTCGGGTGTCAGCGGGCGACCGCTCTCGATCCGCCTCTTCTTGTCTTCGAGGTCAAGACGCTGCTTCTCCAACGCCTCCTTCATCTCGCGATGACGAGCATAGAGCTCCTCCTCGGACTGCTTAAGCTTGGCCTCCTTCTCCTGCACCTTTTGCTGGAAGACCAACTTCATCTCCGCCTCCATCTTCGCGAGTTTAGCCTCGTGCATGATACGCTCCTCCTGGATACGGATAGCAGGACTAACCATAGTGATCAGAACATATGCATGGAAACCTGGATTACTGCAACGCTTACTTAATCTCCTTGAAGACGGTCGAATCCTGTACGACACCCATGCTGAGAAGTTTCTCTGTTCGCCAGTTCTCGTAGAGAACATCATTGGTGTACTCGCGGAGCTCCTCCATATAGGTGCGAACGAGCATCTGGCGGAGCTTGACGAAGTCGCAGTGATCTTCGTTGTCGACCTCGACGACACCCCACGGGTACGCACGGCCGCGAACCTCGCGGCCATCAGGAGTCTTGACAATCCTGTCGGAGCCAACGACAGCAAACGGAATTTTGCTGGCAATCTCCTTGGCCTCCGCAACGGCCTCCTCGTCCTCGTTCTCGTATGTTGGCGCCTCGAAGATTTGAATCTTATGGTGCGCAATGTCCGCAAGCACCTGGAGCCCGATTCCTTCAGAACTTAGAATGCCATACTGCAGTACTAGAATAACTTACCCTGGCCTTGAAGTCAGCGACCTCCTCGTCTGTGAGGGTATCGGCCTTGGCGATGATAGGAATCAAGTTCACCCTGGTGTGAAGTTGACGCATGAACTCGATATCAATAGGCTTGAGCCTGCGTGTGATTGACAGCGTGAGCGCTCTTCGATATGATTCTTCTCGCACGGTGGTACTCACGAGTGACCGGTAGGCTGAATGAAGTAGAGACAGGCATGGACGCGGTTGTCAACGATTTTTTGCCTGTTGACGCGGTTCTCCTGCTCGAGATACGAGTCAAAACGCGCCTCTATATTCTCCACGATGGGCTTCCAGCTAGGGCAAGCGCGTTAGGAAGCGCAGCAGCAGTGGTGCGATTCCGACTTACCACTCATCGTTGTTGACGAAGTCTCCAAAGCCAGGCGTGTCGACGACAGTCAGGCGCAAGCGGACACCGTTCTCCTCGATGTCTGGCAAGACGAATCAGTTCAAACACGCTAGTGTCGGCTAGAGCATCAGTTTTCTCACCAGCACTGATGCTCTCAATAGCGACGGTCGAGGGGCGCTCCGCGCTGGGAGGAACGGGCACCTTGGGCGGGTAGAGCGTGGTGTTGAAGAGGGTGTTGATCAAGGTCGACTTGCCGAGGCCAGATTCGCCTGAGCAAACATACTCAGAATACTCGCAGCGTGTGCAACGTGTTGCTACGTACCAACGACCATAGCGGTGAACTGGAACCCCTTGCGGACACTCTTCCTGTGGACTTGGTTCGGGAGGTTGGCGAAGCCAACGAAGCCCATCAGCTTTTTCCGAATAATGGGAGAAAGACCATGCTGCTGCTCGGGCGCAAGCTGCTGCAAAGAAGGAGAGGATGCGTTGGCCCTCGGTGAGAGCGAGACGGACGCGTCACCGTTGGTCGAACCGTAGTCGGACATGACTGCCAGTGGAAAGGAAAGAGGTGAGAGAGGTGAGAGGGGCGAGAGAGGAACCGGTGGGGGGGATGGGGAGGACGACGGGGTGGCCTGCGCTACCTGGATAGCTGCGAGGAATGGAACGGGGGGAAGAACAGAAGGCGGTCGCGAGCGCTGTTCTTGTTTGCTACTGCTTGAATTTGTGGCGCCGCCAAATACCACGCCTGGCTTGGGCACGACTATCTGCGCATCATGTCCGTCCATATACTCGTCTATACACGCTCTGCGGTTAATATAGCATTGACACTCACCCAGTGAAGCGGCGTGCTGCCTCGGATCGTGGGGGGAACGCTGTGGGTCGACATCGCTATCAACTCTAACGCGCGCCCTTCCCCCGCTTCATAAGCTCGTATCTCCCTGTACACGCTTCGAACGTGCGGCACGGAACCAGGGAACTCGATCACCCTGACTCCTACGGCTTCTAGTCAACTGGACGCTGTTCCCAGAGCCTGGTCGGCGTTGTGTGCGGTAGAGAGTAGCGGGGTCGCCAATTGTCTTCCCGCCCATCTCGGCTCTCTACTGGCGCTTATACCGTTCTAGAGTCAGCCATCCTATCCTGATCCAGCAATGCCATAAGATACAGTGTCAACTCGGCTACAATATCTATGATTCCTCGTAGGTCGAAGTTAATCAAGAATGGACACTACAATGTGGTTGGTGTCCCGTGCGTAGCTGCCAAGGACGTTCAGTGGGCAATGATTGCGGCGATACAGGCTGGGAAGCTTCCGCTGACCTTACACTCGGGCGCACTGGTCCCGAAGCTTGTGAGTGCAACCTTCCGAGTTGCAGATGCTACCAGTCGATGGGACATCGCACAGAAAGCACACCTTTTCAGGGAATCCATCATCGTCAGATAACGCGGCTGCGACGTCTTCCCGCCATCTCTACATCCGGTGTAAATAGCGTCATTCATGGAAAAGGCATTCACGCTCTGTACGCACGAGGATGGCTGCGCTCTTCTCCAACAACGCCGTACCGCCAACAAGCAGAATATCGTTGACCATCATGTCCTCTCGGACAGACGGATACTGGTCCAATGTGTTCGGCGTCACCATTTCAAAGCGAAGAGTTGATGTAGTACTACGACGTCGCAGAGAGACACCGCGCAATAACCTGGCGGCGCTCAACCGCCGAACTCGGCGAATGTTCGATAGCGAGAGCATGATGTCCGAGGATGACGAGCAAGGTAGAGAGTGCATGCAGGAGGCCCACCTGCGATCGATCGCGCGCAGGAGACTTTGGATGCAGTCCTTATAACACCCTCCTCGAAATCTTCTGGCCAATAGCGGTGAGCATTGACCTGATCACGAGTACTCATCCCAATTATCTGAGCCATTTGTTCGCGATGTTACTCGCCGCACGCTTTCTCGAGCGAATTAGGCATAGTTGCAGAACTCCCGAAGACAATAACGCATGAGTTTGATAAGACTGATGGACAGCATCAGTCCGAAGGTCCTTCACTAAGGAGTACTGACGTGAACATGGTCGTGACTCTGTACACGACGGACAGCCTATATTGCCTACGCATACGCTGCGGGATCCTTCGGACAGCTCCTGGGAAGGCTACTTCAAATTCTCGCTGGAGGTTCTACAACAGCTACGGCATTGCTCAATGCCATCATTACTTCGCAGATGACACTGCTGGGTCAACAAGTCTCAATTGGAATACTGCAAGAGGGGAATGAGCCCGATCCGGCCGACCGAACGCGCACGCAGAAGAGCACACACCATCATTCCTCGCATAATGGCCAGTAGTATCCAAATCGAACTTCCCGCGGAGGATGTCGTCCATATCCAAGTCCGCCGAGATAATGCCTTCGGTGCCCAAAAGGGGGCCCGCCAGCACCTTGCCCAGAGGACTGATGATGACGCTTCCGCCAGCGATCATCACGTTCTCGGGGTCCCGAGCTTCGGCGTTCGCCACAGCATGGTCCGGAGGGTAATCCTTCTCCTGGGAGAACTGACATGCAGACAAGACGAAGCAACGGCCCTCCAGGGCGATGTGTGTCATCGTGCTCTGCCACAATGGCCTCGCGTCGACAGTTGGCGCGCAGTAAATCTGTGTCCCCTGAGAGTAGTACCACGTCCGGACTGGATAACGGGGAAAGAATCACGCCATGAGCACGACGGCGGAGTCCCGAGTCAAAGGGAACCTACGTAAAGGCATGTAGTTCTCCCTGTGCGCCACGCTGTCAGACCCAATATCCGATATCCGCCACGCGAGAGTACTCACCAGCATATGGTCGCGGAGAGCTTCGTCTCAACCGGAGGACCTTGGGTACTTTCGAACGTTTTGGTGAGCACTGGGAGTGTCGTGCCGTCGCCTTGGCCCCAGATCGTGCGTTCCATGGCGGTTGGTACGAGCTTTCGGTGCTTCGCGACATAGCCTTTCTCCGGGTCGACGAAAATTGCGGTGCAATAGAGGGTGCCATTGTCGCGTTCAATAACACCGACAACAAGGAAGACGTTCGTCTCCTTGCTGATCTGCTCGATTCTAGTTATAGCGGGCGATGGGATCTCGATGGCGGCTTTCGCGTAACGGACGAATTCATCGCGTCCTTCCGGGAGACGATCCCCCACAACAAGCCCGAATGTAGACATTTTTGGGTACCCGCCGATGCTGAACGAATCATAGTAGTCCATCAGGGCAAATATATGAAAGATTGAGGACGTAGGACGAACAATGCTTCCGGGAATACGGCCAGCTGTGCACCATCGCGTTCTTTGGCAAGGCGAGTCAATCTCTCTAGCTTGTCCAAAGTATCGGGAAGCGAGTATGCAGCAGTTGCAGCTTGGACCACTGAAGCCTTGATAGTGTTGGACATTGCGCCACAAGCTAGCGTAACTGCATAGTCGGTGGGTTGGAAGACCGTTATATATACTGACTCACCGGAAGACCACGGGATTCGATATTCGTAGCGTCTCGTGAGAGACACACAGACTCATGACCGGGTCTCCGCCGGGTGAGTCAATTCAGCGAACGGCCTGCAAAGAATTCATGCGTCGCGAAGCAGGGTTCGAATCCCGGTATCACACGAAGGCGCTCGAAGACATGACTGTAAGCACGGATCAAAACTCGATCACGAATGCATGGCATTATGCACTCGCGGAAGGCTCAGACGTAGCCTCGCCTTTTGGTACAGGAAGCCACTCCTTAGGGAAGTCTCTAAGTGTTGGTCGGTGCGTCTGTCGACCGTATATATGGCCTCCCTTCTTCGCCTTCCGTGTCCTCGCCTCGATGTGTCGGGTGTCCACGGGAATATCGGCGAATGGTTCTTTCAGATCCTACAGGAGCATGTACGAATTAGCTTTCGGTGAATGTACCACGGACGAGGGATAAGGCGTACGTTCGCGGCAGCCAACAGACGGTCAAGAGTGTCACTTGCCCACTTCAAGTTCATAGGACCCTTGGGGAAGTCCTCACAGGAGATCTTGAAGTAGCCATGCTCACTCCCACCTTCTTCCGGATTCAGACCAGAGTCCTTGGGGGGTTCCGGCGTCCACCGAACACCAGCCAAGACCTTGAATTTGTGGATAGCCTGCTCGTTCCTGAGCGGTAGGCGAGCGACGGGGACGACTATGGTGCGCTTGGCGGTAGCAGGATGCGGCTCTCCGCCGTAAGTTATTGAACGGATGACCAGAGGATTCGACGAGTTGGGGGGTACGAAGGGCTTGCGGTAGGCTATGTCATGGTGCGTTAGAAGATGCACAAGACACGACGGAGGAACCACGCACCAACGAGCTTGGGCATCTCGTGCTCTATTAGTCGCATATAGTATAGCATCTCCCTCTGCTGCTGCAAATATTTGTGTGTCGGCTCTGGAGCATCATCGCCGTCCCGGACCTGATCCTCCAACGCGTCCTCCTCAATCAGCAGTGGCTCCAGGCTGGGTATGGCGCGTCTAGCCTTCGCGGCCGCGGCCGCGGGTGCACCAGGACTTTGACGTGCATTCAGAACAGAGCCAGTGTGGAAGTGTTTTGTACGGAAGACATGGGCAAAAGCGGTCCGGGAAGAACGTGAGAGGGCCATTGCGCCGAGGACCAGCTAGACGAGGTGCAAGCTCGGAAACTCGAAAGCTGGCCGGCGTTAATAGCCAAGATCCCATCGGGAAGCAGTCGCTGCCCGCTTTTGGTAGTCGCTGAACTTGGTTTCCTTCTATCGCGTCGCCCCACTCTCAAAAGCTCAGCATAATGGTTGTAAGTGCGATAGGCATCCAGATATACGTGAAACATAGCCAATGACATTTCAAGCGTCTCCAACTCTCCATCAAAGCCGATCTCGAGAACGTAACAGACCTGCAACCGGCTTCCGATGACTTCGAGTTCTTCTTCAAGGTAAGGGCTCGACGCGTTCTCTGACGCATTCATCCCAGCGCTAGATAACATTGGGTAACATAGGTGAAATGCAATAGCTGCAATGAGGAGCACCCTAAGCTCGTCACTTTAAATCGTACTGTGAGCGACGGTGTCCATTCAGTAACGGACCTGTGACACTCAAATATCTGCGCAGGAAGAGCGTGAAGTGACGACAGGGAAAGGCAGCACGGCGCACTTTGTCTGGCGCTGTGGGCTGTGCAAGCGAGAGTCTTCCGCTAAATTCGAGCCCAATGAGAAGCCTAAGCCCTACACGGCCGATGCGAACAGTCAGTTTGCCCCATTCCTGACGATAGATTGTCGTGGTTTGGAGTTTGTCGGATTTGATCCTAAGGTTCGTGCCTCGGTGTAAACTCCAATCCGGCTTTCATCTCATTGGAAACAGGGAATCTGGAAATGCGTCGGCGTGGAGTCAGGAACTCCGTTCAACGACGTCGACCTCGAGGAGGGAGAATGGGTCGACTATGATGAGAAGGTACGCCTTTATGACACGACAGCTCAATCTTTCGCTTAATATCTCGTAGGCAGGAATACCTGTGGGTGTGTCCAATATTGAGTCCACATGGGCGAGAGCATAGCGGGAATCAAGACAGGGTGGATGCAGTAACGAAATCGTCCTGTCCATGTACACTATGGGCGCGGTATCCGATCAGGCTGGGAGCAGAGTGGCCTATCAACAGTCAACAAGCAATACAGTGATGAGGTATGTCCAAAAGTCATGGGTATATAGCCGTAGGGGAGACATCAGAACGAATCCGTGAAGATCAGCTGACATTCACACTTCGGATCACTCTTCCGTTATGCCGGATAAACCTCCAGGAGGACGTGGTTCCTTCGTCTCGTCTGTGAGATGGTCACGTAAACGAGCATCCTCCGGCTCCTGCTTTGAGCTGGAGTCTTTTCTACATCGCCCTTCGCTGTCCCTCGGACGAGGTATGCGTCCCTCGAGAACGTCTCTCTTCCAAGAGTGGGAGTTGTCCTCGTCTCCATCCTGATTCTGCCTTAGCACGGGTTGCACCACACGCTTCGCAGCTGCAGCCGTTTCCTTCCTCGCAGTCGTCATCAACCGAGCTTGCTTTTTCTTGAACTTACCAAGGTGCTCGATCCTAGGCGGTTTGTCAGTCAACTCTTCTCGTTTCATCCCTAACAGCGCTAGAAAGGCTTACCCCCATAGTGCCAGCTCGGCTTTGCTGATCTCCACTTTGCTCATATCGACATCGCGCTCCTCGAGGACCGACAAGAATTTCCGGAAGTGCTAACCCGTTGGTAAGTCATAGACATTGTTTAAGGACTTCATCAGGAACATACATCTATCGAAGTCATATGGGCGTACAATGTGAGTGAACGAAGAATATTCGTCCGGGACCGACGTACCGATAATGTCCTGACAACGGTGAAAGTGTATGTATCACCCCGTCCTTGACAGAGATCAAGCCAGCTGAGGTCACTAGGCCACCCCCAAGGAAGGATGAATGTTGGAAGGTCCCTGGTACTTTGGAACCGTCAAGTTACAAGCCGTAATGATCAAGACCCTTCCCTCACCTTTGATGCCGATGAATATGTTGACTAATCAGCGAGGGAGATCAGAACGTCTGTGCGCTGACAGTTTCAGAAGTCGCCATTGCTCACAGTTTTTGTCCTATCCTTTGGTCAGACTGCGTGTAATTCCTTGATGTGAGTATCCACTCACAGACACATATATCCACGTATTCCGTTTGATGGTCTTCCTTAGGAGCTTGTCTACCAGGCCTCGCAAGGTGAAGTTCCGTAGTAGTAACCGCTTAACAGGGTTCTTAGACTGCTTTTGGAGGCCCACGTAGTGCATCATTGCGTTGACTTCGTCTCCAGATAAAGATGCGCCAGAGTCCGACCTCGTACTGGAAGCAGGAACATTGAAGCTATGTCTGGGTCTTGTAGACTCGCCCTCGGTTCGATAGCTGAACGGCACGATGCCTTTCCCATCTCCCGCGTCTTTCCATTGACCTGCCGTGGTATCCACAAGCTGACCGTTCCTAGCCCACCGGAACTTGCCGTTGTTGTCTATCGTGACCAAATAGTTCAACCCTAGAACGCCCCGTCAAAACCAGGACGGTGATGTGGGAAACTGTGAAACATCGTACTCTGCTCCGGCGAGAGGTATGTGATTCTCTGCAAGAGAACGTGAATACTCCGAACATCGTAGCGGGTGGTCAGACATGCCTCCTTCTCTAGCTGCTCTCGAGGACACTCCTTCAGGGATAAATTCTTGCCTTCTCCTTGATCAAGCCTGTCGTTGGGAGTTATATCCTTGTGATGCTTGATGTTCAGAGCACCGGTCCTACCATCTGAAGAAGTTTTGGGTCGTATCTTCCTGCTGCCATCGCTGGTGATAATACTGCGCCCATAGATCAATGACGGATGCCGCGTGACGTCTCAAGGCGGTTCGATACCTTCACTGTTGTTCTTATCAGATATAGGGAGGAACCACACGAACGGGCCGCGGACCTAATACTCACAATTGGACCCGTAGCGGTGTTTGCTGTGATCAATGTTAGATTCCGAGCACCGATACCGCGGCGTGCAGACGACCTATACTTACCCATCTGTAAGCTCAAGCCAGTGCTGAGTCTCTAGATGCTTCCTCGTGGCTTCTACGTGGGCACCCTGTCCTCGGGGCTGGGGAAGCATTGCGTTCCCATCTTGCAGCCGGCTAGCCAAGAACCCTGCTCTCTTCCAGCGCTCCCGGCTCGTGTTCTTGCCCTGCTCTGCCGCGTCCCTGTCGACCTGTTTCCCTGGTCAGTATTGGAGCGCCGGAACATGATCGATCGGTAGTGGCGTACCTGCATCCGGGCATGTGTCGCCAGGTCCGACCATAGGAAATTGGGCTGAAGATACCTCCTGCGCATACGTTTTCGCCATGCTTTCTGTATCCGGATAGCTGCATTCTGTCGTTCGACCAAGCTCGACAGATGTTCCCGGGCGTCAAGGCATGATGTGCCATGCTTGCTGCGTGTCCCAGTGCTGCCATGACGTCATAGGTGGGGGAGAAGGCGTGTTCACAGCGGATGTAAAAATCAGCGTCGCATGCCCCGCGCCGGGTGGTGTGCTCGGATCACCGGAACTCCCCGGCCGAGCCCCAACCCTACCGCACCGAGGCCATTGCCCAACTCTGTTCCACCTCTGGAAGCACTTGAATATATCGGGTATCTGTGTTGGGAACATACCAGGTAAGAGATCGAGTATTCTGTAGCTCGAAAAGCGGCATTGCTCGTCGGGGCACGTCTCGAACAGTCACCGCGAGCGTGTCCCCGAGCTGGAAGGTGGCCGGAGAGCAGGCTGGCGGGGCTCGGCAAGTGCCTGCCGCTGATCCGAGCACACCACCCGGCGCGGGGCATGCGACGCTGATTTTTACATTCGCTGCAATTCTTGTCGCTCGCTCATTTCCTCGTGCGCCTACCGGGCGTCTGCCTACCTGGATTCAAGGTCAGATCAAGCGCCTGTACTAGCACAGCGAGCAGAGGTGTGCAGGCAGCGGGTGCAACACGACCGCATCAGGGTCGCGAGCTGGGACTGAGGAGCGACGCGAAAGCTTAACAATTCGAAAGATAGAGAGCTCCATGACTCGAGACGCGGAGTCGTCCCGCAAGGCTTACAGTGGCAACCCCAGGTGGCCAGTGAACCGTGTCGTGCCGGATCTGGTTCCGATTTGGGCGCATTGTGTACAATTATTCTCGGTCAACAAGTCTATAACGATCTGCCGACGTCTCCATCCACTTTCTGGACAGATTTTCTGGGTATAACAAACCTAGAATAGGACGGAAACGTCGATCTCGCTGCACCCGCTGCCTGCGCACCTCTGCTCGCTGTGCTACAGGCGCTTGATCTGACCTTGAATCCAGGTCAGCAGGCGCCCAGTAGGCGCGCGAGGAAATGAGCGAGCGACAAGAATTGAACACGCCTAGAGCCGTATATGACGGTGGAGGGCCCAAGAGTCTATAGGCAATCCGACATGCAGGCCCTGCAAAGCACCATCCACGAGAACAAGGCAGAAGGAGATCTCGAGGACAGAGCTCCGGGGTAAACTGAACATTGTAGAGGCTAACTCTATCATACAAGAGCGCGCCCGGGGAATCATAGGCAAACGATCCGGTGAAGTAGAGGATATAGGAATGTGCATAGCGATAGGTGGTATTTTCATGTCGTGCGACTTCATCCTGTACATGCTGATTTTGTCAAAGTTCATAACGTAGTGTCCGTGCATTCCGTCTCCTAGTGCGATTAAAGTGCTACACGGTGTATATGTTGCAAGGGGGATATATGTGACATGCTTGGCCAGAGGTGAAACACAGACATGCGATGTGGTACTATAAAGCATGACGATGACGGTGAGGATGAGTATGGGAAGATAATGGAAGGTGTGGATGAAAGTCGAACAAGATAGAGATGTAACAGCGCGAAGGATGTCTGAGATATAAGAATGCGACCTGCGGATGGCAAACCCGACACAGTTGGCTTGTGCGACACGACCCGACTACTTGAACCCATTGAAGGTCCAGCCCGGCATGAGCTCGAGGTAGGGATGCCTCCGCAATTCTGCGGCCGTGGGACGCAAGTCCGGATCACTGAAGCCGATGTTAAGACTTGCAGACCAAGCAAAAGACTACCACATACGCAGCAAAGCACTTCAGCCTGAAGTCATCCGCGAGTGTCGATAATGTGACACCAGCAGGTACTGGAGGAGCCTGCTTGGTCTGGTACAACTGCACAACGCTCGACATGAGCAACAGGTCTGGCGATTGATAAACACAGTGGACTCACATGAAGCAGGACGGCCATGGCTTCTTGACCAGACCACGGCCGCTGACCCGTCCACATCTCGAAAACCACACAACCCACACTCCAGATGTCGATCTTGGAGTTGTAACCCTTACCCTTGGAGTTCACTACCTCGGGCGCCATCCAGAACACTGTGCCCTGCATGGACGTATACGCTGCAGCCATGTTGATGTCGTCCGTACGCCTGGAGATACCGAAGTCCGAGATTTTGCAGACACCGGTCGTCTCGACTAGGATATTGTCCGCTTTGAGATCCTATAGCAGCGGTTGGTAACGAACATGTATGACACGGACATGATGGTGCGTACCCGATGCAGAATATTTCTGGAGTGGAGATATTCAAGACCACTCAAGATCTGGCCAGTGAACGACTTCGTGACTTCCTCGTCGAAACGGCCGTGCTTCCGGAGACAACTGGCAATGGAGCCACCGGGTACGTATTCCAAGAAGCTGGAGGATGAGACGTCAGCACGCAGACAACAACAGGAATATAGAACAACCCTACGCACATGCTCAAGAAGGTGGGAGTCTCCTCAAAACCAAGATACGACACGATATTGGGGTGGTCGAGGTCCTTCAAGGTCTCGCTCTCCAACTTGAGCGCCTCGACGACGGTCACTTGACGCGAATCCTCCCTATCGCTAGCTGTCCTCGGGATCTCCACTTGCTTCACCGCGATCATCTCACCAGTCGTCGCGTTCAGCGCCAGGTAGACGCGTCCATACGTCCCCTTGCCAATCAGCTCTCCACGTACCCAACGGAAGATGGCTAAGCACCAGCGTCAGCGTACGTCCTTCTCCTTGGAGATGAAACGAATCATCACTCACGTTTCGCACCGCCCGGGGAAGGGTCTGCGGTGGACGAGCTCGGACCCTTGCCCTGTTCCGTCGTCAGCTCCTCGAGCTTGCCGCCCCACATCTTCGTGTGCCGCTTGCGCGACATCGGCGCCACGGTGGAGTCGTCCCCGCGCGAAGTCCGGTCGAGCTGACGCTTGTGCTCCGCAGCGACAACACGAATGGACTTCTTGTGTCTGAAGCGCTGCTGTGGCGGCATGGGCACCGCAGGAAGCTCCGTTGCCGTCGGGGACGTGCCACCCGACGCAGCTTCGATGACGGGCTTGTCGAGATCGTGCTCGGGGAAGTACTCCTCGAGCCGCTCGTACATAACCTCGGGCGGCGGACGGGGAGCCCAGGTGACATCGAAATTGTTGTCAAACTTGCTGATACGATCCTTGTGCTTTTTCTGGGCGCCTTGCCGCCTTGGCGTGCGCGGCTCCCGCGAGGTGGGAGGAGGCGAAGCGAGGAAGGGGAGAGGCTGATTCGAGGATCTCCCATAGTCGTAGCTGTGTACTGGCGGGAGGCCGTTCGGCGCTGAGTTAGGCGAACTTTCAATGCTGAGAGGGGTCAACGGCGGTCGGGTCTTCTGCGCAGCGGTCGACTGCAATAGCTCCGCAGGCTTATCCTTTTTCGTTGGTGGCTTGGCCCAAAGCGTGGCATTCCCTTCGTCGTCGCTGTCAGAATATTCTTCGTCACGCTGGTTGCCGTTAAGGGAGGCCAACGTTGAAGCTGACGACAAAGTTGACAGGATTTCCGTAGTAGTGGTAGATGGTGGCGTCGGCAGCTGTTGCAAGGGCGCAGGGGGATGTCTCGGTGGCGGTCTCGCAGTCCCTTCTACGAGGTTCTCGTCAATGAAGCCCTCCAACCATTTGCGGTCATCCGCCCGCATAGTGTGCGAGCCGCCGTCTTCGTCAATCGCGCCGCGTTTGGCGAGGCCATCACCAGGCAAACTGGCTGACATAGTGCTGTACTCGGACAGACTATGCTGACCTTGGGTGAAGGTCGACGATCCGACAGGGCTACGAGGTGGCGTTCGCTGCGGACGGAGCGGGCGATCCCCTGTTGCCGTGCCAACGCTGAGATCCTGCGACGGTGGCGCAACGGTGCGCGATACGTCGTCCCGATACGACAAGAAGGTACCAGAGCTGCTGTGGGCGTGAGAAGGTGTAGAGGGTTGCCGGTGAACGAAGGAGTCGTAGGTTGGCTCCGAGATCTGGGGAGAATGTGTGTAACGCGGCTGAGCAGGACTGGACTCGCCGAGGGCCGAGTGGGGGCGGGAAAAAGGTTCCTGCTGTGCGGGAGATGTGAGGTAGCTGGCAGTAGTCGTCGACGGACTCGCGTTCGAGGTTGCGATCTGGCGAGCGTACGACCCCGAAGGAGAAAGGACCGTTCGCGCGATGTCGGACGCAGTCTGTTCGGAATAGGCGGAGGACGCGCCCACGGAAGGAGAGGCACTTGGAAGAGAAGAACCACCTGATACACCTGTTGTGCTACCACCTGTCGACGGGCGAGTGATCAACGGCAGAGGTGGTGGTGGTGGCGGCGGCGGTCTTGACGATCGACCACCTGGCTGGAGACTGGACGGATGCTTGTTGAATGCGCCCCGCATATCAGTCATGCTCTTCGCTCCATGACGCATGAGGCTATTCGCCGGAGGCGACTGGATGGGTTTATAATCGGACTTCGTGGGGGCATAAGTGTGTTTCGTGAGCCAGCTGGTGGGTACCTGGAGAGGCTTTCGTCGTGGATGCGACTCTCCGGAACCGCCGCGATAGCCTAAGTCTTTAATCGGGAAACTAGCTGAAGGCGACTCCCCGGAACCACCACTGACATTCTGCGGATTGCGATAACCAAGGCCGATACCAGAAGGAGGCGTGATCGGGAAACCCGCTTTTGACCGGCTTTCTTGGGGAGTAGTAGGGCGATCCTTCTTATACCCGCTGGAAGGTACGTCCGCAGGCACCAATGTCCACGGATCGGGCCGTGGCCTACTCTCCTCCTGTTCAGCCCTGCGCGACCGACCACTATCCTTCCGGACAGGGTCACGACGCTTGCCGCGCTCTCGCTCTCGCTCCTCTCTCTCTCCCCTCCGCCATCCACTGTTGTAAGTAGAGATCTGACCGTCATTGGTGTGACTCCTTTCGCGCTCCGTGGGAGTTTCTGGATGAGACGCAGCGTGTGCCTCGAGAGGGAGAGGGGGCAGAGGATGAGGATCATCGGCAAAGCGAGTACCTTGAGGAGATGAGCCAGGGAAAGCACCGATGCTGGAATGGTACGGGTCACGATGGCGTTCTGGGGAAAGGAGACCTGCGGCGGGAGAACGAGATCTGTGATAACCATTGGGAGAAGACGGTCGTTGATTCGGGATGGGCAGCGCACGGGCATGTAAAGGCGGACGACTGTAATCCTGTGCGTCTCGTGGACAGCAATCTGGGTCGCCGGGCTCAAGATCGTCCGATACCGACGCCTCATACCCAACTTCAGCGTGGTGGGGTTCACTGGCGGAAGACAGGCTCCCTTGTCGGATTCTCCTGGGGCGGAGGGGTGCATACAGTGTCTGTTGGGGAAGGACCGGGGGTGGGATCGTGTTCACGGTAGACGATGATGGCGGGTCGTATGGGCCAGGTTCATGCACAAATGCGGAAGAATGAGATACGAGCAGCTTCAGCTTGCCCGTCTGATCGCCATTCTGTTTGCAGAGCGCGAACAACTGCTCGTCGCTCAACGCATCGCCGATAGCATACTGTCCAATCTCCGTCCGGTAAATGGAGAATTTGGCCTGGTCCTCGTCCGAGATTTGCAACTTGTCAAAAGACATCGTAGGTCACGATATGACTCTCCGTCCAACTTGACAGAACGCGCACCTTTGTGAAGATCCGCTCACGAATGAAGGCAGCGGTCATGGCGCCGGTAATATCTACAATTTGCAAGTTCTCTGCGTCTGTCGTGACAAGCACGATTACCTTGTCCATCGGGCCGGGGCGATAGACACCTGGGAAATGCGAATCCGTCGTGGATACAGTCGGTGACTATTGGCAAGTTAGCAGGACTGATCATTGAGGTAATGACGGGTCGCTACATACCGTGGCTGGACGAGAGCCGGAAGACGAATTTCTGCGAGGGAGCTGACCTGGCCCTTGCGAGCGCATGCGTTCAGCCAACTTTGCCGGGCGCGAGACTGAAGGCGCGCTCTCATAACGGTCTGAGGCCACGGGATTGATCATGTCCTGCCGTATCGTGCCTTCGTCAGAGATATGAAGGGAAGTGCTTCCGAGACCAGGGGTGCTGGGAGGGGGGGTGAGATCTGCAGCAGGCGAGCTGGCGCTAGAAGGTGACGAAAGGGCAGGGTTGGAGGGATTTGAGTGCGAGGATGGGTAACGGATATCGGTAGTGTGCAAGCGGGTAGGGATGTGCGAGTTGCTGCCAGTGCCATAATGCCGCTCAGGATAGATCGGCTCCGTATACGAATGCGAGCTAGAAGGCGATGGTAGAGGTCGAGGAAAAGACTTGGGTTGTGGTTCGGGGCGAAGGTCCTCGTCGCTGCTTGACTCGGGAGGGGATGCATTGCTGACGACGAGGACCCGTCTCCGGCGAGGCTGCCTGGTGTGAATCGATCGCGCGTCGTCGGACATCATTGCCATGAGCGAGGGTGGACGTCGGCAAAAGGACTGCCGGGCAAGCAAGCGGGAGTGCGTGTGCGATCACTGGCGATGGAAAGGGCCTCAGCGAGGAGCATATGGGGGTCAAGAGAGAGACTGACCAGGGCCCGTCGAGGGAGAGAGCCTGCTCCGACGGCGTGGGTGGCTGTGAATGCAGAGGACGCGGAGGGAGGGACGGGGGCGTCGACGAGCTAAACGACGAGAAGGCGACCATGCGAGAGGCACCAAAGGCTACCGCCGGCTTAGTCAGCAATCGGCATACCGACCCCCGCGAGTCCGAACCGCCGCCACCTCCGTCTGACCTCGGTTCGCACGTCTCCGGCGCCGCCTCCGCCATGCTGACAGGCGCCTGTCGCTCGCTTAGCACTGGGTCTCGCCGCCTCGTTCCCAACCTCCGTCTTCATAGCGCTCCCGCAAAGCCCTTCTAGCATTCCACTCCTCTGCACATGAACTCCTCATGGTCGCCTCCTTACTCCAATTGCCCCCTTCTCCGGCTCATTCGGGCCAATATCGACAATCAGCCACCCGGATGCTACGGGGGCCTCTCAGCGCGAGGCTTTCCCGGCCTTTCTTTCAGCTCATTCCATGGCACCCGTGCCCAACAGGCCCCCTGCTGCGACCGGGCACGATCTAGCCATCGAAGCCTCATTTCTACATCCCGCCAGATCACCATATCATGAACCTGTCAGGCTCCCCCTCACGATCATCTGATTGTTGTCCTCGTACCTACCGTACAATCTCACTAAATCTCCCGGTTTCATGTTTCATTCATGCCTCTCAGGGACTCGCGTGTGCCGAGCGGTACCAACTGTCCATGTTACAAAGTCCGTACAAATACATACACGTATCGAAACCACACAGCCTATGGACCCTGCGCGCCACCTATCTGCTTGCTCGCCCACCAAACGTCCCATCGTTTAGGTCAAGCTGCAAGCCATCATTCGTCAGTCAATTCAAGCCAATTCCATGATTGTACGGAGCACACCTTTGGCAGATCCGCACGCTCTTCTAGCAGGGCTTCGCCCCAACAAAGCAGCCGCAGCAAACCGACGAGCTTAGCCTCTTTCCCTTGGCTGAAGCTCTCAAGGATCGCGGCGTTCACCTCGGCCGCAGTCTTCATTCGCTGGGCTGTTGACAGCAGCTCGCTCACGGATGACGGCATCATGGGTGACGACTCGAAAGCGAGCAGAGCCATAGTACGCTCAAGCTCAGCAAGGAACTCAGGGCTCTCCTCGCCACGAGGTGCAAGCTCCTCCTGGGCAAACTGGAGCGCCTCCGCTATCTGGCCTTGGCGGATGAACTCAATGAGTTTCTGCTGCTGAAGGCGGAAATATAATGATGGATTCGTGTCGAGTATCTACAAATGCAGTGCCGTATCAGCATCAAGCCTAGCAGGAGCGCGCAGATAGGGCATCATATTGAAGACTGAAGTTTTGGTGATTAGTCTCACCATGGGCCCTAGGGGCCTCAGCGTGGTGCATGAAATGTTTAATCCTTTCGCGGCTATCTCGGGGAGCACATCAGAGAGACTGAGCGCAGATACTCACCTCAGGGTTCAAGTCGTTCACCCGGGTTATCGCATCACCGACATCACCGCGCTGAAGCGCCTCCCTTATGTTCATCCTGTTCTCGATAGAGTCGAAGTCTACAGGCGCATCCATACCCGCCTCCTTGCTGAACTCTTCAGCTGTAGACTTGTACCCCTCGATGACGAGGAAGTCCATGACAAGCCGATTTAGGTCACTGCGCGAAAGGGAGGTTAGTATGTGGATTATATTAGCTCACAAAGCAAGAGGGCGACGCTGAAAGTCAGATAATACATGCAAATGTTTGACTCTTCAAGGATATTCAGAGAGATTCCCAATGAAGTTGCTCATCCTAGGAACGTCGCCGCCATTGATATCAGAATTGAACACTCACTCTTTTGACACTTGAACATCGTGTAGCCGCCTTTCCCACTCTTGCTGATAGATCTTCGCCTTCTGCTGGCTAGGCTGGTGACCGGAAGACCATTAGTTGAGGGCTAATAGCGAGCGCAGAAAGCAACAGACCATGGGGAACGCGACGGAAATTGGAGGCAAAAGTTTTATGTGACCAGAAGACTTCAGGGCAAGCTTCCCACCATCATGCGCAATCAAGGCGGGCGGGCGCTTTTTGCGGCCCGGGGTCCCGCCCGTTCATTCGATGCGTCGCTCACTGGCATAGCTCTCATCCGAAACGCCTGAAAACCACAAAATCCTACCGACAAACCGGAAATATGTCACAATTTATAGGGATAACAGAGCTGGCGTGTTTCCATCTTGAACTTCGCAGCGGAGATCATGATGATATGCATGGTGGCCAATATCGAGTACAAGAGCTTAGCCACCGTGTATTGGCACGAGCAGTCCATTAGCGGAGTAGCTACACGCGGCACTAGCTGCAGCACGTAGAATATTCACGCCTTGGATACGATGCCGCCGGATCGAATGATGTCCAAGAAGTCGTCTTGAGCCAACGTCGCTGCAGAGCGTCTCAGCAAGGTATTCGCCAGATGTATGAAATGCGTACCGACCTTCTTTCCCTCTTCCAATGATGTTGTCCTGGCGCTTGCCCTTCTTCTTTTTGTCGTGGATGGCGGGAGCAGGGAGAGTTGGCTTACCCGTGCCACGATTTGATTTCAGTTCCTCCGCTGCAGCGGCAGAAGCGGCCTGTGATTGCTGAATAGCGTTGAAGAGCTTCACAACTGCAGAAGGCGCATGAAAGCAATCAGCCTAAGAAGCGGGAATAATATAGAACACAAACCTCCTCGCTGCGCGACTTTCCGTAATGCCCTTTCGCTCTCCCCTCCCCACCCACCAATAACGTCCGTTATCCGCCCCCGGTCCTCCTTTTCCTTCTTCTCTATCTGTAACACATGCTTTCCCTTCGCCTCTAACTTCTCATCCCTTCGCTTCTTTGCAATGGAGGGCTTGAGCGACAGAGGAGCTGCAGGTGCATTTGTGGTGAGCAGCGACTGCAGAGTCGCACCGAAATTGACAGCGTCTGTAGCGCGCCGTTTTCTCTTCAAGGTCTTCTTGGACTTGGCGAGCTTTGCATCGGCGATCTCGTCTTCCGTGTCCGGTTCGCTTGCAACGACGCTGGATCCAGCATCGGACGAGTACTCGTCCTGTTCAGAGCCGGAAAGGATCTCTTCGTCATTCTCTGTTTCCGAGATTTCATCATCCGAGGTCTTCTGTCGTTTCGCGGGCGGCATCATGTGAACCAGGACGGGGAAGATAGACAGTAGCAAGGACGGCAGATGGTAGGCAAAAATCGGGAGTCTGGCCGAGTCCGCGACCAAAAGCTCAGAGAATACCGTTACATAGTCGGAGCACGTGTTGTAGGCAATGTATCCGAAGCGCCCATAGACGGTTGTGTCCGTCGCAATGAAGACTGGTGCACCCCATCCACCGACGCCGTTCATGCACATCTAGACTTCGTTACTCGTTGATTTCTTCTTCATATAATAACGTGTCCCTCGGCAGTGGCTCAGTGCTTACTACGGCATCATACCCGGTCATACGGCGCGCAACCCCCATAGGGTCCCGCGAACGCGCTCCATCAGCCTTCTCCTAACCCGTTTGTGCAAGACCGACGCCGACCGAGCATACACGTCGTAGTTGGCATGGAGGCCTCTAGCTTCTCCCCGGTCGATTTCACGGTTGAGCCAGACTTACAACCTCTCTACCCGACCAATGCCCAGATCTCGGATCTGTTATCTCACCATGTCGGCCTCGCTCCTTCGCAGAAGGCGGAGCTCGTAGCGCACTGCCTGGTGCGTGCGTGCGCGTTCGCAGACCTCTCCTTGCTGTCCTTCCTCCTCCAGGATTCGCAGGCGCAACAGTTCGTCGATCTCTCCAAGCAGGACGAGGACGGCCTCGGGCTAATCAGTACTGCCATCCTCGGCTTCGGCTCCGACTCTGACCGCGACATCGAACGCGAGGAATGCGTCAGGCTCCTAGTGTCGGAGGGCTGCGACGTGAATGTTGCCGACAGTGGTACGTCCGTTGCCCAACTGGAAATGTGCACACCTCAGTAGTGGATTTGTGTAGCCGGCTGGACCCCACTGCATTACGCCTCCCTGCTCTCTCCGCCCACGCTCGTGTCCTATCTCCTCACACATGGATCGTCGCCCCTTGCCATTACCAGGCGTGGGTTGACTGCGCTTGACATCGTGACTGCCCACTCTACTGTGCCCGGACGGGAAGATGTCGCACTGCTACTTGAAGAAGCGATGCGAGAAGCAGGGTGGCAAGGTGGCCGAATGGAAGAGCAACGTCGGATCCTCGAGAAGCGTATGCGTCGACTGGGAAAGCGAAGACACGTCCAAGAGGATATCGAGAAGGTTCTCGGTGTTAATCCTAAGTGGTGGGGGGACGAGGATGCCCTCTACTCACTCGACACGGACGAAGATAGCGATGACGAGGCCCCTAGCGAACTCACACTCGTGAGTTTACTTGACATCGTGCTACGTCGTTGTCTCTCAATGCGAACCACAGACTCCACCGCCAGATTTCTCGTCGATGCTTGTGTTTTCCCCTATGGCCCTACCGCACATCTACCAGTCCCTGATTAGTGACTTCCGGCCCCAACTCCGGAACGCCGAACCCGCGAACGCATTGTATATGCTTACGCGGTTCGCGTGCCTGAGTTGCGATGACAACTGGGTCGAGGATTTGATCATCGGTGCTACCGACGCCATTGAAGATGTCTTCTTCGTAAGTGATCGTACTTCTTTTCACAGGGTACGCGGCTTGATTCTGAGCACCCGACGTGCAGAACCATGCCGAGGACCCGACTTATCTCATATTCTGGCTGTACAACACCACTGTTTGGTTACATCTCATGCGCTGTGACAAAGCCATCAATCAGACGTGCGAGAGTCTCGGTTCTCTGTCATTGATCGAGGAGATCCTGAACTCCGTTTTCGGTGCGTGTATCTGTACTATGTGCGTTCTCGACTCATTTGACCTCTGGTACAGTCTTCGTAATTCGCTTCGCCGAACGGAGAATAGACCAACTTCTCGATGCCGCAATGTTGGACTACAGTCCAGCGTCCAGCGAATTTGACTCTATCCAGTTCGAAGGCGAATGGTCGTTCTTGCGGTCGTTCGCTGGCAAGAAGAAGGTGAATGGCGCGGTCACATCAAGTACGCCTCGAGGGAACCCACCCATGTCCCCTACACAAGTCAGCAGGCCTCCGTCTCCCCAACCTGCGGCATCTCCTCAGAATGTCAGAGGGGGCTTTGCTTCCCTTCGGCAGACGTTCACGCGCAACCGTGGTGGATCTACAGCAACCCCCTTGCAATCCTTATTTGACCCTCAGCAACCTACGACGTCACCGAAGGACATCATCTCGTTCATCACCGCGCTGCATACGCTTCTTACCATGGCCGGCATCAACCCCGCTATAATCACTCAGTTCTGGTCTCAGGTTATGTATTGGACCTCAAGTGAGTCTCATAAAGCGTCAAGTCGCATATTTCACTGACGATATGCTAGGCGAGATATTCAATCGTATTCTTACGAGGAAGAAGTATCTGTGCCGGTCAGTCTCCCATTCTGACCATATCGGGTGCACCATGTGAATTACTATCCGCCGCAGGTCACGAGCCCTCCAGATCAGCATGAACCTCAGCGTCATTGAAGAGTGGATTGCCAACATGGAGCTGCCGAAGAACATAGGCTCGCACTTCGCGCCTGTCCACGACCTCTTGATGTGGCTACAGGTATGTTCTGCTTTCCCATGTTCCTTTCGAAACCTGACTATATATCCTGTAGTGTTTGTCGTCCATCACGGAGTTCGCCAATCTAATTGCGACCATCCAGAACATGAAGCATTTAAATCCTCTGCAGGTCTGTCTACCTGAGTTGGACTGATTGTGACCTGGACTGACCCGTATTTAGATGCGCCGCGCTGTACGAGACTACAAGTACGAGGTCAACGAGGGTCGTATGACAGAGGAGTGCAATCAGTACTTGCAACAACTGCAGAAAGATTGGGAACGGCACCGGGTCAAGGTGGGTGTAGCGCAGCTGCGGAAAGAGGTGAGCGGCGATATTTGCTGTTACGATCAAAGGCTCTGGGTTACTCATCTCTATCTGAAACAATGTTAGATCGGCGAACGCGAACGAGAGCGGGAGGAGAGCAGCGCATCTCCATCTCTCCATGAAGCGCCCTTGAATTCCGAACAAGCGTCAATAGCACCGTCAATCGAATCCGCAGCGCAGCGCTCTATCGACGCGCTCTTTGACCGGTCACAGGAAAAGCTGTTCTGGGAACCTGCCAAAGCTCCGGAACCGCTGGGGGAGCTCCTGGATTCTCGATACATGCTTCCCCTCTTGCTCCCCTCTGATCCACGCATGCTCGGGGCTCTTCCGAAGAAGCCCGCGAGCCTCAGCGAGGAGAAGAACCACCGGATAAGTGTTGACGGCTCCAGCCGGAGTACGAGTCGCGCGAGCTTTGGGAACCGAGGGGCAATGGACTGGAAATTTAGCAAGAAGTTGCGCGATATCGGACCAACGACACTGTTGTGGGTGGACGGCAGCGTCTCGGCGGCGCGGTGGACGCGACCGGTGGAGCCAGAGCCGGACGAGGAAGAGGAGAGACCGCCGCCGTACTCGTCTGACGAACATCAAGGGGATGGAGAAGACGATGATGGGCAAGGAACGCTGAGGATCAACACCGCCGTCCACCTCACTGCGTTGACTCGAGCTCCATCAGGACGGAGTAGAGGGAGGACGAGCATGGCGGGTGGTACTCCGATAGACCATAGGGACGCGTCACTGGTATCGTGACGGGCGTGGACGGAATTTGGACCTGAGTTGTAATCGATGTTGCATTGCTGTCCGCTGAGATGTACGTACATATTGCTGCTTTCTATTCTCCTTCTGCATACCCGCTCGTTCGCGTTGAGTCCGATAACCCAAAGGCGCTTGAGCAACAGCTTTTGTTCATTTTCAACCATCATGACTACGGGACCGTCGCAGGTCCAGCTATTGCACTCTGTAGCTTCTTTCCACGTAAAGGCATGGATCTCTTCATGATGAGATCTGAGGTTGGCCCTTATCACGAGGAAAGTGATCGTCCTGATTAACCTCTATATTCTTACTTCTCGAGCCCGGAGGTATGCAGGATTCAGTAAGTCAGTTTCAATCACTTTGGCAAGGACATTGATGGAACATTGATGTCTCAAGTTGCAGCGCTGCATCCCTGAATGGACCACAGACAGGTCAATATATGCTCTTGCTTGACGGTCCGCTGGCGCGGGCCGTCGCTAGCAGATTGCGAGCACTTATTAAGGTGATGCCCACGCAGTCGTGTAGATTCCCACCGTCTCGGAGGCACCATACTTGAGAGAGTCTACCATCCGCGTTGCTGTCGTGCGGACCACAATGTCTCGTACTTTTGCAAACCCCGTCGCGTCCGTAGCTAAACCGGCAACTCTGGTGCTCCTCCTTCCTGAGGCGCACAGTTCGTGGGGCCAACAAGTAAGATCTCTTGCGCATTCTGTAATCATATGCGATCGCTCACTACCCGCCGGCACAGCTAAGCGAAGAGGGCTACGACGTCATTCTCGTACACTATCCCAGCACTGCCGAGAGTTTGGCCGCCGGATTGGCAGAAGTTCATGGTAAAATCGGACATGAAACCCAGTGGGCACTGGTGACGTACGGGCTGGAGAGCGCGGATCTAAGCTTCGCGAAGTCTGTGCTCGGTGCAGGGAAGTTGAAGGCCTTCGCCCACTATTGCCCCCAGATCGAAGACGGCAGTGGTCTCATCCTTGACTTCGCCGATAGCACCACTATTCCGTGAGTTTTCGGCTGCGGTGCGATGGTGTCTTGCTTCGCGGCTGGTACCAATCGACATGATGATCTACAGTACCATATTCCACCTTTCCGCCAAACAAGAAGCTCTCCATGCTTCCCTCATAGAACTTGCCGAGAAGAAGGCGGCCGGGATCCCGACCTCGAAGCCACCCCCGGTGACTGTCTTCACGTACCCCCTCGTCTCGGCTTCGCCCCCCTTCCCGTTCGAGGCTGGACCCCCGATCGACCACGCGAGCGGGAAGATCAGGACGATCGCTCCGCACTTACGCTCGGCGAACAACCTTTCGTACACGCGGACGCTTGCGCTGCTTCGAAGGGAACTCGGACCACACTTCCCGCTCGAGAAGCTCTGGGAGAAGCACGCGTACTACGTGAGTTTGGATGTACTGAGTTCTCGGCCCCTGCGCGGCCGAGAGTGGTTTCCGACAAGAGCCTTCTGAGTACTTATACCACACTTCAGGAATTCGAGGAACGGGATGCGCTCAGTACGTCTCTCTGTTCATGCGCTCGTCGGACCGCGATGAGACTGAGATAGCATCATTTCCGGTTTCCTTGAATAGAGACGATGGCTACGATGGTGCGTACTAGATGCTCCTCCGCAGCCTTGCCAGAAAGGGGGTTCAAACAGTCCGTCACTGACTGAGCGTCCCTGGCCTGCAGGTCTTCACGCCGTATGTGAACCACGTTGCCACGATGACCGGAGGCGTAGGATATGAGGAATTAGCCCGGTTCTACAAGGTCCGTTCCTCGGCGTCCGTGGCAAACGCACGCGGCTGAGAGACACCCGTCGGGGAATATACGGACCTAGTATCACTTTGTCAAGGAGGATGTGAGTGCTTCGCAATCCTGTGTGGATCTGCTGCGCAAGTAACACTACTGCCTCATCAGGTCACCCCGTCAGACACTGAATTGATTACGGTTTCTCGCACGAGTACGTCCCTGACCCGTCTCGGAGGAATAGCAGACCCTGTGCGGATCTATTGACCCACTGGCGCTACGGTTTCGGTAGTCGGCGCGGACAGAATCATCGACGAGATGATATTTAAATGCACTCACACGACTGTCAGTAAAAGCGAATTCATCTCCGAGTGCGGACGCACGTGCTGACTTCAACCGTGCTTCTCTCAGGAAATCGACTACTTCTTGCCGGGCATCAAACCTACTGGCAAGCGGCTGGAAATAGCACTGGTGGGCGTTGTCGCGTTTAGAGGAGACAAACTGACGTTCGAGTAAGCTCGCTCTCGAGAATACAACGACAGCTTAGCTGACAACGCCGCTTACACAGGCATATGTAAGTCTATATAGGAGTACTACGATGGCGCCACGACTGAATGAGGACGCGTAGCTACTGGGACCAAGCGTCTCTTCTCGTACAGGTGCGGTGTTCATCAAGTTCCCGTAACGTGACCTGAGATTATTTTGCAGCTCGGCCTCCTTGATCCTACAGGGTTGCCGGTTGCAGGTGCAGAGGTCGCGCACAAAGTGGTCGACCCGTTCGGTTTGCCCAGCAACACATTACTGGCCAGGTGGAAGGAAAGCGAAGGCAAACCGGTTGATTGAGAGATGATCGCACGCGTACGCGCGAATCAATCCTGTAATCGAGTGAGAGAAGTGTTTGCCCTCGTAATTTGATTCGAACTCGGCTCGTCCTAGGGAGAAGTAAGATATAGGCACCGAAAGCCGAACATTTCTTGCTGCGCTGATCGCTCGTGAAAAAGAAACTAGCAATTCAGATTCGACGTGAACACTGGCTGCGGGTGGTCCCTGCGAGTATATGGCACAGCCGCGGCGCAGCACCCGTTTGGTAACCTCGGGGTGTATGTCGACTGGGACAAAGGGGCCTCGCCATGGCAGACCCGCGATGGTCGATGTTGGAGTCACAGTCAAAGTGAAATGCGGATGGAACGCTCTGAATAAAATAGCAGCGCATGCGGGTGGTGTTCATTTGTGAAATAGGCAGCGGGCGCGGGCGCTAGTGTTGGCGGGGTGTGGACAAGGCAGTACGTACGGGCGTGAGCACTGCAGACACATGTCGCCTGCCATGTATATATGTACTTGCAGCATCCCGATCCCTGTCTCATTACCGCGCTGCTTCCTTCTCTCCTTCTCCGTCCCCTTTTCTCTCTCCCCCGACACCCCGTCCTGTGACCCTTCGTCATTACGCTCCTCTGTAACGAACCACCGCCATGTCTGCGATGCCCCATCCTAGCGATCACGAGTCTGAGTCTGATTCCAAGCCGCTCCTCACCCACGGAGACGAACCGAGCGCGTCGCACGAATTCCACAACCCCGTCTATGATTCCGACTATCGCTATAGCTACACGGATGAGAACTTGAAGTACTATCCAAGTGGCCCCAACCAGTCCGAGACCAAGCTCGATGATCCGTTCACTCCAAAGCCGGAGGCATACATCCAGCCCCAGGAATATACTCGCCAGACGCGTTATGAGGACATGGGTACGTATTATTGCGTCTCACCTAGTGAGTCTCCGTCTGAAGGCCCAGTAGACATTGCGGAGGAGTCCTTCACGATACCCGCTGGCAAGTCTGGGCAGATGATGAGCGCAAGACCAAATATGTTTCAAAGGTACTTCGGACTCTACCCCTTGGCCCAGCGAATAGAGGACAAGAAAAGGGGCGTTGGGATTCAGAGGTACCCTATAGCAGGTGCGTAACCGGATCCTTGCCAGGGCATGCTTCTCTGACACTTGACAACAGCATGGGCGTTGTCGGCAGTGATGCTGGGTATTCTCATTGATGAGCTAGTAACGAACCAGAAGGCGCAAAGAACGCCGTTTTCATTCAAGGTACCCGTTATTGCTCGCATATACGCGCCTCTGGAAGCGTGACCGCAGTATAGCCTGTAGTAAATCCCATGCTGGGTCCCTCGTCGTCCGCATTGATCGAGCTTGGCGCACGGTTCCCGCCTTGCATGAAGAATGTCACAGACTTCCCCATAACGACGGCAGTTCCTTGTCAGTGTCTCATTTGTCATGTTATGTGATGGATGCTGATCACATCTCATCATCTAGGTCTTAACAACACCGACAATCCTGCAACGCAGCTGTGTTCGTTGGAGGATATTTGTGGGTTTGGCGGGTTTCACAATGAGGTGCCCGATCAATGGTTCAGGTGCGGCCTTGACGAGCAACTGTTTGTTATGAGGAGATAATGATCAACCGGAGCTTAGGTTTATCACGCCTATCTTCCTTCATGCTGGCTTGATTCACTTCTTGCTGAACATGCTCGCGCAAATGACCGTATCTGCGCAAGTTGAGCGGGAGATGGGAACGATCGCGTTCCTCATCCTCTACTTGGCCGCTGGGATCTTTGGGTATGACTGTTGTCTACTACCGATCGAATGGTCTTGCTGACCGCAACGTAGTAATGTCCTCGGCGGCAACTTCTCGTTGGTTGGCTCTCCGTCGGTTGGTGCGAGTGGCGCCATCTTCGGAACTGTCGCAGTAATTATATATCGGAACGTCCTTGAAAGACATTACCTGATTATGCTTGGTTAAGGTCGCCTGGGTGGACCTCTTCGCTCACTGGAGATACACTTACCAGCCGGGCAAGAAGCTGGTCTTCATGATCATCGAGTTGGTTATTGGTGTTGCGATTGGATTCATTCCTTGTAAGTGTGCCTCTGCACGTTCTGGGCAGACTCGACTGACGCACTTCGCACCAGATGTGGACAACTTCGCTCACCTCGGCGGTCTTCTCATGGGTCTCCTGGTTGGCATGGCTCTCTACCCGATCATCAGCCCTTCCACTCGTCATCGTACGATCATAATTGCTCTGCGTCTCATCGCTGTCCCATTGGCGATTGTGCTGTTCGTGGTCCTGCTACGCAACTTTTACACATCCGACCCTTATGCTGCGTGCTCATGGTGTCGGTACCTTTCGTGCATACCTTCTTCGTCCAATAACCATTGCAAGGGGTGAGTCGCTACAGAGTCTCTTGCCTTCATATCTCATCTGACCCACGTGTTTGCATAGAACTGGGTTCGCATCGGGCTCTATCTAAGTACGTGGTGCCTTCGATTCTTCACGCTTGCTCTTCGACTCCTAGCCGTTGCATATCATGAATCTCGTATCTGTTCGTCAAGGACAATCGGACTTTCTGTAAAGCATCCATCCCGCTACATCTACTTAGTGTCAATAATAGCTACGCTCTTTCTCGGACGGTGGAAATGGACAGCATGGTGACCCGTATGTTAGTCAAGAATTTCATTGTACCATGGTCTGCTTTATGACTTGCTTGCTCTTAAATAAGCTGGTCCTGTTGGCAGATACGCCTAAGCATGGCTCGTGGGGTATATTACTAGAAGTCAGTATACTTACTAATAGCTCAAAGGCCCCAGTACATATCCTCCGATTCATGTTCGGGGATACTGCATGTCCTCATGTCGGTGTATGAATCGGTATTTCTGGAGCTCTCCGTGGTTCGTTGTGGGGCCGCTACAGCGAGAACGATTACCGACGTGGTGCGGTTCTTATGCACGCACAGATAAGCGCCAACATACATAGTGTCCTTCTCCTTCTGCCCCTTCGACAACTGGCCAGGCACCAGTGAAGCATCTGGCCTACAAATCCTGTAGTATCCACAGTACTTCCCTCCCTTCTGCTAGCGTTTCTATGCCGAATAAGCCATCTTCATCATTCTGAAGAGCATCAATAGCATCGTACTGGACAAGACGTCATGCCTCCGAAGCGCTTCCAGTTCTCGGTCAACCCTTTATGGCCCCATTACTTGTCATGGGCATGCGTGGGTGTCGCTGTTGCACTGGGGCTGCTGCGGTATGGTATCTTTGGTGCGTCGTACTTGTATTCACTTGTCTACATTGACCCTGACGCGTCGCACGACGTCTAGACCGCCCCGACCCACTTCATTGCAACGCTTTACTTATGGAGGGCCGATGGCTGGATACAGCGTTTCGGAATTGGCAGCCAGATGGTGCGCCAGGACGCTCTTTGCGCCAATTCTTGTTACTGAAGCCCAAGATGCTAGGCTGCATGATTTACCAGTACCAAGCCAAGGATGTCTCGACGTGCATGAAGTCCAGACGTGTGGTTTTCATCGGAGACTCGGTCACTCGACAGCTATATTTCCAGTTTGCTCATATCGTTGACAAGAGCCTTCCATCTGGCCCGCCGGACGATGATCACAAGCATGCCAATTACACTTACACGTCCAATACGAACGTCCAGCTCTCTTTCTACTGGGATCCCTTCTTGAACACAAGTCATACCCAGGCTCTCCTCCACCCCGTCGCACACACGACTCCGTCAGACAACCCCGCTCTGTTGGTCATTGGCTCTGGGCTATGGTATCTCCGTTATGCTGAGTCTGGGGGCCTTCCTGCATGGGAGGCCACCATGGAGTCTACCCTCAGTGCCATCTCCCAAGCACCCCACCCGCTTGCAGACCGTGTCGTCGTCTTGCCCATAGAGGATGTCGTATCGTCAAAACTATCGCGAGACCGCGCCGCCTCCATGCACGCGTCGGACATCGACGCCATGAACTCGGACCTCCTGCACAGGATACAACCGGCCCCGCTCCGCGATCCTTTCTCTTTCCTGCCTATACCCACCCGCCGTCCCACTGCTATGCCGGTGTCGTTGCCGCTGGCGTTCAATGGGATGCTGCACCCTTCCCAGACGGAGGACGGGCTACACTTTTCCGACCTTGTCGTCGGCATGCAGGCGCAAGTGCTGCTCAACTTGCAGTGCAACGACGTGCTACCGAAGAAGTTCCCGTTCGACAAGACTTGCTGCCGTTCGTACCCGAGGCCTGCGCCTTTGCACCTGCTGCTTCTTGCTGGAGTTATTCTGTGGGGACCAGCCAACTGGCTACTCGCTCGTCGATTCAGTAGGTACCAAACAGGGTTTCCCCCTCGTGCCAACTGACCTCCCACCACTAGGTCCCCAGTCCTCTGGCCTTCCCCTTATAAGAGACGACGAGGTCTACGCGCTCGTGGTCAGCTTTGCCTCAGCAATCATCTTCCTCGCAGACCGCACCGGCTATTGGTTGAAGGAGCAGAAGCAATTTGACCCATGGACTTTCGCGTTCCTGTCGCTCTTGAGTCTTGCCGTGGGCCTGCTCACGGTCACGCGCGCAGACAAGGATCTTGGTTTCCTCAATAGGGAGCAGACCGATGAGTGGAAAGGTTGGATGCAAAGTCGGTCCATTCTACTTTCGTATGATCTTTCCGACAGTTTGCTTACTCGGGTCAATGCAGTTGCCATCCTGATTTACCATTACACGGGTGCTTCGAAAATCTCCGGGATCTATAACCCCATCCGGGTCCTCGTGGCGGCGTATCTGTTCATGACAGGCTATGGCCACACTACATTCTACGTCAAGAAGGCCGACTTCGGGCTATTGCGGGTCGCCCAGGTTAGTGCCGCGGTATCCTCAACCGTGATTTCCTGTTTTTGATAACAGTGCTGCAGGTCTTGATCCGTCTGAACCTACTCACATTGCTTCTGGCATATACCATGAACACCGACTACCTCTACTACTACTTCGCCCCTCTAGTGTCTCAGTGGTATTTGATCATCTACGTGACTATGGCCGTAGGCGCGCAGTACAATGACCGCACACCTTTCTTGGTGGTCAAGCTGCTCCTCTCTATGGCTATCGTGACGGTATTCATGAGCCAGCAGTGGATCTTGGACATGGTCTTCGAGTTTCTCGAGCGATTCTGCAACATTCGCTGGGACGCTCGGGAATGGGCCTTCCGCGTCAACCTCGATCTTTGGATTGTTTACTTCGGGATGTTCACTGCCCTAGCAGTGATCAAGATCCGCGATCAACGTCTCACCGACCACCCTCTTTGGCCGCAGGCTACCAAAATCGCATCAGGGTTATCTGCGGTTGTCCTGCTTTGGTTCTTTGCGTTCGAGCTGTCCCAACCGGACAAATTTGCCTATAATGCGTGGCATCCTTACGTGTCTTTCCTTCCCGTCGGCGCGTTTGTCGTGTTGCGCAATGCAAATGCGATCCTACGGTCAGGCTCGTCCCGTGCGTTCGCATTCATTGGGACGTGTTCTCTGGAGACCTTCATCATCCAGTACCATCTCTGGCTCGCTGGCGACACCAAGGGTATCCTCGTGGTCATCCCCGGACGGCACTCTCGGCCACTGAACCTACTTTTGACCACCATAGTATTCGTCTACATATCTCATCTCGTCGCGAAGGCCACCGGAGAAATCACGAACTGGATATGCGGATCATCGAAGAAGGATGCGTCGCTGCCCACTACATCTCAGCAGGCCGACGCTTCTGGCTCGCGGAGGCCTGAGCCAACTCGTGTGCCACCATCAGAAGAGGGTCAGGAGGTGATCTTCATGGTCCCTCAGGACGAAGGCGAAGCGAGGAAGGATCGGGATGGCAACCCTCTACCGCAAGAGCCAGATACTCCTGCGCGTCCCCCGCGTCGCTGGATAGACCGCTTAGCCGAGGGTTCCTCAGCGCCGCCTTCAGCTGGATTGCGACTATGGTACGGTGATTCGGAGTGGAAGCCGGGGTTGAGTACAAAACTCCTGATAGGAGCGGTAGGCATGTGGTTGCTGAACATCATGTGGCCTGTACCGCAATAGTAGCATTGCCCATCTCTGACGTTCGCGGACACACACATAGACACGATAATATCCATACGCTTCATTGTACAGCTATACTACGTTACCGACACAACCCTCAATCCCATAACTTCGGGCGGTTGCGCAACTATCGAATGTTCACTGTAAGCAATAAGTCAGCTACGATTTTCTCGGAATGAGAGGTATGATGGGAACGTCAGTATTAGCATGGTAATGATCGTCACTTCCTGTCCTTTAGACAGGTTCAGGACTTGACTCTATGTTTGTTCATCATTCGCGAAGACTAGAGTCATGCTCACCTATACGCAGTATAGCACAATCTTCAGACTAACAGTTCCTGCAAGGGCGAGTTGGGTAAGCTCAAAGCTAGACCGTGTAGGACGAGAGCTCGGAAATTTGGGTATATGATTCTGCGTTCATCGACCCATGGGTCTCGAAGTAGCGATTCATTTTGTCTCATCATCGCAGAATGATAGAGGTGGTGACGTACCGGCCGCAACATGTCGAGGAGTTGAGTGGCAAGACGAAGACGCGTCGAGGACACGGAAAAAAGTTCTCTATATGATGAAGGTCACGTGGAGGACTAAGGGCAGGCAACGCGTAGTGCTATGGGCGTTTTTGGCGCGGCTCTAGCGCTTCGCTTCTCTGTTTCGTTTCGTCCGGGTTGCGTATCCCACCACCTCGTCTCTTATTCCTACCAGCAGACAATGGCAAATGTCGTTACCCACCCACATCTACAGGTCGGCTTTCACCCTGGCCCAGTTGGCCACTCACCTTCACCACTGGGCTTCGGATTTGGCCTTTCAACCACCGGAATGATGCAAGGCTGGCCGTCTCCAGCCTCACATACCCAGCCATCACCCTGGGCCGTCGCGCCACCACCATCACAAGTACAGACAAGGCTGGCGAAGAGGCGACTTGAGCCGGAGGATGAGGACCGAGACGAGAGGATGGACAGGAGCCCTACGCCGGAGAGACCTAAGCGTGCCGCACCGAAGCGGGCTCGCACCACGCCTGCCGCAGTTTCAACTGCTGGGAAGGAGCAGCAGCATACTGCGAAGGAGAATAAGCCACATTCGCAGAATGAGGAGAGCGACGTGGATGTGGGCTTTCTGCTAGGTGAGTTATCGTTTCGAAGCGTCGTCAGCTGGTGGCTAATCGATCCTTAGCGAGCCTACCTCCGCAGTCTCTCCTCCCGCTTGTCACGTCGCTGCTCTCTGCCCAACCCGCACTCAAGTCTACAATTCTTTCTCTCATCCCCCGCCCGACTCTCGACACTGCCTTACAAGGATTGGCTAATTCAGCCCAGAAACTGAAGGAAGCATACCCGTATTCAAATTCCGTCTTCTCTCAGCCAGGACCTCCCTCGTTCAGCATTCCCGGCAGCAATCGCGCATCCCAGTCGTCGTTTTCGACTGGCTTTGGTTTTGGCGTTCGACCTGCAGCCGGTACCGGTTTCGGCTCGGCGTCTTCCTGCGCGTCGAGCGGCGGCATGCGAGAGGAGTACATCATATCCCGCCTACGACCCCACATACAGGAGTTTGTCTCTGCCTGTTTCTCATACCTCCCCTACTTCTCCATCGCCACCACGTTCGAGCCTGCATTCTCTTCAAGATCACATGCAGCCCAGACCCATGCCTCCGCTCTTCGCCAACAACACAAGGACAAGCTGCACCCGACGGAAACCTATCTCTTCCTCGCCGCCCTCACGTCACACGTTCTGTCACAACCTCCGCTTACGCAAGCGTCCCTCGTGCCCCTGCTCGTCTCGCGTTTGGAGGAGGAGTGGAAAGCTTGGGTGGATCATGTGGACAAGACCGTGAACCAGCAGGGCGGTATGTTCGGGAGGGAGACGGTGGCCACATGGGAGCGTGGTTTGGACGACTTCGCGCAAGCAAAGGATCATGGAATGGAGATGATGAAGGACATCCGGGATCGTTGGGTTTCGAAGGTTGGTTGGCTAGTCGGACGACAGCCCGTGCATCACATGGACGAGCTTTGAGCTCGCGCGCCGAAGACGAGGCGGGTTTGGTTTCTCTTAGCGAAGTTTGTGGACCTACGAATGTTCATCATTCTCGTAATATCCCCTGCCCATCTTTCACCCAGTTTCCGTAGTCGCACAGCGCTCAGCATCTGCATGGCTTCCGTTCCCTCCACATCGTATTTTCTACTCCACTTGCTTATCCGCATCTGTACAACTGCAACGCCTCCCCAACCTAGTATGCAATGACATGACATGAAGCATCGTATTCGTTCCTTACTCTCATTGGGCGTGTGCAGCGTCCTGGAGCGGTTCTTACCGGTGCGACCGATTCGGGTTGTTGATGATTGTTGATCCTCGCGTGGTCGAGCGGTTCTTTGAACGCTCGAGGTCGCGGCACGTGGCGATTTTGTACGAGTGCTCGACAGTATAGACGCTCGTCTGCCCAGCACGTCCGAAGCTGGTGCTACAACTTGCCTTGCCAGAGCCCTCCTTCAACGTCGACACCAGACCACTCGGGGCTGGAATGCTCATGCATGCGCCACCATGCACCCTTGACTACAATCTTGCCCTCTCTGTCACTCGCTTCGGTGTTCCAGGCTGCTGCTGGCAGGGCGTGGGCCAAGACACGCCCGACGCGTGTGTACAATCGGGTCAATCTCCGCACAGAAGGGTCAGCTTCGAGCAACCTACGCACGGCGTATGGAGGTCCTGATAGTGGACGCGAACCAGGAGAGCCTTCGTCGTCCATCACATCGTACGTGCTTCCTGACTTGGATAGTATACACAACCACCTCATCCGGCTGAGCGCAGGACGCATTGTGCCGCGTCATCCTCCAGGACCGGGGCGCATTTACGCGTCCGTCCTTCTCTCCACACTCCACCTGTGCTTCCAACGGCATCACTGCCTGAGAACACCGTATCCTACACGGCGGACAATCGCGCCCACGCTGGCGACGGTTCCCTGCCCTCTCCTGCATCGAGGACCCCAGGTGTTACGTCCGTTGACGTCGACTCCTCGCCCCCTTCTGATAGCGGAGCCTCAAGCTGCGCCTCGACCGGATGCCTAACTTATGAGAGCGATCCGCCATGGGACGCAACACAGGGTTCCGTTCCCGAGCAGGAGCTCCCTCGAGCTACACCTCGACACATCCCTACGTATAACGAGCGAGGAGGATTTCCGCTTCCAGCGACGCCAAACGACCTACACCAGAACCTTCTCTGCGCTATTACGTCGGGTGCTCGCCCTCGTCTGCAGATGTTGCTCGAGTACCATGCGGCGTTTCCTACCCTACATTCGACCGCCTCGTTCAACATCCTCATCAGATACGCCATACGTCACGCCAGCTTCGGTACGGTCTCAGATCTCCTTCGTCGGATGGTGCACGAGGGGGTTGCGGGAAACGAGGAGACACGAGCGCTGCGAGTGCGGGGGTTGGTGCGGTCGGGCCGCTGGAGCCAGGCGTGGAACGAGGAGCTGGAGCAGATGCAGCAGGGCGGGCAGGGCATTCCATTACCGGTTTGGCTCGAGTTTTTCGGGTCTGTGAAACGGGGAGCCATCATGGACAGCAGCTATGTGCGTGCACGTAAAGAGGCCGTCCGTCTCCAGACGCCAGCTCCCTCGGTGACCGCCGGGCGACTGAACGCACTCCTGGATCACCCGCCGCTGCTGGCTGCTGCGGACGACTGGGGGCGGGTGCCTCCGCGCGTCGTCCATGCCATCGTCCGCGTCTTCCTGCTCACCCAGCCTCGGCGGCCGGCGGCGATGGAGATAACGGAGCGGTATTTCCAGACGCTCCCGCACGAGCTCGACGACGGATGGCGACGGGCGTGTCTCGCCATCATTCACCTCCACCTGACACTTGGACGTGCGCGGAAGCTATCGGGCCACTTCGCCGCGCTCAGGACGCTCTTCGCTTTGCTCGATATGCACCACGACTTCCACCCGACCTCGACAACCCTCTTTTTCCTCCTCCAGACGCTCAGATACGCGAAGGACTGTGGCAGCCGTGCGGACAGACTCGTGCGCTCCTTCGAAAGGCGCTGGGGTCCGGACATCATCGACCACAAGGTGCGACGCCGGTGGGCTTCCCTCTTGCTCAAACAGGGAAAAGTCGAACGCGCCCAGGCCGTCCTCGAAGCGCACGATTCACTCGGTGGTGACCGAGCCTCATTGATGGCCGAAGAAGAGTCCAATCAAGAAAAGTCTAACGGAGATCTCGAGTCCGCGCTCCGGTGGCTCGACCTCCACAGGACGCAACGGCAGGCGAAAGAGCGATGGCTCGGGCGACTGGTCCGGAGGCGATTGTGGAGGGAGCAGGTGCGCCGTTCCGGATAGTCTCCGTTGTGCGACAGTTGGGATGAGGCGAGGACTTTGTGTTGGTGGGGTGCTCTGTCCAGGAACGTAATGTTTGCAGGTTATACAATCTTACGCTAATTGGTTTCCCCGTTCGCGTATCCGAAGACCACCGGAACTCGGCAAATATTGCTCAAAAGTGAGAGATGATGGTCGTGGTCTCGGCGTGTTCTCAGAGCGGGATTTGTGCTGACGCAATAGCAGTCAGCGTAGGCAGTCGGGATTTGCACCTCTCGCAGTAGAGCGCTGCTCAACGACAGCGCGCACGCAAATCCGGAGGATGCCAGCTATGACCGCGTGGTTCCTGGTCTGCGCTCGGTCACGTCACAGTGTGCCTTCGCAAACTGATTCACGAGTAGTTTGATCGTGCAGAACCGAGGCTACAACGCCAAGGCCACGCAGGATGACAGTTAGACTACGGTGGGCTGCTGCGGTATGAAAATAATGCGGGTGTGTATCGCTGCGAGCGGGATGAGGACTACGGGCCAGAGAGGACCCACGAGAGGGAGATGGTTGACACCGCTAGCAAGCTCAGAATGAAAGAACAGGAAGACTCCGAGGAAACGCGTGCGCAAGCGGGGGCTTGGACCATATTTGGCCTGCCTGATTAGGTTTCACGTACGCCGTGGTGTGCAAGAAGTCTTTAGATCTGATCTGTCGTGCGCGGCGTGCGCTAAAACCCGCCACAGATCAAGGTTCGCTTCCGACTTGGAGCACACTGTCCAGCAAGCAAATAGACTCTGCCCGGGTCCAGACCACCGAGGCATTACCACAGACCCCTACCCCTGATGCAACCCGCGTCATTCTCCAGGCAGGCCCTCGAAACCTCCCTGATGTGTTACTCCACCGGCCTCGTTCAAGGGCGAAACATGAACCCTCGGGGACCGTTTAGGGCGACGAACTGCCGAAAGAGTCGGCATGCCTGTAGGCCACATTGCGTATGTTGCCCGATACATTGCCTGCGAACCTGCTGTCCATCGAAAAGAATTGACCGAAGCCGTTCTCTTCAGTGCCAACGAGGCCATCGTGCCCTCTTGGTTCACCGGCCTTCGCGAGCACGACCTCGCTGTACGTCAACGAAGCGAGTCTTCTTCCTCGCTGTCCCGCCCGGTGTCCAGCGGCGCCCGAGATACGCACAGCTCACCGGATCTGTCGCCAAGATTGGTGTCTAACGAGATCTGGCGGGACGTCCTCGAGATCCGGCCCAATCTCTGGTCTATTATCTCGCTTCCCGCTCCGCACTCTACCTCCCACGGCCAGGCAAACGAATTCGTGCAGTCCGGGGTCGCCGCGTGCATACTCACTAGAACGCGCTGAGCTTGCTCAACGGCCACCAAGCGGTCTAAACCGCTGTCTCATTTATGCTCGTTCGGTCCAAATTCTGCAGCTGTCAACACCAAGACACCGTCCGCGCCACCACTGGACTCTAGCAGCGTTCATAAAGCCCGCCGCTGCGTCTCGAAATCAGCCCAGGTGTGTGCACCACAATCAGCCAACCCATCGCACAATGGCTCACAACAGATTCCCCATTCCTCCACCCGAGAAGTACCTCGCTCTGTCCACCACCAGCGTGGGCTGTGGTCCTGGAGGGGGCACCCCAATGATCGCGTATGTCCAACTTCCCAACCCGTCCATCGACGTCTCCGACGATCCTCGCCGCCGCCACACTCACTTACGACTTCGCATTGCAGACGAGTTGCTATCGTGGACTACAGAGGACATGATGTCTTCTCCACCTACGTCCTCCCGACGAACCCTGTGACCGATTACCGCACGAGTACCACAGGCATCCAGCCGGAGGACCTCCAGCCCGGTGGGTGTGCTTGTCTGGCTTGTTCGTGATTCGCGGTAACCTTCTCCGTCGCCACACGTAGGGTCTGCACTGCCGTGGAAAGAGGTACAGGCAAGGGTAGCCCAGTTAATCAGAGACAAGATCATCGTAGGCCACACGCTATGGCAAGATTTGTCAGGTGAGTGTGATGTGAAACATCTTGCGCAAAACAAGGCTTTGTGCTAATTCATGTCATCCGCATCCGACTAGTTCTCGGCATCCGCCATCCAGCAGTGGCCACGCGGGACGTTGCCTTGTATCAGCCTTTCCGCAATGCTCTCCGTTCGACCAATCATGTCATCGGTCTCCCAACCCTTATGTGGCAGCTTATGCGCCGCAGAGTCCAAGAAACTCACGTATGCCCGGTACGTCCCCGTCCCTGGCTTGTTTTTGCCAATTCACATCTGAACCTGAGTCATTTTCTGGCAGCTGGAGAATGCCCGCGCCGCGCTAGATCTGTACCGCTCTCACTCCGAAGAGTGGGAAGCCACGATCGCCAAAGGACAGTGGCCGTCCTTCCTCCCCCCGAGCACCTTTTCCCGATGCTATCAGTGAGCAGGGAGCCTTTTGCGCTCGTCCACTGACGACACACGTCTAATGTGTTAGCTTGTAGAGCCTCTCATTGGACAGTCACGTGGAATGTCCATTGATGCCTCCCATAGCACAGTGGTGCAAAGTGCCTCCATCTAATATGATGACAAATCACTTTACGGTCGCATAATGGACTCCGAGACATGCGCGCTAGGGTTGTCCATCTCCTACGAGTGGCCCATTCCTGTACATATTCCGTATAATCGGCTGGCAACGTCGTTGATTTCTTGAGACTATTTCAAGACGCGTGAATTTGGGGCGTTTGTGCTCAGTTTAACTAAACTGATGCCTGAGGCGGAGTTGGAGGCGATCGAGGCTCAATGGCGAGGAAAGTATTACGGCTTGCTGTTGATGAACGCTGTTTGAGCGGATGGAAGTCGCGTTTTCCGACCATAAGCAGCTTAGAGTGCTGCGCCACATGGTAATTGCATGCGTGCGGCGTCAAGCATCGGTCAAGCCTTGTATGGCAAGTCTATCCTCGTCCGATGGCTTTCACCACTACCTCACACCACCTGAATCCCCGCGGCCGTAACTCCACCCTGCGCACCTCGTCCGACCCATCCGCAGAATCTCAAACGCGTGCTGTCCGTCAGAACGACCCTGAATACGCTCACGGCAGCCTGGACGCGCGTTCGCCCACCCCGACAGACGGGCCTGTGGCAGCCGCTCTTCCCACCCCGCACGATGCCGTCCTCGCGGAATTGCAGGGCCTGCGCGACGGAGGACCGCAAGCAGCCCACAAGGCGGATGCGTCGTCGCGAACCGTGCCGCGGCTAAGTGTCATCCCAAGCGTCGGTTCCTTGGAGCGCACGGAGAGGACCGCTACGCCGTCGGCGGGGCTCCCGCGCTCCGCAACGTCCACCCCAGGCGTCGCCCACGAACAGCTGTACGACCCCTTCTCCGGGAATCTGGCGGGCGTTATGGTCCCGAGGAAGGACGCTGTCGGACGGGACGTCATTGCGTCGCAATTCGACCAGCGGAGGGACGAGCTGTGGGCACGGCTGTCGAGCATCCGCGAGCTCCAAAGTGAGGTGGCGAGTCTGCACGTGCAGATGGAGGGTATCGGACTCAACGACGTGCGTGGGGGAAAGCGCACGGCCGGCGTTGGGGCACGCATGCATTCCGATACGATCCCCGTGGCGGAGGAGTGGGACGAGCCCGATGGTGCTGCCGATGCCCTAGAGGAGCAGCGGAAGCGGGCGCGGGACGCCGAGTTCACCAACCTTGCAGAGACATTCAAGGGTCGGCGGGAAGCCATCGACGCTATCATGAACAAGGTATCTGTCCGCTCAGAGTTTCTTGGAAGACAGACATGCACTGATGTCCTATTCTGCGACCCTTTGTTCCATCTAGCTCGGGGATCTCTCGGAGGCGCTGACGACATTTCACGACTTGCCTACCCCCGTGATGGACTTCTCGGCTAGTCGGTGTACCACGAAGGACTCGATGCCTCTGTCACCTGAGATGGGCGAACTAAGGTCGCCTAGCATTGCAGCATCGCCCTCGCCTGAGCTGCCGCCCGTGCTGCCCAAATTCGTACTCAGCGAAGCTGAGAAGGGCGTCTTCCACGAAAGCCCCGTAGCCGCCGCAGGCGAACTTCCTCCTCACGCCTCTCCCGCGTGATGCGTCGTCAGCCACCCATGCTCCAAATGTGTACTATATGCTTTGGATGTCCATTCAAGGCGCATATACTTTGTTATCGGATTTTTGTGAGCTTGTTCAGCGCATTCCGACTACGTTGTCCTGACCACTATGAGTGTACTAACCAGCGTCTTGCACAATCCGCCTTCAGGTCTTTTCTGGATTGAATTAAATGTTGTTGACCTTGACTGCTCCCGTTATTCGGCCCGCGCCGATCAGACTCCGTGCTCGCCGGTCGGGCCCTGGTACTGTTCAACAAGCTTCCGACAAGTCATCGCGCAGGAAGATTCGTATGATAGGCTGTCCTATGCACACCAAAGACAACACAAGGCACGTACAGACACCGAGCGGGCCGTCGTGTGAGGTCACGTCGGTTGCGGAGTTTCCTCCTTCGCTACTTGAGTGCACACTGGAAGCCATTTCGGGAAAACCTCGTCAGGGTACGACGTCATGCCCACCTTGTACAATTCGCTCATGACTTCTGCGGCCCGTGGTGCAGCGTGGTTGTCAGGTTGTGAGGCTGTTATAAGTCGTGGTAGAGAGGGCTGGTCGCTCTACGTCTCCGGCGATGCGTTCTACCTTGGCCCTGGTTCTTTCCTATTTAGTCGGTAGTGCGCTCACGCTGAGTTCGCCGCCGGCAGGGGCGATAACCGTCGGTAGCGGCGGTCAATATGCCACTTTGTCTGCTGCTCTGAAGGACACGTCGAGTTTGGTATGTCGCCTGTGCCTAATCTGGACCACAGAGACGCCAACGCACTGACCTTTGCGCCGCGTTGCAGGTTTATTTCATTCACTCCGGAACGTACACGGACACCGCCATCATTACCCGCGCGAACGTCCGTGTCTATGGCCAGACGAATACACCGAGTTCCTACAGCGGGAACAGTACGTGCTTCATCGTCTCCGACGAGCCCGTAATCCGGCTCATGTCTGGCTGTCGGAAGCTGTTACTATCACGAACAACATACCGGCTTCCCAGGCAGGCTCCAATGATGCGAGCGGGACTGTACAAGTCCATGCCACCAATGTGTCACTCTATAACCTTAACATCGCGAACACATTCGGCAAGGTACGCGGGTCCGGGCTGGGATCGCGCCCATTTTGCTCAGTTTGAATTGCTCTCCCATCCGCGTGGATTCGCGTTCATTGGGGTGTCACCGCTTGGGGTTCCGTTTTACGGTTCCTGCCGGGTGTGCGCCTCTAGCCCGTGGACCAGGTACGTCAACACTCCGACGTGGAAGCCTAATCGGCCCTTACGTACTCGATCGTGTTGTTTGCAGGCGCAGGCGATTGCATTGAGTGTGCAGGCGGGTGAGTTCGGCGCATATGGTCTCAAGATTACTGGCGACCAGTAGGTGTGCTGTCTCGCGTGCGTCCAATAGTCGTTGATATATGATTGGTTTCGCCTCCAGGGACACGCTATTGGCCAATGTTGGCACGTATGTCACCGATAAGAGTCTCTCGGAGGGCGACTGATAATTGATATTTGTTCCTCAGTCAGTACTATGCGAACAGCTGGATAGAGGGGGCGGTGGACTTTGTACGTACTCGCGTCCGACAGTCCTTCGTTCTGACTAACCGCATCTCATGTGTTCAGATCTTCGGCATGCAAGCATCGTTCGTCTATCGCATCCCTCACATAAGACTGTTCGCGAGACTTTTCACAGAATTTGGATTACTCGCTCTGTAATCAATGTCAGTGAATTGACTTTTCTCACCCTGACCCATTACGCCATGTTCAGGTGTTGGCAGCTGACGGACCCTTGCTAACTATGCTGAATGCAGACAATCGGGAACGGTTTCATCACAGCCTCCGGTCGATCCAGCGACGACGCAAACTGGTACGTTATCAACAACTCGACCATTCAGGGAACGGGTCCAGCATTCCTTGGTCGTCCTTGGCGCGACTTTGCCCGTGTTGTGTTTCAAAATTCCGTGTTAGGAAGTAATGTGTGAGTTCGCCGCTGTTGAGATTCCACATTCTCGGGGTTGACTTGAATGGTTGCAGTCCTTCCGCGGGCTGGTCTGTGTGGGAGACGGAGTGCGTGATAACTGCCCCATGCCGTTTGTCTACCGCGAGAACTGATGCATGCTCGTCACGTCACGTCGTTCGCACTTCCTCTAGTGAGCCGCAGTAAGTACCCTCCTGTCAAGTCCTGAATTGCCATGGAGTCTAATTCTAACGATGTCGAGTTAGAACGGACCACGTCACCTTCGCAGAGTTCGGGAACACGGGTGCTGGCTCTTCCGGTGCACGTGCAAACTTCAGCACGAACTTGTCGGCACCCGTCTCGATCACGACAGTCCTGAACTCGACTAGCTGGATTGACCCCGCTTTCCTGTGAAGGAGGTATCTACTGCGGTTAGTAGATGGGAATTGTAGCAGAGACACAAACATCTGTACGCATGATCTTGGTCTGGCGCCATCAGCGGCGTTCTACGCTATGATCCGTCCTGCTCACAGCCATCCTATGTTCTCAGAAGCGCAGTGTAGTACACATTTTGGTCATCTCCGTGTCCGCAACACTTTCCTTCACTTGTTTTAGCTCAATCTGAGTATACACGGGTTTTGCCGTGCATCGTCCGAAGTGATCGCGTGATCACAGTGCGCTATTAGTTTCGGCTTCGCATTGCAGGAACGCGCATGCGATCAGCAAACCTCGTGGACACAGTACCTGGTACTGCGTGCGCAAAACACCGAGCGGGCCGCTGCTTCTGTCACGCGATCCGTTTGTCGCCACCGTTATGTGTCTCCTTCCATGATTCAGGCTGATCTCGCTGCTTTCAGTGACATCCGCCAGGTCCATGAGTGGCACGCATGATCCTGTCGGGCCGCGTAACTTGTGGCCACTGTCGTATAAGAGTTGCTTACAGCGCTGGAGTCCACATTCTCCGACGTCAAGGGCACTCATCATGGGCGCACGTATTGCCTTGCTGCTGTTGTTACCCTTGATCCCTGGCGCTCTTACTTTGCGGAAACCTCCACCGGGAGCGATCACGATCGGGAAGGGGGGACAGTACGTTAACCTGTCTTCTGCACTTCAAGATACGTCCAGTTTGGTGGGTGCCCGAGCCACCTCGACGCGCGGTCGACGAATCGCGTCGGCTGAGGGTTTTTGTTCCAGGAATATTTTGTCTTTGAGGGGACTTACACGGATACGGCCGTCATCACTCGGGACCATGTTCGCATTTACGGGCAAACTAACATTCCAGATTCATACCTCGGCAACAGTAAGTCCACCCGCTCAAACCGGTCTCCGAAATCCCCGAGTAAACGTAATCTATTGCGGACTGCACTGAAACGCCTCTTTTCTGGGAAGCGGTTACCATTACGAACAACATCCCCGCGTCGCAAGCGGGATCTAACGACAAATCCGGGACGGTGCAAGTACACGCTGCCAATGTCTCGTTGTACAACTTGAACATAGCCAACACATATGGCAAGGTGCGTTACCCCGCATTACATCATTGCGGGGAGGCTTGCCGCGGGGCGCCGATAGAGCGCGCCGGCGACAGTGTCTAGACCGCCGGTTTATTTCGTCTTTCCCATGTCTCTCACCGCATCGAGTGTGGCTGAAGTGCTAGCTCGGGTCCTCTTAAGCCCGTCGTGCAGGTATGTTCATTGATCACCCTAGAACTTAGATTGCTGGGCGTCACGTACTAAAATATGTATGCTGCGTGCAGGCCCAGGCAATTGCTCTCAGCGTCCAAGGTGGCCAGTTTGGCGGGTACGGATTGAAGATTTCGGGAGACCAGTGGGTATCGGGAGCGCAAACACCACACTAGTGCATTTGTGGTTAACACCGTCTTCCAGGGACACGTTGCTTGCTAATGTCGGGACGTAAGGCATCTTTCGACGTTATCTCGCCAGTTTGCGGGAGCCGCTGACGTGTACTCTCATAGCCAGTACTACGCGAATAGCTTGATCGAGGGCGCGGTTGACTTCGTGCGTCAGTCATGTCTCGCTTCTGTTGTCAAGCTGACACCTCAGGGGGGTCATCGACACAGATTTTTGGGCAGCACGCGTCGTGAGTTGATTCGCTGTCCACCAGCCTCTGGCCACCCGCCCGCTGACGACGCGTCCGCCCGTCCAACAGCATCTGGATCACGCACTCTGTCATCCATGTACGCGACTCGAGTTTCTTGTCCGCGGGTTTCCCAGCTCATCGGTGAATAGACCATTGCCGACGGCAACATCACTGCGTCCGGCCGTGGCAGCGATGACGCGTTCTGGTACGTTATCGACCACTCGACCATCCTAGGGAACGGCACGCAGACATACCTGGGGCGGCCGTGGGGTGCGTTTGCGCGCGTCGTGTACCAGCACTCCTGGCTTCCAAAGAGCGTGCCCGCTGTCGGCTGGGCAGAGTGGCATCCCGAGTACGTTTGCGGTTCACAGCTCGGTAATGTCAATAGACGTCGCTGACGCGAACGATGCCCTTACAGTGACGAGCGGTACGTCCAGCTCGATGAGAGCTGGCCTTTTTTCCGGACCTGGCTCACACTACTATGAAATGTTTGCACAGCATCTCCAACGTGACATTCGCCGAGTACGCCAACATCGGCCCCGGGGCCGCCAAACCTGGCCAGCGCGCCAACTTCAGCACCCAACTAACCTCGCCGATCTCAATCCACACCGTCCTCAACACCACGTCGTGGATCGACCCTGCGTTCTTGCACCGCGACAGCCCCTTCCCCTAAAGTCGACAATCAGTCTAGGCCATTTGAAAAAATCCTGCGTTAGGGATGGGATGAGGATCGGTCAACCTGGTAGTGGCTTCTTACAGTAACAAACGTATCGTTCACTATTTGTAAAGCCATATACATATACAAATCTCTTGTGCCTGTCGTCGATGCTTGTGTAGAGATATGAGCCAATCTGCTCTGCCCGACTTTGCAGCTTGAAGGCATAGGCCCAACCTACTTGCGCAGTGAGCAGACGATTTTCAGGCATTCAGTCTACTGAAGTCGCCGTGCCAGCGGGAATACGAAGGCGACCCATATCACACATGAGCTACATACACCAATATTCACTTATGATGCGTAGCAACAATCGTTGGCCGTCCAACGCATGTAAGGAGATGAATCCAAAGCATAGTGGTCACATTGAAGGTGAGTGCTGCCCCCGTACTTGATCAAGCGTAGCCAATGGGCGTCTAGTTGGAAGCCGTTGCGTCACTGTGTACGAATCGCCTGTCAAGACGTCAGCGGGGAAGCCCCGGAGATACATCTCCACACTGTATCTCGCAAATCCATCTCCCCCATCTCCCGATTCCCCCAGATCTGCAAGGGACAGCTAATGCGTATGTACCCACTGCGCCGCCGCTGCACGTCGTGCGCAAACGGCACGATCGACTCCTCCTCAGGGCGTGTCGCGGTTCCGGCCACTCAACACGCTCGATGCGTTCATCTCCACGCGAACTTCTCCGTACACTCGGGGCGCGCCGTACCGAAAAATCCCGATATATTCGATTACGGCTGATCTGCGTACATACAGTAGCTCAGACTCGGATCTGAGATGCGAGATGCGACATAGATAGGATAGATTCGAAATCAGGGCTCTCAGCCCGGCACTCTACTGAATCGACCGGCGTAGCGGGTCCGTCTCAGGCCTCTGGAAGCAGCCGCGCCTGCGCGCGTCTAGGGCCTAACCCCCGAGCATCTTCAGTGCCGCCCGCAGCTCCTTCACAGCTTGCTCTCTGTCCTCATAGTCTAGGGCAGATATGGCGAATTTGCAGTGCTTCTGTGCACGTGCGATGACCTGCGGCGAGAGCTCCACCGGCAAGGTCGTGACTGTCGTGTCGGGGACTGGACTCGTAGCGAGCGGGACGCTGTGCGCATGCGGACATGAGGAAGATGGAACGGGCGGCGGCGCGGCAGGTGGTACAGGGAGGCGTGTCGCCCGGTTGCTGGGAGAAGGGTAACCACCAGATGCCGGTGGTGGCGGAGGACTAAACGGCGGCGCGCTGGGCGCGGGGTACAGTGGTGGATTTGCGAATGAATCGGCGGGCGCGCCGAAGCCGCCCACTGTCGACGGGGAGAAGTGAACGGACTTGGCTGCAGACGTGGGAGAAGGCGCCTCTGCATCAATCTCGTCCTCGGTCTTGCCTTCGAGCTCACTGCTCACGAATGCAGTGCGAGCCACGCCGGCGCTCACTGGAGGACTGTGGCTTGATGCGACTGAAGGGGACGTGACATCGTCCCGCTGGAAGCCAGGCGTGCCTGGGGTAGCTGCCGTGCTCCAGCTTCCTGGGCTCTGGAGAGGTTGTGATGGGGTCAGGCCGTCTGGAAGGTGCGGCCCGAGGTGGTCGGTAGGGGGAACGTCGTTGAGATTTGGCGGTGGTGGATGCGAACGGGTAATGGACGGTGGCGATGAATGCGAGGAGAGGGGGGTGTTGGCAGCCGGTGGTGTTGTGGGCGGTACGACATTGAGGTCCGGGACCGGGACGTCTGGTAACGGAGCAAGGAGCTCGTCTTGAGATCCTGCTGCTGAGGCTGCAGGTCCCGGAGTGGGCTTGCGGCCCTCACGGAAGGCTTTAGCAATGTCTGCTGCTTTCCATTTTGCGTATTTTATCTTCGCTTCGATGTCGGGAAGGTCGATCGTGGTCTTCTCGGCGTCGAAGGTACGAAGGATCTCGAGGAAATTAGCTGCGGCGAGGAACTTGCGCGCGGTGTTCCTGGAGCGCAGTCGCGTTCGTTGATTTCAGGATAGATACAGATATGCAAGCTCACTTTGTAGTGTTTCCGTTCCTGTCCTCATTATCTGCACCGGCGAATACACGAAGGGCGAAGTTCTCGACATAGGCAGCACTGGCAGGCTCGTCGTGCACGGCATCATTGGGGCCTATGTCGCTCTTGATTTCCTCTAGGAGACCAAGAAGGTCAAAGAGAAAGTGACGCGCGGCCGAGTCCTTGATCTTGAGCGCGATACCCTGCTGGGCAGCATAGTAGGCACCTGGAGGACGATCAAGACGAGGAGGACGGGATGTGAGGCTGTTCACGTACACCAGTAGGAAATGACGGGGTCTGCGCTTGCAGTTTCGTCGGCACGCTGGAGGTAGGGAGCGATGGACTTGAGCTCTGGGGGAATTGGAGGAAGGGAGAGGACCATGGCCGGGAGCTGGACTCGGAGTACGGTAAGGAAGAGAGCAATCGCGAATCGAGATACGCGGCACTCGCGCTGTGTGATGTCACCGGTGGGCGTCTGACGAGGAGGGCAGGTGAGTTGCCTGTTCGGGAAGGACTCTGGTGGCATCTGCAGTGGCCACTCGTCTTGGACGCACTCCGCTCGCCTGCGCTTCTTCCTTCGCCATGACTGCTCTTCTGACGTCACCTCGCTGCCCTCCATCCTATATCTCCTCTCTCCCGTCAGGCAAGTCCATCACCAACGCACACATCTCCTTGTACTACTCCTCGTAGCACACACATCTCGCGGGCATCATGAGCAAGAACATCCCCGAGCAGTATAAGAAAGGCTACAAGCCTCCCTTCCAGACCCAGGACCGCGCGCCTGGTGCCCAACATAAGCTCAATCCTCCCCCGCTCGACGACATCACCGCCGACGGCATGCCGTACAAGCCCGCAGGCAAGCTCGAGGGCAGGAAGGCCCTCATCACCGGCGCGGACAGCGGTATCGGCAGGAGCACCGCTCTGCTTTTCGGTCCGTCCATTTACTCCTTTCGACTTCGTATATGCTCATGTTTGCGCAGCTCTCGAGGGTGCTGATCTCACAGTCGCATATCATCCGGAAGAGGAGAGAGACTTCAAGGAGATGCTTGACACTGTCAACAAGAAGACAAACGGCGCTCGCAAGATCGTCTCCCTTGCATATGATCTCCGAAAGGAGGAAGCTTGTAGAGAGGTAATTGACAAGCACCTGCAGGCTCACGGGAAACTTGACGCCCTGTATGTTCTTCGGCCTCGGCTATGACCTCATGCAATGCGAAGGCTAATCGTGATCATGCAGAGTTCTCAACCACGGGACGCAGCAGGCGGTCAAGTTCCTTCCAGATCTCCCCACACAACAGTGGCTTGAGACGTTCGACACCAACATCCACTCATTCTTCTACCTTTGCAAGGTATGTAGTCGAGTTGGAACTTGTCTACGAGTTGCGCTGATTACGACGGGTGTTTGCTATAGGCCGCTATTCCACACATGGAGTATGGCTCGACTATCACCTTCAACGCGTCAATCAACATGGCCGTTGGCCACCCCGAGCTTGTTGACTACACTGCAACCAAGGGCGCCATGGTCGCGTTCATGCGCGCGCTGAGCAATCAGCTCGTTGGCGACAAAGGCATCCGCTGCAATGCCATCGCGCCGGGACCCATCTGGACGCCCCTCGTGTGAGTTCTCTGCCCCTCCAATCTCCGTTTTTCCCAGTACTGACATCCGCATAAACGTAGTCCCGCGACGATGACCAAGGAGTCGATTGAAACCTTTGGTACCAGCGTGCCCATGGGCAGGGCTGGGCAGCCAGTTGAGATCGCCACGGCATTCGTGTACTTAAGTTCGGCGGATTCGAGCTACATCAGGTACGTGGGACGTTCGGAATCTTGCCATGTGATGGAGGCTTATGTAGTTCCAGCGGTCAAGTTCTTCACATCAACGGAGGCGTCGTTATCGAGTAATTATATTGGCGAAAGAAGACGCATAGCTCATACGGTGTATACTATCCATCGCATTGTAGACCATGAAGCGTTCCTAGACCTGACGGATGGTTCTATGCGTACCGAGTTCGTACCCGAGAGGAGTCCCCGTGAACAAGTAATAAAGCCAGGGATGATTGGCGAAAATTACTACATGGATCCTACAGCCTAATCCCGAGTGGTTCTAACACGCTCTTCAAATGCAGCGATACGGCCTTTGACGACGGAGCAATCTCGTTGATTGGTTTTGTCATGCACAACGGGAGGCGATTGCTGTCTCGCTATAGTGTCGGAGGCGGAAACCGTTGCTGATCGTTCACGGGGATTGCTACGACCAGCGAGCGACGACCGTTTTCCAGGCACTGCAAAGTCAACAGATGCGGGGCGAGTCCGCGTCCTCACCGAAGACCGAGGCGCGACGGAGGTGCGTAATGCAGTAGGCGACCTGGATGTCGCGGTAGACGGCGCATTGACGAAGGATCTCCCGAACAAACTAGATGGAGCAGCGGGAAGACCTGACGCTCTAGCGTTCGCCACTGAGCCTGGCGCAGAAGCGTCAGCACAGGAAGGCTCCAGTCTAGACAGACGGAGGGCGTCGAGCGCGGACACGGTCGCGGGGACGTCGACCACGCGCGGGGCGCGAGCCGGTGGCTTGGGCAGGGCGCGGGAGGGGCGGTGCTGCAGCTGCGGCACGGAGGAAGGGATGTCACTGCTGACGGGAAGACCTTTCAAACGGACTCCGAGAGTTGCGGGTGCGGCTGTGGACTGGAACAGACGGAGCGTGGGGGTCGTTGCCCCGTCCTCGTCCTCGTCCCTGTCCGCGTCCGCGTGGTTGTCGTCGTCTTTCGCAAGGTGCGGGCAAGGCACGCCGGGACCAGCCGATTCATGGAAGGAGCTCGACTGTCCAAGGACAACGTCCCGTCCCTGGACAGGTACAGAAGGCCGAGTCGGTGGAGTGGCCGCACCCAGGACAGTCCGCGATGCATCGGACGCCAGACCAACGTCCGGATAGAGCTGACTCATGCGCTGCGGCGAGCGGCAGCTTGACGAATGCTGAACGTCTCGGTGGACCCTCGGGCCCGAGTGGACCTCGATATGTTGACCAGACAACGGCTGCGCGACCCCATCCGTGTTCGGGTCATTCAGAGTGTGGTCGCCGCGCTGATTTCGTTCGCCCGCACCCAGGTCCTCGTGGCTGGTAATGAAGTGTCGGCCGACGGTATCCGCATAACCACCTGAGCGGTCGGCACTTCGGCCCCTCTGCGCCGCGTCTACGATGGAACAGATTTCGTCGCTGGAATCGGCATCCTCATCAAGTTCCAGGTTCCCTAGATTGCGTCCGGGGGAGTATGGAGCTGCATGGTCGTGCCCCTGTGGAGAAGACGGGGAAGCAGTAGACATGTAAGAATCTGCTGAATACATGCTCGTGTCAGATTCCGATGCGGAGGGGGCCGTGGGCTCGTGAGCGCGCGGTTGGGGGGCGTCAACGGTTTCCGAGATGTCGCCCTGGACGCCGGCAGTGAAACGTGGGGGAGACTGATCTACGGCAGTGTGGGTGGCCGGAGGGACTGCGATTGTGTGTGGACGCGCTCGAAAAGACGTTTCGATCGGCTGCTGGATGAGGGCAGGAGAGGGCGGTGCGCTTGACGACGGTTTGTAAGGTGGGCGAGCTGTGTCATCGACATGTGGATTCGAATCTTGGCAGAACAGGGCAGGGTTTGCAGCCGCATGCGTACAAGCGGCCGGTGATCCAGAAGATTGCTCCAGAGGAATGAGGCGGGCGTACGAACCGTCTGAGGACAACAGCGGTTCGCTCGGCGGTGGGTCGACCGATAGAAAATTGATGATACGTATTGGGAGCGTGACGTGCACATCCGACGTTAACGCGCCAGCACTGGCAGTTACGCGGATAGAATACTCGACTTCAAGGAGGCGCGACCGAGGCACAGAAAGTGCATCCGGCTATTCATAGAGGACCCGCACGCGCGGGCGACGACAGCATACAGTCAAGGGCAACGGCGTAAGTCGATTGTGATGACTTTCGAACTTGAACAACACGTACCGGAAGGAGAATGTAGTGGGAGAAATATACCTCTTGGAGAGCCTGCGCTCCTGTCCACCAGCCTTCAGCGCTCGCGTGGTTCTTTGTGGCAGGAGAGCTTCTCTCCAGGGTCGTTTCCGCCACAATCTTATGCGTCGCGGTGGTCTGACAGGTATTATTCCCCGCTACGGCGTGATCGTCAGGGTCAGGGTCGGGGTTGGATTTGAACAGACTTGTGGTCCGCACGAGGCTCAGGGTCACTGTCTTCACCGTCTTCTTGGTTTCGTTCCCGATACGGACACGCACGTAACATCGCTGCCCAGCAATCCATGTCAAGCGATGCAACATTGCGGTGAGCTTCAGCTTATTTCCGCCACCGATGACGGAAATACTCCTCGCGGTAGATGCCTGAATAGGTCGGGGCGCGCTTGCTAGAACACCGTCGACTTGGAGACGAGGCCATACCTGACAGTCCCGGTAGAAATGTGCAATAGACCGCTTCGAGGTCTTCGAGTCTTTCACCTTCACGGAGCTGGACATGTCGTGATAAACGCGCTCCGGTAAGGAAGGTTGAGAACACTCACATCATCGCAATGTACCGAAGGGCGACCCCGGACTGAATGCTGACAGTGCCCTTGGCAGAGCCGAAGTTGCCATCATCGGGTAGATGCATTGCGAATGGAAGGATATGAACGCCCTCCATCGCACGTGCGAAGCCTTCTTCATCTGGCGGGGAGTCGTAGAGACGGGTGTGTGCGTCCGTAATAGCGGACAGCGCACTGGCTCGCTGATAGAAGGTGTGCTGGTGACGATCCCCGGCCGCGCACTCGAAACCGATAACCCGCACGCGGCCATCCGCAAGGAGTACAGGAGCTTCCTTCTTCTGCCGTTTGCGGACGCGTATTTTGAGGTTGCCACGAAGGTAGCCGCCCTCGACAACGCAGTCGCTTTCCAAAACGATGTCAACTTCGACACGTGCGCGGGGTTTCGCTTGCTCAAGGGAGACGGCGTGGGCCTTACGCGTGTCCTTGTCCATTGAGTGGGTATGTCGGGAAAGTACAGTGGCACCGCGTCTGAGGCGTGAACTTGAGCTCCCAAGCAAAGATTTCAGTTCAGCGGCATTCCGAGTAGAGGAGGCGCCGAAACTGAAAAGGGAGTCGTGTCTGCTGAAACCACTGTCCCTGATAGGACATTCCGAGTATGAATAGACACGGGGAGAGCTTTTGACAGGGCCGGACTTAGACAAATGATCCGGGGCCTGGTGATCGTGTTCAGCGGCGGGTTGCGTTGTGCGATCCTGAAATTGCTCGACTACTAATCAATCAGTACCGACTACCACGAGGAATGGATCAACATACCACATGTGGAATGCGATGGTGAGAGGTTTGGAAATGTCCGTGGAGAATGGAAGAAACTTGGCAACCGATGAGGAGCACCACTCGTCGACCGCATCGTCGGTCGGTCATAGCGCGGCGTCGGTGCACTGATGACCATGCCCAAGTCATCGTTCCTTGACATGATAGTGTCGTCACAGGTGGGAAGGTGCAGCCGCATACATCTCGGAATCGTGAACTTGCCGAGGACAGCCGGCAACGAAATGTGGCTGACCTGACCATTCACCCATGAGAAGGGCCTTCGAAACGTCATGTGAAGAAGTTCACGCACCGGGATACTTCGAAATTGACTGTTGACAAGAGAACCAGGGACCATGCCCGAAGTCGATATCAAGGGGCACTCAGCTTTCAGTCGCGTAAGGTCTCTTCGTATAACACAATGACGCGGGAGTGGACGACCTCATGATGAGCGTGTTCGAGCGACTCAGAGGGATAGCGCTGCGATCTCATGACAGTGACCATCAGTGCCTCAACATGTAAGAGTTGTAGACGAGTTGTTTCCGTTGAGCGTCCAAAGTGGCAACGTGTTTCGGCGATGTATCATCGGTCCACGGTGGTATCGTAAACTTGTGGCGGTGCCCGGCTGGAAGGTGTCTTCCAAGACGCCGGGCCAGATCACGGTGAACGTCCTCATGACAATTAATATTATGCTGAAGCCAATAAATAGTCTAACTTGTACAGGTTCGGATGTACGGGGGACCACGCTTACAGACGATGTACGTGAGCTACTACCAGTGGCCGAGCTCGACTCTGGAGCGATCGAAGCCTAATTCCTTCCAAGACTCTCCCATAGCACTCTTCGAGTATTCAGAGAAACCAACAAAGCCGACACGTCTGTATACCGATTCAGCAGCGTATTTACCATGCGCAACATAAAGAACGACCGCAGCCTTGGTTTCTAACAAACTAGAGAAGACGCGGTCAGCCGGAATCAAATGGTGGAACTGCGCAGATTCCACTTACTGCTGGCAGACATGACGGGTAAGCCGTTCAGCGCACCCGCGTGATCTCCAAGTCGGATCAGTGAGGACCTTAGTAATGGCGGTGACCGTCTCAGTGGCTCGTGTCGCAGCCACGATGGAAGCGATCTCAGGTTCCCCGCCCGGCATCCTGATCTCGTACACCCAAACTTGGTTGTTCTGGATCAATAGCTTTGCCTCTTGTATAGCTTTGTCACGAGAGAGCACGAATGGTTCCTGTTAGATAGAGCACAGTCAGCGAATCGTCGTATACGCACGTTGGTCAAAGGAAGACGCACTGAATCAGCAGCGAAGGCATGACACAACCTGCCAACCTTCGCGACGTCGGCACCGACGGCACGACGTAACTTTGCTTCAGCGCCTGGAATATTCGACAGTTGGCGAGACTGGAATGTGCTTTTGTCGCAGTACATGAGGCGGGCGTGATAGTAGACGGGGTTTTGATCAAGCGAGATCCCGGTCCTTGCTGTCCACGTATCAGCGAAGACATCGGCAATGTTGTCTGTCGCGAAGACGGAGAAAACACGCTCGGGAGGGACGTGACCACGGAGCGCGTCGACCACGGCGAGTATTCTTGGACTGATACTGCTGTATGACAGGTGCGTAGCAGAGAGCGGGGTGAATATGAAGATCGGGTATGTTCCAAGCGGTCCGGTCGTGCATGAAAGGACGAAGGAGACCGAAGGAGATGATGTAGCATGGCGTATATCCCACAGAACGACCCAGAGATCCCCATGGGCGTTTGGAAGTCCGGGAACCGCAGATGGACGTTGGGTAGCTTTCTCTGCGTGAGCTAGCATTATATTGGAGGTGTGGGGATTCTCGCGGAACGACCTCCATACCGCTGGAGGTAGTGCGTTTGCATGCAAGTAAACACAAGCAGAGAAGCTGCATTGGGTCATTGTGCTGGAGTATCCTGGTGAGGGGAGAGTGAGGAGATTTGTTGGGGGACGTATAGTGAGTTGATGTATGGGCAGGTTCCCTCCTACCGCCTTATATCTTGTGTAGCGTATGGCGCCGCAGATAGATATCGTATTCACACTTGAATGAAGCTGCGCGAGATGACACGATCATGTCTTGGAGCGGCGTCTGCTTCAACACATGAGCCATACGGACAGTCAATACGAGCTCTCGAGAAGACAGGCAGAAATACGCCTGCCTACTGTCAGGAACGTAGTTCGCCGTCAAACCTTCTATAGTCCCGTGCAAGACGGATCATGGCTTCATCTCGGCCACGTTAATAAGATGACAATAACGAATTCGGTAGAGTAGAGGACCGCCGAACGTGAACGCGGCAGTGGGGGTACCTGGATTCCTCTTCGTCATAATCTGTTACAAATGATATCAGAAAGTCACTTTCTTCATGGTGGTAGGTTCGCACCTCATGATTGCAGATGCATTGAGGTTGCCAGAGCCGCACAATGGAGACTGCATCATGAGGCAACCACCTGGTTATCCTCTGTATACAGATTCCAGATATTCGCCGGATCACGATCAGAATGCAGATGTCGGACAGAAGGCTCGAACGCAAGAGAAGACCCTTGTACAGATCATGCACGTCGTTCAAGCGTCGAAGCAGGCCCGGGGGTTGTGGACCTGTGCGGTCGAGATGGAGGGTGTGCCAAGCGCCGGGCTGCCTAAGTATAATGCGTGCGTGCGTGCGTCTAATAAAATGAGAGAGCGCCTCAACCAACGTGGTGGCCTTGGCAGTGTACCATAGCAGCGACCTCGTCGATCTCCTTGAAACACCGGAAATCCTTGCTATTCCAGTGGTCAAAACCATTGATCGTCGGTAGGCACACTCAATAGACTCGTTCGCATCCACCTCAATTAGTTACGGTGAATTTCAGCCTATCAGCATGTCCCAGCAGATCGCACGCGCACATACAAGTCAGTCAAACAGAGCAAAGCCCCGCGAAGGATCCGACAGGAGAGTGCAGTTCAGAAGCGTGGTTGACAACCCATTTCACGTGCAATGGTGATATCATCATTGTCCAGAAGTTGTCTGCACGTTTAACCTCCCGACAGGCCGTCTGTCCCCGCGAATGTCCAAAATGCAATCCTAGCATGTATGCTAGACATGCTAAGTGGACTCGCAGATCACAATCTCGCGCGCGAACAATTGAGCAGGAAAAGGAGACGTTGTGGATCTCGGAATGCGCATCCACCAAAGAGGGCGAAGGTGAACCACAGTGCGACATCTGCCGATCCGTCCGACCCTATCGGAGCTCCCGTTACCCATGCCATGGATGCAGGCACCGTCGACGCCGAAACCACACCGTCAATACTGTCGTCTCTGACGATAGGAATCAACGAAGTGACAAAGCGCTTGGAGGGTCTCGTGAGGTCATATCGCCGTCCCATCGAAAGTCGTCTGGAAGAAGGAAAACCGTCTGTTCCCGATCCTCCAACATCGGTCTTTCCCACTCGTCTTGTCATCGCCTGTCGGTCGGACAGCGACCCACCGATGTTGATGGGCCATATCCCTAACCTGGTTGGAGCTTGCAATTCAGCACGCAAGGTCAACGGCACGGAGTCAGGTCGATCCGGAGGAACGTGGCTCGTTCCGATGCCGAAAGGAACCGAAGATACTCTTTCAGCAGCTATGGGATTGAGACGCGTATCTATCCTGCTGGTGGACGTGAGCTCTCACAGTGTTCAGGGGCTTCCTGTTCCTAAACTGATGTGTCGAACGTAGAGTTCCGCCCCAAATTTTTGCACGTTAGCGTCGCTGCTCGAGAATGTGCCGCTCCCTGTTGCTCCCTGGTTGTCCGTCCCCACTACAGGATCACCGTTGACATTAGTTTCGACACATATCAAGCAACTACGGACCAGCGCACCGAAGGACCTGAAAGCGGCCAAGGAGAAACGGTCGAAGGAACGCGCTGCAGCGAAGGAGCGGCGTCGCTGCGCCCTTCCGAAACGGATAGTCGTCTCTAGTAGCGGCTGAAAGAGCTCTGCACTGTGTAATACTGGCCTGTGAGGCCTGGTGGCTATCGTATGCCACGCTAGCAATTGATGTGCCGATGTCATGGCATCGATCGGGATCGAGATGCAGACATCTCCTCGGACATCTCCGAAAGACCTTCGGCAGACTGTGAACTCCGCACATATCAAGTACTCGATGCGCAATGTAAACGAAGTCGCACGAGAGTGGCTTATTGGATGACTTCCCATAAGGATCTACGGCCATTTTGTCGTCCGTAGATACTGAAAGTGTCCTATCCGCCGAGATGCCGATGCCGATTTGTACTCCGCTTTCGAGGCCGACGTCCGTAGATGCTGCAAGCGCCCAAAATCTAGAAGGGGGGGACCCCCCTTTCTAGACCTAAACGCAGCCGTAGAAGCTCGCTTGAGGTCGTAAACGACTCGAAAGGAAGGTGCCATCATTACAAATTGTGTTGGGATCAATCGCCTACTACATTGGGTGCTGATGTAAGGCGCAAAAGAGCACGTGCATAGCATTAGACGCTCTCCGGATATCCCGGCCTGATCATTGAGCGCCCGAGATCTCTGGACAGATTAGAGCTCCGATATATGTCTACGGACACTCCAGAGCCGTAGATCCTTATGGGAAGTCATCCATTAGGGCCGCTCAATTCTCGAGGACGCAGGACGCAGGACGCGTTCAGAGGCCATTGATGGAGGTGATGGGCTAAGCGAGACTAGCCGACGAGCTCGCCTTCGAAACCCCTCGAGCGACGATAACACTCATCCCCCCTCACAAAGTGCCTCAAGGGTAGTGTCAATCGACGCGGAAAGCCTTCGTCTTCAACATACTCGCGATCCATATTTTTCTGTTAGGTTTGGGACACGACAGACCCCTTGGAAAACAACGGGCACCAGAGATGAGGTTGGTACCTTGCCATATGCGGCAGGTTCGGCTAGCCCATCACATCCATCAAATGAGCTCTGAGTGCGTCCTGCGTCCTGCGTCCTCAAGAATTGAGCGGCCCTATTACATGCAGGAGATACTGCCAATGCATCATAGCGCAGTTGTCAGATCAATCAGAGTCCAACACTATCGCGATGACCAACACAAGACGGCGCAGCATAGATACAATGCTGCGAACACAGCCCGTAAACCACGTCTCTGCTCCGATTTCGAGGGTAGTGGAGTTCATACCATACCTCTGTACTCCTTATACTCATCCCGTTGGTCCGGAATCACTTCATCTCGGCCAGCTCGCTACCGGTCAACGGAGACTTCATATACCGCCGGAAGTATGTTTATCGCCATCGTCGGAACTCGTTTCGCAGGGAAGTCGTCTGTGCAGAGCTATCTGGTCAAACACAAGGGTTTCATCCCTGTCAAAATCACACAAATCGAGTCTGAGGAGGTAACTACCGACTCTATTCTCCTCAACTTGTATGAGGGCCGCTAGCTTGACTGAAACCATCCCTCAAAGAGCCACGTAACAAACCCTTCTTCTGATGAGCGGGGAATGCGTGCAGGACCGGGTCCAGCATCCACTTTCGAAATCGGTGAAGACATGAGGAAACTGTCTGTCCCCGACCTCGGAGATCATCCTCACCGTGTCTCGTTTTTGAGCATGGTGTCTCCCGTCTCATCAAACCTGCCGTCTCCGGCTCCGGGCCAGGAACAATTGCAGCCTATGGTCTTCAGGACCACTGCGCAGCTACTCGCACACATCACGAAGAATTGGAGAACGAACTTCGTCACTCTCGATCTAAACACGCTAGATGAACTGACTGAGTTCATGACTCGTCCGTTTGTTCTGGTAGTCAGCGTCGACGCACCGCTCCTCACGCGCTATCGACGGAGCCTTGGGTGGTCAGTGAAACACATATGCTCACCCTCGGAGAAATTCCTGACGCCGTTTTAGGTCAGATCACAATCACTCTCTGGAGGATTTCATCGAGGAGCATGATACATTCTTCTACGGCACTGATAGCCGAGAATCCGGACAAGCTACCCCCAGCCACAAGAGCGTAGCCTTCGCACAGCCTAACAAAGCCTCTTTCAGAAGCTTGAGTCAAATTGCCACCGTACACGTGGTCAACGCATTCCAAAGCATCCCGTCGCTCCAAGACCATCTTGAGGAAGTCAACTTGCTCGATCCTGAACGCCTCCGACCGGGGTGGGACACTTACTTCATGCAGCTCGCGTCTTTGGCGTCGCGACGTTCTAACTGCATGAAACGGCGCGTAGGCGCGATACTTGTCCGCAACAAGCGCGTTCTATCCTCAGGGTGAGACACAGCCAGTCCTCCTCATCATTGATTAATCACCACTGTGGATGGGCCAGGTACAACGGCACACCACGTGGGGTCACAAATTGCAACGAGGGCGGGTGCAAACGGTGCAATACTGCGAGCGAGACATCGGACGAGTGCCTGTGTCTCCACGCGGAGGAGAACGCTCTCTTGGAGGCAGGAAGGGAACGGGTTGGAGACGGTGCCGTTCTCTACTGCAACACGTACGTCACGATACCTAATCAATCATTACTCTTCGCGGAGCTGACTAGCGGCCTGTCTCGCATAGTTGTCCGTGCCTGAAGTGCACGATCAAAATCATCCAAACGGGTGTCAAGGAGGTGGTCTACAACCTGAGCTACAAAGTGTACGTAATGTTCTTTTTTTCCATGCTCATGTCACGGCGCTCAGACTACGTATGCGCAGGGATGACGCCTCGGCTGCTCTATTTGCTGAAGCAGGAGTGATCCTTCGACGGCATGCTCCCGCCTGACATCGATACGCCACCGGCCACCGGTTCACATGCTAGGAGAGGACACATCGAATACCCGACGACTAACTCAGCAGCTCTTATATTCTGTAAATAGCAATTTGATGCCCCGCACTACTCGGACAGTATGATCTTGACGTTCTGCTCGATGTCCCACTGCGGCTCCCGCAAAAAGGCCACCGGCCCCCCCACCCGCCCAAGCGTAGCGGAGAGCGCGAGCCACACGGCGTCTTCATTATTCTCCGCGAGCGCGACGTACAGCCCCCGCGCGCACGCCTGCAGCTCCTCGTGTGCCTGGCGCCGCAGAAACCGCCGAAAGAGTACAACGACCTCCCAGACCGCCGCGTCCTGTGCCTGCACGCCGCGCGCGGCCGCCGTCATCGTCGCGACGATCGCTTTGTACAACCGGTGGGAGTGCGTGTACGCCGACGCGGTCCCGACGCCCTCGCCCACGCCTGGGGCGCGCCTCGCCAGAGCACTGGCCTTGTCCCCCTCGGCCAGGCGCTGCAGCATCGTGCGGAACCGCGGCCACACGTCGTCCCAGACCCGGCGCGCCATGAAGTCGCCGACGTGCTCGGCGAGCGCGGCGACGAACGCGGCGGCGGCGCTCACGACGAACGTCTCGGCGTCGGCGAGGCGGTTCAGCACGAACGGCCACGCGCCGTGCACGGCGGGGAGGAGCGCGGCCTCCGGGAGGACGGGCACGGAGCGCGCGAGGAGGAGGAGGATCCGCGCGCGCACGGTCGGCGCGCCGTGTGTGAGCAAGTACACCGAACGGGTGACAATTTGTGTCGTCAGGGCTTGGGCGGGCGTCGAGGGTGCTTCTGCGGACGGGTCGTCCTCGGCCCGCGACCCTGGCTGTGCTGGTGCTGTCGAGGGTGCGGTCGCGGGTGCGTTGCCGTCGGTGGCGCCTTCTTCTTCCTCGCGCGGGTAAGACTTGTCGCGGGGCGGGCCCGAGAAGCCACCATTCTCCGTGTCGCCGGCGTCGGCGTTGTCCTCCCCTCGCCGGGTGAACCATGCGACGAAGTCGTCCACGCGGCGCGCGTCCTCGATCCGCTCAGGACCGCAGAAAGCGGCCGAGCGCGATGCGCGGGGCAGCCTGTTCTCCTCGTCCTCCTCGACGGCCTTCACAACCTCGCCCAGCACCTCGACGAGCCCGTCCACGACCGCCTCGTAGCCGTGGTACTCGTCGAGCCGGTCGAAGCACTCCTCGACGACGTCCCCCGCCTTCCGCACGACGTCGCGCCCGACGAGCCGCACCAGCACCGCGAGCACCCTCGTCGCGTCGACGTCGAGCCACCGCCGCGTCAGGCGCCGCGAGACCGCGTCCAGCGCGTAGTCGAAGTTCGACAGGAGGAGGTTCGCGGGCGTCGCGTACGACGTGCTGCTCGCGATGAACTCGAGCGCGGCGAGCCCGGACGCGGCCACGAGCGACGTCTCAGACACCACCGCGTGCAGCACCGGGTAGAGCACGTGCAGGAGCAGCGGCAGGAAGCGCGCCTCGAGGATGCCCGCGGCGACCGCGAGCAGCTGCAGGGACAGCGCGCGGTGCAGCAGGGGCTGCACGCCCGGGTGCGCGCGCGCGGCCGCCGACGCGACACCCTCCGCCCCGGGCACGCCGCGGACGGTGACGAGGCCCTGGACGTGCTCGACGAGGGTGTTCTCCTCGCCCGGGTCCGCCTCCCCCTGCGGCCCCGCGGCCTGGTCAGGCGCCTCGTCGTCGTCCCAGTCGTCCCAGCTCTCCGCGATGCGCCTCGCCAGCTCCCGCGCGAACTTCTCCAGCCTCTTCCCCCGGCGGGCAGCAACGCTCGCGGTCATGTCCATGCTCGCCAGCGCCCCGAGCTCGACCCCTCCAGCGCCCTCGAGCAGCCGGCACGCGCACCACAGCGCGGCGACCGCGCGCTGCCCGCGGCTGCCCAGCCCGACGTCGACGAACCACTCCGCCGCGAACAGGCACTCCTCGCGCGCGGTCGCCCCGAGGGCACGGAACGTGCGCGCGAGCGCCTCCTGCGCAGAGCGCGAGCTGACGTGGCGGAGCGCGAGCTCCGGGAAGGGCGTCGGGGCGTGCGCGGCGCCCTCGAGCGCCTGCTGCCCCTGCGCGACCACGAGCGGGGGGTTCGCGAACTCGAGGGTGGAGAGCAGGCCCCAGCCCCACTTCTCGACGCCGCCGTGCGGGCCGAGCAGCTTGCCTACGCCCGCGGAGATGGCGGGGACCGCGGGGAGCTGGGAGCCGGCGGGGGCGGTCGCGAGGAGGCAGACGGAGTGGAGGATGTCCGCGGCGTGCTCGAGCTTTGCGTCGGCGTGCGAGAGGAGGAGGCGGGGGAGGGCGGCGAGGTTGTCGCTGGATATTTGGAGGAGGACCTTGAGGGTGAGGTGTCGGGAGCTGGACGGGGCGGTGAGGAGCTGCCGCAGCGCGGTGTCGGCTTGGCGCGATACACGCTCGAACGGGGAGCCCCGCAGGGACAGGAGGAAGGAGAGCAATAGGGGCTGTGATTGCGGGAGCGTGAGGGTGGTTGCGGAGAGCACGGCTGCTGAAAATGTGGCGAGTCCGATGAGGGCCGCGGGAGTCTGGTGCTTGACGAGGGGAGATAGACTGTTTATTGCGATGTGCAGTTGTGAAGATGTAGCCCGGAGCCACGTCGCGGTGCGCAGTGTCGTATATGGCGAGGAAGGTGGAGCGTCTACATTGATGTCCGCTGATCGAAGGTCTCCAACCAGGTCCTCGAGATGGTCGACGTTCCGTATTGCGCCCTCGCGGATGCAGATGTCATTACCGATGGCTCGAACGATGACTTGTTCCATGACAAGGAGAGCTGCGGCGACGATGTCGCCATTTGCCCATCCTCGCGATGAACCCGTGCCGAGAGCGACCTTGGCCATGCTACTGACCGTGCCAGGGAGGATCGACGGTACGAACCCGTCAGGAAGGTAGTCCTTGACGATGGCGGAGAGAACGATCAATGACATACGCTGAAGGGGCAGGTGCTGGGACTCGGCCGTGGTCAATAGAGAGTTGAGAGTCTGTCCCATGACCGGCAGAAACTTGGCTGTCTGTGCATGGGCTATGAAGGCGGCCAAGTTGGTACGCGCGCGATCGCCATGGTGTGCAGGATCTTCGGAGGGGATGCGCTCTCTGAGCAATGCCCAGAGAGTACGAGCGGCAGCGAGCTTCGTCTCGTCGTCACGGTCCTTCCCCTTCCCTTTGCGGTCGATGCCTCCGAGGATGGCGCTGCACAACATGAAGATCTGCTCCCATGCGGTGACTTCCATGTCCCACCACCAGACGTCGGACAGCAGGGCTAGGATGGCCAAGATCTTTTCGAGAGTTTGATCCGGGATGGTAGATACATCGTTGCGACGCAAGATGGACGAGAGGGGGAAGAAGACGTAGGATATGGTAGCAGGGGCGAACACATGACGCTCCGATTGGAGATGGAGGAGAGCGTGGTGTAATTGGGAGAGTAGCTTGTTGATGACCGGAGTGGAGCTGGGAGTGAGAAGAGAGTTGCCGAGTAGTGGGACACAGAAGCCCTTGAGCTGGAAGGGCGAAGGCGTGAGCGGGGGACTGAACGAGAGGCGGGGGGGCGTACCCGCTGGAAGGCGGACTGGGTCGCAAGGACGTTCTCCATGTCCTGGCACGACAGAATACTTGCAAGCGCTCCCAGCTGACGGTCGACGGCGACGGCGGCTGATGAGCCTGACCAGTCACGTGCACACGCGTGACGGACGGCACCTGACCCCGTGACTGACGCGTCCTGTTTTTCAATATTCGACGGGCGCTCAGGCTGTACCTAGCGCTCGTCTGGCCATCGTCTCTCGCCATGGATCTCTCCCTTTCATGATATTCCAACACTAATGTTGTTCACAGGCACCAGACGCAGCTAGTTGCCTTTGTCTCCCGCTCTTTGGCTACTGACATGGCCGCCCCGGGGCCCCGCCTCCTCCTCATTGACTCTTACGACTCCTTCACTCACAAGTCCGTCCTCTTCTCTCCTCTTTTCAATCATCGCTCATCCTGTTCTTGCAGTTTAGCCTCGCTGTGCAAGCGGGCCATTCCCCGAAGCCATATTCACATCGTCAAGAACGATGCTCTATCCATCACCACTCTCGCCCCACTACTGAAGCACTTCGATGCCATCGTCGTAGGTCCCGGCCCAGGCTCTCCCGATAATCCCCGCGACGTTGGCATACTTAAAGATGTCTGGCACGTCTCCCACGACCTCTTGACCCCTGTCTTCGGCGTATGCCTCGGTTTACAGAGTCTCGCCATCGAGTTCGGTGCACAAATCAAACGCCTCAACGTAGTCAAACACGGTCAGGTCTGCCGTGTCGATCACCTAGGCTCCGACATCTTCACCGACGTCGGCGACGTCCACGCCGTGCGATATCACTCCCTTCACGTCGACCTCCCAGTACAGTCCGACATCGTCCCACTCGCCTGGTCGGACGACGCGGAAGACAACGGCCGGGTCCTCATGGCATGCAAGCATCGTTCTAAGCCCTTTTGGGCCGTCCAGTACCATCCCGAGTCGGTTTGTACCCAAGGTGGCGGCGAAGATGTCGTCCGCAACTTTTGGCGCCTTGCTTCCGACTGGTCGTCCGCTAATGGACGCACTGTTGCTCCCTGGGATCCCGACGTGGAGGCCGTCATCGGCCCATCTTGGCCCGACGTGCGTCCGGAAATTGATGCTACGGGCGAGGAGCGCTCCGTCCCCGTGTCCACTAGGGTTCTCCATATCCACCCGCCGGATATCAATCGCGTATGCGAGATACTCGGCGTCGAGGACGACAGCACGGACTTCGTCATGCTCGATTCTGCTGCCTCGCCCGGCCGCTTCTCCATAGTCGGCTGCCTCACTCCTACCTCCCCGAAGATCACCTACTTCGTGGGCGACACTGCGGTAAAGGTCCAGCGTGGTAGCGACGTGACATTTGAAGAGCTGGGCTCCCTCGACATCTGGGCTTGGCTCGCGGCGTTCATGCGCAAACACAAGGCCCACGGAGGCACGCCCGAGGTCCCGTTCTGGGGAGGGCTCGTCGGCTACCTAAGCTACGAGCTCGGCGTCCAGACGTTGTCCCCGCTCCCTCCACGTCCTGATTCCTCCGCGCGCCACCCAGACGTCAATCTCGTACTCGTCGAGCGCAGCATCGTCATAGATAAACAAGAGGGCAAAGTATACATCCAGAGCATCTTCCCCGCCGACCTCGTCTGGCCCGCCAACATGTCCGCCAAGCTCCGCGCCCTCGCAGACCCCGCGACGGACCGGACCGCACCCCCCGCCCCCAAACCGCCCAAGCCCGACGCCGCGCCCCCCTCCCCCGCGATCACCCTCCCGGACCGCGCCGCGTACATCGCGAAGATCGCCGCCGCGAAGGAGGCCCTCTTCGCCGGGGACTCGTACGAGCTCTGCGTGACCGCGCCGACGCGCGTCGTCGCGCCCAAGGCCGCGTCCGCGCGCGCGCGCGGCACCTCCTCCTCCTGGGCGCTCTACAAGGCGCTCCGGCGGCGCAACCCCGCGCCGCACGCGGCGTACGTCCGCCTGCACCCGTCGACGCTCGTCGCGTCGTCCCCGGAGCGCTTCCTCGCGTACGCGCGCGCGCCCGACGCGCGCTGCGAGCTGCGCCCGATCAAGGGCACCGTGCGCAAGGCGCCGGGCGTCGGCAGGGCGGAGGCGACGGCGCGGCTCGCGGGGAGCACGAAGGAGGTCGCGGAGAACCTGATGATCGTGGACCTTATTCGGCATGATCTGCATGGGGCGGTCGGGGAGGACGTGTGCGTGCGGCAGTTCTGCGCGGTGGAGGAGTACGAGACTGTTTGGCAGCTCGTGAGCGTCGTCGAGGGCCGGCCGGAGACGTCCGTTCGCGCGCGCGCGGGGGCGGAGATGGGGTGGGAGGTGCTCAGGGCGTGCTTGCCCCCCGGTGCGTCCGTTCGTTCGTCTACCGCTCTCGTGGTTCGTTTGTTGACGATGCGCGTGTCGTGGTGCAGGGAGCATGACGGGCGCGCCGAAGAAGCGCAGCGTGGAGATCCTGCGCGAGCTCGAGGGCGCGGAGCGCGGCGTGTACTCGGGCGTGATGGGCTACGCGGACGTCGGCGGCGGCGGCGACTGGGCCGTGATCATACGCAGCTGCTTCAAGTACGACGACAAGCCCACGCCGCCGGCCCCTCCCGGCGCGGGCGCGTACGCCCCGAACGGCTTGGCGGACTGCCCCCGCTTCAGCGGCACTCGCCATGGTGGCACGAACGGGCGCGTCGGCGGGAATGGTGGTCCACCTCACACCAACGGCACGGCTAGCGGACATGGAAGTATCAATGGTCGGGACACAAACGGACACGACGGTACCCTCAACGGTAACCGTACCTTCAACGGTAACGGCCCCCTCAACGGTCACGACCCCCACCAGGCCAGCGGGCGGACGGAGTCCCTCATCGACGAGTGGACGCTGGGGGCGGGCGGCGCGATCACTGCCCTCTCCGACCCGGTGGCGGAGTGGGAAGAGATGCTCGTCAAGGTCGAGAGCGTCCTGCCTGCTTTCGCGGACCTCGAGTCGTTTTGAGAGACATCGCGTGAATAGGCCGTGCATCTGCTTGCTTCATCGTTCAGATTCACTCCCTGCTACCGCAAGAGGAGTCTAGGTAGAATTTGGCCTGCGACTTCACCACGTCGCGGAGGCCTCTCACTGTATCATATCCTGGGTTCAACTCCCTTCCGCATCTCGGTGCTGTAGCTATAGGCAATCATAGACCCTTGCTTGATGGTGATTTCGACGTCGTAGTGATAGCTGTGACAAGGCTTGATAATACACAGTCAACATGGTGAATCCAGCTCCCTGAGATACCTTGGGCAACCCTGATATACAAGCACAAATGATACATGCGTCCCCATTCGACTTGCGACGATTGGCTTTTACGCCATCAGAGCGATATGCTTTAGCTCGCTATTGAGTACGTCAATACGAGCAGCCTGGAGTCGTTGGAACGAAAGCACTCACTTGATCACCTGTTGGCCGACTTTCATTGGCTCGTACGCGGTCTCTTCCTCCAAGTCGATCTTGCCGAGGGTGATCGCGTCCGCCCTGAGAGCACGAGCCCGCTCCTGAAGTGCCGGGATCGGAGCCAGGTCGTAGTCGGAAGACAGGTGCCAGAAGAAGGTCGACGAAATCCGGATGAGGGGGCGGTCAGGATGCCCGGCCATCCTGCGCTCGATCGCCTGAACAAAACCGATCATACGGTTAGTTGGCTCGGCTGTCCAAAGGGCCGACGACAGCGCACCTGAAGCGTGGCGTCGTTCACCACGACTTCGTGATATCCGGCCTTGACGAGGCCTCCGCTGAGGTGCTCGAGCTGCTTGCCGGCCTGGACGAGCAGATATCGGCCCGTCGCGGGGAATCTGACCGGGATCCGTTTCCCAGAGTTTCGCGCCCAGATGTTCAGGCCAGGGTACCGAGAGCGGCCGTGGATGGTCAGGAAGTTGAGATCCGTGTGAAAGCCGGCTAGGATGGTATCCTTCTGTCCGTATTTCTTCAGGTCCGATGCGGTCGGAGCGAGGAGGTGCGGGCTGGCAGAGGTTGTGGTCAGAACAATAGTCACGAGACGAGGCGGTGCAGACATGTGCGCACCCGTATTTGCCTGCGTCCTTGAACGTCTCCCTCGGGAGCCCGAGGCCGACGGCGGCCATCTCAGACAGGTTGGCGACTCTGCAGCGCATATCAGTCATCGCTATATCTCGTAAAATGTAGATCCAGCTTACGCGGTCTTCATGGAGGTGCCCCACTTCTCCATAATCGGCGTCCAGCGTTCGCGGATGTTTTCGTCCTCGGGAACGACGTTCGGAGCGTTCAGCCCGGGGTACTGCGACTCGTATGGGGGCTTCTCGCTCATCTTCCAGAAAAAGCGGCATTTCGGATCCGGGGAGTGCGCGGTGATATCCAGAGGCCGCTCGGCTGGGTCTAGGCGGGCGATGACCTTGAGGCAGGGCTCATCCACCGCGCACTTGGGTTTCTCCGTATTTTCGAGCGTCACGCCAACCTGTATAGGCGTATTAGGATACCTCAACTGTACTTTATGTTTTCCTTGGTATACCTGGTACCCAAGCTCCGGTTGTTCATCCTTCTTCAAGGTTTCCTCGGGCTGGGCGAAATAGTCCTCGATCAGGTCGAGAAAGGCGTTGTTATCTTCCTCTGAGACACGGGAGTCGTGCAAAAGCAGTGCTCCGTAAGTTATCAGCGCATCCGCTGCCTATTAATATTGAAAAGGATACTCATAAGTCCAAGCCAACCCGTGCTCTTTCTGACCCACTCACGCACTTTCTTGCACTCTTTCAGCGCTGCTTCAGATTCGGGAGAAGCAACGAAAACATCCAGGTTAATGATGGGCAAGGTCGCGTCTGCCATTGGTATACAGCGCCGATGTATCAGGCTATCGTATGGTTTTCCTGGAAGGCGGAGATGAGAGGCAGTGAGATAAACTGACGGCTCCGTGAACAGGATAGGTTACCTGTGTCGCGCGGCAGTAGATCAACAGCTGCTAAATCTGGATCACGACGTCCCGTTGCTCACGTGAGCCGAGTATAGACGGCACGGCAAGAGGGCGCCAGTCTCCCTTCATTAACCTTGCTGATCCTTGCACACGCCGCATTCATACCAGCCACTCCTCCCCGCAGACCACCACTTCCTACCAACTGCCAAGATGATCAAGGTACGTGATGATCATTCTAAACTATGCGGTTATCTTGACCAGTCTGCTAGATCTGGAGCATGAAGAAGAATGAAGACCAGGCCGCGAAGAAGCGGCCAAAGACGAGTGCGGCGCAGATTCGGGTACAGAAGGGTGCGCCCTTGATTATACTTCAGTTCAGCGTCCCACTTGAACCTGAGACATGGTCTACATACAGATCTGACCGAACTCGACCTTCCCTCAACGATGCAGACGAAGTTCGCCGATGAAGCTGATATCCTAAACTTCGAGCTCATCATCACCCCAGATGAGGGTACGTACCCTTGCCCAGGTGGCGTACGTCGTGTATTCTGACAAAAGAGCGCTAGGCATGTACAAGGGGGGCTCTTTTGAGTTTTCCTTCAACATCAACGCGAATTACCCTCACGAGCCTCCAAAGGTGAAGTGCAAGCAGGTGGTACGTATCTCAGCTGTATTCCACACCCTAAAGAAGTCCTCATCCACGCCACTTTTCCTCGTCTGGCAAAGATCTACCACCCCAATGTAGACCTCGAGGGCAACGTTTGCTTGAACATCCTCCGAGAAGATTGGAAGCCGGTTCTGAACCTGAATTCCGTTATGGTCGGACTTCAGTATCTCTTCCTCGAACCGAATGCAGATGATCCTTTGAACAAGGGTGCGTGTATTCGCTCGACGTTTTATGATAACGGGTCCTTAGGTCTCTCTACATTGAATAGAAGCGGCAGAGGAGCTTAAGCGCAACCGTGAACAATTCGTCTACAACGTAAAGGTCTCCATGCGGGGAGGCAGCATCAAGGGCGTGCAGTACAACAAGGTCATACCGTAACGAAATACATGCTGTGTCAGGTATCATCATTCCTCCTGAGCGCGGTTCTCGTTCACTCCGACCGCGTACGCGCTATATACAACTGGGGACGGTCACAATAGACCTAGAAGTGTACTATTTTGTTGTGTCTGTACTGGAATTTTGCACATCTGATATTGTACGTCTTGTCGTGTTGCTTTCCTCGCTTGTCGTCATTTCCTTGTAGCCACATCTCTACATTCATTGCACAGTTCCGACATGTAATTTCCATGGTGTGTCCCGCGCTTGCCCGCAGGAGATCGATCACGTGGACCGTGTACAGAATCTAAGTAGGTGCAAGCATTTGCGTGTGAAGCATTTTTGCGTCTCGATCGTTCATCCCCTGCATCCTTCGGAGTCTCTCCTGGTCCCGGACAGCCCTTCAGATTGCATTCGGAATCTCGCATACTTGTGCCACGGTCGTAAACAAACGCTACTTCTCAATTCCTCGAGGATGAGCTCAGCTCCGAAACTCACCAAGAAGCAGAAGAAGGCACTCGCCTTCCGGGATCGCGGCAAGGGCAAAGGGAAGGGCAAGGCGAAAAGCTTCGACGACTTGGACCGCGATATACCTGTCGAGGAAGACCAGGACCGTGCTGATGCAGCCCTTCTCCTGGCAGATGAGGGTGCTAGTTCTGAAGCTGAAGTGGGACCTCCCAAGGATGTGGTGAAGGGAAGTGCGAAGGTCGAGGGCAGGTCTGGGGCAGAAGACGGAAGGGAGAAGGGGAAGGGGAAAAAGAGGAAACGGGACGAAGGGATCGTTGAAGTGCTAGAGAAAGAGACGGAGTGCGCAGCTCCTAAAGACAAGGCGAAGAAGAAGCGGAAGGGAGCGGATGGCGATGCGGTGGATGTTGGGGAGGACGCAGAGGGCGCGGGCAAGACACGGAAGCCAAAGTTCATATTGTTTGTCGGTACGTCGTTGGACGTGCTTGAGGGTCTCTAACCGTGATTCTTATGCCATAGCGGGCAGGCAATCTCAAGTATACCACGACGAAGGAAGCGGTAGAGCAGCACTTCTCGAAGTGTGGTACGTACACACCAACTCGTTTTATCCGCGCGCTCGTCTGTCTTACATTCACTTAGATCCTCCTCCCACTGTTCGTCTTATGACGCCAAAGCCCTCCGCTACCTCAAAGCCCTCAGTCAAATCGAAAGGCTTCGCATTTGTTGAATTCAAACATCGGAACGCGCTTCAGCAAGGCTTGAAGTTGCACCAGTCAGAATTGGAAGGGCGCAAAATCAACGTCGAGCTCACAGCAGGTGGAGGCGGAAACAGCGAGCATCGACTAGAGAAAGTCAAGCAGCGGAACAAGGGGCTACATGACCAGAGGGTATGTACCCAGACTAGTTTGTCGCTGGCAATCACTGACCGTTCTCGTAGAAGAAGCAGTTGCTTACGCGTCGCTCTGGAAAGAAGAACGCAGAGGGTGAAGATGAGGGCGCAGAGGGAGCGGGCGAGCGTGAGGAAGTTCAACTGGAGCGACCACAGCGGTATTCGGCAACCTCAGGCGTTGAGCAGGTACCGTTGAAGCAGCGGACATGGTCTATTCCAGAAGAGACGGACGAGGCACCTGCAGGAAAGAAACGGGGAAACAAGAAGGGCAAGAAGCGGCCGCCAAAACCGCTCGGTACTGGCGTGAACGCAATTCCTGTCGGGTAATTTGCTATATGCTGGTTTCGACGAGCACGGCTGTTTTCTCTTGCATGCGTAACATCGCGGTGGGAATCTAGCTGCTCTATCTCCTAAATGTCCATGGGACCTATTATCTGAACATAAACATACGCGGGCCAGCCCGAATCATGAGACAAGGATGAAGATAAGGAACTGCACACGACGACATTAGTTTCCTGTTGCACAGCGTACAAGTCACGACAGACTTACGAAAACGATCAGCACGCCAAACACCTTTAGCATGAGCCAGCGATTGCTCGAGATACTAGCGTAGTACTTGAGCAGCTCTCGCTGCGCTCCGCTGACGTTAGATGCAATGTCGACGGTATCTGCGTCAATGCGCTGCACGGTCTCCCGTTGCTCGGCCACCATCTGAGCAAGCTGGGTGAAGATCTGACCGAGCTCTGCAATCGTTGACTCGATGGACTCGATGGCGGTTGAGCGCGTCTGAATATAGCTGTCCTGTAAATAGTACGCGCCATGTCAGTACACCATATGGTGCACGAGGTTCATTCGCGGGGCAAAAGATAACGCACCTGCTGCTCAACCAGTTGCATCTGCATGAACGCATCGCCGTGTGGTGCCGCGGTGCCTTCCTCCGCGGAGTGGAGGTCGAGCGCGAGGATGTCGCCGTTCTGTGGCGTCGCACGTCCCTTGCCTTTGGTGTCCAGGCGCGACTGGCCGAATGTGCTTCCGTCACCCATTGGGTCATGACGCTGTGCATTCCCATAGAGCAGCGAACCTGTAGTGGAGCATTCAGCACGTGCGGACCTATGCGGGCGAGATAGAGGATAGTGTTTACTTGGCGGTGCCTGACTGGCTGCTGCTGACGTGGAGTGCATGAACTGCTCGGTCCGGTCCTTGGACTCTTTCATGTTCTGCAATGTCGAGGCGGACATGAGTATATATGCGGGTACATACGATATATTGGAGGCACCTGCGTCCTGATCTCCAGCACATCCTTGAACGTCATGCTGGTATCCGCAAGCTTGCTTTGCAGCAGCATGACAACGTTGTGATTATGCTCCTCTAACTGCTTCCCCTCTGGAGACTTGGCACTCTGAGCTTTGCGCTCTTTGACATACGCTTGCAGCTGGGCAATCTGCTTGTTGATATTGGCAATGTCTTGTTTGATAATGTAGGTAAGTTCCTATGCATGTGAACGCATTCAGAAACAGAGTCTCGCGAAGGGAAGACTCAAACAGACGTACGCTGATCTCCACGGGTCTATCATCGAAGAGCGTTTTGCGCTTGGCGACTGTATACTATTTAGCATGAGCCATGTACAGCGTAGAGGGCGAGCTTACGTTGGGCCAATTTCCCCAGCTTGATTGTCGTGCTGCTAATATCCTTCCCGATAGCAGACGCCATCCTCGTGAACTCCGACTTGCTCCCTCCACTCTTGCTCTGCTGTAACAGCCGCTGCTTCTGCTGTGCTGTACCTCGCGCGGGGACGGAGGACCGGCTGCGTATGGACTCGACGCACGCGCGGAACTCGTTGGTGCGGTCTTGGACGGGCATTGTTTACGTTGAGGAATAAGGATACCAGGCGACGGATAGGGTATAGAGACAAAAATGAGCGACGTAGGCGAGGACGAAAAGTAGCAGATAGTAGACGGAGGAGAGGAAACAACTTGTGTTGCACGTTGGCCAGTTGGAGCTCGAGTGGACAAGCACTGCACTGCGACGCTGCGCTAGCGCCGCGGCCACAGGAGCTCGGAGCATTGTCCATTTTCCCACGTGTTACGCCCTCGGAGCTCGGCAAGGTTGCTGCGATCGTCTTCGTCTCGACGCTCGACGCGTCCTACGACAATCGCACATCCGCGTCTCGTCGCCCGTATACAACAACTGTTGGCCGACGGGGGAAATAAGTAGGAAGTCGCACTCGAGTGGAAATCACGTTCAACGCGCTCATATCACTCCTCGTGCTCTCCCAGGCGGTGCCTCGTCGCTGCCCCAGTGCCCCAACGACGTAAACCTCGTGGCTGCAACCTTAGTTCTTGCCGTATGCTTCTCGCCTCTGCTTTGACTGCAACCTTCAGATTCTCTGCTCGTCGACCGTCTCTGCTATCCATGCGCATCCCTCACGGACCACACGTACGTTTCAGGACCCGTCTCGTCTCTCCCACAGGCTTCAGGATGCTCCCGCACCAGCAAAATGGCCAGAGGTCCAAGGTGCTCGTCTTCGGTGCAGGAAACTTTGGCAGCTGCCTTGCGGACCACCTGGACGACTCCTCGCACGTCGTCCATATGTGGTCGCGCTCAGAAAACCTTGTGAAGCACTTTAACCAATACCACCGGAACCCGGAGGTGCTCCAGGACCATCCATTCGCAGAGTCTATCACCGCAGTAGGCCCCGAATTTCCCTCGGCAGAGATGATACAGAGTATGGACGTCCTTCTCTTTGCCATACCCACGGAGGGTGTCAGGTGAATCCATAGGCAGCAGTCGTGTAGTGGGAACGTTCAACCAACAATTACCTTTCGCGACAGGGAGACGCTCACTAAATTGAAGCCTACCCTCGAGGGCGGGAAAGTTCCCTTGCTCATCTTCGTCAATAAGGGGATAGAGATCAGAACGCGTGCGCTGACCCTTGAGATCATCGCGGACACATGTGGCCCTGAGATCGCGAAGGTCGCAACTTTCATCGTAAGCAGTCGGGCATGTCCACGCATTACACTTCATTGAGTGCTCCCATTATTAGTCCGGCCCGTCATTTGCGAAAGAAAGTGAGTGGCATGTTGTGCGGCACTACAGCCTTCTTAGCATGCGCTAGTTGTCAAAAGACAACCCACGTCTGTCTCGGTGGTATCTCTGTCGCCAGAACACGCGGAGAAGGCGTCTCAGCTGTTCCATCAGCCATGGTTCCGGTGGTGAGTCGAACAGCTGCTTTACGGTCGACGGACGTAACGTAGAAGCGCAGCTACACCGGCAATGACCCCATTGGCGTTGAGTTGGCTGGGGCTCTGAAGAACGTGTATGCGATCGCTGCTGGAATCGCTGCTGGATTGGGCTTTGAGAACAACGCCCGAGCAAGTAAGTTCTGTGCTATCTCCACGGGAATGAGCCTATATAACGTGCTGCTTGAAGTGCTGATCACGAGAGGGCTCGCTGAAATGACTAGAATTGGCACGGCCTACGGTGCTTCCCCGTTAACATTCCTGACGCTGGCAGGTGTCGGAGACTTGTTCCTTACATGTAGCTCCAAGACGAGTCGCAACTACACTGTGGGCTATCGACTGGGGCAAGGCGAGAAGCTCGATCACATCATCAAGACGCTGGGCAGTGTCGCAGAAGGTGTCACGACAGCCAAGGCCCTGAAGGCGGTCGTCGATGAGCTTGGTGTGAAAGCGCAAATAGCAGCCGGGGTGAGTACCGTGCCATAGCTCGTATGCTGTCTGCCCGCTGATGTTGGCGCAGATCTACGATGTGCTATACGAAGGTTTGCGGATTGTTCCGATTGTGGCGGACGTTGTACTCACTGAGAGCGAACGGCAGGTCGAGACGTTGCGGAACGGGCGAACGAGCTGCTTTCACTTCCCCCGAACCGAGAGCTGGACTTGTCAGTTGAGGGTGGGAAGCCTGCTCAACGGCTGTTGAAGAAGCTGGGATTGGAAGCGCAAGTGTGAGGTGAACTCCGCGATAGAAGTAACATACACTTGACCCTCTGCTCCGAAGTGGATACCATACAGTAATGTACCTAGAAGAACGTAATGGATGGTACACGAAACATATATGACTGCAACTACGCATCACGGATGACGAGGCGGGCTGGAGGCGTTCCGTGGGCGGAAAACGGGCGGGACACGGTTGGCTGGGCCGGGGAATCAGATGAGAGACGTGGTCGAACCCAGTCGAACGAGGAGACCTGCTATATCCGGACTGATAATCAGAGCGCGATTATCTAATCCAATTTTTTCCGAGTGAGCGCAGTGGCGGATGTGGCTGCTTCCCGTGCCCCGGTTTCTCGTTCAAAATTCTTGGACGTTGGCCACCGACCGCGAGCTAAAGTTTGTCTCCTGCCACATCCTCTCCGCTCCTCCGCATCGTCCGCCCGCCCGCATCGCTTTCGGCTCACCCGTTCTTTAAACCGTGCTGCATTCATCATGGTCTCCCCGCTCTGGAAGGCGTCTTCTGAAGGAAATCTCGAGAACCTCACCGAACTTCTGAAAGACGCTACCCCGGTAGACATCGAGGTCAAAGGTACGTGTGAGAGCAGCATATACTCATATTTCCTTCGTGCATCGTGTGCTCCAAGACATTCCATATTTTGACACGTATTGTCATAAGATTTCACCGGCGTCACTCCCCTCATCGAGGCTGTAAAAAACGGACACGTAGAGGTCGTACGAATTCTCCTTGACAAAGGTACGCGCCATTCGGCTTCGCCACTGCATCGTTCATGCGGTCGGATTTATATTGTGATGCGTTCCGTAGGTGCCGATCCCACGAACAGTTCCAGCCAAGGCCCCCCGGAATCATACACTTCGGACCTAGTGATCCTTGACCTACTCGCTACAGCAAAGGGTAAACTGGGGCAGTCGCCTGCGGTACAGCCGGAGGCTGCGTACCCTCAGGACCAGCAGCCACTTGATGCCAGCAATGTCGATCCGGCCTCCGCCGGCTTCTACCCGCCACCTCCTGGTGCCTACTACTATCCTCCCATGCATGTACCACCTCCCATGATGCCAGATGGTCAGGTACCCTACTATGTCCCTCCCCCACACATGCCAACCGACCAAAACCCGAACGGTCTGGGACACCTCCCTCCCCCGGAAGTAGCTCGCATGATCCCGTGCCGATACTATCCCGCGTGCCGGTACGGTTCCTCGTGCATGTTTGCCCACCCACAGAGCCCGTATATGCAAGGGCCGCTTCCGCCGCCTGCGCAGTACTCTGCGCCTTACGATCCCATGAACCCTGGCCCGTACCCTCCCCCGACCTATTACCCTGTTCCTGGTCCGTACGGTGCTTCGCCCAATGGCACTCAGAACCCTATGTCTCCTCCTCCCTTTGGGCATACTGCGTCTGGTTCGGACGTAATGTCTCCAGTACAAGGGCCTTTCAGTCCTTCTAACGGACAGCCACCCGTACCGTATGGTGTCGTTTCGCCCGTTTCTCCAACGTATGGCCACCCTGCACCAGTGCCGATTCCTGGCCACGTCCCTCCACTGCCACCTCTTCAGACAAGCCCGACGGTCCAGTCGCCACCGCCGGGCATGTACCCTCCCATGTCACCGAACGGGCAGGGCGTCGCGCCACAATATGCCATTCCTCCTCAATACGCACCGCAAGGTGACCCCAACGGCGACACAGCGGATGTCGTTTCTCCTAGGTCACCCATACATGGCCAGCAGCAGACGGATGGCTATATCCCAGGGCCGATCAACAGGGAAATGGCTCATCATCGGCGCGGCGGTGCCCGTAGACCATCGTTCGGTGGTCGTGGAGGCAAGCCTCCTTGCTTGTTCTTCCCTTCGGGACGCTGTAGGAACGGGTACGTGTTTCTTGTACCCCCTTCTATCCATGAGTGCTCACACGTATGTCCGCCGCTGCAGGGATGACTGCAGATTCCCCCACATTCTTCCAGAAGGGCCGGGCGGCCACCATGCGCCCCATTTTTCCGTGCGGGGAGGTCATAGGCCACGCCCTCCCTATTATGCGAACGGTGTGGCCACGTTGGAGGAGAAGTTTGCCGCCATGACGACACAGGATGTATGTTATAGCGTTTATCCTGTATCTTGACGCGGGCTCATAATATTTTGAAGGACAAGGCATCGATTCATGCCCGGAATGGTACTGGCACGAGTACATCTGATTCTAGCCGATCGCAATCGGCTGAGCCTGGTCAGAAGGGCCGTCCGCCATTCAAGCCCAACGGCCATCTCGCCAACGGTCCACGGCCGGACAGAAGGCTTGGGGCGCCCAAACCTCAACGCGTCCCGAACGCGGATGAGTTCCCTGTCCTTGGCGGCGTCCCGTCCTCTCGTGCCAGTTCCAATGGCACGACGACTCCTGGATACTCTGGGCCCACGGCCGCCCAGGTCCTGCAGGCCCCTGCTCCGCGTAAGGATGGTCAGACCCGGGGTAGTACTCCCGATCTGACCCAGTCAACATCGGCGTCAAAGGTGTGTGCTTCGACGATCAACTCACATCGCGAAAATTTATCCATTACGTAGGACAGCAAGCCGGAGGCCAACGGAGTCATACCTGACCAACCTGTTACGAAGCTTCCCCTCTCTTTCGCCGCCGCTGCAACCGTCGTCCCCGATTCCGTGAAAGAGGTTTCTGTCTCCGCCTAAAATGGACTATTCTGTCCTCGGCTCCGTGCTTTGCGCTAGCTATTATCTTGACGGTCTGTCTGCTCACTGTCTCCCGTCTTCCATCGGGCTCTCGTGTATTTTGTACTCTCTCTGGCTATCTGCTTGCGCATACATACATAGCGTCAGGACCCTGATCCTACGGCTGTTACGATGGTTCTCATGCATTCTGACCCACCACTCCGCCCTCGCCTGCGTACACACTGTCTCATATTTATGATCCTATACGTCCATCCATTCTGCATGTTCTCTCTCACTCATATTTAGAGACCACACATTGTCTTGTTTATCGCTTCGTCCTTCTTCATGTTGTCCTACGCATAAAAGCCCGTATTTTGCCATCGATCTGCCTATCGTAGCATCACCCTATGTCGTAGCTATATACACTTCTGGTAAAGTACCTTACGCTCTAACGTGTTGACGTTCCGCGACTCCGCTGTCGCCACCCTAATATCGATACATTCGATCTGATACTTTTTACATAGCTGTCATGCCCTTCGTCAGAATCGCACCCGCCGAGGCTCATCTGACCCGCGCTTTCGGTACCTTTGCGTGATCTTTTCTTTCAGCCCGTTGTCCACGCGTCGAGACTCCTCATCTCCACGCCACTCTTAGCAGTTACCTCTCCGATCCGGAATACCTCCTTCTCGCCTGCGCGCCGAAGCGCGTCGATCGCCGCGGGGACAGCGTCTGGGGCGACCACGAGGACCATCCCTATCCCATTGTTGAACGTCCGCGCCATCTCGTGCGGGGCGACGCCCCCGTGCCGCATCAGGAAGCGGAAGACAGGGGGCAACTCCCACGATGATGCATCGATAAAGCAGCCCGTGCCCGACGGGAGGACGCGGGGAATGTTCTCGACGAAGCCGCCGCCGGTGATGTGCGACATGCCCTTGAGCAGGCCTGCCTGCGCGGCGGGGAGGACGGACTTGATGTAAATCCGCGTCGGCTCGAGGAGGGCGCGCCCGAGCGTGAGCGAGGCGTCCCATGGGCAGGGGTCTGCGTAGGAGAGTCCCGAGACAGAGACGACCTTGCGTACGAGTGAGAAGCCGTTGGAGTGCAGGCCTGACGAGGGCAGGCCGAGGAGGACGTCTCCTGGTGCGATATTGGGCTGTGGGAGAATGAGGTTGCGTTCGACGGCACCAACGGCGAAGCCAGCAAGATCGTAATCGTCTGTTCGCAAGAGTTGGTCAGCTCATGCACCAGCGAGGCGTACAGCTCGACAGGCCTGGCTCATCAGCGCGTCGCCCATTCAAGCGGCACGTAAACAGAAACAACTACATACCACCGTGATACATGCTGGGCATTTCGGCGGTCTCTCCGCCGATCAAGGCACATCCCGCTTGGACGCAGCCATCCGCGACGCCCTTCACGACCCGCGTCGCGGTTGGGACGTCGAGCTTGCTGCAGGCGAAGTAGTCGAGGAAGTACAACGGCTCCGCTCCCTGCACGAGCAGGTCATTGACCGACATGGCGACAAGATCGATTCCTGGCACGCCCAATCAACCGAATTGCCGCGGGCCGTTCAAAAGGTACGTACCGACGAAATCGTGGATGCCGACTTCCATCGCAATCCGCAGCTTCGTGCCGACGCCATCCGTTCCGCTGACGAGCACGGGATCCTTGTAGCCCGTTGCCTTGAGGTCGAAGACGCCGCCAAATCCTCCGATCTCTGCGTCCGCGCCGGAACGACGAGTAGCGCGTACGTAGGGCTTTATGGCTTCCACGAGGGCGTTGCCGGCATCCACGGAGACGCCTGCTTGTGCGTAGGTCAAGCTCGGGGCCTCTTGCTTTTGTGCAGACAACGCTCTTGAGTATAGTGGACTGTGAGCATCAAGATTCAACATGAATTTGGTATACACACCTATGAGCTATGTCTCGCCGGAAAACCTTGCCCTCGAAGGTTATATTGGCAACACCTGCATACGCGGCGTCCAGAGCACTGCGTAGGTTCGGTGCGTAGGCCGAAACGCACAGTACCCTACCACCAGAAGTGACCACCTTGCCGTCCACTGCCGTGGTGCCAGCATGGAATGCAACGACATCTGCAACGATATCCATCTCAGCACCCTAGAGCAGACGGTGCCGACGAGGTCAGAGGCAACTTACCGCTCGGCATTTGCCCGAGGGTTATGTCTTTGCCCTTTGCATAGCTGCCAGGATAACCTTGTGACGCGAGGACGACAGAAACGGCATAGCCGTCTCTAGTCTTGACATCCACCGAGTCTAGTCGACGCTCCGCGCAGGCCTATTAGAGCATGGGTTATGAGCCTGTGAGAAGGCATTCAAAGTGGTTCTCGTACGAGAAGGATGGCGGCCAGATCCGTCTGTGGGTCCAAGAGCAAGACGAGAGCTTCCGTCTCCGGATCACCGAACCTAACATTGTACTCGAGGACTTTCGGCCCGTCCTCGGTGATCATCAAGCCGGTGAAGAGCAGGCCGACAAACGGGAATCCTGTCAAGGCGACTTGGCATGACGATGGCGAGCCTTATTGGCAAATCAGGATTACATACCCTCCTTTCTCATACCACTGATGGTGGGCTGCAGCACTTCTCTGAGGATGCGATCCGTGACCGCAGGAGTCGCGACTGGAGCTGGTGCGTAAGCACCCATGCCACCAGTATTGGGCCCGGTGTCTCCTTCCCCGATGCGCTTGTGGTCTTGCGCAGCGGGTAAGGGAATTATCGTGTACCCGTCTGAGAACGCCAGCACGGATACTTCGGGACCGGTCAGGAGCTCCTCCACCACGACCTCGCTACCTGAGACAAAGAAAATAGATCCTCATTAACACCACGTAATATACATGGACTGCTGGGTCGCCGACCTGCCGCGCCGAAGACGTTCTCAACCATGATCTCCTTGAGACCGGCAATGGCCTCGTCGACGGTCTCGGGCAGAAGCACACCCTTGCCCGCAGCAAGTCCACTAGCCTTGAGGACGACCTTGAAGCCGCACGTGCGAACGTAGTTGATCGCCTGATCGACCTCCAACGCCTGGAAAGTCCTGAATTTTGCGGTAGGGATATTGTGGCGATCCATGAAAGCCTTGGAGAACGCCTTGGACCCCTCCATGCGCGCGGCAAGGGCGGTGGGGCCGAAGACAGGAATGCCAACTTCACGAGTGATTAGAGCTATCGCGCAGGAGACCGCGATTGCGTACCTTTGCGGAAGTAGGTTTCAACGCCATCTACTAGAGGTTGTTCGGGACCGGGGAGAACGAGGTTGACCTGCAGACGTCGCTGTCAGGCGAAGCTCCATTGATACATTGATAACATACCTCATTCTGAACGGCAAAGTGGACCAGTGCAGGAAAATCCGAAGGAGCTAGATCAACGTTTGCGGTTTTCGACTCCTGTGAGGTACCTCCATTCCCTGGACATACGAAGATCCTCTCGACGAGGGCGGACTGGGAAAGCTTCCAAGCGAGAGCATGCTCTCGTCCGCCGCTGCCGATTATGAGGATTGTTAGCGCAGCCATAGACGCGAGCCGCGAGGAGAGGGCGTGCGCGAGGCGAGATCTGAGGAAAAGATGGCGGCGAGAAGCAGTGCCAATTTTGCGCGCGCGGTGGGCGGGCCAGCCCAGCGGACGCCCAGATCACAGGTGAGGCGCCCAAACAGACGCCAGGCATGCGGTCGCGCGACTGAGGTGGAAGCGCACGAGGAACGTGGTCGGTCTCTCGACTCTCTCATCCGTCTGGGTTGCTCCCTCTCCGACCCTCCCGCCGCTCGTTTCTCCGTACTCTCTTTCCCTCATGCCAATTCCCCTATAGCAGTCTCAGCTCACACACATACCCCATCCTCATCCGCGACGGAGATTTGCTGGCACATCGACTTGAAAGCTAGCGGTTGTTGCGCTTCTCGGCCAGGGCTCGCCGCTCGAGACAACTGTTGTAAACTCACGTCTCGGGCGTACCATAACTCTTGTCGCCCCCTATACCTCTTTCTTCCGAGCTCGCGATGGATGCTCCTGCTCGCAAACAAACGCGGGGCAAGAGCTTTCTCACCCGTAAGGCCACCAAGAAACATGAAGAACCCCATGCGCAAAATGGCCATGCTACCCGCAGCGCCAGTATGGACACGCAGGAGAGGGATCCCGAGGCGGCGCGTCCCACCTTCAAGCCTTTCGCAATCTCCATCATCCCAGATCCATTGAACGAGCTCCCTACCTGGTACCACCGTGAAGTCGAGACCGCGACCGCGTCCGCTGCACAGTTTCGTGTCAAATACCCCCTTCACAACCCTTCTGGTCCACGCTGGTATCGTAATCACCACCTGCTTCCTCCGACAGTCGATGGCAGACCGCCGTCGGTGTTCTCCCCTTCATTTCCGCCCATGGCGTCCGCGCCCGAGCGCGGTCAGGATCCGTCGGGCATGGCAGGCCCGAGTAGGACTCCATCAGGGTCGCCTCTGCCCACTCCATCATCTTCGCAGATACGCATACAGGAACCCTTCCATCCACGCGTGAGAAAGGTTTCCCAGACCACTAACCAAGGAGTGGATTTGGCGAATGGAGCGGATCCCAACAGTCCAGATGGGAACCATCATTCACCATATGACCCGCCAGAGGTACGTGATTTCGACCTTGGTTTCAGGGGCATGCAGTAACAACTTGGCGCACAGAGTCCCACCAGCCCAGGCCCCACGACGCCGAATTATTTCAACTATCGTCCTCGGCGGTCAAGCATGACCCATGGCAATCGTCATCGGACCACTGCGCCTTCCCCATTGTCACAATCTACTTCCGCGGTGCACTTACACGCCATAGATCCTGCGCAAATACAGCTGCCTCGAAAGTTGAGCAAACGGCGCAAGCCGTTTCATGATTTGTTTAGCGGTCCTGGGGTGGACGGTTCGTCTGACTCATTCACGATATACAGCCGCATCTAACAGAATGTGATTCAGGCGATAGCTTACAGGCGAAGGATCTTCGCCGCCAGTCAGCCATGGCGCCTTCTATGACGTCGCTTCCTTCGCTGCAGCCGTCTTTGCAGAAGTCCAGACGAGGAAGCGTTCTGGGACGCCTTGTCAAGAGGTTCAGCGTACTGCGGAAGGCGGACAAGCGCACGACGCAGAACGGTTTGGGGAGCGAGTGGCAGCATCAAAGCAGTCTGGAGACAGGTCGGACGCAATCGCCCATTAGCCCGCAGGCTCCGATGACGCGACAGCGAACTTCGTCTCATATATCAAAGTCTCCAGAGCCTCCCAAGCGTGTCCCGCCACCCTCTATAGAGGCTGTCCCAGACGCACGCGCACCGGGAACTGAAGGGCGACGTTCATCTGAGTCGTTATCCGTTCTGGAGATGCCCACGTCCGGTAGGCTGACGGTAGCCAACCCTGACGACCCATCTAGTTCAGGTGAACACACGCCCGTGCAAGCGGCGGCGTCTCTTCCAGAGCCAGGGACACCAACTACTCCACCCCCGGGCCCCGCCTCCGAGAAAGACTTGCCGTTACCTGATATTCCGAGGACAGAGTCTCCATTACCCATCAGCCCTCAAATCAAGCGTTACACGCTAACGGACCCTCCTGTACAAGCGCCCTCTCCCCCTTCTTCACCGCCCTTGCCTGACCTTCCTCCACCCACTCCTGCCCAAGCACTGCAATCTCTCACTGAGGTCAGTGAACCGGATAGCTCCCCTTCGCCGTCGACTGTCGTGCTGCCCGCCTCACCACGTCTCAACGGCCATGAGAGGCATTCAGTTGCGGCGACATCTCAAGCTTCCACCGTTGGCCCTCTTCCGCTGGCGTCACCGGAGGAGATCGCCTTGGCGCGCGCATCTATGTTTGTTAACCCTCCCACGCCGTATGCCGCCCCGGCTCATCTCGTCATGCCTCCCTCTGTGGTTGAGGTCCAAGAGCCGGCGCGGTCGAGTAGCAAGCGCGCTGACCGTTCTCCCACCAAGGCGGGAGTCGATCGCTCTCCCACCAAGTCAAAGGATACCTCACGTTCTAAGTCCATCCGTGAGACGGAGACGTTCAAGCTCGTTCGCAGCGCCTCGGGCACGATGCAGCAAGCGGAGGTCATCATGGGTATGGGTGAGCAGTGGGAATTGGTCGGTGCGTCCTCGGAGTCTCCCAAGAAGTCTTCGAAGTCGAAGGACAAGGAGAGGGAGAGGGAGAAGGACAAAGAGAGGGCGAAGGAGAAGGCCAAGTCTTCTGACCATGACCGTGAACATGCAGCTCAGCGTGAAGACAGTAGGCGCCACCGGGACCGCAGCAGTAGCGAGGATGGCGAATCACGGCACAAAAGGCACCCGTCAGTGAGCGGGCGAGACAAGCCTCCCTCTGTCAATACCGTTCGTTCAACTCAGACCCCTGTCTCCTCACGTCGTAGCGTCAAGAAGCCGAGCGAACATGAGGAGAGCAGGTCGGTTAAGGCGACCAGCGCCATCCCCGTCATCGCTGTGTCACCGGTTCAGGCCCATGAGCAGCACCACCGTGAGCACCATCTTTCCACGACCCCGTCTGCTCCCAGACCCACGTCTGAGTTGCATAGCGCTGCGGATTGGTCGTCCGTGAGGGCCAAGGACGCTTGGGAGATGGAGAGGCTCTGGAAGGCCCGCAGCATGGCCTACGGCCCGGACGGCATCCCCATCGTCTCTACCCCGGCGACGATCGGGAGTGACTCTCGCCCATCGACGTTCATCAGCACCGAGTTGCAGCGGGTGACCTCCATCCCGAGCGTTGCCGCCGTCGCGGAGATGCAGAAGCCGTCCAGCGCGCCCCCGATCGCCCAGTCGTACGGCTCCAGCCACACGTACATGGTCGTGCAGACGCCTTACCAGGTGGCCCAAGGACACCCTCCTTACAGCCCGTATACGTCACCCCCTCCGCAGAACCTCGCGATGTCTCCTGCGCAACAATTCTACAGACACGCGCCGTACAGCTCGCCTGAACCCCTTTCGCACAACCCCCTCCCGAATCCCCCTCGCCTCTCAGCGTATCAGCCGTCTCCAGTGTCCATGACGCTAGCCAATCCCCTTCCAGATCCTCCTCGTCTGTCGTCGTACACGCCCGCGCCCCTCCCAGCGTCATTGGCGAATGGAAACGGCTCTCCCACTGGCTGGAGCCACTCGAACACGCACTAACGACTCATAATGCCATGAGCACCACCCCGATACCAAGCCGTTTGCACGCTGTACATACTAAGAGAGACATTCGCCTTGCACATTGCTTAGACTACTGCTACGTCACGCATACTCATGCTGCTATTGCTTTCCTTCATCACCAACCAACATCATATTCGTTCCCTCTCTGCATGGTTGTTTCGGGCATCCGCGGATCTATCTCCTCTCTGGTCGACGCTCGGCTCGTCCGCACTTCAGCTCATCTTTAATCTTATAAGGACTATTGCTGTCATTGTACTACGGGTCGAGATGTTGACATTCGATACTAATCGCAAACACCATTTGTTATTTGCAGCGGCCAGGTTACCTCAGCCAAATCAGTATACGGGTCGATGACCACGAACCCGAGACTTGAGTGACCTCCCACCTGACTTCTCTTCCAAACGTACAAGGAGGCTCGGCTTGTCAATGCTGTGCGACGCTTACCGTCCCTGGCCCTCTTTGGACCCCCATACCGAGCTATACAGACGATGGGCAGGATCACGACGAAGGGGAGGCTGCTGTTGAAGGGACAAGCGACGTTCGAAAATCCTGCTGTATCAAGCATGTGTTGACAATGCCAAGATAACGTTCCATCTGTATGTGCCGGTCCGTGCGTACAACGCACTGAGATGATGTTGAAGATGTTCATAGTACATCGTGAAGTACATGCATAAGACAAGAACTAAAGAAGAGGGGAGATTACAGTCATATGCGTGGAGATATGATACATATGTGCTCAAAAGCTTATGGGACCACCACACCTCGTGCCAGAGGCACGTACAAAATCGGCATGCCTATATACGGGACATAAACCACAAGTATCCAGGACGGGGAAAGAGGAAGTCATATGTGCTACGATTGTCACCTTTCGCGCGGGTATTCTGTGTAGTCTAGTGGGAACTGGGGTTTGGGGTAATCGTCCCACTGCCTGTCCGAGTCAAGGAAGCGGCGCAGCCGCGCGACCTGCGAGGAGAGGTACATGACGATGATCTGCATCTCGATGCTGAGGTTCAGCCGGAGGATCTCCTCGCAAGTCTTGAGGGCCTGCGTGCGCGTGGAGACAAACATGTTGCCCTCGAAGCCGAGTTGTTTGAGGGCATCGATCAGCTCGCTGAATTCTGAGCACCACGCAAGCACGCCGAGCTGTGGACGGAACATGTCAGTCGGCAGCGAGGATGTGAGACAAGGGGAGGGGTCATGAGACGCACCTGGCCGAACTGTTTGAAACGTGCGTACAGGACGTTTGGTGCGCTTTTCAGCGCGAAGTCAAACGCCTCATTCTGCTCGATGACGCCAGGCTGAGGGACATAATTGTCCGTCGTGCTTGGTTGGGGCTGAGGGGGCTATTGTCCACGTGAGCGGTGTAGACACGAGCAAAAGTGAAGGGCGTTTTACCTCAGGGCGAGCGGGAGGATCCTTGAACCACTCGTAGCCCGAGTAGTCGACCTCTCCTCCCCAATCGACGGTGTCGGCCTGCTTTTCGTAGAGATCTACGTTCATGACGGTCGTGCGGAGGATTTGCTTGACAAATGCTATGAGATAAGGAGGAGGTTGAAAATTGACGGCCTCCGAGTATTCGTGTGCCTTCGGATGCGGAACAAAGATGTCGTAAGGGGATTTACTGGGCGCTGCGGCAGGAGTCCCAGGGTTCTCGGGGTCGGGAAGAGTGGATAGAGGGTTTTCTGCGGTTGATACCTCGCCACGTTAAGGATGTTCCAAAACATGCTAAAACTGGACGTACCAAAAGCAAGCGGAGTGAGAGGCTGGTCGGTGTCTTCCGAAGAAACGACGTAAACGTTGAAGGATGTATTCTTTAGGGCCGTCAGCCAACAGACTTGGCGCGTCACAAAAACACTCACCCTGATAACGTCCTGGCCTTCGCGTTCCTCGTTGTAAGATACGACCGAATGAATGCTTCGCCGGTTGTCTACGGTGGATTGGCTATAGATCACAGAGAGACGATTGTGGGAGGTCGGACGCGAACCAACGACACTTGTCGGCGCTAGGAACGAGGCACGTTGGGACGGGCTGTAGAGTATGAGAGAAGAACTCGTGGACTGCGGGGTCTGGGGCGCGGTCGCAAACTCAAACTCGATCTGCAAAACGGGCTGAGATTCTGCCATACACAGGGAGGGGTGTCACGGATACTCACCTCGGGTCCTCGGAGGTAATAAGTATCCGGACGGAGTGAACGTGGAACAATGTAGAGGGGCGGGGATGGCGGAGGGCGGATAGGTAACGGCGCGGGACTGTTACTTGTTACGTCGACGGGAAAGGAGGAATTGATCTCTAGGTTCTGGACGTTACGAGAGAGCCAAGAAGGTGAAGGTGCTGTGCTTCCGAAGAGCGGGGTACCTTCGACGGCAGAGGGTGGGACGGAAGCGGCTAGCGACAGTGGATCAACGAACTCGAACTGAGGAAGACGGAGCTGGCGTAAGGCTGACGATATACGTGGACCGAGGCGTGGACTTGCTTTCACGATCTCGATACGGGGCAGTTCTGTATCTGGGGGCGAGGAGGAAACGGAATCGATGCGAGAGACTGGGAGAGATGGGAAGGGCTGATCCTCTTCTAAGACGATAGATAAGTCGATATGCTCGAAGACTAGCTCGGGGATCTGAGGGCTCTCGATGGCGCTGGGGCTGCGTGCGGGAGCACCAGAACTTTCGGCTGAAAGTATCTGACAGACTTGCGGCGCGCGTCTACGGGCGCCTACTAAGAGCGGGGCTTTGCTGAGGGTGCGAAGGCGTTTTAGGGACGAGGTGATGGATCTCGCCTTCGGAGTGCGCGGTGTCGCAGCGAGGACAATGTCTTCTGGTTCGGTGACTATTTGCTCGACGGCACGGACGACTGGGTGGTCCTCTTCGATCGGACGTTCGCCCTTGCGGAATGGATCGTTGGTGAGAAAGAGCGTAGACTGCGACTGTGGCGGTGTCCTGAGGGAGCTAGATGTTCTGCTCGACGCGGAGGAGTCGGTAGAGGGTCTGCGGATGGCAACAGCAAGAGTATGCCTGTGATCGGAACCAGTGGATTCTCGACGTCGCGGACGGCTAATTACCTCGCGCGACTTTTTCAGCGAGGCTTGAGAGAGCTTCCGGAGCCGGGAGAGCGAGGTGCGGGAGCGCGAGAGCAAAGATGGATGGTATGCCCGCTGGTAGTCTGGATATCCGAAGGTTATTGACTTTATTTGATACGGACATTGAGTGGATGCTCACCGAAGACGGGCGCGAAGTGCGCGGTATCAGCAGGACAAAGAGATAGACGTAGCTCGTCGTAGGTAATCTCCTCGAACTCTTCGTTTTCCTGCTCTGAGGCAAGCGGCAGGCCTTCGGAAGGAGCTCCGGAGGGCGAGGTCGGGATGAGGGCGAAGGCCTGCTCCGAAGGTGGGTTGTCAGTGAATGTTTCGGAAAGCGGGGAGGGCCCGGCCGAGGCACGCAGCGAGCCTTGACGGCCGTTCGCAAGTCTCGACTGAGCAGTGAGTAACCTTTCTGTATCAGCAGGATCTAGAGCATCAACTCAGCATCTGTGAAGCCTGCCCCGACAAGAAAACACAAGCCGACTATCAACTACCACCTGGCTCGTCT